CCTTACTATTACTTAGTATTAGCTCTATATTATTATCTAGCTTAGAGCTATTATTATCTTAATATATATAGTCCTTAGAGAGTGTGCTAATAATAGTTTACTTAAGCTGATTTATAATACTCGCGGAATCTCACTTACTATTATTAGAATTACTTAACTAGGTATAGATATGATTCTCCTTAAGCTTATTTATAGTTATATATTAATATATCGCAGTGAGTTATCGTGTTAGTTTATTATAAGAGCTACGTCCTATTACGTTAGTATATTTCTTATCTATCTACGACTTCTTTTATTAATAAGAGCTGGCTATATAACTAGGAAAGCTATACTTAAAGTATAGCTTCTTTTCTTATTACTTACTTATAACTTTCTTAGATAGCCTACTACTATATAACTTTCCTTAATAACTTAGCTTCCGGAATATTATATCAAGTTCTATTTCCTAAGAGTAAAATAGTTTCTTATTATTACCTCCTCTTCCTTAATATATATATATTCTGAAGTAGTATTAGCCTTTCTTCTTAAGTGCCTTCTTATAGTTTTAGTTGTTAATCTTAATAGCTATTTTAATAAGTTCTTATAAGTTAGTAAGCGCGTCCGATCTTACTATCTTATCTTTCACTTTATCTTTTAATCTTTTATAGTACTATATCCGAAGGGCGTTATTATTCTAGCTAATCTAATTCGCGAATTACTAGAAGGTAGTAGTATATATAGTTACTAACCCGACCTGCTTTAGGTTCTAGATATTCTATTTAGTAGTATAGTTCTAATTAATATCACTAAAGATATAGTTAATCCTATACTCGAAACCCTTAAAAGTTATAAAGATCTTCTAGGATTCCTTAGTTATTACTATAGAGACTCTCCTATCCTTAGTCTAGTTCTAAATATAGTTTAAGAGGAAGATCTTAATCTAGTTAAAAGTAAATCCCCGGAGGAAGAACGAAGCCTAAAGGACTTTATTAGTCTTTATAATGAATTAGTAACTATTAAAGCTTATATAGAGCTTAACCTACGTAAGGTATACTCTAAGCTTAGATCAGTCTTTATAATAGAGATCCGGGGCGGCGATCTTAAGTATATTCTTTAGGTTAAAGACCTTAGTAGGAGTCGAGTAGTTATTTAATAATCCTTTAACGGAGGATATATTATCTTCGTGAGTTAGTACCTCTAATAAGAAGGTACTTAAAGTGTAATAGTCCGGTATTTACTCGCTATAAATATAAAAAGCTATAGTTAATCTCTAATAATTAAGAGGTAAGTATATCACGTAGATAGGAAGATAGTTACTAAGTATTAGAATACTATTTGAAGTTAAGTATAAAGCTCCTATCTAATAGTAGATATATTAGTCTTATATAGAACTTTCGTTCGCCTTAGATCCCTTAGGATACTAGATCCTTAGATCCTTAGATCCGTTTTCTTATAAGGGGATCTAGGGATCTAGGGATCTATTACGTAACTTATTATCTACTATAATCTAGGTAACTATTACTACCGAAGCGTGAGTATACAGTAGTACTACTTGTTATCCTATATTATTCCCTAGCTAGTACTACCCTATCGATAGTACCGCTCCCTTATTAGTACTAATACCCCTATAGTACTACTAATAGTTTTATCATCATATAGGTGCCAACTGAACTATAGCGCTAAGGGTCCGTAACATTACCTCCCTCTAAACTAAACCCTACTATATAGCTTACCTTTACTCTCTACTATCTAATCGATAATTTATATACTAATATTAATAGAGATAACGCCCTTATAGTTAGTATAATTATCCCTTTTATTAAGACCTATATTAATAATTTTAAGTATATAAGAGATATTTTAAAAGATAAGGATCTCGACCTTTATAACGTCTTTATCTTAATAAAGGTTAGTAACTTAACTTTTAACGACCTAGTTTATAGCCTTAACGATTTCGTTAAATTAGATTATTCTTTAAGAGCTACTACGACTAACTTATTAGCTTATATAGTAGAATTCTCTACTAGAAGCGACTAGAGCCTACTTTACTAAGAAGTTATCCTTAGTAACTTCTACTCTTTTAACTAAGAGAAGTTTAGTTCTAGCCTTAGACCTTATTAAAAGGACTATTACTGTAGGATTATAATAGACCTTAAGTCTTTTACTTATAGTATCTATCTTATCTCTAGCGTACCTACCGTAGGAAAGACTATAATTGTTAAATATCTTATAGTAGCTTTTACTTAGGCTCTTAGAGAGAAGATAGCTTAGATCCTCTTTATTATAGATAGTAATTCCTTTATTAATAAAGCTGTAGATTATTTCTATTCTTACTATAGATCCGCCTCTAATCTAATTACTAAGCTAATTAAGATTATTTACGTTAGTACTTAGATTATAGAGTCTAACCTTTTCTTAACTAAGTATAATCTTAAGTTACGTTAGGATTTTATAAGTATAGAAGTTATCTCTAAGTTTATAGTCTAAAAGCTTATTAATAATCTTAGACATGCTAATAATAATCGAAAGAAGTATAGCGACTTAAGACTTAATCTTAAGCTTTATTTCTTATCCTTATTCTAAGCTATAGTTAACTTTGTTAAGACTAATCTATAAGATACTTAGAATACTTTAATTAATCTCTTAAAGAAGTATACTAAGAATCCTCTTAATAATAGTATTAAGAATATCGAGATTACTAAACTCTTAAATCTCCTTTATAATAAAACTTTAGTAAGCGCTGATATTCTATTTACTACTTATAGTATATCTCTCTGTCTATTTATAATAGAAGCTTATAGTCTAGTCTTTCTTATTAAGGATAAGGATTACTAATCTCTACGTTAGTTTTTCCTTACTTTAATAAGTACTTACGCTAAGTCCCTTTTACTAAGTATCTTATCCGGAGACTAAGAGTAGAAGCTGCCTTACTTTTAGTCTCTTATTATAAAAAATATCTTTACTTCTTAAGTAAACTTTCTAAGATACTCCTTCTTTACTTAACTTCGCGATCTTAGTATTAGTAGAATATTTCTTAATATCTAGTTCTATATATTTAATGTAGACTTAGTAAAGATACTCTCTAACTACTACTATAACTCTACTATAATAGATAGTAATAAAAGAAAGATTATACTTAAGACTAAGCTTATACGTGCCTTCTTTTAGTATAAGTTTAATATTAATTCTAACGTAGTTATAGTTCTATACGAAAAGAGTAAACCTTTAAAGCTAGATAGATCTCTATCTATAATTAATATTAGCTAATAATAATAGCTCTTAGGTTTCCTTAACTATTTCTACGCTTTCTTTACTAACTATTAAGATTAATATCTAAATAAGAAGAACTTTATAGTTCAGATTCTATCTCCTTACCTTAGAGTTATAAACTAGCTTAAAAATAGAGTCTTTTTTCCGAATCTAACTTATAAGATCTCTATCTTAACTTATAATATTTATTAAGGAACTAGTACTTCCTTCTCTATTATAGTCTAGCCTTTAGATATAATTACTAACTTTACTAGTACCCCTTAAGACGATCTTATTATATCTATATATTAGAAATATAACTATCTCCGTCTTATTACAAAAGAATCTGTTAGTCTTTAAGCTAATAGAGTAAAGGATATAGCCTTTATATTAAGAGTTAACTGTACTAAGATAAATACCTAGTATTTCCTTTTCTTCTAAAGATATAAGTAGATTACTTCCGTTTCCGTAGAAGAGAGTAAAGTCTACTTTAAGTGCTACTATCTAAGTTATATAAAGGAAGACTATACCTAGATAGGATCTATCTACTCTAATTATTACACTCTTAGATACCTTAATATTAAATATACTTAGCTAAAGACCTTCTATAAGAAGAGTTAAGCTATCCTTATATACTAGAAGTATAGACTTAAGGGTTATATTATAAAGAGATATAAGGTTTATAAGTATTACAAGGATACTAGTCATACTACTAACACCTACCCCCTCCCTTAGTATAGTTACTACTTAAGCACTAAATATAAGTATAAGGACTACCCTTAGTCTAAGTACTCTCTTTATTATAATTTCAGTATCTATTAAACTAAGTAATATCCTAAGTACTTAGTATACTATAAATATAGTATTAAGTATAATTCTAAGACCTATTCTATTAAGGCGACTATTACTAATATATTTAGTACTAATATTATCTCTGATACTAACTTAGCCGCGGAACGCGAGTTATATATAAAGTATCACCTTAAGCTCTATAAAACACTTAAGATCAAGACTAAAAAGGAAATAATAGCTTATATAATCTCCGATATTTATAATATAAGTCTATTAGTCTTCTGTAAATATACTAATTTCTCCTTTAATAATACTTCTCCTAAGGATTAGTTCTTTCCTAGACTCTAGGAAATCACTAAGTAATACTCTTCCTTTAACGCCTAGTCTTTAGTTACTTTACTCTACTAAAACTAACTCGCTACTTATACTACTTTACTTTCTAAAGATAAAGATAGCCTTATTATTTTCTCTAAGACCTACTCAGTTCTAGAAGCCTCCCTTCTCTTTCCTTTTAATAATATAGCTTATACTATTATCTACTTAGAACTCTATTATATCTACTACCTTTACCCTATAGTTATAGTCCTCCTAAAAAGCCTAGTTACTACTAGAATCTTTAATATCTCCGGTAGTATCTTAGCCCTTAGTTTCGATATTATTACTAAAGATAATAAGTAAATCCTTAGCCTTAAGTTCACGCTACCCTCCCCTATTAGGTTAGACTACTAATTCATTTACCCTTCTAAGAATATTATTATATAAAGCTAAATACTTAAGAAGTTCCAGGATTTAGTCACTTTCTAGTAAGAGGCTATAAACCCTGAAGCCTAGGAACCTAAGGCAAAGCAGAATAACAGATAGAATAGAGGACAGAATAAAGGATAAGGAGAATAGGGACAGGTTAATACGAACGCTAAATAGTAAGGCAGAAATAGTACTAAACAGTAAGGTAGAAATAGTACTAGATAGTAAGGTAGTTAGGATTAAGGACTATCAGGATAGTTAACTTAGTAAATATAGTATTATTATATTATTTCTTTCTTTCCTTTTTTTTAAAAAAGTACTTTCGTTCTTAGAGAGAACGCTTATAGGAAGAAGGGATATTATAAGTCACGTGCACTAGCTTAGTTACCTATATTAGGAGAGCCCTATACTCTCTTTCTCCTTTCTCTCCTTAGACGTACTAATACCATACAATTAGCCCCTAAGTTTCCCCTTAGCCGCTGAGTGTGAGGTTTACAGGGCATCAATCTATAGTGCATAGTACCCGACAGCTCACTTACTCGATCGCAACAGACATTTAGTAGAGAGAATATATTCGATCAATGTCAGCCTGAGAAGAGAAGTGTCAATAACAAGGCCTCTAAGAAGCCTAAAGCTCTCGTACGTCCAAATTTCCGGAACTTCCCATCACGTTCAACACCTCTCGAATAGCGCTGGGCACAACAGGTTTCTCAAAAATGAGAGCATTGAAATGAAATGCCACCATATATCGCAGAGAGAATGAGAACCACGCGAAAGTCCACAAACCTCCGACCGCTCTTGTTTTCCCCAAGAAGACGCGTTCATCAGTGTCTTGCTGATACTAATGCCCGATGGTAGTCGCTTACATGATCTTTGGATACCTGCCTTCTTACCGAAGTGGATCACAATGTCCTCAACGGTGATTGCAAATGGCTGCATGAAGAAGTATACGAGCTGATTCCAATTATTCTCCCGAGTACTCGAAGGGAGATTCAAAGCACCTAGGTGATGTAGCAAGCCTGAGGCGATGAATGCCAGATAAAGTTGTAGGTACTTCGACGCCAAGGTACCCTTTCGGATCGGCACGAATGACCTCAGAGCTCTGAATGGGATATTCAATTTCTGCCCTCGCGATTAGCTACCATAAAGGGGCCAAATGCTAGGCAAACGCACCCGACGAATCAGCTGGTGCCAGAACTTTCCCCAAAGATCACGAATGGTACACACGTCGGACAGCACACCCATGACTGGAGGCCAATCCTCTGGGATGTAAAGTCCAGCTGCAACAGTCAGAGCCGAGAAGAAGGAGTATTGCATGAGCAATGCCTGACAGCTGCCGACTGCTGGTAACCAGGTAAAGAAAAGCTGTCGAGGCAGCCTCTCCGTGAAAAGGTCAGGTGGATCAGCAGATGTGTAGGCTGACACGCTGAGTGGATACTGAGAGACATCAAAAAGGAGACAGGAAAGTACTGCTTGTGAGAGCTCGCGCCGAACAAAAGTCCTAGTGAGTTTTAGGTCTGTTTGCACAGATTACGAGAGCTGCTTACCATTTTCCCAACCCGGCTGGTCGACCATTAGGCACATTGTTCACCCTCCAGTTCCAGCCAACCCCTCTCATAGATGTATTCAAATCCCAGCTCCATGCTAGTCGTTGCAACAAGCTTTTCCGAGGAGCATGAGCATCTTTCGTACGGACCCAGGCATCTTGCGGATGGAAAACAAAGAAATCCAGCCAGTGAAGAAGAGCCAATGTTGCCTGGATTGGACTCAGGGCATCCTGAGCCAACACCCCTGTCGTATATCTGGGAACTTGTGCAATCAAGAAAAGCAAGACAGCTGTCACAGACAGTGCACGGATCTTTCCTTGTGGGAGCAGAGAGCCAACCACGCAAGTAAGGTAAATACTGGGGATCAAGTACGGCCGCGGGGCGAGAGGACGGGCTTTATCAGGGACAAAGGAGTCTGGAAACATCTTGCAGGTGTAGACCCGCCCAGGACGCTACCCCGAGACGAACTCCTCGTTCCGATAGCAAATATTCTGCTCGATTGTTGTTTGGTTGGGAATCCAGGGCTGGAGAGGAGGGACAAGAATAAATAGGAACGTCGGCCGCGAGTAACTATCGCCCGTCTGACATTCTCAGTTCGGACCTCCTTCCAATAGGTACTGTAGGTAAGGTATTATAACTCGGCGCACATGTTCGCCTAATATGGCGAGCCCCACCTGAACAGCTAGCCTCGAGCCTCTCTCACGTCAGTCGAAAACGTCAGCTTGCCCTTCGGTCAACCACCCTCGCCTCCTCGAATCGCCGACTACGGATATCTGTACAGTATCCCCTCGACTGCCGAAAAGACACTTATCCAGGCGGTAGCGCTGAAGTGGGTTACTAAAGCTGCCTAGGTATCATCTTTGTATTTCAGACGTCCCTCGCTTAATCATCAGGTATTCTTTCATTCCATCTATCCACCCCCTGTAAAATAGGTGTGTCGATAGGCAGTTGAGGGGATAGGATAGGAAAAGCAACGAAATCAAACAATTGCTCTCTTTGATATTCGCTAGTAGGCTCAATCAACTTGGTCTGCTCGGCGTAGGGTCTAAACATATGACCGTATACTAATCCTCTTCTACGTTTTTTCGGTGATTCTTGATGTTAAAGTCTTCCAAGCTTGGTAGGCATTCGAAAAACTTTGTTCTATGCAACCTTGTAGTTGAGTATCTCGTCAAAGGAGGATTATCTTGAGGTGACTTAAAGGTTCACAAAGAGCAAACCATCTTAGTTCGACACTCTGAACAGAGCTTTCAAGTCAGTGCAAGAGCTTCACCACAGGCGAGAGTTGAGGCAGAATTACAGCACTTGATTCGGGAGCTTCAGAGTCTCCTGTCCTAGTCCGGATGAAGTTTCATGCGTGTGCCGCTCTGCAAAGTGAAGTCCTTCCAGTGACCAGAGTCCAGGAGAGTGTGAGAAATTATAATGAAGTCCTTTCAGATCTCAGTCGTCGAAACGATGGCCTGTTCACGGATCCGAGCTGGTTCAAAGCAAGTCTTTACCAGCCCGTACTGGACAAGCTCGTTCTGTTCTGATATATTAGATCCGAATATTGTCTCATGTATGGGCCGGAAAAGTAGAGTGTGAAGATGCTGTCTATTTTGGAGTGAACGATTGCGGCAAATTGAACCAAGCAACTTTGGATTGGGAGGCAGGCTTTCCCCCGGTACATGATGAGAAACATTCATGGTAGCCAACCAATAAAACCGACAGCATAGAGGTCCGGGAGTTGTACCTCGCTTTCGATAGATCGAGAAAGTCTAAGCAACAAGTTTGTAGGGACTGATAACTTTGTTTACACCAGGAGGCGCTGCTGTTGAAGAGGAAAGGGCGTTTCTCAAATATTGTACCTTTGTCGAAGACTTCGTCACCATGACAGTAAACAACGTATCTGTATACGGCAAATGATGGGAACTTATCGATCAAATGCCTACTAGTGGGCCACTTAGTCTGGCCAGGTTGGCCAAGTCTGTCATGTTGGGTGCACTGTTTCTGTGGCTGCGTCAGACTAAGAGAGAGGACGGTACGGTGGGTACAGATCGAAACACGACAGAGTCTCGACTTCTGCATCCCATTAAGATATATTGCCCAGCAAGTTAAAACTTCAGGCTGGAGAAAGGTAGGGGCATTGCTTAATTGTTTTGACCAAAGTGGGGACCTGTTTCGGTAGTAAGTAGTTCCCCTACATTCAATCCAGTGGCTAGCATTCACCTATTACAGACTTGAAGCTAGAACTTATACGGTGAGATCATACGGCGTCGAGTTGACAACGATTGAATGACAATAATCATAGACAAAGACTACGTTGACACTGTTGACCGTGACAAGCCGGGGCAGTTCTTCCAGCCTCTCAGACCGAAATTTCAGGCGAGAAGGTGTCCAGATCCTATCAACTTATGCTCCCGAAGCGGAACTAACCACGAGACGAAGATTTAATATATCCAAGACCCTAACTTCAGATCAGGCGCCTTTCAGGAATGGCAAAGACCATTAGTGTTAGACACGGATTTCATATGCCGCTGAAGTGGGCAGATCAAACTGGACATGGCCTGAAGTGGATCTTCTCAGGTGGTAAATGATTTCGAGGCAAGTTCACGATGGCCTCTCGTTTTACGACGCGTTGGATGCATTTTGAGACCTTGGATGGAAGAATACCAAATAGTAAATTGTGACCAGAGTCGAGGCATAGTTGAGCAGAAGACTCCTAGGGTTGAGATATTGAATAGAGTAGTTTGGGGATGGTGTAATACTCATAAATAGATCGGTTATGCTGCTTGTTGTCCATGACAGATCGATACACTTACAGTTTTTCAGAATGACTCCTTTGTTATCCTGAGGGCCGCTGCTCGTTGTATTAGCCATGCCCACGTCGAAAATTGAAGCGAATATAACTATGATTGATAAGCTAAATCTTGATACAGATGCTGAGATCTTTAAAGACCTGTCTACCGAGACGTGCAGTCTTTACGATGAAGTCCTGCAGTAACAGAAAACCACATAATGAGGCCCCGGCTTGACTGCAACCGGACGGGTTTATTAGCAAGTACAACTCTTTGGGGTCACTGTCAAGCACAAAGTGAAGGCACTCATCCCAGTCCGGAGAATGACCCCTAAAAATGACAATGAGTCCTATTTGTGCTGTGCTACCACCATTTAGCCAAGCATACTTTCCAAAATCGCAGCACATGCATCGGCGATACGATTTAACATGGAAATTAACATGCCTCCTAAGCAAGACACAGTCAAAAACTCCTGCTCCTTCGCACATACCACTGCCAGTACCTCTCACCCCGTGGGGTAGAAAGTATGGCATCACACCAACATGCATCCATTTCAACACGATGTACAACCCCGCCTACCCCCTCATCCAGATTTCACACCTGTTCTACCATGCACCACAATACAAGTGCCGAAGATAATGAGCAAACGGACACTTTTATCAGACTCCAGAATGCTCGACTCAAAGGGTTCACGACTTTGGCGCTCATTGAGAATGATCTCATCTCGGAGCGGCGGCTCAGAGTAAGTGGTCTAACAAACCCTATACACCTGCTACTTGCAAGAGATAGGTGGGAAGTGCATACGCCTGTAAGCAATTCTCTCTTTCGATGCCTTTGTAGCATTGGGTTTGCTTGGGCTGGTGCAGAATGGCGGAGAAACGATGGGAATTTGAGAGAGCTATCACTGATTGGAAAGGACAGGGGATGCTGATATATCGTTTAATAGATGGCAATGGTCTAGATAGAGGCATCTGGGATCCTAGGTATAACGAATTGGCTTAGCAAATTCTGCTACCTTCATCGAGGCTCGCTTCGATGATACTGGCTCACTTGCATACGCATCCGTGGGTAAGTGATTTCCCTAAGTTCAACTATTGCTGGAAGATGACGGAACCTCCTTATTCGGAGGCAATACCAAATTGTCCGCAATTCCAACGAAAGCTGGTAATATGGGCCGCCTGAGGTGTAAGATACACAGAGGAAGCTACTGCCTTGTGTAGAAGTTGAAGGAACCCCAGCTGACTGTATCCCTCACATGAACAGCTCGACACACTCCTCCTTGGAAACGAAGAACAATTGGATCCCAACCGCTTCCCGCCCCCATCACTAAGTCAGCGTTACATATCAAGAGCTCAACTACACAATGTACTCCGGATTCGTCAACCAAGTCCAAGCCAGGCCCATGAATGTGCTTCGGCATTCGAAGAACTACAACGCTGGCCTGCACTGCAAAACCTCCAAATTGGAATCGTGCCCAGTCACAAGGGGCATTTTGGCCAATCTCATTATAACAACAATTTGGCGAACGGGTACGCTTCCTGGCTGAGTGATGAGATGCGCGATTTACCTTGCGTCCGAGAGATTTGAGCTGCTCGTGAAGCCTCACCTGTGTGATTCTGATCGCCTGTGCTTGAATCTTCTCATTACGAATACCATGATACGTGAAATTATGCATGCAGTTGACATCGTGATCAAGTTCTTGCAGGGGGTTCGTATGACCAGTTGATCCAGGCGAGCCTTTCTTGGAAGACGAGGTATGTTATTCTCGCTCAGGCGGAGCCGGCTCAAACCCAGCGGTGTTCCAGCAGCTGACTCCAGTTCTGTGGAACAGGTCGTTGCGGGACTGGGATGCTCTATGGATAATGCAGTACGGAACATTAATTGGTGAACTTGGGACTTGCTGACGCAAGAGCAGGTACTTTGTTAGGAATACAAGACACTGCCGATCCTACCATCCTGCCAATGGGATCAGGCGTCACTAAAGGATCACAAGTGAGTACCTCTTCGAGGAAATGCGCAAAACGATTGAAATGTGTTCCATAAAGCGTACAAATATTGCGAAGACCATCAAGTAAATGACAACTAACACACCGAGGCGCAGCCAGCTCTCAGCTCTTACCCAGCCCTTCTCACTCCTCCGCTTCCCAGAACCGACCTGTTTAGACCCATACAGGTAGAATACTACATAGGCATGCAGGAAAATGATTTCTGGGACTTCAATGTCCGGAACTTCTCTCACTTCCGACCGGGCAAGATTTTGAAGAACGGAAGCCTCATCAACCTCATCTCGATGCGATCCTGGCAGCCGCCAGCAGTCTGCCAACTGGCAGAAAATACGAAGGACTACTTAGAAACAGTTGCACCCGAAAATTTAGCTGCAACGATGCTCAACGACCTTTTGCTGATGACACCAAACGATAGGATTGCGCTTGCAGGTGCGAGGAAGAGGAAGCTGACACACGAGAAATATGCCCGTTTGCTGCAATTGACAAGACGACAAACTGAAAGAATCTGGGATCAGGTTGAGATGATGGCGAGAGGGGACCTCCATATCAACGGATATAGCCTGAGCCAGTGTCTCGGCATCCTTCTCCTGTCAATTGGAGAGGTTATAAGCACTCTAGCAGACATCTTGACGGCACTGCGCGATTTTGATAGTTCCAGTGCCGCATACTTCAGTGAGCGGATAGAATCGGGAAGACTGTACTGAGATGACACCAGGTGCCCTGGCAGACGCGCAGAGTTTCAATCGCGGCGTCTGGCGTCTGATCGATGACATCGCCATGGCCTCCGATTTCCCGGAGCTGAGAGAACAGGCTTATGATCTGTGTCGAACCGTGGATAATACGCGCATGTTAATCACTGCCTCCTCAGGAACGCCATCAGGAATATCGCTAGAGGATGACATGGCTCTCGCGGATCAAGACGAAGCCGATTGTGTGCAGAGAATTGAAGCGGCAAGAGCACATCTGGAGAAGGGTGACGATGATACCTACAGCTAATACGATGTGTGAACAAGTATCGAGGTCTATGCCCTCTACACTATTGACAAAGTGCGCTGCTAGGATACTGATGTGTCATAGCAATTCCATGGATCATACTATTCGCCTGAAGGTAGTGAGTCGGACTATAGAGACGCTGCAGAAAGCTCCTGCGCCTGTGGGAAGATCTGAAGAACAGGCGAGGGTGCTACATTATGCCCTGCTTTTGGAGAGGGCGCTACTCCAGACCCAGCCTCCAGATGCAAGAGAAATCTTCATAGTATGATAGAGTAGGGGATGATTTGGCCAGTGGTACATTCAAAACATATGTGCTTGCATCGCTTTTCGGTGATGCATCACTCGACTAAATACATCTGCGGTCAGAGTATGGCTCCTTCTTGCATGACAGCAGCGTTCGACGCTTGCAACGCAGAGTGAATTGTTCACGGCCAGAACCGAAGCCAATAACGGGAAAGAAACCTGGTGCTGCACTCGTGCAACGGACATCACAACCGCCAGGCCAAGCCAGGCGCCAGCACCGGCATTTTCATCAGCATGAGCATCAGCACATACGCCCAGCCCCACTTTCACTTGCAAAGCACACATGCACCACTCCCAACGGCCACCATGAAGCAAAACATCAAATCTAGGCAGGCAGAAATACAGTGAAAGGGCCCCCTAGCTGCGACATAAAGCAAAGTACAAAGAATGCAAATAGTGCGATGTGCAACAGAAGGTTGACTGGTGTCAGAAGGATAGATGCCCGAAAGTCCCGATACCCTGGTGCTTGCACGGGTGTTGGCTGAGAATATTTGGAGGCTGGCCGGTCCTGTCTCGCAGGCCGCGACATACATGCGACGAGGGAAACAAAGGCAGAGAAATACAGTGCATGGGATTTGCCGACAAGGCCTTGCATGTGACTTTTGTTATGGACGTCCACTCGATGCGTTTCTGCCGGCGACGTATTGTAGTCTGACGCACCGGCGAGAAATGGGCCTCGGAGGCCTTTGCCAATGCTGCAACTGTCACGCTTTCACTTGAGGTCTCGCAATAATGATATACACTCTTGCCTGCCCTGCCGCTTCAATCACGGCTTCCCTCTACCCTCCCAGTGCAGACCCAGCCGAACCTGTGAACGCATACCTGTCAATACTCAAAAGCACGACTATAGATGAAGAACACTCGCACTCCTTGGGAAGATCCTCAGGTATAAATACTCTCTGTCCACGAGTTGACCTGAAGCCCCGTCTCAGCCATATTCGCATCCCGCAGGAAATCCAACGGCATCCACACGAGATGGCCTTTGATTTGGTCGAGCTTGGCCCGGATCTCCTCGGGAGGAATCATCTTGTCGTAGATGTGACCTGCCTTGGTTCCCTTCGGCGGGAGGAACTTGTCATAGTCATCAAAATTCTTGACTGTAACCAAGTCAGCATTCTGTGAGAATAACCACTTCAGGGACCGGAGGCTCACCATAATCATCAGGATCAGCGTGGAATAGCTGACGGAAGATCTCTGTATTCTTCGATGCTCGAGAGGTCCACAACTCCCAGACTTCATCGCTGAGAGGATCGGCCACAAAATCGAATGTATCACCCTTCTGTGGATCGTTGGGAACATCTGGTGGCTGGCAATTTGGGTCATCGCTTCCGTCCAGATCTTGCGGAGGCAAGAGACCAAGATGCTCACGCCAGAGATAGCGCCGCAGAGTCGCTGCATGATCGCCAGCGTCATATGGCTCGCCGTTCATAGTCGTTTTGAGAACTTTCGTATCAGTCATGACGATGGACAACTCACTGTCGTGGGCACCCAATTGCGAGCGATCATTCAGGTTGGAGCTTCCACAGATGACGGTTTTGTCATCCACGATCAAGCACTTGCCGTGGATATACAACTCTTCCTGGATCCAGTTTTCGGCCTCTCCTTCTAGCGACCCCTCCCATTTCTCGTCGACGAGATCTGGTTGGTCAAGCATGGCGTTCTTCGCCACGCTGTCTGTTGTCTTGGCCTCGCCAGTGTTCCCAGCAGCCTCGGCTTTTGCTTCGAATTTCCTCTTAGCATCTGTTTTCTTCTCCTCAGACTCATCGCCAGAATCGTCCCGAGGATCCAGACTTCCCTTCTTGCCCATGTGTTTGTCTGCGCCTTCATCTTGATCTTTAGAGCCGTGAATGCCAGTGTCCATGATCTCCTCTGCCTCTGCTCTTTGTACATCTTGATACTTGACACCCGACTCTTCTTCTTGCTTCTTCACAGCAGGAGTGACATTCAACCGGTCGTAAGACCTGAGATTGAAAAAGAAAATGTGCTTTTTCGGATCAACTCCTTGGGCTTTGACCTGCTCAAAGATAGAGTGCTCTCCTCTGCAAATTGACTTGTACTGATAGTCCATGATTGCCCTAGTTCCCATAGCTGCATCTTCACGAAGATCACCAGCGAAACCAGGGACTGATGGAATGACGGCAATGACCCGGAATTTCCTGCCCTCCTTTCCTGCACGGACAACTGCGTCAACAATTGCCTTGCCGATGAGGTTCTTGATTGGGGCCTGCTGGTCACCCGTGGCGGTGATGAAAAACTGGTTCTCGATATAGACATAATGCTGAGCGTTCCTGATCAGTTCGCAGTAGGCGTTCTGAATACTATGCTCCGTCAGAATACCGCTGGACCAGTCATCGCTACTTCGAACAATCTGGGCGTGAACTGTGCCTTGCTTGTCTCCTAAGGTCTTCCCGCTCAGTGGGGTGATCGGATGATGGAGGTAGTCTCCAACTGGATGCTTCGGTCTCTGAACGCCAACAAGATCCTCATCGTCGCCTTCCCGGCCTTCCATGGTCAGCCAGTCATACCTGCCATCGCGTTTATACTTGTCACGTTTGACGAAGTTCCATCGCAAAACAAAATGCTCAGCAATGTCGTATACACAATCTCCGATGACGCCCATGGCAACATCGTGCCAGGGCATACGTCCGTATTCGGCTTTCGAGAGTTCGTTTGATTTCCAATCATCCACACTCTGGAAGTCCATGACGCGGTTATTGTTGAAATCCTGGCCTGGCCATATTTCCCCAGCCACTCCTGCGGGGTGTACATCAGCTAGGGGATGCTGATGATTGTCCCATCTTCCAAAACACAGATCTAATCCACCAATAAATGCAGTGTTGAAGTCGATGACGATGAACTTTTCGTGATGCGCCCAATAGAATGTCATGTCTGCAGCGTTCTCCAGTACATTGTGATCTGGATGTCGCATAACAACGATATTGCCATGTCCAGGACTCCCCTTCGGACAGAGAGCTTGAAGAGCGTGCTTGGTGTGAGCAGAGTTGCAGGTAAGTGCGGCCTGGCACAGATCAGCAACAGTCCGATTCTCGTCCCTACAGTACTAACCTCAACTTCTCTGTAGACGATAACAAAGATTTTGACACCGGCTTCCGCCTTGCGCTTCAGAATCTGGTCAAGTCTCCATTCTTGATTGTAGTACGCTGGTCTTCGCAGGAACAACTCCGGAGACAGCCACCAATCCTCGATGTATATGGTTTCTTTCGCGTTCTCCAGGGCAACTGACACTGCCTGGTAACCTGTCAGTACCAGTCCTGCTGCAGAAATGAAGCTATGCATACCCAGTAATAGTCCCGCCCATCCACATACCACTTGATATTGTTCCCTGGTCGCTCCGGCGCAAAGGATTCAAATCTATGGGACTTGGCGATGCGAGTTCTCTTGTCATCGGTTTCCTTCTCGTGCTCTTCGTCGTGTCTATGATTTGGATTTATCTGGGAACGGGATTAGCACCCCGTCGTGTCAGTGCATAAAATAGAACTTACCAAGTTCGCAAACTTGCCAATCTCGTGTCTGGCCAACAGTCAGAATGTTCAAGCCCCACCGTGAGGCTGGCCGGGAGCGGGGTAACGAGGTATTTACTTTTTGTGGATGAAGCCAACCTTCAGATCATATAGCGACGAGTCTCTGAATTTCTCGCGCATGTTATCGAAAGGATGCTTCAACTTCTCCTTGAGCTTCTCTTTACTCGAACCTCCATCCTGTGGTGCCGCGGAGGTCATGGTGGCAGACTGTTATGTTATGCGCTGACCTGATGGCGGGGTATCTATTGTGAACGTGCTTTCTTGCGCAAGCATGAGAGAGAAAAGAGAGAGGGAGGGGGAGAGATGGCGAGGCTGAAGAGAGTACGCCTGTGTCTGTGATTGTGCCAGTGCCTGTGCCTGTGCCTCTTTTATGTGGATATGTATGGCGGGGGGAGGTTACTGTGCAGATACTGTTGATTGCGAGGTTCGCAGGTTTTGAGTAGACTGGATCAGCGCTAGGTATCAACCTACCTAGAAGGCACTGCCGAGCCCTGCCCGGCTCCTGCACCACACCTCTCCAGTAAGGTACTGGATATCTAAATTGGTGACACAAGACGAAATAGTCGGACTTACGAATACAGTACTCGTCCACATAAATAACAGTGCTTTCATGCTTTCATGCTTTCATGCTTTTCTCCCGCTGGATCTGACGTCACACTGCAGCCGGGGGCCAGGCAGGTGTGGTGGTGGTGTGCCACAGAGGACGAGGGGGACTGGAGACTGGGCCAAGGTGGGATTCCGGTCCAGGGAATGGATGGCGGCGGCTGCACGAGTTGGCCAAGATTCAAGATTCAAGATTCAAGATTCAAGAACCAAGATTGAAGACCACCACAAGTAAACCGACATACAGAGGAACAAGTACCTCTAGGTTCTCGACCAAGTAAGTTCCGATCCCACCAAATCCAAATTCCGATCCTTCCCAATTCGAAGTTCCAGAAAGAGCAAGCAAGAGCCTGTCTCGCCTTGTGCCATGCAGCATGCAGCTTTCAAGCTTTAGCTAATTTATCTGGTGTTTCACCTAGCACATCTATTTAACTTGACTTTACCTAGTTGAGTTGTGCGCAGACCATGCTCACCATGCTCGCCAGGCTCGGTAAAATTACAGCAGAGCAAGTAGGCACGTAACTTCGTAAAGCAAGTAATAAGCGAAATCCCTAGGTAGACCCTGGGTGTACCTTAATTAGTAAGAGGTGCGGAGACCTGCCCATCAAGTTGGAGCGATTTGGCACGCACTCGCGGGGGACTGACTGATTTCTTATCTGCCTTTCCTAGTACCTGATAAAGAAGGAGAGGAGGAAGAAGAGGAGGAAGAAGGGGAGGAAGAAGGAGAAGGTATTCGACAGGAGAGACCTTTCATACAAAGGCCGGGCTTGCTGCCCAAAAATAAACCCTGCCGTCACGATAATGATTTGAATTGCTACCAATGTGCTGTGAAATCTCCAACAGCAGCTCCAAGGAACGTGTTGTAGCGGCAAAGGGGATCTTTCGACTCTTGAAACAAGCTTCTGTCGCTGGAGCTGCCGAATGCGAGTACTACGAAATTTCACGACCGCAGTTACCCAATCTGCAGAGAACGAAGGGCGTTGTGAATGAGGGAGAGAACAAGCGATGTGAACAGTGAATGTCAATATTGCGCAAGTGGCTGCTCCAGCCCTGTGGTATGTTCTAAGCTCTGCTACCTTAGGTAACTTAGGTAGGTAGGTACTCGTCATTCAATGGGCATTAAAAAATCCAGCGGGGAGTACATAGTTTTATTGATAAATTCCCTGATCGCCTCTAGGTAGAGCGATAAGTCATGTGGTAGATCGAATGCCACGGATGACAACTTCTCGCTTAGCTGAAATGTCAAGAGTGGCTGAGTGGATAGTTATCAAAGAACCGAGGAAGGTACCTATTTCATACCATATCTGGCTTGAAATAAGTAACGTGAGAGAAACCCTATGGGGCCCTTATTTATTAATCATTCAACTCAGGGACTTAGAGCGTTAAATAATAATTAAATCAATGGGTATGGAAGTCAGCTCCAGCAACCCCTACCTACCTACCCCGGGGATGCGATAGTACGAGTAACGCAAAGAAGCCAGCCGAACCCCTTTTAAGGCTCTTTCCAGGTTCGAAGATTTATCGGATAAAAATCGGTCCGGAGGCCCTCGAATTCTTAGCGGCGAGGCGGCAGACACCCAACGCCATCTTCTGGTCTGGATACATCTTCAAATGGTCAGACCTTGCCTGTAAAGCTATTGCCTTGACAAGCAAAGATGGCTCGACTCGTGGACAATCCGCTGATTGCATCCGCGACGCTCCATAATCCTTGTGAGTAACATTACGCCGTATTCTTGAGCTTGCAATTTAATTCTTCCCAGTACCACTTTATCTTCACTCATACATCTGGCCGTTCACAATTATCTGGCCCATCTTCTTCCGATACTACTTCTCCGAAGAGCTATACTCGAAACATATTGGAGGGCAAGAGTGGACATTTGTCTGGTGTGGAACAATTATCACGGCGCAGAGTCTGGTTTGGCTTTGTACCCACTGGAACGTCAATCTACGATCCCTCTTTACCTCAACTTCCGCTGCGAAAGTGCAGGATGCAAAGCTTATCAAGGTCATCCCAATAACGAATGCCGGATCTCCAGACATCTGCGAGATAGTTAGAGACGACGTAAGTTGATGATCGCCGAGAGTGGGAGGAATGCTAATGTCGGGCAGGCTGGTGGCAAGTCGAACGTGTCCTTCCTCTTCCAAAAACGCAGATTCCTCTACAACGACGCGGCAGGCACCTTTTCTCCTCTAGAGTACGCGGTCGATTCGGAGCCAAAGCCCCTCCTCGAACAATTCCAGAGGTCCCGAGGAATATCAAGTTCTGCAGAGCTCTCTAGAATACACCAGCACTATGGCGAAAATACCTTCGATATCCCTGTGCCAACATTCACTGAGCTGTTCAAAGAGCATGCAGTGGCGCCCTTCTTCGTTTTCCAGATCTTCTGTGTTGGGTTGTGGATGTTGGATGAATACTGGTACTACTCTCTTTTCACGCTGTTCATGTTGGTCGTTTTCGAGAGCACTGTGGTATGGCAGCGCCAACGTACATTGAACGAGTTCCGCGGAATGGCTATCAAGCCTTACGATATTTGGGTCTACCGACTCAACAAATGGGTCGAGACTCAGAGCGACAAGCTGCTCCCTGGGGATCTTGTTTCTGTTGGCCGGACCAAGGACGACAGTGGAGTTGCATGCGATATGCTCTTGGTCGAGGGAAGCGCCATTGTTAACGAGGCTATGCTTTCTGGGGAGAGTACCCCCTTGTTGAAGGACTCTGTTCAGCTCCGTCCATCTGACGCCAGACTGGAGCCAGAAGGCCTCGATAAGAACTCTTTCCTGTATGGAGGAACGAAGGTCCTCCAAGTTACCCATGGAAACAGCGACGAAGAGAGACCCAAATTGGCATCCGGTGTACCCATGCCACCTGACAATGGCGCCATGGCTATTGTTGTCAAGACCGGATTCGAGACATCTCAAGGAAGCCTGGTTCGGACGATGATTTATTCCACGGAGCGTGTTTCGGCAAACAATGCCGAGGCGCTCCTCTTCATCCTGTTCTTGTTGATTTTCGCAATCGCCGCTTCCTGGTATGTGTGGGATGAGGGCGTGAAGAAAGACAGAAAGCGATCGAAACTCCTCCTAGACTGTGTCTTGATTGTTACCAGTGTTGTACCCCCCGAACTTCCCATGGAACTCAGTCTCGCTGTCAACACTAGTCTGGCTGCGCTGAGCCGCTACGCGATCTACTGTACTGAGCCATTCCGCATCCCATTCGCTGGACGTGTTGACGTTGCCTGTTTTGACAAGACCGGGACCTTGACCGGGGAAGATCTTGTCGTGGAAGGCATTGCAGGACTCGGACTCGGCCAATCTGGAACTGGCACCCCCCGAGAGAAAGATGGGGCTCATAGCCACATTACTCCAGTCTTGGAAGCGGGGATGGAGACGACCCTTGTTCTGGCGACCGCGCATGCCCTTGTAAAATTGGATGAGGGCGACATTGTTGGAGATCCCATGGAAAAAGCGACGTTGTCATCCCTCGGCTGGACTCTCGGCAAGAACGATATCCTCACAAGCAAGCACATGACCGCTGCAAAAGGAGCGCATCAAGCTACGGCCTCAAACAGTGTCCAGATCAAACGCCGTTTCCAGTTTTCTTCTGCTCTTAAACGTCAAAGTTCTGTCGCTACTATCACTGCCCAACATCCTGAAACCGGAAAGAAGATTAGGAGCACATTCGTCGGTGTCAAGGGAGCTCCCGAGACGATCATGAAGATGCTGGTCACGGTTCCCAAGGACTACGAAGAGACATTCAAGTACTTCACCAGAAAGGGATCACGTGTCCTAGCTCTTGCATACAAGCATCTCTCGACCGAATCGGAACTTGGATCTGGCAGAATCAACGAGCTGAAACGCGAGAAGGTCGAGGCAGAGTTGCACTTTGCAGGATTCCTGGTCTTGCACTGCCCTCTCAAGGATGATGCCAAGAAGTCTGTTCAAATGCTCAACGAGAGCAGTCACCGAGTTGTCATGATCACCGGAGACAACCCTTTGACCGCCTGCCATGTCGCTCACGAAGTCGAGATTGTCGACAGAGATGTCCTCATTCTAGATGCCCCGGAACACGACGATTCGGGGGAGAAGCTTGTCTGGAGAAGTATCGATGATCTTATTAGCATTCCTGTCGACCCTACCAAGCCATTGGATCCCAAAATCATTGCCAACAATGATCTATGCGTCACTGGATACGCTCTGTCCAAGTTCAAGGGTCAAGTTGCACTGCCTTCCATTTACCGCTACACTTGGGTTTATGCGCGTGTTTCCCCAAAGCAAAAGGAAGAAATCTTGATGGGACTTAAGGACCTCGGATACCATACCCTGATGGCTGGCGATGGTACGAACGATGTTGGGGCTCTCAAGCAGGCTCACATTGGAGTGGCCTTGTTGAACGGCTCTCAGGACGACCTGAACAGAATTGCTGAACACTACAGAAATACCAAGATGAAAGAGCTCTACGAGAAGCAGGTCTCCATGATGAAGCGTTTCAACCAGCCGAGTCCACCCGTACCAATTCTCATCGCTCACCTTTACCCTCCTGGACCTACCAACCCCCATTACGATGCCGCTGTGAAGCGAGAATCCGAGAAGAAAGGAAACGCAGCCGCCCTCAACCAGACAGCAGCGGCTGGAAACGCAGTCGAGACGATCACGTCGCCCGGCGCTCAAGCTATCATCGACAGCCAAACCCAAACGCCGAATCAGAAGAAGGCTTCTAGCTTGGCTGACAAGTTCACTCAAAGCATGATGGATGCAGAGCTGGACGAAGATGAGCCTCCAACGATCAAGCTTGGTGACGCGTCTGTTGCCGCACCGTTCACGAGCAAGCTCAGCAATGTTATTGCGATCCCCAACATCATCCGTCAAGGACGTTGCACTCTCGTGGCTACTATCCAAATGTACAAGATTCTCGCTCTCAATTGTCTCATCAGTGCGTATAGTCTTAGTGTCCTGTACCTCGAGGGCATCAAGTTTGGAGATGGTCAAGTGACGATTAGCGGCATGCTCATGAGCGTCTGCTTTTTGTCAATCTCAAGAGCCAAGTCGGTTGAGGGTCTTTCCAAGGAACGCCCCCAGCCGAACATCTTCAACTTCTACATAATCGGATCTATTCTTGGACAATTTGCAATCCACATCGTCACGCTTATCTACATCGCACGCTACTGTGACAGACTTGCTCCGTAAGTAAACCCCAGATAGGCCAGCACCTTTTACCCGACTAACAATCGTCACAGACGTGACCCCGATATCGATCTCGAGGGAGAGTTCCAGCCCTCTTTGCTGAACAGTGCTGTATACCTTTTGCAGCTTATCCAACAAATTTCCACCTTCGCCATTAACTACCAGGGTCGGCCATTCCGTGAGGCACTCTCAGAAAACCGAGGCATGTATTGGGGCATCATCGGCGTGTCTGCAATCGCATTCTCTTGCTCGACGGAGTTCGTGCCCGAGATCAACGAGAAGATGCGTTTGGTTCCTTTCACCTCAGACTTCAAGACGACCATGACAGTCACGATGATTGTTGATTATCTTGGCTGCTGGGTTATCGAGAAGACATTGAAGGTCCTGTTCAGCGACTACAAGCCCAAGGATATCGCAATCAGACGGCCAGATCAACTGGCCAGAGAGCAGAAGAGGATCGAAGATGCCAGATTGGAGCAGATCAGGCTGGAGGAGGCGAAGGCAGCCAAGGCGATCGAGGAGCTCGAGAAGCAGCTGGCGGCGTAATGTGACTTTGTATAAAGAGTATAGACGTGTAGCATAGAATGCATGTGTTGTTCGAGTTCTGCTCCGGCTCAGTGTGTGATGGCATCGTTCCCAAATGACTGACAGTCGAGCGAGGCAGGTCAAGTCTTCGTGCGCCCTATGCCTATGCCAATGCTCTGACCTGGCTGGGAAACCCCTATGCCCAAGGCCAGTTACACGGCCGTCCAATCACAAGCGTAATGTACTCACTGTATATTTCAGACCCGGTTCAGCTGCGTTGAGCCGAGTGGAGTTCCCATGGCTTTTCACAGTCCGGGCAGAGCCCCAGCTAGTCCGACCGACCCGACGTCATGGCTGCAGAGGTACGAGTAAGGTAGGAGGTAGGGTAACCGGCGGAGTACAGGGCAGGTGCAGGTGAACCTGGCAGTGGAGTGGACCTTAAGCGAAGCTCGTTCCGCCGGCTGAAGCAACCTTGGAACCTGGACCCGGACCCAGACCCAGACCTGGAACACCGGACCCTTCCAATTGGAAGCAGGCTCGGCTCGGCTCCAGACCAAGATCAGGGATGGGAATGGTCGAAGGTAGAGAAAGCGCTACCTTAAGTAAGGTAAGGTGGCTTGGTAGCTTGTCCCCTGCACTGCAGCCGACCTAAATTTACCTCTAACTATAACCAACGCCGGCGCCAGCAACCAACCCGCCATTCTCTGCTCTGCAGATTTTGCTCTTGCTCTTGCTCTTGCTCGTGCTCTTGCTCTTCATCGTTGGGGAAATACAGAGTGGTTCAGCTCATAGGCATTTCATCCGTAGCAGCCCCGTCACGATGGTTCAATGGAAGAAGCTGTTTGGTTTGGACGGCAAGTGAGTTAGAGCTAGAGCCACCCTACCCCGCAAGAGGAGGAAATACTGACAGAAGAACTAGCCGGGACCAACACATGTGGAGAGATGAAGCCCGTCGCCGTAACATACTCCATTCTATGTACCCCGTTGATTTCTGGAGACTTGACTGAACAATGCAGTTCTGCCCAGCTACCACGAAGATGCGATACCCTCTGCCATTGCCGCACCCGAGGTTACAAAGGTTGCTCTGCGTCTGCGCTACCTGATCGAAGAATGTATACCCTGCGAGCTGGAGGAAAGCAGGGTCACCGAGTCGCATAGTCGAATCATCACACATAGCGTCATACAAGCAGCGCGCAAAGCTGGCGAAACAGATGGGAATGACTACGGCTCCTGCGTTGTGTATGCACTCCTGGTCAACAAGCGCTGGTTCAAGAAGCAGGCTATGCTTGAACTGTGGGATGCGGATCTGCATAATGTCAGGGCTGTGGCCTGCGAGGTTATTGCAAAGCAACTGTGCGTAAACATAAACTGTTGGTTTTGGACCTACATGAGACTAATGGCATGTAGCATCGAGACTGAGGACAACCAAGAATACCTCTTACAGGATATCCTTCTCAAGCGCTACTCTATCATGATAGATGGAGAGCAGACTTCTCCAGCCAATGTCATTGAACGAGCCGTCGACTTGCACGCTCTCAGGGTGACAGGCTCTTCAGGATATCAGGTGAGTAAATATACCCCGCTCGTATCTGCACATGAATGCATTGTCATCGGTCATTGGCAACACACACGTCAACAAGATTATAGCTGTTTCTGACCTATGCACAGAAATGTGTAAACTACCTCTGGCGCGGCTGGTTGGTCCAGGACGAAAACGATCCAAGCACCTTCGTAGAGTACAAACAGAAATCCGATACCCGATACTGGACACACGTTGATCCGGATCGCATGCGTGCCCCAGTCTACCAGAATGCTACCCAGGTAGTCTTCTCACTCATTTATCTCGGCTTGTACACTGGTGCTATCAACACAGTCAACCCCACAGGAGATCTAGATATCGTAGAAATCATTCTATACATCTTTACGTTCGGATTTCTCTGCGACGAATTCTCCAAGTTCTGGAAAGTTGGGCGGTTCTATCTTGGTTTCTGGAATGTGTTCAATCTGGTTCTCTATGCCTTACTCACTACCTCACTGGTAACGAGATTTATTGCGCTCAGCCACCCTCTGAAGGAGAATGGTAAACGGGGCCCAAGAGAGGATTTTAATGAACTATCCTACAATTTCCTGGGTAAGTGGCTTTGCAAAACAGCTGTGTTTTCATACTGACAGTAGTAGCATTTTCGGCTCCCATGTTTTGGATGCGGCTTCTACTGTACCTCGATTCAATCCGCTTCTTCGGTGCCATGTTGGTCGTCCTGAAAGTTATGATGAACGAGTCACTCATCTTCTTCGCCCTTCTTATTGTCATCATCGTTGGTTTCTTGCAAGCCTTCATCGGCATGGATAATGCAGACACCAATGCAGATGTAAGCATATGATCACCCAACCCTTGATTTTCATGCTAACTGCCCGAGGCAACTTCTTTCATCCTCCAGGCCATGGCCAACGCCGTCATGCAATCCCCAGACTTCTCCGGATTTGACAACTTCGCTCCTCCGTTTGGGTTGATTCTCTACTACATCTTTGCGTTCCTGATCATGGTCATCTTGCTCAACATCCTCATCGCTCTCTACAACTCGGCATACGAAGACATCACGGTCAACGCCATCGACGAGTACATGGCTCTCTTCTCTCAGAAGACCATGCAATTCGTGCGGGCACCAGATGAAAACGTCTTCATTGCCCCCCTCAACCTCGTCGAGATATTCTGCCTTGTCATCCCATTCGAGTGGTGGATGCCTCGTAAGCAATATGCGAAGCTCAATGACTACGTTATGGCTGTGCTTTACAGTCCGTTACTGTTGGTTGCTGCGTGGTTCGAAACCCGCAGTGCTAACAGGGTGAGGAGCAATAGGAAGAGGGGTGAGGAAGACGACGACACTGTTGAGGAGTGGGAACAATTAGCTGGAGAGCTGGACATCGAGGGGGAGGGATGGGACAAAAAAGTCGCACAGGTGAAGCCTAACGTTGAGGAAGATCAGGCAACGGTTGAAGTTAAGGCTCTGCGGTGTGAGGTACAGGAGTTGAAGGAGCTTTTGCTTCAGCTTGTTAAGAGAGGTGGGGGGGAGGCGAACGGGAGTGGATCCTAGGTATTTCGTCTGGGTAAAATTGGACCATTGAGGATAATGAAAGACGATATGCGTACTAGTTGTTAATTATGTACGTGTTGTGGATGTGGGCAGGAAAAGTAACTTGCAATGGATCTTTTGGACACAAGACATCATTCTCCGAGCACTCGTTTAAAGCGAAGTGTATAAAGATGACCCTGATCTTAGACGGCCGGGAGATGCCAGGATGTCGTCGAGGTGCACGAAGCTACTGATTTGATGATTGGCATCGACTATCGAATTCATATTTGGGTTTGGGGGAAGGTAACGGTGGTGAGTGATGGGGGAACGTCCCATGAAACATTGAGAAGCCTATCAAGCAGGTAGGATGTGGCTACACTGAGCAGGAACAACACTGGGTGTCCCGGTGTGGTATGCGGCCTCGTGTATTTTTCAGGGTGTTGGGGCTCCTTTGCACCTAGATTCCACGTAAGGTAATGTTTTCTCCCCTTTGGTCGAGCATAGTGTTAGAAAGACGCATTCTAAACTCGCCCAGATGGATCCTTAGGCTTACGAGTTCACATATCTCCAAGGACTTGGGTTATGAGTTCACAGTCACACATAGAGTCACAAGTCTCTAGTACCCGACTATAGTTCTATAGCAGTACATAGGGGAAGAGCCCTCTTGATGTGCTCAGCTCCTTTGATTGTGCACTTCAGAGCAGTGAAAATAACAATGGCCGACACCATTTTGCCCCATACGCCCAGTTTCCTTTACCGTTTCGATTCGAGATACAAAGTCAAAACGCAAAAGCGCTTTTGGAATGAGTACAAGCCCGTATCAAATGAAGCAACCAAGGATGAACACAACAACACCAATCATCAGAACCTTCCGCTTCGGCATCCTATTCACCGCGTGTCCTTTGACCTGGCGATCGAGATCAAGCGTATACGTTGGCGTCGCTGTTGGAGCTGGAAGACTCTCTCCAGCGCGTGTGGCACCAGCTTCAGCGTCAGATGGAGCAGGAGTCACTGCAGTGACGGTATATCTCGGCGTCGAGGTGCGCCATCGGTTCACATCCAGCCAGGAGTCCGGCTTACCTGTCCACGTGAAAGCGGAGCTGGGGGGAGATGAGATCGTGCCAGCATTGTTCGTTACCCTCGCTTTGTTGCCTTTAGTGAAGGACTGAAGATCGGGGAAAGCAAGATAAGATAAAGCTTTGGATGCGCCATGTACGGTTTGCGGGAAGCCGAGCTCTGAGACACACTTTCCTTTTGATATGTAGTCTGTACGCCTTTCGAATGCGAGGCTCAGGTTCTTCGCCATGTACACGATGGACATGAAGCCAATGTCTTGAGGACGTGTCTCTGGGCAAATTGCATCAAGGCTATTGAACTCAGTACTGGTCCGGCCGGGGTATGGTCAAGGCAAGTTGCTGCTTGACTTGCTCGTTACTTACCTGGCGAAGGATTCGCTGATCCGGCAGCATCTACAGTGCTCTCCATCCTGTATCGTGAGAAGATCATTTCCCTCTGACTCGACCTTGTTACCCTGGTTCCTGGTACTTTCAAGGCAGGAGTCTCCTTGCGACATGGTGCTTTTGATGGCCAGATACACATTTCCCAGGTTGCATGAACAGCCGCTGGTCACGTTCGATGGAGCTGGGAAGAACGGAATAGGAGACAACGGGTCACATTGGCCGGCGTAGTTGATAGCATATTGCTGATACTCGCACTGGTAAGCCTACGAGTAATTAGTGTAAGGACAGGATCCTAGCACTGTCGATCCACGATCTTACTTTATTCCAGCAAAATGTGGCAAAGCAGTTGATTTCTTTCTCAAGACTTGAGCAGCCTCGCTGGTAAGGCTTGATTCCGTTCTGACATCCCAGAAAGCCGGCTTCATCGACGCAGCCGTCGGCGGTGAGGTTCAGGTTTGCGCCACGCACAGCACCTGTAAATATTGCGAGAGCCAATGATAGGATCATGGTGCTGAGATCGCGCAAACACAATGCTGCAACTTTAAAAGTGGCTCACTCTGAAGCGGATACAAGGAGACGATTAAGCAGAGCCGAGCAAAGCGAAGCTGTCCTGTTGCTGAGGATGGCAATGGTGGATGGAGACGATGGAGATGGAGATGAGATTATAAGAAGCTGAGGCTCTTGTGGGGGATAGAAGAAGAAGCAATATCAGATCAAAAATTGACGGAGAAGAGAAGAGAAAAGCCAAGCTTACGAGATCTCCAGCAGGTCATATCAACCTGCCTGCTTCACCTCCCTCCCACGAGGCTTGGATAGACTGTCTCTCCTGTTCGCCACAGAATGGGCCACGTGTAGGTGGAGGTGCGTGGGCGTGCGAAAGACTAGCCACACCTGTTCTCATCGAAGAGGGTAGGAGCGCAGGAGCATTCCAAGGTTGAAAGACGACGAGTACCGCTGCACCCTTATGGGCAGTAACCTACCCTATCCTCCCATCATTGTCACCACAGTAAAGTTACGCCTCGAGGTCCCTTCGATGGCTCTTCTTGTGACGCCGGTTCTTCTTCCCCATAGCCATAGTGGAAGCGGAGCGGAGGGAGACTTATGGTTCAGCTATCCGGTTTAGCATGAAAGCATACGGTATCTAAATTTCTGCCTTGGAGGGCTGTACATCAGATAGCCATATACTGATTGAATCTTTGACATCCGCCACGGTACGGAACTTTCTCCAACATGGAGACCAATCCTGTGATCCTCTTGGGGTTACTGTCATCGACGTGAGGCAGCCCTTGGAGGTTTACATATTGTGTAAAGAAAGAAAACGAGCATCTTCGTGCGGAAATTTGCCTACTTCTGCTGTCGGCCTCAAGAGACGGTCAGGGAGGTTGAACGAGTATCGCGAGTCAAATCATATGTTGTGAACAATGTGGACGCATTCAGCCAGGTGGCACATGCTCCGTCCAAAACGCGTGAAAAGCTGCAGAGACAGCTTAGATTTCTCTCGATTGCTCACCAAGGAAGATATTTAACAGTTCTGTTGAGCTAGGCTGTAAATGGAAACAATCAGGAAGACCTGTCAATTTCTATCCTTGGTTGCCAACTGACGTCTGGGCATAGCAGTTGACGGACTCAAATCTGACATTGCAAGTCTTGCAGTGCATGGAAGAATGTCCGAGTTGGCCAATTGCCTCTTTCAATGAAACTTGATGCCGTTCTGTTCGGATCTCTCCAAACATAGGAAAAAGCATTGTATTAATAGTCGATGAGCTCATCATTGTAGTCTCATAGCATGATCTGGGTCAAAGTACATTGTTTTTCTGCTGAGATGTCTCCCCAAAGTCCGAGGAGGAGCAGCTCAAACGAGTCATGGCTGAGGAGGATCTCGTGATGGAAGGGATGCATGAGGCGGCGCTCGGAAATATGTCGAAGATATTGAGCTCTAATAGCCTGTGGCAAGTTTAAAAGATCTGCCAGGACGATGAGGAGACCAATGGAGCTGACTGGCCAGAAGCGTCTGCTGAAATTTGCAGCATCGGTGCTCAGATATACCATGGCACGCAAGAGCGTGAACTACCAGGGACAAGCTAACATTGTTGTATGGACGTTTTGAAAATACATTCCTTACTTCGATCTTGCACTTGCGACAGGATGTAGGAATCGCTCCCTATATGAGAAGAGGGGATTAATAAAGTAATGTCTGCTAATCTGGCGTGAAGACTTTGCGCCGAACCTTTAGGCATGAAAGGAAACACCGAAACCAATGCAGCAGATGTCTCACAATATTGCAGTCCTGGGGTGCTAGATTCGAAAAGCCATGTTCTCTCATCGCCTGTAACTTAGGAACTGTCATGAGGCATGATCCGATGGCACCACGTTGATATCCGTGGCAGATGGCTCTGGCAGTATCGATGTTGTTGTTGTTGTTGTCATCGTCTTTAAAAGCCCTCGGTAATTTCTATCACCAAAGCCATTCAGTACCCTATGCAGTAGTGGCTGCTGGAACAACTTAGATCTAGCCAACTGCTTGCTATGACCTCAGACATGAACCGATATCATCAAATACCTCTACCTGCAGCTTGACGGAGTGGCGCATTGGAGATTTCGGAGCATATGAAATTTACAATATTGCCTTTGCAAAGAGTACGGATGGTAAGCACATTTTGTTTCCTTGTCGACCAAGAGACACAGTTGTTTGGCAAATCGCCGTCATGAGCCCTATCCGGAAGTTTTTCTTTCTTATCAAAACTAGATGAGATATGCAAGTCCAGTCAAGACGATCTAGGTCGAGCCGATGACGTGGAAGAACCGAGCATGTCCGGCTCGAGAAGTGATAAAATCTAGCACACAGGAGTAATGCAGCTGATGCAGCCAGGCAGTTCTCTTCTCGGGCGGAAGCCAGGGTCACCGTACATTGTCCTGCTATACTCTGATATTATCTGGCACGAAGGTTTATTGAGAGATCTTGGATATCACCCGGATTGATCTTGTGATCAAAAACGATCGAGAAGACCCAACGTCAAAAATTCCCCTATCTAGTAAGGCCAGAATCCTGGCGAAGTTAGAACTCAAACCTCATCATTGCGCTGATCATTAAGTCTTACGTCCGTTCTCTGGGTACCCCTGTCAGGTCGGTCTCGGTTAGCCTCGCTAGCAGCAAATCAAAACACAGCCCTGCCTACGGCCGAAGCCGAGCTGTCGGGGGAAAGTTCGTGGGGAAGGGCCCTCTGAGATTTCGCATAGTCTAATGATGACACGCGGCCGTGAGCATTCTTAGTGATGTCGTGCCAGATGATCAGTTTGTCGTGTATACTAGACTGAGAAGATATACGGACACAGGGGGCCTGGCATGAATCTTTGAAGAGATCAACCCACGTTGGAAACATACATACAAATCATATCAGATCCTTCAATATTTCCAAAATCTAGCAAATCGAATTCGTCATCCACACGCTCCATATCAGCCATTATGTGCTGCAAGAACAAAGAAGCACGCCGCGCATACAAACAAGCTCGCCGCTCCGAGAACCTGGCCTACAAAGAAGGCCGGTGCGGCACACGTTGCGACAGACCTGCGCAACCAATCCTCGTTTATGAGCGCAGACCAGGTCTCATACGACTGATTGTCGAGCATTTCCTCCAGAGCCGCAGCTCAAGGCAAGCTCCTATCCAGCATGCCTCAGCATATGAGTCAATGCCGCAGACGACAGGAACGATCCAGGGGTCCAAGGAGATGGAAAAGGATGATTATGGGATGCTGGGAAACACAAGACCAGAGAGCACGGTTGAGTTGCCGAGTTATGGACAGGCTATGAAACAGTGATGACGTGGTTGAGTTGAGTAGGTTGGCCTTGACTACGAGAAGGGACTAGGATGAGGAGTAACCGATGATCGGTTGTGCGAATCGAGATCTAGGAAATGTTTGGAAGGTGTTTGTGTCAAGGGTTTCCTTTGACTTTTTAGTGTTTGTACTTTGTGAATACTATCGTTTTGATAATGGGAAATTTGATGCTTTGAATCGAGGGACGAGTTTAATCTTATGTAAACACAGATTATACGGGGGGTTTTGCAAAGACGGGTATACATTCTTTTGATATGACGAGGCAGATTTCTTGTCTTCAAATTTGAGGTCAGACAGGCATTCGTAAATAAGCAAATGACCAGCGTACGAAAGGTCGGAGAGCTTTCGCTTCTGGAGGTAGAAAGGCGACAGCTGGCTGAAACTGCCACGTGAAACTCTTTGAACAATTTCTGATAGATTTGAAGGGTTAGGGAGAGGATTAAGGATAGACTGACATACTTCGCAAAGCTGTTGTAAGTCATGAACGCTGGTCTCTGAAGTCTTGCAGGGTCTCCAGTTCAGATCGATACTGTAGGTGTATAGCCCTTGATCTTCTACCAAGGGGTTTTTGAGAATCGAATGCAGCTCCCTCACTTGCAAGGTTCCTCCAAGGTGATATACCGCTCCGTTAACTCATCCGCACCGCACAAACCCGCCCCTTCGAACCATACGTGTCTTCAAAAGTTTGATACTCTAACAATGATACAGTAACTCTCGAGTGCAAGTTTCCTTGCCATCTCAGAGCTCTCCAGACCATCAAGAACTGCATACAAGGTCCAAAGGATTACCCACCACTCCACCACGTGGTCGACAACCAAGCCCCATTTCTTCACAAGAATAATACTAGACTCGCCTTCCCTCGCAGGAAATGCAGCTCCGTATATAGAACGCCGAGGCATATCCAAGCCCGCTGAAGTGCTCGACATGACTTTTGTGGGCACTCAAGAATAAGAGATACGCGACTTAGAGCGAGGTACAATCCAACCCTGTGGAGATCTACCGCGCTCTTGGAAATGTTTCCTCCCAGCAGAGTCAACATCTTCTTACCATTGCCGTGTCAACTTTCCCACAAACAAAAGCACTGCTCGGTCCCCGCGTAGCGAGTGCAGCGGACAACTCAGCTTGCAGCAACGTTGTCTTATTCAAAGTCTTTTTCAAAACTGATCTGGCGCCTTGAAAAAGCTCACAAGCACAGAAGACCCCATACTCAAGGGGATCTTGCTGCACGTGTTCATGATCGTGGTCTTGAGCCGCCCGGTTGGTCTATGGTCCGACGAGCTCAGGATCAGGGTGGCTTGTCGCAAGCGGATGACTTATATGCCACTAACGAAACTGCAGTGGCAATTTCAGACACACGAGTGGTCTATACTGGCAGCGAAGAACAAAGACATCGCTTGAGTTCCTGTATGTGTTGAGGACTGAAGTATGGGAAGCAAGTTTTGTGAGGAAACCTCTGACAGAGTACGCTCGACTAGCGGTCTAGGGGAACTAGCATCAGCACATAAGAATGACGAAAGAAAAACACTAACGATTTAACAAATGGCTTCCCATCTGCTTCCAAAATACGATCGAACGAAGTACGACATGCAGGCAAGGTACAAATGCACGGTCACATGTGTCCTTTTTGGTAGAAATATTTCCAGTGAAGCCACTATCACATTTCCTCTCATCTCCGCTTTCTCTAGGGCTGTGCTTTGCTTCTCATAGAGCCAAACATGATGGATCATGGACGCCCCAGGTCCTTGAGGTAGGAGGTAGATAAATTGACGTAGGTAGCGTTGCTCTAGGTACACCTTATTAGGTGGGGCACACCTGGGCAGGGGTTTCTCTTTCTACGTCTCTACGTACCTGATTGGACACGAAGCGAATGAAAGCTGCCCGTGCCGGCCGGAGCCCGTTTAGGGAAACTTCGTAAGGCACCGAGGGGCACCTAGCCGCCCCAGCCCGAATCCCGACCCCCGTCCTGCCTTGCCCCTCAGACACGTGACTACTCCACATAAGGTACGACGGTGACGGTCTGGGTTGCGACCCCTCTACTCCAGATCAACTTCACTAAACCGGCTCCAACACCTCACTTTCCCAGCCCAACGCCCAGACCGGAATCATGACAGCAGTAAACGCATACCCACCAGGAGGAACCTTCCTCGACACCTTGAAGATGTCCTTCGCTAATGTCCCGGTGGACAAGGAGAAGGACAATGCTGTATCTACCACCGAGTTTCTGGAAGCTGCCGAGTCGCTGACGACTTTGTTTGGTACCCAACCCTCTCTTGGTATTTCAACTGAAAGGTTGCTGACGAGTGGCAGATGTGCTGGGCTCAATGGCTTTCAATCCTGTGAAGGGTGACATGCTGGGAAATGTCAAGGTACGACCTGTTTACAAATCCCTACTGTGCTGGGTTAGGGGCGGGACACAACTGATGGACTTGCTTCTTCCTAGAAAATAAGAGAAAGACAGCTTGCTGCTCCAGCCGAGTCAGCTACCCTCCAAGAGCTCGTCCTCAACGAACTGAAGACTAAGAAACACACTGCAACAGAAGGCTTGGTCTGGCTTGTTCGGTATGCCCTCTCCCTTTTCCCTCTGCCATCCTCGCCCTCTCCCAAGCCACTACTGATACCTTCTCTCCCCAATAGCGGATTGGACTTCACCTGCATAGCCCTCTCTCAAAATCTCGCACTCCCCGCTGAAGAGCTCGCCGCCTCATTCCGCAACGCCTACGGCAGCACCCTTAAACCCCACCACTCTTTCCTGATCAAGCCTGTCTTCTCAGCCGCTATGAGTGCTTGCCCTTACCGCAAAGACTTCTACATCAAGCTTGGGGAGGACCCAGAAAAGGTCGCTGAAGGGTTGAGGGTGTGGCTTGCGGCGCTGGAAAAAATCATTGCAATTTTGAAGGGCTTCTTGGATAGGAAGGAGGCCAAGTGGTAGATATGGTGCCGAAGGCGGAAAAAGCATATCTCTTGGGGGTGACGAAGCCGGTATGAAGGCCGACTATTCTTGGGGATGGGATTTATGATCAGCACACCATAAAGTATTGGCGGGAAAACGGGCTTCATGATTCTGGGCCAGTTTCGAGGGAAATTGTGAAAAGAGAGAAGGTGTGCCTTAAACTCTCGATACAATATCATTCACATCTGATATTGTCTGGCTTGCTGTTCATTATACGTGGGTATAAGCACATTTGACATATTCTTCCGTTATGTTCAGCTATTTCGTGAGATCATTACAGAAAAGTAGATCCTCATTTTCAAAATGCCAGCTCGCGCAGTTAAGATCAAAGAACTAGCCAGCAGAGCTGCAAGACCAGCCCTGAAGCGTATGTACTATTGTAAGAAAGCATCGGGTCCTTCGCCTATCGGAATGGAAACGATCAATATTCTTGACCCATCTTTTGGATTATGCAGACCCCAATACCGTACAACGGGCTGTGAGTGGTCATGCATGTCCCCATATGGCCGCAGGCCATGTTCTTCGCCATACAGGATCCCTGTTGAATTGTAGTACCAGAAGACAGCAAGGCAATACCGTCCTCGAACATATCGGCTCCCACGGGGGGGGAATACGATGGACTCCAGCTGGAAATGTAGCTTCCTGGCGAATTCCCTCTCGGCCATATTATAGACGTCTGAACACTCCTCTAGGCTTGATTCCAACGAAAGAACACGTCTTCCTGAACGCATATCTCAGATCGCCCCTAATGAACTTCTTTCTCTTGACCTTCGCAAATGAAATGCCCGGTATTCCACCAGCCTCCTCCTTGTAATCGCTTTCAAGGTATTCTCGCATGGGACCGAATATGGTCTCGCTCATCTTGAGTAGTTCTCGAGTACTTCCAATCCGGTCCGAGTTGATCGTGGGCGGGAGATCAATATCCAGCAAGCAAGTGCCGTTCTCACCAGGCCAGACCGAGGTACGAAAACGTGTCTTGCCTTTGGAGTTGTAGTCGAACGCAATGATCAGCTGCTTCATAGCCGGGAATATGCTCTTGAAGCGAGGCTGAGGAGCATGGCCAGCGACTCCTGAGAGGAGTGATACGAGTTCAGCCCTTTGAGCATCGAATGCCACATACCTCCAGCCCTTCATGACTCCGAGACCACCCAGAGTATGATAGTCTTCGACATCGTCATCCAACAGCATGAACATCACGAAGAGGCCCATCAAACTGTTGAGCAGCAGCGTATCCATCTTGGGATTGAAGTAGAACCGCAGTATGCCCTTGCCATTCGGCATACCTGGAGGTCGATAATCGAACAGCTCGTAGTTCTTCATAGCAACTGAGCGGGCCTCCAAGTTGACATGAAAGATGGAGGGAGCTCGACTGCTGTTCGACCGGAAGGTCATTCGTTCATTGTACAGCTTCGAGCACGGATGTAGTTCATGAACTCGGGGTAACATTGCGGCTTCCCAGATCAAGACCCTGATCTCCGCCGGAAGCTCTCCAAATTTGTGGAAGCTGGTACGCTTATGGAACCGCGGACCGATGGCATGACATGTCTTGGTAAACTTGTACGGTGTGATAGACATAGGATGCGGGACAGACTCGGCAGAATCGGGAAGGGAGGTCGTATCATCCTTAGAGTCATGGTGTGCTTGTTTTGACATCGTGTAGGTGTGTTCGGACTAGTGACTTGCTATGGGAGTCTCTGGGAGCTGTGTATTCGATTCTTGGAGATATGCAAAGAGGCGATACGATGCTAGAAACAAGAAGGTGATGAAAGCGATTGGTGGGTGAATGATAGCTAGAGGACTGGCGTAGAGGCAGGGGTTTCAGCCCGGGGACCGATAGCATGAGAAACAGCAGTTTCTCTACAGATATCTGAGGATGTGTCCAGATAGTGCGTTTCTGGGAAGCCGGAAGTTGCGAAAAGGAACCAGAGAGGGCTCTGATCAGCTAACAGTCATTTGAGGGTTGTCAGTAACTTGGCAATGCTCGAGGTGGTCAGTTGGAGACGCGGCTACTGACTGGTTCACGGACACCTGCGAACCAGTGTCGTCAATTCGCTGCTCGTTAGGTAGTCAATAATAGATCAGTGAGTGAACTGGAAGCAAAGGAGAAGAATCGATAAGCAGATCGGACGCTGCAATCGTGGTTGTCTGTAGATGGGGTACTCGGAGAAAGGCTCACAGTCTCACAGTCTCACAGAAGAGGTAGGTCTGAGGGGTACTGTGAGGTTGCCCTGGCGGCCTGGGGCGGGGTTCCGCTCGTGCCCGTGCTCCTTGGCAAGGCTGACTCGAATCCGATTGTGTGGAACGGAACACGTCGGGACGGGATCAATGTCCGCAGAACACCCCGAGAATTGTGTGTTTACCTCGTGGCAGTATACACGGCACATGTTGTATTACGTTACAGTTGAAATTGTTCTCAATTCTTCTGCAGTGTCCGGTGTACATCCGCCCTCCTTGAGGAAACTCGCTCGCTACTCTTTACGCTTGAAAGCCCCCCAAGATGTCAAAAAAGGTGACTCTATCAAATTCCACAATTGCCCTATGCAAACCTTTTGCACGAGGAGCAGTATTTGGTTCAATGCAATCGCTTCGCTTCGCTTCTCTTCTACACCTTGCACAGAGACATAAAAGAAGCCATAAATCTGCAGCTTTGGAAGCTTGGCATCAAGCACTACTAAGACGGCTTCCGTTCGTCCAGACACATGCGTGGCCGCAAATGGCAGCCAACGTTGGACTCAGAGGAGCCACACTCGTTACTTATACTGGTGCAAACGAAGGTCTCGGGCGTGCTACTATGTCATATTCAACAATCACGATTCCGCGTTGTAGCACCGTGGACTCTACACAGCTCGTAGTCATCTCGACCAGATGTATGTGAATGGTAACGAGAAGGCGGTTTCTTCCATGGAATCAAGAGACAAGTCGAATCGGGAAACGGTGTGGACGGCGAGCTTGGGGATTGCGAGTGTGAAGAAGGGAGATGCGATTTTCAAGATCCGGCGGTGAACGACCCACAGGGAACTGCGTGTTGTCGGAGAAAAACGTGTGAACAGGTCGCACAATTTAATGTGATCTTGCAAAATGCTAGTTACTCTATAACTCGATCCATGGTGGGCAAGCGACCTGGGTACTTGAGATATGAAGAGGATTTTGACATACAGTAGACTGTTTCGTGGGTGCTGACAGTGTCGAGCTCTGGTTGAATACTCAGCTGGATGGTGAAACGTCATGGGAGACCTGTCCTACACCTCTTGCCGCTCTCACTATGCAACCTCTTCCATCTTCCTCTTCAGCATTCCACAGAAACTCTCGAAGAGCACACTGTCATGTCCTTTCAACCACCTGATGGTAATCTTAGATCCAGCCACGCCGCCAGGGCTAGCCTCGACCCGGATCTTAAATCCGAAGGTCATGTACTTTTCATCTTCGTCACTTTCCATGGCTCCGTTTTTACTCTTAGACTCATGTCTTCTTGCTGCACGAGCCCAGACAGCTTTATCACTGAATCCGATGCCGGTGAACACTTTGGGCTTCCATATCCACTTCAGCGGAAGCTGTGTCAGTATCTTGTTGGCACGCTCTCCAACTTCTGCCGGGTTCTTGTTTGACTGCGGTGCATAAGCTTTCTTCTTTGGCATTTGCGGAAGCCACCTACGATGATTAAGTATTCACCCGGAAACGGCAACAATACTTTCTGCAAACTTCCCACGTTCCTCGCAACGTGCATGCTCGGTCTCATGTCCTCAAGACTCCACGCGATTCCCCACCTCCTAGTCTTGCTTCCCTGCACAAACTCCGTGACCGCATAATTATCTATTCCGTTCCCTTTCAGTCTCGTGACCAGTGGTCCTATGCTAGAGAATTTCCCCAGCATTGAAGTGTACCATTGGACGCGGTCTTTGAGATTGAGACTCTCGTCAATCATACGCATTACGAAAGACACTTCGCCGCCGGGGGTAACCATTTCATCTGCGGAACCGGTGCAAGCTGTGAATGGGGGACGTCGCTTGAGGGCTGCTGAGGAGAGCATTTCTGAGGTGGAGGTGTAAAACGGAGGGTTGCACATGATGAAGTCGATGCTTGCAGTATGTCAGACAAATCTCCCACTGAATAACATGTATACATACCTCTCGAAGCCCATCTCATCGAGAGGTAGTAAGGGCTCATCTGGCCGAGTCTGGAGTAACTTGATTCTACCATGGAAACCATTGTCTTGAATGTTCTGCTTGGCAAATTGGAGACTCTTTGCATCAATATCTGTCTCTGATAAGCAAAGGCTCCATGACAACAAAGGACGTGTACCTGTAGCAGCAAACCTCCACCCTGGACGCAGGGCACATCCTAGCAGTGGGTAGATAGAGCTCGCGCCAGTGCCAATATCAATACCGATGACCTCTCGTTCGGCATCATATGTATCTCCGTAGGAATCATTTGTGCAGTCCAAGAGGCTCTGGATCCATACAATGTAATTCAACCTGTTCGGAACCTGGAATCTTTCAAGAAGTGTACGATTGTATGAACAGAGGCACTTACTGGTGGACAGAGACGGTCAGGGGGAAGAGTGATCTTGAGACCAAAGTCGCGCTTTAGGAGGGACTTTGTGAGCTGTTGCACCGATTCGGGGTGGCTAAAATCGATTTGGCCATTTGATTTCAGTCTGTAGATGGTCAGACAAGGAGCGTGGTGTTCCGTGGCAGGACCACAATGAGGGGTAGTAAGTGGAAGGGTGGATTCTTTTGTCGTGGGACAACCTACATTTTGGCAAACTCTGCATCCTGAAGAGCCAGTGTAGCGAAATCAATGCCATCCTTGTAATTGGTTCCGAGCGCAGACATTGTGGGCATGCAGTCTTTATTTTGTTGTTCGGACTATACAGTCTAATGTGAGAAGTTGCCACACTTGACAACGATTGGAGTGCTGGACTTGGAAATCTTAGGTTGGAAGGCCTGGCTTGTTTCCCCTCCACGATAGCTAAATAATGCCGTCTGGCAGAGCAGCAAGCTTGTCATCAATCGAGCTGCACATTTACGCAAGGTACCACCTCAGAAGCACAAGATGATGTAGGAAACCCCAAAATATAATCATATTGGCACATATCTGGCGACTCGATTCATTTGCCTTTATCATCTACAACCTTACTCCGGCCTCATCAACAGCTTATGGCATTCACGTTCACCTATCCTGTGAGATCACAGTGCTCGACATTGCTCCGTATGACTCCAGTTCCCCGAACTCCGCCCCCGTGGAAATCAGATTGGTGTTCGTGGGCCGCTAAGGCTTTCCATCGTCATCATTTGCTTTCTGCTTCTTTGCGGCTGGACCCTCATCAACTGGCTCGGCAGTGGGCACGTCAGGAAGTGTGACCTCGGCCAACACATGAGAGTGGTCGGCCCCTGCCTTTCTGCCTAGTCCGTTCTCTGACGATTCTCCGGCCTGTACTTCCTCCCAATCATCGCTCTCGGACTCTTCAGTAGACGGAAAGAAACGTCTATCTGGGTTAGCAATACATTCCAAAGATCTGTGATCAATACTCACGGCAACCAGTGATTGTATGCATCAACATCCTTCTCCACGAAAGTGCAGAAGATGACTCGCTCAAGCTTATCACCATGCTCGCCTTCGAGGAAGTCCTTCACTGCCTTGATAGCAATAGGAGCAGCATCGTTGCTTGGATAGCCATAGACACCTGTACTGAGTGCACTGAATGCAATGCTCTTGCAATCACTGGCAACAGCAAGCTGCAAGCTTTTGGTGTAGCATCCCGCCAGATCCTCCGCGCTTTCCTCAAGAAAGCGAGAGCTGTAGATTGGGCCGACGGCATGAATGACCTTCTTGCATGGAAGCTCATAGGCATCAGTGATCTTGGCTGAGCCAGTATCGCAGCCGTCTAGCCTACGACATTCCTTCAGCAAGTCAGGGCCCGCCGCTCTATGTATTGCGCCATCAACCCCACCTCCTCCTAGCAGCGAGTTGTTTGCAGCATTGACGATGGCTCCAACTTGTAGTTTCGTAATATCTCCCCGAATGAGGCCGATGCGGTCATTAAAGGACTGGGAAGGTTTGGGTGCTTCGGTTCCCTTCTCGAAGATGGCGGGAGCGAGCTTCTTGAGGTGGTAGAGAAGAGATACTGTGGGTATCTCCGCTACTGGAATGATCGGCATGACTCTTCTTGCCGCGAACATGCGGAGCGCTATGTTGTGTTGTCTCGGTAGAGCTGCCTGCAGGTGCAGGCGCAGGTAAAGCACTGGGACCTGAGGTGAAGAGGGAGGAAAGGAACCTAGGAACAGCAGGCTGGAAGGCTGAAGTGGATCCAGAGTAAGGCTGCATGGCGCGGCGCTTTGACCACCCAGCGCTAAATGTGACGTCACGTGCAAGTGAGGGGCTTAGCGTCGCAAGCAGCACCCCTCAATATTTTGTTGTTGACTCACCACGCGGCGTTGAATCTTTTTCCTGCATCCGGCCTCGATCATCAACCCGGACGGTGACCCTTTGCAGAGATACCCACCGATCCTCTAATATAGCGATAAAAACGGCCCAAGGAGGCTCCCGTACGATTATGGCGGACGCAATTGCTGAGAATGTAGCGAAACTCCAGCTGGACGAGGAGACTGGCGAGATGGTCTCAAAGTCGGAGTTGAAGAAGCGCCTGGCGAAGCGATCGAAAAAGGCAGCCACAGCAAAGGCCAAGGCGGAAGCTCCAGCAAAGTCGGCCACTACAGCTGCAAAAAATGCTCAGAAGAAAGAAGAGGATGTCAAGGTTGAGCCAACAAACATGTTTGCTCAGGGGTGGCTGGATGAAGTGTACAAGGAACGACCAGTGAATCCGGTGACCACCCGTTTTCCACCAGAACCAAATGGATATCTGCACATTGGTCATGCCAAAGCAATTGCCGTCAATTTCGGATTTGCTCGGTACCATGGAGGCGAATGCTATCTGCGATTTGACGACACCAACCCGGAAGCTGAGGAAGAGAAATACTTCACCGCGATCAAGGAAATCGTTGAATGGTTGGGTTTCAAGCCCAAAGAGGTTACGTATTCCAGTGATAACTTCGACAAGCTGTACGCAAAGGCAGAAGAGCTTATCAAGCTGGACAAGGCATACGTCTGCCACTGTGGAGGTAACGCGAAAGCAGACATCTTGAGTACTTATGGCTGACTTGCTATAGATGCTGAAATAAAGGCGCAGAGAGGCGGCGAGGAGCGTGGCCCGCGATTTCGGTGCGACCATGCCAGTCAATCTGTAGAGACGAACCTGGAAAAGTTTCGAGCGATGCGAGATGGAAAATACAAACCAAGAGAGGCGTTCTTGCGCATGAAGCAGAATATCGAAGATGGAAATCCTCAAATGTGGGATCTGGCTGCATACAGAGTTTTGGATGCGGAGCATCACAGAACTGGGCCGAAGTGGAAGATCTACCCAACCTACGACTTCACGCACTGCCTCTGTGACAGCTTTGAGAAAATTTCCCACTCGCTATGTACCACTGAATTTATTCAATCTCGGGTCTCGTACGAGTGGTTGAATACCAGCCTGGGTGTTTATGAGCCCATGCAGAGAGAGTATGGCCGTCTGAGCATTGCTGGAACAGTCTTGTCGAAGCGAAAAATCATGAAACTAGTCAACGGTGGCTATGTTCGGGGCTGGGATGACCCAAGACTTTTTACTCTGATAGCGATCAAGAGACGTGGAGTCCCACCTGGAGCCATTCTTGAATTTGTTAATGAACTTGGTGTAACGACCTCTCCCACAACCATTCAGCTCGCTCGATTTGACCAGACCATTCGGAGATACCTCGAGCGAACAGTTCCCAGACTTATGCTGGTATTGGACCCGATTCCTGTTGTTATCGAAGACGCCGAAGAGTTGGAACTTGATCTCCCATTTTCACCGAAGATCCCTGCTATGGGAAGTCACAAAGTCAAGTTCACCAAGACAGTCTACATCGAGCGTAGCGATTTCAGAGAAGTGGATAGCAAAGAGTATTTCCGGCTGGCGCCTGGAAAGTCAGTTGGACTTCTTCAAGTACCTTATCCAATTAAGGCCGTTTCATTCACCAAGGATGGCGATAAAGTCACCGAAATCCGAGCAGTCTATGACAAGGATGGTAAGAAGCCGAAGACATACATCCACTGGGTCGCAGAAGGATCGAGAAATGTTGAAGTACGGATACATAACGCTCTTTTCAAGAGCGAGAAGCCTGACAGTGCGCCGGGCGGCTTCCTTGAGGATATCAACCCTGATAGCGAAGAGATCTGGCCTAAAGCCATGATTGAATCGGGCTTTGATGAGGTTAAAAGACGTGCACCATGGCCAGAAGCTGCTGGAGAATCGGAGTTGGGCAGGGGGGGCCTTGAGTCTGTGAGGTTTCAAGCCATGCGTGTTGCTTATATGGTAGGCGATTCCAAGGGTCACGTTTTTACAGGAGCTAATACTTGCCAGGCAATGGACTCCGACAGTACTGATGATAAAATTGTACTGAATCGTATCGTCAGTCTGAAGGAAGACGCTGGAAAGTAGCGACCGTTGAGGCTTACGAAATCCACACTGCATTTTTGGAGTTAAGCAAGAAGCGTGGCGAATCTTGATGGTACAAGGCGCAACTTTAGATGAGTAAATAAAACCCTGTCAGTCTACCTGAGCATTACTTCTGTTGCAACTCAGTATTTGATTTACCTGGCATTTCTTTGTCCACTTGTAGAGGGGCACATAGAGAAGTCAAGATCGACGAAGCTATTCTGGATCGATACAGGGACATGCATTTTGCGCAGACAGATCAGTCAAAGCCGGCGCGTGCCCTACAGCCAGATATACTGGTCTCAGACACTGCTGCCTTCAACGAAGAGTTCCAGAAATGAGATTGTTAGACGAATGCTCCAGTGGGCCAGCGAACGCATAAACCGTGCATTCCAGAACGGCAAGTCATCGAAGGCTTCTGGTAACCAGAGCTGTTACCACATATCTTTAGGGTAGTCAGGTGCGAATGATTTTGTAGGAGAATGTATCCGAAGATATGAGGCTGTGTAAGTACTGTCGCAGTCTGTGACTCTAGACTCAAGATGCAACTGAGATCTGACCGGAAGATAGGGTTGGCATCCGAGAATTGTAATAATAGACTGTTATTATCGTTATTGTTGTCGTTTCATATTTCATACATGAGGTCGAATGGAACGCCTGCCTTCGCACTCGCCCCTTCGACATTGGCGGCCACCCTCTCACCGACTCCTGTCGCATTGGCTGAGATACGTACAGAGGAGTCAAATCCTTACACCTGGGCACCTTTGTCGTCACACCATTCTCTCATCCACGACAGCTACCAGCTTAGATGAAGTTGAACATCTGCCAAGCCAAAATGACCACTCTTGACTTGAAGATATACTGTTATTACATTCGTGATTTATTGTCCTTGCTCCCTTGCCGTTTGCTGCATCATCAGCTCTTCCCATAGCTCAGTCGGTATACATCCCTCAAGGTCTTCTAAGGCATTTTCTGACAGGTACTCTTTGGTCACCGTAGCGTCCAGGTTGACGCTTTTCATCATCGACCCGCCCAAATGTTCTGGATCGAGAAAGTACACGTTCTCCGGTACCAACCCAGCATAATCGTCATCTTCGGTCCTTCTGTAACCGTCCCTTATACCCCCGCTGCAGACCATCTGGATCTCACGAAGATTTCGAAACACTTTGCTAATCGATTGCACCTCCGACCAGGCAAAGTACTCGTCGTCAAGCAGTCGCTCAAGTCGCAGCCGCTTGATTTGGTATCCTACAGCCTCGAGTTCATGCACGTCTGTATCTCCAATGGAGACCACGTCAAGGTCAAGGTTGAGCCAGACGTAGCGCTCCAGCTCAAGGTCGTGCCCGAGCATGATGTCGGAGCCGTCGTATGTTTTTTGAGCGGGCTCGGAAAAGGCTCTACTGCACAGACATCTAGCTTTAGGGTGCGTAGTCAAGTACTCTCGAGCCTCACGGCAAACTTGTAGCTGGACTGGGGCTGCGGTAGATGAGCGCAGGTGCCGCAATGGCCGATTGAGTGACCACTTTTCTGCATCTGCGTTGGACAACTCGGTCTTGGCAGGCTTTGGATACCTGGTGACCACACGTACTTCAACGATACGTGGCTCGACGATCAATTCCCAAATAGCAGTGCGGAGCTCGAGGGATAGGCGTGGAAATGGGTGGAACGTTGGTGTTGTAGTGGTAGTCATGGTCTTGCAAGTTGACCTGCGGCATGTGATTGCTGGTTTCGGTCAGAAAGGTGTTCGTAAAGGAAAGGAGAGCTGGAGATCTCAAAGCGATGAACACTTTGAACTGCTTACTTCTTCGGGCAGCTGACATGAGTGTTTGTCAGGAGACGTTACGACGTGAATATGCGGCGAAGATGTTGTTTAGGACATCAATCAATCTCCGCACATCTATGCGGGCAGGGTACGTATGTCTGCGACGTAGGGTTGGCTGGAGTTGAATGCCTTAAATAATTTATCCTTGGCATTAATTTAATTATTATTTAACGCTTTAGAGTTGAATAGTTAATAAATAGAGCCTTTACAAATATGATTAAAGCGTATTATCACGTTACCTCTTTAGGCTAGATTTCTACTAATAATATATTAATTTAGTATCACCTAGTGAAATCTTCCTGGTTAATTTATTTTTATCTTCTATAGCTGATGCGAACGCTGATAAAAAACACTTCAAGCTGGTATGAAAAAATGTGGCAAACGAAACGAAAGTAGAAGCTTAGAATACAGGACCAGATTGAAATCCTCCAACAAATGCGATAAAATCGCCTTGTGGGGACTGATCGGAAAGTTGTATTCACACCCAGAAGTCCCAGATGGTGGTAACTCCTTGTTGCCACCGGCACAAGTATGACACACCTTTGTTTCTATTACTTGAGATACGGATCGAGGGCGATTCTCAGGACTGACTCTCCATGGAACGATATCCTGACCAAAAGATCCCGGTTCACTCATCGCTGACTAGCTTAAAATGATTCTTCGAAGGTAGACTTGCCATGAAACACGCGGGCTTCATTTCATATCTTGGACGTAGCTGCATGGCGTGTGACAGCTGGGACACGAAGAAAACCTGTCGGGGAGATACGTGTTTCGCCACGGTCAAAAGCTCTGGTAATGGCGACCAGATCCACTTTGCATTCCTCCTTCATATGTGAAGAACATTGTAATTAGATACCGTGGTGTATTAACGCTGGACTCGACTGGTGGAGGCAGACATAGACAAATCACACCTTCACAGCACACGAAATTTCCAGGAATTGACATAAATCACCGGTACCAAGGCATCGTCTGGACATTGTAGCTGGCTAAAGTCAAAGAGATGCCCTACAGGTCGCTCCACGGTATGGAAAGCCTCAACTCAAAAAGAACAATCTGAATGAAGATGAGGACGATATTCGGTCGCATGTCGAACGAAGATCTGATTTAAGTGCTCAATAAGTAACTCCACTGGCCAAAATTGACTCTGATCTCAACTTATACCTTGTATAGTTGGCCGAAATGAGAGATATTTCAAGGACTTATGGTGAACTGTCTGTGACGGTGTCAAGCTTGACACTCTAATTTAGCCATGAGAATGTTCTATCCTGAATTACGCACTCGGTACGTATTTTAAATATCACCAGAACTTAAAATATAGGTCTTACTGGTTACACTTCAGCGTTCGGGTCATTACCGTCTGGAGGATACTTAATGGAATTTCGGCAAGACATCACACAGTATATTTCAGATGTGTGATCCGTAGAAGTACGAAACAACTCAGCATTAGTCGGTTCTATCGTTTATTCGACTCATAGGTGCTATTGGCAAGTTCTAGTGCAGGGACAAAAGGAGAAATTCCAGCTCTGGATTCACTGTTCTTGATTAAGTAGCTCCTTTCCGAGCCAGATAGCGGTTGCACTTCATGCTTGTCGCTGAAATCCACAGTCACAGTAAGCAGCTCCGATTTCTCCGTAAATTTCTTTCTAGAAAAAAGGTAACATGCTGTTCGAGGTTATTCTGCAGTCCCTTTGTACCAAGCTTCAGATTGGGTGCGGTTAAAAGTCCGTTCCGAGCATGTCTTCTACACGATTCTTAGGTTCTGCAATATCTCTAGTAGCTTTGTGTTGTACACTAATAATTAACATGCTTTGACCTCGTCGAAAATGAAGCTTTCTCTCTTTACCCAAATAAGTCAAAGGTATTCCAAAGCCATGTAGACAAGAGCTGTACTATGAGGTGTTGTTTCGGGCCTCCTTATATCGATACGAAAGTGGAGTAATGCTACAGAGTCGTGTCCAAAAATAGACTTCGCTAAGACAAGTTGCCTCTGGTACGTACTGCCCTCTGCGACATGTACAAATACTCTACCGGTAAAGTGTTCGCAGTTGGAATTTGGTTAGCTAAGCTGCGATCCGCTTTCTATTCATAGTAAGCTCTCAAATTAGTCACTTGACGATTCTCATGAAGCAGTCTCGTTTGATTAGCCTTGGAGATGAGGGGGAGCGAGACTGAAACGAAGACATACGACTACTTAAAGTCTCACCGCCTAAATATCTCATTTAAGAGATTTGAATTTTTGTCCTAAATTCGGGATCAAGAAAGTCCGCCGGTAAGACGAGTGCTAGAGGCATTGACGCCATCCAGATGTTGACAATATCTATAATCAAGAACCATGTTTTGGCCCCTTTGCATACTTCTGCGTTCGACCGGCAGACTACTCGGAGTCCTGGTGTTTATTTACCCTCGCCTACCGAAAGGGGGTGGCGGTGTACATCGCTAAGCGAAGCGCCAACGTAGATATTAATACCCAAAACCTAAGCAGGTGGAGCACAATATTGAAACCGAAACAACGCCTAAAGAAACCCCACTATTTCCGAATATCTAGAGTATTCTGTATTCGGACAACTATCTTCTGTCCGACTGTCGATACGGTCTACATCCAGATGTTCGGCTCTTTAGACAGGCTCATTACATCTGACTACTGAATGGAACCGCCAGGCTACGTTAATGAGCTCCAGACTCAAGTCCTACCGTCAATCGTGATGATTTATTCAATCACACAAACGCACATCGGGTAGAAAAGCAGTTCAATTCATTAATGCTCGTTAATGCATCTCAAACATACATACTCGTCTCACGTTATCGGATATATTGTAGCTTCCCCTTGTGTCCCATCGTCAACAACAACAAGCTGACCTCAGTTGTTTCCCTTGGCTCCACCGAAGAGAGCTGCCAATCCTCCAGCTGCTGCACCTGCGCCATTTCCATTTGCAGCAGTCTTGCCCCCGGCACCCTGTCACTGTTAGATTATGCTTGGTTGAAACGATTCGGCTCTTCTTACCTTATGATGTCTCTTGTTGTTTCCCTTGGCTCCACCGAAGAGAGATGCAAGGCCACCAGCTGCTGCATTTCCGTTGGCAGCAGTCTTGCCTCCGGCACCCTGTCACCATTAGATTAGCTTGGGTTGTTTGGAAAGATTTGGATCTTTCTTACCTTGTGATGTCTCTTGTTGTTGCCCTTAGCCGCTCCACCACCGAAGAGAGCAGCGAGCCCGCCAGCTGCGGCATTGCCGTTTGCAGCAGTCTTGCCTCCGGCACCCTAGTCAAAACAATGAGTTTAAGTTATTACCCGTACAGAATGCTTCCTACCTTGTGGTGGCGGACTGCCAAAGATACATCGGCTTGAGCGATATCGACCTGTTATTCTGATTAGTTTCGACCTCTAACCATTATGGAGTATGGCCATATGGACTAGGCTTACTGGAGCCGCCTGGGCAATAGGCATGGTAGCCATCAAGGCTACAGCCAAAAGTTGAGTGAGAGCGGTCAACTGCATGATGACGAAGTGTGTGTGAAGTAGAATTTATGAGGAAAGAATGTAACTGGCCAGCAGATGAAGAAAGTAAACAGCGAGAAAATTACGGAGATGAGAAATGAACGCGAGCTGCAGTTGATAGACTAGAGAAAGATTGAGAAGATACTGAGCAGGTATCTGGATGTCTTGGGTTACTTATACCACACTGGTCCCACGACAGATGGCTCCGAAAGCCTTGCGTTCAGCACAAACCGAAACCGGATGGAAATCTGTGCCGGGTAAATGACATAGATTGCTGATCTACCGTCGGCGATTTGTCTCACTTCGCCCAGCTGGTCATTACTAGCTAGTCAAGCGCCAACAGGACATTCTGTAGGAGACTATTTTCAATGCAAGCGTTACTGCTTGGCGTGGTGTAACCTAGCACCTGGGCATGCAGGTTTCATCCCATTGAAGAAGGCCACGGCTTCTCTTGTTAACTCAAACTAAGCATAAATTAAATCCGCTCTGACGCGGAAGTGATGGACCGGCGAACTTCAGCACCAAGTCTGACGATAATTGCGTGTGTGATTGGCAGGAAGTCGTTGTTGGATGTTGGATGTGTGGCGCCAAGTGGCAATTGCAAGCAGCCAGTGCTCGTGCGCCGTGGGTGGCTTAGAAGAACTTTCCCCTCCATGTTTACACAGAAGAGGTCTTGCGATTGGCCACAATGGATTCGTTTACCAAACATGATGGTCGCTGATCGCTCTGGGATCTGTTCGACTGCGAGGCGTCGAGGTCGCTTAAGCCCCCTCGGTACCTCCGCCTTGAAGCTCGCTAAGCTTCACGATCCCCTGAAACCAAACACTCAAACAGTCCCAGAACACCCAACGCGACACATCTATCGGATCCTCCCCAAAAATATCGCCAGTTTCGTGCCTTCATGCTGTAGGACGTGACACCAGAGGTCAGCTGTACGTTTCGATCTGCGTCCTACTACACATGTGATCCGCCACGACCAAGACGTCCTCTCAGAGATTCAGAAGGTTGAGCCGATGTGCCAAATTTGCCAAGTATCTCCAAGACTTCGCCTCCCAGGTATGCCTCGAAAACCTCCATGCCACGCTCAAATTCATCCCGATTTTTTTCGCCTTTGTGCCAGTTTAGAGCTTGCGGTCTTACAGCATTTTTTTGTCAACGCACTTTCTCACATTCCAACCCTTCACGGAGGCAAGTTGCTCGACTCAATCAGAGGCCTAGGAGAAGCAACCAGTCCCGTGAAAAGCTCTTCTATCGCAACCTCGAGACGTAGCCTACTATGTTTACTTTCGCAGTAGGTTCCTGCACTAGTTTTCTATTGCAACGATCCCATCACGACTGGCGATATTTTCCCAATCCCCTCGTTCAACGAGCAACGCTTGTTGAGTTACAATACTTCTTCATAACAATTCAAGATAAGTTCGAGGGCACAAATTGTTTGCTTTATACTAACTAACGCCACTGAAGAAGTTGTTTCTTATGGATGTGCCAACTCCACAGACAACGAAACCCGCACAGGATACATCACCAGTTTTCCATACCCTCAAGAGCCATACCGGCATACGATGCTCAGCAAGTCTCTGCTCACGCAAATGCTCCCGAGCTCTCCACTGTATCAATCAAACTTTCCCTGAGCTGGAGTCTTGTGGCGATTGGCGCAGCGAACTTCAAATGGAAGCCCTGGAATCTCAAGTTCAGCGTAATATCAAGCGATTGCTTGAGAAGGTAGCTTGATACCAGAGTCTGGATACCCGAAGCCAATGTGTTGCGGCTGCAAGTACAGCTATTCTATTGCAGTACAGGTTCAAAAGGAACAAAATTATTTGCCAAGTATATTGCACATCCCGCAGTAAAACAAAAAGCCACCCACACATCACAGAAATATCACGCTCTTACATGATAGGAGGGGAAGAAACTCTCTCAAGCAAGGATGTAGTAGGTAGTCATACTTGAGTGCAACTACCCTTAGGAAGCCTCCCGATTCATCCAACATTCAGATGCTATCCAAGTCTGGGTTTAGATCTGCTGAGGAATGACTCCCAGGAATAATAATTTGGATGCGCTGCCTATCTATCCGTCAGTATCGTCGACCCATGAAGACTCCTGCTATCCAAATCAACTTCTATCAACCAATCAATCTATGAACAACTCTTGGACCGTGCCATGTAAAGCTTTCCCTGATGAAGTGATTCGTTTCTGCTCTCATGTCATCTCCTGCCGTTCAACATTTATCTGACATTCAGTTATTCGTTATCCCTCATTCCATATCGTCGACTATATTAGTCATCTAGCTTAAATCCATCTTCTCCACCTCAGATACATCTGCACCAGTAGTTTTCGCAGCACCAGAATTCTCAACCTTCCGCATCAACCAAGCCATAACGCCCCATACACAACCCATCGCCTCAACCCTATCACCTTTCAGATACATGTCATACCACTTCGTCCTCCTGATCTCCAGCCTGTCCCACTCGTTTTCTGTACCGCCCTCAAGCACGCTAAGCAGCTTTTCGCTAACTCTCGCTCGCACAATTGAGACATGGTGATTGAGTGCGCTCATCAGAAAAATGTCGTCGTAGCCTTTGCCTGCCACCTTTCCGATAGCTGAGTATCGAGCCCTACGATCCCATGTTGCCGATGGTGGATTCAACTTGCGATAGTTCTCGTAGACGGCCATCATTGCACTCTCCTTCCCTGCTTTCTTACTGCGCTTGGGCGGACTTGGACCATTCAAGCCTCCAATCTGCTTCTTAACCTCATTTGCGATCTTGACGCCAGGGATGTCCTCACCAGTGCTAGGAAGTTTCTCAGGAACGCCAGAAGCCAGCGCAATAGCCGCCTCCTCAGCTTTGTCCCCTTCCCGTCCGATTGGCCCACCAGACCCGCCTCCCCATCGCGGCGTGGTAGTCCACCATTTCGCATCGCCAAAGCGCTTCTCGGTTTTGCCTTCCCGGGAGCGGTGTTGCGCTGTGAGAAGCACGCCAACCACCTCACGGGCTAGGTCGAGAATTTCGTCAGAGGGATTGCTGAAGACTGTGCTCGCTCGGGCGGAGAGGGTCGCGACTGGCCCTTCGACTATGCCAGCTCGGGCCGCTGACCGCTCAACTGGCATGCGGTAGACAAATGTCACTGATGAATTGAAGTAGAAAGGGGGAGGTGTCGACTTCGCCGGCGGCGCGGGCGAAGGGGTAAGGTGTAAGCGTGGCTCTGTTCGAGGATAAGAAACGTTGCAACCAAAATCATAGGCAACAAGCTTGACAAACGCTGTGAGAAGATTCTGGCGGTAGTCTGGGGGGAGTTGGGCACCGTTTCCGGACGGAACGTGAGTTTTCATGTGATCTGGTACATCATGTGTCTCTCTCTCGACGACCTCTTCCGGAAAATCAGTCTCGGACTGTTCTGGCTGTTGTGAACGCGAGGTGTCGGGCCAGTAACCCGAGAAGAATTCTAAATTCTTGAAGAATTCGTAAGCGTTTCCTAGACGGGCAGCTGTCTCTCCAGTTGGGGCTGGTATGCGTCTGATTGTCCTGAAGGCTGCGGTGTTATCTGTGAGCAACTCCTTTTGGCGTTCTCGATAGGTTTGGACGCCAGGTGAGAGGTGACCATTGCTCAGAGGTTGCCGTGTAGCTTCATTGGACTCCAGGAGATCTTCTACTGCTATCTCATTCCACTTCTCAAGTGGAGGCAGGTAGCTGGCGTCCGGGAGGAGGTCTTGTGGAGATACATCCGAGACCACGTGCACCCCGACAGCCTCCAGGTGCGAGAGCTTGATGTCGGTCGCCCTGTGAATAGTCTGGAGGAAGCTGACTAGCGAGATATCTTGCAGTTCTCGAGAGACTTTCTCGTCTGATTGTGGCGAGCATCGAGGGAAATTGACAGGTGTCGGAGAGGGAATAACTCGTGGTGATGTGTCTGTTGGAGGGGGCAGAACGCCTGTTTGAGACTACACGTGAGCGTTTGGTCTTTGAAAGTAGAATTCAATGCCAGGCTTCCAACATTGCCGATAGAAATGTGCTCCGAACGTGGAAAGCCGGATATCGAGCTCTGACAGCTGTCTGAGAGCAACATCCGGCTTGTCTAGGGGAGAGATTTAAGGCGTAATTGGCATGACAGTGGAGCTCAATTGATGAGGCATCGTCAAAAGGAAGGAGCATACAGAACAGGGCAGGACAGGACGGGATCGACGGGACGGGATGAGACGAAAAGTGTGATCTGACTGGCCATATCGCATCTTATCTTATAAAATTCCTAGGGGCTTTGCGTACCGATATTTCCAAATGCAGCGAACATGGCGGCTGGGAGAATGGACCTGACCTGCAATTTCTAGCTCGAATAATACTGTCGTCCAGTCCAGTTGCACTGGCGAGGCGAGGCGACGGTGGCGGCGGCCACGGTCTGGCGGGGGCCCTACAGCAAGGTTGTTGTCAGGTGAGGGAGGGAGGGAGGGAGGGAGGCAGGTACCTAAGGTAGGTGCCTCTATTAGGTAGGTAGGCAAGTTACCTTCAAGATACACCTACCTACCTTATGATGGGAGTGGCAGCAATGATAGGCACGAGTCGGGTCGAGTCTACCTAGACCATTGCCGGCACCTCAGCACGCCTCACTGTCCTGCGTGAGGTGAGGTGAGGTGAGGTGAGGTGAGGTGAGATCGTGAGGTACGGGCGCCACGATAATTACCTTAAGTAGTCAAAATGTACGTTCGGCAAGGAGGGGAGATACAGAGTAGGTAGGTAGTTGCGGTTAGAATCGAGGTCAGCGTCGGCGTGGCGTAGCATGGCGTGGCGCCGGGGACAGGGCCGGATCTTTGCTGTACGGTACTGGTACTGTCCTGTGCGGAGGTAATTTACGAAGTTACTGAGGTCTAAATTACCTTCTGGAACTACCAACTTAGCTAGGCACCCTGCCAACCTGCCAACCTGCCAACGGTGCTGCATTAGTTGGTGCGCACCACACATGCGCGCGCGCACACACACACACACACACACAGAGTACCTGGCGGCCCGGGCATGGAGGTAAATCTGTCTCTGGAAGGATATCTAGCCTCCTCCACCTACTCTACTCTACTCTATTCTAGGTAACTAGGTACCTAGGTACCCATGTGTATTATAATCCGAAATGCGCTGTTATTTATCATTGTATGGGGCGAACATAAGGCACCTGGCACATACCTTAGAGGCAAAGGCAGGGGCAAATGGACCGTCCCGTGACGCTCCTAGGACGGGTTCTTTGAAGAACAAATCTCTGGTCTGGAAAACGTTCCTTGGACCGCCTTAGGACGGTTTCCTACCCTAGGGACGGGACAGTACTAGTCCTGGACGATAGGAAATTGCTGCCTAACTGCCTTAGAATCTCTGCAACTTTACATATTCTAGATTTGCCTTGTTCTGCCACACTTAGTAAAGGCTGCACTGCACGATACTCACCTAGATTAAACTTTTCCTAAATCGATCGATTCAGATACTCTCAAGAACTAGAAGTGAGAGTTGATTTCACACGAAAAGTACTAAGTATTAAGGTAAAGTGAGGAGGATTTGAGTTTTATTCCCTTTTTAAGAAGGAACAAGGGAGCTCTTACCTTAAGGGTAGAAGTAAAGACTGTCCCTAAGAAAAGAACTATTCTAAGACGGTCCCAGGAACATTCTTAATCAAGGACAGTTCCTGTAGAGAGAATCGCCCTTAGACCGTCTGGGGACAGTCCATTTGCACCTGCCTTTGCCTCTAAGGTATGTAAGGTAATCACCTGCCTTCTCTCGACTCCCGAGTCTCCTTTCTTGTTACCCTCGTCGGTGGCAGATCCCTTTGGCCAGGGCCCCTATCCCAGCCCTGACACAGACTCCAAAAAAACGGCAGAAATCCCTTTCAGACCAACTGCACTGCATACTGTACTCGTACATATTCGGATGGCAGACATCCCGTCCGCCAAAGCTTCAAGCAGATCTGCTCTGCCATCCCATGAAGGGCACGCTGTTCCGTACCTACTACTACACCGTGGCAGACCCTGGGTTCCAATTGTGCAAAACTCACTTACCTCCGTATACGTACTGTATTGTATTCCGTCCTGCAAGTGCTCCAAGAAGCTCTGAGATGCCTCCCCCGTCCTCTAACCGTCTTCCACCCCACCCGCCTTTCCAATCTATCCCACTTCTGCGCTCTGTAGTCTCCGTCGCGCCGTTCTGCACAGCACACAGGAGGGGACATGAGGTGACAGCATGGCTCGTGCCAGCTCCGCTGTCTCAGCATCCGAGCTTTGAACCTCTCCGCTGTTTCAAGACTTGCAGACTGGGTGCCTTGCCTGCATGCATGCACTTTATGGCCTTGTGCCCTGTTCCCATGGCTTTCAAGAAAACAGTTTTAACCTTAACATGATCTCCCGATCCACGTTTACAACCTAGAAGTCTAAGTTACGCAACGTTTGGCCGCATACTTTCATGGTTCGAAGATGACCGTATGGTATGGGTTCCTCTACTTTCCTCTACGACTTTTCACTGCACAGCGCGTGTCTTTAGTTGGGACATACGTTATGCAACAGAATGCCAAGTCGTTTTCCCGACAAATGGAGGTATATGCTAGCAGACAAACAGCCTCAAGACTCTCGATGGTTCCGGTAAGATTGAGCTGCAAGACCCACGTCGCCGCGTGCAACAATGAGGGTATCCAGGTAGGTGGGTATTTGCTGCTGTTCGGTCCTGGACTCCTGGCAAAGCGCCGGTAATGTGAAGCATAGATGGAGAACGAACTTCGTCACAGCCGTAGTATGGTGGCAATTGTGATTGTGAAGCACCTGTGTTGGAGTTTGGAGTCAACCTTACAGGCAAGACGATCACTGGGGAAGTGCTCAAAATCAATCGCTGCGATGACGATCATGTACTAGGCAGCTATTCGAAGCTCGTTCACAGGGATTGGCATGAAATACTTGTTGGGCTTCGATTTCTGACTGCTACTTCTGCGCTTCACCAAGTTCTTCGACTCTAAACAGTATCTGTCTTTTCTCGTTTGGCTCGTGCCCATCCGAGTGCAAGTGGCAAGAAGCTGTCATCCACCAAGGAACATTCAATGAGATACTTCAATGCTCTTCAGACGATACGTCAGACTGAAGTCATGAAAAGTTGACCAACGTTGCCGCACATGCCAAGGCTTACGACTGTTATGCTAGGTGGGTTATGCTTGAAGTGTACGGAGGTACTGCACAATCTCCTCGTCCTCCGAGCATAACAAAATGCTCCTGCTCAAGCTCATCTCCTGGACCTCTCAATTCATGTGTGTCTAGATTGGCAGCCGATAGGATAACAAAAGTGTTCTGTCCTCACAACCAAAACCGGTTCAAGTAAGATTACTGTCATCAATTCCAACATCCAGACATCTGATCTTGATGCTTTGCTAAACGCCAAGTGGTCGCGCGCGGCTTGGAGTTCGAAATAGAGGGGGGCTTGGACTGGCCATGCCAGCCAACTTTCGTCTCTGGAGAGTCCACCCCGCTTTTCTTTACTGTGCCGTTCTCTGTAAAGACAGGGCAGTTCGGGTCGTCTCCAGGGGCTCCACGACGACCAACTGTCTGCTACAAACATCTCTCCGCAAAAACAGAGCACATATACAAACAGCGGCAGTGCGATTGCTCTTCCGGATCGCCATTCATATCGGCATGCCAGTTATAATAACATGCACGAAGCTCCAGCAGCGGCCTGATATCAAACCCTCATGTGTTCCATGGCATTGAAGCCCGCAAATGCCCCTCGTTAAGCGAGCAAATACCCCTGAGAAAGGCCTCCCTTTGCGGCACATCTCGTCTCAGCGCCATGGGCTGAAACCCAATACAGCCACCACCCCGGTCTCACATCCTCACTTCTTAATTAATTGTCACCCACTCCAGACTCACTTCAGAACACTGGCGTTTGAGCATGGAGATCATGGTTTCTGCCCGCTTTCGCTTCTTCGTCTGGCTCCACCTTGTCGTTCTCCCAGCCAGCTTGACCGATTGTCATTCTGTCAACCTGACCTAACCTTACTTTTGCCTTTCGTTCTTCTTACCTTCGCAAACATCGTCAACAGTATGGTTGGGGTGGAGAACTGATGGCCTGGGAGCCTCTGTGATTGATACTTTCTTCTTGCTTGCTTTTTGATATACACTCCTTGGAGCGACTGGTGTCGCTTTTCATTCTATCATCATGTCGAGCCCAAACCTGCCGGCAGGATTTTCAATCACGACTATAGACGGCCAGCGATGTACAGCCGTTCCACGGTCTCTCACGACCTTGACAGGATCTTTGGCAACAGCGGCGGCAGCGCAACCACCGACCACCACCACAGCAGTCATTGCTTCGACGACCCCTCCCGTCGCCGTCCCGACGACTTTGGCGACGTCAATTCTACAAAATACCGTAGCAGATCCATCAGCTACGACACCAACACCAGCGGTATCCGTAGCTAGTACTCCCGGTTCCAGTGCTGTGCTCCCTGCTGTTCTTACAACTCCAGTTCAGAGCCCAGTTTTGAGTGCCCCAGTTGTCAGTTCCGCGATTGCGGCGTCCAAATCAACGACTCCAACCACTTCATCGAGTACGCCACTGGCAGTTGCTCAGAGCGAAGTAACGCCATCCGCAACACCAATCACAGGCGAGAACAATGGAGTTGATTCTACTGTTCCCTCGGGGACTACATCGTCACCTCCGATCCTAGCGACTTCATCAAACCAGCCAGAGGAGTCATCTGCAGGCTCTGGAATATCTTCTCAACCGAAACTGACGCCTGCACCGGTTGTCGGAGGAGTACTGGGGTCGATGGGTTTTATTGCGGTAGTGGCGTTAATGTTCTGGTTCTTTAGGAGGAAACGGAAGGCCAGAGAGTCACTTCTCACACCCTTAACCACAGGACGACGAAGTTCTTTTTATGACGCGGACGACAGATCCCTAGGACCCAGTGGACGTGGAAACAAATGGAGAACCGAGTTTGGTCACCGCACGGGTCGAGTACGGGATGTGGGATCAGATCTCAAGGCTGGAATCGTAGCTGTGGGAGTATCCTTGAAGTCAAAAGTAGTGCGTGAGAGGAGCGATACTCCCAGTGTCAACCTCAACAGAGGCAATTCCCAATTTTTGGATGGACCGATCCCACAACACAGCAGGAACAACTCTTCGCTCTCGAATCCTGCACATGCCAGCATCAAGGAGAAGGCAACAGATTGGTGGGAGCGTCTGAGAGAGAAACTGAGTTTCGGATGGGGGAGGAACGCTGAGCCAGCAGATCCTTTTGCCGCTGCACGCGGCATGACCGAGAAGCGAGCAAATGCCACGGATTCACCTGATTTCTCACAGCTCCTAGGCATGGACGACAGAGATCTCCAGATCCAAGCCGAGAGAAGGAGAGCCTCTCTAGCCGGCAATACTGGATCCTTGCCGCAGCTAGGAAGTCTAGGATTGAACTTCAACACCAGCGACGATCCATTCGCAGATCCCAAGAAGCCATCCGCAGCAACCAACACAACCACACCAGGATGGAAACCTCCCAACGCCAACGGAGCAAACCCCTTCGAGGACCCGACACCAAGAACCAATCCATTCGCTGACCCAGTCTCCCGCCCAGATCCAACAATCCTCAAATCCAACACCTACATCGCCGACATCCGTCGCTCTCGCGGCCAATCCATCGATGCAAGCACCACAGCCAACAATGCCACAGCGATGTACAACCGACCCCCATCGACGATAGTCCAATCACGTTACCCGTCCTCGCTGGCACCCAGCCGCGATAGCTACCGTGACACGGTGTTCTCGTCCTTCTCAGCCAATGTCCGGAAGGGTAAGGGTCGCTCCGACCCGTTCGACCTCGAGCGCCCAGAACTCTGGAAACCGCGAGACTCAAGCCTGTACCCCAATCCATTGAACGGAATCAAGGAAGGCAATTCTGGGTCGGCGTATGCCCAGAATCAGAGGATCATCAGCAACGGGACGTTTACTTCGAAGTATAGTAGCGGCGTGTCTTCGTTGGGTGATTGGGGTGATCCCGGTCCAGATTTGGGACCGAGTCAGAACAGTAGTATGAGAGGAAATGCGAGCTCAAATGGTGGGAGCGTAGATTATACAATTGGGAAGCTCAGTGGACTGGAGGATATGGTGAGGGAGGAGAGGCCGATGAGTAGGCAGAGTAGTAAGGCGAGTAGCAAGAATGGGGTTGGGAAGGCGATGTGAAGAGGAGAGGGGACCTTGCGTGAGCGAGATGTCATAACTGTTCTTCTTTTCTCCAAACAGAAACATGATTGAGATAGCGGAGGGAGGACAGACAGGTCAAGGTCGAGCCGATTCAAGGGCAGATGGCTGGTTTGTTCGCTGTTGAGCATGTACAGGAAGACTGGGTGGGCTGTTTTAATGACTGATGGAAGGCTGAATAGGACTATGGATCATGACGCGGCTTGATTTGGAGATCGAGATCGCTTCTCGTCTGGTGAGCTCAAGAGCAGCGATAAGGGGGCCAAGTACACGGGCTTTTACATTTACTCTTTTCTTTGATTTTCAAGCGTGCGTTGGGCAGGCAGGATACCAGGTGGATTGATGGACTGGGGGAGCGCTAGGAGGAGGTACTCATGGTTCACTTGAAACAGTACTTAAGAGGAGAGGCGCTGAAGCGAGCGGATATCACTTTCGCCGAGGTCGCCTTGTAGGGAGTAAGGGGAACTGGGTGGACTCGCTGTGATGTACCAGGTAGCTTGAGATAGGACGAAAGTCATTTGTATACTCCTGTATCTATACCGGTGCTACAGTCTCCTCTGGTCTTTCAAGTGTATGCCTGGAAAAGACAATGGTCTTGCTGTTGATAGTCGTGACGCATCTACACCACATCCCACCCTCCTAGCTCCCATCAGACCCAACATCCACAGTCGTCGCTTCACCATTAATCCTCATGAGCTCGTTTTTTGCCTGCCGAAAATCAAACTTAGTTTCCTTGCTCACAGTCTATGAAATTCAGCAGGCGCGTGAAGTACGAAATGCACAGGTCATGTCAAATCAAGTGTTTAGTAATGCAGCAACGCAGGAATGGCAACGCGAGGTGGATCTAACTCTTGATGAGAAGACTGTGGCCAGTCATTTCTTCGGGTTGGGTCAGGCCCATAGCCTCGAGGATTGTAGGTGCAACATCACCGAGTACACCGTCGGTCTTCTTCAGGCTCCAGCCCTTGGGTGCGTTGGCCATGATGAACGGGACCTTGTTGGTGGTGTGTGAAGTCTTTGGCTTGCCGTCTGGGAACTTCATTTCTTCGGCGTTACTGTATGCTGTTAAAGATAGGCCTCACGTTCACCTCCTAGGACTTACCCGTGATCTGAAGTAATGAATAGCAGGTAACCTTCTTCCTTGCAAGTCTCGTAAATAGCTCCAATAGCTTTGTCGGTTGTTGCGACACCGATAACAGCTGCATCATAGACACCAGTGTGACCAACCATGTCAGGCGGAGCAAAGTTGTTCATGATGAATTCGAACTTGCCCTCCTTTATCCGCTTGCTCATTTGCTTAGCAACACCCGCAGCGCTCATCTCTGGGGCCAAGTCATAAGTAGCAACGCTCTTATTAGATGGGACGAGATCTTGAGATTCGTCTCTCTCCTCAAGTGGGAACACCTTCTCAACGCCGCCGTTGAAGAAGAACGTGACGTGGGCGTACTTTTCGGTTTCAGCAACGTGAACCTGCTTAACGCCTTGGGTACCCAAGGTCTCGGCAAGAACGTTACCCATGTGCTGGGGCTTGAAAGCGATCGTGAAGGGGTAGTCGAGCTTGTATTGTGTCATTGTCGTGAGGTTGATGTTCTTTGGGTATGGGAAGTCCTCCAATGGGGAACGATCAAAATCTCCGAGCAATTGAGTGATCTCGCGGACACGGTCAGATCGGTAGTTGAAGAAGAACACCTCATCGCCATCTCAAAAATGTTAGTAGATACCCAATGTAAGTATCTGAAAGTCTTACCCTTGATACGGGCCCCCTTGCCGCCAACAATGATGGGCTTCAAGAACTCGTCATTCTCCCCTTTCTCATACCTCTCCTTGATCGTCTTGACGGGATCTGTGCTCTCCTCGCCATCACCAACGCACAAGGCGTTAAGGCCAACCTCAATTCGCTCCCAACGCTTATCGCGGTCCATGGCATAGTATCTGCCAACCACAGAGGCGATTTCACCAATTCCAATCTCCTCGATCTTGTCCAACAGTCCTTGCATAAATCCTGCACCAGACTTTGGGTCGGTGTCTCGTCCATCGCCAAAAAAGTGGATGAATACGTGAGGGATTCCGACTTCTTTCGCAAGCTTCAAGAGCGCATAGAGATGGTCTTGTTTGGAGTGCTGTTCTCTGATCAGCCTCGAAATTGACTCTTTTGAGGAAATGAACTTACAACACCGCCGTCGGAAATCAAACCAGCCAAGTGCAGACGTCCAGTGCCATTTTTAGCCGCATTGAAAGTCTTCATGATAACGTCGTTCTTGTTCAACTCGTTGTTTTTGATGGTTTGATCGATTCGGACCACATCTTGCCACACCACACGTCCAGCACCAATGTTCAGATGGCCGACCTCGGAATTTCCCATCAAACCCTCAGGAAGTCCAACGGCCAGGGAGGAAGCCTCAAGCTCGGTGTAGCCGTCTGCGTTCTTCGCGAAAGCATCCATCACCGGGGTCTCGGCGGCCGCAATTGCGTCTCCATCCTTCGGCGATGACTCGCTGGGGATTCCCCAACCATCAATGACAACTACGCCAGACCATAACAATCAGCCATGAAAGCTCCAGGTACACGAGGCAGTAGAGGAGAGCCAGAATGTAATCGGGCTTTTTCTTGATTTGCGGTGGTACGGGCACAGTGCCTTTGGCCTTCGAAGCCGAACTGGTTGGGGAAGATGCGGAAGCGGACATATCTGCTCTGCAATATCGAGGAGAGGGTGTTGGTGGTATACATAAGGAAATCAAGTTGAGGATACGTGGAAACTTTGAGAGGACATACTCAGCACCGCTTTATTCTCAACCTTGACCATTTTGGCGAGCGTCCGTTTCGCAGGCTATATGATCGATGTTAGGTGTCCCGTCGGGGAACTGTAATTAAAAATAGACCCGCTCCGTCAGGGGGGGGGGGTGCTGACAATGAATGAATTGGACAGGAATTGAGGTCTTTGAGAGTCACTGCAACCTTGCAGAGAATGAAGAAGCTGTGAGGGCGTATCTTTTTTCTTTCGCAAAGAGAGGAGGGGCAAGGCGAGGCAATAGAGGGGTTGGACGTTGAGACAAGCTGTAGTGGGGTGTGGTGTTTTGCTTTTCTTCCTGCCCCTCCAACAGATTTCTGTCAATCGGCGCGATAAGGCTGGCTTGGACTGGGCTGGACGGGACGGGACTGGGCTGTCTTCAATTACTCCACTCACCAGGCTGCCAACTGCCTACATCGATTGATTGCTTGGCACATAGCAAATACGAAATTCGAACCGCGACGAGGAATGATATTTCGAAGCGCATTGTGACCTCCCGAGTTCGCATAAAACTAGCAAATCTATCTATCCGCCCCTCCATCACCATTAGACAACAGCCAAAATGACGTTCACTCCCCAGACAACATCCCAACCGGCCGCCTCACTCATAAACCTGGCCGACGGCCTCTCCCCCGACTCGATCGACACGCTCCCCGTCCTCAGTCAAATCCTCTCGCGCCTCCAAACACCCTCAAGCACCTCAGGCGCATCCACCGCCGGCTCACCGCCAGCAGCGTCGCCCTCACAGATCACCTCTAGCACTGGGCCGCTCGGTATCAAAGACATTCCTGCAGCAACAGACGGCATTAAGCATAAGCTACAGAAGGCGAGGGGACTGGTGAAGGAGTTGCCGGATATGGAGAGGAGTGTCAAGGAGCAAGAGGAAGAGATGATGGCGTTAGAGGAGAGAATAGGGAAGCAAAGGAAGATACTCGAACAGCTGAGAGAAGCCGGGTTGGACATCAAGAGAGAGAGGGAGGTGAGGGAAAACCATAGGACTGCAGATGCTATGGAGGCCTGAATGGGCTTTGGCTTGACAGATGCATACTCGATGCTCCTTTGAGCAGCAACATGTGCCTATTTAGGCAATCAGAAAGGCAACTGGGGAGCTCCTACTAAGAACAGGTCAGTCTCCTGGACATGTTCTGCCGTACTACTGGACCAGGATGGAGGGTGGGAAGAGTGTCCACACGTGAGGTGAAGTGGCTCCACATGTAAAGTCTAGGCGATGGACGACGTCACTGAGATGTCAATGGCATATGTGTTTTGCTGGAAGATCGCTATAAGCCTCCACTGCCAACGGTAGTAATGCCCAGATCTGACGCTGTCGTACATGTTATGGTGAGGACACAAGAACTAGAATTCATGTATTCATCTTATCATCAGTCTTCGTCGTTCTACCTTCCAGGAAGGTTGATCCTTTTCAAGATATCCTCAAGTCCAACTCCCGGGCCTCCTGGAATTACGTCGGTCCAAACCTCTCCCTTCAGCTTCTCGTCCTCTGGCAGTATGCTCCAATTTGGACTGTGCTCTGCCTTGAGCCACTTGAAGTCATCGACCTGGTCCCATTGGTTTTGAACTGGCGTCTCTTGAGTTGTCATCTGAATGATATCAGTGTTAGAAGCACATTAAGTGAAATTTTGACTTACATAGCACTCGGGAATTGGAGAGAAGCGAATGTTGCTACAATCTTCAATGATAGGATGGCTGGCACAATGTAGATAAATGTCTACATTCTTGCAATCATGCATCCGAACCTGTCTGGATGCCACGACAATGATACTGCCTTCAACTCCAGTGACATGGGCAGCCCCGGCGACATGCCCAGCGATGATCAGTGAGTTCTTGATGCTCTGAAGGGCAAGCCCGGCAAAGGGTGCGCCATTAGCGGTCGGGACAGACATATCAACGATACACCCATTCAACTTGGTAAGAGAGCCAGAGGCAGTTGCACGAGATGCGGACGAAGGGAGGATGATGTGGAAACGATTGTGACCTGAAATGTTAACGTTCGTTGCTTGGGAGAAACTTGGCTTTCGAATAGGGCCTGCTGGTGCTTTCGTCATCTCTTCGTTGTAGTTTTTAGGAAATGAGGGGAGGTCGCCAAGGGTGTCCTTGGAAGTGGCTTCACTAGGTGGAGTCTTGAGATGTGCTGGCGTGGTAACAAGAGAAGATTCGTTGGATGAGAGGAGGCTCTGGCCAAATCCTGGGGCTTTGAGTCGCTTTTCTTGAGCGAGCTCAGCTGCATCAGTGAGGGATATCGCAGAGTTGTTTTTCTGCTGTTTGAACTGGAATCTTGGCTTGGGCGCAAATTTGGTGCGAGCCTCTTGGAGCTTCTCTTCTAAAGCCTTGATAGCCTAATGCAAGGTTAAAGGAGACATTGCAATACTTGGTTGGGGCTTACCTGTGAGTAAATTCTTTGATCGTAGGCTGGAACAAAGCCTGATGCATCGGAGACTTCGTTCGAGAGCCTAGTGATTCCAGAGTTCACATGGTCAATGGCATCTTGCTTCTCTCCTCCAACCAGGCTGTAGTTTTCAAGCTGTGCAATCTGCTCCTGGAGTTCTGTGCATTCCGCTTGGAAGTGACGATAGAACCGCTGATTGATATCCGACTGGGAGATTGTGGAGGGCTGGACGGGTGCCACGGGTAACTCCATCTTTTCGTCGAGAACCATTACACGGACGGACGGATGTCTTGTCTCGGAGGGAGGTGGTACCAGTTGCGGTGGGTGTACAGTATGTGTCTCGATACTATGAAATTGCCGAGGACCGTTGGAATATAAGAAGTCGTGGGGCTTGTCAAGACTATCAAGCCAGTTTGATGTCGTCAGTGGCTGGGTAGGAAGCACGGGGCTAATGCACCAGTCTTAAGGGACGTGAGGGACTTTGTAGGAAGGCAAGAAACAACCTCAAAGAGACTTTCCCCGGCTCTGCTGCAGCAGTAAGACGCCCACTAAAGCCGCAGCGGCTAGATGAGACAATTGCTACTTATTTCTGCGAAGGAATCCAAAAGTGCGGGTCAGAATCTTCTGTGAATGTTGATCTTGACTTCAAAACGTGGGGAATATACGCGCCTTGTATTGCGGGGTAGTACTGCCAAGATACCTACCTACCTTAAAAGTACCTACCTAGGTCCATGTTCCTCCAAGTTAACATCACGTGATAGCGTAGCATTCATTATCCAGGATAGATGTCTACCTAATAGGTATTTCATTGCTGTGAAGTGGTGGCGACATTCTATTTTCTTCTCTTCTTCTCTTTCCATTCTCGGGGGATCTGAGTCCTAGGCTTCATGCTGACCATTTAGAGCTGTCTCTCATGATACAATGGGTAACGCATGCCTACCTTAAGTTAAGGTACCAGCACATGCTGTTGAGGGCCGTGGGACGAACGAAACTTTTCATTCCTGAAACAAACTCAATTGAGCAATTCTTCAAGCGGATTGATTACTTGATTAAGCATGCTGGGCACAATCTTCTCAAATGTCGTCCATACGACAAAGCGTTCTGCGTGGAAGTTAGAGATACAGGCCGACAGGACTTGTAGTGAACGAAAGTATCTATGAAATGCTTATCTTCGGTAATCACTTCTTGGATATGGATGTCACAGGTTTCCCCATCATTCTCGCAGTACTATGTCCTGCTTTCAAAATCGCATTCTTCTTCGACACAAGTACAGCTTGCGCATGAGTGTACGAAATAGAGAGCAAATACCTGCTCCAAGCACCAACAACAAAATTCTTCGAGGTATTGAGCACCCCAGCAGTAGGACACGGGCATCAGAAAAAAACATGGAAGCTCCCCACTTGACATGGGTTAGCGAGTAGTTGTTCTCCTCTCGCATCTGGAACCACGTTCTGTAAGTAGTAACAACAACAGAGAGGACACTAGTCTCCCATTTGATGTAACATGACAAAGTACACCAAGCAGAAGGACTTGAAATGAAAACCAATATTCCTATGTACAATACAGTCCGGAACCACTTCTCAACTGAGCCCCCCAAGAAACGTCTATGATTTTGCAGGCACTTCAATTCCATACTTCTCCTTGATTCTCTCTCTCCTCCTCTCATCGTAGCCTGGAGCATAGATCCCTAGAGCAACCGTTAGTTGTGGATATAGATCTCGCAGGAGAAGTCCAGTACCTCGTCCCTCGCCAAGTTCCGAAATTGTTTGATCAATTGGCCGTCTGCGGTTCCTCCTGAGAGCTTCTTTCCGGTCGAACTCGTCCATCTCTGGGTCTTTCCTGTATCCAGTCAAAGCTCCACCTGTATAGTCGTATGCACCGAGAACCACAGCAGTCAGAGCCCCGAATCCTAGAACTGCTGGTGTCGAGCCAACTATCGCAATAGATTAGCATCGCCCTCACCTAGAGATTCTCTCGATGTACGCACATCTCAGTCCCAACACAGATCCAGCCAGAAATCCTCCCAGTGCTGTGTTCAAGCTATCGTCCTTCTCTCGCAGGTTGGCCGATGCAAATCTGGTGAACTCGTATGTGCCTCCCACGGCAGCTGAAGTACTGTCAGACAAGGCAATCCAGTTCGAGGCAATCCTTTAAAACCTACCGAACACAGCAATTGTGCCTCCTGTCTTCGTGAACACTCCCCACGGGCTCACGTTCCTTTTGGTCAAGGTATTCTGGATCGCGGAGACCAGCCCCCCAGCGGCGCCCGTAATCATCGTGCCATTGATGGCCGCCTTCACAGCATCTTTGGGGTGGTATTGCTCATCTGCTGGTGCCATGTTGAGTGCAGCAGCTGGACGATTGATCTGATGGGTCCGGTCGGGGCAGTGGTCGTTGACTTTGAGGTTGCTGGTGTCGAAGCTCGGATCGCGGAAGTTCCCTCTAGATCGGAGTTAAGCTCTTTTAGGCAGCATTCTTCGATAGGTTCCTACCTACCCTACCAAAACTGTCTTGATGCAGAAAGCTACCACTTGTGAGCTGCGCTGAGCTTTATCAGGCAGATAGGGATCTTGTAAGTTTCGACGCGATCACGTCTGCGCAACGCAGGGGCACGCAAAATCTGAATCTTGAACTCATCTGCCGCTGAAGCATCCCATATCCAGGGCACTATCACCTTCGTTCGCTTGTGATCCGCATCTCTACAGCATCTCCTATGGCATTCCTGTCTGCACCTTCGATGTGACACCACAGCGTTGGAGCTTGCGAATGACCTTGAGAGGACGCCGTTCTCCACTGCACATTCGAGTCGACGCCCCGGATTTCCACTGCTTTTCGCCGCTGTCCCGGCACTGCAAACAAGGGGACCAAGCAGTAGTTCAGTACTCCGAGGCGGCGGGCGCGGCGGACGGGAAGGCTGAGCATCAAAGGTCACAAAAGCAACTCTGTACATGGTATCTCTCTACACCTGGACGCTGGAGTTGATCTGATCTATCCACCATTCAGTAGCTGCTTCACCGCTGGACATCCGGTTGGACCGCGCGGCGTCTACTCTCAACGCACGGGAACCTAGCTGGGCACTGCCATCATTTCCACAGGTATTGCAAGCAACACCGAGCTTGAGGCTGAAACGGGGAGGTCTGAACGAACTGGAATCGAGTATCTAAAAATTCACGCAAAGATACTTACATGAATAGCAGTTATGGATAGACCACCACCTGGGCCAGGTTTGCATCCCTCCCATACCCGATCCTCTATAAGATAACTAACGCTGAGGCCAGCTCCAGGAAAGACTGCCCCCCGACTCATCCTTGATCTCCTCAACTATGATCCGAAGAAGAATTATAGCAAGAATCTACTGGCAGACCCGGCGCCGAAATGGAGGAAAGGGCTTTGGGATGCGCCACATCCTCATGCATGCCGGCATGCTCTCATGAGAAAGGAGCAAACACGGGCCCCGGCATCCAACGACGAGCAACCAGACGCTGGAACCTCATATTCGGTTGCAACATACTGTAATAAATGCCGACTTCATTTCATGATCAATGTGGACTACACGCGACAGAACGACTTCCAGATACCGTGCAGACGGTCGGACAAGGACAGCCCCTTGCACCACTTTCTACTTCAAGAGTCTATATCTGGCAAGGAGTTTAGGGAGAGGTTTGGCATCAATAAGTATGACCACCTGATTGAGGGCCATCGATGGGCATGTTCCGGGTCGAATTGTCCCGCGGTTCTAGAAATTCGGATATCATCACCGCGACTTGGTAAATCCCTTGTGGACATGATCACCGACAGACAGAAACTTGAGGCGCGAGGCCGGAAAGAAATCGCTCGGGATCCTGCGAGATATCAGGGGATCGCGCCAGTTGGACCTGTTTCGTCTCTGTGGTACCTGCGGTCGTATCTCACTGATGCTAAGGACGCCAAAGATTCGGCCAGCCTCAAGAAAATTGCGAAGCGGAACAAGAAGTTCGTCATGGCTTTTGGAACTGAGTGTAACGACCTCTTCGAGACTCTCGGGTTCACAGAGATCGAAGAGCCTGCTGAAGCACCCGAGGTAAGCCAGGAATCTGCTGAAATCTGGACCAAGTTGACAAGATTCTACAGGAGGGTACGAATGGATTCTGGCAACTGCCTGTCGTGACAAGTGATAACATCACGTTTTTTGAAGATGTCATCTTTGAGATCGATGTCCTGATGCAGAATCTACCGCTGTCGGAACAGAACCCTGCATATATGAGAGTTATGATCAGACCAGTTCCGGCACTGAAGGACATTGAGAGGAGTCTCGGCTACTTTGATTATCCGACAAGATCCAGAACTATTGATCTCGTCTCGGAAGAGCACCCATACTACAAGAGCCTAGGAGCTGTCGAGACCTTCAACGACGAATATCTCAGTTGGGCTTATGATCGACAGTGCTCATGTGATCCGGCAAACAAACCATACTACTTCGATTGCTTGGAGGATCTCGCAAAGGGCCGCGGAAGTCCGGACCTCCAGATGAAGGTGACAATGGCCGTTTCTTTGGGCGAGTATGGATTGAAGCAACTGGAAGATTCCTTTAAATTTTTCGGCTTAGATCCGGCAACAAAGGAAGGCGATGACCACATCATGGGCGTTTATAAGTCTCGTATTGCTTCAGCACCACGGCAGAAAGAAGAAGCCAAGGCCTGTCTTCTCATCATCGCCAAACACCGAAAGAGCGAGGCCATCGAAGCTCTTGGAAATGACAACACAATGTCTTTCGAAGAAGCCCTTGAGTTCTTGGACGTGACAGCTACCACTGCTTCTGACAGCATTGAAGCTGCTGCGATTGCGATGGTAAGCTCAAGCATCATTTCCCGAGATACTAAGCTGATCCTGTAACTGTATAGGCACTGGATGGGGACAAAGCGAGGGTTGCACGCGCGTTGCGAGTGATCGCCAACCAACGGCCAGAGGATCTTACCCTTCAAAGAGCGGCGGCGCAGATGGAGTCTGGGAATGGGGCATTTGCATTGGACGTCAGTGAAGCATATAATCGTTTACAGATCGGAACCTCTGGGCCAAATCTCCCCGACGAGACAGTGCTTACATACTATCAAAGTCTTTCAAGTGGAGCACCATCTGGATCCAAGGACAGTTTTGCTGAAGCTCTGCGCACCATTGCCCTGCACCGCGACAGCATCTTCTTGCTGAGAAAACTCGATGATCCTAATGCGGTTGTGCACGCTAGTACAGCAGAACCAGTGGGCCTCGACAATATCGGAAACACCTGCTACCTGAATAGCTTGCTCCAATACTACTACACCATCAAGCCCGTACGGGAAATGGTTATGGATTTCGAGAAGCATCGCATGACCCTTAGTGAAGATAACCTGAAGATAAAGCGAGTTGGTGGTCGCATTGTTGACAAGTCAGAAATTATAAAGGCGCAGAAATGTGAGTGACTCAGCTATCTGCATGTAACATGCTAACCTCCCAGTCGTTGGTGAACTTCACAACCTCTTTGAGAATCTCAAGACGGCATCAACGCGCTCCGTCAAACCTACGAAGGAATTGGCCGAGTTGACGATATTCAGCTCCGAGAAGCAAGGAGAATTTCTCGAGCGACGCAAATCCATCAGCAGCCCCTCCGGTCCGCCAAATATCGCCTCGATCATAGGAGCCCCTGCATTCGGCCCTCACCTGCCTCCGGCACCTCTGACCCCGCCGTCATCTTCGAAGACACCTGAGGACGATATTGAGATGGTTGACAACCCGAGTGATGACGTGGAGACCCGTGACGACAGCAGTGAGGCCACGCTTGTAGACATGGACCAGGTTTCGGCCAGTGAGGACAAGAACTCCACCGCTGTGCCAGTAGCCCATACACCTCTCTCAGACACAGGCACAGACGCCGACGCCGACGCCGTGATGGTCAACGGTGGCGGCGATGATGATGAGATAGTGAAGCCATCATCTCCACCTGAGAAGCCTCCTCCAATTCCCCCACGTAACAAATCCGGACTTGTCATTTCTACACATGACAACAAAGACCTCGCGGCCGACGATGAGCTTTGGAGATTTGGAACACAGCAAGATGTGACCGAGGTTATCGGCAATGTTACCTATCGGTTGCAGTGTGCTATCAAGCCAACCAGCTTCGAGGAAGGGTCTGGAGAGCAAATCGATGTGATCAGAGACACCTTCTTCGGCACAAATACCACGTACACCGAAAAAGGACATACTACAGAGACCAAGGTGGAAGCCTGGCCTACTATCATTGCTTTCCCAGGCAAGGAAGGCGATGTTCGGGACCTCTACGAAGCAATTGATGTTATCTACGATGAGCAGTATGTAGAAGTCGAGAACAAGAAGTGCCCGCAACATTTCTCGATCAGCAAGCTTCCTGAAATACTTCAAATTCAGATTCAACGGACTGATTTCGACCCTGTGCGGCAAACCTCCTACAAGAATCGCACGCCGGTCGCTTTCCCCGAAACCCTCTACATGGACAGATATGTCGCTACCGATGATCCCGAATCTGTCATCATGCGACGCCGTCGAGAGACATGGAAGTGGAAGTCTCAGCTCCGCTTATTAGAAGCCAGACAGGAAGCTTTGAAAAATAGCAAGGAAGAAGTCAATATCCCGGATGCTCTTCTTGCGGTGAAGGACTACATCAAAGCGCTTCAAGAAGAAGAGATAGATGGAATCGAAATCGCTCCCGAGCTTCCTGACGCCCTGGAGGATCGGATCTCCCAAGTGGCCGAGGAGCTGGAGGAGATCAGCAAGCACGTCAGCGCTCTTAAGAAGAGCCTCAAGGAGCAGTTTACTGACATGCGTGAGCACGAATACAAGCTGCATTCCGTCTTCATTCATCGCGGTGAAGCCGGGGGTGGTCACTATTGGGTCTACATTTACGACTTCGAGCATGACATATGGCGCGAATACAACGATGAACACGTCTCAGAAGTGAGGGATCGCCGCAGAATCTTCGATCAGACAGGTTCTGCGGAAGGTACGCCCTATTATCTTGTGTACGTCAAGACACAGAGGTTACGGGACCTAGTGGATGCTGTATTCAGAGAAGTGCAGGAGGTCCCAATTGAGTTAAATACCTGGAATGGACAAATGGATGGTATTGTGAACGAGGTTGACGAGGAAGGCGAGGACGTACGACATATTGAGCATGTCAAACCCCGACCACTTCGACCGAAGCCTCCAGTCAACGAGTGGGGTATTACGAATGAGCAAGCTCTCGATGCAAACGGAAACACTTGGTAGAGATATGGACGGTGCAAGTACGTGACAGCGAAGGGAAAGTGTCTCTATCGAGATGTCGTCCTCAGCAGGGAGAAACGGCGTGGCGTGAACGAATGATATGAATGAAGGGAAGAAAAGAACGAACTACTCAGCGATGATATCCCATCCTATTCCTGCATGTACTTTGATTATGGGAGGAAGCAGGATGCTCGCATACAGGTACACATTACAGATATAGAGAGGTGCTTTCAGTGAATCGGAACCCTACTATACACAATCTCCCGACTATTCTTGGGCAGATGTGATTCCACGCAGATCATGACCTAGGCTCTCTTTGACATGTCAAAACATAGCTGGTAAGCTAAATCAAGCCCTAGCAATTTCAAGATCGATTCGTACGAAGAATGACAGAAATGCTGGCATCAACCGCTTCAAGCACTCAAACTTTTACGGTGCCCCCAGCACTGACACACATCCTCACAGCACCAGCAGGATACGAGGCACGATAATCTCACGTGATCCCCAAGTATTGACTTCGCTGGATGATGCCGTGCGCTGGGGATCGCAGCAAGAATCATGCTGTGATTTCCACTAGACAGACAATCTCGTGGTACCATTTCAACATGTCATTTACGCTTTAAAACGCCTTCATCACTTTCCCACCGCCCTTCTGCCACAACCAAATAGCCTCTACAGCGTACGCCTTGCTACCCTGATGCCCACCCTCGGCACCAGCAGCTTCCTCCAAAGTATCCATAACCTTTCCCCCTTCAACACATTGCCACAGCCCTTTTGTAATCTCACTGTCCGGACCTCCCCACTCCCCTCGCCCCAATCTATACAATAATCTCCCTAACGTCTGGAATGCCATACACCTCTGTGCAGGAAACGCAGACCTCGCGAGTCTCGCCAGTTCAGGAACCGTATAGCCCGCCGCCTCTGGTGCTTCTCCATGATGATGAAGACCCTTCGTTACCGGCACGGCCCTGGCAATCCTAGGGGGTAGCAAGCCGCCTCTGAAATCGAAACGGAGCGCTGACGCGGAAAGACCCTGACTAGAAGGATAGTAAGGAGATTCCTGGTCTGCGATAGAGCCATGTGTGGGGATGGGTGCCATCCAAGCGAGTTTTGAGGGATCAGCGGGGAGGTCGGGGAAGTATTTTGCGTGGAGGTTTTCGAGGAAGGAGGGGTCTGAGGGATCGAGCTCTGGGATGGAAGGGGCGTTTGGGAAGTGCATTGTCGGGTGGATATGGGGGGGCAAGGGGTCGTTAGGAGCTGACGATGCAGGTTGGAGGTTCACGGGCTGGGAAGGTTCGCTGTCGTCGTCTCCTTCGAAGCGCACCGATTTGGATGGGTCAATCCGTTTCCCTACTGGTTTGGGAGCTGGCATACTTTCTATATCTCTGTGTGATCTGTCTTCTAACCTGGTTGGATCTTCGTTCTCTTTGGAGTTCTCTTGCTCCTCCACTATCGCTGCAGGAGGATCGATCCCTGTGTCGCCTCTGCCTTCATCCAGATTCGATCGCTTGAGCAGCATCTCGAGTAAGACGGGATTCAGCCCAGCCATAAGTTCGTTCCGCTCCTCTTCAATCTCTTCTGCAGACATGGCGGCCAGCCTCTGTCTATTCTCTTCGTCAATGCGCCGCCTTTCTTCATCCATGCTGAAATTGTTCTGCGTCAGTGAAGAAGCATTAGCCGGCGACTGCCGCGACGCAAAAGTATTTGCAGTATCTGCGACCACAGGCTTCGCAGACCCAGTTCTCTGCTGCTTGAATGCCGATATTCTTGTGCGCTTCTTGTGCTCGGGGAAGCCGGTATGTGTGCTTTTCATCTTGGGTGCAGACGGAGGGCCGGCGATTTCGCGTTCCTTGACATCCCCGACAAAGGGAGAGGATATTGATGGGAAAGCATTTTGAGGGATCTGCGAGCTGGCGTTGGGCTGCTCATCATCATCATCAGAGAGGTCTATCTCGAACCTCTGCCCTCGCAGATCCATGGTTGGTTGCGAAATATTGCTGTTGCAGTCTGGGGAGGAGGTCAGGCTGCCGCCTCTTTGAGCCGTCGTAAACTTGTGGTTAGCCGATGCAGGGACGCTAGTGGACCCCTGGCTTCCACGCTTGTGGTCGTGGTAGCCTTGCATAAGTTCGATCGATACATACCTCAAGGCATTAATTAGCCTCTACTGTAGCCTCACTAGCCGAGAAGACAAACGACATCCAAATCAACAGCCTTCCTTGCTAATCATGCATCGCGGAGAGCAGGGCTCCTCGTTTGATGTTCACAATGTTTGTAGCCACTTTTCACATATTGTATAAATTCCCGGAGGATACGTGGCGATGCTAAGAACCGATATAAGCTATACATGGCCTGATATCAAAATCGCACATGCCGGGGGCGTGGCGATCTCAAGGCTGACGTTCTTGTTTGGAGGCCGGTTGGGACTTGCTGGGGAGCCTGCGCTGTCATTGGTTACGAAGATTGATTGACCGTGTCACATCAAGTTTATCGTATTCCACTACAGTACTGCATTTTCGTCGAGTCCCCGTCAGATGGAGCCGGGCCCAGACCCACACCCGGCAGTGCTTTTCTCGCAGACTACTGTACTACTGTACTACTGCCTTCGTGGATAAGTGACAGCTGCGGGCGCTGGTCTGCAATTAGCAGCCGGTTAGCTCCCATACTCGCACGGGTGTTGTGCTCAACTCTCCCAGAAGGCATATCGACCCAACGTAATCTACATGTCGACCTTTCCATCCCAGACTTCCTCCAGAATCTGGCCCTGGTCCAAACACACTAGCTATTGTACAAGCAACCATAGCAGACCTCGTAACGATGTACTGTCCATCCATCCTTGCATGCCCACGAGCCACTTCACCGCTCACCTCTCAGAGTCTCAGATATAATGTAATACGCCCGATACTGGTGTCCTCCGGTGCTATAGTACCTCCTGGGTTGTCGTCCATGCTGGATCAAACGTGGCGCCGCATTTATTCGTTCACCGTGCCGGTCCATTCCTGCCAGCCAGCCATCCGGGCGGTCGGTTGACTTACCCTTGTCCACCTGCACCTCTGCTCTGATGAATACTGTAGGACGGAGGACCTGATGAGGTACCTTACCTAGCTACCTTAGGCTGCTCTCCTTGCCGGCCATACAGTACGAGAGTACGAAAGTACCTAGCTAAGGTGCCTACCACTGTCATGGGCAGACGTGCAGACGAAGCCGATGCCTGAGGAGCCAGGAACCTACTTGACTTGGACGCTCTGGTTTCCTTAACCTTTCCTCTCCCCTCTCCCCTCTCCCCTCTCCCCTCTCCCCTCTCACCTCTACCCTCTACCCTCCTCCCCTTGCTCCCCCTGCCCTGCCCTGCCCTGCCCTGCCCTGCCCTGCCCGGCTGCCCTGAAGATGAGATGTGGGATGTGGGATGTGCACCCGTCGTTCTTTGCCCTTCCCGACTTGGTACCTTAGAATGTGAAATTACCTCTACCTTCTATACAGTAAGTACCTACTCTACTGTACCTACCACTTTTCCCTCTCCCTTTCCCTCTCCCTCTACCCTACCTCCTACCACTACCAAGGAGCGTCGTCGCTTGTATGTTCCTAGTAGTCTCGACATCCGCCAGCCAGTTCCAGTTCGTTCTCACAATCGTTATGAGTGAGGCCCAAACTGGCACGTCCACGTCCACGTCCGCTCCCTTCCCTTCCCTCCCCTTCCCTTCCCTTCATATCTTCCCTCCTTCCCGCCCAACACGACACGACACCCTTTTTCTCTTTTTTACAACCACAACTGCACATCTCCGCAATACTGCAATTCGATGCTTTCATCGATATTGTAACATCCTGCATCGACCACGACCTTCAAACACCGCCATTCGATTCCAGCACTGCGACTTTTGCCGTCTCCCGCTGTAGAAGGCCTAATACTGCCCTGCATCCTGCATCCTGCAGTCGCGCGGTCTTGACCTTCGTGTTCGTCGTGTCGTCCGTCCTCTGAAGCTATTCAGAAGTCACCACGAACCGCCCGATTGCCGTCACGTTTCGCCTCGCCCGCCACAGGCCCCCAAATCAACAACTGCATCGCCTGCATCTCGACGCCTCTCTCAGGTCTCCTCATGGTCTCGAATACCTGCGGCTAATAATTCTCAGTATTTGTCCCTCCAGAGGCCAAATCGCCCTTTACCATGGCCGCTGAACGCCGTCGGACCCAGGACGGGGCTCGAAGTGTTTCACCCAGCGACCTTTCATCACCACCACGATCTAGTCCGGAGGCAGCATCTCCGTCTGCGCAATTCCAGAATGAATACAACAACAACAACAGTAATAATCATAATAATAACAACTCAGCAAACAATTCCAGCATCACCGTCAATCCGCCAGGTGCTGCACTTGGCCCGGCTGATCAGAAGCCGCCCCGCAAGAAACCCGGTCGGAAGCCAGGATCCACCAACAAGCCGAAGGCCAATGCAGACAGCTCGGCCACCAATACCGACGCTCCCAAAGTCAGAAAGCAGCGCCGACCGAAAGATCCCAATGCACCTGTCCAGCGAAGAAAGCGGACGACGAATCCTGATGGTTCGACTCAGCTCGATATTAGGTTCGCTAACGACATCCGGCCGCAGCAGCCGCCCCATCCCGAGGCCCCGCCCAATTTTCATGTTCCGGTTCTAGCTTCCCAATCCGGAAAACATGAAGATATACAGCAACGGCCCATACAGTCGTTCTTCAACGCTCCACCTCCGCAGCATTCTCCTCCCCACCAACAGCCTCCACCTCAACAACACATACAGCAACAAGCTATGCGCACTAGCGGTCAGAACTACGATCCCATTCGATCGAACTATGATCCCGTTCGGGAAACGGTCGTTACTCACCCCCCTTACGGAAATCCCCAGACCTCTCCGAGTCACGCCCATTCCATCAATCGTGCGAGCGCATCGCCTTCCATCTCCAGCCTTGTCGACCCGCCGAATCACGCCCTAACGTCACCTTCTATCGCCACACAATCGTTCTATCAACAACAGCAATCTCGACTGCACCAAAGTGACGGCCCTTCGTCTGTACCGCCATCCCCGACTGTCAACAGAATGGGCCCTGGCGCTCAAGTTGAGCCTTCTCTTGCTCCACAACCCGGCCCTGCTACTCTGGGTTCAAGAAAACCAGAAGTCTTCCCTGCCATGCAAAACGCTCCCTCAACGATCTCAAAGAAGATTGGCCCTACCAGTACTGCAACTTCTTCGACGGCAGCATCTCCAAAGCCTCACAAAGTCAAAGAGCCAAAGGAGAAAGATAAAGAGATCTTTCCAGCGCCACCTCCACTGCCAGGGTCTGGCCTTATGGGTATTGGTGGTGGTGGCCCAGCAGATGGAACGGAATTCCGTGCTCCAACCGTCATCCTCAAGATTCCTATGAACGGAGAGGTCAACAAATACATCAACTTTACTCGTCTGGCCGAAGAGCAGTATGGATGGGATGCGCTGCACCCCCGCTTGGCTGCGCAACGTGATCGATTGGCACGCGTAGCTGCTGCTGGAGCTGCTCTCGAGCGCAATGGCTCGAACAAGGACAGCGGAGACGAGATGTCACTTGATTCTGAAGCGGAAGGCGAAGGGAGCAATATCGAGATGGGTGGTATGAGTGACGGACGAACTGGAACCGATGGAGGCAAGAAGGTTCCGAAGAAGAGGAAGATGAAGGAAGACGAGTATGATAAAGATGATGGCTTCGTCGACGACACCGAACTCCTGTGGGAGGAGCAAGCTGCTGCTACAAACGACGGTTTCTTCGTGTACTCTGGACCCCTTGTCCCAGAGGGAGAGAAGCCCACGCTGGAGACACGGTATGTTCGAGATGCAGTGTTAAGCAGGACTTTACTAACAATTCATCAGGGCCGATGGTGCACCAAAACGTGGCCGTGGTCGTGGCAGTCGGGGAGGCCGTGTATCAGGCGGCCGGGGCGCTGCTCTCCTCCTCAATGGTACAATACCTGTTCGTCCAAACGGTCTACCCGCACATGGTCCTGGATCTCGAGGCGGATCGACAACTCGCAAGCCCCGAATCACCAAGGCCGATCGTGCACGTATGGAGCAAGAGAAACTCGAGCGAGAGAAGATGGGATCAATGGCTTCCATGCCTGGAGGTTATGGAAGCATGCCTCATTTGGCTAGTGCTCCAAGCAACCTTGGATCAACCCCTATGGTCTTCAACCAGTGAGGCGTTGTTTTGGGTCTGGATGCCTGAATTGCGAGGATTTGATTATGGTGTTGTAAATTTGGCTGGCGTTTAGTGGTTGCGTTTGATGCATAAGAGAGACTGGACAAGTATTCGTTTTTATGTATAATAATTTGCTTCACTCTGCATTGCGAGGAGGGAAAAGGAGCATAAGAGAGAATTGACGACATTTGCAAGATGTGCACTATATTACCCACAAGGAGACGCACAGGATCGACAAATGAAACTGAATTAGTGCAGATCCGAGGACAAGAAACCCCAAATTTTAAGCCGTAAATATATATCGGAACTCTGTAGTACTTCACCTTTGTTCGGTGGTTGACTGGTAGCACCCAAGCCAAGCTACCCCAGAATTTCTAAAGCGGCACCGGCATTGGTGACTTAAGCTTGCCAAGGACACTGTCATATCCAAACACAACAATACACCCTTCTACAGCCTCTCAATTCTCACAATGGCGACTGCACAGCCAGAAAAGAAGAAGGAGAGACCTAGCGCTTTGCGCTCGATTCTCGCTGGGTCTACTGCCGGAGCGGTTGAGATTGGTATGTCCCAGCTATGAATTATCAGAGCTCTATTAACTTGTTGTGTAGCTATTACTTATCCTGCTGAATGTACGTCTTGATATCAGAACGACTCGGACCGTTGCAACGAATGTATCGTATATTTGGATGTTTCAGAATCTGCGAATAGGGAGGGTAAGGCAGCGTGAACTTGGCTGATGGGTTCTCGCAGTTGCAAAGACTCGAACACAATTGAACCGCAGATTAGCAGATGGACAGAAGCTACCCTGGCCACCGTTTGGCAAAGCCTGGTATGCAGGATGTACAACATTGATCATTGGCAATTCGCTAAAAGCTGGAATCCGTATGCCTTCGATGCTAGTCCTAATTTCTCGGGATCTCCGTCTCTGACAGTATTGAAGGATTCGTGGCTTTCGATCAGTATAAATCTATGTTACAGGATGCAGATGGCAAGATATCAGGTCCAAGGACTGTTATTGCCGGTTTTGGAGCAGGCGTTACGGAGTCTTTACTCGCTGTCACGCCGTTTGAGAGCATCAAGACCACATTGTCTGCAGCCTACCCCAGATTCACTCACCTACCGGTACTAGTATCTAATGGTTTGCAGAATCGATGACCGGAAGAGGGCCAACCCTCGAATGCGAGGCTTCCTCCACGCCGTCCCTATCATCGCCCGCGAGCGTGGCATCCGAGGATTCTTCCAAGGATTCGTCCCAACCACAGCCCGGCAAGCAGCGAACAGCGCAACACGATTCGGATCGTACACCTTCCTCCGCCAGCTCGCACAATCATACACGGCGCCAGGTGAGAAGTTAGGAACAATGGCTACGTTTGGAATCGGCGGAATTGCCGGCCTCATTACCGTCTACGTCACCCAGCCGCTTGATACGATTAAGACTCGGATGCAGAGTATTGAGGCAAGGAGTTTGTATAAGAACAGCTTTGCGTGTGCGGCACTGATTGCGAAGAATGAGGGAATATTAACATTTTGGAGTGGTGCATTGCCGAGGCTGGTGAGATTAATGTTAAGTGGTGGGATCGTTTTTACTATGTATGAGAAGAGCATCGATTTGATGGATAGGTTGGATCCGGAGAAGAAATACATTTGATGGTTGGAGGGAAGCGGATTATGGGCTATATAGACTTCTGCATGAAGCACGGCGTTGGGAGTCTAGACACATGGATGAATGGAGTCGTGATATTGAATCGTATAAGTCTCTCAAAACGGGCATCAAATGTACAGAGCTTTGCCATTACACAGCTCTTTTCCCAACGCCAGTAATGTGTACAGTAGTCGCACAGGTGCAGCCTTGCTTGCCAATGCATCCCTAGTATTTCATCATTGAAACCGTAGAAAACCCTTCCAGCGTTTGATTGTCCTCTCCATCCAACTACTCCTCGGCGCCTCCTCCAACTCCTTGATCAGATTCGTATAATGATTCGGATTACTTTTCGGTGTCATCAGCTCTCCCTTGATTGGATACTACCAATTCACAAAACACATCAGCACTGCTCTAAAATTTCAAACTTCGCACAGTCCAGAGCTACATCAATGCAAAACACACCTTCCCCGAATACCGGTTCTCTAGCAGCGAGTACAACACATTCGCCTGCTCCAACTCTAGCTTCTCGTCTACAGAGTTGTGTGCAACAGCTTGCGTGGTGCCAGTTTGGGTGGGTTGCGAGGATACAGGCAGGAACCTCTGCTCGAGTCGCTTTCGCATTATCTTGGGAAATTGGCAGTCTGGACGGAGGTTGTCGACTGGCCAGCGCGAGAGCGCGCGGGTGTAGTGTTGGTAGGCGATCTTTTGGTCGAGTTAGCATGTTATCATCAGCAGACATTGGAAGGCAAGCGTACTGATCTAGACATTGTCAATTGCGATTGGAGAAGTCAGTGTCTTGCTATGTGCAGTTCGTCCCCTCTCTGAATCGATGCCCCAGCCCAGCTCTTGACGTGCACCATGCTCTGGTGCATGAAAATGTAGCCAGGATCAGGGCGGCTCGAAGTGGGTGTGGATGAATCAATTCTCCGCTTCCCTAAATCCGACACAGCCTCACTGTACCTGCACCTTAGACTCCGACAGCCGACAACTCCGCAATCCACGTAACAAGACAAGTACTGCACCAGCTGTAAGCGAGATAAGTTACAGGTTCCTGCCAAGACCCCTATCAAAACAAACAAATCAGGCAGCACTAAAGGACGAGCATAAGTACTGGGAAAGCTCCAAGACATCCTCATAGCTGAATTGCGTCAAACTTTATCAAAATCTCCGCTAAAGACAACACTTCCAATTGTACAGCGAGGCAACAAACCCCCTACTCACGACTCCCTCGCTAAACACCACTCTCATACCATTGCCACAGAAATTGCCACTCCAGCAGAAATGGCATCAGCAACCGCTTACACAGGACCGTCTGCTCGCGAGATGTTTGAAAGTCACACCCTAAGCAAGGAGATCATCGCACGTGCAAAAGATCCTGAGCCCGTTCTCGATGAGTCCGAACTGGCCCTACTCAAACGCTATGTCACCGCTCCTGAGACGAAGAGCGAGATTTTGAGGGAACTTGGATTTACAGATGAGGATAGAAAGATCTTGAAAGGGAAGGAACATGGAGATGGGAGTTTGGTGGCATATATCATGGTAGGTAGTTCAGAACTCTGATTGTTTGATCGGAACGTGGCAGGGGGATTTACAGATGTGCTGATTCAGATGTTGCTTCTAGATACAGTCTGTTCATGGCAATGACCTCTTGTTAGAGAAAGAGATCGCAGATTTAAAGGCGTGGTTTGACAAATCTTGACTGTGTCTTTTCATTCTTGTAGCTGTTGTATTCTGAAAAGATTTGAATCTGACAGTCTGTGGGAGGGCCTTTGAGCCTCGAGGGGTTGACACACGTCCTAAAGGAACTTAGGTATGCTGAAGCTTGATATCATGAATCCTGGAGCATTCAAGAAATACAGCGCTTTTACTGGTGCTAGATCTAGCACTCCGGAAATGATTTCTTGGGTATACCATTGCAAACAGTCCCAGATTTGATAATGCTTGCTCCAGTTCCGCCAACAACGTCTTTGATCTAGATATAAAGAATCACGCTGCTAATCCCGAACAGTATTTGGAAGTTCTTCTTGAAATCCAACAGCAATATATTTTGGCAGCAGGTAAATTCTATTCGACAATGCTAAGTCCGCACTAAGGCTTGGGGAATATACACGCTTAAGCGAAACCAAATCCTACCAAGGTACCACATATATCTGATCGAATGAGCAAAAGCTCTTCAGCAGCGGGTAAAATCTGGCATTGTGCCCCGTTGGTTCATCGGGGACACCCAGAGCATCGTCGCTCGCTACCCAATCCCCTTCCTTCTTCACTTTCCCTCCCACTAACGTCCCACCCCATACATGTACACCTCAATCGGCGGAGCGAGTCGGCATACCTTATTAGATCAAGATTAAAACCTCTCGAACATCCAGATGTTAAGTATCCAGATGAATATCACATTCCTTCCGCTAAAACTTTCCAGAAATTATGATTGGGTGGCTTCTTGCCGCTTTCTTTTTGTTGTTGATGTTTTGGTTGATGAACAAACAGCATTTGCTGTTAAAGCGAGGCCACCGGAGACCCCGCCGACCAGGTATGCGAATTCTCTTCTCTAAAAGTCTGGTTTAGTAACAGTCCATCTCGAAAATACATCCGAACTAGCGCATTTCTCTGAATCCAGATACTATTCATATCAGCCACCCCAGCAATTCCTTTAGCCCCACCACTCCAACGCGAACGCAGCCCAAGCACTGCCCAAATCCCATCACATCTTTATCTCAAAGTGCCGTACTTGTTTCCATTCGCATGCATTACACCATCCATTGATATTGCCTTCCGAAAGAAGCAGTACTTGCAAATTCCATTCTAGAAAAGCTGATCTTTCATACCAAGTCCTCCACATTCCCATGCATTGTATTCGGGTCCAGATTCTCAGAACTGGATCCAGGACTGGAGATGCGTCGTAATGGCCGACTTCAGTCACATATAGGTACTCATGGAATCGTGTAAGTGATTGGGTCGTGCGAGTTGGGGGCGCGTGAAGATGAAGTGGGAGAGCGTATTCTGTTTTTGCAGTAGAAGCGCGGAGCACGTCAATGTTGTATAGGGCGAAAGCTGACAGGGGGTACTGGAGGTGTGCTCTTGGAGAAGATCATGCTGAACTGGTCAAACTGGACGGAAGGGCGTAGTGAAGAGGAGAGAACTCGTATGGTGTTGGGCTCAGGAAGAACCTGGCGAGCCAGCGATATCAGGGACCAATCGTGGTATGGGGAGGTGTCTGATTCTGGGCATTGTATCGTTAGCTATAGCTCTTGGGAAGAACTCGAAGGCGGTCCTTGGAAGGGAGAAGAAGTTTGGCGGTGTGGATAGAGGCTGTGAATGTTGTAGAGATGGGAAATACTAAAGTCGACTGCACACATTAGCAACGACATTGGTGGGAGGGAAATATTGCTATTCAGGAGATCGTGGCTGAGAACTACGCTCGCTATGCTAAAGGCGGAGGATCTTTTGGTGCCTCTGAGATAATACTGTTCCGAATATTTCTCAAAATTGAGCTAGCTAATGTCAAACGACGTACCGCACACTTGTCGTGTGATCAAGGGATTGGCTGCAACGATTGGGAAGACAGCAAATATGACGGCACAGCTCCAGGTGATATAAAGCAAAGCATCAACAGAATGAACATTTTCTGAGTCCTGACATCAGACTTTTCGGGAAGTTATTTGCAACTGATAGATTACCGCTAAGAAACAGACGTAGCTGAACAGAACACTGCGACGCCGGCAGCAAGAAACAGGGAGTGGAGTCGCTGAATACGACCACGGCTCCTTTCCCATTGCTATCAATTGGTCGACATGTCCAACCCCAAGACCGATGCTATATGAAATCGTCCCAGATTCTTGTGTGTGGACTGTATGTCCGTTAAAACTTGACATGTGCTAGGTAGGCTACGTACAATGTGGGGCCTCGTTTGTTGTCATGTGGGATCTAACAATGACACTGGCGAGACTGGACAAACTTATCATACGCATTCGCATTCAGAAACGGGCTGTGATAGATCTATGCTTGCTTTGGAAGGTATCTACTCGGATCGGATATAGCTCTCACAATTCTCGGCATTAACACCAAAAGCATGACGTGAGGTCTCCACCCTCCACAAGATGCCACCACAGAGTCCACTCCCCGTCATCCATTCTTTAAATGCCGTGCCCAGCTCGTGAGGCGGCCCCAAAATGAAATGCAGCTGGATGTTGCCGACAGACAGACAAGCTCATGGTGCCTTTACAAGGGAGAAAAATATACTGGTAGTGACAAATAATCACGGCCCCGCATTCGACGCAGCCGGGCAGCCCCCTTTCTTTTCCAGAACAACGCCTCTGTCACAACCTCCAAGACTCAGTTGGGTTGGGTGTGCGTGCGGATTGCGGAATGTGCCGTGCGATCACAGACACCCCTGCTCGCTGTCTCGCTTAGGCTGCGAGATCGATTTCAAAATCCCATGTTTTGGCGATATGGGAATCTTTCTGCTGATGCAGGCTAATGTTACAGGGGTTGGCCGCATCAGAGCCGGAATTTTGAGGTTTGACGTAGAGTAGACTTGATCTGGGTATGGGAAAAGGAAGGAGCAGTGGTCGAACCGTGGATTTGATTCCGATTGAGAGCTATTAGCATGGAGTGAGGGATTCGGGGCAGCATGGTGTGTTGAGACGCAGTGATAGTTGTTTTGTTTTGCCCAAAGTAAAAGGAAAGTCTTCTTCGCTGGGCAGGAAAAGTGGAGAGTGGAGGAAAAGGCGATCTGAAAAGTCCTTCAGTTGCAGAAGGGGCAGCGAATAACCCGAACAAGAGTACGAGCTACCAGTCGCCTCATGTTTCGCAGGTGAAGATCTTGAATCGCATTGCTAAGCAAATGAATTTATTCTCATCGTTGTTAGGTACTCTCGGTACTGTTCAACTGCCGCATTGCGTTCATGTCACAAGCCAGCCCGCCTGCCGGGTCTGGACCTGAGTTTTGGAGGGACATGTTTCGCCACCCGCGGCTTGTGGGAGAGCGGAAGGCGGGTCTCGAGTAGAACGAGACCTGAACTAATCGAGAAGTTACCAGCGGAATGCAAATGAGGAAATGCAAGGGGGAGCAGCTCTCAAATCGTCGTGAGCAACCCGAATACGAGTCATATGACTTGGTGTTTTGGTCGCGATGTGTGTGACGGGAGGAAGTGCGTGCTTTGAAGATCGCTGGGAAGCTTTGCGTCTTGCGTATCTGGTTTCACAAAGGCCATGTCTTCTGCTGGTAATGCTTGCTTAGCCTTTGGGTAAATTCCACGGTGCTGCAAGGCAGAGTGCCACCATGTTTCTGGCCACGGGGTGCTTTAAACTTCCTGCCTTTGCTGCTTTGCCTTGCCCATGACTGGCGGACAGTGGACAGGAACTACTCAACTACCTTGTCTTGTGAATTCTGTACTGTAGTTCTCGCTCCAAGCCCTGTGCTGACCTTTCCACCAAACATTCCTTACCTTACCGTCCGCAGTCTTTCTCCAGCTGGCCAAAAATGCTCTCGCGCACCCCCGGTGCTGCAGCACGAGGATATGGCGCCCGGATGTCCTTGGGCAGTCCTCTGATGAAGCTTGAAGGAGCTTGAAGATAAGATCGGAAAGAATGCACGTCTCCATGTGGCTGGCCATGGCCAGGGCAAGCCCGCGAGGATCAAGCTGGAGGGAGGTGAGGGTGAGGTAAAATACAGTAGACACCGGCAGGGATGACGAGGCCGGTTGGACGGTTCTACGATCTCGGTAATCTGGAGCTACAGTACAGTAGCACGCCCACGCCTGACCCATGCCAGCAACGGGCAGAGCCAGTCGGGGTTGACGGCTGAGGGCGTGAGGATTTTGGGATTCCCTCTCCCAGTACGAGTAGTCTCCCTCTTCCCCTCCCCCCCTCTCGCCCCTCTCGCCCCTCTCACATCTTCGATCGGTGGGCTGGGACAAGGGCAATGGCCATCTGCTGCTGGGCGATCTTTCTCGCCGGTGTCTTGACTGTTGACGGACGCATCGCCACCTCGACTCATTCGGTAAGTGCAGTAAAAAAACAGTGCAGTGCAATGCTTCCCCTCCCCTTCTGCTCTCATCCTCTCCCGTTCCGTTCCTGTGCATTATTATTGCCTGTTGCATCACTCAGAACTTGCACTTGCTCGGAGATGATCTGTCAGCACTCGCTTGACCTTGTCTTGTCCTTTCTTGCCCTGCCTGCCCTGCCTGCCCTGCCTGCCCTGTCCTGCCCCAATCCTCCTCGTGAAATCTCGCTCGGTCGAATTACGGTACCGGCCAACCTCAGCAGTCAGCACCCAGGCCTGGCCTGGCCAATGATAACTGTTCATATACGGTGCTATTCTTCATACTGGAGGGCATTTAAGATCCACGCTTGGCCAACGCGTGCATGAGGCGAGGCAAGACTGCAGGCAATGAGGCACTGAAAAGAGGGGTCGCGAACCAGACCCAAAGCCCAGCCAGATCGTTTATATCAAGTAGCATCCCATCTTTGCACTGTGCACCCACCATCCGCCACCTATTGTTGATTTCTTGACGACAAGGAAGCCTTTTGAGATCCGATCGACAAAATCAGTTATCGCTATCAATTGCCTTCATCGTCGTGTTGCCGCCGACCAGAGTGAACGCCCAACGTCGAGCACGAGCACGAGCAACAGCAGAAGGAAAAGCAAAAGCAGACCAGGCAGGCTGCGAGCCGAGCAAGCTCCTTGCCCCGATCCAGCCACGATCCCTCGGGTGCACCTTCATCGCGACCCAACAAACCACAACCGCAACCAGTGCGACCCAGCGCAGTGTGCCAGATCCGATCCGCAAACTCCTCCTTTCACGCCAGTCTTGGGAATCGAGAGATTTTACTGTTTATCGTTCCACTCTTGTTCCTCCAGCTTGCTTCCTTCCCAAAGCAGCTTAAAGAGCCAGAGCCAGAGCCAGAGCCAAGACCGAATCTCGATCATAACACCTCGACCCCGACTCCCCCACGTTGTACTGTACATCTATCCCTCACGTACGCCGCCCAGAATCTACGACGACGACAGGACCTTGACAGCACTCCAGCGGAATTGGATTTCCCGATACTTCACTCCTGTAACAAACAAAGCGTCGTTTGCAGACTCATCGAGAGAAACAATGCCTCCGTCGCGGACCCCACAGCAACTGTCGCAACCGATGAAGCCGGTAAAGGTAGAGATCCACAGTTCTGTCTCTCGACTTGACTAACAAGCTACAGACCGAGCGTACACATGAAGAGAATCAAGAGCGAGCATACATTGCTGCATCCCGTCGAAGTGATCGAAGTTTAGAAGCCCGTGTCGAGTCTGCCCGAAGAGCTTCGGAGATACACAAACGCCGGACAGGTCGAAGTCTTCGGGTAACTGAGAAGGATGTTATGGACGAGGAAATGTACGAAGAGGAAGATGATGGATTGCCCAGGCAGTACCGCCAACTCGCAGCGCATCTTCAGACCGGCAATCCCGACTTCAACAGCAGGTTGGAAGCATACTTGACTGCCAATGTCGCGATGCGCTCCGCCCTCGAGAGATCCATATCGAACTCGTACGCACAGCAAGGACAGCAATACCCTGCGCAGTACGCCGGAATCTATCCATCTCCAATGCTGGCTCATCAACAGTATCAACAGCCCATGTCGCAGCAGACGATGCAACCACCGCAACAACAGCAGAATCCATACAGACAGGCACCATACCCAAGTCCACGACTAAGTCATGATCAGCGATCGGCCTCGTTCGCAGCACCGGCAATTAAGCAGGAGTCCTCACCTGTTACCAGCCAAGGGAATCCGTCCAGTCTGTTAGACAGGCGGATGTCGATGCCAGTGACTCCAGCTGCCTCAATCTCGCCAGCCACCTCAAGTACTCCAATGTCACCATCACAGTCAACACCAAAGCAGAAGCCGTCATTCCCACAGGGTTCATTCTCTCAGCCATACCAAATGCAACAGCCTCAGCATATTCCGCCGGGGTCAAGCAATTTCCAAGAAAACCACGGCGGAAACTTCGGACCCTTCAGCACGGCATTGCCAAATAATGCAGCCGGACTATTGGGATCGACTTTCCCGTTTAATGATTCTTCTATGATCATGGACGGAAATGACAGTCTTCCCACCTACAACTTCAACAATCAACCTCTTCCACCGACAACCAGTATTGGCAAGCAACAGATGTACCCAAGTATCGACGGGCTGAACACCACGCTTGCTCCTTCAGCCCCAGAGCTCAGCTTCCAGCCACATGACTTCTTCAACGATGCGATCTGCATGACTGGCAATCAAGAGGCTACCCCTGGCCAAACACCCGGGCTTGATAACGACTGGAGTAATTACGTCAATTTTGACGATTTCCCATCAAGTCAGACATCACAGACTTGATTTATTTTCCTTATGCTATATTGATACGGTATCATATCTATAGGTGTTTGCTGGGCAGTCGCTTAGTGCTACCTGATCTCAGTGGTAGCAATCAGCACGCTTCTCTTTTCCTTCAGCGTTTGCTTGGCGATGGCTCCAGAAGGGTGTTGGCGGCGCACTTTAACCACCTACATAATCACGGCTGTTAGCTGTTAGTTTTCCAATCTCCACACATTTCATTGGAGGTATGCGTGCCTTGTAAGGAGTCATACAAAGAAAAAAGGTCATGGATGATGTATGAGGGCGAAAGGACACAATTGCGCAACTTGCGGTCAATCGGGGAGTGTTATCATCCGCCATGTTCAGTAGGGAAAGGAAGCAGTGACATTGGTCGTTTGGCAGAAGCAACAATTTGCATTGGCATATGTGTTGGCTTGATTACGAAGAACTGGAAATGAGCGAATGGACGACCGAATATCTGAGCTGGGATATGTTTAGAACTCAATTGAAAGAGTGATTTTGAATCCCATACATATCTTCCGTCCAGCCTGCGAATGCTTGTGACATATACTTGGAGATGTAGGTTCGGTTTCTCAATTTCTATACTGATGAGCCTTCCAGATGAAGAGACATCATACTTCCTCTGGCCCTGTTCACCCACCCAGACATATAGTATAGATTACCACGGTCTAGGCCACTTTCGCTTCTGCTTGCAGCAACAGTGCTACTAAATCAGAAGCATATGACTTGCCTGAGGAAAGTGATCGTAGCAGGAGTGGGCGGTAGGCGCACCTGCCGGGTGCTGGTCATTGCCACTCTCTCCCTCCTGCACCCACATACTGGACATTGAGATCGAAATTTGACATTGCGAGACAAAAATCAACGTGGATTTTTTTGGGACTTGATTTGGTGGCCATGTAATCCTTCTTTTCCTCAATGACATGAGCAACGGAATTCCGATCATGGCAAGGTAAGGCGGAGTCTTGCTATATTCTAAGGGGACAGATGTTGGAGAAACTAGTGGGGTAGAATGATGGTAAGGAATATGATGGGGGTGACTGGAACCAAAAAAAGTACGTGTTTGATGTGATCCTCGAGGGTGGATTTCGGCTTGATTGAGGCTGGGCCAACGGCATCGCCGTAGCCGGGAAGTGTTGATTGTCATATCATCAATCCAAGTAATTGGAGCACCTTGGAGCACAACCCACAGTCCATCTTCGAGGAGCAATAAAACTAGAGTGAGAGCTTGGTAGTTGCCGCCAGGATTCCATCATCCTATCGCCTCGACTCAATCGGGAAAGATCTGCATACTTGATACAGTCCATACCGCAGTTTGAAGTATCTCTGGCAAGCCGTGTCTCGTGATTCGTTTTGCTTGTACGAACTCTTCCTCTTCTCCATGCCCAATGGCCTCTGTCGTCCCCTCTTATATAGTCCATTCCTCGTCAGTCTGCGTCTGGACCAACAAAACAGACGGTTGTTCCACATCAAGGAGTAGAACTGACACGTCTCGTGGTTTTGTTATCTGCATATCTATGGTTGAGGACAGGAACTCGCAGCTATAGGTGAGGTTGGACTGGCGAAAAGGGAAAGATTTGCCGGGCGTCAGTCCTTAGTATCTTGGAAGTGGTTTGGGCCTGGAGAGTATGAGGCTCTAGCTCATACCCAGTCGCAGATTTCTGGGAAGTGGATTTCGTTGGAATAGAAGATGCTCTTTCTGGCTTGAATTGATTGATATCTGAGCGGTGGAACGAGGCCGGAGAATGAATCGCCGTTGCTGAAGCTAATTACTGATATCTAAAGAGTGGAATAAGCGTGACTTGATGGAGTTACTGGAGGGGTAGTAGAAGACTGCAGAACTGGAAGTGCAATTGATGAACGTTGCTTTGCTGAGCCGACTCATGGAATAGAATACCAGAAATTACAAGATACATGTAGAATAACATAGGCCACTAACCTTCATCACCTTGCTGGGCTCGTTCGCTTGGAAAAGAGGAATCGTTGATGTAGATAATTGACCACCCAAGTGAGCCCCTTTGCAAGAAGCTTGTGGGAGAAGAGGTGATGGAGCTTTAGACAGTAGATCTCATGATACAGCTCTTTCTCCAAGGACATAGGCTTCTTCACAGCAAGAGAGTCTTGGAGACCTCTAAAGTATTGTCTTTCAGTAGGTAGTATGGCAAAAGGCATGTCGCATCCTTCGAATCTGCAAGCCCGTCAGCTTGCTCTCCTTGAAACCCCTTTGCCACTTGGTCTTGGCGGGCAGCGTCAAGGTGGAACTATCAAGGTCAGTATGTGTGACCCCAAGCATCCTGTGGATTCTTTGGAAAGACGCCTCTAAACATCTTTTGAAGCATTCTGTCAGTAGCTGTGAAGTTCTCTCAAACATAAATTATGGGCCCTGGAAGTAAAAAGTAAAGGAATGGAAAACAAGGTGAGCCAAATGTTGCCAATGCCATCTTAAACCTATAAACACTCTGTCTTCAATGTACAATATGCGCATGCCACCCACAAAAGAAAAGTCCCAGTCCTCTTTTATCTATACGGCGCATCCGCTCTAGCTGCCGCAGCCAACTCTGGCTCCCACTTATCTCCTAATCATCATGTTAGCACGATTCCGTAAGTCTGAGAAAACTCATGTATTGAGCGAGACCGATCCATACCATTCGCGAGCAACTTCTCCTTGTTGTAAAGCAGCTCCTCCCTTGTCTCAGTCGCATATTCGGCATTCGGCGATTCCACAATAGCATCAACTGGACAGCTCTCCTGGCAGAAACCACAGTAGATACACTTCGTCATGTCGATATCATAGCGAGTGGTTCTGCGGCTTCCATCTTCACGCTCCTCGGCCTCAATGGTGATGGCTTGGGCGGGGCAGATCTAAAACCATTAGAATGTATGTCGTGGAGGTACATGGCAACATACGGCTTCACAAAGCTTGCATGCAATGCAACGTTCTTCCCCGGATGGGTATCTTCGTAGAGCGTGTTCGCCACGGAAACGTGGAGAGATTGGTCCCTATTTCAACATGAGCAATGCCTCCTCCAGACCACAACTGCCGTATATGTACCTTTTCGAATGGGTAGAAAATAGTGTATCTGCGTTGTGTTAACACCTGCGGCATCAAGATAGGACCCAATGGCTCAATGGCAAGACTCACGGAGGTCTGAAGTATTGTTCCAGCACCACATACATGCCCCTTGCCATCTCCGTCAACAAGAAGTATTTTCCCGCCTTATCCAATGATGACTCCTTGCTCTGGTCCCATCTCTCCGGCTTTGGTAACCTGAAGCCAGCAGGCGGTGGTCCTGAGGGGGTGGCGTAGGCGCGGAAGGTAGTCGACGAGAATGCAAATGTAGCCAAGGGAGTCCTTGAGGGTGCTGCAATTGTGCGGATTGAGCAAGGGCTCGTGAGCCGTGCTGTCGGACGGCTGCAAGCCACGAGCAGTGTCAGAGGCTTTGTAGATGCCATTGTGTGGTTGCTCGTGGCAGTGTTGTTGCGGAGGGGTGGAATTGGAGGTCGCAAATGTATGATGGAGCAACACTACCTAGGTAGGTAATTCAGGTCGTCTGATTGGCTTTCTTTCGTGGGGGAGCTTCAATCAACCACCAGAAAGCAAATTTAACAGAGACAGCAGGGTCAGAACTTCGACGCCTAGTTTCACATATATAATCGAGTTTTAATCCCTGGTAATGACTTCCTTTTTAAGTCGAGAGGCTCTGGAGTTGTCGCTCAGTCACGTGACTAGATCGAGAGAAAATACGCTAGCTTCGAGCCCGAATGAGCTTCCACTGTAATCATCAAACCTGCCTTCTCCTCCCACAGCAAACCTCCTCTTCAAGCTCCCACAAACCTCCAAAATGTTCCGAACAGCTCTTCTCAGATCAGCACGTAGCGCTACCCGCCAGGCAGCCCAGAAATCAGGAGCAATCGCACGCCCTGCGTCGCAAAGCTACCTGCTCTCACAATCCCGATTCGCCCCGTCCGCTTTCCAGGCTGTAAGATGTTACTCTGCTGCTGCGGGATTGGCAAAGCCAGAGGTTGAGGGCAGAATAGTCGATTTACTGAAGAACTTTGATAAGGTATGCCTCTGGTGTTGAATGGATGGAATGCCTTTTGCGAGAGCTTGCGTTGTTGACAACTTAATCCAGGTCACCGATCCTTCGAAGGTATGAATGGTACACAATGATGGTTCCGTGCCTGCAGCTAAAATAGCATAGCTTACACCTACTTCCCACTTCTCGAACGACCTTGGTTTGGACAGCTTGGATACTGTCGAGGTTGTGATGGCCATTGAAGAGGTTAGTGCTGGGAAACATATTTGATGCTATGATGGGCTTCTAACGCTCGTTACAGGAGTTCAGTATTGAGATCCCAGACAAGGAGGCAGATGCTATCCACAGTGGTATGTTGGATATTCAACACAGTGGTTGGGCAGGTCTAACAAAGTTTCGATAGTTGACAAGGCGGTTGAGTACATTCTTGCGCAACCAGACGGTAAATTTGACAAGAGGCACAGTTTTGGACAAACAAATAGAGACTAACCGTGAATAGCTCATTGAACGATGGATTTGTATATTAGGGGAATTGGACGTGGAGGGGAGACAGGAGACTCGGATACTAAATGTGGAGGGACTATGTCCGGAAATCTTGTACAGATTCAGCATGCCTAGAGAAGCATATTGAATCTATGCGCCTGTAAAAATGTTTAGAACACCTTACTCTTCCTCAGTGCCACGCTCATGTTTGTGTATCTTGACTACCAATCTATCAAAGTTCCGTAACCGGTCAAAGTCTTGGGACCCAGCAGCCTCGCACCCAAAGGAGCTTTGCGCTAGTGCATCCCTGCCTCACGGATGAACTTCATACAAAGCTCTCGAATATCTTCCCGACAGCATCGTTTATGCCCCGCGAAGTGCTTGCGAACACCAACCCTATTAACGCATGAAATCCAATCGCTCTGCGACGAGCCTTCGAGTTCCTAAAAGTATTTCGACACCAACTGATACCCTCGTGTTCGGGCATACGAATTGCGGAGACCTGTCATAATCGCATGCGAGGACACCCATAAATCCCCCTTTCTCCAAACCTCGACCCGACCTGGGAACAACAGCCCATCGTAAACACCAAAATGTCGTCGGGACTCACTCGAAGAAGAGGCGGCGGCGGCGGAGGAGCAAGTGGAGAGAATGAGGAGGGAGATCCGAGTCGCGTGGCTTCCCCAGTCCCCAAGGCTGGTGGCTCTCGCGACACCGGTGGTCCAGAAACATCCTACGAGAGCGGCGAGAATGGACACAAGATTGCTTTCGACCCGAGGGATATCAGCGAGAGTGCTGAGCGGAGTAAGCAGCCGAAGCTGACGCTCATGGAAGAGGTGCTCTTGTTGGGATTGAAAGATAAGCAAGTGAGTATGCCAATGGAGGCGCGGGCAATCTATTCTGGAAGTTTACCAACATCTCGTTAGGGATACCTCTCATTCTGGAACGATAATATCTCATACGCGCTGCGAGGATGTATCGTCATCGAGCTTGCCTTCAGAGGACGTGTTAGCATGCAGAAGGATTCCTCGAGAAGGAGGTTCCCCCTAGCTGATCGAGTTATCGAAGTCATCGATGATACACTTACTGGAGAAGTTCTGCTCGACGAGGCGCTCAAGATGATGAAGGCCAGTGAGAAAATGAGTGTCAGCCAGTGGATTGACCTAATGAGTGGTATGCTATCCCTTCGTCCCAACGAACATGCACCGGGTTTCTAACTCGCATTCTAGGAGAGACCTGGAACTTAATGAAGATTGGCTACCAATTAAAGCAAGTCAGAGAAAGATTAGCGAAGGGCTTGGTCGACAAGGGAATTCTCAGAACCGAGAAGCGAAACTTCCTACTATTCGACATGGCAACACATCCTGTAGCTGACGGAGGAGCCAAGGAGGAAATCAGACGACGTGTTAGAAACGTCCTGACGCAGCGAACAGTGGTTCTACCCGGAAGTCAATTCCTTCCAGAAAATCTCGAATTCAGATACGTCCGAACCATTGCTATGGTATGTGCTGCGTACGCTGCCAATGTTCTTGAAAATGCGTTGGCTACGCTGGGACATGAAGCTAGAGAACGTGCTTTTGCCCAGGTAGATGAGCTGCTCGCCGAGTACAGTCAATGGCCGTTTGGAAAGAGGGCTGGTGGGGCTTCTGGCGGTGTTGGGGCGAATTTGGGACAGGTGATTGGAGACGAGGTTACCAATGGCAAGGACAAGGAGTTGCAACTCGAGGTATATCTTGACAGTTAAATATCGTATCACGAAACCAAAACTAACCCTCTGTTAGGTCGTAGCAGCATGTCTCAGTGTCTTCACTCGCCTGGACTCCCTCCTCTAGTTGTTCAAGAGGAATTACATCACAGAACTGGGCAAGGCAGGGCACCAAAGGACGACGACCGGCTTGGAGACAGAAAGGGAGTGATAAACCTTCTACATTGTCGTAATTACTACCGGGTATCCAAAAGATTGGTTCTCTTCTCTGAAAACATGACCAAGCAAGAGAGCATCAAAATTTCTTGGGGGAGACAGAACGAGCGAAGACAGGCAAGTGGGAGCGAATTCAAATTTGCGTACCCTTTTGTTAATTCGCAATGGCGTGCAAGGCAGACATTTGAAATTTGGCATGGGCGTTGTTTGTTCCTTCGAGACTTTACTGTTAGTAGCAAGAATGATTACTTGCTTGCATATGCACGCATGACCTTTGCTTGGTCTCATTCTCCTCGTCTGCCTGTTATTAGCTGGTGAGTGGGTAGAGCCTTCACCTGAAAATTGAACGGTGAGTAGCTGTGTTAGCTGGAACCACAAACCAAGAACACGGAGACTGTAACAGATATGTACGCTTTGGGACGAACGGTTGGCTAAATATCAACTCAATACACATCCCCAAACTCCACGACTCCCCTTGGTATTAAGTACACAAGCATCTAAAGAAGCCATCGCATTATAATATGCCATTAGCCCTTGAAGCTGCCTTCAAACCCTGGTCTGCTCTTCACTTTTGGTTTTTTGCCCTTCACACTCTTGCCCTTACTCCTTTTGCTCTTAACGCCCTTTCCATCACGTCTCTTCTGTAGGTTTTCCTCTCGCTTCTTCTGTTTCATAGCTTGGCTTTTCGCCACGCCCTCTTTTCGTTCCGACCATTCCTTCTCACTCTTCTTTTTCGACTTCTCTTTGCGCTTCAGAGTTTTCTTCAATAGCGACGTATCATCTCGAACCTTCTCGCCATGAGCACGCTTCTTGGCGTTAAGCCAGAGGTCCTTCTCCTCGATATCCGCTCGCTTCGTTTCGTCGAGGCCGGCGAGGCGAAGGCGGTTCTTCTCGGTTGCTTTCAGGGCACTGGCTGCGTCTTGCGGTCCACGTTTCTTAGGAGCGTTTTTCAACGCAATGAGATCCTCGGAGAGCTCTTGGCCATCCGCGAATGCTACGCGGCCGAAGGAGAAGTTGTGTTCTGGAGAGTGGATGATAGGACTCATCATGCTCGACGCAGGCGAATCTCGTGCCGAGGCCAAAGCTGCTTCCCGTTTCGCATCTTCCTCAATTTTAGCCTTCAGTCGAAGTTCTTTCTTGTGCGCTTTCCTCTGCTCCTCCTTCTTCCGTCGCGCCTCCAGCAACTCTTGACGATTCCGTGCAGGTCGTCCATCTGGTCCATCAGCTTTCCGTGCCGCACGGAGTGCTTCTATCCGCGCTGCCAATCTCGAGCGGAGAAGTTCAGGGTCTGTGGGGAGCTTGATGTGTTTGGGTGCGGTTGCGGGAGGTATGACGGAGGATGTGGATGTGTTCGCACTCGGCTCTGTGGGATTGTCGAATGTAGGTGAAGGTGGTGAGGGGCTAGGTGATACAGATCCATTCTGTTCTTCCAACCCGTCGGCCTCAAAATGACCTATCTCATCTCCTGGAAGTCCTTCATCGTCCACTGAATCATCATCGTCGGGACCTTGCTCGCCTGTCTCATTGTTGTCCACTTCAGGTCCATCATCTACCTCAATATCGGCCACGACTTCAATGTCGGCTTTTTGTCCTTCCAGCTTTTTGCCAGACTTTTCCTGAAGTTTCTGCTTGGTAACAGACTTCTTCTCCTTCCTCTTCTCGGCCTTCTTCCCCGCCTTCAGCTTCTGCTTTTCTAATTTGGCGGCCTTGCGTTCAGCCTTGGACTCTTCCGCAGATGCTTGGGCGTCACTGTCGTTCGTGGTTTTCTGCTTCTTGGCCTTCTTATCCTGCGCCAGCTTGAGCCCCTCCTTGGGTAATTCCTTTTCCACACCCTCCACTTCAGACCCTTCTAACTCTTCCAGCTCCGCCAATTTTCGCTTTCGTGCCCGCTCATCCATGACATCTTTGGCTGTTTTCGACGTGGCAGAGTCCGGATCTAGCTTTGCTCTCCGTGCTGCTGCGGCCTGCTCCTTGGTTTGCTTCTTCTTCTTCCATTGGTCCTAGAAGGGAGAGATCAATTCATGCATCCCATGTTGCGGTGAGAGTCTGTGACATACGCTGTTGTCTTTCCCGTAGTAAATATCTGCGGGAATCAAAGACAGCAAACCGTCAAAAGATTCGGCATGCGCACGTAAGCGGTCCTAAAAGTGTGATTAGCATCAATATGAAAAGTTGAAAATATCGCGGGGAAATTCACCTGGATCGAACTTTCCGCCATGATGGATGATGCTAGGCAGGGGCGATTGAGGAGGTTTCAAGAAGGTTTCCCGTCGTTTGCCTAATCGACTCCTCCTGGACCTCTAGTAATGGAGAAAATGTCGTTCCCTGGGAAATCCGACGCGGCTGTTATCGAAGATCTCGTCTCGATCTCAAATTTACATCCAGTGCGCTACCGAAAAGTTCTCGCTAGCAAAGAGCGGGACGGGATTAGCTTATCCAGTGCCACACGTGACATCTACCGATAAACCATCCATCCAGTCTCGCCAGTCTTCAGTGCTCCCGAGGTGCTCCCGAGTCCCGTCTCTCCAAGGTTCGCTTCGCTGCTTCGCTTCTTCGCTTCGCCTCGCATCCTGGAGATCAGCTCAAGACACCAAAGACCGGCCGAAACTCAGCCTCCTTTGTCGTACGCAAAGGCCTGCAACTGTCTATCTATCCATCCATGACCTGGCAAAAATAGAGTTGCTCTGCGATGGAGACCACAGAGGCAAGGCTGCATTGCACGCCACGTTGATATCTGCCACCGGCACTTTAAAGCTCACAGGCCAGTCCAAACCTCGCTTTGTTCACGTAACCATACGTCGTACCCAAACATCGTCAGCTTCATCTTCGTCACTCTGCTCTCAACACGCGGTTCTTCGAACCAGCTTCCCTATAACACTCAATCACTGCTGTTTCGTCCGTCCTGGATGCCGCTCAGTCCTTTACAGTCGTATCTGGAGTCATTTCACTGCGACCCCTTTTGAGTCACTGTCACCGTCGCCAGGAAGTATGGCACCTCAGGTCGAAGCAAGCTCTCTTTCCGACATCACGCAGCTAGCAGGAAACCCCCCGAAATATCCACGCAACCCCACCGAGGCCAAGAGAGAGCCTCTAACGTTGTACATTGCACGTGTACCGGGAAGTCGAGGTAGGTCACGTTTGTACGTGTGTCCGCACGGTACTGAAATCGGATAGATATTATTCTCACAACTCTCAAGCCACAGCTGAAGAACGTTACGGCTGAAGATGTTGCATCCTCTCTCTACTATCTGCATCTCCAAACACCAGAGGATGCCAAATTCCTGGAAGACGATGCAAATCCTGTAGCCGGGGAAACGACGTCATTTGTGAATAAATCTCTTCCTCGCAAGCCTCTCCCAGAGTCCGCAAGATCCTCAATTGAGATCAGCCGTCAACTGACCGCCGCGTCTCAACGCTCTCGGCCCAAAGAGCCCACCACAAGTCTTCCAAGACGGAAGCCTGTTGGATCTGAGAGTCCAACGAGAAGGCCACCGCCTCAGGCACACCAGAATGAGTCAATATTAAGACGACCGCTTGGACCTCGGGATCAAACAGAGTACGGATTTGAGAGAAAGCAGTTTTCTGGTGTTGAAAATGCACCTACTAGTGCCGCTTCACGAACCCCGTCTCCATCCAAGAAGAGCATCGATCTTACCAGGACGGCTGAGTTACTTGCGGAGAATGTTGAGGCTGATAAAGAAGCATTCTCCATCACATTAATTCGTCGAGATCCTTCTTCTGGGGCGCAGTGGAACATCGGCAGCGTGACTGGCACGCCAGCGTCCGAAGAAGCACAAAGTCGGCGATTAAAGACTGCGCCGCGTTCTAGGAAGCCCTATTTCGACCTGTCGGTTCACATTACCACCCCGGGATACAACTATTTCCGACATCCACAACCGAATTGTCACACTGGCAATGCCACAACCTCTCACAACATGAGTGGTGAATCAAGTACTGATGCGGACGAGTTACACCTTCAGCCACGGTCCAATTCGGGATTTGATCGGCAGGTCCGCATGGAGGGAAATAGCTTTTGGAATCGATCTTCAATACAGAGTAAAAGGGCGCTCTCTGACATCTCGGACAAGCATATGACCGTACGTGGCAGAAGTTCTAGTGAGAGCAGCTCTGGTGCACCATATGTCCTTCCCGGTGACGAAGATTCTCAGACTAAGGGGTATATTTTTTCGAGCCCATGGGGAGGTCGGTGCAAGTTCTCAACCGGATCTGGGGGCCGCTCGCTGCGCTGTAAACACACCTTGCCAGCACCAGTATCGGCAAGCAACGATCCAAACGCGACTTCTTCAGCTCAGCCAGCAGTGGTTGTGAGTGAGCTACGGTTTAACTTACCGTCTTCAGCTGTGTTTACACAAGCGGCATCTGTAACTTCCCCCCCGCACAAAGGGCTCGATTCCAAACAATTTAGCATGCCAAAACTTAGTCATATCCGGAATAAGTTATCATCTGGCCACAAGACAGCTCCTCCACTTCCACCGCGTCCACCACCAACTTCATATGCAGCTCTCTACCCTAGTGACGATGACCGACCGCCTCCATTACCTCCAAGATCTTATTCACAAACTCCAAGGGGTTCAAATGAGGAAGCAGTGGCACCACCTCCTATGGGACACCAGCCCTTTCCTTATAGTGCCTACCTAAGGAGCGAAGAAGGAGAAGACGAAGAAGTTCGGCTCGACCTTAGTATCGGCCAGGAGAAAGCCGGAGGTGGAAATCGGGGCAAGCGAGCAAAACTTGGCAAGCTCATAATTCACGATGAAGGGTTCAAGATGCTAGATCTAGTGGTTGCCTCGAATATGGGGATTTGGTGGAGTGTATGGGAATCCGAACATTGGTAGGACGAGGATAGTAATGGACAAGTTGAACACCCGATGCTGTTCTCTATTTTAGTAATACTGAGCCGAGTCTAGGCTCGAACATCGCCGAATAGGCAAAGACGCCTGGCCTGTTTAGCCGAGATTTTTGTTTAAGAATCCGGGTACCGAGCCAAGTACTCTCACTATTCGTTCTCAGCCAGCAACCCTATGACCTAGACATTCAGAACCTGTGACGAGGGTTCATCATGCTGGATGTCCCTAGCAAACACGGCGGTTTCCCGCATAGAGACGCTCCATCTGTCTGAGTTCCCAGAAAGGGGCTCTGTCATGTCACACAGCGTGAGATGAGCCAACGCCCCCCAGATGTCTTTCGTCGAAAGGAAGAAATCTGCAAAACCTGGTTTTCTCGTCCTCGAGGCCTTGTTTTCAGCTACGCCTTCGGCTCCGGTGGCGGCTTGTATCAATTCCAAGATCGGTACCTTTCCTGTTGAATCTTCGATCTCTGTTCGTATGTGAGTCAAAAGGCTCTATCTCAAGCGAGAGTATGTGATACAGTTCTTGACTTCGGAACTTGTTGTCTCCGCGTCGTCGCCGAAAGCAAATTAGGAGGCGTTTATTGGGTGCTCTTGTGTCATGTAATATTTTAATTCTTGAACGCTAGGGGTCAGGCGGCTGTGAGTCTATGTATGAGAGCTTGACGGTGTCACATCGTTCCTATTTGTTACCTTATAGTGTTCATTACTATCCTTGAGGTCTAGCTCTTTGGGTGGATCTGTGTTGTATATAAATACAGTCGAGACCCCCTTCAATTCTCCTCCACAGCTCAACACAGTCAGTTCCAACGGGAAACCATCCAGCTAGCCCACCCAAATCCAGCCAGTACACACTTTCATTTCAACTTAGATACCTCTTACCCACCGCATAATCGTTCAAAATGCAACTTACTAAGATCTACACTGTCCTCTCCTTCGCCGCCGCTGCTCTGGCCGCTCCGGCTGTCGAGAAGTATGAGAAGAGAACCGACTCAACCTCCTGCGCCCAGGGCCAAGGAACCCTCGCCTGTTGCGCTCAGAAGCCAGAGCTCAAGCCCTCTTCCAACCTTGGTGCCAACCTTGCTCCAGTTCTTGGAGGTCTCCTGGGTGTCATCCCAGCCATTCTGCCCTTGATCGTCCCAACCGTATCTGTTGCTGCTCAGTGTATGTCCTCAAACACATGGCGTTCAGTTGTGTTCGAAGTTATTACAGACTCGCTAATGGTCAAGAAAGGCGTTGCTATCATCGCTCAAATTGAAGCTTGCGCTACTCCCAACATCTGCTGCTTGGCTCCTTCAAGCGGAAACACCAACAGTGCTGGCGTAAGCAACTTCTTATCGTATAGAAACAGTCAAAGAGAAAGGAAACTGATCAGTGCCGGCAGCTTATCCAACTCCTCTCCAACAACCAAATCGTCGTCTGCCCTGGTGTCACCGTCTAAACTGCCTCTTTCGCATGCCCGCAAGTCGCGAATCTACAGCAGCCTCGATTCCACATCCTGGTCTACTGTTCCGAAGTCGAGATTTTCTTACATGCAAAACACTTCCTTTTTCGCTTCACTGACGAATATCAAGCTTCAACTCTTCTCACCAATCCATACAACAGACACCGGGCTGTGGACAATACGGGATGGACATTTTCGGCTTTCGTGGACTCTACTCACCTGCCTGCTTGCTTTAGTTCTGTGTGGTTTGATGGGTAGCTGAATGAAGAGTTCTGGTTGGATGGTTCGGATGAGGTCTGTCCTTGAGTCTGAAATTCAACATTTGGGATAACAGGGATGTGTCAAGTTCGAGCTGCCACTCACTACTACTGTCGTTAATAGTTCTAGAGTGTTGTTATAATCCACTTCTTTTGCGACATTCAGATGTTCCTTTCAAGCTCTACACTCCACAAGCCATTTCAGACGGGTAAAAACTTGACCGAGCCAGCCTCCAAACTCAGAACTCAGTGTCTCTGCACATTCACCAGTACACTGCAGGGTGCAGGCAGTGCAGTGCTGGTCCCATTCTATTAAGCAGGACAGCATCTATCAGTGTTACATTTCCTGCACACAAATTTACCTACACGATCTAGCACCTTGATGCAGATCTCTACTTGGGATTGTACCACGCAAGCGAAACAAAACAGTCGCACAAACATGATCATGTCTTAACCCCGCAAGCAGGATGTCTCGTGTTGGAACTAACCGGTGCAGCATGAGATTAAAATTGGGAACTGTAGATACTACCCATTTTGAACACAGCTCTAGGAACTATTCATTCTAAGAGATAGTATATGTGAACACCCTCCTTTGACACCAACAACCCTGCACTGTACTAATGGTAACGCCGATCCTGTCCGTTTCCACTTTCTGTTCGCCGCTAACGCCCAAGACTTCCGGTGGAAGCTACTAATGACATACACAAAGCATCACAACTAATGCGAAATATACTGGAAAACAGCCGATACAGCCTCATCCCCACATTCTTGTCTAAGTAGCAGATCTTGGATGGACTTCAATCCATCGTTGACGAAATGGTTCCACGTACTCGTATCGCCGTACATCATCGCAGGGGCTTTGAGAAACTGCTTTCCGTCCGGCTTGCATCGCTTGCATTTAAACGTGTCATGCGTATCACTGGTCGTCTTTCCGTGGTATTGGAACAGCTCCCGCAGACTGTCAAGAGTGAAATGACGCTCCACGTCCTCGGCAGAATCAACAACGCACGAAGATAGAGATTGCTTGTGAGATTGGCGTTGGAAGATCTTCTCTTCTATAGTTCCAGTGGCGATGAACCGGTACACAAAACAATCCTTCTTCTGGCCATCTCTCCACACTCGGGCGAGAGCTTGCTGATCTGCAGCAGGGTTCCAATCTGGGTCGAAGAGGACCAGTCGATTGGCACCGATGAGATTGAGACCACATCCCCCTGCCTTACTACTCAAAAGAAAGACGAACTCGTTGCCCTCTGGATCGTTGAATCTGTCAACAAGCTTCTGCCGCTTCGTCACGTTCATTGTGCCGTCAAGCCGAAGACTACCATAACCGCGATTGCGACAGAGTTTGTCAAACATGTCGAGTGTCTGAGTGTAATTGCTAATAAGAACGATTTTATCGTTGGTGTCTTGATGAATACGAGCAAGCATGCGGTCCAAGACTTGCATCTTGCCGGAATACCAAGGCTTGATATCTCGGTCCCTACCTCGCGAATCTTTTGGAACGTAGTCGTCTGGGAAGTATTTTTCGCAGCCCGTCAAGTCATCTGGGAGGCTGAGCAGGTCTGGATGATTGCAGAGCTTTTTGAGCATTCCGATAGCCTTTAGAGGTTGACTGCCTTTGCCACGGAGCAATGCTTTGATGTCGGGACTGCTGATGAAATGGTTGTATAGGTCGAGTTGGAATGGAGCCAGATTGCAGAATACGACATGCTCATACTTGACTGGCAAGTACTTCGACAGGATATCATTCGTACGTCTGATGATGAACTTGTTGACGACACTCAGCAGCTCTCGAACTGTGGCATCTCCTTTCTCTCGGTCCTTGTCGCTTCCAGCAGCGTCACGACCCTTGAGAATCGGTAGTTCATACTTCTTCCGGAACTCCATCCGCGTTCCAAGCAGACCAGGATTGGCAAAACTGATAAGAGAGAAGTACTCGGAAAGATCGTTCTGGATCGGAGTGCCCGACAGAATAACCCTTCTTGATACATTGAGACTGTTCAGTGCTGTGAATGTTTGACTGTCGCCATTCTTTAATCGATGGCCTTCATCGCAGAGCATTAGTCCAATCTTCGTGTTCTTCAGTTCTTCGACGTTTAGTCGAAGTGTTTCATAGGAGACGATGATGACCGGCCTAGTAACGGAACGGCCTGTCGCGATAGCCCACTGCCGCAGCTGTTGTTGCAACTCCTCTTTGGAAGCTTTGCCATCAATCGCAAAGGGCTGAATGGCGTCCGGACCAAGCCACTTTATTAACTCGTTTGCCCAATTCTTCACCAGACTTGATGGGCAGGCGATAATAGCCTTCTGGATGGTGGATTTTCCGGCATCCGGAGACTGCTTCAGAAGCGTCCACATCAGCGTGATACATTGCAGCGTCTTCCCTAGACCCATTTCATCTGCCATAATGCAGCCATTTGCATTATCTTCTATCATCCCCGTAACACACTTGTACATGAACTTCACACCTTCGATCTGATGGGGCCGAAGAACCTTCGCCAGTCGTGGGTCGATGACAACAGGTACTTTTGGTCTCTCGGTATCCACGACTTTCTTGATCCCCAGAATCTCTGCCAGTGACTTGTGTACCAGCGGCGCATCGATTTTTGGTGGCTCTCCGCTTTCAGCTTTCCTAGCCTCTTCGATTGTCCTGGGTTTCTCGTCGATAGTAGGATCGTAAAGAACAATTGCAAACTCTCCACTCGGGTCATGAAGTGGCTTTGCAATAAACACAGCACCTTGTCTCAATCCAAGTGTGGGTGGCGGTCGATTCGGGTTATATGATGGAATGTTCTTGTTCATCAATGGAACGGCAAATCGTTTCCTGAACATAGTCTCCTTATCCTTGACTTGGAATATAGGGAACTTATTCGATTCTCTGTTTGCAAGAGCCAGCCGGTCCTCGTTCGTCCATGCTTTATCCTCGTCCTCCTTGTCTCCATCGGCTCCGCCATAGTCAACCTTCCTTCGTTTCCGCGTTGGCTTCTCGGATGTTCGAGTAACAGTAGCAGATCCAGGACATCTGAAGGGCTTGATGAGTCGGTCGACGGATTGAGGAGTGTAGAGTCGCAAGCCTTGTGGGACAGATGGCTTCGCAGATGGTGTTGGATAATTGTTCTCCTTGTCATCGCTCAAGGTCAGTCCGAATGGCTTCTTCAGCCGGTCGACGTTCTGAGGAGTTCCTCCATGGGTTCCAAGACGCTTCTTCGAGATGGCCGGCGTGCTTGACGTCTCTTCGGGAGGCGTAATCATCATAGTGGCGTGTTCCAGCAATGTCGCTGTTCTCTTTACCCGGACAATGACATCCTCCAATGTCCTTCAGGTCGGCGATGAGGGCCAGTGGTCGGTGGATGATGGTCGATGATAATGGTTGACAGTGTAGTGCTGTGCTGGCTTGATTTGGCTGCTGCGTCTCCTTCTCCTTCTTCGAGTCGGTGGCGACATCAACAAGCCAACGCGTCTCAGACGGGAGAGCGCGTTCCAAGGCACCAGGAAGTCACGTGAGAGATCCACGAGAACTTTTCGGGTTGATCCACCAGATCCATCGAGCCGGGACGGGATGGGGGATAGTGTACTGCATATTTTTTTAGGAGGTAACTTAAGGTAATTTACGAGTACCAAGGTAGGTAAAAATAGGAGGATGAAATTTCCCCGAGAAATCTCCCTCGCTGCTGTTCATAAATATAAGTACCTAGGTAATCCTACCTCATACCTCCTCTCTTTCACTTTCAGAGTCCCAGTCATTATTCATTCTTTCGCAAATCGCACCCACCACCTACGAGTACTATCGAAGGTTCCATACAGCTTCTCCGCTCCCCCGCGCTAAAAGACACGTCCAAGGCCAATTCCCATCCCCCACTACAATACACTATGGCCCCGCTCCCACCAACAGTGACGGACCGTTTCTTTGCGAATTACCAAACTCCCATTCTCATGACCACGTTCGCGACCCAAGTTCTCCATCACCAGTACATACGGCGTACGACCCCAGCCTATGAATCCCCCGCGGCTTCAATCAGGATTACCTCTGTGCCGAGACCTCTGAGAGCCGGTCTAGGGTGGGCAGCTGTCTTCCTGGGTCTTCTTACTCAAATCACTTTAGCGAAGAAGACTATTAGAGATTACTCGGACCCGGTCATTGCTGTCTCCGCTCAAAGAAAACCCTGGGCTCGAAAGGTTGAGGAAGGCTTGTGATCTGAGAAAGGTCTCGCTTGCTTTCCTTGCCATCCGTCGGTCTTTGCCATTTACATTACCTATTTTGGATATCATGACAGAGCAATAAGGATACTCGCTACGCAGCGCATTTCCAGGCCAGCTTCTTAACATATCCTTTTATATATATATGACCATGTCAGCCGATTTCTGGGCCGGGTATATTAGCGGAGCAGCAGGAATCCTCATCGGAAACCCTCTCGACTTGATCAAAGTCCGTCTCCAGGCGGCACCGTCACAACCAGTACCTTCAGCTTCCACACTCCCCACCGCACCAATCGTTCCCTATACTTCACCGTTTACTTCTGCCTCAACTCTCATCCGAGGAGCCACAGCCCCCATCCTCGGCTACGGCGCTCTAAACGCTCTCCTGTTCGTGACATACCACCGAACCTCCTCACTGCTCAACTCTCAAAACCCTCTAGGAGCCACTGCCCCTCCTTCTCTCTGGTCGACTTGGATCGCTGGCGCTGTAGGTGGTCTCGCAACATGGGTAGTATCTACACCCACCGAACTGGTGAAATGCCGCGCTCAGATCTCCAATTCCGCCTCCACGGCCTCAAGCTGGGGAATCACTCGAGAGATTCTTCGACGTGACGGAGTGCGAGGCTTGTACTTCGGGGGCGTGGTCACCGCTTTGAGGGACAGCGTGGGCTATGGGTTCTATTTCTGGTCCTATGAGATCACTACGAGGCTGATGGAGAAGAAGATGAGAGAGCGAGAAGGAGCGAGTGGTAGAGGCGATGGCGTTGGGGAAGCTGTTAAGGTGTTGCTGTGTGGTGGACTTGCCGGTGTCGTGACGTGGGCGAGTATTTTCCCTCTGGATGTCATCAAGACGAGAGTCCAAACGCAGCAATACCAGCCAATACCACTTCCGACGGCCGCTGAAGGGGCTCCTCTGCTGGCAGCAGAATCGCAGGCTGTACCGAGAAAGGTTGGAGCTATTGAGATCGCGCGAACTGCGTACCGAAATGAAGGAGTCGGAGTATTCTTCAGAGGCCTAGGCGTATGTAGTTTGAGAGCTTTTATCGTGAACGCTGCACAGTGGGCTGTTTATGAATGGGTCATGAAAAGGCTGGACCCGGATAGGAATGTCGCGGTCATGGGGCAGATTTCAGCTGCCGATGTGAAATTATGAGGCTAGACAGATGTTGCACATTTTAGATTAGACTACACTAGAATATAGAGATAGATACCTGGAACGAGCGTGATGGCGTTTATAGAATAGAATGTGCACAGGTGTGCATTTTGAAGTCTGAGATCAGAAAACTTCCTCTGGTTTTGATCATCTTCGGGTAGACTCAAGACCCCAAAGCATAACAAAGGTATATTTTGTGGCATCTTCCAGGGGTTGTCTCTAGGATATGCGTCTTCGTATTATCCAGAACTCCGAGCTGCAAGCTCATAAGCAATCCGAGACCCGCCATTCCTAACCTTCAAGATTCGACCACAAGGGCAGCCAGCAAGGTCCCATGTACACAAAGGCATAAGGGCATCACCACCCAAACTTCTCAATCGCCACATCCACTTGCCTTCCATCCTTCACAAGACCCGCACACGTATTTCTGACCAATCTCCCCATCCCATCTGGGCCACTAGCAACTACACTTGTCCTCTTCCCTCTCGCATGCAAATCCACCAAATCACAAATCATCGTCTTCAAGTCTGGCCGGCCAATCTCTTCCGTCGCACGCGGGATGATAACTTCAGCACCTAGGAGCTCTGCCTCAGCTAGCGCGTCTCTTCCCAGCCATGAGAGATGTGCAGTCTCGTGAATCACCCAGATAAGCACCACTTTTTGTTTGCGCAGTGAGAAAGCTGCTGCGATTTCTATTTCTGAGGATCGGTTGATGTCGAGGAGATGTTTGACCACAGGCCAGGAAACCGCAATGCCGCTTCCGCCTGCTACCAGAAGGGCCAAGTCGGAATCTTCGAGCATCTCGCGAGCGTGAGAGCTTCCGTAAGGGCCGTCGATGCGAATATTGAGACTCTTGTGAAGACGGGCTGCGTTGAGGAGATCTCGAGAGAAGCCGTCTTGGGCTCGAACGATGAGGTCCATCTGAGCTACCTCGTCTCCTGACCTTGGTGCGGCAGAAGCGATGGTGAAAGGGTGAGCTTGTATTCGAGACAGTGACGGAACGGTCACGAAAATGTGATCGGTGGCGTGCCAGCCACTATAAATTGACTTGCCAAACACATGAAGAAGCCCGGATCTTGAACGTAGGACGATGGTAGAGGAGACTCTGACAGTATCTTCATCTTCAAGAATCTTGGTTCGAGCTTCTGTCATCACGCTCTTCATGCTGAATCGGTGCAGAATTCGGTCCAGAAGGAAGATGATCAAAGCGGCAAGAGCATATGGCCTTCCGGTGTGGTGGTGGAAGTACAGACCCAGTAAAGCCAGAACTTGAAAGATAACATGAAATCCTAGAAACAGCTCGTACCAACGCTGCCGGAAGCTCCCAAGCGAGGTAAAGTAAAGCAACTCGTACGCAAAGAGCATCCCAACTCCTATCAGATTCCTCCTCAGAAGTAAAAAGCGGACAAGCCCAAAGCCGCTTGGCCTAAACAGCACATACCAGACGAGAAGAAATCCAATAGAGTGGAAGAAACCCTCCAAACATAACAGCTCCCCAAGTCGACGATGAAAAATATTCAGAGATTCATAAGATCGACCAGTGAGAAACTTTAGAGGCTGACTTTTTGCAGCTAGTAGATATAGAAGAGGTATGTTTGCAGAAAATACAAGACCGAGTCGGTCCGCTAGAACAACAAAGTCAATAGCGTTGATGCTTATGCCATAGAATATGTAGAACAAATTTAGGCCCAAAAATGAAAGAATAACGACAGAAGTGCCATTCGGTGGTAGAATTTTGTCGATAACTGGAACTGGCGCAGGTTGATAGATCAAAAGGGCTCTGACGAGTGATACCAATGACCTTCCAGAGTGATAGCTGATGCTAGGTGCGAGAAGTGGGGTAGCTTCATCAATGTCCTTTCGAGGAGGACTAGAAATGCCCTGGATCGTACTGCCGCCCGAGGAGTACACAAGTCTAGTATCTTCATTTGACGAAGGAACGATTGTTCGGGCATCTCCATCATACTGGTCCTCATCCTTCAGAAAATGTACCCTCGTTACGCGCTTACGATGCCATCTAAGCGCTTTGGATATCCAGTGCGAGGCCGAGAGAACGGTTACGAAGACCAAAATGACGAAATGATATGTCAAGACAAATCTCCTCGACCATAGTACCTTCTCAATCAGTTTCCGAAGACGTGGATCCCGACCTGGAGGTTGAGAGTCGCCGGTATCGGTCGTGAATATGGAAGCTCTCAAAGCATAGCAGAGGCCCTCACGAAGCCATTCGGATTCCATGGCCGACGTACTGGCCTGTGTCACAAAAGACACTCGTTACACGAACCCGGCATATACGGGCTTGACGGTACAATGTAGGACAGTATGATGGATGACGGTATCTTGATGCACGAAGCTGCAGATCGGGGATCAAGCAATCTGATAAGATTAGGAAAAGCGGGGCAGCTGAAGCGAGCCCCGGGCCCAATTAACCTTCAGGTCCGGACGGGATGTTCCATTTTGAAGCACCAACTATCTTAGCTCTGCTGGCAGTGGGCAGTGAAACCATCAACCACGTTCACGATGGCAGACACAGAGCCAAAGTAAGCCCGATCTAGGGACCAGCCTTCTAGGTTCTTAGCAGAGGTCGAAAGCTAATTCAATTTGCAGAAAAGAAGTAGTTGCTCCTACGAATCCCAGAGGCATTCCTTATGCGCCCTTCGTCGACAAAGTCGAGGACTATGTCACATCACGCGCAGATGTCGAGAAGACTTTGAAGAAGTTCCAGGAGATGATCTCGTATGCATCTTTAGGACAGACTCGGAACGCAAGGGCTTATATGGTGTTAGGAAATATCAGTTCATGGAGTCGAATCAACAACGACGAGCTGCAGGCCTGAAGGACAAGATGCCAGATATTCAGAAGACACTTGATATGGTGCAATTTCTGAAGACAAGAAAGGTGTGCGGCCTGTTGGGTTGATGGAGTGCTGGAAGCTAATAGTGGTTGGAAACAGTCCGGTTCAGAACCGATAGAGGCTACATTCGAGCTCAATGACACATTGTACGCCAAAGCACAGGTTCCGCCTACAGAGGAGGTCTACTTATGGCTGGGAGTATGTGCTGTGAACTGGTTGCCCGCTAGACTACGCTGACAGGGAAACAGGCAAACGTTATGTTATCATACCCAATCGATGAGGCGGAGGAGCTACTCACGGGAAAGCTTGCAGGCGCAAAGCAGAACTTAGCAAATTGCGAGGAGGATCAAGAATTCCTGAGAGAGCAGATTACGGTAAGTCTGGCTATGGTGGCGTGGAGACGTGTGTGAGGATGTCACCAGAATCCGGCTAACATTCTATAGACCATGGAAGTTGCTACTGCTCGGGTCTATAACTGGGATGTCACAATGAAGCGGAAGGAGAAGAGCGAGCAAGAGACAATAGAGGATGGAGATAAAGGCACACCAAATGGTTGATATTGCACAAGAATGAATAAACGACAATCCTCAATGCATGGTAATGCAGCTACTCTCACATATGCACCCCTTGATCGCTACATACCTTCTTATTGCCTTGATCGCAGAATCTGGTCTCAGATGTGGACATCCATGGTCATGGAACACTGTCCGTTCGCCTCTCAGCGTCGAATTTTTGACACCGGCCTCGCCTTCTAACACAAAAAGCGGCACTAAGACTCTTGAAGAACCAGTCCCAGGCACTTGCACAATCTGTCGTAAGCTTCCAAGAGCGGGACGATGATATATAAACCATTAGCAATTATTGAGTCGGGATGTTGTCAAATCTGAGGGTCTACGAGTCGTTAGATCCTTAGAGCCAGTTTCGTGAGATTCTGTGAGTGCTGCTTTTGTGCCAACTTCTCTCCTCCTCGCTAGCTCACCGCCTTAACCAACATCGTCATTCCTGTTGCCCCTCTACTTTTGTTGAACCACGAACCCAGAATCTAGAACTTCAACCTAACAACAAATATCTCCCTCCATCAACCACGCCCACACTCGTCAACATGGCCGAAGATAAGGGAACCCTCAAGCTTGATCCCAAGCACGATCAGTTCGACTACCCAATTGTATCTGCCAACACTCAGAGCGGTCACCCAGGCCACACAACACCCGAGCAGGAAGCCCAAGTCTACCAGTTGCGCATGAAGTTGGAGGCAGCTGGCTACACCGACCGATTAGACTCTCTGACTCTTGTGCGTATGCAGAGCCTCTTGTTGGATTCGCCCATGCTGACATTACCTGCAGCTCCGATTTCTACGAGCCCGTAAGTTCGATGTCGCGCTCTCCGAGAAGATGTAAGGTCACTGCACAATTATATTATCCCCCGGCATGAAGTAACCTATGACAGGTTCGTCGACTGCGAGAACTGGCGCAAGGAAATCGACCTCGACGATCTGACCCGAAACTTCAAGTACGAGGAGAAGCCCCAAGTTTCTGCGTACTACCCCCAATACTACCACAAGACAGATAAAGTATGGACATGGTCCCAAAACACGTCAGTACGAGCAAAACTAACAAGAAGACAGGATGGTCGACCTGTATACATTGAGCAGATGGGCAACATTGACCTAAACGCCATGTACAAGATCACAACAGCCGAGCGCATGCTGAACAATCTCGCTGTCGAGTACGAGAAGCTCGCCGATCCCCGTTTACCAGCATGCTCCCGCAAAACTGGACACCTACTGGAGACCTGCTGCTCAGTAATGGATCTCAAAGGCGTTGGAATTACAAAGGTCCCCTCCGTCTACTCCTACGTCAAGCAAGCCTCCGCCATCTCACAAAACTACTACCCTGAGCGATTGGGGCGCCTGTACCTTATCAACGCCCCATGGGGCTTCAGCAGCGTCTTCAATATCATGAAGGGCTGGTTGGACCCTGTCACCGTCGAGAAGATCCATGTCCTTGGAGGTGGTTACCAGAAGGAGCTTTTGGCTCAGATTCCTGCTGAGAACCTTCCCAAGATCCTTGGTGGGTCTTGCGAATGTCCTGGCGGTTGCTCGCTCAGTGATGAGGGGCCATGGACCGATGCTCAATGGGCTAAGCCACCAAAGTGGGCTAAGGCTCCTGAGGAGAAGGCCGCTGCTCCTGCTCCTGTCATTGACAACACTGCTACCAACCCACCTACCATCCCCGATGCAGGTGCTGCACCACCTGTTGCCGCTGCCCCGGCACCGGCCGCTCAACAGCCTGTTCAGGATGAGATCAAGGCTGCGCCTGCACCACAGTAGAAGGTATAGAACGATTAGCTGGGAGTCGGTCCTGTACAGCGCGTATGTTGGCGAGAGGAGTTGATAGACTGATGAGCATTGGTGGAGCCAAGCCCTGGAGGAATGTTGAGCCCTTGAGTATACCTTGCAGATTTTCAGCACTGCTCAGAAGTTCTATAATAAAAGTAAGAAAGTCTTGACTATGTTCTCTGGACATTTCTCCTGGTTTACGAGATCAGTGCCTTGCAGCTGAAAAACATCCGTAAGACCACACATTTGCAAAGATGTGAGTTGCTTTGAATGGAGCTTTCAATCGCCCATTTTCTTAAAATTCCTCATCATAGCCGCTTCTCCTAATATCTCTCGCTCTTGGCCTTGCTCGGCCAATGCCTCAATCCCGCAAACATGTCTCAATCCACAATATCGCAATCCAGTATATAGTTACAGATGCTGAAAGGCACTAAGTCAATGTAAGTACTGCGTGTACTTAGCTTCTCTCCTGCAGAGAGAACACATCTCACCCTTCTCCCTCTCCCGTTTCTCGCTAAGATATGTCCCTGTGAACAAAACCCCCTAAATCCTCATGATGTCAACGCTACAGTCCCAAGGTCTTGTAGAAGTACGTTCTCGCCGGCTGAACTTTAAAAAGGCTCATTCATCTGATTGCTTAGTTCCAGCTACTCTCTATGTGTTGCACAATATGACCAGTGCAGATCAGCCGAAGAAGTTAAAACCTAGGAGCAGTGTGTTAGAGGGGTTGGGAGTGGAGACTGTAAGTATATATGTCAATAGGCAAGAGAGGAAATGGAGAAGGTGGAAGAGTCCCTGACCATGTTCGAGAACACTCCAAGTAGTGGCCGACATCCGGCTTGGGTGTCTTGATTCCGCGGAGAGTTTGGAATGATCACTTTGCGTAAGTGGAATTGGTCAAATAAGTTGTCATTAGTACGCACAATAGGGAAGCTTGATTGAAGTACATTCCTCTAGGTCTTATGTGAAGTTACTAGCAAAACAACGGCCTCTCAGTTGATGGCAATCATTTTCTACACATGTGCCCATCGAATTGCTCATGGAATGAGAGTCCTGAAAGCCACTTCATGCGAGCCGTGTAACCGGATCCTGTCGACCAGACTCATACCTAACCTCCAATGCCCTCAGCAGTATCACACTCTTACAACTCATTGTGATTCATCCTCAAACAGGCAGTCGTAACATGCAAGCTTAAAAGGTATACAGCCAAGACGTGCAGAGAATATGCTCCAACCAGATAATCCACACATACTCCTAAACGCCAACCATGCATGAACATGAAAGAGACCCTGTCCCATTCCTTCGCTCGAGCCCCGAGTAAAGTACTTATACATTTCTTTCCGTGCCACGAACCGTCAAGCCTGCAATGCAGAATCGAGGAACAAGTTAGAAGTACTGCAGCTCTCCAGTTCCACCTGCCTTGTTGGCACCACCGTTTTTGGCTTGGAGTTGTTGTTGATACTGCTGATACTGCTGGAACTGTTGCTGAACAAGTTGTTGTGGAGTCTGGTATTGCTTCTGGAGTGGCGGGAATTCCTCGTACGAGACAGCAGCATTGTAAGATGGCTGCGTGGCGTTAGGCTTCTCTCCAACATCATCGAGAGATCTGTAATTGAAGCCACCGCCACGGCCCCTGCCTCGTCCGCCATTTCCCCTACCTCCTCCTCGTCCACCACGGGGCCCATTGCCACGGAAATTGTTATTACTGCGCCCACCGCGTGCTCCTCCGCTGTGGTTCTGGTGGTATCCCCTACTTCCAGACGGAGTACTGTTCCCGTTTCCAAACTGGCCGCTCTCTCGCCTGCTAACGGTGTCATCATCAGGCGCATGCTTGCGCTTATGAGTCTTGGTTGGGAAAAGGCTCTCATACTCATTCTCTCCCTGATCCTCCTCTTCGATACGAAGCAAAACCTTCTCGCCGACTACGCTCTCGAACACGTACTGTTTCTCTGGTGGTACAGGCTGCCAGTTCTGGATCTTACCTGCATCAATGGGTCGCGCGCCTTTGCGCAGAGCTAGTACGACAATGGGAACTGGGTTCTCCGTATAGTATTTTTTGGTCTCTGGCACAGGACGCACACACGCAGCCCAGATCTTATTTTCGAAAACAGCCGTACCTGTCACTTCCCAGGTTGTCTTGCTGCCCATTCCACCAACCTTTTCAAGAATACTGGCTTGGCAGGGCCGTGGCGTGATGAGAACATTGTTCGCGAGGAATTTCATCTCGGTGTCTGGCATGCTAGGTGGTAGCTGAGCTAGAGTAAGCAGCTTCTGAGTGTCAGTGTTGCTGATCAAATAGCCGGTATAGAAAACCGTCTTCTTGATCTGAAGACGTTGACCACGCTTGCCACTGGAGATAGCTAGGTTATGATCATTGATGATACGTTGAACTTCTGCAGCTTCTTGAACAGGATCGAGCTGTGTAGCTCCATCCGCGACCTGGACGACTTCTGCAGTGATGGGACCTCGAGTGGGGTTACCACCAATACCATTCTGTCGCTTGTTGTAATCCATGAAGAAATCTCTGAAGCCTTTGGTATGCTTCACCCTATCTTCATAGACTCTGATCTCTTCCGCACCCTTGTATGTCTCCATCAAGCTCTCTAGGAAGACCTGCTTGAAATTCATGGTACTCGAGAACCGCTGATTGTTCGGGCCAGCAGCAGGTTTCAATGATATGATGTCAAAGTCGAGACCTTTAGCCTTGACCATCTTCTTGACCAATTCGGCGAATCCATTCTCTGATCGACCAGTGAGCAGAATTGCGAGTGCATCCTTTTGTTGCATGCTTAGCTGAATAAGCTCAACGATCTTCTCATTCCACCATCCCTCCCAAGCGCGTGGCTCTTCCTTCTCGAGGCCTTCGCCCGTGGCGGCAAGTATCCTCGAGTCGTGCCACCATCCGCCAGTTGCAAACGTGTCTTGGGATTGTAGGAAGCCAATTGTAGGGCCGTTCCATAGCTTGGGGTTGGGAAGGGGGCTGTTGAATACTTCGAGGTATCAGCATTGAAATTAAACAGGCATATTAGGTTGTACTCACAGGTATTATCAAAATCATAGACGTGCAATGCCTTGATAGTGTGGACAGCTTCACAGGCGTCAGTATGCATCGGCTGATACTGGAAAATCGTTACCTGGCAGCTGGTCTTTGTCTGCAACAGACCATCTGTTCAGAGCCGTCAAAGTGTATGGAGGCTGCGGCCCATTGCTGTTGCTGCGTGGGTAGCTGCGTGCCATGTTTGGGAAGGCTGCGCTCAGAAAACGCAGCTTACTGAAGAACACAGACACTTTGGAGGGGAATCGAAAAAGATTATAAGTCGAGAAAGGACGCGAACACTTCGAGGTGGCGGGACTGGAATCAAGTAGATGTTTGCGAAACCATCAATCCGTTGGTCGGTTGTTCTTTCTGTCGCGAACATTTCTCAGCCTCGCTTGGCTTGGCGGCAGTCGTGATTCTTTGACACTCAAGACTCTCCCCCCAGCTCCAATAATTTGATCATTGTCATGTCCTCACTTCCAGCAATTCGTCAAATAGCCTCATCTGCTAAATCGGCAATTGGTCTCATTCATATTCAATGTCATGTTAAACCAGGAGCGAGTAAGCAACGAGAAGGGATTATTTCAGTCTCTGATTCAATGATCGAAGTTTGTGTATCTGCCCAGCCAAGAGATGGTGAGGCAAACAAGGCTGTCATAGAGCTGTTTAGTGATGTGAGCTAAAGGCAAGACCTCATTGACGGCCTAGAGCTGATCCTCCGAATAGGTGTTGAAATGCCCAAAGTCAAACGTGGAGGTTATCCGGGGGTTAAAGTCAAGGGAGAAGACCATTGCTGTGGCTGGCTTCAATGTCAACAGGGGTGCACAAAGTTGTATTTCTAAGATAAGAGACCAACTACAAAGTGCAGTTCATTGATATTCCTTGCTGCTTGCATGAAGTTTTTCCTCAAAATTTTCAAAAGTTTATTGGAGCTCTCTCGCAAAGTATGGTTCCCAAAGGCGAGCGATCCCGCTTTGAAGGGTCCCGTCCACCTGTGATAGTTTCAGTTTCTTGATGGCGAGTTGTCGGTATGATAGTGAGGCAATGTGAGTTTGCTGGAATTTGGTTACGGAAGTCGAAGGCCAGTCTAGGGTGCTCTGGAGACGATGAGAATAATCTGGTGTAATGGACGCCAACACCAATGCTCCTGCAAGCAAAGAGGGGACTCAAGAATGTCACGTTGTTCATATGGGGGTCTGTATACATGCAAAGGTACCTGGTTGAAGCTCTAGAGTCCGCCGATAGAGGGATATGCGTTTACTATTCAGGCAGAAAACGCAGAATGGAGAGCAGAAACCAATTCGCAACTCGATTCTTGGAACCTGACGGGATCAACACAGGGATAGAAAGGGACCTACCTGCCTTGTGAGAGGATGGTTGCACAAATGTTACTTTACCTTGTCTTTTTTCCCGATGTCCCGGATGCCAAGTAAAGCAGGGTTTGTGAGGCAAGCTATTATCTACATTAGGTATGTTTCAGCCATATTGTAACACCTTGCAATCCATTCAGCGTCACTTGTTTTCCATCTGAACTTCTTTCACTTGATGATGGCATGGCTGAAGTGCTGATATCCTGATTTGTTATTTCCAGTCGCGTAGCTGAATGGCGACTTCATACTGCCGGCTCAGCATTCGATCATTACTATTTATCATTATGCTTAACCCGGTCAACAGCTCACTTGAGATTTCATTCCCGTGTCCACGATGCTTGGGCTGAAGATTGGCGACTTCGAACTGAGTTGCATGAGCTTGAGCATCCTAAATTCTCCAACGAACGAGGACAAAGGACCGCTTTAAGACGTATCTAACCCAGGTGAGGCTTCTCTGAAGTTTGACGCGCAAGAGCATAACTAGAAGCCTCTGTTGTAATTGGTTGTGTCTCTCTAGCTTCAAGGCAGCTTTCTCCCTGGTGTAGCTGATCCTCGGGAGGCTTGTTGCCGATGAGGCTGGCAAAAGATCCTCCTCCGTTCGCATGGAAATCTGAAAAGTCAGCTCGCACAGCCAATAATGGCCGCCAATCTAAGGGCGATATCGCCAAATATTAAATGCGGAGCAGAGGAGCGATGATCTTAAGCGCGTGTACCAAGACGGTGAAGATCATCCGGAGTTCTGAAGAAGACGGATTGATAGGCCGTCAACCACGACGAGAGCAGCAAAAGAGGTTCAGAGGGCTCGGAATGCAAGCGTTAAGCAAACGATGAATCTTTCGGGACTTGTGATCCGTGCCGTGTTGCTCTTCTTCAGCATAGCCCGAGCCCGAGGTGTGTCATTCGACGACGAGAACAACAACAGCAACACTCTCTCCCACGATCTTCCAGCTTCAAGATGTTGAAGCGGGTGGACATGCATGTACGAGTGATGAGCGGAGGCAAACAGGACATGGAGATGGAGATGTTAGAGTTTGCCGGGGGGCGTGCCCTCTGTCTCTCTGGCGGGGCCTCGGATGTGGTTCAGACGTCATCTCTGGGGTCCCAAGCGGCTGGGAAGGGAATTTTGGATTTCGGCGAGAAATTGGCACCACCACCACCACCTCACCTCAGGTAAATTTACACCCCGCCAGCCCAACCTTGCCACGCGAGGCAGGCTTGGGACATGGACAACTCGCAGAGAAGGTAACTTTAAGTCGACGTGACGAGAAAGAAGAGAAGGAAAGACCAGACCCGACCCAACCCAAAGAGCCAGCAAGATCAACAGCATGCACGGCACGAACAGACGGAAGATTGCAGAGCCGTGCAGAGCTTCTGCAATAATGCCGCGACTTTTGAACTTACGAGTACATTACTGTACTTTGGCTTCCATACAGCACATGGCTGGCTGCAACCTGCAAACATCCTCAGAGTGCCATGATGATCTTGACCAAATGCGATGCTTGAGCGGATCGCTTAAGCTGGGCGTGCCCTTTAGGCCGCTGATAGCGAGCGGATGGGGCTTGAGTACATCCACTCCTCTTCCCGCCAGGTCCCTGTTGGTCCCTCGCTTCATGCGTTTACACGCCCCCGACGCCCATCAAATGCAGGAGGCTGGAGGTGTGAGATTACAAAGCGCCTCTCAAGGTTCACTCGCGGCACCTTGCATTCCACAAGCAGTCTAGGCTGGCTCGCTGGCGCATCCTGGATCTGCCTCAATTGGGTGGCGTCGCTCAGTCTTGCCTCTCCCGTCCATCCACGAGTCCACGACCGATCTCGACAGGGTACAGCCCTTGCCCTTGCCCTTGCCCTTGCCCCGGCCCTTGCTAGCACGGGAAGGTCGCATCCACTGCAATCCACCGCGCTCCACTCCGCTCCACTCCACTCCACCTGCACTTGCACCAGACGGGGACTTGAGGCGAGGTGAGGTGAGGTGAAGTGAGGTTCTGATCGCTTTCTTCTTTGCTCTGTCCTGTCTCTCAATCCGCGTCTCGACTATCACCGCACCGCACTGCACTGTTCTGGCCAGGCTATCTAACCCCCGGCCTGCATCTTGTTCTCCTCGACACAATTCCGACCTTTGCATCAGAGTCGTGTCGAGCGTCTTTCCCAGGGCATAGATACCTAGATAAGGTACTTTTCTCATTCGCTGCTCCCTCCCTTGCCTCGCCCTGCCCTCCGTCAACTTGGGGCTCGCTACGTCAGTACAAGCCCCCGTGCAGCACACACCTCGACCGGCCGACCACCACCCGACCATTTTCCGGCATCCAGACCCCTCAACTTCACAAGAACGCTCTGGACCCTTGACCCGGCCTTCACACGACAGAACAGAACAGAACAGAACAATTGAGATCAAAAGATTCAGACCACAGCTTCGGTACGCGCATACATTCTAGACTCAACAATGGATAAGGGCGATATGGGCGGCCCTGCCGCCAACAACTCCAGCGACTTTGTAAGTACCAACTCCGCGACGCTGGCCTAGATTGCGACTTTCTCACTGACTCTGAATAGGTTCGCAAGTTGTATAAGTAAGTCAGCATACATGATCTATCCACACTATTATCTGCCTTATATCAGGCAGTGGTGCGCCCAGTCTCTAATACGCTCTGCTCTAGAATGCTCGAGGACCCTTCCTACGACAATGTTGTTCGATGGGGTGAAGGCGGCGAGAGTTTTGTGGTGCTCGATGTACGTCCAGCTGTCCTCGGTTCGTTGTCGCCAGTACTAATACTCTGGCTAGAATGACAAGTTCACGAAGAACATCCTACCAAAGCACTTCAAGCACAGCAATTTTGCTTCGTTCGTTCGCCAGTTGAACAAGTATGATTTCCACAAGGTCCGCCAGAACAACGAAGATAGCGCTCCGTCGATATATGGGCCAAACGTCAGTCAAGCATGGGTAACTCTTCGTCGTCGTATGGACTAACGCGTAGCAGGCATGGGAATTCAAGCATCCCGAATTCCAGGCGAACAAGAAAGACTCTCTAGACAACATTAGAAGAAAGGCTCCCGCACCGCGAAAGGCTCCCCAAAACATGGATGAGCAATTCCCTACCCACCAGATGGATCTTGTCAATAGCCAATTAATGGCCACCCAAACACAGCTTCAACACCTTTCCGAGATGTACCAAGACCTTGCCCAGGGCCATGTTACATTACTTCAGCAAGTTGTCAACCTACAAAAGTTCGTCAAGAATCATGATGGGGTTATGCATCGGGTGATGGGATTCTTGCACGATGTGGATGCTCAACAACGACGGGCCAGTCGCGTCGTAGGACCATTTGGCACTGCGGGTATGGGAGGAGATGGAAGCGCAAATGATGACGATCATCCGGCATCCCCATTGCAAAAGGCTTCAGCTCTGCTGGAAGAGTTCTCGACCGCCAACTTGCCTGACAAGAATCTGGAACAGATGAGCCACGATTTCCATCTTCGAAATGAGTTTTCTGCAACTCCGACTGATCAAGGATCTTCTTCTATGGCGCCAAGAGCAGAGCATTCGAGCACTCATATTGGGTACCCAGTGGGTAACGATCTGGACAACATGGTCTACCCGGTCGGACACACGAACGGAATTGATCCCATAAATAGCGAGCATATTCATAACATCCCGTACTCCTTACCGGCGAACGGTCTACTACCCGTCGAGACGGCCATGCCAGAGATGATGGCGGACGTGAGCTCTGTCCCTGGAAGGAAGAAGAGCTCAGCGGATTCTGTTTGGGGAATGACAAAGCCTCGGATCTTGCTGGTTGAGGACGATAAAGTCTGCGCACGGATCGGTTCCAAGTTTCTGCAAGCTTTTGAATGTGGGGTCGAGACTGCTGTGAGTAGTACAAAAGGTCGTTTCTCCAATGATTATTGACATGTTCTAGCGCGACGGACTTGAGGCAGTCAATAAGATCAACCACGGAGGTGCGAATTTCGATCTCATCTTAATGGATATCATCATGCCACACCTAGACGGCGTATCAGCAACAGTGTGTATCAGAGAGATCAGACCCAATCTTCCCATCATCGCCATGACATCAAACATCAGAGCCGATGATATTGACATGTATTTCCGTTATGGTAAGCTCCCAACCTGAACACTATCTTCTCTCCATACTAATTGGGTCAGGTATGAATGATGTTCTGCCGAAGCCCTTCACCAAAGAAGGAATGCTGCGAGCTCTAGAGAAACACTTGTCCCAGTTCAAGAAGAACGCACCTTTCCCACCAACTGGAGGACCTCAGATGGGACACCCTGGTAGATTCGTAACTCCAAACCCCGGTCAAGCTCCACTGGGTCTGAACATGGGACAATTGTCAGCTACACAATCGTTGAAAGATGAGTCTTCTCCTGGCAAGTCACCCGTGACAGCTTCATCCTGGCACTCGCCAAGCCAACTTCCTGGACCATCCCCCATCGGAAATACGCCAGGCGGATACATGCAACCCATGGGAGATAGCCGACAGTACACCATGACACCAACACATCCTCATCCTCAAACGGGCTTTGGGCCTCCTCCAAATGCTCAAATGGGAACTCCCAGGACAGGCGCGCACCGAAGGGTTATATCTGACATGAGCGGAGGTCCGCAGGACGAGCATCCTGACAAGAGGCAAAGGATGTACCCTCCCACCGGTTTCCAGCAATGATCGAGAGGAACCAATGTCGCCATTTGTCACCTCGTTCCTTTGGTAATGACCCGTTCATGGCTTCTTGTATCTATATTCCCGAGCCTTGTCCACGGCCGATCGGATTTTGGCTGCTCTCGTATGCTTAGTCGGCATTGCGATACGATAGTTGGCGCTGATGGAAGAGTTCTGTATTTTGTCCTCGGCGGCGTCCGAAATGAAGTGCTTGGGATTGCGTTGAGTGGTGAAGCTCGATACTTGGTACGGCGCTGGTGGGATAAATGTGATTTTGACGAAGGTCGATTGTTCTGCAGCTTAGATAGCGTAATAAGAATCGTGAACAGGATACTGCGACGTGCGAGATACTGATAGTTTTGTGTGACCGATAGGCCTCCAGCTGATAAGGTGTAGAAATCTCTCCGTACCACCCTCTCTGTGTTGAACAGCTAGCCAGATTGGAACTGTGGTTAGGGAAACTGCTGTCCAAGTGTACAAGAAAAGAAATAGAAAGAGAGGAGAAAGACTGTCGTTGAAAGTAGGTCCCGTATAGCATGTAGTGAGCCCCTGGGACCAGGTGAGGTCTAGACTCCACAGCCCGCAGGGCAATCGTATGATCAAGGCTGGAGCGTTCTGAAAGCGCCGCGCCCACCCAGTGACCCAGCCCAGCCAGCCCAGCCTTTCGGGACCAGCCTTGCGCTAACTTTCGCGGCATGCATGGGTAACTTTTAATTCGTGAGTCAAGCCTGCCTGCGTTCGCCTGTCTGCAAGACCAAGACCAAGACCAAAACCAGCCCAAGCCCAAGCCCAAGCCCAAGCCCAAGCCCACGCCAAACATAACCCCACCACCAAAGGCATCGATCTGTTCTTTTTCTTGGAGAGCGATTCAGAAACACGAGTGCGAAGAATACTCGAGAGGGAGTGATTCGCTGGAAAGGACGACTCGTGAGGTAAAGATGGCGCACGCGCAAAAGTCTGTGAGGGGGGGTGCTGGTGGGGGGAAAGCTGCGCCGAAGAAGAACGGCCCTTCTGCTGCGAAGAAGGTCGAGGATGATAGAGAAGAGACTCTGCAAGCTGTGGTATGGAATCATTCTCGGTGACATGGGCAACGGCCCTCGTAGGCTGACTTGTCTTTCTAGGTACTTGCAGATTCGTTCGAGACCAGATTCAATCCTTTCACAACAGAGACTCCAAGAGTAAGCGATTCTGGTCCTACTCTCTACAATAGGGTGTGTGCGAGGACATACAGTGGCTAATATATCCCAGTGCCTCCTTCCACTGGCCAACACCCCCCTCATCGAATACACCCTCGAATTCCTTGCCATGTCAGGAGTGGCAGATATATACATCTACTGCGGCGCGCACACTGCAGAAGTAGAACGCTACATCCAAGCCTCAAAATGGCATCCCTCATCCGCCGCCTCGCCATTTAACTCCCTAGAAATCGTCAAGACGACCGCACGTTCCGTGGGAGATGCAATGCGGGATCTCGACTCTCGGGACCTCATTACGGGAGATTTCTTGCTTGTGCACGGCGATCTGGTCTCAAATCTACCAATTGATGCTGCGCTCGCAGCTCATAGAGCGAGGAGGATCGCCGACAAGAATGCGATTATGACGATGATACTACGATCAGGAGGCCTGGATACACATCGTACAAAATCGAAGGGCATTACGCCTATTTTTGTAGTAGATCCTACAAAGAGCAGATGTCTTCACTACGAGGAGATGAACCCGTTACAAGCGAACAAGTATGTCAATATTGACCCGGAATTGCTGTCCGACCACCACGAACTCGAGATCAGGACTGATCTGATCGATTGTGGGATCGATATCTGCACGCCTGATGTGCTAGCGCTATGGGCTGAGTCCTTCGATTACGAGGTCCCCAGAAGGCACTTCTTACATGGCGTGCTGAAGGATTATGAGCTGAATGGAAAGACGATACATACGGAGGTTGTGGAGGAGCACTACGCTGCGCGAGTTTTTAACTTGCAATCGTATGAGGCCGTGAGTAAGGATGTGTTAGGGAGATGGACATATCCTTTGGTTCCCGACAGCAATCTTCTCGCGGACCAGAGCTACAGTTTTGAGCGCGGTGGACTTTGCAAAGAGAATGGTGTGATTTTGGCCAGGACATGCAAAGTGGGAAAACGAACCGTGATTGGGAAAGATACGAGCATTGGGGATGGAAGTGTCGTTTCCAATAGTATCATCGGGCGGCGATGCCATATTGGGAAGAACGTCACCATTCACAACACCTACATCTGGGATGATGTGGTGATAGGCGATGGTTCGACAGTCGAAAGAGCAATCGTTGCCAGCGAAGCCTCAATTGGACGGAGTTGCAAGGTCCAGCCAGGAGCACTCATCTCATACCGTGTGCGGATAGCAGACAACCAAGGAGTGAAAGAGAACTCACGGATCACCTGCGCGAAGAGGAAATCAGACGACTACGCAGAAGACTCACCTCTCGTATCAGTACCAACCGACACAGCAATAGTAGGCGAAGGCGGCTCCGGCTACGGCTTTGACGACGACTCAGACGCTGAAGACGAAGCTACGGTCTTCCACAACAGCCTCATCTACAGCACTTCCCACCTCAATATCTCAAGCGAGTCCATATCCACGATCTCCTCGTCCATCAGCGCCGCCTCGCCCCACGAAGGCCGTTCCCGACACTCCAGCTTCGCAGGCAGCATCTCCGAAGATGGCGACGGTAATCCTTCCTCGAACGAGAATTTCCACCACGATGCCGTAGCAGGACTTCTCGATGCCCTGAAAGAAGGCGGGGACTTCGGTGCTGCCAGGTTAGAGTTTATGGGGCTCAGACTGGGCAATGACGCGACGGATCACCAGATGCGTAGAGCCATCGCAGTTGCCTTCACCAAGCGCATCACACAACTCGTCGAAGGTCAAAAAATGGAAGCTAGCAAAGCGGCCTCCCTCGCCTTTTCTTCGCCTGGAGCAGAATCCTTCCTCAAAGAAGTCGCTGTGGGATCTGACAAGAAAGAAGACGATCAAGTTGACTTTATAGGCTGCTTGCAGAAAGACCTGGTGCATCGGAATAACGGGGCTGTGATACTCGCTGCTGTCAGTCAGAAACTGTATCAGTTGGAGGTCCTCGAGGAAGAGGCGTTCTTGAGGTGGTGGGAAGAGAGTGAGGACTTAGGAGAGGCGGAAGATAAGGAGATGAAGAGGGTTAGGGAAAAGACGGGAGTCTTTGTGGAGTGGCTGAAGAGCGCGGAGAGCGAAGAGGAGAGTGATGAGGAGAGTGGGAGTGGGGAGGAGAGTGATTAGATTAGACATATCTATTGTAGAGTTTTTTGAGAAGTGTAGATGAGAAAATGTGGCCTGATGGAAAATCGGTGATTTAATCAAATGCCATACTTTTTCCGGATCCCTACTGAGATGCCATATTTTTGACCCCATTTTTTACTCAAATACCATAATTTCGCCTGTACAGCTCGCTTTAGCATCTTGATACCTTATAACAACCGCTCCCCACAAATACAAGAAGACTGCTTTATCAATTGTACCTAAGTGTCGTACATTTGAGTGTATTGTTCCTTCAAATTATATCTTTGCTAGGTAAGGTGTAATCCGTTGAGTTGGGCGGTGGAGGGAAGGCAGCGAGGTCAGAAAGGGCTGAGGGGCGAGTAAGGGAGGACTGAAGAATAGTGTCTGTCTACAGCGTAGTAGTAGAGCCTGTAAGACCTACTTCTAAGGTAAAATATGGTATCTGAGTAAGAAATAGAGCCCAAAAAATAGTATCTCAGCAAGTATATAGCATTTGAGTAATTTTCCGTTGAAAAAGATGGCTTCTAGCGAATGGGATTTGAACGACTGAAAAAATGCGAAGCACCAACCCCATGTCGCTCTGCGAATTGAGATTCTAGTTCTACCGTACTCGGATTTGTGAGAGTACGCCATCCACGATTTTTTCTTGCTCTGTCTGATATCTGTCTGCGATACTGGTACTAAGAATCTTGTTGCGTTTAAGTACTATCAATTCCTGTCATGTTTCTCCCATGCTCGCTTAGCGCCTTTGAGTCAAAGCTATGATGTCAACAAAGAGTAGTGGTTTTCCGCAGACATATATTTTGAATAGCTATTGAGGGTGCTGTCACAGTATGCAGCGGCGTACGCAAGACGTTTGAAGCCTGGAGTTTCAACTCCTCAAAACTGGGTATACCAGGCTATAAAAATCGGACTTCTAACTTGTCCGCTCTCGTCTGCACACGTACCAAATGTGCGAACTTTCAGCTTCGGACGGCCTTCCAATCCTAAGATCAGAAGAACATCTATGTTGCTATCTGTATAGCCGTGTATCCTAGCATAATCTCCTGGCCTAAATGGCTTCGCTTCACACTCAGCTCTTGAAAGTATGGCTCTTCCCCGCTCTCTCAGTTTGCAGCCTCCTCATCCCCTTCGGCGCATCCATACTCTTTACATACGGATCAAACGGCTTCTTCTTCCTCCCGCCCTTCGCCCCGTCTCTCTTTCCATGCAACACCGATTCAGCCTTTGTATAATCAAAGACCTCCTCCTCCTCCTCCTCCTCCTCCTCCTCGTCATCATCGGCACCATCCACGTCCATTTCTCCAGCTGCCTCTTCCTCCGCTGCTTTCTTTGCGGCTTTCTTAGCGGCTTTCTTCTCTGCTTTGCGCTGACGCTTTGCTGCTGCTTTTTGCTGCTCCTCGATATCGAGGGATATGTCAAATTCACCGTTTCCTTCCTCGGCGTCGGATATGACTTCGCTCTTCCGTTTTGAGCCACGCTTCAGAGTGAATGGTTCATCGGTCTTCTTCTCCTCTCTAGCTGGCGGGCTAGGTGGCAGGGGCGTCTCTTTCGCGACTTCGACTTGCTCTGCAAAGCCTTGAGGAGTTCCGAATATTTCGGAATTGAGTGGTGGGAGGGGAATAGCTAGGCGGAGATTATCATTTTGGGGTTGTGTGACGCTGGGTGCGTCCCAGACGCTGCTTCCGAAGGCGCCGCCCCAGAATGTGGAGTTGTCACTTCGGAGATCGCCTTCGTCCATGACGGCGACGAGGGTTTTCGGAGTTACGGTTGGACCTGAAGCTGGGGATGAGGCTTTGGATCTGACGTTTCCATCGGGATTGGCAGTTTCGGGTCTTAGGATGTCCATCATGCTTGGTCCATCTTTGCCTTGGACGCGAGCCTTCTTGACGATGTCCAGCAGTTCACCGGCACGGGATTTGACGCCGTGTGATACAGGATGGGCTAGACGGAGCAGAGCAACCATGTCCATAGGTAGATTCTTTGCGATGCTCAGCAGGGCATGTTGGGCAAGAACGTAAGCGGGGCTGTCATCATCCACTCGAGCAATCCTGTCTCGCCAAGCATGAACCGCTCGGAAGACAGCGAATTGCTCCTTGTCGAGGAGCGATGGTGTCTTGAGGAGTTGCGAGTACCACCCTCCAGGACCTTTTCCACTCTCCGTATTGTAAACTTGACGCTCATAACGCTGGAGAGAGGTTTCCTTAGATTTTTGGAGTGTAGTTTCTAAACGATTCTCATCTGGAATCTCAGGTCTTGACCTGTCAATTAGTTCATTGCGCATGTTGTCAAAAATATATAGAAGGAAATGGGTATCTGCTCTGGCGTAAAAGAACATTTCTTCTGGTAAGGGTCTGTAATGTTAGTATACTTGTCTACGCAACCATTGTGAGTTCTTACCGAATTCTCCAGTCGGCCATTTGGTATTGTTTGTCAGCGTCAAAGTTGATGAACTTTTTGAGTAAGAAAGCCAGACTCCCTCCAGCGTAACCTAGACATCGGCTTGCATGGTGAGTATCGAACAGGCCAACTACATAAAGTCCGAGGTCTCGTTGAAGCCATGTAATATCCATATAGGCTCCGTGGAATACTTTGATGATAGTCGGATCGGCAAACACTTCGTTCAGCACTTGCAGATTTTGTCTCCATGGCTTTAAAGTATCTACAATCCAGTCTTTCTCGCGAGTACTGATTTGCATCAAGGAAACCAAACCGATGTAGGATCTGGTATCATGATGTTCCAGGTCAATCGCGATCTCAGTGGCCGTCTTCAGCTCTTCAAGCATTTCTAAGACTCCTTCTTCCGTGTCCACGAAAGTGGCGGAAGTGCTTTCAAACGGCAAATAAGGGATGGGATCTGCTTTTTGATACATCGATTCGGGGTATTGCAATTGCAGGATCTCAGCTTCGTAAGGATGCCGGTATCTGAAAAATGTGTCAGTATTGTCTCGGTGCACGAGAGACCGAGCGTTCCCCATCTCCTTCAATCTCCTTTTACGTCTATTGAATGACGCTCTCTGTGACTTTGTCAAGCCCTCAGGCATAGAAGGAATCGGGGGTAGACAGAGCTGCGGAAGAAAATTGGAGTAGTCATACTGTATTTGACCGAAATCATTTGCGAAAGTGGGAAGGCTGTCTTCGAGTGCAATTGAAGCATGGGGTTTCGAAGTCAAAAGAGGCTTCCAGGGCGACTCGTCACTGTTGTCAGGTTTGACATCAAATGCTAGCTGAGGTTTCACTAGATTTTGGTTTCTGTATGTGTTTCCACCCTGCTTCTTGGACCTCGAGGGAATCTTTGATTGTAAGCTTCCGGGCTGGAAGGGGAGGGGAAATGTGCCCTACCTGAGTCGGGGATTCGACTGTCGTGGTATCCTTGCGCTTGATCACACCAGTATATTCGTCGAGGCAAGTGTCCGACTTCTCCAACAAAGAATCCACAACATCCACCACATTGCGCCAGTTGTTCTCTACGTCGTCAGCATCTTCCAGTACGGGGGCCCGCAGATCCGATATCGAAGCCGCAGATTTGAGTAGGGCGCTTGCCAGAGCCAGCACGCGCTCGCTTTGTTCGTCAAGGGCAGTGCCAACTTCAGGATTAAAGGACCGATGGAAGCCCAAATCTTCTGCAGAGATTTGGCCAGTGGTTCGTGTTGTTGCAATCAGGGCAGCTTGAAGCTGGTCCTGTAACGATTTGAAATCGTGTGTTTCGTCCATGGTCGAAATCTCGAGGCCCAGAAATGCGTTGTACCAAAAAGCTCCGCGAGGGAGTTGAAGACCTTCAAAAACTCAGACCCCTGTCAACAATAAACTCTAGCGCCTCTCAGCCTCGCGCTAGCTCCCCACGCCGCCTCGCCTCGCCTAGCCTCTCTGCTACCTTCTTGGCCTACTTACAGGTCACTCACGGCACTCAACAGCAAACATCAACATGTCGGCGTCTTTGGCTCCAGAATGTAATGAGGTGAAAGAGTATGCAAGAAATCTCTGCTTTACAACAAGATGCTAACTTCACTATAGACGTTATGATTCCTGCTTCTTGAAATGGTACAGCGAAAGTTGGTTATTTGCCTCTCCTTCATGCATAGCTTCAGCTCACAGTGTACCAGAATACCTTCGAGGACAAGGGACCACGGATGAATGCGCTCCTTTATTCAAAGATTACAAGAAATGTCTGACCGTTCGTCACCTTAGTATCCTCACCTAATACCATCTGACTTGTTAGACTGCCCTCAAAGAACGTGGCATCGACAAGATGTTGGAGGAAGCAAGAGAAGATCACAAAGAGAATGATGCGGCTCTAATGGGTCGAAAACGTGGGTAGATTACTTGACTCTGGGGTTGTTTAACTAACTTGGGCCCTAGCATGAAGGATGTAAAAACAACCCTTTTTTGTATTTTGGCGGTTCAAGATTTGTACAATACTGGCAGCAGCATTGGGTTGGCGTTAAAACGGACCGGGTACTATGCATTGGGCGAACTCTTCTCACAAGCTTATACTTCATAAAATAGTCATGAGATTGTAACACGATTCATTCCCGCACCTCGGTTCCACTCTTTCCAGCGTCTCTCTTGCTCAAATACGTCAAGTCTTTACTGTTAGAATGCGCTGAGGCAAAATCCCAAGCAACCTCTAAGCAGTCTAAGACGTGCTTCCCAAGAAATTCGTATGACATTAGCTTGAATAATGATAATGAGGGCTTTTGGGATGCAGATCATGAGTCGGAGATCTCTCAGAGAACGATCTCTCTCGTTGTCTCCCACGTTGGTCAAGTAATTGAACTATAAGAATACTTTTTAATTTTACCAACATACCCAGCTCTAAAAGAATGGTAAGAAAATTATTAAATTTCAGGACAAAAAGTCCAGAACGTGGGTCTTTTGGCTCTGGGTGTGATCCGCGCAACGTGACGAGGCTTAATTTCGACCCCTGCGAAGTCGTGAAGAAACGGGGAATTTTGAAATTGGATCAGCCTCCCTACCACTTTACACCATGCCGAGAGCCTCGTCTCCTCATCGTTGACATGGGAGAGTTCGCTCCAATCTGATCATACCGTCACTATTATTGTGATAACCTGCCTTAACTTCCCGCTACGGATTTCCAAGCTCCAGCCACAAGTTCAAGCTTCACGTCCACGTAGGCTGTTCTGACGCTCCGCCCCCCACAAGAAGAGGACAACGGAGAATACCACCCACAAGAAAGGTGATGCTCAAGCAACCGGCAGAGATTCATGCACCCCTTCTCAATTCTCACTCTTGCGATCTTCGTAGCCGGCTACATCACTGCGAGGTGGGATCTTGTTACCCGTCTCTATGACCTTGCAATATTCGCCTGGGATCACGGAGTTGTCGTAAGTCCCATAGCTCTGCCGCGGTCTCGCAACTGCTTCTAATTACCAATGATCTAGGCCCGCACGGCAAAAGGATTTGCAATTTTGTCCATATTCTTCTTTTTATTCATAATTCCAGTGGAAAGGCTCGCCTCGAGAGAAACAGACTTGGTGGGAGACATTTGCCCTCGGCGCGGTGGATATAACTAATATAATTGTAGCACCCACGAGCTGGAAGTGCAGGAATATCTGCTAGAGAGCAACTTCGACGGCGGGGATCCTTTTAGAGAGATATACGAGGAGAGGAAGCTGTCATGCCCGAGCATGATGGGCTCATGAGGATATTTTGGCCCCTAGACATACCCAAATCCGACTCTCCTGGAGTAATTGTGGGATGGAGGAACTCAGGGCTGGATGTTTTCGTCGTCGCAATACTGGAGGATGTCGACGTGAGCACTGGAAGTCCCTTTCTATCAAAGATTGACTGACATCAAGCTAGGCGCGGAGTGTAGAAAATGCTCTGAAAGTCGGGACACTGTTTCGAAATGCCGCGCACCCCATCGCACGAATACATGAGCTGTGTGGGCAGTCATCAATGCATGTCCTGGGACTTGCGAATACGCCAGGAGTCGAAGTTGAGAACCTGCAGATGCATGCGACCACAGGATCAAGTTCCAGGTCCCCTCACATATCCTGTGCACGGGCATCCACAATACAGATTATTGGATTCGACAGACCCCTGCCACACCGAATGCAGTACATATCGTTGAACCCGATATCTTTGGCCTTGGATGACAAGTCTGAAGTTGCAACTCATGCACCTGGGACTGTTGATGCAGAGGAAGAACGAGAGGAGTTGAAGAACAGGAAGAGGGTGAAGGCCCTGGTCGAGAAGCTGAAGCTTCATACCGTTGCCAAACATGCTGCCTCGCCGAAAGAGCTTGCCCTTCCAAGAATTGTGAATCAGATAAACTGTTCATCTGAGCTCCACGCGCTTCTTCAAAAAAATATCTCGCTTGTTGGCAGGCGATCTAGGCGAAGTTTGAGTGTATCCGAACGCGTTGTTGAGTCTGCCACAACGATGAAGGACTTCGTAGTCCTAGCAATCTGGCAAATGATTACAGTCTATCTCTACCCCATAGTAAGGCGAGCTTTCATAATTGGGTTGTTGGGACATCGCATGGCTGCTGAGACTTTGCTGTTGGTCCTTGAGTGGAGAGCGAAACCGGATTATGCAGCCTTGAAGGATATTTCAGCTACAGCTCAGCAGGTGGAGATCCGTTTACTCCAATTTTCGTATCTTCCGTTGCAAGTAAGTCACCCTTTTCATTTTCTATATTCCCTTGCACAATTACCCCGAATGTCACTGGACTGGAATCGACAACGGCCATCTTCAATATCCTCGAATTGCATTCGGCAATGGATTCGCTTGTGGATGCACCGTCCTTGAGACGTACCTTCCAGGACTTAAACACCACACGATATTGGACTCCCCATTGAGTATCCTTGCCTTCAAAGAGCCTCCCTCTTGGTGAAGGTGTACTGGCTAGCTCGGGGCACCTGCCACCTACAAGGAGATGGCTATATCTTCATGCTCTCTTGCTGTTCTTCCCACAACTATCCATCCTTCTGCATCGAGAACACCACTTCTTCAGTACTGTGCCATAGTCAACAAGGCAGAGATCATCAACCGTCTTCTGTGCTGTACTGCAAGAGGTAAGTCTGGTTCCTATCCTACCACCCTGACTATTGGTTGACTCATTGCCCCAGCGTGAAGCTGAACATCGAGAATTGGCGGCGTCGGTGTGAGGTTCTTGACTATATTCAAGAAGAGTAGACCTTCAGTTGCTTGAGATTGCCAGGCGTGAGTGCATGACCTTTTACTATGGAGACTACTTGCTAACAAGAATCATCAGTCCTAACTTACACCGTTCGGAGGAGGACCCAGTCGAACAGTTTGACACCGTCCGAATCCTTACACCACTCCAATGACTACTCTTCCTACAGAATCGGTAAAATTGATTCGGACACTCTCCAGCATCTCCACCTCGGTTGATCTCATATCGTTGTCCACGGTTGCGTTCGATGCTCTTGTCGTACTCCAGTGGATGCTGTACTTATCATGGGACCATCTCTCCAATACACCCTCCTCCAGCAAGAACGTCTTCTACGATAAGTTCTTTGCAACCTTTGATGTCTTTCAAGAGATCGCTATAATCTTGACTCTGGTATTTGCTGAGGATCTGTTCGAAGTCTGTCTTGAAGGTCCGCTACATCACCAGGAATGGAATCCTTCAAAACCTTACCCACAAACCACGAAAACCGATAGGCAATTTATGGTATCACTTTGAGAAGATCTGCTGCCCTCCTCGACTTTACATTGGACCTGCGACGGCTAAGCTTGGGATGCTCTCCAACTATGATCGAGGTGTCGATCTTCCAAGCAATGTCAAGGGATCGATAGATGGAGGCTTCATCATTGTCTACAAGGGACTTGTGTGCTGGCCTGCCAATCCTGGTCCTGCCCTACAACCCTTCGCACGTCTACTACTCAGCCTTGAAAACTGCCTTCACGTTCGCATTTTGGGCGTTTAAGGCTACAAATGCAGCAGAGGCTACCGTGCCCAGTCTTCTCCCCATGTCCCTTCTGTCCTTCTGACCTATTGACAAAGTGTCGTATGATGGACCCTGCAGCCATTGCTGTCTGATCGTGAACTTCAAAGGTGGATTTTGCCCCACCGAAGAAGAGAAGCCAATGAAGAGTTGATGCGCAGGCCTGTTCCTTACTCAAGCGAATACGCAAGCTTCAAATGCAAATCAACGCTGTGCATACCGGGCCTGGAAGCGGGTCAAGCAGGCAAATTACTTTCGCAACTTTCTCGAAACGGCTGCTAAGCATCAGCAAAGTTCGATTGCTGCACAATTCAGGAATGTCCAGGAGAAATACTACTGCAGTGCATGTTATCTACCTTGCACTCTTCTCCAAAAGCAGGATGAGCACAAGACGCAAATAAACACCTCCGAAATATGCAACAGAGCCACCGACTTGCACATCTTCCTTCCTGAGCCGCCAGAACTATGGATCAGAAGCTACACTACTGTCATATGTGCCCAACGCAAAGAGCCCTTCACATCTCAAGATGCATGAGAACGCAGAGAAGCACAAGGCAAATGTTGCTAAGGCGGACGCGCACAGCTCCGCACCATCACTACTCTGTGCATCGTCATCTTTGGAGCCTAAACATCGTTGTGTCTGAACGACGCTACCGATTCTTACTGCCGCGAGTTGAATTCAACGTTAACGACCGCGTGTGGCGGTCTCATCCAGCCAAGACTATACCGTTGCGCGATATTTTGCGGGTTGTGCTTCTACTGTGGCTCTGCGAAGGCACATCATTCCTTACCACGATTATGGCAGGGTCGTGATTTTTGAAGCTTGTCGTCTTTCATTTCATCATTGTTTGCCATGGCTTGCTTCTAACAATTCTTAGTATGTCACATTACGAGAGAGGAAGAGGGACTGGGAAAGTATCACAGATAGCCATCCAGATTACATCAGATTCTACAACTCAATCTGGCTGGTATGCAACGATGTTCGTGAACAAATTTACCTTTCATCCTTCTGAATGAGCTGCTAACCATTGCGCTCCGAAAAGGTCATCATCGGCATAGCTCTTGGATCTTTTATCATAGACAACGCGACCTGGCTCGCGGAAGCCATCTACGAGTTCCTCCGTCTGTACTCAGTCGACGCCCTTCAACGTACTATTGACTGGCTCATGTACTGGCCGTATGAACGCCTGCTCTTACAAGATTTGTTCCATGAGCTGACTTGCCGATTCATAGTGGAGGTTTGAAGCTGAACAACGAGCTTGCTACTTTTCTTGGTGACCTCTTTCTGGTAAGAAGACTCCTCCTTCTATGTTTCGACATGTACTGACTCCCTTATGGTGGGTAATCGATCATTGGCTCGCCTGCATTGAAACGCTGCGACCTGTGCTACCCCATGTCATTTGGTTCATAGGATTCTCCAGCTTCGCCGGCGCTAGCATGCCAATTGCTCTATTCTCAGACCTGCTGTCAATTCTGACCCTCCACATCTACTCGTTTTACCTCGCCTCTGCACGAATATTCAACTGGCAATACACGATACTACTATCACTCTTCCAACTGTTTCGCGGTAAGAAACACAATGTTCTCAGAAAACGAATCGATTCTTGCGACTACGATCTTGATCAGCTACTCCTCGGCACGATCCTGTTTACGCTCCTCTTTTTCCTCTTGCCAACTGTGATTGTGTTCTACCTCACTTTTGCATGTGCGCGCATGGCCATCATTTCCCTCAAAGCTGCCTTGGACACACTGCTTGCATGCTTGAACCACTTCCCTCTGTTCGCACTGATGTTGCGAATCAAAGATTCTCAGCGGCTCCCAGGTATGGAACCCTACGTACTCTTCGCCCAGTATATCTTTAACATATCCTAGGTGGCATCTGTTTCGAACTTCGAGATGCCCAACCCATTCCCTCTTCGCCAAATAGTCTCACAGTACCTCCGACATCACACATCTACCTGAAAGTAAGTCTGACCTGTCTTGCAAACCACAGAGAAACTTCTGACATGTAACAGTCCGTCCCTCTGACATTCCGCGCAATGTTCCACCAATACTTCCAACTTGGACACCGAATACGCAAACATTATATGTCGCCACGGGTATTACTTGGTCTTGCCACAGGGAAATTCGTACCTCCAATCCATCGCAAGAATCTTTACAGCCTGCAATACAGCATGTTACCTGCCAAGCGAGCCGGAGTCATGGAGATGTGGCATGCACTGACTGCAGAGGGGCCGAAAAAAATGAGCACTTATGAGATGAAGGTCAATGGGAAAAGGTTAAATGGGACGAGGAGGCAGTACGGGCATTAAGACCAACGGGAAAAGTAATGATGGGATGACTTCTTGTATATACCAGGCAACTGTAGATTAGTAGTACTAATGATAATATATAGAAACATCTCTGTGCAACGAATTGCAAATACATTTGCCAGGATTGGTGAAGGCGGCCAGTCACTCGGATAGCCTTCTCATCTACACTTTGAACGCTTTAAAATGTTGCATGCGAATAAGAACCGATTGCATCTATATTCAGGGAGGTGTGAATCTCGTTACACCGATAAGGCTCTTGATGTGGAAGTTCACAGAACTGGAATAGGTAAGGCTCAGAACTCCGGTCAAAACTCCGATTCTGGACTAGGTAAGTACAGGTAGACAAGCGAGACAAGGTTCCGTACCTGTCTGGGGGCATCAGGACCACCACTGCATTAGGTTTCGCTAAGCCGATCCCCACCAAATCCACCCACACACAATCGACATTTGCAACAATAGATTTATGGCTATTTTATAAGCAAATAAGCACTTCCAATCATATGTCACAGGAGATTCAAGTCTAGAGACATTCGTCCCTCGTGGCGCAATTGGCTAGCGCGTAGGCATCTCTATATATCTTCAGTAGAAATCAATTCTAACAAGTATCCAGGTTCGACTGTTAAGCAGCAGTTCATCGAGAGGTTGGTGGTTCGAGCCCACCCGAGGGAGATCTTCATCTTTTGGTTTTTTTTACATTTTTACTTTTTTTACTACGATGAACTATTCGGTTCTCGTTTTGGTGCTTCTGCATTTTTTTGTGTAATGTCTCGATAGCTTAATCTGCTTAGCGCGTTTGTCGAGGAAGAAAGGCATCTCATTTACTCTTGATTTTCTCATGTGCCTTTCTGTCGTCCTTAAGAAGTAAGGTAAAATGAACTCCTCTTGGAGAAGAATACACCGTTTCAGCTCTGCACAGAATACCTAGGTGCCTGGTCAAGGCTATTATTTACTTAAGTTGCTAGTTATTGTTGGACCTCTCCAATGTCGTACAAATTGTTGTATGCTTCCTTCTTCCCTATATTCCATTTTGATCCTTCGCTCTCCTACTCAAGGTTGCAATGAGGGTGGAGGGACAGTATCGATGAGTGTTCAGCAATTCGGCTTGGTCAGTCTTGCACAGGAGCTTCCGCCAAGCATTGTGCCACTACCTTGGCGGAAGCAGGATTTCATCATTGATATACCATACATACCTATACTTCACAAGTAGACCGGTCGTCTTCGCAAGTGCAGGCTTATGAGAGCTACCTACTGTCATGTTGATTAACTCAAGCTGCGTTGACAGCTCTCCTAGCCCGTCAATTGGTTTGGTTTCTCGCAGGAGGGGATGAATGGCTTCTATTCTGTCCTTAATCTACCCCACAGCTGCAATGTACCTCAAACTTCGAATATGATGCCTTTACTGGCCCTCTTTTCCCGGAAAAAGGAGGACCCGGCTAGAATACCTCAAACCAACATGTCGTACCTCAAGTTTCTCATTTGAATGGTATCTACATTGGACGAGTCTCTAGACTCCTAACATGCCTTCTACAACTCGGTGCCACCACCGAAAATTCTAGCTTTGGTTGCCTGCGCACCATCTGTTCTCCATATACTGATCATCGATGGTCTTGCGCCTGGGAGTATAGGTCTCAAGAACGTCTGAGCATTCCCCTCGTCAGGCAGTATTGCTATCGTCTCTTTATTGGACGGCTGAGGCGCCTCTGTCCTTTGGTTTTCACCATTCTCGTCGTTCTCGCAGAATTGCCTCTTCCATAGCCTTGTGGTATTGGAGCAAATTTGGCGTGAGCTCCGAGTCGATGTTTCTCATCGCACTCCGCAGCATCTCCCCACCTCTGTGCTGTTCTCTCCCCCTCCTCCAACCTCGCAAGTGAAAGATGGTACAACAACAGGAGTGGGCTGAAGTCGGGTGATATCATAGTAGGGATGGAATTGTTCAACAGGAAACATATCCTTCCTCCAGGATAACCCAGGGGTGAATCCTGACGGGCTAGCTTTGGCCAGTGCTTGGGAAGGACTGAATACAAGTATTGTCCACGGGGATGTCATCGGTGCTGGCGGCCTTTGGGGTGTTGGAGCGACCGGTGTACCCAATGACGTCTGGCGAGAGCTGGCACTCCCTGGCAGTGTCTGTGAGTACGAAGCCTTCCGTGATTGAGTACAGAAAGGGGTAGTTCCGGGTTGACGGCCGGGAAGACTACGTGCAATTGATGTTTGGCTGGAGTGTGCATTCTTCCGCGCCAATAACAGAAACCCCAGATTTCCCTGCTGAATATTTTGATCCAAATTCTCAACATCAACTGCACAGTTCTGATATAGAAGAAAACACCGGACCTTGTCACGCAGCTGCTCTTTGTCGAGAAAATGGTGGACATCGTTCGTACATGCCAGTGGAGGAATCCCATTCACCGGTAGAAGGATTCAATCGCAATTCAGCAGCAGACTCGAGTCATTGGTCTCGAAGATGGGGTCGACCGAATAGCTCGCCAGCGCTGCGTGATATTGATGCTAGTCCCAGCGCTCTGGATGAGACCCAATCATCAACGAGACCTGATAGCCAGAATCTCGAGTCACATCACCACGCCCGTCATTCTGTTCCAAGTATTCGACCAGATCCAAAAGATCTTGACACCTACTGTAAATTATGCAATTTCTGCACTGCCAAAGATGAAAGCAGGGCTTGAAAAATCCGCTTTCGCGATAGGGAAGCCAAAATCGAGAAGTGATCTTCGCCTGGACGCTTTATGATGCCAAAGGTCAAACGTACTTCCTTCAGTCAGAGAGAGATATTTCGAGCCATCCAGACCATTGTCGACGGGCATGAGAAAGCTGGGGCAGGAGTCGTCCAAGTGCTGTTAGTAAAGTTCATCAAGGGAGTTGAGCACATCAACGTCGTTCCTGGCCAAAGCAGCTCGCTTGGTATCATGACAAGGAAACGAACAGATGATTCAAGCTAATTACTTGTGAAGGTGACCACCTGTGGCGATGTTGAAGTCGTGCAGCTGCTATCCCGACATTCAACCACAACGGCGAAAAAAAAAAGCTCTGGAGATAACGTTTTCGAGTCGGAACACCACAACGGGTCGATCCACTACGAAGGAGGACAGAATCATCCATGTTCTTGTTTCTGATGGTGCCAACGTTGACACTACAATTCATTCTGCTGTGGCTGCTGGCGAGGAAAGCCTCCTGCGCATGTTACTTGAATTAAATCCACTAGTGTCCGCACTCTCAGAAGCCTTGATAGTTGCAATTGCAACCCGAGACATCCTTCTTAGTAGGAGGCTTGCGCAAATGCTTCTCCGCAAAGTTGCTGACATCAACAGTAGCAACGGCGTCTCTGTGCTAGAAGCGACAAAGCTATTCGAAATCGCCTTACTGGATATGTTGTTGGAGCGACGACCGTCATATGTCACATCTTTAAAACGTGCATTCGCCGTAGCTTTGGGCTATACCGATCCCAAACATTGATCTGAAGTTTGCCAAAATCTGATCAACGCTGGCACAACTGGTGAGGAGGTTCATGAAGGGCTTGCAATCACTACGACTATCGAACACCACGACATCGACTTCTTAAGGCTCATCTTTCGCAGCGCCTCGGTTGGCCATGAAGCCAGAGGAGGCGTTGATCATGATGGAGGTGTACCGATCACATCTGCTGCTCGGTCAGAGAACATCGGCATCTTGGAACTATTGATAGGAAGAGAATTCTAATTGCCGAACAGTGCCAGCCTAGTCAGAGCTTTCGAGATTTTCACTCCTATCAGCATCATCTCCAGCAAAGAAGATACGGATAATTGAATTTGTTCTTGAAACAGGCTCGTAGGGCCCATCTCTCGACCTGGCACTGGTAAATGCAACAAAGTGTGGCCAGTAGGGGCTTCCATGTGCGAGGTCCTGCTCAAGCGCGGTACCTCAGTCATAACGGTGAAGCTCTGAAAAGCAGTTGTCGATCTGGGAATGCAGGGCTTCTGGAGAAGTTGCTCAATAGCACACACGGAGCGGTGCCCGAGATTTTGACCATCATATTTCAATCTTTTCTAGTACTCGATCACAAAATACGACCCCGGGCTATGGTATTGATTCTACAAGCTGGAATGCCCGTCGACAATCAAGTGGCCGCCACTCTTGATAGGCTCGTTCTCGAAAGACGCCCACATATGCAACCCATTAAAGTTCTTCTAGCCTTCCATGCTTCGGTCCACTTCGAGGGGCATCGACCTCTTCTATACGCTACCAAATCGTCCAATACAATACCTCTGCAGCTCTTGCTTGAACGGTCCAAAGATCCCTCCGTATTGTCAAAGTTGTTTGCAGCACTCATGGCAGATCAGTCATTCTGGAAGAAACAAGAGGCACTCCGCATGATGACCCTCTTCCTCGAGAATGGAGGAGAAGGAATTTCGGTTCATGATGATTTGATCAAGGCCGTGACGGATGAGCAGCCAAGTGCCAGACGTTCCGAAATCACCGTGCTTCAGCAGGTCAACATTGAGCACAAAGATGAAGAAGCACTATAAATTACAACAGAAAAAGGTGCAGCCGCTTTTGTTGAAATAATGTTACATATGAAGCCAACAGCTGAGCCAGTTTCAATGGCTTTTTTTTATGCCTTCATGACCGGCCTACCAGAACCCACGTGCGTCGCGGTCATACAGACATTCATGGAAGGAAAAAGCTGCAGACCATTTGTACCCTGACTACTTGCATCCAGAGACATCTGAGCCCCTGGTGCTTTCCTGTCTACAACACTACGTCAATAGCCTGAGCGTTCTGAAGGCCACTTTAAATGCTAGAGTAAATATTGACCATGTCATCTGAAAGTGAGAACCACACTGCATTGTTCTGGACCTTGTCCGCTGGGAACGAATACGGTGATTACATCATCGAAGGCTTTATCAATCGAGGAGGTGATTTTGATCTAGGCCTGCTGTCACTGACGTAGAAGATTTGAACTTGCTGGCTTTAAATGTGTTCGCCAGCCTTCAAGACCCTCCTACATCACTATTTCACCTGGCAATTATCATGGATTCCAATCAGGTGTCCAGGCTCTCGTCAAAGGCGACGCAGATGTTGATTTACTTGACGAGAATTCCATCACGACATTGAGCCTGGCTGCTCAAGACAACGACATAGCAAGCAGCAGGCACTAATTGCCACAAAGATACTGTCTAATGACGGCAGTCTTTATGAAGTCGCGCACACGATCAACGTGGATGCAATTGCATTGCTTTTGGAAAATGGTCAAGATCCAGATTTCCCATGCCCCTCGACTTCAAGGAAGGCCTCCTCTATTTGAGCTCTGCTTCGAAGCACCTACTTGTCTCCTAAAGACACAAATGAAGACCCTGAAGAAGATTACAACGGCACAGAAGGCTCTCAAGTGCTTGGTCAAAGGAGGAGCTCTGACGACAGATCGTCTCTCACAAGCTGGCGATCGCTCGGTTCTGATGCATACACTTGACGATGCCAATCCAAGCATGATAACGAAAGCCTTCCTCGAATGTGGACAGATCAAATACATCAACCAGGACTTCAATCCATTTATGGTTGGGGAATACACATATTCTGCCACCAAATATGTTCAAACGGGTAAATGCGGAGGCCATAACTCGCAGGCTGAAGTCTCATTACAATGTTGAATGACTTCAACGCTCAGGATCGGTACTGGAAAATTGATGGTCCCAGCCGCCAGATATCCCCACGCACTGAAGCAGGCGTCAAGCATGAGCCAGTTGCGCAATAGGGAGGACGAGGAAAAATATAGGAGGGGCATGAAGCTGTTCATTGAGAAGAAGATATGGCCCAGAGCCAGGAGGCATTGTATTTCGTGTACAACGAAGGTGTTGAGGAGGCCGCCGGGCCTCAGGGAAGGAGGGCGTTAGGTACAAATTCTTCGAAGAGAAATATGGATCTGGGAAGAGCGGCAAGATTGAGGATCGAGGTCAATTGATGAGTGATGGTTGTCGCTTTAGTTAATTCTCGGAGAGGCGTTTCCAAGCTGAACCAAAGGTGTTGATGGCTTGATGATTGCGTGTTTCTTAGCTTCACTCAAAGCTTAGAAATGTATGTGAATGGATAGATTTCATGGTACCGCACCTAACTCATCGGTTGAAAGGAGGTTCTCGTGGACTATCATGAGAGATTCACACACATGCTAGAATCGACAGCAGTTATTACGAATAGGGCTTGAACAAATTTCTTCATAGGTCTCCACACTTCGAAATAGATGTACTTCTCCGTAGTAATGTATCGTGTGGTGTGGCAGCGCCAAATGTTGACAAAGGTTCAGGGGCAGTAGCTAAGCGAGTCTGGGTCGTGGTTAGCCTGCCAAGACCACTTAAGGTAAGGTTATCGAACAACGCGTCCACGCGTCTCCGAAATACGAGACGCACGCGTCTCCAAGGTTTTTCACTTCAAGCACACAAAATCCGTTGTCAACATCACGATTTGCCTAGCATGCCTCACTCTGTTTCTCTCGAAGACCCTTCGAATCCACATGCGAGCCCATCAGTGGAGCTGTATGTCGAAAAAGCAGAAACCCACACCACCAATTCAACTATGACCGAGGAGGACATCACCGAAAAAGACATGTCCCAGGACAGCGAAAGTGCAGACCAAGATATGACCATGGCAAACACCTTAAGCACAAATACAACTTCAGAAGCACCTGTGAAGTCGGAAATCAAGCCCGAGGTCAAGCTGGAGGATCTCTTTGCAGATATGGACTCAGATGAAGAGTTCCCAAGCTCCACAGGTCAAGACTTGAAAATCACCAGTTCGCCACCAGAAGCGCCCCCTTCTCCAGTGTAAGTTGTTCTCACCAGTAGAAAGAGGACCATGCTGACCGTCTAGTCACATTGGACCCTCCTCTCGCGCATCGGACCCAGAAGTAATGCGATCATTCTATCAGCGACTCTTTCCTTGGCGCTACCTTTTCCAGTGGCTTAATCATTCCCCTACTCCGACAAACGATTTCGGCCACCGCGAGTTCGCGTTCACACTACAAAATGACGCATATCTTAGATACCAAGCGTTTCCCACCGCCGATCTGTAGGTTCAACCCTGGATTTGCGACTTGTTTCATCATACTAATGTTTGTAGCCTCCGCAAGGATGTTCTACGGCTTATGCCCTCAAGATTCGAAATTGGACCCGTTTATAGCACGAATCCCCGCGACCGGAAAACGCTGCGAAAAGCTGCTGCTTTCAAACCTATTGCGAAAGAGCTGTGTTTTGATATCGATTTAACGGATTACGATGACATCCGAACATGCTGTGACAAAGCGAATATCTGCAACAAATGCTGGCAGTTCATCACCATGGCTATCAAGGTGATAGATGTGGCACTGCGTGACGATTTTGGCTTCAAGCACATAATGTGGGTCTATTCTGGACGAAGAGGAGCTCACGCCTGGGTGTGCGATAAAAAGGCTAGGCAAATGGATGATCAAAAGAGGAGAGCTATTGCAGGGTATCTCGAAGTTATAAAAGGCGGAGCTCAAAGCGGAAAGCGTGTCAATGTAAAGAGGCCACTGCATTCCCACGTTGCGTAAGTTTCGGAGCTTATTGGCAGTATTGACCGCCACTAACACATCACAGCCGGAGTCTTGACATTTTGAAGTCACATTTCCAGACGGACATCCTCCATGACCAAGACCCGTGGGAGACGGACGAGAAATTCGACCGCCTCCTTCAGCTCCTACCAGACAAAACTCTGAACGAGGCTCTTAGAAAGAAATGGAGTTCTTCTCCTGGCCGCGCTTCAACAGCAAAATGGGCCGATATCGATGCTCTTGCAAAAACAGGTGCTAGCAAAGGCCTGGATCCCAAGGCTTTGCTTGATGCGAAGCAAGATATTGTTCTCGAATACACATATCCGCGACTGGATATCGAAGTCAGTAAGCACCTCAACCATTTACTGAAGAGTCCATTTGTCGTTCATCCTGGTACGGGCAGAGTGTGTGTTCCAATAAACACAAAGCGCTGCGAAGATTTCGATCCTCTCGGCGTGCCTACCGTGACAGAGCTTCTCCAGGAGATCGACGAGTGGACAGCGCCTGAGGGGGATAGCGAAGGGAGACCTCCGCAGGACTGGGAGAAGACGAGCTTGAAGCCTTACGTAGAGTACTTTAGGTCGTTCGTTTTGACCCTGATGAGAGATGAGCAGGGTGTCAAGATCAAACGGGAGCGTGACGTAGATGGCATGGAGTTTTGAGCGGGTAATGACATGGAGTTCGAAGGAGTTCTGGACTAATGAATCATGCTGGGATGGCGGTCACAACTGTCTTGTAGGATCATTCTGGGGTAATATAAGCTCGCAGCGGATCTGTGCTTGTCTCTATCTGGATAGCAGCGTGAACATGATTGATGAACAAAGGGCTTGTGGTGAGCATATCTTCGCCCTCACTTTGCCTAGCGAGGGCTGTCTACGCTTCTTAAGTGGCTGTGTTCCATTGTAGGGAGACTTGACTGAAGCCTTGATTGACTCCCTGAATGCCTACTACGATTCGTTCATAGCGCCATGAATAGATCGATATTTGCTGGGCACGTTAAAATGCGAAGGCAAATGCAAGCTCTGGCACGCACGTGCCATACACCATCCTTGGCCAGGCAGGCTCGCTTCTTTCCGTGCCCTGCAAACTTCTGTCAACCTCGTCCTGGCTTTCTGAGCAGCTTCAACTCCTTCCCACAAACATCCCAGCACCGGTCGACAAGCCATACCTCGCAACCACGGCCTCCGACTACCAATGCAATAACTGCGCGCAAACCATCTTGTCTACGAAATTCACAGAGTATCCTGCGCTCACGCAACAGTGCCCCCAAACAACCACGGCATTCTAAAGCCTTCTGCCCCTCGCCTCCATTTGAGGCTCAGCCTGCCTTCACTCGAACCATCTCCTGTTGGATTGCGCAGCGCACTACAGTCAAACACATGCTAGCTACGAGACTCGTCAGCAATTCATAACGAGCCATATTTCACAACGAAACCTCAATTCGCGCCGACTTTTCTCCTGCACCATCTCCCTTGTGCAACGAGATCCCCCACAATCAGAAACACCACTCGACAACACAATGGCCGACGATTTAGCAAAGAAGCTAGATGCTGCGAAGCTGAGGTGAACATGCTCTCGCAAGATATAGCTTGGAACTATTGGGCTAATAGCAAAGTAGCGACGATGCTTCAGCTTCAGATGATTGGAAGAAGGGGCTTAATGTTCCCACGAAAGACACCAGGGAACAGACTGAGGTACTGGCGTCTCTGGGGAGCTTCTGCGACTTTAACTAATCCAAGGATAGGATGTCACTGCTACGAAAGGCCTCGACTTTGAGGACTTCAATCTAAATCGACCGCTGCTGATGGGAATCTTCGAAGCTGGATTCGAGAAGCCGTCACCGATCCAGGAAGAAGCTATCCCCGTCGCACTCACTGGTAGAGATATACTTGCCCGAGCAAAGAATGGTACCGGGAAGACTGCAGCCTTCGTGATTCCTGCCCTACAAAAAGTCAACCCGAAGAACAATAAAGTCCAAGCCCTTATTCTCGTCCCTACTCGAGAATTGGCTATGCAGACATCGCAAGTTTGTAAGACTCTCGGCAAGCACCTGGGTATCAACGTAATGGTCACGACTGGTGGTACACTCCTACGGGATGATATTGTGCGTTTGCAAGACCCAGTCCACGTCATTGTTGGTACTCCAGGACGAATACTTGATCTTGCTGGAAAGGGTGTTGCCGACCTTAGTGAATGCCCTACATTTATCATGGACGAAGCTGACAAGCTTCTCTCTCCTGAATTTACACCTGTCATCGAACAACTCCTCCAATTTCACCCTAAGGACCGCCAAGTCATGCTTTTTAGTGCCACGTTCCCAATCACCGTCAAGGCGTTCTCCGATAAGAACATGGATACACCTTTCGAAATCAACCTCATGGACGAACTTACACTTCGTGGTATCACCCAGTACTACGCGTTCGTTGAAGAGAGCCAGAAGGTTCACTGCCTGAACACACTGTTCTCAAAACTCCAAATCAACCAATCGATCATATTCTGTAACTCAACCAACCGTGTCGAGCTTCTCGCCAAAAAGATCACCGAGCTTGGCTACTCTTGCTTCTACAGTCATGCTCGTATGCTCCAAACCAATCGCAATCGTGTTTTTCACGACTTCCGCAACGGTGTCTGCCGCAACCTTGTCTGTTCAGATCTCTTGACCCGCGGTATTGACATCCAGGCTGTCAACGTCGTCATCAACTTCGACTTCCCCAAGAACGCAGAGACTTATCTTCATCGCATCGGTCGATCAGGTCGATTTGGGCATCTCGGTCTCGCCATTAACCTCATCAACTGGGATGACCGTTTCAATCTATACAACATTGAGCGCGACTTGGGTACTGAAATCATGCCAATTCCGGCAAATATCGACAAGAATCTCTATGTTTACGACACCCCAGAAAATATTCCTCGACCAGTTTCCAACTTTCAGACTACTCAAAGCACCCGCCAACCGTCAGCTCGTGACTCGAACCGTGACCAATCTCAGCAACAACCAGGTGGCCAACGAACCGGGGGCTCTAGTAACTACAATGGCGGGCGCCAAGGTAACAGAGCAAACCCCAACCAGGAGCAGAGACAGCCACAAAACCAACGTCAGGGTCAAGGTCAAGGTTTCTCGCGAGGCGGTGGGCGATTTGATCAGGGCACTAGACGAGGCGGCGGCAATCAGGGCCAGCGACAGAACGGTTACGAGGGACAACGAGGCGGCCGTGGTCAAGCCACCCTAGATCAATAGTTCCCTCACCACGAACACGATTGTTAGGTGGCAGTGTTGACTCTGTACATATTAACTTTCCCGTCACCAATTTTTCGATAGACTCGAAGTGCGATACCAACGGGCGGTCCAATCCGCAGGTCGTTTGATTGGGATTATGATTTATCCCGTCTGATTCTGGGCTGGATTGCCCCTTGGCAGTCGGCTTCTTGTTTGTACCATACGATTTTCCTTTTAGTTTTCTTTGCTTGATGCCACTCTGTCAGCTGAGGAAGCGGGGCTTAAAAGTTCAGCGACCTCGAACTGTTATGACTGGATGGGCGGTGTATTTGGCGTTTGGACGAGATACCTTTATAGGTGTCTCTGGAGTCTGGGCTTTTCTTGCAAGAAGGGCATGAAAAGCTGGCGTCGGCACAGAGCTTGGTTTGTTTTTGAGATATGCTCATACTTAAGTGAGCGCACGAGGCAAGGGTGGGAATATGTTTGCATTCATGCATTGGAATTTCTTGAGCATTGTGGCGCTGGCATACTTGGACGACATGGGAGGGTGTGGTGGATGAGGAACAACACGGCGTTGATTATGTGGGTCAATGATGGTCACTCACCGTACTCTACTGGAAGCGGTGAGCTTGACATCTGGGCTGAGGGGGTGAAAAACATAAAAAAAAACTTTTTTTTTCTTGGGGGGAGCGTCGAAAGGAGTAAGTAGTTCGTGCGGGACCTGCTCGTCAGCTATTCCTTCTCTTTGACAAATAAACATATTCTCTCTACTGGCGTGTATCTACATTGCTGTGAATTACTTGGTGACGGCATAACTCCAAGTATCTTATGTGAGATCCAACAGTCGAAACTGTAGATTGTAACAGAAGTGTATTAGTGAGAACAAGCACATCAAGTTTAAGACACCTACGGGCTACTAATAACATATATAGGAGCAACATCTTGAATCAGCACCTGTTTCATTTAGATAGACCATTCGGAGCGGCTTCTCACCTGCTCCATTTTCGAAGGAGCAAAGGACCATCAACAGACCAGTATGTTTGTTCGGAGACAGGAAGGCTCCGCAGTGGAAGGCTGCAATGACAAATGCAATTCCTGGAAGTGTTTCTCCACGTCGAGTTTGCATTTGACTTTGCGTAGCTTGTTATTCTATAAGCAGTATCTTCAAGAAGTTTCCTGACACACACTTCAAAGACCTTTCACAATACTATCTACCTAGAGAAATGAGTCCTCCAATCTGCTGATGCTCCAAAATCTTGAAATTTATACACAACCCAATCCAAAGAATGCACGACAGCAGCGTCGCCGGACTGGTAATGACCGTCAATTTCTGCACACTCCGGTAAACCGATATGATTCGCCATGTCGCCGGACTATTCCACTCGAGGGCAGCGTTGTAAGAATTCTCACATATATATTGCTGTCTCATTCTCCATATCCACCAGAAAACAATGTCCTACCTTGCAAAACAATGCCGCCAGTGTCATAATCGGCGTAGCCATTCTGCTGGAATCACCTAGTGAGGTGAGCTCAGTGAGAAATGCAGACAGACGGTGACGTTTTCGTGGAGAATCGCGCTCACGGTGTCGAGTTGCTTACCCACTTCCACCCAGCACCGCATTGCACTCGGCTTTGAAGACTTCGTCCATTATGTTTTGGTACTCGATCTGCGCCAGTAATTCGTTACCTATGCTTAGAACTTCTACTGTGGATGCAACGAGCAAGATTTTCTTTTTTTTGGAGACAATCATTTTTGCAGGTAGCGCTGTTCTGACGTTGTCTGGAAAGGTCAGAAGAGGCAAAGAGGGGCTGTCATATAGTTTCATAATTGTTCCCATTTATAAGGCCTCATTCATTGAATATGCTCTTGTTATGCCTGGCTTTGGAGGCGTGGTGCACGGCTTGGAGGTATGATCCCGAGTATATTGTTTATAAGATACAGGATATCAGTGAAGTGTAGTGCGTGACTGGCATAAAGATGTATTGACAGCTGATCCAAACATTCCTCCCAAGCAAATAGGCTCTAACAACGTGATTAGAAAACCAGAGGCCGACCAACCGGAAGCCGGCAATTGTACCAACACCGAAGAAAACAATTCCAGATAGCTCCACTCGGCATCTTGCAACTTGCTGGGTGGTGTACCCAAGCTTCCGTTAATTAGGAGTACCAGACATCAGGCTCGTCGTGAGTCGTCAATCATGGCCCCAAGTGTGGAGAAGGCGCCATCAGTCCCATCACTAGGTCGAGCTGTGAAATCATGTGTTCGAGTGGTGAAAGGTTTCTACCACGTTTTTCCTATTCCGCCCGCGCCAACTAAGCCTGGCCTTGTTTGCGAAACGGATTGTGATGAGCCATAGGACGAGGGCATTCGCATCCAGGGCTTTCGAAGTCCCAAATTACCGGCTGGTGGGTGATTAAAGAAATGTCAAGTCATCCGGTCCAAGGTGTGCATGTTCGCTCAACTACTCAACACCTAAAGAGAAATAAAGAGGTCGTAACGCAGATGAACTTGCGTTTTGCTTGCATCTAAGACCGGAGCAGCAAGTTACAAGACCAGAAGACTAGTATTACTATCCGAGTCTGAACTCATCTGTACGTCAAAAGAAAAACAAGTGGCTTGTTGCCTCCCGTCTCCCAAGAAAGTTGATTCATCTCCACCAATGACTATGATAGGGCCGAAGGAGGATTTAAAAGCGACTCGATGAATAGAAAAGTAATTGAATTGAACTATTAATAGATTGAGCACCCAATCACCGTGTACTAATGTCATCAAGCCCTCTCAAGCTATTGGCTGAGTATGCAGGACTCATGACTACTGTCACAGACGCTCAAACATTCATCTGTGCCGGCAGCAAAGGCGGCACCCATGAAGATGAGTATATCATGGTAGATTTCAAGGCCAATAGACCTGGCCATTCTCCAGTCTGTGTGAACCATGAAATGCGCACCATTACTGCCACTAACAAAAGGAGGGGGGGACAGATCATGGCACCACTTTATGAATTTGGAAGAATTGACCAATTAACATGGACAAAGTCGTAGGGAGGACCTCAGATGATCACTCCGAAGTAATTTCGTGACATCCCAGTGCTTTCAACTAGAAGGAAAGGAGAGCATCCGATACCGCTTGTGCCATAACAGCAGAATAAGCGAATGCAAACAGCAGAAGCACTTGAAGCATATATGCCCCTGAATCTGTGTCACAGTTGGACTGGGAAAATCAACAGCCATGAGGGATCGAAATAGAAGCCACCTAAACGAGCACACCCAGGGTAACACGAAATGAACGCACGCTCGAATGCGACCCAACGTCGACCCCGGACTTTCTACCCCGCACCATACTTTCTCGAGCCCAAAGTCTGCAAAGTATGGATAGTTTCACAGCCTCGGGTCGAGGGTTGCTTCCGACACGGAACCCCTATTCGAGATTCGGCTAATCACTTCCTCCGAAGAAGCAAGTCTACGTCGAACGACGAGACAGGGCGGAAGATGTGGGAGTTATCTGCGGCAGCCTGCCGTGATACTGGACGTGCCATTTAGGGGTCGGAGTCACATTTCTCCCATTCCGCCATTGGTGGATGGCTGATGGCCTGCCGAGAGAAGCTGCATGGCTGTGGTGTGCAGGGGCGCCATGTTGTACTTATATGCACGGCGATAAGGACGCGTGAAGGAGAGGAGGCTATTTTCGTCTGATTTCGGATCGAGGGACTCGAGTCAAGGGAGGGGGAGGTTCTTGCTGGACTTCGAATAGAAAATGAGGATATAAACCGGTCCAAGTGTACGAAGGACTCGGATGTCCAGAGCTGACGGCCCCCCGTAAATACCTTCACTCCTGCTTCGTCCAAAGCTTCTGTCGCCTGGAAGAATATAGAGTCACAATCCGGACCGTTCCGAGGGTCGATCAGCAGTGTGATGTGGCTTGGGAATAGCACATGTCTGCATGGGTGGGCGTCCTGAGAGCACAGCATTTGTTAAAGAAAAGCAGCTTCGGCGCCCGGGATCTGGGATGGCTTCGACAGAATCCGAATAATATAATATAATAATAAAGGGTGGGAGGGAGGAGTGTTGAGTTCAGGTTCGTGCACGACTCTCTTGGTATCATAAAGGGGCTGAGATGAGGTGAGGATGAAGATGGTTGCTGGTGCGAGCTGTGCTTGCACTGGTCCGGCTGGTCTGGTCTGGTCTGGTCTGGTCTGGCTGCTTCTGATTGTTGTGCTTTGAAGCGGTGAGGACCTGCGACGCTGTTGCCTTTACATATATCCATCCCATGTCCCACGTCCCATGTCCCTCTCCCCCAACTTACACTCTTGTCTTGACTTGGCTCGCCTCCTCTCGTCTTATCCTGTACAGTACCATACATTTCGTCGCGATCCTTTCGTCCACCAATCTCCCGTCCGTCTTCCGTGCTTGTGGGGTTTCTTACCCACAAGACATTCCATTAATTCAGCGACCACAAACGTGAACTGGTCTAGCTTCGTAGCCGACAATTCTCCCGTCAAGTACCGACGCCGGCAACCACCCTAAGTACCAACCAACCTGCCTACACATCTTCACTTCGAGGTTCTCTACCGTATCATCTCCACCTAAACAGCATCGACTCGAACCCCCCCCCAGCGAAGGGTTCGAGGGCTTCCAGACGCGACCACTTGGCGTCGCAGTGCGCACTATGGCCACAATTGTAAGATTGATCTGCCATCCCTTATCTTTCGCACGCCCTTGCCCCACCCACTCTACGCCGAGAATTCGTGCGCCCTCTGCCCCTCAGACAATCTTGATATTTCAAGCTATTACAGGAAGGTAATGCTGACTATGGCTATAGCTCTGTCTGGCACATCATTGCGAGAACCATGGGCCCACTTGTATCGTCAGTTGTGAGGGACTTCCTGTTGGATGCGTAACCTGCTTTGAAGATGATAGTATGAGCACGCGACGACCCAGCAGCTCTCGTTCTCTAAATCCTGCAGATGGCCTAGCAGCTATTACTCGATCTTCAAATCGGACCAATTCGACATCCTCGGCGGACGTACCGAGTGGTGACTTTGCAGCTCTTCAGATTTCAGCCAGAACATCCCCCTCGATTCCAGCATCCCCGCCACCATCTCCTAGGGTTGTCGCATTACAAGGCGCACATGGTGGCAGCAATAGACGAGATTCGAGCTTCCGAAAGACGTATGACGAGAATGACAAGAAGAGAGCTATACCTTGTGAGAACTGTGCCCTTACTCTACCGAGGCAGACAAAGGAAGGAAACACGATTGGCACCAATGGTCCAATATTACGGACGCGGAAACCGTACGAACGAATCAATGCCCCTTCTCCACCTAAGACCGACTCCTCCAACTCGTCTAACTCTTCAGATTCCGAGAATGCGATTTCGAGTAAGCCCTCTCATCGACGAACGCATTCCAGAACACTGGTCAGAATCGGCACGTCCTCCAGCAATTCTTCCTCCTTCTCCAGAAACTCGCACGTTCACTATCTGGACTACACTTCGACTCATGAACCTCTATCACCAAATTCTTTCTCCATGGTCCGGCAGGCCTGTCTACGAACGCTGTCCTGCGAAACTCTGCCCCCATCTTCGACGCCGAATACCTCCTCACCTACCTCACCTTTCATAAATAGCCCATTCTCCTCCGGCCCATCCTCCGCGATCTCAACATCCGGCGGACCGATATTTTTTGGCGACCCTCAAGCTGGATATACCACCGCGTATATTTTCCGAATACCTGACCCCAATGCGCGAGGCCGTCGCCGAGTCTACGCCCTAATGGCGCTCAGTACACACCGCGAGCGCGCCGCCATGCAAAGCTTCTCTTTCCTCTCAGATGCTTTCCGTAGAATCGCTGCTTGGATCCAAGGTCTTGCCGAAACCGAACTCGAGCGCTCCGAATCTGTCAATAGCCCAAGATACAGTAACAGCGATGAAAGAACTGGAAACAGTAATAACAATACGCCAACTTCTGCCTTCTTGAGTGGTAAGAATAGAGGCCCTGATGGCAAGTATGCTGGTATGAGTCTAAAAGCTAGAGGATTGGCTGAATTGGTTGGAATGCCGGATTTCTTCTTCGAGCTGCATAAGCTGTTCGTACAGGTGCTGGCAGAGATGAGCGCCACACTTGGCCTTTGAGGAACGCAACCGAGCCGAACCGAGTCACGAGCCGAATGATGAATATGTGAGGAGCACTGTTTTAATATTTCAGGAGAGCCAAGGGGTCTAGACAAAGGCGAACGCAGATACACTGGCGCAATGGGTAATGCTTAATGAACGGTAGGTGTTGGAATGGGTGGGGTCAAATCTCACGAACCAACTCTGGTGTGCGTAGGATAGATACTCTTTCAGGGGTATGTTCGATCCTTTTTGCATGGTAGGAGTCTGGAGAGGAAGGCAGAGACGATTTCGTTCTGTTTTGTTTGGTATGTGATAGCGTTTAGCGACCTTCTGCTGGGTTTCGTCGACTTTTTACTGGCCCATTTTCTTCGATATTTGTTTTAGTACGAAGCGATGCGATACCATAGCGGGCTGTATAAACTAGGACGTTAGATATTGAGATCTTTGTGTATAATAGAAGAGTGTGATGCTGTTCGTGCTGTTTGCATTTATTGTGAGTGATTTGTTTACATGGTTTTGGCGAACTCGCTTCGAGGTCGCTTCCAGAGATACATGTCTTACAAAACCAGCCTTGCCTGTTGGATCAACAGCGCATCCCTACCGGGTTAGAACCTTGAAATGTTGGATCACTGTGTCGCTTCAATGTCTAGTAGAGCGTAGAAGAAGATGTACAATTCACGAGAAGATCCTCATAGAGCTTGGGACACCCTCACTGTCGAACTGTATCTGCTCAATCAACTTGAGTCCGTGTCCTAAAACAGTTGAGGGATACATGAATTACATTTTTGTGACTTGTCAGAAGTGTGCAGCTCCTGGTCTAGGCTCCACTAACTCTAGAACATGTTCCTCCCTTACAAGTACCAATGCCTCTAGCACTGAGAAAAAAGATCCCTCTCGACAGTTACGCGTCCGACTGGGTTTTCGACACAATTATATTATGAATGTCGAAATTGCAAAAGGGTTCTTCTTATGGCATGAAATTCAAGAGGCCCCAAAGGCAATGAGATGCAAGTAAAGACGTTCTATGTTTACACTAGAATCTTGGTATTGTTGGTACAAGAGAGAGCACTCTCCCAGACCTTCTCGGATTACCGTCCAAAGACGGTTAGAGCTTCGAAGCTCTCGCACCATTCCATACCTAGTGCTCCATCCACCATGAATATCCATTCCATCCCGGACGCCGCGAATTGTAGCACACCTCTGTCTGCCAAAGCTCTCGAGTTCTGCTCCACTACTTGTAGAAATCGAAGACGTTCTTGTCATTGGCTGACTTGACTTGGCTAGAGTACGCATCCTCCAGATCGACCTGAATGATGTTGTATCTGTTCTTGCGGACTGCTCTCAAGCCAGCTTCCTGCATAATTGCCGCAATGATAGCTCCGCTCAGTGGGTCATTTCGGACAATCAGACTGTCGAGATCCACCTCTGGGGCCAGAGACATCCTGGATGCGATTGTTGTGAAGATCAAACGTCTCTCTCTGCGGTCTCGAAGGTTGGGGAACTCAATCTTTCTGTCCAAACGACCAGGTCGGAGAAGTGCAGGGTCCAAGGTATCGGCTCTGTTGGTGGCCATGATGACCTTGACATTCGAGGTCTGGTCAAATCCATCCATTTGATTCAGCAGCTCCAGCAAAATTCTCTGAACTTCTCTATCGGCACCAGTCTGAGCGTCGAATCGCTTGGTCGCAATCGCATCGATTTCGTCAATGAAGATAATTGCTGGTGAATTCTCTCTGGCCATGCGGAACACATCGCGAACCATACGAGGTCCTTCTCCCAAGTACTTCTGCACGAATTCGGATCCAACCACACGGATGAAGTTTGCGGTTGTTGAGTTTGCAACAGCCTTTACCAACATAGTCTTTCCAGTTCCCGGCGGGCCGTAGAGCAGAACGCCTCGGGGTGGGTCGATACCGATTTGCTTATACCTGGCTTAGAATTAGCTACGATCTCCATCCCCGTGGCCAGAGGCTACTTACAAATCAAAGTGGGTGAGCGGGAGCTCAACAGCCTCTCTAATTTCTTGCTTTTGCATATCCAGTCCACCAACATCTGCATATGTTACGTCCGGCTTTTCATCCGCTCCCAGCATGGCGATCGATGAATCAGCTTCAGGAGGGAGGATATCGACGAGGGAATTGGAGTGACGGTGGAGAGCGACGGAGGATGATGGCTTGAGCTTCTCGCGATCGAGGGTCGAAAGAATGCGAACAACATAGTTGGATCCAGTGGACGATTGTACGATGCCAGTATTCTGATCGATAGCTTCCATAAATTGACCAATAACCAAAGGCACACTCTGAATCCGCTTGATCTCTTCCTGTGCGCGTACCAACTCTCTCTTCAAGCTCCTGCGGAATATTAGCCATGCCTTGGTGACTGTTGAGTGATGGTCCATACCGTTGCTCATCCTTAATATACTCCTCTTGAAGATGGATGTATCTGTAAGTGTGTTAGCCACCATTGCCATCAATACACCATAGTTCATCCAACTCACTCTAGATGCCGTTGTAGCTTTTTCATTGTGGAGTACTCGTCGGTGCCATCAGTTCCTAGACCCTCCAACGAATCGATGTTTGGTATCGAGGAAGGCATCTGCTTTCGATGAGGCAGGACCTGGTTCGCGGGGCTTTCTATCATGACGTCTCCCATCTTGAATATGTCTTGAGTATGAGCTGTAATGGGAATGGACGACAGTTCGTGTGTCGATGGGGTTCGTGGGAAGCTGATGTCTTTTGTCTTTTGATGTTCCGCGAGGCGCGAAGGCAGCTGTGACTTACGGAGAAGACAGGCTGGGCTAGCACAAAATAACGCTAACCTCAACTCCGTTAGCTGCATCGGGGAAGTCACGACCGACGTCGCTTGTGCTAGCAGTCAGTCATGTCTCCTGGTAACCTTCAACTTGACTCAGTCCATCCTCAGCCTTCAACAACAATATCTACGATCGCGACAACGCTGCAACTGCTTTACCAAAGATAGACCCGGCTCAGCTTCTTGGTTCTTGGTCACTTTGCTACAACCGTTCACCATGTCATCCTCGATCACCATCCCGACACGGACTGGTTATGGGGAAAGCAGCAAGGCTGCTCCAAGCTCCAGCAGCTCCAGTTCATTCTCAAGCCCCAGAACTCCTCAGCAACAACAACAGCAACAAACTGCAACACCGACTTCATCTACTGCAAAATACGGACATGATCGGAGACGTAGCTTGCTGAGTGAGTTTCTATTTATCTTCCCTTCCACTTGGCAACCTGGTTGTGATCCGAGTTTCCCCGGGATTGAGCCACGATATAGTGTTCGATAAGATAATTCCATTATTAGAGGGTCATGACTGATGGTTGTTTAGGTTCATCACTCTCAAAACAGGAACACACGGTGATTAATATTGGAGATCCAGACGGGGTGCCACGTTTAGTAAGTTTCCTATCAACCGTTTAACGCTGGCACATGTCCCAAGCAGTTCTAACAGTCGCATCTACAGATCACTTGCGTTAGATCGTCTCAAGGATACGAGTGGAATCCAGGTATGTAACTGTCCAAACATCTCATGTCATTCTAGGTAGCCAGCTAACAGCCCCTGCAGAGATCTTCCTGCCCTCCTACGTAGAATCCAACTTCGAGTCACTTGAAAGAAAGCGAGACCCAGTTCACGAAATCAGACTCAGCGAAGAGGAGATAAAGGACATGTTCCCGCAGTAAATTGTTGTCTTATCGGGATTGAGGAGTAAACGGGCTGCACTTCCGGGTCCGGGGTTTTGCACACAATCTGGCGTAGGGAGATGAACATAGGATTCCCATGATAATTATTTTTTGGACATTGGAGTATTTCGGGATGGGTTTACGAATGGGTATGCTTAGATGATAACAGTATGATTACGACGGTGGTTTGGTTTGGTTGGCTGTGGGAGTCGGGCATTTTCTCGGGTTACGGGTTTGCAGTTTGCTGTGGTTTGTTTATTAAGGCGTCACTCTCTACTTAGTCGGTTCGGTCATTGCAATGAATTCTTCTTTGGCATTCAAAGCAATGGATCCGGATTTGAGAGTGATGCTCTGCATGTATGATTCATTTCGGGGGAGTTTGGAGTGATCACTAAGGGGGTTGCCTTGCAGGCAGCCTGCAGCCTGGAATGATTAGATCGCGAGGCTTTCTGTGACTCAAACCGGCCATTCGATGAGCACAGCAAGAGGATCTTGTTGCCCTGTCTACTCGTAGCTGAACGGATCTTGTAGGGAACCGACTATTAAAATGGCCTGGCTCGCAAGGTACAGTCGAGAAACCTGAGACGCTCGTTCAGTTGAGGGCGTTGGCGCCCCGTCAACATCGGGCCAATCATCAAGTTACAGCTGAGCTGGAGGACACTGGAATTCAGGGGACTGCGTTTTTGACTACGAACAAACAGATTTGACTTTCCAAATTAACTTGGCTCAATGACCCGAATCGGATGCGATCGATTTGAGCCGATCTCAATCTCCACGAGCGGGAACGGGGTGGAGTGTTTGCTACCATCATCAGGTCTTCAATCTAGCTGCACCCGAGGCATCACAACAGTGAGTCAGTCACTGACCGACTGACACCTGCTACAGCTCACCGACAGAAACGAGAGAACAGCACACAAGAGAAATTTGGACAAGTTCATGATATGATTTTCAATTGTTGCGTCGTCGGACTCGTGGTGAGTAGTGACAGGTGAAGCTCTGCTGCAGGCCCACCAAAAAAAGAACTGGCTGTGCATACAGCTTGCATGCAGCTCCTGCAGAGCCAGGCCAGGGGCACGAATTATATGTGCAGTTCCCAGCCACTTGGCCATGGGCTGAATTGAAGGGTCCTATAGACTAGACCGCCTGATCGGACTGTTTGTGCGTAGAGGTATTAGATAGCATGGGAAACCTTCTGAAGGCGATGAGATGAAATGAATGGAACTGACACCCCGCCATACTGAGCATCCCGTCCCCCCGCATTCCAGGCGATAAGGATTGCCGAGGCAAATAGAGTTTGGCGCTACAGGACGCGGCCGCGTGGGGTGTTCGAATTGTCAACAAGCACGATAATGAAAGTTCTGAAATCACAACATTCCGACTGAAACACAACGCTGAAGGCGGACAAATAGTACCTCACATCCGCAAGATTGAGAGTAATTTATGATGGCAGAATTCCAACGGAAGATCGAGCTCCAGTCTCCAGACGATCTACAGTACCTAGTCTCGAATGTGCGACGCGCTGCAAACGAAAAGATAGACAAGGACCTACCGCCCATTGAAGGCGAGGACAAGATGCGGGAACGCGTCGAGGAGCTGGTCAATGAAGTATGTGCTATTTATTGTTCCCAGTCCGCTAGAGAGGAGAGTCTTTATCACCAACAATCCCATCCAACTATGCCAATCCAAGCAATCCGAACTAACACTTCAAACAGTACATCAACAATGTCTTCCACACCTCCTCCGAAAACATAACAATCAACGGCATGAATCCCTCCCCGGACCTCTTAACCTCAATACTCAGCTCCAAGTCTACCAATCCGGTCCTCGAAATTGAAGAACACGAGCCCTTCAACACCAAGCTTTTCGAGCGCGCTAAGGACCTTGCGCGTCAAGAGGAAGATTTGATCGAGGAGATTGCCGCGCTAAGACGGAAAGTGCCCGTAAAGGTCGCGGAGAATGTGAGGAGGGAGTACAAGGAGGGGGTTGAGGGCGATGAGGCGGTCCTGGGGAGGCTGGAGGAGCAAAGAGAGAAGGGATACGCGGATTTGGGGGTAGGGAGGTTGGAGAGGCAAGAGGATGTCGAGAGGGGATGGGAGAGGGGTGTCAAGGGGTTGGAGAGTTTGATGAGGACGATGCCGGAGACGCTTGCAAGGAAGGAAAGGGCTGAGAAGGCGGAGGCTCATATCAATAGGGGAGAGAAGAGATAATAGACGATAAATGTGTCTAATTGGTGGTTTGGAGTTCTGTTTATATGACACCGGCGCTAGATGGAAAGCTTAGGGAAAACCAGGGAGCTCGGTACTGCACTCCGTCATCATGAGAAGCACTTGAGAGGAGCAGTAATGATAGTCATGGTAGCATTGTTCTTGGATTCTTGAGTTGCAGCTTGCGGATCGACTCCTCGGTCGACAAGACTCTGTCCGAGACTTAGCTTTCAAGGATTTGGGCCGGACTGGCAATATTGGCTTTACCACTAGCCGCTTCATGACCATCGGCGTCGTTGGACTGAGACTCATCTTCACTGCCACCACTCTCTTCATCTTCACTTTGTCCTTCGCCACGCTTCCCGACCTTGCCTCCAGTTGCTGACTGAGCCCTGCCATTAGTCCTCAGCTTGGCCTCCTTTCTCTTCGGAATGACCTTCAAGAACGCCTCTCCCCAATCGCCAGTTTCCATCCAAGCCAACATGATCTCAAAAACGTGATTGACAGCTAAGACACTACGACTTTGCATAGTCATGTATTCACCAATAGGAAGTCGGGCAGTCTTGATGCCACGCTCAGCGGCTCGCTTGTAGCAGATACCTTTGTGTCGGTTCTTGTCGACGATACCGCCGATGATATACGTTGTATTTGGAGAGAGAACAGAGAGGGTGTCATCAGAATCGGCTGTAAGGTATACAATCGAGGGCTCTGGCTTCTTAGCTTCGACTTCACGCCCTTCATCTCCAAGGACTTGGTCCGGCTTGACTTCGGCTTCGAGTTCAGATACTCCAACTGCAGTAATTAATTCTGCTTTGATTTCCGCTTCAATTGTGGATGCCGCAGCTTCAGTGGCTGTTTCTGGCTCGAAACTTTTGGTATCACGCAAGGTCTCCTCACTCTCTGTGAGGCTTGTCACCGGTAAGGCATCCGGGACAAGCGCAGGCACACCTGTGACTTTGGGCTCCTCAGTAGATGGAGCAAGTGCGCCAACTAGCCTTCCCCCATCGCGGCCTCTCATGATACCATCCAAATCCTTACCCGCGGCAACGAAGTCACCTTCATAGAATTTGACTCCTTTCCAACTGAGATGGTTGCTTGCAAGAACATTCTCAAATCTACTTTTGAGTACTCCACCCCAAGAACTGATGGCCAAATGTACCCGATATGGGGTAGACTTGTTGTCAGAGTAGCATCTCGTGATCTGAGCGCTGAGCGAAATGATCTCTTTTTCAGTCATAAGCTCATCGAAGTCGCAATCTAGGACGAAGGCAACCGGTGTTTGAATTGGTCGGCGAGGGCCGCCCTTTTGCTTGACGACAGGTCTTTCGATCTCACCTTTGGCGATCTTCTCATTCATCTCTCGCCGGGCTTCAGCTTTGCGGGCTTGTTTCTCCTTGTGGAGTGCTCGTCTCTTGTCTTTTCGGTAGTCTTTGCCAGCCTCCCATTGCTCACGTTTCCTGAGTTTCTTCAGTTGATTTCTTGAGAGTGGTGGGTCATTGGTGGTGGAAGGAACCTGGTTGACTTTGGAATCCTCTTCGTCGTGATCGGCTTGAGAGGCTGAAAGACCCATGCTTGGCGAATCGCCCTGAAGAGGCTCATTCGATTCATCTGGGGAGTTGAGCTTCCGAATCTTGGAGGGTCGCTCTTCTGACTCGGCCATTTTGTGATTACTGCTGTTCTGTTGAGTCCAGAGATCGTGACAGGGTAAATTCCATTGAAGCCGACATAAAATTTAGCGACAGGGAAACCCGTCTAGTCCTAATTTGGAATAGACATCCACGTCGTCGCGTCTTCCACCTCAACCGCGATTTCTCGTGGAGCACTTTCAGGGCATTGGGAATTGTATATGAGTCGTGAATAGGGAATCGGCAACACAACAAGTTCACATGAGAGAATATCCCCAAAAATCAACATGTCTTCTCGACCAGAATTGAAGGTATGCTCAAACACCTTGCCACCCCACTGAAATGATGCTAAGAACTGTAGGTTGACGACGAAGGCGGGTTCATCAGGTTCTTCAAGTCTCTGCCAATAAAGGACCATGAAACCATCAGAGTTTTTGACCGAGGTGACTGGTACACGGCACATGGCGATGACGCCTCTTTTATCGCCCGAACAGTGAGAAAATCCTGTGTTCATGGCGTTCTCACAATTTACGCTGATAGGTCTACAAAACAACTTCTGTTCTACGACAATTGGGCAAGAATGATTCGACCGGTCTTCCTTCCGTCACCATGACCATCACTGTTTACAGGAATTTCCTACGAGAAGCCCTGTTCCGTCTGGGGAAGAGGATCGAAGTATGGGGAAACTCTGGCAAGATGAACTGGAAGATCATCAAACAAGCATCTCCCGGAAACCTACAGGATATTGAGGAGGAGTTGGGCGGCCAATTCGATGCGGCTCCAATTATCCTTGCAGTAAAGGTGTCTGCAAAGGCCTCCGAGGCAAGGAATGTTGGAGTGTGCTTCGCAGATGCAAGTGTAAGGGAATTGGGAGTTTCGGAATTCCTCGACAACGATTTGTATTCGAACTTCGAGTCCCTCCTCATCCAGCTGGGCGTCAAAGAATGCTTGATCCAGGTGGACAAGACGGACAAGGATGTGGAGATGAACAAATTGAAGGCAATCATCGATAGCTGTGGTATTGCCATTTCAGAACGGGCAGGTGGCGACTTTGGCACCAAGGACATCGACCAGGACCTGGCAAGGTTATTAAAAGATGAGAAAGCTGCTGGAACTCTCCCGCAGACCGATCTGAAACTTGCTATGGGCTCTGCCGCTGCATTGATAAAGTATCTAGGAGTGCTACACGATCCATCAAATTTCGGTCAATACCAGCTGTATCAGCATGATCTGTCTCAGTTCATGAAGCTCGATGCTGCTGCATTGAAGGCATTGAATCTGATGCCTGGACCCAGAGATGGTGCCAAAACCATGTCCGTCTTTGGACTCTTGAACCACTGCAAAACTCCTGTAGGAAGTCGACTCCTGGCACAATGGCTGAAGCAACCCTTGATGAGCAAAGATGAAATTGAGAAGCGGCAGCAGCTTGTGGAAGCATTCGTGGAGGATTCTGAGTTACGGCAAACAATTCAAGAGGAGCACATGAAGCAGATTCCAGACATCTACCGGATGACCAAAAGATTCCAACGGAAAATGGCAAGCCTCGAGGATGTTGTCAGGGCATGGCAATTAGTCGGTCGTCTTCCTGGGTTTATTGCTACCCTGGAAGGTGTAATGGATGAGAGATACCGTGACCCTCTGGAAGAGACCTACACCATTAAGTTACGAGAGTACCTGGACAGTCTTGCCAAGCTGCAAGAAATGGTGGAGACAACCGTTGACATGGAAGCCGCACAAAATCACGAATACATCATCAAACCGGAGTTTGACGACGGTCTTCGAATTATTAGAAAGAAGCTTGACAAGATGAGAGTTGAGATGGACCAAGAGCACAGAAACGCCAGCCAAGATCTTGGCCAAGAAATTGACAAGAAACTCTTCCTGGAAAATCACAAAGTCCACGGTTGGTGCATGCGACTTACGAGAACCGAAGCTGCTTGCATTCGAAACAAGCAGAAATATCAAGAATGTTCAACACAGAAGAACGGTGTCTATTTCACGACCCAGAAGCTGCAAAGCATTCGGCGTGAGTTTGATCAGCTCTCTGAGAACTACAACCGTACTCAGAGCAGCCTGGTTAACGAAGTCGTCAGTGTAGCGGCCTCGTACTGCCCAGTCTTGGAGCTCCTGGCTGGCGTTCTAGCCCACATGGACGTCATCATCAGCTTTGCCCATTGCTCAATTCATGCGCCAACATCGTATGTTCGGCCAAAGATGCATCCAAGAGGCGAGGGTAATACTATTCTGAAGGAAGCACGACATCCATGCATGGAGATGCAGGATCATATTCAGTTTATCACCAACGATGTCACACTCGAAAGAGGATCGTCGGAATTCTTAATTATTACTGGTGTGTATTACGTTGCTATCTATATGCTTTATGTACTAACTCGCGCAGGCCCCAACATGGGCGGTAAGTCGACCTATATCCGTCAAATTGGTGTAATTGCCTTGATGGCTCAGATTGGGTGTTTCGTTCCCTGCGATGAGGCGGAGCTCACGATATTCGACTGCATACTTGCGCGCGTCGGGGCGAGTGACTCTCAGCTCAAGGGCGTGTCCACCTTTATGGCAGAAATGCTCGAGACCGCCAACATCCTAAAATCTGCAACCTCGGAATCTCTCATTATCATTGACGAGCTTGGGCGCGGTACTAGCACATACGATGGTTTCGGTCTGGCCTGGGCAATTTCAGAACACATTGTCAAAGAGATCGGATGCTTCTCCATGTTTGCTACTCACTTCCACGAACTTACTGCTCTAGTGGACCAGTACCCCCAAGTCCAGAATCTCCACGTTGTCGCGCACATTGATGACAATGGCAAAGCGAAGAGGGAGGTCACACTCCTCTACAAAGTCGAAGAAGGTGTCTGTGACCAGAGTTTTGGGATTCATGTCGCAGAGCTGGTTCGTTTCCCCGAGAAAGTTGTCAATATGGCGAAACGGAAAGCAGATGAGCTCGAGGACTTCACAAGTAAACATGAGGGGCAGACCGTCAAGTATGGGAAAGAGGACGTTGAGGAGGGGAGCGCGCTATTGAAGGACGTGTTGCTGAGATGGAAAGAGCAGTGCGAAGGGAAGGATTTGACCAAGGAGGAAATGACTTCTAAAATGCTGGAGTTGGTGAAAGGAGACGAAAAGTTGCTGGCGAATCCGTTCTTCCAGAGCGTAAAGGCGTTGTAAACTGTGAAATTTTGGTCTTTGATTTCTTGGCGTTAGGGATTGGGGACTAGCTGGTTGCGTTGCTGAATAGCAGGCAGCTGTCATGGTGTCCATGTGTGGCGGCGCTCATTGTACAATAGAGATATGCGGGAGGAATATAGGACGTGACATGACCAACACCAGCATTGAAATTTCTTCAAGCAAGTTTTGCAACCCCTGTGAAGTAGATAAACACGGCTGTGCAAGAGGCGAGTTGGTGCGAAATGTTCGGAAGGCGCATCGCCGCGGGGTATCAATTCTAAATTAGATCAATGGAATCATTCGCCTCCATCTCCCAGCCTCCCCAGATCTCTCCTTACTCTCCACACCCTCGCCCCGACTCCTCTGCCTTTGGATCCATCCAGTCTCTCCACCCAAGGTGCGTCTCGAAATCTATCTCCAGCAGCGCGTTGACTGTCCCTACCTTCAATGGTCTGCACGTCTCCTTCTTCTAAATAATCATCATCAAGATCATCATCAACGTCTGCATTATCTAGGTCCATATCGGCTTCCCCAGCAAGGGCAATTTTCAGCGGTAGCTTTTCGGCTGTTTTCTCCAGAGCGATTGTCATGTTCAGCTCTTCTGTATAAGCCCATCCGGGTGTATCCAACTTCCCACTAACAAGCACTATCGTCTTTCCCGATGCGTTGATCTCGTCAATGATACTTGGTGAGACTGGACTCAGCAACTGGATCCGCCGGCGCCGCACGTCGATACCGCGAACAAGAGCAATGCCAATAGAATGTGAATATCTCGGATCGAGTGTGATGGCATTCGCCGGATTGAAATAAGGGATCTGTTCAGCTGGTGTGGGCAAGATCAGAGGTTTTTCGATCCGTGGTGGTTCATTGGAGTGGTCGAGGACGCGGATCTCTGCATCGAAATTGCCCTCCTGGGCTGGACAGCCTACGTAGCCCTCTTGTTGACCGTTATCACGACCAAGTATAGCGAACATGTCGTCGATTACAACGACTGCGACGAGCGAGCCAGTGATGGTATCTACAAGGAGTTCTGGTGGTGGCTGCTCGCCATAGCACATAACGCCAAGTATTCCTGGATCCTCTCCTGAATATCGTACTTCCCAGGGCGGAATCGACGTAAGCGGTGTACCACTCCAATTCAGACTGCCTGTGTTTCTTGTAATTAGGTGGAAGTAGGACATTGCTTGCATAGTTCTGAGATGGGCCGCTGTTCGAGTTGTGTATTCGCTAGTTTGTGAAGGTACGGTGAGCAGTTGCTTCGAGTGGATAGCTTCTCTGAGCGTGTCAACAACTTCTGGCGGACCGTCTTGAGACATGTATATGACTTCCGTTGGCTTTACTCGGTGGATTAAGTCGACTAAAATTTCCAAGCCTGTGCCGAACACCCATCCAGGAGTGTTAATGATCAGAGGACAATCCCTTACTGCTGACCCTGTGGCTCGGTAGTGAGATAAGAGGTCAAGAGCACATGCCATATACAGACCTGGGTCTGAAGAGGGTGATATCGATGCAATAGAATGAGCACGTATTATCTTGCTCTTTTCGGGTGGTATGGGGTGAGAGAATGGTGGCCCAAAGTTTGGGACTTGGACATGTACAAGAGCCAGCTGCCCAGGTGGTGAGTATTCAGGCTGGCCGGGATCTAAGTCTAATAGCGCGATACCTTGGGACGCATCAGCCATTCCTCGGATTCCTGAAAGTAGTCGGTTACACAGTAGCTTCGTAAATGTTGATTTGCCCGATGATTTTGGCCCGCAGACCATGACTATGCACTTCGTCTCTGTTGGCTTGGATAATCTAGATAGGAGCAGGTTCCATTCTGGAGGTGATACGAGGGGCTGCAGATAGTTAGACTGCAAATCGAGCTTCGACGAGAAGAGCTACACATATTGAATTAGTCTGTGCTAGAATTTAGCTTCGGTGGATTGGACTTACAATCTTGAATGTACAATTCTGGATCTTCAACATCGAATCTTCGTATTCTGCACCGAACGGTCCAGCATGAGGGCTCCATAACTTCCCAAAAAGTGGTGACAGCGTCTCTAGATCTTCAAGTCCGCTGCTACAGTTTCGAAGCACGATATCGGCCGAACTTACATCAGTCGACACACATCTTAGTACTGGTAGTGAGTGAGAAGACGCAGAAAACACGCGATACGATGTTTTTGAAGGTTGTAAGGTTGCTCCTAAGAGAGTGACTTGGCCGCCTTGGATGCAGAGCTCATACTGGCCAACAATAACAAGACGCTGGTGAAGTTAGAATCTCGCTTGTACGATCATTGCACAACTTACCTCACCAGGGGCTACTTTAACACGGATTGCACCAACTCCCAAGCATTTCACATTGCTCTTGCCCGGCTTGAACGATGACAGTGAGACTGCTGGCCGCTGTAGCAACAAACCTGAAGACCCGCCACGTGATTCAAATCTGCTACCAGGTTAGTATGAGTGCTACAGATACCATTGACGGACAGCCTCATACGATGCGAGCTGGGGCTCTTCATCCAGTTTATGATTTGCAGTGATATACGAGCTTGTAGCATCTTGGTAGGTTGTATTTCCGATAGGATTTTGGGGATCTAAGGTGACCGGGGCGTCCAAGACTGGGTCATTCAGATCCGTACTCTTAGCAGCTTCCGAGCCAGTTGCAGATTCGTCCTTTTTTGCAGGACTTTTCGGACTACTGGTGTTGCTCTTCAGAGCCTGTCTTGCAGCAAATGCACTCAATCCTGAGGGCTGTTAACATTACGTGGTACAACAAAATAATGCCCACTTACGAGGTTTTGTCGGTGACACATCTAATTTTCTTCTTTTATATGAGGACATTACAGTACCTTCCGCAGCCATTTCGTGCTTACCTAGTGAGGTAGTCGGAGTAAGTATCAAAATCGAGCGGACTGTGAGACATGACAAGGCTCCATGTCGGTCGGAGAATCTTCGGACCGTTGTCAAAAAAAAGTTCCCTCAACTCGCGCTCCACAACCAAAGGTGTGATCGAAACCAATTCCTGGCATCACATTGTTTTGTAATCCTCGGACACGATACCGATCGCGATGGCGTCTACGAAATCCAAATCCCGAGACTCGGAGAAGAAGGACAAGTCCGCGAAGACCAACAAGGCTACGATGAAGCCCCTTCCTCCCACAGCATACAAGAGCGAAGAATTTGTCCAAGACAGCGACGACGAGGAGGAGAAAGACGAGGCTGCGGATGAGAATTCAGAGGGAAGCCTAGATAGCGATGACGATGGCTCCTCGTCATCTGCGAAGCCAGCCAAGTCTTCATCAAAAGCCAATGGCAGACTGCCGGCACCCTCTGGAAGCAGCTGCTCAAGTGAAGGCGAGAGTGAGGAAAGCGACGAGAGCAGCGAGGATGGGGAAGCTTCTGACGATGCTTCCGACCAGTCTCCAGTGGCCATTGAGCCTACCAAGTATGTTGTAGGTTGGAAGCTCTGTGCGATAAGTACTTATTGTTCATAGGAAACCTTCAAAGCAGGCTCCTACCAACACTGTCTCGGTCACGGCACCTACGCCATACAAAGCTCCTCCTGGTTTCGACCTTGCATCAATAGATGTAACATCGAGGGCGTCGCAAATATTAAGCAAGTCAAGCCTGGAAGGAAAACAGATATGGTATTTCACGGCCCCAGCTTCAGTACCAATCTCTTCAATTGAGGCTATGTCTCTGCTGGACGCAAAGAACGGTAAGCCGATATTAACGCACGATGGAGATGATTACGGTTTCATGAAAGACTCGGCCGAGGAGACGGCGTATACCAGAATATTGGTGCCCAGCTCAGATGCAGGCTACAAAGCTAGTAAGTACTTGAATCCGTCTTCCTAGCGCTCGTAGCTGAAAGGCATTTGAAGCCTCGAGAGAGATCGATCAAATTTTCCATCTTCAACAAGTCGCCAAAGATCCAACGACCGCAAATCCAGCCAGGGCGACGATCCCAGCTCGAAAGCCTGTTCGACAACAGCCCCGAGGATTGAAGATGCGTTTTCACCCAATTGGCTTCGGAGCTGCAAAACCTGGCACAATTGGCTCGAGTTCGTCTGATGAGGAAATGGAAGACGCACCTTCCGCTACCAGTCGCCCTATTCCCAAGGTCAATAGTACTGCCAGGACCGACGAAGATTCCGATGAAGATATGGATGATGGTCCACCACTGCCTTTGCGGCCCCACCCCAACACGAATGTCCATGCGTCTTCACCCGATGGTATATCCAAGAAGGACAAAAAGAGAAAGCATAGAGAAGAGGGCGAGAAAAAGTCTAAGCACAGTTCGTCCAGCATAATGAGTACTAGTGACCACAGAGAGCTAAAACGATTGAAGAAAAAGCAGACCATATTTCAGAGAAAGCTAGCAGACAATCGGTCACTGTCAATTGAGACTAAGGAGAACACAGGAACACTGCCTCTACCGACCCCAGCAAAGATTCCCGTCTCAAAGACCCCAATACCTCCTCCCAAACCACTAACCTACTCACACGCCCTAGCTGTCGGTGGTAGTTCAGACCGCCCCGAATCTTCTTCAAATCTGCCAAGGTCTAGCGCAGGTGACCACAGCCCGTCAATGAGTTCCTCATCCCGGAGTCAACAGCCACACCCGAAGTCGATATCTGCTAGAGGCTCGAAGTTGACAGAAGAGGAGCGTCGGGGAAAGAAGAAGAAACTCAAACACAAGGACGTCAAGAAAGGTGGTTCGGCATGAAAGGCTGTGGTGTGAACTGGGCGATGTTTGACTGAAGAATGCATCGTGTACTAGCATTTATACCCACCCTCTGTTCCACTTGATGAATGCTAGAGTGCGAGGCCTTAAAGAGTACCCATTCCTACGGCTTTGTTTTGTTGCGCCTCGCCTAGTAAGCTTTGAAGATCACCAGTTTTTCTGACCCGCCTCGCCCACGTCCGTAAGAACAGGATACAGAAGTCTTGAACCCTTTCAAGGCCTCCCTGTGATAAATGATGCTTGCATGAAGAAGCCTTGCCAAAGGGATGAAAATTTCAATGCCTTCTATCCTTCAAATATTGTTTTCATGTTAGGACAAGAAATTGATGGAATGGGAACTGCTGTGGAAGAGGACTCGAGTCGATTTGTACTTCTACTGTACCTCCCGAGCACACGTAGGTAAGGTAAACGATGGCTAGACAATGCTTAAAGTAACATGTGTTTACAACCGCCCGGCACGACGTTTGTAATTTACATGAACCTCCCTTGCTACCATCAGCGAGTAGCACTGGCACTGGCACTTGGGATTCCCACCCCAACAAGGGCCCCGCGTCCGATCAGCGGACGGACCCCTGTACCTAGAGAATGAGGGATGAGGGGCTGAGGGGTTCCCTAAAAGCGCCGAACTTTGAATTTTCTTTGGTGAAGACTCACTCACCTTCTTTTCCCTATTTCCTCTTCAACGTCTTCTCGAGAAATTTCCAAATCTCCCAAATACCAGACTACCACAACCGCAACCATGGCAACTAACAGCAGCTATGCTCTCACTGAGTCCCACAAGGACGTAAGCTTGACCATCCCTGCGTCTGCGAGTTAATCGAATTGAATGAAGTGTTGATGGGATGTGCGCGCGCCTTTGCTGACCGACACGTTACAATAGATGCTGGAGAAGTCCCTCCTTGACACCGACCCAGAAATCGCGGAGATTATGGTAAGTAGATTCCCTAATGACAGAGCCGGACCATCCATGCTCATTGGACTTTCTTATAGAAACTTGAGATCCAACGTCAAAGAGAATCAATTATCCTCATTGCATCCGAGAATGTTACCTCCCGCGCCGTATTCGATGCATTGGGGTCCCCAATGTCCAACAAATACTCTGAGGGTTACCCAGGGGCCCGATACTACGGTGGAAACCAGCATATCGACTCGATCGAGTTGACTTGCCAAGCTCGCGCACTCAAGGCCTTCAACCTCGAATCCGAGAAATGGGGCGTCAACGTCCAATGCTTGAGTGGTAGCCCTGCCAATCTGCAGGTGTACCAGGCAATCATGAAACCTCATGATAGACTTATGGGCCTTGATCTGCCTCACGGTGGCCATTTGAGCCACGGCTATCAGACTCCCCAAAGAAAGTCTGTACAGCCTATCCCTCGCAAGTCGTACCAACTAATGAGAAATTAGGATCTCTGCCGTCTCTACCTACTTTGAAACCTTCCCATACCGAGTAAATCTCGACACCGGCATCATCGACTATGACAGACTCGAAGAGAACGCCTTGATGTATAGACCCAAGGTTCTTGTCGCTGGTACTTCAGCATACTGCCGATTGATCGATTATGCCCGCATGCGCAAGATCGCTGACCTTGTCGGTGCCTACCTTGTCGTCGATATGGCTCACATCTCTGGTCTTATCGCCGCTGGTGTCATCCCAAGCCCATTTGAGCATGCCGATATCGTTACCACTACTACACACAAGTCTCTCCGTGGTCCCCGAGGCGCGATGATATTCTTCCGTAAGGGTGTCCGCAAGACTGACGCTAAGACTGGAAAGGAGACTCTCTACGATCTAGAGGGCCCTATCAACTTCTCTGTCTTCCCAGGTCACCAAGGTGGCCCTCACAACCACACAATCACTGCCCTCGCCGTTGCTCTTAAGCAAGCTACTACCCCTGAGTTCAAGCAATACCAAGAGCAGGTTGTGAAAAATGCCAAGGCTCTTGAGGTTGAGTTCAAGAAGCTCGGTTACAAGCTCGTAGCTGACGGAACTGACTCCCACATGGTTCTTCTTGATCTCCGACCACAAGCACTTGATGGCGCCCGTGTTGAGGCTGTTTTGGAGCAAGTCAACATTGCTTGCAACAAGAACTCCATTCCAGGGGACAAATCGGCTCTTACCCCATGCGGTATCCGTATCGGCACTCCAGCCATGACATCCCGTGGTTTCGGTGAGGTGGCCTTCATCAAGGTCGCAGACTACATCGATCAGTGCATTAAGATCTGTAAGGAAGTTCAAGGCGCACTACCCAAGAGCGACAACAAGCTCAAGGACTTCAAGGCCAAGGTCGCGGGTGGCGAAGTTGAGAAGATCAACGAGATGAGAAAGGAAATTGCTGCTTGGGCTGGCAGTTTCCCTCTCCCTGTCGAGGGCTGGAGAGTTTAGAATGAATGTTGTATCATCAAAAGGCGCCAAGGAGTTATTCAACAAAAAGCATGAATGCGTGGGGTGGGTCTCTTCTGGCTACTTCAACTCAGCCATTTAGATATCACGGAGTCAAGGGGACCATACAGAATCGCCAAATTTAACAATGAATGCAATAAGCAACTTCAACATAATTACCTTCACCGTTTGCATGGGTTCTTGATCATTTTCGCTTAACTGGCGTGTTTACTCCGCCCTCGCTGACCGAGAACAATAGGAAATGAATCCCTCTGCAACAAATAATCGAGGCACCACACTCTCATCTAGCCTTCCATCTAACCCTCCCAACCCACTCTGCAAACCTCCTCACATCCTCCCTCTCAACCAAGCTCTCCACAGTAAAGAAATCCTTCGCCAACTCCTCCCCATTCGCAACCCTATGAACGAAACTATGACACGCTCTACACAACCAAGCGACATTCTCCAACTGATCCTCTGTGTGCCACCCTCGCTTCAAGACTTTCGCATGTACACTCTTCGGTATCAAGTGGTGATACGTCAAGGAAATCCAGGACCGACCGCAAATCTCGCATTCAGTTGCTTGGTTGCTGGTTGTCCGTGGTGGTGGCGGTGGCGTGAGGAGAGTGTTAATGTAGGTTGAGAGTACAGGGTTTAGATATTCGTCGGTGGTTTTATGCACTGGAAGCAGGGAGTAGGTTGTTAAGGTGTCGGCTATGCTTTGGGGCAGGGAGCCAAGGATATTGCTATTTGTACTGGTGGGTAGCGGATCGGAGTATTTGGCTTGAAGAGAAGGCGTGTTGAGCCAAATAGAATATGTCATTGTCCTGAGATCGGCTGGGAGATTGGCGAAAATTTCTGTCGCGAGGTACTATTGACTTGTTTCAATGTCTGATCGATAGCAAATCCTGACATTGTGTTGCTCGGAAAGCTTACATCTATGAACTCGCCAAGCTCCTCAGCATCATTCGGCTCATCTGTCTGGTTAACAGGCTTAATAGCATTCTTGCGTCCGGCTCTCGCTCTACGGGGTTTCTTGGCTGTGCTTGTGGTAGAATTCTCGATGAGTTGGGTGGACAGACAGTCTCTGAAAAGTTGGAAGTTGGACTCTTCTACCATCGTTCATTGTCGTCTTCAAACAATTGCTCACATGCGGCAAGGTAGTCTTGAGATGCCCCCCTACCCAGTTTTGAGCTTTCATAACAGGAACAAATACTATCTGACAGAGATATTCAGGGACCGTTGTTTGAGCAGGCATCCCGACCATTTGGGCTGGTAGCATACCCCGCATGCGTCATCCGGCAGACCCACTATCAAGTTCCGGTATGTATCACTTCTACCTCCTTCTACATTTCAACTCATACAAACCCTTGTTCTGTCGCAAGGCTGGTGTCATAGTTCAATCTGAGAACATGGCTCCGAGCAGTGATGTTGTTCTTGCATTTGATCTGTATGGCACTCTGCTCTCGACAGAGAGCATTGCGAAGGAGCTAGCGAGTCATTTTGGAGACGAGAAAGCACAGTCTATCGCTGCTTTATGGCGGAGGTTGGTCTACCTTACACTTATCTAAACATTGAGTTAGGCGGTCTAATATTGCCCTGCAGATTCCAATTAGAGTACACATGGCGAATGAATAGCATGGGTTAGAACTCTTCTAATGACGTGTCTTGCTCTGGAGTTACATGCTAATGTATCGTTGTTAGGCCTCTATAAGTCATTTTCGGAGATCACACATGCATCACTCAAGCATGCTCTGGCCGAATCATCCGTCACTCTCTCAGAAAAAAGTATAGCTTCTCTGATGACAGCATACGACTCACTCGGCACCTTCCCGGACGTTCCACCTGGTCTAAAAAATGTATCATCCTCTCCCAACATAACGGCGTACGTATTCTCCAACGGTACAGATGCCATGGTTTCATCATCCGTTAAGAAATCTGCCGCTATCTCCGCTTACGCGTGGGTCTTCAAAGATCTTGTCACTGTGGAAGAAGTCCATGCCTACAAGCCGGACCCGAAGGCGTATGAACATTTGCTGAGGAAAGTTGGGAAGGAGAATGATGCTGGAAGCGTGTGGTTGGTGAGTGGCAACCCATTTGATGTTGTGGGTGCGAGAGCGGTTGGCATGCAAGCTGCGTGGGTAGATAGAAAAGGTGGGCATCATGGGGCAGGTGGATGGACGGATCAGCTAGGGACGTTGGCGAGTGGTGGGCCGACAATTGTAGTTGACGGGGTGGAGGGTGCTGTGGAGAGTATCAAGAAGTGGGTTGTGGATAATGGGGGGAGTAAATGGGCGTTGGTTTAGGTTCCTGTACTGTTAGCGAAGGGCCTGGATGTTGTGTTAGCGACGATAAGGCCAATTGAAGAAAGAAGAGATTGAAAAAGAAGCATTCTAGCACAGCTAGATCATGTTTCCATAGCTACCTGCATGCTTCCTATATGTCTCCCACCAAGTTCCACCATTCATAGATTCTTAGTCCTGTAAAGCTTTCTAAGTGTCGGCATCCCCTACCCAAGCGGTTAGCGAGATATGAATGAGTATGATGCATGTCTATGTCCTCGTCACGGTATTGGACCTGCATGGAGACTGCGGCCTCACTTCTCTGATTCTTCAATAGGAAGCATAGTTTTCTCGAAGTAGTGGTAATTTCGAGGATTTCGTGACGTAACTCTTCACGTATCGCATCTGCGCTCATTGTTATTTGCTGGCATCTAGGCCCCGGTGTTAGGTAGAATGAAGACATCATGCAGCAATGCTTCATCTTGACTATCCCGAGTGTGGTTGCTAGATTTCTAGTCTATATTCAAAATTTCGATGTTTGCATCCAAGTACAATATTCATCAAAAACCTGCGGATACTTATCCTTCACGCACTGGAAAACAAAGACGAAGGGGATAGGCGAAGAATGTGGTTAGTCAGCCAAACAAGCGAGCCGGAAGCGTAATCTGTAGAAATTTGGTACGTAAGAATATCTGCCCGTGAGATGCAACTGATAACCAAACCATCCTCGCTAGGAATGATCAAATAATTTTGCTTCTCGTCCCTATCTCTCATATCCCCCTCTCTCGCTTGCCCATACTTCCCAATATTCAAAGTCATCTCTGTCTCACAGCCTTGTGATCTTAATCGTGCTATTACCCATCAGTGTGGCACACCTTTACGCAATCTGATACCCACCCACCGGCTTGTGCAACTTCGGCTCGTCTCCAGCATGTCGGAAAGTGGGGTTTCGCGACGTAACGAGAGTGAAGTTGACAACGACGAGTTGAGAGGAAATCGTGGAGGCTCGGCCGGCTCGATTTCTGCCCCGTCTGTGAAGAAAGGGAAAGGGGGACGTAAAGTTGTATGTCCACCTTTTTGTTCATTTCGCCGTGAGAAACGCTTGTGAGAAGAAGAAAGAGAATCAAGCAATCGATTCTAATGATAAACAGATGTTTCCTTCGGCAGAAGAGAAGAAGCAACGCAACCGAGACTCTCAAGCAGCTTTTCGAGAACGTCGAAAGGAACATATTTCTGAGCTGGAGAATATTGTCCAAGAGCAGAAGGAGAAGTTACAGGAGTTGAAGAATGCACAGGCTTCCGCGAAGGAAGAGGTCTTGATCTTGAAATACAAGAACTCTCTCCTGGAGAGGATATTGCTTGAACAGGGTATTCGGACCCGAATGCAGCAAGTGAGAGGGAACGTGCTAATGTGTACTAGGAATCGATGTCAATGCCGAGTTGAACAATATCTTGGTCTTTCCACCACAGCTCCCTGAGAAGCGTGTTCATAGAGAGAGAGTTCTTTTAAGACCGGATGCCGAGGCCGTGGCGTCCAAAAAAGCTGTTGCTATGAATTCTTCACCAAAGACAACATCTGAATGCTGCCATTGTTCCTCGTCTCGACCTCAATCCAGTCCCGTATCACAGTCTACCACTCCATCTACGCTAGCTGACTCGATTTCTGCTACAACCGATGATGGACCTCGCAAGCGAGTAAGACATCACAACAACACAGACACCAGAGCCCATAAGCACCAGAAAGTATGTACGCCACCGCTCCACAAATACCGAGCACCACGTCGTTACCAAGATACGAATTATCCCGGCAAGTACTTCCCACGACCCAGCCCACAATACCCCTGAAAGAATCTCTGGTCCTAGATTGATCCCGTTTTACAGCACCCGATACATTCATCTCGCTTCATAGCCCAACTCCCAAAACTACACCCGCACAAGCTCAATTGCAAGTCCCTGAAGAATCCTCCGAACTCTTCCCATCAACCTTCATAGAGCCACTCGGCAAGTACCCCTTTCGCCCTCCATCCGTTCATGTCTTAAGAGAACTCTGTTCGTCCTAGACTGAAAATGTAAGTACAGATCCGCGCGGCACCACATCTAGCACCCTTATCTTCGACGAGGAATCCGACACCACCCAGAGCGTATGGGCCCCTACACCGCCTCTGCCTGCTGGTGTGTTTGAGCACAAGCACAGGCACGTCGCTGCTAAGACACAAGTGCCGGCCAAGGCATTTAACTTAGACTTTGATTTCGAGGCGGACTTCTCGTTCGGGAGCTTTGCTGAAGCTTCCAGTGGCTTTGATATGGATTTAGGCTTTCTGTCATCAGTTCACGTTTGATTGATACAGGTGATGAGCTGGTTGCTTGTCGTTAAAAAAAATTGGGAGGCTAACCTCAGTTTTATTTCCTTTAGTGTCTGGAGTTGTGGCTGTTTGATTGTGTCGCTTGCTTGGCTTGTGAGAGTTAGACACATGAATAGACGAATCTCTTTGCTCGTTCTCGAAGTGACCGATCGCCTGTGAATCTACACGTCGTCTTGATCCTCCCCGGCGTTATCGAGTACCTCTGTTGCAGCAGCGGGAGCCTTCTCTTCCTGCTTTCTCCACAGCCCAGCGAGGAATTCACTCGTGCTTGCTTCGTCGATGCTTTTATCCTCCCTCTTCTTGAGGAACCGAGGGAACCTCAAACTCAGACCTTTCTCATCGCTTACCAGGCCGATCGCCGCGGTGTAGGTAGGACTGATCGTGATATCTGGCTTCCATCAACACTGCAACCAAACGTACTTGTGAACAGTCAAAGACTTACCAGCAAAAGCCATCTCCCACACTTCCTGTGGTTCGAACCACACATCTGGATGCCCACCCTCATAATCAACATAGCTTGGCTTCCCGCCTAATACGTGCTCACCATCCTCATCATAAAATTCTTTATTGGCCTTATAAAATGCATCTGTGAAGCCAGATATGCACTTGCAGACCGCCTCTAAAGAGCCAGTCTCCTCATTCCGCACAGCGAGCAGGATAGGTGACCACCATTTCGATTTTCGGCCCTGACCGTGCCAGCCAGCGACTGGGATGAGATCTAGTGTATCGAATGTTGTGCTGTAATCTTTCTTGACCTTCAGCCAAGAGTCAAGACGTTTGTCGGGTTCGTAGGTGGCGAGTAGAGCTTTGCGGCGGGTTTTCTTTTCGGTCGGTTCCTTGTCTGCTTTCTTTTTGCCTCTGGCGGGTTTGAATGGCGACTCAGACACGGCGATTTCTGCGCCGTCGACCTCTTCATCTGCTGTCTTAGAATTTGGGAGGTTGTCGAGAATCTTGACCATGATGCCTTCGCATTTGATATCGGTGGCGCTCTTGAAAAACCCGAGTACAGTCTCAGAGTCCTGAGATGTGGCATCGATACTCTTCACCCACGTGAACTGGTTTGGAACTTCGGTGAACAGACCTCGAAGGAGCTCTCGTCGTTCGCGAAAGGGTCTATCGAGTAATGACTCCCCATTTAGATACATGAGATCAAAAGAGAATAAGCACACCTCAACTTTGACGCTCCCAATGGCTACATCTTTGCGAGCACGATTGGCGAGTGTTTGAAATGTTTTTAGATCGCCCGAGTTTCGATCAACAGCCACGACTTCTCCTTCCATGATGAAGCTCGACACGCCTTCGCCACGGATCTTGGGGATCAAAGCGACCAGGTCAGGATACTTATCAGTCATAAGCTCGAGGTGACGTGAAAATATCGAGACCTTGCCTTGAGCATCGCAATGCACCTGTGCACGTTGACCATCGTACTTGTACTCGCAGCTGAAGTCTCGACCTTGCAGCTTGGTCAGCATCTCCGAGAGATCTCTCGTGATACTGCCTAACATAGGGCGCAGCGGGATATGCAAGGCGAGTCCACATCTGATGAGTAGCTCCTCGCAAACGCCGATCTCCAAGAGCACTGGAATGAGATCGTTGTAATTTGGTCGTTTTGCGAAGCATGCTTTTACGATTTCTTCTGCTTTCGACCACACTTCTGCCAATTCCTCTTTCTTGAGTTTGGCTAGCTCTTTTGGCGATCTCAGAGGGAAATCGGCACCTGGAGGTCGAGAGAGGAGTATAGCTCGAGAAAGGGCAATCAGCATAGTGGTTTTGACAGCACCGATACGAAGCTGTGCACACATGAGCATACCGATATTCACGGTTCAGGAAGGAAAACTTACATGTTGGCAAAGAGTCCGTACAACATACCGGCTCTCTTCAGCGCCTCTCGCATCCTGTAACAGCCGATCAACCACTCTTTGCTTGATCTCACCGCTTCCAGTTCCCTGAGTTTTGGCGATCTTCACAAGCGATTGATAAACTCCTTTGATCGTGAGCGGCTTCGGCTTTCTAAGGGTGAAGCTTTGCCGCTTCTTTGCTTCAAAAGCTACATCGCCTGCATCGCCGACTTTGTCATAAAGAGCTTTCAAGGACCTGTTGTCTAGGCCACACACGTTCTTCAAGGCTTTTGAAATAGCTGATCCTCCTAAGCCAAGCTCAAGTGATATGTAGGGTGGTGAAATAGCATTGGTACTCAGCCAAACCTAGAATCTAAAACGTCAGATATACATTTAAGAGGCTTGCTCAGGCAAGTAACCGGCAAGTGTGCCATGTGGAATGAATCAACAAATACATATTGGTCTGACGCAAAGATGAGTTCATTGTACATACAGTAGGAAGTAGACTGCTAGGGTCGCCCTCAATGATTACCCGGAGCAGATTCACAAGGGTATCTACAATCTTGATTCGACTTTGCGTACTGTTGACCAGCACAAAACATCTTGTAAGCAGTGCATATGAGGCATCCCCTCCCTCTGCTGCCCAATGACCCTGTAGCGCTGCAACGTATTCTGACGGATCGAACGTTAGAGGGCTTTCATCAAATGGTATATTGGAGGAAATGTTGTCTTCGGCGGACCCAGCCGACTGTAAAGAAAGGGTGTTATTGCTTTTCGGTGCCAGCAGTGGATGTGAAGCTGGTTTCTCGGGAGAATGGCCGTCATCAGCTTCTGCCTTACTTTCGAGAAGAGCTTGACCTGTGCATATTTCTTCGCTCTTGCCAGTCTTGAGCTCAGCCCGTCTCTCGATTATGTCGCTTTGCAGATTTCCGGATAATCCTCCTACGCTGTCTCCATTCGTAGCTTTTGTAGTATCCTTCCCAGCGGTTTCCTCTTCGTCCCATTCTGCCTGGAGCTTCCTAGCTAATTGTTCGTCGGTCAACTCTGCTGCGTCGCTCTGCCCTGAATTACTTTTGTTATTCTGATGGGAACTGTGACCCATCTCAAGTGGTAGAGCCTCTTTCTGCTTGCCGAAGAAGAAATCGAGGTTTCGAGAGCTCGCAGGAGAGGACTTGGGGTCACTGTTGACTTTGCGCTTCTTCGTTGGAGGGGCCATTTTGGCTAGGCGTCGTGCCTAACTTGCCCGTGAATTTGCTCTTTTGGCCCTGCTACCCAGTATATATCCTCCATGCGGTCGCGAAATTGCTGGCGAATATATCCATGGAGGTCGAACTTGCGGTTGTAACAGTGATGGCTTTTGGTGGTCGTTCGTTGATGCCGTCATCGAAATCTGGGGGAGGCGCGTTTCCACGCGCGCAGCTCGGCACGGCAAGCCTGGGACAAAGACAAAGAAAGACACAGACCTGGACGGAGCTTGGAGCTTGGAGCTTGGAGCTCCTGATCCTGGACAGGACAACAAAAAGTGTCCACTCCACTCCAAAGCGCAGCTCCCCAACTCTCGGTCACAAAGCACTTTGCACTGTATCGCCACGCCCTTCAATACATTAGCCATGGCCACTTCTTCTCTGGCTCGACAGACGTCTTTAAGTCGACAAAAGAGCCCTGTCGCAGTACTATTAAACCCCGAAACAGATATTCCTCTAGGAGAGAGAGACATCAGAGTAGAGGACTACCTGAACGACAAAATACAGACGGTTGCGGACCTTGGAGATATTTCAAGCTTGTTAGCTAGCGTAGAGTTGCAAAAGACACAGCTTGAAAGTCAAGTAAATACTGTGTCGATCCATGGTTGTATATATGCTAAGTCGTTTTGTAGCTTCGACATGCAACATCTGAACTGAAAGATGCGCGAGTAGTGGCCGCCAACCGCAATACCTTAATGATGGAGCAGTCGCATGAGTTTGAAAGGGGATATGCCAACGTTCTTGAACGCCTGAAAATTGTCACATCATCGGATACACCGGAAGAAGCGAAGCGGAAATTCGAGAAGCCGGTAGAGAAACTGCGGAAACTGGAGCTGGCTCAAGCATATGTCAAGCTCCTTGAGGAAGCAGAATCTTTGAAGAGAGAGGCAAAATCACACCTGCCGGGAAATCCAAAGGAAGCCTTGAAGCCGTACACGAAATTGAAAGAAATTGCTATGATATTGCCTGAGCTGCAGGAAGGGGCAGAGGGAAGTGGCGTCCACCTTGTCAAGTTCATCCAGGAGACCGCAGATAGCCTTTGGGGCGAAATGAAGAAGATTATGTTGGATGAATTCGAAGCAGTGTTGAAAAAGTCGAAATGGCCAGATGCTAGCAGCGAGCCCACAACGGAATGGAGCGATTGCTTGGAAAAGCTTCTGGACCTGCAGATGCCCGAGATTGTTGCTGCGCGAGAGCCTCTTGTCCTTCTACCCATGGAGGTCCTCGCCAAACCATTCGTCCAACAGTTCAGATATCACTTTTTCAGCGACAAGCCCACGAATCATCCAACTCAGGTTGGTACTCGTTCCAAAACAAGTGCATCGCTTGTTGCTAATTCGTTCGCAGCTTGGAAACTACTATTTTGAATGGTTCCTTGGGACTGTCACCAAGTGGCAAAACTTTTTCAGAGAGAACATCGGCCCTGTTCTTGGGGCCCATTTCAGAGGTAACATTTATTCGGGCAACGCTCTTTACGTCGATCCAGTCGCTGCATTTGTGACAGCCCTGCTGCCAGTATTGAAAGTAAAGGTCGATGCCCAGATCGAGTCAGTCGCTAACAATCCGCAACTGCTCAGCCGCTTCATGGTGCAGCTCATGAATTTCGACGAAGCTATCAGAAAGAGGTTCAACTACGACGGAGGCAACCCGGATCTAGGCTGGAAAGGCCTAACGTGGGAAGTTCTTGACAGATGGTTTGATACTTGGTACGAAGTCGAGAAGAGTTTTGCTCTTGACAGATATTGGGACATCAACAAATCACCGGATAGTACTGTGATTGACTACGACAGCTCTGGTCCTGGCAAGACCAAGCCTACCTATGGCGCAATCAAAGTTACAGACCTCATCCAAACAGAGACGCTTCAATACAACAAACTACGGAAATTTTCTCATAAGATGAAATTTCTCATTGGTATTCAGGCGGAGATTCTGGATCTCTACTATGGTCGCCTCAAAGATTCTCTGGATGTTTATAGCACGATTACGTCTACAGTCGGTCGTACGATCCATGGAATTACAAAAGAACAAGAAGCTGCAATTCATGGGATTGGCAGATTCGAGACACTTTGCAAGGTGTTCGGCAGCGCCGAGCATCTGATTTCGATGATGAAAGATTGGAGCAATGAGGAAGTGAGTGTTTTCGTTCTTAGTGTCCCTTTAGCTACATGTCCATACTAATTGACAAGTTCTTCATCGATATGTGGGAAGACCTGCAAGAAAGGGCAAAGGACACAGACACCAATGCCAAACTCGCTGGCGAAATGTCATACAGTGAGGTCAGGGATAGCACATCGGACGCTATAGGTTCTGAGTCGGAAGGTGCTGTATTTGACAAAACTATCGAGAGCTTCGAGAAGCTTCGACAAATGGCGGAGTCGTACATCACTCAAGCTATCAAATACTCATTTCCAGTATCCTTTAAGCAATTCATCACAAAGCCCCAATGGTGTACAATTGGAGATTCTTCTTCCAGTATGCTTTCTATAAGTCTGTTTGGCATTGCATTTCTAATTTTTTATAGGCTCATATCCCTCTGCGAGGACTGCAGAACTGGATGGACCACTTCGGGTAGGTTCATGTCTAATCTCTTGGACTTCTGCTGCTGACACGAATTAGGAAATGGCTGAAAGCATGGAGTTCTTACGAAAAGTGCTTGCCGATACACCGTTCCGACGGATCTGGCGCGACGCACTTGGTACTCTTCAAGATTTGCTCTTGCACGATGTTCTGCTCCGACAAGAGTTCACCACCCTTGGTGCAGCACAACTTCGATTCGATTTTGAAGCTATCCAAGCAACAATTAGGCGGCACATGAATTATGATGAAGGTTCAACATTTGCGATGCCGAAGCTGAGGGAAGCAATTTTCTTACTAAACGTTCCTCTTGATGCTGAGGGTGACCAGAAGTCCCTCAGGGAAGTCAGCGAGGAAATCTTTGCAGATGGCCAGCGTACTTCAGATGCGCTTGAACATCTAGGGCTGAAACATCTTACGAATGGCGAGGCTAGGGCAGTCTTGGCGAAGAGACTTGAAGCAAGTACTGATTAGAATTTCCTTTCCAAGGAGGCAAATATCGATCATTTGAGGGCATTGGCGGCATAGGCATTGGCATCGAGATATCACATTAGACTATGATAAAACGACTCGCGAAGCAATCAAATCAGAATCCTGAAAGGATGGCTTGCAAAGCGGTGGTTGTCATGATGTAATCGATACAAGCGTAATCGACTACTCGCTTCGAACCGACTTCGTACCATACCATCACCTCGTCATAGACTACATTCCAATGAAGCCTCCTTAAACTAATAAAGACATAGAGATTATGAAGGTGCCCCCGATACATCCTCATTATTCACGCCAAAGGTCAACAGAAAACCGATCTATCTAAAGTGTTAAAATGCCTTCAAGCAAAGGTAAGGTTTATTGCTGCCTTTATTCCTCAGACCAAGACAAGTGATTGACAATTTCTATAGGGAAGCCCACAGATCCTGAACTAAGGGAGCAGATCAAAGAAGGTATGGCAATGTTGTATCGCGTTTATCCCACATTAATTTTCATTATTCATTCATGCCACTTTTGCAAATAGAAATCAAACAGGAGCCCAATAAATCTGGCGGTGGTGAGGGACAATGGTCCGCGTGGAAGGTGAGGTGTTTTCTTATCTTTTGTATTACATACACACTTTCCATTGAAGTTCTCCTTATACATTATGGGACTTCAAATAGTAGAAGTTATGTGCAAGCCTGAGAAGCGCCTTTGAGGAAACATTGAAGAAACATGGGACTAATTTTTGATTAGGCTACAAAACTCGCTAAAGAGTACGAGAAGCAAGGAGGTGATTATGAGGATGAGGCTGGCAGTAAGAATAAGCCTAAAAAAGGAGAGCCGGAGAAGAAGGAATAGATTCTGATTTTGTAATGGTCTGAGATGGCGTTAGCCGGCCGGTCGTTGTCATGAAACCGACAGCGACATCTTCTAATTGCTATATTATGGCATCCTGCAGAATCCAAACAGGAGAATCGTTGATTCTCTTCTATGAAAGTCGTGGGGATGCCAGCTTGCAATGTTGTGTTGGTGGACATGCAAGCCGAAAGTCTTCGTCCGTAGGGCCTCATTGCAGCTCCTTTGACATGTACAGCGCTCTTCCAGGGATTCAGTGCCACATTTTGCCGTAGAGTAACTATTTTGGGTGAATGAGGAAGGATTTTGTGAACATATTGACCGTTTTGAACATTACATCGGCCAGGATTCAGGTATGACCACGTCAAACCTTGAAGGAACTTATGATTTTGATAGCACGCGGTGTTGAAGTTAATATCAATATAGTTTGACACCAGTCAAACCATGTTTTTTGTCTTTTTCCTTTTTTCTTTTCTTTTGGCTCGGTACGGGATTTGAGACAGTTGGTTGGGTACTGATCATTAAAAAGGACGAGTCGACCCACCAGGCTCGCTTACGAGCCAGGACAACATAGAATCTCCAAGCGATTAACACAAACATCAGGCATTCCTAGGTTTATACAATCTACTCAAAGCTTGAATGGTTAATCGATTAATGTGCAGATGGATTTCTGGCCCTGACAATTGGATTTTGAGAGGAGATCTCTAGGATGGCTTAGTCGCACTTGAATCTACAGAGCTTCTGAATTTGGTTCGGCTCAAATGAACGCTGAAAACACCGTGTTTGGGGTAGTATGATGAAAGATAAATTGGCGAAGCGCATTGGCGTCTGAGTTCTCGAGGTATTGCTATCAAGCTGGATAAAATGTAGGCGTGGTTAACTGACCTTCTGGACTGAGATTCAGGAGGTGTGCCAAGGTCTGGAACTGACCAATAGACGAAGCTTTCTTCGCCTCGCTTGGGAACAGTCGTTTAAGGTTGGTAGCCATCCTAGACGTGTGACCACAAGCAGAAGATTGGTCTGAATATTGTTTCAGATGGCATAGTATCTGGTGATGGCTTTGGTCTCCAGGCTCAAGGAGAACTCTGCACCACTTGACCGCAGAGCAGTGATGCTACACCAGCTGAGGCTATTCCACAAAGTGCACCACCTGCAGCAGCCAAGAATTCGACACATGAAAGTGCCGTGGATGCTACCCAGTTTATTTGCTGGAAGCAATCCAATGCGTAGCCCACATACGGAGCATGTTTCTACAGGGTCAAACAATCGATAGTTCTCTGCCCGGCGAGATCTCATTGTAAATTATATGAGAATCGTCTCGAGCTAGATGTAATCAGTTCTAACATGCGCAGGGATGATTTTGGTCATGGCCACGAAGAGTCATGTAAGTGTAAATTGATCTTTGCATCCAAGTCTGCATGGGGAAGGTGACAGCACTCCTCGGGCCGACCCCTTCCCTTCCTGCCAGATCAGGAGGGCCATCATTGGCCATCATTGGCCATAATTGCAGTAAATGACAGCCGCTAGGTCTCTTTCTGATTCACTTGCCAATTCCCCTCCTTCAGATCGCTGAGAGTCGCTTCGACCTTCATAAGATGACCTGGCTGCCCACTTGCACCACTCGCCCGGTGCTCTTCTGCAATTCAAGTGGCACAAGGCCACTACGGAAGCTCAAGTGAGTTCTTGAGAATATCGAGATGTACAATTTCGTCCATATCTGGCTGTTCTGCTTGATATCTTCATGCAGTGCTTCTCCACTTCTCATTGCAGCATCTCGCTCGACACATGACAGTATTTCCAACTGTACATGCGGTACTCGCGCAGAAAGCGCGCAGTTAGTCGATGTTTGTACAGGCCAGCCCAGTAACGGCAATCCCACAAACATACCTCCGGGCGAAATCAAAGCCCAGAAAGCGTTGACCGATACACAAGTCGCTTACCTCACCATCGTGAACGGATGCAACCAAGACTTCGAATTCGTAGGGGCCAACCAATGGCAAATGAGAAACTGGGATGGGCAGTGGGTGACGATTCCAGCTGGAGAGTCTGCACAATTCGACATCAACTTCGTCCAAGGTCTTTTTGTGAAAGACAGCGACACAGGCGGCGAAGCCTACTTTCGGATCAAGAACACGGAAAGGAAATTCCACGTTTCTGCCGATTATGCCTCCAGCATGTCTCCCAAGTTGAGAGCACGTATCAGCTACGACGGACTCGGCACCAAGGATACTCCGCAGGGAACAATGTTTGACCTAGGCTTTCCGACCAAGAGGAACGGAAACACACTCGAATGGGTCCTGACAGGAAGTGAGAGCTATGGGTACTGGTCAAGTGCAAACCCGCCGGTAGCCTATCTCCATGCAATGCTGGACGTTATTGGGGAAAGGAAGCTCAAATACGTGACTATGATTGGAAGTCACGATGCAGGCATGAGTGAAATAGATGGTTCTACGGCATTTTCTACCTGGCAAAACACGCAAACGCAGTGGCTTGATGTCTACGGACAGCTGGTGCGCGGCTCCCGCTGGTTCGACATTCGCCCATGTCTTGGGAATAGTGGAAAGCATATGACGTGCCACTATTCGGTGTCACCAAACGGGGCTGTTGGTTCCAACGGTCTTGAGGTGGACGAGATTATTTCGCAAATCAACAGATTCATGGACGAGTACCCAGGAGAACTTGTCATCATCGACCTCAACAGTGATTCTGGCTTCGACACAGACCATCGTACTCCTGAGCAGTCATACAACAGACTTACGGACGACCAGTGGAGATCCATCTGGCAGAAGTGGCGGGATGGCATCAAAAAACCATGCAAAGGCTTTGACAGTGTCGCTCGTTTAGACGATCTTACCATGAATCGGCTCATTGGTGACGGCCAGGGGTGTGTGATCACCCTATTTCGCAGCATTCCAGCAACGGAAGACGCAAATAAGGGATTTTACGGATATGGAAAGCTCAACGCATATAACAGATATGCCGAGACAGACGATTATGAGACGATGCGCGCAGATCAACTTTCAAAGCTGCAGCAGAACCGAAAACTCGGCAAAGAAGGCGAAAGTGGAACGAACGACGGATTCTTTCTCTTATCTTGGACCATGACTCTGGGTGCCAATGACATCGTTACTCCTCTAGCTGACCGCGCTGCTATTGCTCAGAGTAGCTTGTTTTGGTCGGGTTTCCATGAGTTTACGCCATACTCCTTTCCTAATGTCATTTATGTAGATTTCGTCGGGCAGCCGTATCTACTTGATCAGGGGAAGACCCAAGCCGAATATTTGAAGCAGACTGGAGGCCACCTTACAGCTCTAGCTATGGCTGTTAACTTGCAGATTGCAAGCCAGAATTGCTATATTGGCGGTGGCAAGATATAAGAGAGTAGCACAAAATAAAGCCGTTTCTAAACTATAACGCCAACAGATCTTGTAAAAGGGTCCTTTAAGCTAGCAACTTCGTTTCTATTTCCACAACTAGCTAATCGCTCTTATCATCACCTCTACTATAGTAAATATGCTAGCACTAACAAGTATAACTCTTAAAAGAGTTTGTCTAATTTCCTTCTAAAAACCCCTTGACCCCTCTACTTGAAATATCTACCTAAAGTAATTATTTATACCTTTAAACTTCTGCTTTTCTCTAAACCTATCACTTTATATCGTGCTTTTAATAATATCAAACAAATAACTAGATAACTATAAGGCCTTACCTGCCAATCTTATATAAAAGGCAATCTTATAGCTAGAGATCCGAGTATGTTCGTAATCAACATATTAGGAGCGACAAAATTCCATCTGAATGAGGTAAACAACAGTCCTCCGAACTAAGCGAATCGACATCCAATTTTCTGAAGTCGCAATATCTCAAATTCATTGACAGACGTTTGTGGTTCCTATCTATCGCACTTTCATCTACGGATAATGCAGAGCCCGCGAGATTATCAAGGGCATCATCAGAAGTAAGAAGTCGACATAGAGCTTCAGATCGAGCATAAACAATTTGAATCAGCCCTGAAATAAAAGTCATGGGCTACCCAACATGCAAACGAGTGAAAGCCCAGCGATGAACCCCAGCTCTAAGAAAGGCTCCATTCTGGGTTTCACGTCGTAGCAGCGAGCATGAGACGCAGACTACCCGACTCATAGGGTGCAGTGGCACTCGACGGCTTGGGATACATGCTTCCAACATTTCACAAGCCAGGCTGTACACTTGTATGAACAAGATGTTGACTTAATAGGCTATCCAATCAAACGTTGACCCACATAACGTATAATCAATATTAGCAGATTATCAATTTCAAGGCTCGAAGAAACTACCTTCGATGCTTGCTCGGATGTAGAGTTATCGTTATCTGCGTACACTCAGTCGTTCACGTCCCATCGCTCTCCCCTCCCTTCGAGATTCATCTCCAGTGACCATTAATGTAAGCCCAAACCGGGGCGCCGTCGCTATGCACAATCCATCAAAATAAACCCACATAAGAGGTTTCATTCCTGCAGGCGATTGCCAAGTCCGCTTTTGATTCCTTCCGAAAGACTGCTCCAATCCAGCCCAGCTATTGCGCGATGATTGCTCCCTTTCATCGTAACCGGCTCAGAGAAATTGCCCGTAGCGATTTTTCTCATTATAAGTGTATCTTTGCCTCTCTTCAACGTTCGGCCATCTCCACGTATGAGATAGTCCTCAAGCCATTCATCTTCCAAGGCAGACAGAGGAAGGTTAACGAGTTCCACACTTCGATCAGCAATCGTCTCTTTAGGAGAGTTGTGGAGAACCACCGAGATCAGCATCTCAAACATATGTCGCTGAGCATATTGCGGCTGGCCACGGGCAAAGTAGAAAGCTTCGGTGACGCTGGTCCTCGCAATCGCAGAAAACAAGCATTCGATCGCGGTTCGGCTAGTAAGAGTCGGTTGTGCAGTATGGAAATAAGCCAGCGCAAGCGTGAGATCCTCCCTCGACTTTCTGACCAAGACTTCTAGAATCTCATCGGCGAATGTAGGAATCAACGATGGGTGTGTAAGATATTGTACTGCCAACTGCTTCCAATTAGCGCACGCTCCGCAATATCGGATGGAGAAATACGAACATCAAATTCCTTTCGGTCCATGTGCCATAGTCCTTTCATGTATATCTGGTACTTCTGGGGCAAGAAGGTACTTTGCTCAAGCGCCGTCGAATACTCTCTTTTGCCGGTAGGGAAGTCGAATGTGAGTAGCAGATAGTAAAGCACAGAAATTTTGTGGTGGTCGCTGGATGTGGTATCCATAATGGTTTTATGGAGCGTTCTCAGGGCATTATTGGACTTTGGAGGATAGTATTTCGGCGCTAGACGGCAGAGAGTCAGATTAGAAAGGTCCAGAGAAGGTGGCAAAAGGCTTCTTACGCCTCGTAATGCTCATCGCCTTCATAACACGATCAATGAAGAGTCCCTCCATCTCCTTTCGGTTTGCTTCGATCGTCGACACCGTTTTTTCATCGTAGGAGCATTCAGGATCGAAGGCGAATACCTCCACAAAACTCTGGAAGTTGAACATCATTTGTTACTTGGGAGCTTTTGGTGCCAGTAGGGTATTCGCATGGGGTGAGGTTGAGTTGATGTTGACAATCGCATGAAGAATTGTGGATCGGTTCTTGGCTTATCGCTACTTATCTTAGCGCGGCTGTTGTTTACACTTCCAGGCTCTGTTTACTTTGACCCGTGGTTCCCCCCACAACTTCAACAACATACGGCAATTCCATTCAACAAATTCACGACGCGTCATTTCTGTCACTTCGGCTCTTCTATACCACTCTCTTTACAAGAAAATTTGTTTTTGCTTGTCAGCGACCGCCGTAGCTGTGAGTGTCAACGCGACGGGCTGTTTCGCAGACTCAGCAACGAAAATCCCCTCCAGTCCCAGCGCACTCACGATCAAGATGTCCGAATCACCTGTTCGGCCCTCAAGGAGGGTAGCGACGCGAAGAAAAGTCGTCGTAGACTCTGACGACGAAGAAGAACAAATACAGCCTAAGGTGGAGGAAGACAGTGAGGAAGACTTCACACCAGCACCGAAAAAATCCCCTCGGAAGGCACCTGCGGGAAGGAGGAAGACTACAAATGTTGTCGCGAGTACTCCACGTACTGGAGGTCGCGCAAGGAAAGGAGCTGCGAAGGAGAATATCGAACCATCTGAGATCTTTGACCCGGAGCAAACCGTTCAGCCTGAGCCAGAATCGCCTTCAAAGAAGGCGTCGCCACGAAAAAGAAAGAGCGCGCCTGTGAGATCTTCACGAACATCAATGACACCCGAGTTACAGCCACCACTACCAACCCCAGAAGCATCAGCCTCTCCTGAGCCCTCCCAGCTCCATGGAACGCCTCTTGCCGATATCACAGAGACTTTGAATGACCGCCCTGGCACATCAGGCAGCCAGAGTTCTGTGGTCAAACCAATCAATGCAATGGACACAATTTTGGAGCGGCCCATGGATATCGTTTTGAAGTCAAGATCAATGGCGGCTCCTGTTGTGGAAGACACCGGACCCAAAGCCCGAATCGTCATTACTTACTTGATACTTACAAACTTCAAAAGTTACGCTGGACGCCAAGAAGTTGGACCCTTTCATGCTTCGTTCTCTTCCGTCGTTGGACCCAATGGTTCTGGCAAGTCCAACGTTATTGATTCTCTTCTTTTCGTTTTCGGATTTAGAGCAAGCAAGATGAGACAGGGCAAGATCTCAGCTCTTATTCACAACTCTGCTGCATTCCCCGACCTGGATCACTGCGAGGTAGCGGTGCATTTTCAGGAAGTCATGGATCAGGTGAGTTTTTCTACTAGAGTGGTATCGGTCTACACATTGACATTACTCTAGCCAAATGGGCCACCTGCAATCATTCCAAACTCGGATCTTGTGATCTCTCGACGTGCTTTCAAGAACAATTCCAGCAAGTATTACATGAATGGCAAGGAATCAAACTTCACTGTGGTAACCACTCTTTTACGAGACAGAGGTGTGGACTTGGACCACAAACGTTTCTTGATTCTTCAAGGTGAAGTCGAATCGATTGCTCAGATGAAACCAAAAGCTGCAAGCGAGCATGATGATGGCCTTCTCGAGTATTTAGAAGACATTATCGGCACATCAAAATACAAAACGCCGATCGAGGAGTCAGCCACCGAGGTTGAAACGCTTAATGAAGTCTGCGTCGAGAAAAGTGGGCGTGTTCAACATGTTGAGAAGGAGAAGAATAGCCTAGAGGACAAGAAGGACAAAGCTCTCGCATTCATCAGGGATGAGAACGAGTTGACTGTGAAACAAGCTGCTCTCTATCAGCTCTATATCGACGAGTGCGGTGACAATATCAATGTTACCGAAGAAGCAATCAGCCAGATGCAAGCCCAATTGGACGCTGAGCTTGAGAAGCATAAGGGCAACGAAGATGGGATCAAGCAGCTCGACAAGCAGTACAAGAAGGGGCAGAAGGAGCTTGAAAGTCTTGATAAAGACACCCAAGCTATCGTTAAAGAGATGGCAAAATTCGACCAAGAACATGTCAAGTTTGAGGAGAAAAGGAAATTCTTGACGGGGAAGCAAAAGAAGCTAGAGAAGACTATCAGTAGTTCTGAGACTGCTGCCGAAGGCGCCCAAGCCACGACTGAAGAGTGCACTGCGGAGATTGAAAAGTCCGCCCAGGAGATTACTGCCATGGAAAAACGGATGAAAGTAGAGGAAAAAGAACTTGCAGTCATCCGTGATAATCTTAAAGGCAAGACCCAAGCATTCTCTGACCAGATTGCGGCAAAGCAAAAGTCCCTGGAGCCATGGAACGAGAAGATCAACCAAAAACAATCTGCAATTGCCGTAGCGGAGAGTGAGCTGGCTATTCTCCATGAAAAAGCGAATGCCGGCGCCGTTGCTCTCGAGGAAACTCGGGCGAAGCTCGCTAGTATCGAAGAAGGCCGGGAAGCTAAGCTGGCTGAACTCGAAGAATGCAAGATGGAGAGATCTAGGCTGGAGAAGGAAGCTGCAAAAGTTGAATCCGAGCTCCAAAACTTATCTCAGAAGGAGCCTGAACTCCGATCGAAACTGTCTGGAGCTCGTCAAAAGGCAGACGAGGCACGAGCCAGTCTTTCGAATACGCAGACACAGGGCAACGTTCTTACCGGCCTTATGCGGCTGAAGGAGTCCGGGCGTATTGATGGATTCCATGGCAGACTTGGAAACCTTGGTACCATTGATCAGAAATACGATGTTGCCATCTCGACGGCTTGTGGAGCGCTCGACAACTTTGTTACTGATACTGTCGAAGGTGGACAACAGTGCATTGAGTATCTGCGAAAAACAAACCTCGGAAGAGGTAACTTCATGTGTCTTGACAAGCTTGGAAACAGAGACATGTCCCCCATCGACGCACCTGAGAACGTACCTCGCCTCTTCGACTTGATTAATGCTAAGGATGACAGGTTTCGACCTGCTTTCTATCACTCGCTTCAGAATACTTTGGTGGCAAAAGATCTTGATCAAGCCAACCGAATTGCATACGGAGCAAAGCGATGGCGAGTCGTGACTCTCGACGGTCAGCTCATTGATAAGTCTGGCACCATGTCAGGAGGTGGAAACAATGTGAAGAAAGGCTTGATGTCCTCTAAACTTGTTGCGGATACTTCAAAGGAGCAAGTTGCGAAGCTTGAAGTTGACAGAGACGGATTGGAACAGGAGTTCCAGAAGTTCCAAGACCGTCATAGGGAACTTGAGTTATCGCTTCGAGATCTCAACGACCAAATTCCTCGCCTTGATACTAAGATGCAAAAGATCGGTCTTGAGGTGGAAAGCTCCGCGCGAAATCTGGCTGATGCCCAGCGCCGCATCAAAGAGCTGAGCAAAGAACACCAACCCTCCAAGACAGATGACAACAGAGTCGCATCTCTCGAGAAGGAAATCTCCAAGCTCAACAAGGAGATTGAGAAACTGCACAGCGAGACCGCAAGCGTCGAGCAAGAGATCAAAGCGCTCCAGGACAAGATCATGGAGGTTGGTGGCGACCAGCTTCGTGCACAGAAATCCAAAGTCGATGCTCTGAAGGAGGAAATCAGCAGCTTGAGCGAGGCGATATCGACAGCTGAAGTGACAAGAGCGAAAGCTGAAAAGCAGAAGACCAAACATGAGAAAGATCACGCGAAAGCCACCAAGGAACTTCAGACTGCGATCTCTGATCTCGAAGCTCTGGAGGAGGACATCCAAAACCAAAGCTCAAATGCCGAGGGCTATCAAGCCCGCGTTGACGAGGCATCGGAGGCTCTCAAAGCAAAGAAGAAGGACCTCAATGCCTTGAAGGCCGAGTTAGATGAGAAGACTGGCGTTCTCAACGAAATTCGAGCCATCGAGATTGAAATGCGTAATAAACTCGAGGAAAACCAGAAAGTCCTCGGCGAAAATCAGAAGAGACTGAGATACTGGCACGAGAAGTTGAGTAAGCTGTCTCTTCAGAATATCAGTGACCTGGGCGAGGAGACCGAGGCTCAGGAATTACCATCCTATACCAAGGATGAATTAGCGGACATGAGCAAGGATACGCTGAAGAGCGAAATCGCTGCTCTGGAGGAGAAGACTCAAAACGTCAACGTTGAGCTTGGTGTTCTAGCCGAATATCGCCGAAGAGTCGAAGAGCACGCTGCGAGACATGCCGACCTACAGAGCGCTGTTGCTCAGCGTGATTCGGCAAAGAAGCGTTGTGATGATCTCAGACGTCTCCGTCTGGAGGGCTTCATGGAAGGTTTCAGCACCATATCCCTTCGACTGAAGGAGATGTACCAAATGATCACCATGGGAGGAAATGCTGAGCTCGAGCTTGTCGATTCCTTGGATCCTTTCTCGGAAGGCATCTTGTTCAGTGTTATGCCACCCAAAAAGTCGTGGAAGAACATCTCCAACTTGTCTGGTGGTGAGAAGACTTTGAGTAGCTTGGCGTTGGTTTTCGCTCTGCATCACTATAAGCCGACTCCGCTGTACGTCATGGATGAGATTGATGCTGCCCTGGATTTCAGAAACGTAAGTGCACATGCTCGCTATGCGCCTTCAAGATTACTAATACACCCTAGGTCTCGATCGTTGCCAGCTACATCAAGGAACGAACGAAGAATGCCCAATTCATTGTTATTTCACTTCGAAATAACATGTTCGAGCTTGCTTCTCGCCTGGTTGGAGTGTATAAAGTCAATCACATGACTAAGAGTGTCACGATCGAGAACAGAGATTATATCAACGGTACGGCTGCTGCTTGAGAAGGAGGACGTGTCGAGTATTGGTGTAGGATGAGATGATGACGGGATGAGGTTGGGTTGGGTATACAATGGTGGTGGGGGCCTGCTTTTGGCGTTAGGGTGTACGCATATAATGGATCACGATAGCTTAATGAGCCTTCCTTCATCGTATGTTATGGCATGTTATACATCACAAGTTGCTAGGAGCTACTTATCGTGAAACAGAATGTCGTCCAACTATCAGACTGTCACGAGTTAAATACAAAATGTCTCAGTAGCTTTTGCAGCTCCCCTGCAGCATCAATTTGTATCCACAAATGGCACCGCACATCCCATGCCCTCCAGACCAATGCCTACTTCGTACTCTCAACAAGCTTCTCCGCCAACCAATCCGGCTGACTCAAAAATGGACTATGGCTCGCACTGCATTTCTCAACGACATCAAATGAATTTGGCGCAGCCTGCTTCGCGCCAGCGATCATGCCCTCCTGTCCTGGCAAGGGAATCGCGTTGTCGTTCTCGCACAGGATATACGTACTGGGGATAGTCTTCCAAGGCGCAGCTGTCACTGTCGATGCAAATGCCAGGTAGGAATGTTGCTTCAGAGCAGCGATGTGCTTCTGCGCTTCCGAATCCGAGAGATCATTGTAGAAGATCTCTTTGGGGTTCCCGGGATTAATTGCGTCGCCCTGGTGGATAATTAAGTTCAGCAAGGTCGTGTCTAGGCTCAGAAGACTGTTCTTCCTCCCAATGTCTGACATATATTGATGGATAATAGGAGGGGAAGTGCAGAACTCACGTCAATCTCAAACCACGGCAATGGCTTAAACCCTAACGCTGCCATCAAACTCCCTCCCTCCGGCAGGACAAATGCCGCCACAAACACCAAACGTCGAATCTTCCCCCAGCCCTGCTCTCCACTTTTGCCAGTCTCGTGCTCATTCACATACTCTTTCAGTGCCTCACAGCCGACAACACCACCATACGAATGGAAAACCATTACGACATCTTTACCGGTAGATAGCACCTTGTTGACGACGTCTCTAATTGCGAGTACGTCAGGGTCGAACGATTTGAGGGGTGGATCGGCTCCGACGGTCTATGAAATCATCAGCTTTTTGAGTGTCAAGATCAGGCTCAGAATCAGGATCTCGGTCCGTCCTAAGACGCCGATCCTAACATGCGTCTTCGATCCAATTCTGGATCAGAGGAAACAAGGCAAGGGAAACACATACGGGTAAGTCGACGCCGTGGACGTCGTATCCGGCTTTGGTGAGGAGGGTGGTTGTGGGTGAGAAAGAGTCAGGACTATGCCCTGGAGAGAGATTAGACCTTGATTTGGAACTTGATATACATTGTCGAGTATTTGGAGGATGTCAACTCACAAGCACCAGGGACGACGACAAAATCGGGTTTACTGGACATGATGCCAACAGAATTCATCGAGATAATAAGCGAGGAAGTCAATATTCAACAGCCCAAAGGATCAATCGAGTGAAGGGTGAAATCTAGGAAGAGAAAATAGAAAGTTGAGAGAAGGTCCAGCAAGAAAAGATGAGGACAAGCTCGACTTATATCTAGTTGACCTTCTCACCTACCCCGCTAATCCCACCAACGCCTAATATCCGATGAAGAAGCTCTCTCTAGCCATAGCAAGAGCCTAACAGGTCTCAGGTGTGGAGGGGTCAACAGGTCAGGAAGTGGCAGCTAAGTTCCGTTAGCCACCCAGCTAAGCTGCCAGACATTCGGTTAGTGAGGTATATCAGTCTTGGCCAACACCCCATTCGATTGTTGAATACTCAGCTTCTCCAAGAACTCGAAAGGTTTCGACTTCAAATCCCAAGGTCAGTCTTCAACTTTCTACAGTATGCCGGGATGCAAGGAATCAACGGACGCGAAGATGCAAGAAGTTCACTTAGAAAGTCCCACGCATCCCTTCTCTGGTGCCGCGGCTATCGCATAGTCTTTGGGCACAATGCAAACTTACCAACCTGCTCTAGGCGCCTGACGCCCATGCAGCACAGCTTCCAAAGATCCGTCACCAAAACCTCACTCCTCTGTGTCAGACAGGAGGGTCTCCTCTCGCACATTCGTCATATGACTTCTCATAGGTATAACTCACTTACCTACAGCATAGCAGCTGTCTACCTTCTGATTGTAATTCTCTTCTCTTCACATCCATTTCACAACTGTAAACTCCTTGGTACGGAACATCTATTCTACCAAACCCTCGGTTATCAACTTCAAAATCTGGACCTGCTTCCTCCTCTCACCACCAGTTCCCCAACCAATCACCAGTCAGCGGAAACGGGGAAGCAAGCGTCGGATGAGGACCTGGCAATTACGGATGCGGGACAGCATCCCCAATCCAACCCAGCTCATGGAAACCTACCTATCGCTAAAACCTGAACATCACGACACGGAATGAGACTGATGACCTGAGAACTCAGCTGAGAACTCAGGGAGGTGGGCTTTCACACTAAGACAAACCCTAAGTATAAGTATGAGTGCAGTAGGTCTTTAGATCATCCTACAATACGCAGGTTGAAAACTAATTTCATGCTTATCTAGAGACCATAGTCAAGCTTGCTACTCGAGTCTGTCTCATAGCTGCCACTTCAAATGTATTCCCCTAATCAGGTTTGTACAACCTATGCTCAATATCCCACGCAGGTACCCGCTCACCCGTCTATGCGCCTCCTGTCTATCGTTCCAACAGTTTGGGACAACCAAGATTTGAGACTCTGTCATAAATGACAGAAGTCGCTCCAATCATTTGGCACTTTAGCAGATTAGGCAATATACTTTCCGTGCTCCCCAAGAAACAGTATTGAATACTCTGAAAATATATGCATTCCATTGTTTCATTCTACTCGTTTCATGAATTCATTGCTGAAGCCGTCGTCGTCTAACTATGTGCATGACCCCATAACCCGTAGCCTCAAAACAGAACAGAGGAAGAGGTCCCAATCGCCCCGACTAACCAGTGTAGTAATAGAAGAACTCTGGAAAAGCCGCATTTCATACAAGAAGGCAAGGAACAATCTTGGACGTATTCGCCATACGCCATACACATACCATGCGATTATTCAGGGTCTGTACCCCTAAGACTTAGCGGATCGGTCCTCTCCGACCTCTTCGTTCTCGTCCTCGTCAAGACCATTGATACAAACCTCGTTCATTGGGCGCATGTGTGTGTGCTCACCTCCGATGCATGGAGTGTTGTATTTCTCCTCCCAGCGCTTCCTGCAGACCTCGTACAGGAAAGCATATTGTTCGTAGGCTTGAACCATAGTTTTTCGCTGCATGCGCAACTGGTCGACGGTTTCGTAGATCGGATCGGTTCCAGAGTGGTCACTCTTGTCCCATCCCTCCCAAGCACCACCTTCCAACTCTCCAAGTAAGAACTCCAAAGCAACGAAAGTGCCAGTTCGGCCAACACCAGCACTGCAGTGGATGAGACGAGCATTCTCACCACGTCCGTTCTGCTTGCGGGACAACTCCATCAGCGAAAGGATGCTGGCAACATTTTCCTCTTTCAGTGCACCGAAGTCAGGCCAGTTCGGGTACAAGTAGTGGTAAATTGGCTTCTCTTCATCCTCCTCGCCATCAACCGTCATAATAAGCTTCCGGACCTCAATACGCGTGCCTTCAATACCTGGTAATCTCTCCTCAAATCTGACACAGGCTTTGAATTTTTCTCCAAGCTGATTCGTTTCGTTGATACGAAGTGGGGGAGAATTTTCGTCAAGTGGGTAGTATTGGTAGCACTTCTCATACATTCTTCCACTCGGGTCGTCTGGTAGTGGTGCATGTGTAGGCGTCAGCATAATGACAATAGCTGGAGAAGACGTGTAGGGCTCAGCAAGGTCGTGCCAAATCATATGCCAGACATGATCAACGGTTTGCTTTTTCGGACCCTGCATACAGATATATTTGTCTTGTACGCCAGACTTCAACTCGCTCTGCTTCTCTGATGTGGAGACCAACTTAACAGGAGAAGCATTAATGTAGTCGTTGACTCCTTCGGGAACTTGAAGCTTAATACGGTGATTTTCCCAAGGAAATATGTTGCTGTAACGGTCAAGGACTGGATCTGGAGCACGCCTTTGCCACTGGGAGTCTGTTTTGCCAAGACCAAGACGCTCATTCTCAAGCCGAGCAAGCTCGGCATACTTGTCGCGCATTTCTGGTAAGGTCAGACTTATTCTTAGTAGAGGGAAAGAACCAACGCACCGACATTAGTCAAAGTCAAGAAAGATGGAAGAGGAGGAGGTCCTTCTTGAGTAGTGTCGTCCTGATACTTGGCGCCAGCCGGCTTACCGAAGCAAGAACCGTCCAACTGCGCAACACCTGAAGAATCCGTATCAACGCCAACTGGAGAGCCAGAGCGCTTGGAAGAGGAGCGATTGCGATGCATCTTAGTCAGCCACGCAGGCGATCTGCTTCTTGTTTTCTTGGGGTCCTCTTGTGCAGAGGAGCTGGAAGAGCCAGTAGGAGACTCGCGGCGCCTCTTGAAAGCACGTAGACGATCCAGGTTTGCGACTTTCGACGTGCGAGCGAGAGCAAATGAGCAGAAATAGAAGTGCTTGTTGGAATGTGGTACGGCGTTTGCCTTGAGAATATTTCCCCAAAGGGCGGTGATTGTCGATCGTACAGTAGATAGATCCTTGTACAGTTCAGTTGACTCCTAAGACAGAGAAGGCTTTGCCTGTGAAGACTCTTTCAAAAATAGGTTCTCTCTGAAGGAACGTCAAAAATAGGTAGAATTGCAGCGAATGAAATTGAGGTGAGAGAGGCTTGGTGAGAGGAGGTACTGTGAGTAGGTGCAGATGCGGATGCGGATGCAGGTCCAGACACGTGCAGAAAGAATGATAGGAAGAGAGCAGAACGAAGCCAAGAAGAAATGAAGGTAGAGGGCAGCGAGGTTGTAGAAGATGAACGACGGTGGAGAGCAAAAGCTTTCTAAGACTGGATATGTGAAACGGACCAGAAGTCGGCCAGTGCAAGAGGAGAGCTGAAGTCGAAGTGGAAGTGGAAGGGCACGATGGAGATGGAGTGGAAGGAGAAGTGAATATAAACTTGGAAGGATCGAGTCTGGACCAGTTTCGGCTCCGTTCAGTTCAAGTCAGTCCCGATCTCCTTTCATCCACTCGACGAGCGAGGACAGCGACCCGACCCTGATACTGCGACAACCCAGCGAAAGGGCAGCTGGGACCCAAGGGCCGCGGCCAAGCTTCACCAGGCGAATTTAGGGCTAGCGCTCCCGAGCTGCGAATGTCTCTTCTCGCCTCCGCACCGCATTTGTCACCTCTTTGATTATAACATCTAGCAACATCATTCCACTGCTCTCTGGAACATCACCGGGACTCCATCGCGATGATACTACAGCGGCCAAAGTAAACATGGTTTGGCTTAGACTAGCAGAGGTAACTCCCCACATCCTTCTCTCGATTTTGGGTGCCTCCTAACCTCCCACAGGTCTGGTTAACTGCAAGAGTACGTCTACCCTGTTCCTGCATCGTGCCAAAACAGCCCAACCCGTCTTCTGTACTCACGTGAAGTGTCCAGCTCCTCAATTCCACGACTTTCCACAAGCTCGTCAAACGCGTTCACAAAAAGGTGCACGAGATCAAGCTGGGTGAGAAGCTCGAAGACCCCTCTGAGATGGGCGGCAAAAACATCGATACGCCGAAGCATGATACCCAGCGCTTCTTGCGATATTACATGGAGGAGCTGAAGGACCAATTTAGAGGCACGACGAAGAAATAAACATGCGATCGATATCGGATTGATTTAAGACGAATGTCAAACTACTTCGGACGAGACAATGGGACGAAAGGACGGATACCAGATAGAGACGCGCTCGACTATACACACGAATCGCGCATATGAGGATTGGCAAGAATCAGAGCAGGGGGCAACAGGCCGATGTAAAAATACCCTCTCACAAAATTAGAGATGGGACAGGAAGGCGTTATATGAATTGGAAGCTTGTTGCCGGCGTTGAGGTCTGCTCCAGAAACTGGTGCGGAAGCATCGAGCATTTCTCACTCAAGTAGGACAGGCTACGACTACACAACGAAGGATAATTCCTCTCCAATACCACCTGCCACAATTTAAACTATTAACAAAGGTATAATAACAGGTAATTACTTTTATTTCCTTGACTTCTCGCCTCGAGTTGCATCACCGCATTATTCAAACCGGACATAAATTGGGCTTCTTCACCACATCAATGGTATTTGGCTCTCATTCGATCCGCAGAATAAAGGCAACACGCTTATACCAGACCCACTCCTCACCCCCATGTGTGGTTCTCTCCGGCCTCAAGCGCGCACATCTAATTATCCTATATTCCAATCTCAGACGGGAAAGTCCTTCGCTACTCCAGATATCCCACTGCCTCGTGCATGTCAAAGTACAGGTCCACAATCACATCTCATCACATTAATAACTCACTTTCTACAATTCTCATCCACCTTCAGTCAAAATGCGAGTTAGACATCTAATTCATCTCATCATCACATCATATACAGCTAGGTTGGTAGAATAATACATTGTGCAATTCAAGCTCTAATAAGCCTCCGATCGATACCAAAGCGCCATCCTAACGCACGTCGCTTCGCTTCGCTCCCAATGCAAATGCTATTCAATATTGCGCCATGTCCCCAAAATATGTCTGACATGATATACTATATCGCAAAACCCTTTTCCCAAACCCAGAAGCAGCACAAGCCAATACCGTGACCGTGACCGCAGCCGTAACGCCTCGCTAAATTTCAGACCTAACGATTCCACCTCAGATATGCTTTCCCGCTCCAGGTCAATATTGTAATGCAACCCCGCCGGCAAGCCCATCAATCGTCTTCCTCCACTATCGCACTGGTCGGGACGTCACTCGTCGTACTCCTCCTCAACACTCCCCTCAAGCCCCTAAACCCTGGTGAGACACTCTCATTCACCGTCGCGGCATCCGTCCCTTTATCATCAATCGCCATCTCAAACTCCTTCTCCTTCGCAGCCACCGTCTCTGGATCCAGTTTTCGCGCCTCGGCTAGCATGTCGATACTACCGTCGTCGTCCTCTTCTGAATCGTCACTCTCGTCGCCGTCTGAAAGACCGCCGTCTGAAAGACCGCCGTCAGGGTAACGATGTGCCCAAGACGGATGTTCATTAGGGGACGTGATAGAAACCTGGGGTTGCCGCGGCTTCCGCTGACGGTGGGAGGACTGCGAAGAACTTTCGCTCGAGTCAGAATCGTCATCCGAGCTGGAATAGGCCGTGTGGTAGCCCAATGGAGGTGGCAATTCAGATGGCTCTAAGTGTTTTAGATGCGAAGAGATGATTTCGCTCTTGACTGGAAAAGTGTCTGTCGATGCTCCGGCTGTTCCAGTCATAGAAGTAGTCCTCGTTTTAGTCGCCTCGATGCCTTGTTCGAGAAAGAATTTCAGGGAGGATCTCGGGATGTTATGGGCAAATCTCTTCTGTCCAGAGCCTGAAGTCGTGAATCTTGATACCTTGGAAGACTGGCGATTTTCTGTCATGGTCCGGCGGGTTTGAACCTTCATGATGAAATGATCTGCGGGCCTTGTGCCACCAAGGCCAGTTGATTCGAATGCTTGCTGTTGAGTTGGCGGGGATATGCCGCAAGCTGAAACACTTGCGAAAAAATCATCATCTGGCCCATCACTGAGAAGATCTGGCGTCGTCGGACGAGGATCATCAAGTCCAGGAATGCTGACACCTTTCGAATAGTCCTTGAAGGGTCTGTAAGGTAGTAGCGACCCCGATGGTGATCTTTCGAACATTGGTGCCTCTTTACGAGCGGCGCCTCCTAGTGCGCCCTGTTGACCGTCATAATATCCATCCTGGTCGACGGCAGAATTATGTAGTGGAGTTGACGCTCGAATACGATCACCAGACAGGTCTGTACAGAACCTGGCACCATTGTAGTAGACAAGTAACCCGGCATCCTGTTTTTCTTTTGCAGAACGTTGATTCGGACCCTTTCGCCACATCTGCGGATCAGCTGAAGTGCTGTCGTGTAGAGCTTCAGTCCTTGCATTGTAGCCAAATAAAGATTCGCTTTCGTCCGAAGATATAAAGCCCCCAGATGATTCGGAGTGGTGAAAAAGTGGCTTGTAATGGAACGATTGGAGAGGCTTATCCTTCATCGGTTCTGCGTCCGGGGCATTGACAGGTACCGGTGCAAATTTCCTGGCATCGACCTTCCTTCTCTTTCTATTAGGCTCATCTAAGCTATCACTGTCTTCTGGTGTTCGATTTGGCGCAGTACTCGCACCATCATCACTACTCATGCGCGTTGCTTGAGTACCTCCTCTCCATCTCACCTTTTTGCCATCTCGAGACACTTGGAATCTCTCACTGACATCTGACAGGGCTTCTCGAACGAAATCTGGTGTTACATTGACGATGTGCAATTGAGCCATATTAACCAGCAAGTTCAAGTAGATCCAGCCCTCGGCATCAGCGGCAGTCGTAGAGTCAGAAGACGTTTCACTGCTGAATTTGGGTGTCGAAAGTCCCAGGTGACGGATATAGTCCACGTTGTCCGAGGGGACTTGCGCCCGATCCGGATCCAAGTCTAAAGGCCGAGTTGGTCGTTGGCCTGGCGAATCGCTTGGCGAAGCCTCATCGGAGGCATCGGAAATATATGGTTCCGGAAACTGTTCATTTCCTGCGTGATTCGCTGAGTATCTTGATTTGTTCTTGTCCAAGTCCATCACGTGGGGTAGCATATGTGCCTCGCGGAGACCTTCCAGTGGAGCTACACCATGATTCGCAGCCTGGTCGGCTTTTGCTGCAGATGCAGAAACCTCTTGCTGCTGCAAGGGCTGGCTATGATCACCGCCGACTACACCTTTCCTGCCAGTAAAAAGTTGTTCCAATCGCTGTACCACAAACTTCTTTTTTTGTCGCTCAGTCATGACAGGAGAATGCTTGGGTAAGAGGCCTTCCGGAATATTGTGCAAGAAGGAGTGTATGTTTTGATCGCTTCTCACCGGTGGCTGACTAGCTTTCCTGTCTTCGACGCCATGGCGATTCGTGGGTGTGAACAGAGAAGTCGGACCAGAATTAGACATGGAAGCATAGGCGGAGTCGGGAAGTCGAGAGGTCGATGTGTTTGAAGAAGATGAGTTCTTAGCAGCGGATTTTTTTGGATTACCTAAAGAGCTGTAGGAGTGTGTAGCCTTGGTTTGTTTGGATTGTGAAGAGGTCTTCTCGGTAGGGTCGTCGATACTTGAAGCAAAAGATCCAAGTACATCCTCCAATTCTCGTCTTTTCCGATCTGAAAGTTTTCCATGAATCCTGACCTCAAATAGCTTGTCCTTTTCCAGATGAGGCGTGTCGTTAGGCTTCTTTAACTTCCGAAGTTCCTGTTTCAATTTTTGATTTTCAATCGTCAAGTCGTCGATGACGCTCCTGTAATCGCCAACACTGCTGCCACCGTTGACTGAATACTGTAGTCTCTGGGGCTGTGAAGTAACATGGCTAGGGTGTAACTTAGACCTATCCATTTGAGCATCGATGGAGTGGGTAGATGTGTTTCGTGGAAGAAAATACGGAGGCTCGTCTGTTGAACACTTGGGTGTTAGTCCCTACGCAACCACTGTAAAGAATCGTATGTTACTGACCGTCTTCCACACCAGGGAAACCAAGACCCTTCCCAGGATGCTTATTGGCTTGATCGAACCATCTTCCTCCGCTCTCTCCTGAATCGTAGCTTTCATCTGAAGGCTGTCTCATCGAAGTACCAAGAACAGGTCTACCCTTCGTCCCAACCTGGACCTCTTCGGCCTTCTCCACAGGAATCAGACCATCATGGCGAAGACTGACTGAAAGATGTGGCGGAGGTCTTCTAGGGTGCTGTCGATACGGCGACCCAGGTCGGGGTCCTTCAGAAGTTGCGAGCATCGAGTGTTCTGAGGAGAAGGGTTATTACGTTGTCAGTATTGCAAGCATTGCAATGGCTGTGTTCCAATATAATTGCCCCCGAGTCGAATGAGCTGATACTGCAGCACAGGGTGTGGACGTTATGTTGCGGATCAGTCTACTATCGGTATGTCTCGATGTATGTCTGAACCTGTGTGGCTGTTGTGCGTTTCTCGGTTGGGTTCCTTGATCGAAATGCTTGGTATCTTCTGGGGAAGTCGTAAGAATAATGATGCCACAGATAGTGAGAACCTTGACAGACGGCCAGCACGCTGGTCTCAAATACCAACACGGAGGTATGCGGTGACGACTGGGAGCTTTAGACGGGCTGATCAAACCGAGAGGGATCGAGATCCAAGGACTGGCAGATCAGTCTCGTTCGGGCCGCAAGTAAGGGAGCAGATTCAGGGACTTTCACAAAAACAGAGCCTGGGAGTGTGGTGTGATGCGGGAGGGAGGACGCGGACGCAGGCAGAGGAGAAGAGTAGGCTGCCGACAGTACACTACAGATGGGAAAAAGTGTGAGTAAGGAAGAACTTGCACGGGGCAGAGGGTGTACGACAAGCGTATACATAGTATAGTACAGTACAGTACAGTACAGTATCGTACAGCGTCGACGGAGAGTTAGGACCGTACCGTAGCAGTCAGATCGTCAAGTCAGGAGAGCACAAAGCAGACTCAACAGAGGCAGGCAGCAGGCAGTCCCGGCGCGAGGCAAGTCAGGCCATTCGCGGCGACAGAAAGGTTTAGGATAGGAGTTGGGCCAGATTCGAAATGCGAGGGGATGTGAGATTGACAGCAGCAGCAGCAGCAGCAGCAGCAGTGAAAACACTGCGGCGATCGAGCATGCACCGTCGAATCTGCAACTTCTGCGTCGTCTGTCTGTCTCGTCCAGTCTTCGAATATTCGTCCCCAGATCGATCGCGGAGTCTTCGAATCGCAGCCAATGGAGCGCTGTGTACGGCAGTCTCCTCCGCGCCCTCACCTACAGTAATTTACCTTACGGGACCAGTCTAGATCGTTGGCGGGTCGAGAGGCAGGGAGTGTGCGAGTGTGAGAGTGTGAGAGTGTGAGAAGGGAGAGTGCGAGTGCGAGTGAGAGTGAGAGTGCGGAGTGAGAGTGAGAGCGAGAGCGAGAGCGAGCGGTCGGGTTCAGGCTCACCAGCAAGAGCAGGAGCAGGGCCCTGGAGAGGAAAGAGTGGGTGTCTCTCATGCTGGCGGCGGTACGGTGGTTGTGTGAGTGAGTGAGTGTTGTTGCTGCGATTATTTGTATGCAGTCCGATCGCGACGGACCCTTGACGACCCTGGGGATCGGAGCTAGCACGCCTGATCGAAAAGATCGTCCCGTGGTAGGGGTCCTGCTTGGCGCTTCGCCGCTTCCATTCCATTCTGATGACATAATACAGTACAATACACCTGATACTACTGTACCGATATCCCGAGGCTCGGCTCGATTCTCGATTCTCGATTCCGGGCTTTGGGGTTTGGGATTCAAGGATTCGGGACGAGGACGGAATACTGACTGTACTGTACTTCCATTATTGTAGGTAATCACAGAAACAGACCTCCCCCTCGGCTAACTGCATGATTTATTTGTTTTGATTGATTGACTGACTGACTGATTCGCTGATTCACCGAAGCGATATGTGTTTATCTTACCTAGCTAGGTACTTGTCTGTCTTCCATACAGTACCGTATTGTATTCCAACTCGGCTTTCAGTGACACGTCCGTTCAACTGTTCGGTGCCTACCTAGAATACCCACCCACGATTCTCACTGGCCCAGTCACAGTCACAGTCACAGTCACAGTCACACACACGCCCGTTCAGGTCACGTTGCAAGCAAGGCGTATCCCTTCTGCGACTAATTCAGGGTCCTCACCGGTCCTCTCTCGCCCAATCCGAGCAATGAAAGCCAACTTAAGGTTGGGTCCGTCCTCCGCAAGCTCCCAGCAGACGTCACAGTACCTGACAGAAAAGGTCAAGAACAAAAGGTTGGAGTGTTGGTGGTAGGCTGGTGGCCTGACATGAGCGTGCCCCTGCCGCGCCAACTACAGTACTATAAAAAGTCAAACGTAAAAGCGAGAGTGGAAACTGGAAAGCCTTCTCATCGACGATCGACCAGGCCCTGATTGATACTGTAACAATGGTACGAGTACATTACTTCCAACAACAGAAAACAAACCTGCCTGTTGGAAACATACCACGCCAGAATGGATGACGCTGTACGAGTAGCAAGCGCTGATCGACAGATTCGACTCGACACGCTCCAACCATGTGGTCCAACGTGCAAGTGAAGCGAGGCGCGCCGCGCCCGCTGCAGGTGAATGTCCAGACCTCCGCTTAAATTCCCCGAGTACAGTAACATGAACTACGCCTGTTTGGGAATCAAATCGTCACAGGAGAGTGTCCTAGAGTTGATCGACAGCACAAAAGCAACAAACAAATCAAAGCACAAGAAAGTTCACGCAACAATCATCTTGCTTGTCACCCACCCGAAGATTATGAACTACTCGTACATGGAAAAAACCCTTCCTTATAACAAAACAGCCGAGTCGCAAGACTCTGCATCAGCAACTCCACGGGTCACCCTGTCACAGTCCGACCTGATAGGTACACACATCCACCAATACCTGCTCATCGCCGACGCCGATGCAAGCACCAACTCTCGATCCTCGCCCGCACTCGTGACCATCCACATGCTCGTCAGCCTTGCATTCATCCCACGTTTCACTCTCCTATTTGCCTTCCCATCTAGAGTACTCACTCCCCGATCTATTTTCTCTGTCTCGTCTCACCCTCTCCATCTCTCGATTCCTGGAGTAGCCTACACGACCCTTAATCTTGACTATTTTCGCTCGCACCCGGGACGTTTTGTTGCACATCGCATTTCTAGATCTCCGATTTGATTCTCTTGATGCTTGGAGATGACTGTCTGTATCTGCGACGAGCGTCTGATTGACTTTATGATTATGTCGTCAACGTTAACGCGGCACGTGGTGCGACATTGCGGATAATTGGCTTTGCGGAGATACGTGAACTTAAGTTTGCATCTTTACTGTAATGAAACAAAGTTGCACGTTTGTAAAGCCAGTAGGTAAGGAAAGTATGCTGGGTGGGCAACCGACGCCAAGCATCAGAACTGAAAACCACAACCCCTGAGAGCCAAAACCTATTCCAAAAATTGAGAACCTCTAGCTAGAGTTCATTCAATACTGTATCCATTGGAAACAGAGCTCCACAGGAAGGATCAGAGCCAAGCAACGCAGTCAAGGTAACACAAATAGCTTGATTCACGCCCTTCCTCGCAAACACCCCATGGCCTCTGCGTTATTAAAGTACGAATACACTCCGACACTCGCTTCCAAGCACAGGTACAGCGTCAAATGAAATGGTCTTATACGTCAGAAATTTACTTTCTGTTGACGTCCCACTTCTTCGACATAGACATAGGCGTGACACGATAGCGAGAGCGGATGTATTTTGGCGCTCCTTGAGCGAGTGATATTGTTGCACCATCAATAAGCAATGGCTCGCACCTTTTCAGAGGACCACTGAAATGTGGGGAGGAGGAGGCTGAATTAATCCGTGAACAACTCTGGCCGCTTTCTGATAATGCCCTGAGTGCTGCCTTCTTGGTGTGGAAAAATGCTCGAAAGAATGAGAAGAATTCGAGGAAAGAACTGGAAAATATAGTTCCACTGGGGGTTGACGCTGCTTAACAACTATGCTTATCTGGCTGCTGAATTTGTAGAGATACTTCATGGATGAACTATTCTTATACAATTGTTTCATAGATGATGCTTTGGTTGAGTGTTGTTTGTTTGCTCGCTTAGGGGAGGTTGGACACCTTCCTTGAGTGGATGATGGTCATCTCTCCGGTTACCAAGCCTGGCCCGATAGTAATAAAACCAGAGCTATAATCTGTACATAAACACGTTGCCGCTTTGAAGAATTACTTGACTTTTACAGCATCTTCTTAAAGTTCAAACACCATGATCGATGAATAAGCTAGGAAAGTAAACAACCAGCTGGTAGAATAGCGATCTGAAGCGAGTCATAGATAATAGCACTGTAACAGAGGTTCGGAAATGATACAGATATTGCTTCAAGCAGCTAGGCACCATTGAGCGATGCTTAGCTTGGTTGCCTGTACAGACTTGCTGGAGATTTCAGTAGACTGATGGAATATTCCGCGACCAAAGCGACCAAAGCGACCAAAACGACTCCCGCTGCAAGATTTAAAGCTTCAGACGAAACCTCCACCTAGAATGTAGCATATCATAAAAGCAAAAGAACAATGCTGGTCAAATGAAATAGACATACACTTCTCGACGCACTGTTGCAGCCTTCATAATGTCGCCAGAATATGGACCCAAGCTTTGCAAAAGAGACCAAAACTCGACCCCCAAGCTTTTTAGGTATCGTATGCCGATTAGGTGTATGCGGGCATCATTTTGGATTGTCCAATTGGGCTTTGCTATCAAGTTTAGAGGAGTTCAGGCGATTCGGATTCCGAACCGTAGCCAAGACCATGTTTCCTAAACATCGTTGGTATACATGGTGATATATCAAGACCGCAATGGCAGCATTTCACTGCCTATGGACGTACCGCGATGCTGATACTGTTAGACTTTGAATACTGACAGAGGGACTTGGATTCGATCGATCTGAGGGACCCACCCCCTGAAACACGTGCCAACGCGTTCTGCAGATTTCCGCGTTCACGAGGTCTGAGAGTTGCGAATATTGTTAGGACGTAGAAGGATGATTGCCTTCTCAATTCGAGGACGACTCTTAGCAGTTCGACGTTTGCAATTAATACAAATACAATTGTGCTGTATGAGATTCGCATTAGCAAGCCTCGACGGCAGAGCTGCTAGGACATATTTAGCTTGACGCGACGAGACCAGACCAGGAAGCTGTTGCTACCCGGCGAGTGTTTCTTGCGGTCAAGACGCGTAAGTTCAATTCGGTCCCTGTGTTCGAGCCCTGAATAGCTAATTCATACGGTGAAGTTCTCAATGATGGCTCGAGATCAGATACTTGAAGAGGACATTCTCGACCATCTGCACCCTCTCCCGTTTCCGAGTTACGACACCGACGCTGCAAAGGCATGGCTTGCAGACCCTCAAAGCCAGGATTTATCGGCTTGGAACCAGGAGAAAGCCTCCATGTCTGGAATATGGCCGATTCTCGAAGGGCTGATCGCTGAAGTCATTGGTATACAATTAAGTGCGGTACGATACGGCGCGTACTCCGTCTGCAGGGAGGAATGGGGAGGCCGGCCAATGATCAAGCGTTTGGATCATGACACACAGAACAGAATAATTAAGAGGTACACAGAAATCTTGCAGAACCAGTGTAAGAAGGAATGGAGACGCGACGTTGCACCCTGGATCTCCTCGGCGTTGAGAACATGGAGTATGTTTCCCAAGCCCTTTCCTTGATCCTTGTTCACCCTCGACGCCAACGTGTGTGACACAGCAGAAATATCCGCAAATTCTACTTCTATGAATCAATTGAATGCTTTCTAATATTACGCAGTTGGCCGTGCCATTTGCCTTTGGAAAAATCACGAAAAGGGCACCAAACTTTATGCAGAAAAACACAAAGCCAAGATACACAAGATCGCAGCGGTAGACGAGTGCCCAATAAATCTCACAAGGAATATTGTTGAAGAAAAACTGCCGCCGCTTATCCAGCCAAAAAGTAAGACGGAGGCAATCGCTAATGATCATATTCAGCCCGCCATGATGAGACCAATCTGCAAAGAGTACGATGAGATTGTTAATCACATAGTGCGTACCAGTGAAGTGCATGGAAACTATAATCTCGAACTCCAACCATCGTGGCATGGTTACAAGAAGGACCCATTTGACTCGACGGCGAAAAAGTTTCGAAGATTACTCAAAGACAGGATAATTGAGGTAAGTGTTCTTACGACATTGCTTGACTTTCATGAATTCTGACGACCCTAGGATGGCATTGTAAAGCAAAGCAATCGTGTCGGGGTTTACCGATCCCTTGCGGGAGTTCACCTGGACCACTCGGTTAGGTACGAAGATTATCCTGATAGAGGACTATGTCGCTGGATTGAAGACTATTTCTCTGAGGGTTATGGTGTTACTGTGAAGGCCGCAATACATAAAATCATACTCCACTGTCAACAGAGCCCTCAAGGCGTATATGGTACGCGTAGCTATTTTACATCTGACATTCAGCCATTCCTCCTCCACCGCCTAACAAGCAATGTAGTTCCTCCCATTCATCGACCCGATGTGGCCTCACCACCAAGTATCGCACTGGCGTCCCAGGAATCGTCACAGCTAAACCCTGTGATGTCAGCCACTTCAGACTGCGGAGAATACCTAGATTTTATAAACAAGATCGTGCGAAAGGCACTACACTATAGTTATCCACAGACCATATACGAGATAGACTTTCAGTTGAGTTCGGAGGCATTTCATCATCAACGTGCGGAACTGTTGGTAGGGCGAGTTTTCAGGCGTATGGTGAAGGTGAGAACTGTGCAGCTTAGACCTGAGAATCGTGCTTACCAAAGTTTTAGGACAATATACTTGAACATACTGGTTGTCCAATGTACGGCGGGTATGAATTGTGTCCGCAATTCGAAGCTAAACGCTTCTATATGCCCCGGAGACTGCCGTCATCGGAGGCCGGATCTAGGCTCGACACTTCCAGTGATCAATCCTTGCTGCGGCTTGAAAGGTTTCTTGACGTCAACATTGACAGCATAGATCAGAAGGAGTTCATCAGACTTTACGGGTCAGATGCAGGTGCTCGTTACGATGCATTACAGGCAGAGTTTTTGCCTGAAATCAAACGCGAAATCATCGAGGTAGACACTGTTTGTCCCTATGCCACAACGAGCGAATGCTGATAGTTATGCAGGACGACGACTGTAATTCGACTTCGACCAACATGCCTTGTGATCTTACGATGGTCAACCAGACAAGAACGCAGCATCCAGATAGGCAGAGCCTCACAGACTCGGATACTCATTTCCTGCGCCATGAACCTTCTTATCCTCCGCCGCCGGAGATGTTGAGTCCCATGTCGAATTTCGATACCAGTAACACTGAGATACCAGAGCTAGGAACCGAAAAGGAACAGCAGATTGAGCCTGAAACATCGTTGCCCAAACATCTTGATGTCAAATCCATCGTTGAGAAAAGGATCAAAGAACTAGCCCGAAAAAGGAAACTCGAGCAGGCTGCAGCTCACGGAGATCAACAAGCACCCAAACGGCCACATTTCTGAGCAGCCCACAGGCCCCTGCTGCTTAATTTCACGTCGTACCGGTTCTTTAGGAGACAAAAAGCCGCCTCTGTACACCAACACGGTTAAAGAAACCAGGCTCTGGTCTTCAAACTCTGCAAGTAGCTCTGCTATCCAGATCCATGGATGGCATGATGTAGAAGGGAATCATCGAACAGCAAGGTCCCCCGCTCAGCAGACTACTCTTCTCACTTCTGGCTCGTTCCAGAAGACGTTTTGATATAGGTCGGACTGAAGCTAGCCCGTCCAATGATTCAACAAGTACCATGACCAGGTCTAACTTGCACTGGAGCCAAACTCAACTATTACCAAATTCGCCAGTCTTGTCTCCAGCAACGCAAACTGGGTATCTTTTCTCGATACTCTGGCAGAGTCCTGTCGATACACAAACACTCCTCCTGCTGAAGTCTCGATTAAAGCCATCCCAGCAGACGCCGCTACTTTCCCGCCAATGACTGCAAAATACATACTTGTGTACTAACGCAGGATCGCAATTCGGGAAGAGTGGAGGAGCAAGCCGAGTTCCCGCCATTCTTGGACTTCTCCACATACCACCTTGGGAAATATGAAGCTCCTTCAGCGACAGCCAAGTCTTCACCAGAATGGCTCGGTTCATGTCATATCCAGTAATCCGGTTCAGTTTTTGACAGGAAGAGATGGTTTTCAGTGGAGCCAGGCCATCGCCAACTGGCACGTGAAGGATTTGTGATTGAGAAGATTTAGGAGCAAGCTCCAATTTGTCTCCATATTGTGGACCATGGCTGCTTCTTCGAGTCACTGACTCGTTTCACGGGACATGACGAGCATGTTGTCTAGTGGAATGTATCGTAGTCTTACAATTAACAAGAATCAGGGAAAGAACGGCAGTCGTCACGAGAGTGCGATGTGTTTTGATTTCCGATAAGTCATATTTAATATCTTTGGCCAACCTCTCTCGAGATCTTGAGAAATAGGATGTTGTGTAGCCAGCATTGCTCTTATTTGAATTTCGACGGACATATAATAGCACTACTTGCCCATCCAAGGGGTTGTAGCTGAACTTGGGAAGCACTCACTCGCTCGCTTAATTTTTCTCCACAGCTGTGACGGGATGCAAGTAAACAACCAGCGGCTAGAGCTTCGAAGAATGATCTTCTGAAAGTCCAAGAGACTACCATCGATTGGAAGGATTCACTTCATATGTGTACAGTAACAAGCTGAAGCAAGATAGTCTAGCTGATGACACGCCGAGAAACGCATTCCACGCTGTATTTACCCCATTTCTCCGCTTATCTCAGTCAAACTCCTACTAGCCTCTGAGTCCACTTATTTCTCAGTCCAACGTACCACACTCACCCCCATTAGACCTAAAGTTACTCTGAATCAAATCTGAGCCGTTGATTATATTTGCTCACGCTGGACTGTAGAAGCAACGATGAAAGTTGATCGAAAACATATAATTGCAAGATGGGCAAATCGTGAATTCCAAAAGTTTCCACAACAACGCATACAAACTTCCCTCTTATTACATTCAATTGGACGTCGTGTGACATAGTTTTCATGGTAAGTTACAAATCTTGTTGGATCGCTTTCATCAAGAAAACAGGAGACTATCCAGGGCTTGCAGTTTGTTTAGACGAAGTGAAGCAAAAGTCACAGCCAAAAGATTCTGTTACTTCAATTAGGAAAGCTGAGTTGCTCGAAATCCGAGGTTCATGCTGGTAAAGAGCCTCAAAAATATGGGAAGAGTGACAAGTTGCTATGAGCAAGGTTGAAGCTACTGTATTAACAACGCGGAAAATCTCCGCGAGATGCCGCCTGCCAAGAAATGCCTCGGCTTCTCATACACGAGATCTGTACCTTCAAAGAAACGCTTTTGCTCATACGAAGAGACAATGGATGCTCCTTCAATAGGAATAAGTGCTCATCTGATTGACAAGCGTGCGAGGCCCTGATCTTGCCCGAATTAGGAGAGAACCGTAGTCATCAACTGCTTCGTGATAAGTAAGACTCCTGTTCCGAGCCTTGTCCACATTGCCGGGCCACTTTCCGCGAACGGCCTACGATAGCCGTGGGGAAAAGAACTCATCCGCGCCCATGTTGACTTGAAATGGAGCTTACTTCCCCAGACCGAACTGTATTTCTTCTCCTTCCCATGTAAATTTGTCTTCGCCTTCCTTCCCCGAGTGTTGGACTTCGCCAGAAACTCTCTGCTCATACACGCAAAATGTCTTCCACAGCTCTTCTCCGGACAGCGAGAGCTTACACCAGAAATAACACCAAAGTGCGGAGAAACTCCCCACGCCTCAATTGAGACGAACTGACAATTGAATCTCTAGCAATCGCTCCTTTTTGCCCGCACATTCTCCTCCACATTTCGACGCAATGAGATCAACAAAGTGCTCCCGTCTGCGGCCGAAGCCCTTAAAGATATGAAACCCAATTCCACCGTCCTCTGTGGCGGCTTCGGTCTCTGCGGTGTTCCCGATACCCTTATCGACGAAGTTATCAACAAGCCAGAAATTACAGGGATCACTGCCGTGTCAAACAACGCTGGAACGGATACCTCTGGGCTGGGCAAACTGTTAAAGACAAAGCAGATCAAGAAAATGATTGCGAGCTATATCGGCGAGAACAAGACTTTTGAGAAGATGTACTTAACCGGAGAAGTGGAGCTGGAGCTCACACCACAAGGAACACTTGCTGAGCGCTGTGCGTCTGGGGGCAAGGGAATACCTGCTTTCTACACACCTGCGGCTTTCGGAACAGTCGTCCAGACTGGAGAGCTGCCCCTACAGAACAATCCCGACGGAACACCAAAAGTATACTCATACCCCAAAGACGTCAAGGTCTTTGATGGAAAGCAGTATCTACTGGAAGAGAGTATCAAGGGCGACTATGCCTTTGTGAAAGCATGGAAAGCAGATAAACTAGGTAACTGCCAGTTCCGACTCACTGCCAACAACTTCAATGGAGCTATGGGCAGAAATGCCAAGATTACCATTGTAGAGGCTGAGCACATCGTCGAGCCCGGAGATATTCCTCCTGAGGCTGTTCATCTCCCAGGTATCTATGTCAAGCGTGTTATTCAATCGACGACAGAGAAGGGCATTGAGAAGTACACATTCGCCAAAGACCCCAATGACCCCGAGGCCAAGTCTGCACTTGGAAGCGGCGAGACGGCTGCTAAGAGAGAGCGCATTGTTAAGAGGGCGGCTAAAGAGTTCAAGAACGGAATGTATGCCAACTTGGGAATTGGCATGCCCATGCTAGCGCCTGGATTTGTCGGCCCTGAGGTCGAGGTCCAGCTGCAATCTGAGAATGGTATTCTTGGGCTTGGACCATATCCAGTCAAGGGCAAGGAGGACGCCGATCTCATCAATGCCGGTAAGGAGACTGTCACACTGAAGCCTGGCGCCGCGGTATTTGGTAGCGAAGAGTCTTTCGGTATGATCAGAAGTGGTCGGGTCAACCTCACAATCCTTGGAGCTATGCAAGTCAGCGGCAATGGAGATCTGGCAAACTGGATGTTGCCAGGAAAGATAAAGGGCTTTGGTGGTGCTATGGATTTGGTCAGTAACCCAGAGAAGACCAAGGTTGTTGTCACGATGGAGCACACAGATAAGAAGGGCAATGCGAAGATTGTCAAGCAATGCGCTTTCCCGTTGACGGGCAAGGCATGTGTTTCCATGATTATTACGGAATTGGTATGTACTATCTCTACTTCTGGTGGGTTGAGCTAACATAATGTAGGGAGTATTTAATGTGGACTTCGCAACCGGATTGACATTGATCGAGATTGCTGATGGTGTGACTGTTGATGAAATCAAGAGCAAGACCGAAGCTCCATTTAAAGTTGCGGATGATTTGAAGCCAATGTTGTGATTGTATATTGCTTAGTCGGAGTTCTTTTTAACGCATGATGGAGTTACATAGCATGGTTGGATATGGATGGGAAAATGTATTCATTGCAATTGAGAAAAATAATCCGCCGTTTGTTGACTTCCACTTTGTGACCTTACCGAGCCCCAATTTCGCCCCCTTCAAGGCTGGCCAAAAGCGAGCACGTGCCGATAACGACAACCCCTCCACCTGAATCGGCTGAATACCCCTCCATAGTCCACTACAACAACGATTCGAGTCAAACCTTTTGGGATATCTGAAGAGGTCATAAAAACCTATCGCATCTCACCAGCTATCCCCTCTAGACATTCCGACTTTCCTCTCCAAAGCGGCTCAAGTCCAAAACAAGATATACAGCACAACAATGAATGCTTATTCAAAGCCACCTCTGGCAGCCTTCCACTTCTTTCCCCATCTTCCTACGGAACTACGTCTTAAAATTTACGAACACATACTTTCCCTCTCCCACGCTAGTCACAGTTCGACCCGGATCTTGAAGATCTCCTTCTCGCCGTCACTCGGCTGCTACGTTTCAAACACGCCACCTCCAATCACTCTTGCCATAAGTCCCGAATCGAGACTCTTCACGTTATCAACTCATTCATACCTCTCGTTGGGACCTTTACCGAAATTCTTGAAACCACTTCTGCCAACTGTCTCTTCATCTTCGTCAATTTCACCATATCCCAAGGATCTCTACGGCCTACCCATCCCCATCGCCTACACAACAGACATTCTCTACCTCTCATCACTCTCACCCCTCCTCTCCACGCACCTCCACAGTATCCTCTACCACTTCTCCACTTCACCCTCACGGCATCTGATCCAACACCTCGCCATAGACTTTCGTGTCTGGGCCGAGCTATGCGAGAACGGTTTCTTGGGTATCGTGAGTAGGATGAAGGCGTTGAGAGAGGTGGATCTCGTGGTGGAATTTGGGAGAGCGTTTGATGGCGAAGTTGGGTTCCTGGAGTGTCCGGCTTGGAGGAGGGATCTGAAGTGGGTTGCCGAGGGGGCAGAGAGAGGGGTTCAGGAGGAGAGGAGGAGGGTGGTGCGGACGAGGAGAGATGGGATCGGGGCTGGGTCTGGAGGATTGGGTGATGTGAGGGTTAGGTGTGTGATTTTGACAAGAGGTGGAGAGCAGAGCTGATGAAAGAGTTGGGTTCTTGCGTTGTAACGATGGTAACGAAAGTATCTCATTTTCGCAAGACATCTTTCTGTGCGTCAAACCTGGCCACCCATTCTCTCAGCGCCATGTAGATTTTGATACGCCCAAACTCCAAAATATGCCATAGACGCCATTCGATATGCGACCCTTTCAATCATGACTCTCCTTTCGGTGGGAATTTCGACTCTTGAATTTGACCCCCGCTCGATATCCGAACCCATTTCAGTGTGGAGAGATATGACCAAGAACCCTCCCATCTGTCCAAGAATATGACGTTGTTCTCGTCCGTAAGATCTGGTAAGTCTGGAGACAATGAGCTCGTTGCACAGCCCAATCGAGAGGTATAAGTCATTGACTTACAGAATCCATTCTCGTATTCCTTCTCATCTGCAGCAATCTTGATCCTCAACAAGTCCTCTCTAGTGCTCGCAGGTCTTCCTGGTCTGCGATCCTTCTTCAGCTCATTGAATTCTTCGTCGTGCTGGTGCACAAAACTATGCGATCATTAGGATGTGTCTCGAAATTCTCGTTGGTAGATGGGAGGGAGTACGATTTGATGAGACCTTGAACGCTCTCGAGATCTAGTGGCTTTCCATCATTCGCTCGGATTGCCTCTTGGAAGTATGCTGCCCGCTGGACTGTGATGTATCAGTATATGCGACCAATTTCTGAAAACTCGGCCATACCTAAAGGCTTGTCGTTCTTCCTCCTTGCCGATGCAACCTTGATCAATTTATCATCCCTCATCAAAGCCCGGCGCAACCTCTGAGAATCTCGCGAGTTCTCATGCAGAGCTGTGATGTTTCCCTTCTTCTTGGCGATCTTCTTGCGAGTCTTTTCTAGACTTTTCGGCATTGTGGCTGTTGTGATTTGCTGTGAGCAGTTTGAGGTCGTGGTGATGCAAGCCTCAAGTTGGTAGGTATGTTTAAACTTTTTTGTTCGTATCTGATCTGCCGTCGTTATCGCTGCCATTACATTATCGCACCCCGCTGCACTGAGACTACCATACCAATTTATGGTGGGCTCGGTGGGCCAATGAGCACACACTTGCGCCGGTTGCCAGGTGAGACCGAGCGACGCGTCCAGAGCACAGCGCAGTCGCGACCTGGATATGTGCCAAAGCTAGGTAGGTACTCGTAAAGCTGGATACCTGGATCCCCTCGCAACAACGACATCCGACGACTTCAACAACGAATCCCTCGACGACTATACACCAATACCGACCGGCCCTCCGGATTTCAATCCTATCACCTACCGAATACCCGTATGCTCAGACGTCCGAAGTAACAAATGTGTTGAGCGCAGGAAGGGCAGTGTACATTTTATTTGGCTGGTGAAAGTTTGCCGCTTGCTGGGTGTTTTCTTGTGCTCTGATCTGCTCTTTGACTTTTCATAATGGGAATTAATGGTTAACCCCCCTATTTTCGGACATATCTCCTGTATATTTCACTAACGAACATCCTGTAGGCTTGCTTCCTTTGCTCAAATCTATTCATAAACAATGTAACCTCAGGAAGTTTGAGGGCAAGACTCTCGGAGTAGATGCATATGGCTGGCTCCACCGTGGAACCGTCTCTTGTGCCATGGAACTGGCTATGGGGAAGCCAACGAGAAAGTATGTGGTTCAATTTCCCTACGTTTGGTCGACACTGACAATTAGCAGGTTCGTCGAATTTGCGATGCATCGGGTACGAATGCTGCAACACTTTGGCGTTATTCCTTTTATAATATTCGATGGGGATTATCTTCCCAGCAAAGCCGCCACTGAAGCAGATAGAGAAAAACGACGAGAGCAGAGCAGGAAAGCAGGAATGGAACTACTGAATGCTGGAAAGCCTTCTCAAGCATATCTTGAGTTCCAGAAAGCTGTGGATGTTACACCAGAGATGGCGCGACAATTGATCGACGAGTTGAAAAAGACTGGAGTGCAGTACATTGTTGCGCCATACGAAGCAGACGCCCAGATGGTATATCTGGAAAGAAAGGGAATCATCGATGGGATCCTCTCGGAAGACTCTGATCTTCTGGTTTTCGGAGCGAAGTGTCTTTTGACGAAACTGGACCAGTATGGAAACTGCATCGAAGTCAACAAAGCAGACTTTTCTGCCTGCAAAGAGATCACTCTCACCGGCTGGTCGGACCGTGAATTCAGAACGATGGCGATTCTGAGTGGGTGTGATTACCTTTCAAGTATAAGCAACATGGGCTTGAAAACCGCTTATCGTATGGTCCGCAAGCACAAAAATATCGAGAAGGTTCTCCGCATGTTGCAGTTCGACGGAAAATTCCACGTGCCAAAGACCTATCTAGATCAATTTCGCCAGGCTGAACTCACCTTCTTACATCAAAGAGTTTTCTGTCCTCGAGCTCGACGTCTCGTTCTTCACACAACACCAGAGCAACCCCTCGACCTCGACACAATGCCTTTCCTTGGAGCAGATGTTGAGCCTGAGATCGCCCAAGGCGTAGCCAGGGGAGACCTCAACCCAATGACCAAGCAGCCAATCATTCCTTCAATGCAAGACAGTATGGTCACCACAATGGACCCCTGGGCCACTCCTCGTCCACGAGTCTACCAAAGCTCTGCCTCCTCAATCGATCTAAAGAAGGGTGTATCAATTAACACATTCTTCCAGAGACGCACTCCTCTTGCTGAACTCGACATCAACCTGTTCACTGGGTCTCCGGAACAGCAGGATATCCTCCGCCGCAACTCTGGTCCATGGATTGCTCGGCCTGCTCCTCCAGCCTCTGTCAACCGCTCCGTTTCTACACCACAGCTTCCTCAATCAGCGCCACCAGCCACTCGAGTCCCAACTGGGCGTACCAATCGATCCCCCACCATCTCTGAACCTCGTCCACAAAAGCGGGCTCGACTGTGTGCCGACATCGAAACCATCACTTCACCGAGCAAGAAGGTGGAGCTTGGTCCCAGTCGATTCTTCAACAACGCCGCTGAACCTAGCCCAAGTGTGTGTAGAAATGCTAGAAGCAAGAAGTCGAAGAAGCAAGACTTCAACATCTTTTCCGATGATGGAATTGAAGAGGCGATGTTGAGTCTGGCTAATGTCGATGATGGAGCACCCATCGGCCGTAAGGCTGGTAAGAAGTTTGCTGTGTTCGAGGAGATGGTCACTGCTCGGAGTCAGGCCAATGCTGAGGCCATTTCAGCCGTGGGCTCTAAAAGCCAGGGCACTGGAATGGAAGTCCACGAATGTCAGGGTATTGTTCCTGGTTTGGCATCTTCCTTGTCAAGCTGTAGCTCAACTCAACCACCCACACCGTCTTCGTGTAACAACTTGCCCACTTCGATGGAGAAGGTGAAGGAAAAGTTCGCATTCAGTGGACTGGTCGGCACACCGAAGTCGGGAAATGGGATTCCTGCTGCTCTCCCGACTCCGTCCTCGTTCCCTCGTCAGTCCAGAATCCCCATTGCTGTGAAGGCCACCACTTCGAGTCTATCCTCCGTCTCAGCTGCCGCAACACGCAAGCCCCTGACACCTCTCCAACGTCTTGGTGCAACTGCAGCAAACCGCTTGAAGCTCCCGATGACACCACCGATGACACCCACCCTCCCAGTGAAGGCCCGATCGCCCAGAAGTTCGTTGCTAAGAGTCAATGCACCCTTCCCAGAAGTGCTTGTGGGGGATGGTATCAAGAAACAAGTGATCGATCCAACCTCAGTCCCCCTTCCAGAAGTCGACAAGAACGAGATCAAATCATTGAGCAAGGGCACCGGCAGTGAAGATTTGATCATTCACGACAGTGAGGATGATGAGGAGCTGAGCCCATGCGGAGGAGAGGAAGGAACCAAATCTCGATTCGACTTCGGTCGTTTCGTGTACGCAAAGGCATGATGAGTTTGTTTGTTTGTCAACGATACCCGGTGTGAAGAGAGAGTGTTCTGATTATAATATTCCCGTTCGTATTGTTACATTGAGCATGGCGCAAAAAGGAGTTCGAGCGAGAGTAAGGGAGGGAGCATACAGAAATTGGTGTATTGGCGTTGATTGGACTTCGAGGATGGAAAGTCCGCAAGATGGAAAACTTGGGAATTGAGATTGTTGTACAAGGAGGTCTACGAAGAAGATATACTCGTGAACTCCCCTGCTGCAGAGCTACGATGCTGCTATTGTGCTCGAAAGCCATAGCTCTTCCTATTGTGGTGAACTTTTCTTTCCCGTCCATCTGCCTTCCTATTGTCTCTGGTGATCTCTTTGGGTTACCATGACAATACGAATGTGAGGGGTCTCCAGTTCCTATTGTGGTTTCTGGAGTACCACCCACCTGCACAATGAGCAAAGCTAGTTTCATTATGCTAGAAGGCTGAAGCATGTGCGGTATTCCCTTGACGACTCCAGAACAGACTGGATTTTTCAGAGTAAAGAGAATTGGCAGGATGGCTAATGAGTAAATACAAATGAAGGCCAAAATAAATAAAACCTCTGCTGTCCCTGTCTTGTGACTGCAATTGTGTGATGTTGTGGCTGTGAGATTAGAAGTTTGGAAATCATTAGATTCATCTCGGATCTCAACAATAAGCGCGGGTAGCAAATCTAGGTCACTTCCTTGCCCAGGGTATGATTAGTATTTAGATCCCACTTGAGATCTTGATTAGAGGTAGAAACGCGGGAGAAAGTTGCACGTCTGTAGAGACGGACGCTATTCATATGATGACCCCTTCTATTTATTAAGCACGAGCTCTAACACGTTGATATGCACAATTCATTCTTTCAAAATGCATTTATTCTTCTCAGTTCCCTTTCATATCTCTATGTACGAGCTGAGTTGCGCTGTTGTTCGTCTACGCTCTCACAAGCAAGAGACACCCATTCCATGCCATCCTCCCAGATGCTCCAAAAGCAAAATTAATCAGTGAAAACCTATGTTTACTCGTCAAAACCAAGTCCAACTCAATTCTCCGATTAACCCCAGGAAGCATTTTAAGTAAGTATACGCCGTATGTGATGAAGAAAGACAATGCATGCTGCGCCGTTGCGCCTGCCCCTGGCCTGACGCTCCATTGAGATGTTCTTCTCTCCGTCGAGACCAGAATCGCTGTAGGAGACGAAGGAAAGAAGAGAAATTCCCGATGCGCGGTTGAAAGCCGGCATTTTGACGCCGGGTGAATGCAATAAACGACTGGAAAGAAATAGTCTAGGGATGAGCTGGGAAAGACAGCGCTCGCCACACTCTCTGCCAAGACTCGTTCTCCTGCGCGGAGGCGTGGAAATTGTCGATTAGCTAGGTTCCTCGTCGTCGTTCGAGTTCTCAAAATCGTCGGAGTCCCCATCGTCGTCGCCCTTCTCCCATCCGTCGGAATCATACAATAAATGCCATGTGCCCGCGACATAGTTTCTGATATCAGGTGGAGTTCCCTACATGTGATGTCATGTAGAGAGTGTCAAGGCGAAGGTGTGAGTAACAGGGACTAGATCAGGAATAGATCGAGATAGATCAGAAGCCATTAGACCAAGTCCATACACCGTTTGCCAAGTTATCTGCCGTATCCTCTAGCAAAATGACACGACGCTTGTTGCAGTAGGATGTCTTGTCCATAATTTCAACCTTCAACTTTGAGTCCGCAAGATCCTCGACGGGCTTCTCGAACATTTCGGAAAGTGCTTCGACAGCCATCTCAAGATCCTTTTGGTTGTCTTCGAACATTTCGGTCAGGTTATTGCGAGCTAGGTAGAAGGCGAATGCATATGTCCACTTCAGTGTTTGACGACAGGTCTGAAGGGCCTGCGACGCAGCATTTAAGTATTGTACTTCGATCCAAGACATGCCAGATGCGGTTTGGAGCTTGATCATCTTGGACTCTGTCTTTTGGTAGATGTCTTTGTCGAGTTTCGCTGATTGCTCGTGGTTGGCATATCGATTGTAGTAATGGAGATATCTTTCCAGAGAAACGCGAGACTTTGTCTGGGCGTCGCGAGCTTCCGAGCCACTCTTCTCCTCGAATCGGTTACAGTTGTACCAGCTTGTACCATGCTCTGACCATAAGCCCATACACATCCAGCAGAACTCATGTTTGCACTTCCTACAAGTCATATGGTTGCATCCTCCGTTCTTCTCGATGGTAGAGACACACTTGGGGCATTCCTTCGTGTTGGCGGAAATCCAGTTCGCCGTTTCGGAATCATCTGCACACTTCTTGAGCCACTTCTTGACAAGTTCACACGGAGCTGGTTGATGATCTGCTTGACCGCAGCCGAAGCAGAATCGGTGCTTGCAATCACAAGCAACTGTGGGCACAACCTTATCCAGGTCCTTCTTCTTGATACCGCATTCGATAGCATTGACGCAGTCTGGGGCTGGGCACCACTTCAGTTGGTCTTTGTCCTCCACATAGGTTCTGGTGAGCAGTTCGTGGTATCGATCCTTGAGGTCAACGGATACAAGGAGATCAAGAGACTTGGCGTCCATGATTCGTTTGCATCCATCCTGTGGGCATTGAATTCGAGCTGCCTCGCCTTCCTCTTTGATCTTTTGAGTCAGATATTGCTTGTAACAGTTCGCGCAGTATCTGTGGCCACATTTCATAGCAAAAGACAAGAGTTCAGCCTCATCCTCGCAGCAGATGTCGCACATGAAACCAGGGATTTTCTCCAGGCGAGGGGGGCCAGTCGAACTAGGACCCAAGCCAGCAATCTCAAGCACTTTCTTTGGTCTGTCCATATAATCCTCAATCAGCCGCTCCTTATTCCATCTGAAGTGTCGTAGCAGAATTGCTGCATCTTCCTTTCGGATGTCTAGGATCATGTTGACTTCATCGATGAGGTCATCTTGCTGTGCCTGTATGGCTTTTGGTTCGTAGACTTTAAATGTGGTATCGAATGACTTCTTCTCCTTCTTGACTTCATCCTTTTGTGTATAACCTAGGTCTGGTTCGGGTTCGTCAAAGCCAAAGTCTATTGGCAGATTCAAATTAGTAAATGAGGGGATATGAGGGGGGTTGATGAGGCGAGTTGGTCAGGAGCATCTGATAGGTGAAGAACAAGGAACAAAGAGGAACGTACCATCTGCGGATCCATTCTCATCGTCACTCTCGTCTTGCAGAGCATCTTCATCGCTGGACAAGCCAGACATGAAATCGTCGTCAGAATCCATCGTAAGTGGCGTGGGTGGGGATATTGTGGCTGCTGAGGCGGTCTTTTTGGTGGCCCTTTTGGCTGGTTGAGAAGATGCTACCGCCTCAGCCGCCTTTCTCTTTCTGATTTGAGAAGAAATGGTGTCGTTTGGAGGAGATTCGTCGAGGTTGACGTTCAGAGAAGACGGCACCAGACGGTACTCAGTAGGGAGGCGTGCAAGGCTGCGGGATTCTTGAGACAGTGAGCGACTCAGGTGTTTCGATACTCGGAGACAAGAACTGGCATTGATAGGCGATGCCTCTAAATATGTCGTGGAACTCGAGATGAGTTGCAGAGAATTGTGGTCGTGGAAACTGGCGGAAGAAGAGAGGGTTGCCTCTCTCAAAAATGAGCTTTGGGTTGGTGATGGTGCCGGCTGACGGACGAAGCCTCCCAGGTAAGGTATCACTGCCCTGCAGATGGAGTACACGTGATTACGCGACTTCCTCTGGATGGCAAGTACTTGATGGGTGCCTAGCCCGATATCAGCTCATATATGACACACAGGTCTACAAATTCCAACATGTTTATGCAGAATACTGTTCCAAAATCATGCAGCCTACAATGTACGTTCACGTGACTGTAAATTAGGCACATCTTCTACCAGTCAGGCTGTGTGTGAATCCAGATTAGTCAACCGCCTGGAATGTCTAGCAAGGTTATGAGTGAATCTCCAACTATCAGACACACATTGATTCAAGTGCAACAGAAGCAGCTGGAAAACCACTGTCAAGACGGGGCGATGATAATGGGTCCTGATCATGAAACCTAATCCTATTCATTTGGATGCCTGGATAGAGGCTTACAAGTATTGGCAGCACTGGAATGTGGGATTCTTTCTGGGGTACCCAATATCTCGAGGTTATAAACTTCTGTGGCTCGTCCATTATGGAACCAAGATACATTATTCTACTTCCATTCTATGTGATATTCAAAGCTCGTCCAAGTTTAACGTCCTCCCTCAACTTGCTTCTTTCAAACTCTTCTTGATGTCAATAACACTGACGGTCACCTTGTTCGTTGTACTTGGGGGAAGAACTCCACCACCCATGATGAGTAAATGGTTTGAGTTACTGAGTACTCTGAGGTGCCTCGTATACGACACTCCCTCTGGAGTCGGGACTGTTCTCCATGCATTTGCATCGCCTAAAGCCTGGTTGACGAAGACCTGACTTGCGGTTCCGCAGCTGACAATGATAGTGCCGTTGACTCCTCCAACTGGAGACCAGACAACCTTTGGTGATCCCTCGGGCTGGATTTTGTCGTTTGTGTAGATCGGTATCCCGACAGATTTGTTGAACTCGAGAGGGCTGTCGTTGATTCGATAGTACACTGGGAACTTATATGCAGTCCCAACTACAGTCGGGCCCCCTCCAAATTCATAGGTCATCATATATTTGCCATTTGGAAGCTGGACTACTGTTGTCATTCCTGGTCGGTCTGTGTATCTTGCCGACACAACATCTTCGACATCGGCACTCCAGGTGAGAAGGTCCTTGGACGTGGAGTGGATGAGCTTTTGGCCATATGAAGGATCCCTTTGGTCCGAGTAGTACAACACGACTTGACCTTTGTAATACATTACAAAGGGCTCCCAAATTGCAGGGATCCCATTGTTCGGAAATGCGGCTCCTCCTCTTGCAACGCTAGAGACAAACTCCCAGGTGTAGCCCTTGTCCCGACTTGCATACACATCGATCTTGGTGAGACTCAAGTCTGTTGGAATGGAATTTCCGGAGCATATGATCGTGCCTGCAGGAAATTTGCCAACTCTCTTTGGCAGGACATACAAGTCAGGCTGGTACCGAAGGCCCCATCCATTCACTTGATCCGTAACCTTGGATATTTCCTTCCACGACTCTCCTCCATCTACACTCTTGTAGATTGGAAAGTACACTAGCGGTGGCTCAGGACTGTAGTTCTCCCAAGTGGCAAGAAGCACTCCCTTCTCAAGCTCGACTGTGCGAGCATACTAAACTCAAGTCAGTCTAGAGTCTAGAGATGACTGCAGAAATACTGACCAATACCCGCGGATCGGTATAGTTCGATGGAGGTGTAAAGATGGTCACACCTGAGAAAGTCGAGAAGGGAGCTGGCTTGGGAGCTGCCCAAACAGCACCCAAAAGGAGGGAAACCACGGGCAGAGAGGAAAGAAGCATGGCTGCGTAGAGACAGGAAATCCTTGAGAAGACAACGACAAAACCCCGAGGGAAATTTCCTACATTTATACTTGTCTATTGCGCACAGCAAAAGACCGAGGTTTGTCACTGACTCCGTTAACAACTTGGCAACGGAAAAATTTATCTCTACCCCGCAAGAAGCTGTCACGGAGACGACCATGGGAAGGCATCATTTCCCCCGCAAGATGCTGTCAGAAGTGGAAGAAATACAGTTCACCTCCACTTTCTCCCCGGCCCCCGGTAGATGAAATATCTGTCAGATGCGCGCCAATGATATCGCCTGCCTTTCATGAGGCCAGCCGGCATTGATGCAGACATCCCTGCGCAGTACCTGGGGTAGGTCCGGTTCTCTAGGACGACGGCAAATTGTGACAGTATGTGAGCATGCTGATGCATGTTCAAAATATCATCGCATGTCGATTACCTCTTGAAGGATGGTAGTAATAGATGGACGAGATCGTGACCTATTGCAAAAAATCTGGACGTCAATGGCAGGCGAGTGCGCTAGACCTGTTTAGGCTTCTGCGGAACTTCAAGAAGCTTAACCTTCGAGTACTTCGCCAACCTCCTCCGTCAAGCTACCAACAGCAATTGAATCATTTCACCATGGCATCAACAAAAGCTCTCCGCCGCGTGGCTCTCAATGTGTCGCGCTCATCAAGAAGCTTCCACGCTTCGGCTCGCTCCTTCATCCAAGTTGGCGACAAGCTTCCCAATCTCGATGTTTTGGTTGAGAACTCCCCAGGAAACAAAGTCAACTTGAGTGAGGCAATCAAGGGCAAGGCTTTGATCATTGGCGTTCCAGCTGCATTCAGTAAGTACGATATACTCATGTGCTCTACTTGGGCATCGAATTTATCCATGCTCCCCGAGTCTGTAAATGCTGACATGGACCGACTCCCAGGTCCCGCATGCTCAAACTCCCATGTTCCAGGCTACATCAATCACAAGAACCTGAAGAGCGCTGGTGACGTGTTCGTAGTTGCTGTCAATGATCCATTTGTGTAAATCTACACTTCACTCATACTCAATATCTTCTGACTCCCACAGCACGAAGGCTTGGGCCGACTCTCTTGATCCTACTGGTAGCTCAGGTGTAAGTTTAGCGCCATCTCACATGACTCGTGGCAACACCAGGGATCGAATATTCCAGGATAGTAGGCTCATCCAAATTGTAGATTCGTTTCCTAGGCGACCCAACTGCCAAGTTCACCCAGGCATTGGACTTGGCCTTCGATGGTGCTGCCATCTTCGGCGGTCCCCGAAGCAAGCGTTATGCTCTCGAGGTTGAGGACGGAAAGGTCAAGGCATTGCACATCGAGCCAGATAACACCGGACTGAACGGTGCACACTATCGCCTCCCTCCTTGGACTCATGCTAACCCCTTTTAGTTTCTGCTGCTGAGAAGGTTCTGGGTTGAACGACCTCGACGTGATTATTGCGCTTTGACGGCCAGATGTACAATAAAAGCAAGCTAGTGAACGAAGCGGATTACATTGCCTTTAAGCATTATCCGACTGCAAGCCTTAACTATGGAAATCTTTGCCAAGTGGCAAACATCAGTCGAGCATGCGTTTGTGGCTAATACAACAGCCTCTTCTCAATTGTATCAATCTCTGCACCTAAGAAGTCACATCTATCACTTTCAAGCGTCTACCCCGCTTCATCTCGCAATCCAGCTTCCTCAAGATAGCATTCTCTCAGTACTCATTCTTGATCACGGAGCCACTATACGAACCGGTACAGGTGTTGGGTCTTCCACCCGTTATCGGTACTTTCAATAACACAATACCAACTTGTTTGTGGATAGGGGAAGATCTTAGGGATGGATTGCTGCTGGATGCGATGAAACGAGCTATGGAGGGGGAAGATTAATGTTCCTCGAGGAGATACTTGTCGTCACTCTTTCCAATCTTCGAGTGATGGGTCTACCCTTTCCATCCCTACTGTTCCTATTTCGGCTTATATATTTCTGGTCGTGAACAATTTCATAGCATTCTACCAGCCGAAACCTTTCCCCATAAGCTACCACTATTCCTAACTTCTTGGGGATTCTGAAGCGTCTGAGCTGAGGGCACGTTGAAGCCCTGTACTCATCTCAGCACGATTTGATTGTTATTGGAGTCCTAGTACCTTGGTCTCGGGCTTGTCATAAAAGGAGACGGGCAACACCTCTTAAAAATTGGTTCTTCGATTCAACGTGACCCACTGTGGCTTCCAAGCAGTCATTGAGAACACCAGAGACACAAAAGATTGCCACGACAACTTTTTAACTCTACGAGTCGAGATTGATGACATGAACTCGTAGACTCAGATACCGTTTGGACAGATACTTCCTGTTTGTACACGACGTATTATTATTCGACAACCATGCGAGTGCGCAATTGAACATGTTCGAGATTCGAGATGGAGCGTGTTTGTGCATCACGAACCCCCTTTCCTGTCAACAGAGCAATTCTTCTTACGCCTCATCAGCCGGACCATTGAGGCACGATCGGTGAGAATCTCTTTGAAGCTGCGTGCAGAAGCTTGATTCTCTTCAAATTGGTCCACAGGAACGATGGTAATCGTCCGAGTGATCAGGTTGTTGGTATCACCAAGATCAAGATGACAAGAAAAGATAAATGTGATTTGACAAGAGTCCCTAGTTTCTGGGCATCGTTGATGATTCAGAAATGCGCAGCCCCAATTTTGTCCCATCCCTATGTAAGGAAGCTCTAGTTACCGACCTATTACCAACTTGGAACTCGGTAATTTGACAGGTAGCTATGAGGAGGAGAGAGCCAAGAGTAATCCATCTGCAACAAAAGTCTCTTGCATTTTCTTAGCACTCGTCCTTCTTACTGACTGACATGAATCAAGTCTCAGAGATTAAGTTCAATAGCCGGTCCTAGATGCACTTTCACGCCCAAGTGAGAAAGTACGCTCGACGGAGCCTGTGTTGTTCAATTCGAAGAGAGGAGCCTTCAGTGGCGTCACGGACTCCGTCAGTCTCGTGTGGTAGAGAAACTGGTCTGTATTCTCTCCAAAATCTGTTCGTGTTGCGCAACGAGCCGCTCTTGAGATAAATGATATCCACAGAGTTGACAAAGATACGGCACGGATGGAAAATTAGCTCACGATAGATCTTAAGCGCTCCACGACAAGACTCAACGCTCATGCTGAGCATCGTCAGCGTCCAAATCTGTGAGTGATATCTTGTCCTGTGCTTGTTGAATTTGCTTGCAGAAATAAAAAGACTAGGGGTAGCAAGCTCTCAGATCTCACATCTGATCTCTGCTGGAAGTTTTCCGAAAAATGTGGATGTTACCGAAGAAGATGTCAATTTGTAGACGGGCTTTCAGGCGGTTGACTTCTCTAATCGGCAACCTATCCAAACTGCTTTGACCACCTCTATATGAGAATCCAATCATACAGGTTTAAACCAAAAATTTCTAGCCTTGAAAGACAGTCGAGAATAAATTATAAGTTGTTAGACAGCGTCATGAAGATTTAGTCACCTAGTGATATTTATGCGGAAGGATGCAACGATGGTCTCCTTGGCGTCTCACAAGATCGAGGCCATTATGCATGCACAAATTTGAAGATAGAATCGACCCTTTGAGAGACTTCTAGATGAGAAACGGCTTGTTTCAGAAGAATGAAGTCAACCAGCGTGACTGCGACTGAAAGTGGCTTAGCACTGTGCTAAGCCACATGGAGACGTAAGTGAGAGCTCTACAAACATCGAGGAAACTTTACCTATTTTGAAGTCACAATTCATTCTTCAACAACTCAGAGTTCGTTTTGATATAGCCTTAGAGTTGATTTATTTCTATTTACTTACTGATATACGGAATTATTGAGTTGTTTCGAAAATTTCAACTCTAAGAAGGCCCCAAATATGCCTGGAAACGGAAAGTACACCATTGCGTCTGGTGACACTTTCCACGAGATTGCGAAGAGACTCGAAATTGACGTCTCGACAATACAAAACCTCAATCCAGGTGTTAAGCCAGAATCTTTACAGGTCGGTCAAGTCGTAAACGTCCCCGGACTGTCCGGTTCAAGAGGACATTCTTATAATCCGCTTCCTGCTTCAACATACACTATCAATTCAGGCGACACTTTCAACGCTATCGCCCAAACCCTTGGTACAGATGTCCCTCACATTCAGTCACTCAACCCCGGCATTGCCCCGGAGTCTCTCCAAGTCGGACAAATCATTAACATTCCCTCTGGACCTCCCGCTCGCCACCAGCAGCAGCATCACATTTCCAAGAAAGCACGTCCACGGCCTGCTATTGAAGGCTACACCTGCTTCTCTGGTCCAACGCACAACTTTCCCCACCCGAATACGTGGGCACCCTATGAGCACCTCATATCTATCAACGAGCGCCTCATGCTTCTGAACTCGAGTCCTTCAGAAGTGTTCTACATCAAAAAATGGATTCCAATAGTCGCCTACGAGTCCGGCGTCGATGCTCGCGTGATCCTCTGCATAATCATGCAAGAATCTGGTGGCAATGTCCGGAACCCAACGACATTATCACCTGCTCCAGATTTCGTGGAGAATACGGGATTGATGCAGGCGCATAATGGGCAGGAGTGGGATGAGAGGTACCCGGAGTGGAGTGTTGAGAGGATGATTCGGGACGGTGCTCAAGGGACGAGGTTTGGGGATGGCTTGATTCAATGTTTTCACAAGTGGGATAGGAACTGGTATCACGCTTGTAGAGCGTATAACTCAGGGAGGGTGAACAGAGAGGATTTGAGTGATGGTATTACAGCAACCGGACATTATGTCGAGAGAGTTGCAAATCGGTTGATTGGAAACCAGTGGACAGGAATGTAGGTGTGGACTGCAGTATGGACGTTATCTGCTTGATTTAGCGTATTGAATACCGCGGTGTTGATGATTCCACTAGGGACATGACAGCATTTTGGAAGACGAGGAGCTACAATTGCCCCTTATGTGGCGGCTTAAAAACCACAGATCTCCGAGCAAGGTGGATAATAATCCGCATGCCACATATCAAACAACAGGAAACTACAGGGTCGCCGGAATATTCATTTTATCACTCCTAGATGAAAGCTCACTGGCATATGACTTTATTAACCTTCGGATGGACAATACAGGCGCTCAATAACAGCTCAAAACCAAGATGACCTGTAACTCCACCTACTATTTATACACGCTTCCGTGCTTCACAAATGAAAGGGTATTTAGATACAGTCTCCCAGAACGCCTGATTAATCCATTATGCCCCACCCAAACTTCAGCACACTTAGCCGTCCGCCCATAGCCATTGATGTCTTCCTAGGAATCATGTTTGCCGTAGCCTCAGCGGTTGTGGCATTGCTCCGATGCCCAGACTTTCCAATGCGTCGTCTCCAATGATAGGCCCCATAGTACTTATTGAGGAAACCGTCCGTTGACTTTCGTTCCTTCCCAGTCCCCCACCCAAGGACGTGATAGCGGGATTCTGTATAATGACTGGATTTTGTAAACCCAGGACTGGACTTTCTCGAGGATAATCCATGCTGATGACTCTTAATCGTCCAGGTGCTGAGTTGCTCGGCGCGGGGCTAGGAGACAGCATACCATCTCTAACCACTCGCTCCAATGAATCCTGATGCACTAATGGATGTCTCGGCTTTGGTGAGAGGAGAACTGGTGTCATAGTCTGTAGCCTGATCTCCTCGAGAACTGCTGCAGAATCAACGGGAAAGCCCATCGTATCTCGCGGTTGTGGCGTCGGGAACATCGGCGGCTCGAGTTCTTCTGGGCTGAACGGTACGTGGTCGGGAAGTACATGTGCTTCGCTAGGATCGTTTAAAGTCAAAGGAGATGTATTGCTTTCTGCACGCGAGTGTGTCCGAGAATGTGTTCGCGAGTGAGTGGGTGAGCGTGTGCGCGAATGTGCAGTTGAGTATGGATGTGAGGGTGAATGTGGTGATTGTTGGGGCGAGTGCTGTGGTGTGTCAGACTCTCGATTGGAGCTGTACAAAAACCTTTCCGTCTCACTCGTCTGTTGTCCTGGACTAGGGGCACCGGGATACTCCATCTTCGAACTCGATAGAAGTAATGGTTTTGGAGCAAGGCTGCTGTGCTGGGAATTCCGAAATGGGACACCAGCGAAGGCCGAGTTAAGTCCCGTATATGTCACTCGCTCAGCGCCCTCCTTCTTTACTGCCAATCGCTTCTTTCTTTTCTGGATGCAAAATAATGCCAACAGACACAGCAGCACAAGAGCACCCAGTCCTCCAATGACAGCTCCAATTATGATAGTCTGGTTCCCGCCGGATGATGACGAAGATACGGTTGCAGTAGAAGTCGCAGTTGCTGAAGTCACTGCAGCTGTGGCCGCTTCGAATTGTGTCGAAGTTGTCGTGGCCCCTTGATTATTCTGACTTGCTTGCCCACCGCCATTTCCTGCTTGTCCCTGACCGGGTTCGTCCATGTTGATGCTTCTCCTTCAGACAAAACAAATCGAAAGCGACCGACCGTGATATACACAAAGAAAAGATTAGAGTGATGACCGAGCGACAGCGAAAATGAAGGAAGCAGAAGCGAAAAGCAAACAGACAAATGCACACGACTCATGCCGCGAATCTTCGGATGAGACTTACCGTTTCCAGTTGATGAAGTTCTGAGCCACATCGGTCTCATGGGCCTTTTTATCGTTCGCATTGATGTTTGGGTGATCAAACGGCGAAAAAGAAGAAAAGTGCCCAGGGTGTAGCTATAATTGAGCATGAACGCGGTGATGCCGCGCGGAAAGTGGATAATCACGTGAGGCATTACTGCAAGGAGATGCTGGCCAGTTCAAAGCTTTCTGGGGAACAGCTCAGGGACGAGCCCGAGGCCTCCGACCCATTCCTCGATGCCGAGAAGGTACTTGTACTGATCGAGTGACCGGCGAAATGCCGCAGGGAGAGCTCGTATGGGACGTCTTGCTTTCTCAGCCTCAGCCTCATGCCAGCCAGCCCTTGCCGGATGTTGGCCATAGCTTGTGTGAAGAGACAGAGAGATGCGCAGGAGGTACATAGCGAAAGATTATAACCGGGAACGACGCAATAACTGTGGACGAACTGAAAGCGAGGTGCTTCGTGGAGTTTACCCGGTGAGGATGATCATATCAAGAGTTGTGCCAGAAAGAAGAAGAAGAAGAAGAAGAAGAAGAAGAGGTGGAGGAGAGGAGCACGAACCTGGACTCAATAATCCCTCCTGTTGCTCTTAGGGTGATTGATACCTTAGGTAAGTGCCTGTAGGGTTTAGTGTCCCCCATACTTTAGCGGGCCAATGGGACCATAGGCCAATAGAGTCGCGCGATGCCCCTCCATCCAACCTATTTCGATATACGAAGTAACAATAGAGGAGCGGCAGCGGCTGAGAGCCTGGCCTACAGTAGCTGAACCGACAGACGGACTTGACCACATCGACGTGGTATCCTTTGTTCTCTCACCCTTCATAAGCAAAAGCGGCACAAGTCAACAGCACGCCCGCCAAACAATATATTGTCGCCTCGCGCAGACCCGGTCTATGTTACTCTCCTTTTCCTGGGAGCTCAACACACGAAATCGTCTCACTTTTCCCCTCACCAGCTCCGAGCTTGCGAAGCGCCCTTATCGCGGCTGACGTCCCTCGAGCTCACACTCTGCCTCGCCCGTAACAAGAAATTTCGCATGACCACTATGAGCTATTCAAATCCCCAGGAGAGCCAGCAGAGCAAGCCTCCGGTGCAAGCATGTCGATACAAGACAGGAAAAACCTTGGGCGCGGGGTCATACTCGGTGGTCAAGGAGTGTGTACATATTGACACAGGAAGATACTATGCTGCGAAGGTCATCAACAAGAGGCTAATGGCAGGCCGAGAACATATGGTACTACTCTACTCCCATATCCAACCATCTTCGTTGTTCTGCACTGACTCTGCAATAGGTACGGAACGAAATCGCAGTCCTTAAACGGGTATCGATGGGCCACCAAAATATCCTCACTCTAGTCGACTATTTCGAGACCCTCAACAACTTATACCTCGTCACCGATCTTGCTCTTGGGGGCGAGTTGTTCGATCGAATCTGCCGCAAAGGTTCTTACTATGAATCCGATGCAGCGGACCTGATCCGAGCAACTCTATCTGCGGTAGCCTACTTACATGACCACGGAATCGTACATCGAGATCTGAAGCCGGAGAACCTTCTATTTCGAACTCCAGAAGACAATGCCGATTTGCTGATTGCAGATTTTGGTCTTAGCAGAATAATGGATGAAGAACAATTCCACGTCCTGACCACTACATGTGGTACGCCAGGCTATATGGCACCTGAGATCTTTAAGAAGACTGGCCACGGCAAGCCAGTGGATATCTGGGCTATTGGTGTGATTACATACTTCCTGCTATGTGGTTATACCCCCTTCGATCGTGATTCCAACCTGGAGGAGATGCAGGCAATCTTGATTGCGGACTACAGCTTCACACCTATTGAATACTGGAGAGGAGTCAGCGTGCAAGCGAGAGAGTTTATCAAACGCTGCTTGACAATCGATCCGACACAAAGAATGACTTCGCACGAGGCGCTGCAACATCCATTCGTATCTGGCATATCTTCTGGACAAGCTGGAAAGGACGGAAAGGGCAGCGACCTATTACCGGTGGTGAAGAAGAATTTCAACGCAAGAAGGACTCTTCACGCAGCTATCGACACTGTTCGAGCAATTAACAAGCTGAGGGAAGGTCAGGGAGTCAGCGGTATGATGGACGGGATAGTATCAACAGACCCAGACAAGGGAGCTCAACCTCTACGGCGTGCTGGGCAAAAGGATTCTGGAGTTGGCATGGGACCAGGCGACGAGATGCAAGAAGACTCCGGCTACTCGACCGGAGGACCAATCTCATCAGCACCTCAAACTGGCGACTTCGCAGACACTCACATGCGAGGCGTGGAACGGAATTCAGGCCAAGGCCAGACCCAAGCACAGATCGAAGCCCAGACTAGGAAAATTGCCGAAACGACAAAAGGCTTATGGAGCGCAGGCAGCGCAAAGCTACACGGTCGGTGATAACGAAAATCTCTTTTGGCATGACTCGGAGTCGGATGGTTACTACTCGTTAAAAGCCCATTTGACATTTTCCCTATTCATGAAATGAACATGATATGGTTTTTGAGCGCGGGGTTGGAGAATTTCCTTTGCTTCTCTTCTGCTTCTTTCTTCTTCACTTCTGATTACTGCCCTACGGGGAATTTCATTTGGGGATTTTGCCATGTAGCAGGCATCGCTGCTGATGGATATGGAGTAGCTAACTTGGCTGGACATCATGAGGCATGACACTTCATAGCGAGACCTAGATATGAATGAATGGATACAACAAGACAATTGAAGTGTGAGCTTTTTCACCCGGTTCCTTTGGATCTCTGATGCTTAGAGAATATGATTCTGAGCTACAAAAATCTATGTTCAAATTTATTCAGACAATGACCAATTAACATTGTTACATATCCATTCCATTGGGACAAATATCACTGCGCAATGTCCTCAATCTACCAGGAAATCTAGAGGTACTGAGAATCCCAGATGATGTTGAAGGATGACGCTGAGCTCGATAACCCGAAAATTGTCCGGTCATTAGAATCGCTCATTGTCATGACTATCTTGCACATTGGTGGTATCTCAATTTCGTAGCATAGCCTCCGATAACAACAATATATAACGTCCTGACGCTACCTAGAAAAATGCAGATATCGTCAAGGCAAGACTGATGGTCAGAAACATTTTTTGTTCAAAGAAATAACGAAATCAGCTTATAGGGACTGCTGAATCCGCCGTATCTACTATAGCGATATCACAGGAGGGTGCTCTCACAGTGTGGGTATTACCTACCTCTACTACCAAGGGTTTTCGGCAAAGTTGGAACAAACGTAGACGAGATGGATCTACCAAATCTCATTATTGTCCAAAAGAATTGCCTACCCTACCCTACCTTTTCACCCCCTCCCAATCTATTCCTCAGCCCTACAACTACAACCACTATGCACGAATCTCGCTTCCCTTGCCATCCCAGCCAAGCCAACCAAACCACCTCCATCCCACCAACAGCCGATCCCCACCAGCCTACCGAGGGATCCTCTCCCCATCCCATCCCATCCCATCCCATCCCATCCCATCAACCACCTGTGAAAACCCACCTCCATCCACGTGTCCAACACATGCCTAGCACGTTGCGTACACGTTGTGCCGAAATACGACGTGCAACAAACGTCAAGTCGGTCAGGTCAGTCTTCGTCTTACCGTTCCGTTTCCGTCTATTATGAAAGCACCGAGTCAGGATCAGACCACTTTTTTTTCTTTCTGAATGGTGCCATATCTGGGGTGGGAGATGATAAGGGTTCAGACTGCCGGTACTGTAGACGAGAAGATGGGGGAAGAGAAGAATGGTTTTAGTGAAAGGAGGCTTGAGTGTAGTGCGGTGCAGTGCAGTGGAAAAAGCAAGTTAGTGGTGATAGTGGTGTTCGTGGTGGTGTGTTTGGTACCAAGGTGTTACTGGTGGAGGCTTGGCCGGCACATGGGACTTCCATTTCACATCAATGGGCTGCCTGACTGTCCTTGACGACGAGAATCGACGAAAGGAAAGGACGCCTTCTAGCACCCGAGTGGGCTCTCGAAGTGAGTCGGGTGGACAAAATAGCAAAAAGGGAAGTGTACAACTATGTGGTTTGAAGGTTGATTTGGATGACTTTTCTTCCGAAATCTGAATTGTTGCGTTTCGATTGGATATACATTATGATTGGATGTACATTGTTGCTCATGTTATGGCTATTCGGTAATAAATACCTATGTCAGGGGCCTCTTTGATTGGCATCCGCCGTTTTTGGAGCCTCCAGATTTTTTTAAGTCGATACATTTCATCCATCCATGTCGATTTCTGTTTGGCTTTTAGAAACAGCATGACCTCATGTCAGTTCACTGTTAAGCCAGAAAGGCCTGAAGCCTTTCACGCATCAACTGCCCTGCTGCATTGCGCTGTTGTTGTTTACACAACAAAAACTCAAGCGAGTTTTCTCAAGTGAATCAAGTATCGACGCTATTCGGCACTCATGTATGAGTGAGAGATCACTTTCCCGATTGTATATCCTCCAACCCTCCTTCCCGCTCGTTGGTCAAGTCAGCCAAGACGAGGCTTGGGGCTGAACCTCATACCATTGCACTCCGCCTCGGAGGCAGCCTTGCCCCAAAGTCAAACCGACCTTCAGATGGCTTCTGGCTCGCTTCATTATCCTCTGTCTCCTCTTCCACTTCTTATCTTTTTCCCTTTGCAAACGGCGCTCGTATGAGAACGCAACAACATGGATCCCCTCTCCATAATTGCTTCAACACTGGCTCTGGGAAGATTATGTATTAAGGTTAGTCCCCCGTCTCATTCTCGCGCTTATTGTGTCTCTGTGTTAAAATCCACAGCCTCATGCTACGAGAGATCGCTTAGAATCTTTAGATTTCAACAACTGTCTACGAGTTCACTACAGATACCCGAGACGTAGATACCAATGTCCAGAACCTCTACCGCGGACTGAATTCCCTCTCCCAAGTCCTCAAGAATGTGAGCACAGCCTGGTCTGAGAATCCTCTCGTTGCAGTAGCGCAGACCGGCCCAGACGGAAATCTATGGATATGCGTCAAGGACAGTGTGAGAAACTGCGAGGTGGTATTGAAGAAGCTGGAGTCGGTGCTTGATAAGATATCAGCAGAGAATGGTATGGGTAAAGGCTTTATGCGGAGGCCAGTGAAGCAAATTAGGTTGAATATGAACAAGAAGGATATTCAAGGGTTCGAGAGCGAGGTGCAGAGCTATGAGCGGGCTCTGTCAATTGCTTTCAACGCTATCAACGCGTAAGTATTGTATTGCCGTGTATGATGGTGCCTCGTTGACTTCTGTGTAGGTGCGCGGCAATGCGACGAGATCATACAGATGTCGAAGTGTCGAAGAGGCTGGACACAATCGAGACAGGTATCCAGGACCTCTCCCAGAGTCTTCGCCAACGACAAGACTTAGGCATCAGCTCTTCAGAAGCTACCAAGAACTTTGAACAGTTTCTCTATGCAGCCAACACCTTCAAGTCCAGCGCCAGTACGGTGGTAAATGGAGATGCATCGACTGTCAAAGGAGGTCTGGGCACCCAATATAGCGGCAGCATCTTTGGTGAGTCGTTGTCAGATGATCGGTACGAAATTATACAGAGCTGGATACCCCCACCGTCGCCTCTCGGTGTCCGTGGGTCAGCAACGAATGGAGGTAGCTTACAGGGTGGTCTCAGCACTCAAAGCCCCCTACCTGAACTCATGGCTGTACTAGAGACAGTCACTCAGATGGCTGACCAATACCGCAACTCCGAACAGGAACGAAACTCATCTAAAGATGAGCAGCTCCGATCATTGCAAGTGGAGAACAGGGCTCTCGAACAGAAGCTCGAGGAAATTATCATTCTCACTGAGAAGCAGCGGCAAGACCTTGAAGAACGGGAGGAAAAGTTACAGTCCCTCGCTAAAGAACTTATGGACGCTGAGAGGGAGCGGTCGTACCTTCGGGAAAATTCAACGCAGCAACAAATAACAGCCGCTTCGATGACAGAGGAGCGAGATGTTCTTCGTCGGAAAATTGACGAGAAGGATGCAACGCTACAGGAATCAAAAGATCATGGGCTCTTGATAGAGCACGAACTCAAGGAGCACATTATGTTTCACGAACGTATGGTGCAAAGCGTGCGAGACGAGAGGCAAAGGCTGCAAAACCAAACTGCCGAGCAAGCCGAACAACTACTGCTTGAAAGAGCGATGAGAAGTAAGAGCGATGAAGCTCTAGCTCTGTCAAAGGCGGAGGCTACCAAGCTGAACGAAACCTTGCTTGAAAAAACCGGGGCTCTCTCTAAAGCGAACGCGGACAGGGCGAGGCTGGAGAGCATGGTTGCGGGCTTTACAGAGCAGAACCAGCACATCCAACAAAAGTTAGGGCAGTACAGAGACGAAGCCAACTGGCTAAAGGTTGAATTGCAGCGAATACTTGAGGAGATGGATTTGACGCATAAAAAGTTAGATGCAGAGAGAACCATCTCCCGACAACTGAAAGGATATCTTGAGCAGTCGGTAGTTACGGAATCAAGATTCGAGCAAGAGATATCCGACCTAAAGCTGGACTTGGAGAGGTCAGTTTCCGGTAGGCAGGATTTGGAGAACAGATTGCAAGAAGAATCGGAGAACTTCCAATATCGGAGGGAGAAGCTTGAATGCCAGCTCCACGACATGGAGAACGACCTAGCTATGATGACAAATTTTTGTGACACAGAGAAAACCAGAGTCGACAGCTGTGAGAAGATCCTCGCAGAGCTAGGCAGGCTTCAAGAACAGCAGAGCAAGATTCTGTCTGTGTACAGGGCGTCTGCGGAAAACACAGAGCCGGCCCAGCAAACCAAAGCTATTTCGATGGATTCCGCAATGCAAGCCACAAGCAAATCCGTGGAAGATGCAGGTATAAGGATGCAACAGGAAAATAAGACAGAGGTCAAAACGCAAGAAGAGAGCAAAAGGGAGAGCCTGACTAAAGTTGAGACCGGAAAGAATCCAGCGAACGATGCCGCACCCAAGAGTGCCTTAGATGGTGCACGCATGGCTATCAAGCAGAAGGAAAACAAGCCGCAAGTTGAGCACAAAACTAAGAAGATGAACAAAGGGGAGAGCATTTGGAATACGGATAAGTTACGTCGAAAGCAAAGTATTCAGGCACCATAACGGATGTGGACTTTGGTCCAAGCTAGATGGATGGGCCTGCTCGACTTGGACACCGAGGTCGTTTGCCAGCTTTGCTGAATGACTGATTACCATCAGTACATGTGGACCCAGAGAGTGCTTGGCTACCTACTCTTGACAATCTGTCTGATTGGTAGAGAGATACCTGAACCTCATGTCTTGATTAGCTTGGATGTCCTGGTAGATCTGTTGATTACCACGACAAAGTAGTCTAAGGGGAGGCTTGGGTCTGCCGTGCTTCAAGAGGTGGTTACGAGTAAGATCTGTATGACAGACACGAACGCAACGAGACAGCTGAAAATACGATGTTGGAAGAGAATGACTGAATAAGTGAGTAGGAAAGAGAAGGACAGACACACCGCATTTGTTGAAATCGGCTTTCTGGAATAAAGAGTTGTGCATATAGCTGAACTAAAATGCTTGAGAGGTCGCGAAGTGCGCATAGCTTGGAAGCTCTTGCTTGTTTCAGTCCTGGCAGTTGCCTAGCCGTTCTTGCCATTTCAAAACGAACTTCTGAGTAATTGAGACTTGCACAATCACCGAATCACCGGGACCAAAATAACAGATCAGAGGAAAATGGTGTGAAGGTTTCTTGCTTTCATTATTTGGTTCCGGCACTACAGCCTTGCTCGCTTCCAAAGCCTGTAACTGTCGGTTTGTCCACTGCTAGACTTTGTAGTCCAATTCCTGTTTCCCATGGGCCCGAATCCCATCCACCCATCCACATAAACCGGTCCATGCACCTCCCTAGCACTACACAATACACACAAGTCTATAGCGACAGTCCATCCCATCCCGGGATCTAGTCTTTACCCAAAACACCCGGGGGGAAAACAATCCACGCCCAAATTCTATATTCAGCGAAAGTCTTTTCTCTTTCTGCCTCAAAGCCGTGCAGGGCTCCGGCAGCGTAGAAAACATACAAGGCGAGCCCAGCACACCCTCTCATCTAAATATCCCCTGTGAGAGAATAGGCGGCGGTAACTCTAGCGATGGTGGTATTTATTGACACAAAGTCGAACAAAAAGCTCGCGCTCCAAAAGGAGGTCGGGAGAAGAAGTGAATGTAGAAGTGAAGATGCTACGAACATCTGCGCCGGAATCGACTCAGCTCGTGTACTTTTGGATGATCGTAGCCATATTATCATTAAATATATGTCGAAAGGCTCCTGGAATCCGGATCTCTTGGTATTGAAACTCTCAACACGGTGGGGGGTGAAGATTATGTACAGGTCGGATTGGTTGAGAGGTCCAGAGAGTCGCGGAATGTGGAGAAAAGATTAAAAGGTGTTGCGAAGTCGCTCATATGCTAAACGCCGGGATTTGATGCCGTAAAATCATGAGGGAGAAATCGACCGGGGATGTTGTCGAATAGGGATTAGGATTTCGTAGTCTTTGGGTGTGATGTCTGAGTTTATCTAATGGCGATTTCGTTGAGTTCCGTATCTGATGCTTGGGATGCCAATGTCTCGCCTTCCCAAGAAGATTGGCTTTCATCGACTGGACTCCTCGAGCCCGAGGAGATTGAAGATGAAGAGCCCACGGTCCACTCGTCGCTGCTGTCGTTGCGGAAATCGTCGATGTCCAGAACCGAGAGGCCATATTCGTAGGCTCCGCTAGGTGCCTCTCCCTTCTCAACGTAGTCGTAATCCCATCTCCACGCCTTGTCCATTTGAACCCGGGGTAGGAAGTTGGCCTTTGCAATATAGAATGCAATGGCAGCCAAGAATCCACCTCCAACCAAGTCAACGGCATAATGATGTGACAGGTACATTGTAGCCCACCACATCCACATTGCGTAGCCAATCACCAAAGGTCTAAGTTTGGGGAAGCAATGGCTCATGAAAAGAGCCTCCAACACTGCATTTCCAGAATGCAAGGATGGGAAAGCTCCAAACACTAAGGGTGATGCAGTGAAATTTGTTGTATACATGTCGAAGCCCAGGAGCTTGTCGACGCGAGCCAAACCAGCGGGTGATCCGGGAATCGAGTAGTTTGCTGGAGCGAGACCATAAAGATTTTCGTACCACGGTGGTGAGCATGGGAAGATAAGTTGAATTGCTACACCCGCGATGTTCAAGTATCCGAATGTCTGTGCGAAGACTGGAAGTGTTCCCGGAGCGGAAAAGAAGAACATCAGGGCTGCCCAGAAAAATGGTCCTCCAAAATGTAAGAGCCCATATGGCACCCACGCCAGAACATCCAAAACTACGAACTTGTGGGCCGAGAGGATATTGCTAATGTTGGCACCATAAAATATATTTTCGAGAGCAGGTAAGACCTTCACCCAGATATGAGGTCGGTATTCTGATGGAATGAATCTGGAGCAAGTCAGTTGTGAAGTCCAGAACTGGCCGTCGAGGATCTGCAAATCGATGATGTCGATCACGGCCCAGAAAGCCACCTCGAAATCTAAAATACTGTGAAAACACGTACCTGGCATTAAAGAAGAAGAGCAACCATGTGAAGATCGGTAGCACTGGCAAAAAGAATTGTCTCGTTATTGGCATGAGCAAAGCAAGCATGAGCAAAGCCGATGCGCCTGTCTTGACCAACGGCCCGGGTGCCTGACTTATTGAGAGCGAAAAGACACTGACGATGATCAGGATCAGATATTTCGCATCGTAATATGACCATCTGTGAGCTCTGAGGGCCTTGATCGAATCTGCGGGGTTGAAGGAAGTCTGGATACTGGCGATAGAGGAGGCGGGAGACTGAGCAGACCGAAACTTGGAACGTAACCGGCGGCGATACCGTCGAGGAATGGGATTCAGTATCGAAGGCCAGGAGAAGGGCATCTTCGTTTTCGTGAAGGTCATAGGTGATGCGGCTGGGTAGTATCTTGGATCTGCCATCGCTGTCGAGAAAAGTTGTGTATTGCGTTCCTGTGCCTCTGCCTCTCTGACGTGACGGCGTGTTTCAACGGGGGGAGGGCGAATGAGAGAGGGAGCGGATGCGCGCGGAGGAGGCGAGCGGCGGATGGATATTGCTATGACTGTTCGAATATGCTATGAGCTGCACATGAAGTCGATATTTGGCGGCGAGAGGGCGAGAGGGCGAGAGGGGAGGACGGTGAGGTGGGGGAAGAAGAAGTGAGAGAGTGAGAGGAAATACGGAGTAAGAGAGGGAGCGGATGGTTCGGGCTCTCTCGCTTTGGCGACGACGATGCTGGTGCTGGTGCTGCTGCTGATGGGGCTTGGGGCTTGGGGCTTGTGCTGGTGCTGGTGCTTGTGCTTGTGCCTGTGCCTGCTCTCGCGGGTGCTTGGGGTGGCTCTGGGTGGGCTTTGGGCTGTGGGCTGCACCTATTCCGACTAGAGGGCTTGGCGGGAGTGTAATTTAGCAGGCTCTTGCAGGGCCCGCGCAGGGGGAGGAGGCGCCTCAGCCACCGGCAGCAGGCATTGGCACAGTAAGCGACGGCATCGTACTGTACTGTACTGTACTGTAATGAAATGAGCGAAGCACGATCTTCCTCTGCCCTGTCCTGCCCTGCCCTGCCCTGGTCACTTCTGTTTGCAGCGCACTCCTCGGTGGGTTATGGAATCGGCATCCGATATCTTAAAGTCCGAAGCCGATGTTTACAGTACAGTATTGGACTTGCAGTACTGTATATAATATTGGGTTAACAAAAAGAAGCTTCTCACCGCGCCGGATCCATCCAAAGTGGCTGGAACTGCAAATGCAAGAGTCAAGCAAACCGCTCGAATACCTGCCTGCTTACGTAGGTACCTGGTGAGGATCTGAATCGTGGTGTGATTTGGGCAACAGCCACACCGCACATTCACAGAACATCAGAGCACCTCCATCCCATGTGTTTGCAGAACCAGCACCAGCACAACTCGCGCGTCACAAGATGTCTATTTTCCATGTGCAGGTGTTTGTTGGCTCATCGAGTTGCATGCCACTATCCAGTTAGCGAATGATACAAACTCCGGCCTTCCGCTCAAAGCCAATATCAACATCTGACTGGCCGTAGCGAGCAGCCTCAACCCTGAAATCGCAGCACCGTTACTCAGCATTATTACTCCAAGTAAGCTCTGCTCTGTAAAACTGCACCGGTAATCTTGACATAAAAAACCCCGCTGGAGCCACCCAAATATAAGAAGTCAACCGCATCAGAAGTTTCTGTGCGTGGATGGGTACGTCCAGCTCAGCTGCAGCTTCGTCTTCCGGCGGCTATCGCTACTCGGCGGACCGCATCCAAAGGGAAGACGGAGTCAGCTGGATGCGGCGGTCTGAGAGCGTGCGGCTGGCCTTGGGATGAGCTGCAGGAGGTCTGATGAGAATGCGGAGGATCTCCAGCATATCTGCGACAATTGTGTGTTTGAATCGTTCACACCTTTTTCGTCACACACAACTGACGGTCTCGAAGAGCTTTCTCGGACGTCTTCATTGCTTCTTCTGTTGTCCCAGGCAAGCCCCAGGAGTGAAACGAAGAAGAGGCGCTTTACGTAGTGGTCAACTCGTCATGGACCTGTCAAACAGCCTCAGCCACGCCTTGACAGCTCGATTTCGAACCCAGCACCTAGGACATGTTACTCAACGTCACTGCGCTGAAGCGCGTGGGACGGACTCGAGGATAAGGGCTGACTTGACGTGAAGGCTATGTGTTCGGGCTGTGTTCCGTTGGATTTTTGCCTACAAGGCTGAGGAAACGCCAACGTCTTCAGTGTTTCCTGCCCTGTGAAACAATTCTTGGGAGCACAGCACATGCAAGCATGCTGTGCATCGTATCTTCTGTTTCATCTTCATAGATGGGCCACAGGGCAGAAGTCTGCGAGTGGCAGCCCCTCTTCTCCTGTGTACAGAACCAGCAAATACAACTCCCCAGCTTGACATCGTGAGCATTGCCCAAATTCCCATTGCCATAGAGTGCTATACACTGTGTATCGATCTATGACCTTACTGCAATGCAAACTTGCCAATAATACCAGACCACTTATTTCCAGTCGTTGAAGTCGCATTCCTCAACGGTCAGCTTCAGGATCAGGCTTCAGCGAGACGGCGGTCCAACAACGTCTCTAGAGGTAGCCAGGGGCCCTGTCCTCGCTTGCTCACTTGGCCGGCAGCGGCACAAAGGTGCCGTACCCACGCAGACGGACACTGGACACTGGACACTGGACACTGGACACTGGACACTGGACACTGGACACTGGACACTGGACACTGGACACTGGACACTGGACACTGGACACTGGACACTGGACACTGGACACTGGACTCTGGACAGCTCGCTCTTGAGTCTTGACTCTTGACCCTGATAAATTTAGCTGGTGCTCGCTTAGCTGACTGTAGGTAGGCCAGGTAGGCAGTCTGCAGTCCAGTCCAGTCCAGACTCTGATGTCAGCAAGCAGATTACATTTTGCTCCGGACCAGTCAGTCGATTCGTGACGGGCACAAGAAACGGCTTGGCCAGCTTGTGCCCTCGTGTTCGTATGGACTTACTGCTGTCCTTTGATTTGAGGACTTCAATAGCCCAGTAGTCTTCTTCAAACGGGATGGTCTTTACAGTAGAAAAGATGAAGATCGAGAGGCAATCGAGGAGCACCCCGGGGCCGGATCGGCATGTCTCCGTACATGCACCGGGGCTCGCATCCCAGATGCTGCGAGCCTGCGAGACGAGACGATATGGGGAGACTTTCTCCTATCGCAATCTTATCTATCACTCCTTTTTCAAGCGAGTGCGGTCTCTCTGGTCAACCCATCAACCAGTCAATAATACAAACAAGCCACAGTCACAAATGACCAAATCTATCAGCAGGTAGATCACAGCTCCATCACACGAGCAATTGCCCAATCCCAAGCTCGAAGCAGTTAAGGCCTGTCTCGCTACCACGAATTAACCATCAAAATCTTAAGCAGGATAAAATTCTGACCATCAAATTTTCCTTTTACCTAGAAAAAAAATGAAATTACATCTCACTCCAGCCAGCTCCACCCAGCCCGCCCCGAACAAGAGCTCCCAGCTGAACGGTCAACAGAAATGTCCGAACTGAACTGTGGCTGGTAGATGATGACCAACCCAACCAGCCGAGCTCTCCACTCCAGGGCTGTACTGTATCTCCGTACTGCAAAAATCCGCTCGGAACGGAGCAGAGTCTGGCCCATGCATAATTTTATGCAAGCACTTCCTGTCGATAGCCCGAAGGCTGGAGCGCGACATCCAACCAGAACGCGAGGGCGGCGTCCGGAGGCGTATGAAACGCTGAAACAAAGAAGAAAAAAAGGAAATGAGACCTTGACCACGGCAAGGGCAGGGTATGGACATGGATGGACATGGCATGGCATGGATTGTGCGAGTCGAGCCGTGAGTTTCGATGAGGGATGGGCACCAGAGCGGTCTGAGCGGGAAGCTGGATTCGGGATGGGAATGTGGACCTGGGAAATTGTGAAGGATTGGGTATTGGGTGAGAAGGAAGGAGAGCGAGCAGATGTGAAAAGGAGTTGGGACGACATGGGAAGAGGAATGGATACGAGGTACGAGTACGACCACTATGCGACCGAGTCAACAATACGCTGCCGCTGGTTTTCTCTATTTGGAGATTGAGTTGCAGTTGCTGCTATCTATTATTGTCCTGCTTATTGTTCTCCTGCTGCAGTGCAGCTACTGCATGGATACATGATTGAAGTCAATCAGTGCTAACCCAGTGCAAGCGTCCTCTCTCTCTCTTATCACTCAATACTGAAGCGCAAAGCAGCTGAAACGAATCTCTTTCTGCGGACTCTTAAGTCCTGTACAGTCAGTCTTATTCTCGTCTGATGATAATGAATCACTTTTGCGAGGTCTGATTTGGTTTTTGGCAAAGCAAGTTCAAAGAAAGTAATGCTCCAAGCAAAGCAAAGAAAGAGTTCATCTGAGTGGCAGGACTCGCTTGCTGGGAATTCGTTCCTTGTTGCGTCTTAAAGTAACAAGGAAGTCGTGAGATTAGGGAGGGCAAGTTTGAGAGAGTTGTCATCTGATATATTTCAGTCATGTTGTACTTGACTTGCGATGACTTTGGTTAGAGTGTTTAGCTTCATTGCCAACTTCATTTGGACATTACAAGACTCGTCTCATCTCATTATTTATCACAGATACTGCAAGCCTTCGCTTTGCAATTCAAGGCTGACTAGGATATCGAGATTCAACAGTCTTTTGGATTACGATTTGAAATCTAAGCAGATCAGATCAAGGTGAGTAGTCAATCACCCCCTTCTTTTGACCATGTGAAGAATATTTTCCTTTTCATTTCAAAGGCAAGATATGCATTACCCTCAGGTTTGTAAAACTTGTCCAGGAATGTGTGAGGAGGGCTGAATCCACTGTCTCATCGCACCACTGTATCTCGAGTTCGAATCTTACATGAAGAATATGTACAGCATTTATCAGGTTGCTGATTCACAAGCAGCAAATCCGCATCTACAGCAGAGATATACGGATATACCACGCAGCAATACAACTTTCTACTACACTCCATCAAATTCATTACTCATCATTAAAACGCTGCCTCCTTCCATCCATTTTTTCCATCCTCACTTCCTATACGGATTCCTATTCCCACTCATCGCCATCCTCGCCCCTGGGAACGTCTGCCCATACTCCAACATACTTTTCCCCTTCGGCAACCCGGGACAATTCCCCAACGGTGCCAAAGCTGGCATCAGCACCGTTGGAATCATGCCCAGCACCCTCGTCAACGCCGCTCCGTTGAAAACGTTATCCAAGAAGCTAGGAACATCGGCTTGGATCACCTGCGAGATGAAGCAACCCATCTTCTCTGGATCCTGGAGATCCGTAGCGGCATTGATGAAGCCACCTGAGATATCGCCGAGGTTGACGCCCGCGAAGGAGTTTACGGTTCCGGTGTTACCTCCTATGGCGCAGTTGGATGGGTAGGAAATGCATTGTTGGGCCGTGGAGATTAGAATATCGGTCAATGTCCAGGCATCGTCGTCTGCTCGTCGATACCAGTTATCTGGGATCCTTTCATGCCCGTAAGTAAACACGAGCTTGTTATTAGCGTCTCGTGTGTATGAGAAGAAGCTCTCGAAGACTTCAGGTGTCAGGAACCCACGTGGGTCTTCGGCAGAGTGGTTGGCGAGGAGCTCATACGCGAACATGTGTGCGCCGAATGTGAAAGCAATGCCTGCGTACGCTGGGGAGAAATAATAAGGGTTGGTGGCGATAGAGTGTTGTTTGCGGTTGTATTGATGCTCGGCTAGGACTTGGGGCGTGATGTTGCCTCCTGTCCGAGCTTTGGCGAGATCGAGAAGCTCTTGTGCGAACTCGGGGTAAGATGCACAATTGGAGTTCTGCGTTGGAGCGAGCCCTGATTATGAGATCAGCAATTGCGACTTGAGAGAGGGCTGAAGAAGAAAAGATGTCGAGGATATTTACAGTCACCACGAGTAATTGACGCATCACCCTCCGTCTTCAAATGCCCATACGCGCAAATCCCGGTCTGGTTCCCCAACAAGTCTCCCAAAACACCAAGACTATTCGTCTTATCCGAATGGTACCCAATCGACCATCGACCAGATACTGGGTCACCGTCAAAGAACATCGTCGCCGTTTGCAAGAACAGAGTAGCTGTCTTGTCCAGTCCAAAGGCTTCCCACAATCCAGTGTTGACGGTCTCAGCTGTGGCGATACCATCGCGTGGCAGATAGCCGTGGTTGGCTGCTGCGTTCAAACCGGCACAAGGGCCGCGAATATCACCCGGTCCAGGAGCGATGAATGCGTGCTCGCCAGATGTTGAGACCAGCTGGGACTTTGCATCGAATTTGTTGTACAGCGCGTGATAGGCTGCTCCTGGATATTCAGGGAAGGGAGCTATAGGAGCAATGCCTGAGATGTGTTAGTATTCGACAAGGAAGATCAGGAGTGGGAGGTGTCAACATACGCTCGTCGAGGTGACTCTTTGCTAATGCTTCAGCCATGTTGGGGAAGGCATTAGTGAATGAAGCCTCCAGGAGGAGGGACAGGATAATTGAACGGCCAAACATTTTGAACACCTTCCAGAAAAATCATAGATCTTGTTCTTGAATATAATAGGGAAGAGAGAGGCATATATACTGATCCCAAGATTTACCGAAACTCAGAAGGCGAAGATCAACACGCTCTTCTTTCCACATTACATTGCCGAACTAGTTCCTTGTAACCGGGTCTTGGAGGTAAACATCATGAAGCTATCGCACATCCCAATTCGGTATCGCCTGATTCCACAAGAGAGCTGGAGTAGTGCCGGAAACACCAAAACCCCAAGGACAAGTCCTGGAAGTCAGAGACGCCACTGTCGATCAGGGATCCATTCGTGGGGTCTTGGGGTCGTTCAGCGCCGCCGGACGAGGGGTAAATCAAAATCGGATGTGAAAGGCCGGGGCCAGGAAGGGAGGGCAGCACCGTCCCTAGTCAAGCAGTAAGTCATCTAAAAAGAAACACACCTGAGAAGCTTGAGCAAGCCATTTACCCGGCATATAACAGCCGAATAATGCCACTATTCGAAGTCCTCAGTCCACAATGATTAATGTCCTTCCTCCCTGTGGACAAGCCAAGCCACATTCTTCTACTTACTGCCCAAATGAAGGAGCATCTAAGCTGGATACAGCAGATGAGTGATCAATCTTGACTCGTAAGTCAATAAATAATTCCAGACTTGGTTTAGTTGAGCTGGTTTTCGGTCTTGGGTCGCCGTTTGTTGTTGGTGGAGACCCTGATCTGCAAGATCAACACTGGATGGAAATAAAGCCAAGACAATTCGAAAGGTTCATAGCGTGGGGAATAAGCATGATGCAAATCTGAGGTGGATCCAATTGAGGAATAGACTTTAAATTTACTCGAGTACGTCGTCATCTTCTTCTTGGGTGTTGATCGCGTTAACTAATAGCTACCATACCTTAGACTTACGAATCTCGAGCCTCACTTGACTCTTCCCCTCATATCCGAATATCACGTCTCCCAAAACCAGTGCATTTGAATGATACATGAAACATATTATCTCTTTCTTTATTTTCCCTCCCCAATCCTCAACTATTTGCAACAACCATCAACTCGATCCAATCCCCATTCCTTCTCAGCCAACCTCTTTGCCTTATCCCCGCTGTTGAATCAACCCCGAAAAGCGACTAAAAATAAGCTTCTTTCATGACACCCAACACCATCGAATCAACTTCGACATGTTGGCTAGCGACTAAGCAGATTCATCTTCTTAGTCTCGTTCCGTCCCGGAAGCGACGATCTCCGTCCTATGTTTTGCCCTCTGCTCTAGCTCCATCCATGTGCGATCGCACAGGTCACGACATCTACGAAGGAACTTCTCTTTCATGACGATAGATGACGATGGAAGGGCTTGGCAACACCGAGGTTACCGGTTATAAGTTTGCACGGAGGCTGACGGAGGAAGGGAGAGAAATGGAGAAATGGAAAGTGGAGTTAAATGGGGATACGAAATCGTGGGAGGAAGAAAATACCGGCAGAGAATGAGGTTGCATGATCCAGTAGTCAGCAGGATACGCTCATCTGCAGATAGATGGTAAGCAGATTGAGTGTAAATGACTGCTGTTGCTTCTCATGTACATACGCACGAGAAGCTGCTCCGTATCATACATACAACCTCCCAGTCCTACTCGGCCCCCAATCGTCAACTAATCCAGTCCATTATATTCGATCATCCTCAGCTGTAACAAAATGAATGCCGCTTTCCGATCTCCACCCCTCTTCCATTCCATTATCGGCACTCAATGACTCTGCCTTCACCTTCATGGCAGTGGGCAAGCTAACCAAAGTATCTCGGCTCGTTGAAGACGTGATATGCATGTCCTCTAACGCCCTCACCCTTGAACAGCTGCGGGAACCGCTCTCCCTCAGGAACTTGACTCTCGCTAATGCGAGCATTCCTCAAGTCTGGAGGACCGATTGCAGGTTCACCGATCTTGAACTTCCCAACTTGGATCTCAGTATCCGTAATGGTACTTCTACTCACACGCGCATACGCGGTGCGCTTCAGTCCTTTGTAGAGGATGTACTCGCACCATCTGTCCCAATCTGTTGGGTCGATGTCATGCATTCCGCTTATATCGGATACATAGGTGTTATAGTTACCTTCCCAGGGTTTGGTGACCAGGTAGGAGAGCAGGATTGATGGGCGAGGTGTGGATCCCATGAGCTTGGAGAGGTACTCAGTCTGTAGACGTCTGTCTTCGGGATCCTCTTCTTGACCAGAGTGGAAAACAAACACGTCAATCAACTCGCCGTACACATCCAATGTGGCATGGATGGCTGGTGCTAGTTCACCAACAGGTGAAGGTAGTAAGTGGTGAGTCGAATTCACAATTGGGAACTTCGACAAGAGAGCACAACCCCAGGTGTGTTTGTTAGGTCCTGGTCCGTAATCGACGTACATACCAAGATCCTCAGCTAAGAACTGAGTGGTATCTCGATTGCCCATGATAATACGTTGAAGATCAGACTCTAGAAGGCCGATTACATCGATTTCGAGCTCCTTGATAACGTCTCTCATTCGGTACTCGGAAGACCACATATCATTATCGAGCGAGAAATGGATGGTCCAGATTCCTGCCGTAAGAATCTTCTCGTCCTTGTGGTATGGCACATAGTCGTACGTTGGGAATCGAAGGTAGGCGATCGAAACCGAAAGAAGTTGAAGCACTCCCAGGACATAGAGGTAATATGAGCGCTGCTTCCGAGAGTTTAAGAGAGCATTGAAGCGCTTGCGCTGAGCGGCAGGAGTAGATGACACGGAGGAGAATACACCGCACCCAATAAATATCATCATGGTTGTCATGACCCAGTCGGTATGCTCGCGAACGAGTGGTCCACCAGGCACGAAAGCGTAAGCAACAACCCACACATGGAACAAGACCAGGAAGTTGTATGCTAGAAAGCCCAGGCCAAATGTAGTTGCAGGATTCTTTCTGGCCGCTGATCCGATCAATGGTACTGATACGGCCATAAGATAGACGGCCAGAATCAAAGCTCCATAGTATCCTTTCCAGTTACTATAAAGAGTCAACATGGCAGCGCCAACGCAGCCGATGCCATAAAATGTCCAGCTTCGAGCAATATCTTCGCTGAATAGACCCAAAATCAGGCCACCTCCCATTGCCGCGATTGTCCAGGCACCGTGAGGTGCTGAGATTGGACCTCGCACAGGATATCCCTCCCAGACCCACAATATCATCGTGCTGGAGTCAGAGAGTAAGGAATGCAGGCCAAAAAATAGCCCTGCAATACCGAGTCCGGCAAGAACAGATGATCCTTCTCTGCGTCCCTGAATTGCCAAGTCGCTACCAGCAACTGGAACCTTTCGTGTGGACCGAATGACTGCCAGGATAGCGAGGGTGAGACCCACGCCATTCCAACCCCCATTCGATGAATGAGTTGTTGGCCAGATTGGATTGCTTGTCTGCCATGCGAATTTCACGACGCTGGAAGCGATCAAACCAATAGTCCATGCAGATATTTTCGACTCCAGGCGACCTGGTTGTCCACCCTCTGAGTACCAAGTAGCTGCCCATGACAGACAAGACATCCAGACCGCGAAGCCAACGATGAACAAACGAAGGACTGGATCCGTCACCTGATATGCTAGTAATCCGGCCAGAGCTGAGAAATGAAAAATCCGAAGATTCTTCACGACGAAGGAACGCAATCGACGACTTGCAAGCAAGAATGGTGACACAGTGGACATAACCATAACCTCGTAGCCAGAGATACCCATATGCCAGAGTGGAAAATCTGAACATGTTAGAGTTGCCTTCTATACCTGCGCAGCTTCACTTACACCAAACGAGTAGTCCCAGCGAAGTCAAAGTTGACCAAAAGACAAACTACCGAATTTAGCTTGAATATTGAGATCCAGGCATAGTTCTTACCCCGTTGTAGACATCCGCAGCTGTATCGATGGCCTCGGCCCAGATAAATGATTGGTTGAACACCTGGGCTGCCTGCTTGTTCTTTCTAGATCGAGATTAGCAATCAATACCTTGGATTCGGAGTTGGTGATGTCACATACTCCTTTTCGAGGACAGCATCAGCCACCAATTTGTTGTTTCTACACAGAACATTGTTCAGAATCTTTCATAATGATTTGGTCACCGAAACATAGTATACACGAATTACTTCGGAAGCCATCGAACGTACCCCTTACTCGAACCCTTCACGTCCTTGACAACCAGTTCAAAGGTATCAAAGTCAAGGGCTGTAACAGCATCGAACCCCACATCAAACAAGATCAATGCCCATTCGAAGAAAGCATATATTGTGTACGCTAGGACTTCGGTTAATGTTTTCCACAAATAGGATGATCAACGGTCATACCTCCGGCAACCTTGTGAACTTTATGTTGGATAAAGAAGTAAATCAAAGGAACGAGAGTTCCGAAGAAAGCTGACGCCAAGTATTTTCTGTACTTGACAGCTTTCGCATTCGCAGGACTTAATGCTAGACATCCCAGCGTCCACGGAAGGGTCGCAACCAAGTATGATATCATAAAAATGTCGTGCCAGTCGTGATCATCTGTAGATGTAACATAAGTCCATCCTCCGCACGTCAACGTTCGAAATACACCCATGCCAGCCACGAACTTGGGAAGTTTTGCATTCGGTCGCGCGGTTAAGAGGTACCATAAACCAACCAGAACGAATCGAGGTCCTGCGCCAATTAGCTATTGCATATCTGCGACGCGTCCTTTCCATACCTGATGTAATAGCTATGAAAAGCATAAAAAAGGAACGCTCAGGGTACCGGTCACCTATCGTGGCAGACACACTGGGAAACCATTCCTGCGAGAGGTGTTAGTTCAAGCTCTGGATTGTCGTACGGAAGCTGTTCCGGACCTCAGGATAGCCCCAGTATTCATTCTGCACTATCTTGTGGTAATGCAACGAGACGCCAACAATGAGCGCGCTTATGAAAGCAGCTGGAGGGACTGTCAGTGACTTGAAATGCGCAATTCGCAAATGGCGACTTACAATACGCAGCTGCGGTATGCGCCCAACTGACCCATTTTCCTGAAAAGCTGAGCACGACCTCGCCGTCCTTGTCCTTAAATTTTGGTGCCATGTTGTCCGGGGGAGGATTTCACATCTAAAGGAATGGCATCCGACGAATCCGGAGGTGGTTGAGGAGAGAAACAAACGATTGACTCGAAGTGAAGCTGCCAAACAACACGCCCGGCAAGCTGCGACCCTCTTTCGGTTCGGCTTATGATGATGGATACGAAACAAAGATTGAGCAGACAGCAAATTACCCCATATAAACCGCCAAGTGCCAAGGGGGGGCTTTGCGAGGCTGAGGCGTCTGGTCAAATGAGGCCAAGCGCAGCCTGTTCACGCTATTTGGTAAGCCGCCCGCTCAGGGCGGCAACTCGGGGCAGAAACAAATTTATATTTCTTGTGCTGGGACGAGGAACGCCAAAGCCTCAAAGGCAAGTCAAGTTAAGCTCGCCAAACGGAACACCGCCATTGACCCTGCTCATAATGTCCGGCGCAGCAGACAAAGCTCGATACTACTTGGAGCAAGCAGTACCTCAGCTTCAGGAATTCAAAGAGAAGAAGATTTTCAGTGAGGTTCGTCAGCCTTGTTTGTTCTATGTACAGCTTTCAATTGCTCGAATACTAACCGAACAAACTACTACAGGATGAGATCAGGACGTTGGTAAAGAAACGATCCGACTTCGAACACAAGGTTCTTGCCAGAGGATCGACACCAGTAGACTTCGCTCGATATGCTGCTTGGGAGATTGGTCTTGAGAGTCTGCGACATAAGCGTTGCAAGCGAATGAAGATAAAAGGTAGCACATCGCATACCGGCCAGGCAAGGATATTCAAGATTTTCGATAGAGGGACCCAGAAACACCCAGGCGACGTTGCGTTATGGATGTCATATCTGGAGTACTGCAAGCAAGCCAAGGCTACCAAGAAGTTCAAGACTGTTTTGACCGCAGCAATACGGCTGCACCCACTCAAGGCGGAATTATGGCTTTACGCTGCGAGATGGAGCTTGGAATCAGAGGCAGATATGAAGGAGGCGAGGAGTTATATGTCGAGAGGAGCACGATTTTGCACAATGAGCAAGGATCTATGGATTGAATGGGCAAAGCTGGAGATGATATACCTCGCTAAGATAGCGATGCGGAGAAAGATTCTGGGTATCGATGTGGAGGAGGTTGCAGATAATGCGATGGATATGGAGAGGACCGAAAACGACGCAGCTTTCGGATCAGAAGATGTGATCGCAGTCCCAAATTTCAAGATGAACACAATACGACCAAGAATGTTGGAGGGTGTCCAGGTCGACAAGGAGGCCGCTCAAGACCCGATGAACACTCCAGCATTGCAAGGAGCCATCCCACTCGCTATTTTTGACGAAGCAAAGAAGCAGCAATTTTTCAATCCATCAGTTGCTGCCGATTTCTTCGACATGTTCGCACTCTTCAGTCAAGTCAGGTGCCTTCCGAAGATATTACAGCATGTCTTGGATGTACTGACCGAAACGTACCCCGAAGATCCCTTCACATGTAGTTGCTACAACAAGCAACCTTTGGTTGGTATTGATCCGATATCGCCACAGTTCCCAGCTGCTCTTGGGACTTTCTTGGACAGATTAAAGGAAACAATGGGGAAGACGAAAGACAAGGCGACGCTGGGGAGGAAGACCAAGGCATGGATCGAGCCGATATTGGCTCTGGGCGAGCTGGATCCCGGTATCAAGACTGTGCTAGAGCACACCCTGCGGAAACTATGAGCAGTGAAAAATCAACGAACATGATCAAATTATGACCTTGTTAAGTCTATTGGTGCACTATGCCATTCCTTTGAGCCTCTTCCACTTGCAATGAATTCAAAACATCAGCGAAAGCCTCACTGCTTAGACGTCTGCCGTTCACTCCGCGTCACTCATTGTTCTTCGCATTGCCCTTAAGCCATTAGCTATCCCACATAGGCATTGGTCACGCTTCTTGTGAAGTGCTGATTGCTTTTCTGGGTATTGAAGTTCCGATAATCTCTGATAACTGCTACACATAGCTGTCGACTGGCAACCCCAAGACCTCGCATTGCTCTACTTCACCATACACTGTCTGATAGCTCGGCCACTGTAATCTCCTCATTTCCAAATCCTTTACTCTTCCCTTAACTGGTTGCCAAACACCAGCTCTTTTGATTTCTTCCATGGTGGTCTCAAACCCCCTGGCCTTCAAGAATTTCAGATCCGGATTCGGATTCCCAGTCCTTACAAAGCTTGTCCATGAGTCCACAGTGAATTGCTCGAACTTCAGGTCATCCTCGTCCCGACACGGCAAGCCATTTCTCGTTATGGTACCGAAGGTGTAAAATATGTCTGCAGAATGACATTTAAAGTACTCCTTGCGTAGATCGCCAAGTGGTTTTCCTGAAGTCGATGGTGGGCTACAGACATTATTCGCCGTAATCCAGAGAGGGGGCTGGTATGACCTGTTGAATTCGTAGAAGTATACATTCGGGTGATTGAAAAGTCTGTTTTGCACGCCGGCGTACATGGTAGCTGCATCAAGACAGCCGAATGTTACATCTGTCGACACGCGTGCTGTGACGTTAAAGAGATTTAGCAAGGGGTCTGAGCCTGAAGGCAAGGGGAATTTGTCGGAGGATATCACTGCATCAGCTTGTGTTGCGAAGCCACCGTTGATGAGATTTGTTTTCAGATCTCCATTTGTGGGGTAAGGTGTGAATGAAGCTGAGTCGTCTCGAACTGTACCCATCATGACGTTGACTTTGGCAACAGGTGCTGAACCATCGAGCATGAGCCGATCTGTCGTCAGATATGCTCCGTCTTTAGTGAAAACGTTGACTTGTGCAGCGAGACTTGCAAGTTTGCTGGCTGGTAGTGCTCGCAGACATTCAAGCTGCACTCTTTTGTCTCCATCTCCAGTACAATTGGCTTCTACGAGGACTGCTGAGGTGAATTTCTCAGCCACGGCTGCAACATCGTAGTAATTGGCATACGAAAGACCAAAGAGCGGACCAGATGTATAGCTTTGAGCAATCAGCCCAACGAACTTTCCGGCGGCTTTGGGAGAGCCGAGCATGCTTGTGGCACAAATCGCTCCATATGATTGTCCAGTGATGGTTATCCGTTCTGGATCTCCTCCAAAATCTCGAATATTTGTTCGAACCCAATCGAGAGCAGCAATTTGGTCACTAAATCCCCAGTTCCCATTCGTGATTCCGTCATTCAGCGCAAGATTTACGAAGCTGCCCCCTCTGTAGTTGAAGGTGACAGCTACGACATCCCCACGAGATGCTAAGCTGGTGCCATCTATTCCTGTATCACTGCCACTACCTCCTCCCCCGTGGATATGAAACAGAACGGGCTTGAGTTTTTTGGTGTTCTTTCTTCTGGATAGAGGAAGGTAAGGTGTCCAGATATTGAGGAACAGACAATCTTCCGAGCCACCTTCTTTCTTAGGATATACACAACTCGGCCCATATTCCAGTGCTGGTTGCTGTTTCTCTGTTGTTCTGAAAGCCGTTGAGTATGTGAAGCGCTTAGGCTGTGCAGCGAATCTTATTCCGAGAAATTTAAAAGTGACCCGGTCTCGGAAGCTGTGATCCACCTGTCAGCAGAGAAGCTCACGAGAGAATGTGTAGAATTATTACCCTGTGACAAGCGAACTGCTTGATTTCACGGATACCTGCCATTTTTCGCTGCTGTCCTTGTATGTTGCGTTCGAGAACGGTGCAGTTTGTGTACACAGAACCGGTAACTTCGAGCTACCAGAAAATCTCTTGACTTTGCCCTTGCCAGTGATTGTACGCAGACCATCTGAAGTTGAGGAGATGAAATAGTCCTGATCAACGTCATATTGCTCTTGGTATACCAGATAATTTAGATTGATTGGAAAGAAACCTGTTTTAAGATCAGGAGCCCACAATTGTTCCCCAAGCGCTATACATGCTGATTCTGCATCCCGGGACGAGGTTGCTGAGAGAAGTAGCACTCCTGAATCTTTGTGGTTACTTTGTTTTCCTAAAGTGGAAGAAGTCAATCCAGCGAACAAAAGAAGCAATGACCACGCCAAAACCAAAGGTTGGAACTACCTTGAAGGTCGTCATGGATGATAATTGTGACATCAGAATCCAGATCACTCGATGTAGGACCAGAATTGACTACACAAAGTGTGGTAAGCAACACAGTCAAAATTGAGAGACATAACATGCTGAGCAATTTCGAGGGACGGGGAGCTATACATCCATTACAGGTTCTGAGGTAAGGGAGGTCTTTCAATATATGGGTTTAGCAATGTGCTCGTCTATTTTCTTAGTTCACTCGTATGTGTACCTCGTCAAGTGACCGACAGGATTCGTCTTCACGACGAGCATCGGGTAAACAGATACGCGAGACGCACATTAGGCTAAATTTGTGTGGCACTGCCCAGGCATGAACCTCTAACTCAATCATAGAATCTCTTCTTCGCTGATAATGATATGGTATCCGTTCCCTTGAATTGCCAACGGGAAGTGTTCCGCGAAAGAAGCCCTTGGTTTGAAGCGCAAGGCGCAAGGCGCAAGGCGGGGTAATGGTGAAGGTACATCGTGAACCCCAGTAGATCAGACAAGGCGGAACTGCAAGGAAAAATCCCACTCATCAAGGATTACTCTCAAATGGTAGGTATATTGAATCTAGCTCTAGCCTCCTAAGCCGTACTTTTATTCTCCTTCGATTTTACTAACGAAGAAATAGATGACCTGGCCTCGATCTCGTTCTTTGGACAAGGCAAAATATGACATATAGCCCCGAATTTCTTTGTATTGTTTTCTCCAAAAAGGTCTATTTTATATTTCTGGCACACGCGGTCCAGTCTCGGTAAGAATTGTAACAGTCACAAGCCTGGTGGCAGATCAGATAACGATGAACAAAGTACAATGTCTGAGGGTACTGGAGAAGTGGAGTTGTTGACTATTGGCAAAGTTGTCAGCTCACACATTAGCCAAGAAAAAAACACACTAAATGCCGTGGACTACAAGTTTCCTTGGGCCGTGATGTGAGCAAAAGGACGTAAGAAAGTGGTCGAGTGAGTTGACGCGCAGTTGAAGGAAGAGGATGCGAAGAATCTCAATTTTGACCCTCCAAAGGTCCAGTTTCGTCAATTCCAATGATTGAGAGATAGGGGTGGGGGCAGGGCCACAATCCAAATATTCAATGATGATCTTTGATCCTAGAAAAGAAAGAGTACAGGATGGATGGAAGCAACTTGGGAGAGCGACTACTTGCATGCCAATAATAACCTTGCAATGGCAGAACCTTTGCCTTGAAGACTGCTTCCTCATTGCTCCTGCATCGTTGCTATGAGCAGAATTATCACGCAATCTCATCAACTTTGTACGGACTTTGTGAGATCGAGCCCGAGGATACCCATATTCTCATTTACATTTAGCCGCAAAGTGGTCTCTATCTTGTAGCTCTGACAGTGTGGAAAACAGATTAGTCCCTTGCTTGGTCCATTACTCCGTTTCCTGCTCGATTTACCTATCAAAGTACAACTAATCGGTTCAGCTTCATTAAGACTTAAAAGCAATCAACCGAAGACTCTGACGTGCACACCTGATTATTTGTTCTACAGCTTTCGAAATCACCTACGCAGTGATTAGACCTGCCCAGTAAACAATTATCATCAAACTCGTTAGCGAGGGTCCGAGCTTTTCCAAATTGTATAAAACCTCTCAACTCGATCATCCTGTTTCTCTTTCCAACGCTCTCTATAGCTCGCGTCGACGTTGTAGATCTTAGATCACATCTATTCAAAAGATTCTTTTAACATCCTTGATCTATTCTTGTTTTGCAGTCAACTATCGATCGGGAGAGCCCCTTTCCAACGGGCATGCGCGATCTCCCACCCTTGATCTTCGACTTGACTCCTCTCGCTTGACAAGATCTACTGTCAACAAACACCACTCAACTGTCAACCTGGATCGGATTCCTGTCTCTTCAATTTTTCTCCAAACTTTCTCCAAAGGCTTTTCGATCTACTAAGACCTCAGACATTCCAGGGCCTTTGCCTTTGAGTTCATAGGAGTCTCCAACCTAGGCACACTTCTCGATCGTTCCATCCTTGATCAATAATGAGTCAGAACAAGATCAAGATCGACTTGAAGCCACTTATGGCAAGAAGTCTGCTGTACCAAGGAAATCTAAAAGCAAGTCAAACTGCTGTTAAGCAACTGGTAAGTCTCCGTGCTACTTTAACAGCAAGTCAACCTCTATCTCTGACACTTTACAGATTCAAGACAATGAGAGTAAGACTTATGCTCGCCGGGGAAGACCGGTTTCGGATGGTTTAGATATTGGATTCGGAAAGGTAGCTGACGTGTCGCCTTCTCAAGTTGCGATATTTGACTGACTTGGGAATAGCTGGGCATTTATCCGGCCAATGAGGCTAGAATTTCGGCCGCCAAGAGAGGCGCCTTTGAGAAGTATCGTAAGCTTCCAGCCGAGTATGTACTGTTGTCAAATCTCTTCCTTCTCAACCATCTTCAGAGATGTAGTTATCAGGCAACGTATTATCTTTCTCGAGCATTCGCTGACTATCTCATCATCTAGGCTCCGCCTCAAAGTAATCAAAAGCTCCATTATGAGAGCCAATGCAACCGATAGCCCAAGAGTCGTTGAGATTCTCTACTACGATATTTCCAGGGGTATCGGTACCGACGGCTGGCCTTACCACAAATCCAATCACAAGCACAAGGTCTACTCCAAGAACCCTACTCTCCACCTTGTTGACAGAGAATTTCGGGACGAAGCACTCAAGACCTGGAGCGTTCGGATCGATACACGAAATGGAGAGTGCTACGCTAGACTCGACCGAGACAACACCATTATCTACATCTCGTACACCGAATTGGACGATGACAGTGATCCGCTGGACATGTACGGTGACATGCTCAATCCCGATATATGCTCCAAAATCAAGCACGTCGCCATCGATTTCGAGATGTGGAACTGCCACAAGACCATTAACCCACTCCAAAAGTTCACCGCTCTCGAGACTTTTACATTCGTCGTCCACGATGCAGCTTGCTGTGCTGATTGGGAGCCTGAAAAACAGCCTGTCGAGTTTGAGATCGTGTATGTTGATGAAGATGACTTGGAGGAAGTCAGACCAGAAATCCGCCTTTGGGATGACATCGAGCACCTGGTAGAGTTGTGCACCAAAAACAAGGTTAATAATCCTAAGTACAAGGTTCCGGTTGTCAAGACCGCTATAATGTATTGCGATGACAATGCTTGCTGTAACTCTGTTGAGAGTGTTGAGAACCACTTAGTTGACGTCTTGGCTCCTGATGGAGGACGCTCTAGACCTTGATGGGTTCCGCTGCAATCGAGGACAAGTCTCGCATTGAGTAGGACTTGATGACTTCTGGTGGCGAAGGTTCTTGGGATTATTAACCACTCATCAGAGTTCTTTGTTCCCCTGGATTCTGCTATTACTAGGCTCATGCACTGCAATGGTTCTTCTAGCACCATTTTGTGCCTAAATCTTTTTCCCTTGCACAAACACTTTCATGTATTTTGCGAAATCCCTCGTGTTGCTTGTCACCGAGAATCGGTTCGCTGTTGAAGAAACTGGCAAGCAGATTGTCTTCCATTTAAAAAAAAACTCGCCAGATCAAGGGCTTAGGTTGAATGTCATGCGAAGCAGATTATGAACTGACGTGGAAATGTGAGAGAGGTGAGCGGTACATTTCTATCCACAGATATGGTCGCAGAATATTCCCAAACGAAGACCGATTCATTCTCTTCCGTTTCCATTGCCCGCAAGAACATGACAATGACACAAGTGAGGATGGTGTAAGACTTGACTTAGTGAAGCCAATATTTAAGCGAGGGCGGAACAGCATCAAAACAAACAGTGAGGAAAGCAGTCAGTGACATCACAACAGATTTCCAATTTCAGGTCAGGTACATTTATCAAGCCATGCATTCGTTCGGCTACTCAGCATCACATAGAATACATCCCGCAATTCTCCTTCTTCCAAGTTTCTCCACCCCTTTTGACAACCCCACGATTCTCGACTTCATCCTTATCAAAAACCACGCACGCTCTTTCACTCCTACCACTCACCTGGAATTCCACAGTGCCGAAGCAACTTTACTTTATAGCGATCATCCACCCACCCGTCAGCCACAAATACCACGTCCAGCCAGCCAACCCATTGATCCATTGCATTCATACCAGACCAAGCCAGTGCAGTAAGCCACCCCAAAAAACATCGACAGACGATGCAGATCGTATCATATCATCCGTGCCGTGCCGTGCTATTCCATGCCATCTTACGCGCCGCCCAAGCTCTGCTCTTCCCGAAAACAAAAAGCAGCCCATTCGAAACCCGCGCCGGAACCTGAGGTGAGGACAGATTCGTAAATGCAACGTAAGAAGGAAAATATAATATTAATGAAAGGAAAATGTCTGGGATCGTACAGATTCACAAATTAACTAAATTTTGCCTGCCATGTTCATTTGAAAAGGCAGACGAGAGAACGATAGCAAACCTCCCTGGTGTTCGCGAGCGAGGGAAAAGAAGAATAAATCATTGACCTGGCCCGACACCCGCAGATGCCGCCTCCCATATGTACTTGGCGCCTATTGCCCGCTCATCGTAATCCATGCGTAACGAGTGTGATGCCAAGGGTGGTGTTCTATTCAAATCCATATAGGCGGAGAACGAGTGTTTCTATCAACACAGGAGCCATCGGATCATGTGTCCATCCACTCGACTCTTGATGATTGGTGCTGATGTACATCCTTATCCAATCCAACGTCTCGTCACCTTTCAATACTCTCTGGACTCATCATTCCCACGGCACTGACATCGTCTTTCTCTGTGTTACTCGCGTTGCCCTGGGAACTTTCAGCCCTTTCCATAGAGACAGGCCCGCCATTGGGAAGAACTTTGAGTTTCTTTGCCGATCCCACACCTGGCTTCTCTGGGCTACCATTGACACCAGTCTTTGCGCCAGTCGCGGGATCCACAGCTGTGCCGTTGTCAAGCTTCTTCTTTTTCTTCGAGTTACCCGACTGCTCCTTCTGCGGTCGCTTTCTTGGACTGGTGATCTTTCCTGTGGGTCCGAGACGAGGCCTGGATGGCCTTTGCTTGACGGGTAGTTCTTCGTCTTCGAGTAAGGGAACGTCTCCGTTGGCATGAAGTTTTGCAAGAAAGAAGTTTTTGACCAAACCAATCGCACCTTGAATATTATCAATGGTAACAGGTTCCAGTGGTGGTAAGGCGTCGAAAATCTCCGCAGAAGCATTCTGTACAACAGCGCTTGGTTGACTCTGGTAAAGTCTGGTGTGGAGGAGATGTAGAGGCACAGACAGACTAGACATCCCAAACTCACTATCCAGACCTAGGGCCTTGAATCCGAAGAAATCTTCACCAAGCTCTTCGGCGAAGTCGCCACCTACGAATTGCTCGCTACCATCCTTAAATGCACCAGATCCATCAGCCCCTCCATCAGCGAGTGCCGGTCGAAGCAGATCCGAAAGATGAGCCTTCATGCGATCGTGCATCACTCCCAGTTTAGTACCAAGACGTTCGATGTCATCTTTCACGTAGTTTTCCAGACCCTCAACATCCATACCATTCTCGCTGAGGGTGTGAAGGACCACTTCTTCGTCGGTGAATCGTGGCTGCCATTTCGCGCTTGTGTCCGGCGGTGCTGTAATTGCCGGAATTTTCGGCGTTTCTCGATAAACAATGAAGGACTGTGCAAGTTTGGTAAAGAAATCCCCCGCAATATCAGTGATGACATCCAAAGCACTTGGCTGTAGCTCTTCAAAACCAGCATGATAACAGAGCTTCGCAATAGAGCGTTGCATAGCGGCCTTGCAGACCCATGTTGCCATAATCGGCCCGTCATCGGAGGTGACATGAGGCTCAATATCGGCTTCTATGAAAGGTTCCGGCTCGTACTTGGGAAATTGATTATTGTACATCTAAAAATGTCAGTACTGAGAATCTCACGCCATAGCTAGAACCTACTTGTGCCTGCAACTGCATCTGTTTGATGACGCCAATTTTTGAGCAGATTTTTCTCGTCTCTTGCATCTGCCTCATATTGGCTTCGACTCTCTGAGCCAAAACACTTTTGGGCGCTTGGAAGTGACCACTAGGAACCATTCGAAGAAATTCTTCTCCTCGATCTACAAGTTGACCATCCGCATCTTCGATCCACTGTAACTTGGGGTTGATTTCCGGAATTGCTGAGAGATAGTCGTAGTAATCGGGGATCATCCGTTCTTCTTCACCTTCCATACCTTCAGCCAGAGTCTCTACTCCCTGAATGGCATCTTTGGTGTTTCCGTTGGCACTCGAGCTGGAAGGATCTGTTTGTGCTTGCTTTTGTTGACGAAGCCACCTTCTCATCCCTGCCTTGGAGCGAAGCAACGCTGGTTCGTCAGGGTTGAGTTTGTCTCCTTTAAACAGTCGGTTTCTCTCCTTGGCTATAAGTGCTCGGTCTTTCTTCGTCACTTGCTTCCAGATCTTGTACTCCTCGTCTTCTCGGAGGTCATCCGCAGCAGCACCGAGGGCCTGGCCGAGTGATATGCCGTTGATCGATGGGCCATCAATATCTCCATCGGCTTGACTCCCATGTCCAGCGACTCCATTGATTCCACTAGGCGTTATCGATCCAACTGGTGGGGTTGCAAAACCATTCTGGCTGCCATCGAACCCAGCTTCAGATCCGTCGTTCCCAATGCTGCCAAGTAAGCCATTGAGCTGGAGAGTTGGCTTTTGCTCAACGCCAGGTGTGCTTTCTTCCCGAGCCTTTCTGACCTTTGTGCCTTTTGCTCCTGTTCCAGCTTTGCGTCCTCGAGAAGACATGATTGGTTCATCGTCACTGTCGTCACCGGCATCATCTTCACCTCCATTCTGCTTGCGACGCTCCTCGGCTTCAACTTCAGCCCTCGGTCGAATTACAAGATCCGGAATCAGAGGTACTAGCTTTTCCGCTTCTTTCCTCATCGAGTTTGCATTTCGCCTTAATGGGTGCTGTATGTCACCGTTGTACTTCAGACAGTTACTCCATATCAGGTCCAGGTCGTCAACAAACTCTTTCTTGGATTTGTACGTCAAAGTTTTGAGCTTCTTGGTCATAGTTCCCAAATCCATAGGATGCTTGATGACTGGTTCTAGTTAGGTACTGTCATCGGAAGTGGATTCGGTATTTCTTACCATTGTAATAATCTGGGGCCTCTCGTTTATTCACGCGGGTGAGAAATGGAGCTGAATACTCTGTCATGGCCTTGAGTTCACTCAGGACCTTTTCCGCAGCTTCGTATAGTTCCTCCTGGTGTACATTCTCCTCACTCGCCCATTTACTTCTATTCTTCCGAACTTCGTTCATTAATGAACGCAACTCGGCATCCGAGGCTCGAACTTGATCGCGCTTCAGGTCGATCCGCGCAATAAGATGCTTCAGTGTCAAACTCGAGGCACCCAAATTGGCACTGCTCAAGGATCCGTGATGTTCACCATTTGGACCATTAGCGTTATTGGTATTTCCTGAGTGATCCATTTCCGCATCAATTTGCTTCTCGGACTCCTCCAGCTTCTGCTGTTCTAGCATAGCGATGCGGTCGTTCTCCAATGTGTAGAAAAGTGTATGGAAGCTGCGCTTTGCAGCCTCCTCTGTAGCCTTCTTGGCTTCCTCCAACTGCTTGCGCGCATCTTCGGAGGACTTGGGTTCTGCCGGCGCTGTAATATCTTTATTGGATTCGGCCTGCTTGGTCGGGGATATGTCCGAGGACACAGGAGAACTGCCGGATTTCGAGGGGGACAGTAGGGCATTTCCATTCTTGTTCTTCAGCGGTGATTCCTGACCTCCATCATCTTCATCGTCTTCGTCGTCGTCATCGTAGTTGTCCTCATCGATGGTCCGCGCAGACTTCTTGGGTGCTTGCTCAACCGCGGCAGCTTCCACAGCGGTGGATTCCTCTATCGCCAATTGCACATCCGCCGCCGAGTTATCCTCCGCGGGATCCTGTTCCCGCAAGCCTTTATTGCCAAAGAGTCCCGCGATTTTGGCTTCTGATCGCAGATATAAATCCTTGAAAAGCTGCCGCTGGGTTTCGGACTCGTCCGCCATGCCATCATCGAGGCCGCCCGCAATACCGGGGTCGTCCATTATAGCATCATCGGCGCCCGCGACACTGGGAGTCGAGCTGTTGTCGTGATAGCGCAGTAGAGACTTGTTGCTGTTACTGTTGCCCAGAAACTGCGATTTCTGCCATGATTGTCCATTCGATGTTCGCGACATGATATCCCCTCATGAGCGAAGCGTTGGCAGCCACCAAGGGTGGATTTCGACGTGAAAGCTCCTTCAACAGGGTCTCAGGGTTGTTGTCCTCATCGAGTCCTAATATGCGAAGCTCGAAAACGGATGGATTTGATGGTATGGCGCGTCCCTGATGAATCTCGTCGCGACGAGCTTTTGAGGTGTCGTTGAAGTCGGGCTGCAGCCGACATCAGCCAGGGGGCAATGAGGTTAGCGCATCTGTCAAAGTGCCGAATTCATTATGGGCATTCAAGACAATACATGTTAATGATTAATTATGCAACACAATAGCAATTATGGACACATTTCCCAATCACATACGCTTTCCAGAGCCTTTTTCTTTCAGTTCGGGGCTTATTATTAAAGGCTCAGATCGAGATCATGGCCGGCCACTTGCAGAAAGTTCGCTTATCGGAAGGCTGAATATGACAATGGCACATGGCTGGGACAAGTCAAAGGAACAATGGTACCGCTGTTCCATGTTGCAGAGATACTTGTGCGGATCATTACATCTGGAGACATTCCCGTGCTATAATTCATTTTCCCCGAAGACCATGAAGCGACATACAGTGTCAGTAGGCATCGGCTGTTGCAAACCCGTATGACATCTTTCCTCGCAAGCCACGTTCACTGCGCCAGCTCCTCACCTAACAGCTTCCCTTCCCTCCATACAGCTCCAGCTACGCCAACAATCAGAGTCTCCAACGAAAGACACCTCCGAGACTTAATACCAGAGCCTGGGGCTTGAACCATCAAGAAGTAAACTAGCTTCTACCTTGTCCTCCAACTCCACCACCAGCCAACTTGGGTGCCTCCTCAAACAACCACAATTCTACTCTACCTCCAAGTAGCCTCAAATATCCTCACATACCGCTTCTGCTTCAGCACTGAGAAACACTGAAATGCTAAAAGCCCTTCCACAATCATAAACACACAATTTCATCATGAGAATACGACTTCCGTTTGCCGGTTCGTTCCCTCTCCACAGCCCAACCACCCCTCAAGCAAACACAGAGCTGACTTTACAACCCCAGGAGCATTCCTCTTCCTGGCAGCCACAGCAGCCTACGCTGGCCTCTCCTCCCTCCAAGTCAACTCTCTCATAAATGACAAGGTCCTCCACTTCGTCACCTTCTTCATCCTCACCACCTGCTTCTACTGGATCCTCGACACCTCCCGGCGCCGCACCCTCAACCTCACCCTCGTAATCTGTACTGGCCTCCTAGGCGTCGGCTCAGAGTTTCTACAAGGCTTCCTACCCAATGGCCGCGAATTCGACTTCTACGATATAGTGGCCAATGTGGTTGGGAGTTTGGGTGCGCTGGGCTTGAGTTCATGGTATCATTTGCGCATGTTGGAGAGGAAACGATTGGCGAAGCATTATCAAGTTGTGCCTGGAGAAGAGGATCTCGAGCTTGGTGAGGGTGTCGGCGCGCAGGAGAGTGGGGAGGTTAGAAGGGAGGGAGGGTCAACTGTGGTGCCGAGTAGGACATTGGACGAGGAGGTGGATAATTGGGATGAGAATCTCGAGGATGGTTGGGACGAGGATGAACATACTGCTGGTACGGACAGTGCGGAAGGAGAGGGATTGAAAACGCCCAGTGCGAGTAGCGCTGGTGACGTGGATGGCGAGGCGAAGAAGAGGGCTGATTGATGATGTGTTACGATATGATGTATTGCCTTTCTTGGCCGGAGTTTGGAGCGGATCTTTTCACGTTTTTCCATTCAAGGGTTCAAATAAAGCACGGGTGGGATGTTCAAGTATCAACTTATCTGTACGCATGTGCTCCGCGGCCGAGGCCATTCGACTGGAGTTCTGTAAGATGCAAACAGTTTCAATCAACTCTAAAGCGCCCGCGCCTATGTTCTCAGTGCCCATTGGAACATGCAAAATTCCAGTGCGCAAAACATTGAGTAGTGTAGCAAGCGCCTCCTGAGGCAGTCAATAGGTTCAGCCTGCTTCGAATGGACCTCTGAGGGTTTGTTGGTTGAGGAAGATCTACAGGGCTTGCCACCATTTAGGAGTTTATGATTCGCAAAATTTCATTGTCTATCAAGCAATCTGGAAGACTTAGCAAGATTCCGATTTCCAGGTTTAACATCACCACCCAAAACTCTCGTCATGAAACCAAACCTCCCTTCCCCTTTTAACCCACACCCCGACATGCTTCCTCAACTCCCTCGCCATACTCTTTGGCCCACAAACAAGAACAGCCACCCGCTCTTCCCTTCCCATCCTGAACGCCTCATTCACAATCCCCTTCAAATCTGGCCTTGTCCTCCCTCCTGTGACCCTAATACCCTTGATTTCATCATCTCTCGCCAAATCTGCCATTTCCACGCTGCCATCTACAGGCAAGAGTTCTTCATCACCATGATTTTCCTCAGCGAGAAACCCACTCGTGAGATATATCTTCAGATTGTCGTCTTCAGGCAGAGCATCTCCAGCTTCAGCATCAATCGCCCAGCTAGCTTCGGCAGTCGACCGCATCGACCAAGCGAACGTCGCTCGGTCTGGACTCTTGCCTTCAGTAACAAGCTGCTCTTTCAGAGAAGTGTAAATCGGCATGATGAAGGTGGCGCCTACACCACCTGCCACCAGCACAATCCTGTCATAGTCTCTCGCCAGGTTCGGGAAATGCCGACTTGACCCTAGGGGGCCCTCGATATTGAGAGGTGGGCGGGCTTTATTTAAACGAGAAAGATTATCAAGTGCTTTCGTCGTTGGGCCCTTCAATGTACGTAGTACGAGAGTTACCCCGTTCTCCGAGACGGACGCAACGGTAAATGGGTTGTAGCAGAGGTCATGGATGGACGGAGAACTTGTCTTTGCTGGTGTGCTCTCCGCTGGGATTTGCAAGTAGACGTGTTGGCCTGGAGAAGCTGCAAACCTGTGAATCTTGGACTGCGGGACTGGGATGGTGAGCTTGACGAGCTTGGTGTTGGGAATTCCTGTGACAGTTGCGAATCCTGTAAATGTGTCGAGCTTTCTGCATACAATGTCAAAGACGAATAATGCCAGGGCCTCGACCACGTATATTCGCAATGGCTTAGCGTGGAAGAAGAGGAGTGGCATTAGAGTGACTCCTATGACAAGATGGCATACGAAAAAGGCTCTGTAGCTCCATCTGCGGACGGTTTCTAGACTTGTTGTGACGAGGAGAGTGAGCATTGAAAAGCCAAGTACGCCAATGATGACAACAGGAGCTGCGAGACGCTTTTGTAGGACCCCTACTTGGACGAAGAAGTTCATATACCATGATGCGTGGCAGACTAGGATACCGTATATAACTCGGCCGGAGACTCGATGCCATCGGTTGAGATCTTCGTGGGAGGCTTTGAAGGCGAGTGCCAGCGGTGAGTGGAGCGACTTCATAGAGAGCATGTAGTGTAATGGTAGCTGGGAAGCTGCTATCACCCCGAATCGCTTGGTAATATGGAGGTAATCTTTGATGTATTAGCAAACATTGTTTTGATCTTTGGACTAAGAAGGCGCCGGTGACCAGATCGTGACTGGGCATGATGTTGCAGGATCCGTTATCAAATAAAATGCAGCTTTCTCAGAAACAGTGCAGTATTCGGGTTTATGATGGGATTTCCGAGCGGCAATGAAGCAAGTAGACAGAAGTCGAGAAAGTGGCTGGACCTTGCCAGGGACCCCGTAGAACGCAGAAACATGACAAAATGAATATAATGGAATAAAAGAACATACCATCACCCGTCTCTTTCACACACAAATACAATAAATGACACGACCAAGTAATCCCAACAACCCATTGACCTCGAATTCCCCAACCCTTCGCAATCTCTCCTCCCAACCACCACTTAACTTCTCTCCACTTCGTGACCAGACCCCCCCTCCTAGAATCCCTTTCACGCTTCGAAACCGGCGAACTTGGAACCTCAGAATACCTAACCTTCGACCTCTGCCTCGCAAATGAGACCCAGAGGGCTAATCGGTAGAGCTGGTAGCATAAGATTGGGATGAGCACGGATAGCTGCGCGTACACGCCATATCGATCGAGGAGCGTACGTCGCTCGTGCTTTTGCTCTTCTGTGAGCTCGAGGACTATTTTGTAAGGCCAACCCATTGCGATGATTGTGTATTCCAGCAGAACGGACCAGGTTGAGATGACAAGTGCTGTCCGTATATACAAGTCACAAGTCTGACCTTTGACGCAGTGAGACGTTGCTTATCAATGCTTTGGGCTCTTCAATCCGTACTCTGTCCAGGATAACTCAAATCCTTCTAAACTCGGAACAATGAAACTCTCAATTATTTGGCTTAGGCCAAGTACGATTCCTCTGAGAGACTAGTCGAAGCGCAATCGGGATTGACACAATATCTTCTCCAGAGATTGTGTGGTCTCCGAAACTCTGATACTGATTTCAGAGATGCAATTCGAAGTGTCGGGTTGGCTGAGTCGGGAAACAAGAGCTTTGGCGAGTCGATTATTCAACAGGGGTCAAGTGGACAACACAGCCAGTGCGGCTCCAAGCTAGGACCATTGAAAAGATAGATATGGGGAAAGTACAAACTGTTAAAATTCAGATCTATCATATGTACGATTCAAGGATCTAGATGTACTTGATTAAAATTCACATTAGCTTTCTAAACATATATTCAGCGCTCAGAGAATCCTGATATCAGACGTCCAGTGCTAGACCAAAGATTCCGATGCTCTCACAACTAAATCTTTCATACTAGCAACGTATATCTCAGCCCGCATCTACGACTCCATTATTACCCACGGGAGTGCTGCAAGCCCCGTTAAAGAGCGGGAACGCTAACTACAATCCCTGTAGATCTCGTCAACGTCACGAAACAATTTACTTCTTTCCACACACGTACCATGCACAAACACCAAACGTTTTCTCTGAGTGTCTTTCCTTCATTTCCTTCTCAATTGTATTACTTTTACCCTTAACCCCATGCAATGAACACAACGACCCTGCGCGGTATGCGCACCGCCTGTCATTACCAGCGCATCCGATTTGGCATCGCTCCACGAATATCTTCCTTCGGCGGTCGTTCCCAATCCCTACAATTAACATCCCTCTTGCTCTTCCGCTATGCCTCAACAAGCACTGTCTCTAGCAATAGCAAAACGGTCACCTCAAAAGCTCACCCTGTGAATGGCCCCATCACCACCCTCCCAGCACCCCTCCAAACACCCACTCGACAGCCCTCTCAATCTCTCCCAGGTTACCTCTTCACCCTTGGCAAATCCTACCTTGCCTTCTACAAAACCGGCATAAAGAACATCTACGCCAACTACAAAGCCTCACAGCCCATTCAATCCACCATCGACAAGAAACATACCTCGTCCCTGGTGGCAGCAGTCAAAGCTCGGTCCTTAAACCGCTCGGAATTTCAGCTGCTCACGCGCAATTGGCATGATGTCAAGCGTGTGCCGATGTTCGCTTTGGTGTTAATCATATGTGGAGAGTTTACGCCTTTAGTGGTTATTGCTATGACCTCAATCGTGCCTTGGACATGCAGGATACCGAAACAAATACAGTCGGACAGGGCGAAGCTTGAGGAGAGACGAAGGATATCGTTCCGGAATTTGACAGCGAAAGTGCCGGAAAAGCAAGGCGTGGAAGCTCTGAATAGGATGCAATTACTGCATATCAGTTGGAGTTTGGGATTGTCTTCTAGTGCGTGGGATTATCTTGGAGGGCAGTTGCCCGGCTTACCCACGGGGATGTTGAGAAGGAAGGTGAAAAGGAGGGTGGAGTATTTAGAGATGGATGATAAGTTGATTGAGAGGGCGGGGGGTGTGAAGGATATGGATGTCGAAGAGGTTAGGATGGCACTTGTGGAACGAGGAGTAGATGTGCTGGGAAAGGAGTCAAAGGGCTTAAAAGTGGATTTGGCTGCCTGGTTGAAGTCGAGGGAGAAGATTCCGGTTGAGAGGTTACTTTTGACAAGGTACGTTTTTCTTGGAGAGGTTCACTTGAGATACTAACCACTACCAGGCCATCAGTATGGCCCGTCAAAGCCTCGGATGTGAAAGTAAAATTATGAGACTGGTGAAATCATTCACTTTCAGAAACACGAAGATGTGATGTAATTGCTTGCGTGTTAGCAAGTGCACTGGGTGAATCTATGGATCAATGTTTGCTTTGTACAAAATTTGGAGTAGAGATCTACATCCGTAGTCGTCCGCAAACAGTGGCGTTCGCATTTGTCAGACTGGCAGAAAACGAAGAAGAGGAGATGAGTTCATGCAGGTTCACAAGAATCGCGTAACGTGGAACTGTCCTCCGATGTACCATCAAAAATTATCACAGCCGAAAATCGTGAATCTTTTTCAAATGAAACAAATGAACCACAAAGCCGGTAATGCCAAATGGCTCGAGGAAAATTTCGCGACAACAACGATCTAAACCCATCCCTAAACTCCACCCGAAGAAATCAAAAACGCTCCAGCAACGCCACACTGATATGCATGACTGTTGGCTCCCATGTAGTAAAGTGCCATTATTCATTGCCGGAATCTAGCAAGTTGAGCCATGATATTTTGGACTTGTTGCTGAGGTGCTGTTTGCGCAGGTGTTTGTGTTTGGACTGGTTGTTGTGCCGGTGCACCGTTACCGAGAAGCGAGGCCAGAGCCGGGTTAATGGCAAGATTCGCGTATGGATCAGCAGCAGGTTGGTGTTGGGGCTGAGGTTGGGGCTGAGGTTGATAGTTTTGCTGCTGAGGTGGTTGTGGTGCAAATCCACCAAGGAGACCGGCAAGATCAATCGAGGAGTTTGCGGCAACAGCATGATTGTTCTGCTGCTGTTGCGGTTGAAGAGTACTCAGAAGCTTCTGCAATGTAGCATTGTCCAATTGCCCAACCAAGCTAGCAAGGTTAGGAGTAACTGGCGCAGGAGCCGGTTGTTGATAGGGGGGTTGGACCGGAGCATACTGCGGTGGAGCGTATGCTTGAGGTTGATGGACTTGTGGCGGGGTGTGCTTTGCGCGGATGACAAGCTCAGCAGCAATTTTTGGATCAAGATCCTGGTACTCGTCGAATCGAACATTGTTCGCTCCTCCTTGGCGGTCAAAGACCTGAAGCGAAATTTTGCTCTGATTTTGAGATCTCATGTCCAGCTTCGAAACGGCATGGACACCTTCGATGATCTGTCGTCGGATAACTGCTTGAAGCGGAAGTCGTGGACTGAGGAACATAACTTCTACGTTTACACCTCGGCTCCGCATCTCAGACTCAACCCAGGAGACGAATGCCCGGTCGAGTTGATCCAGTAAAATAATTTGGACGTCAGGAACGGCTCTAGGATCGCGTCGAGGGATTTGAAGATCCTCGTCCTCCAAAGCCTCTCGGGCTCTAGGACTCAAGCTTCTCTCTCTATATCGTCCATTATCCCGATTACCATAGCCTGCAGGTGGAGAGCGGCTTCGGCGTCTCTCGCGGCCATCGTAAGAGTCCCGACGAGGAGGATACTCATCGCGACTGCGTGGATTTCCTCGGGGCGGGGTTACTTGTCTGAGAGGCCGATAATCATCCCGCATACGCAATGGGCGCCCATATTCATCTTGGCGCATGGGTTGCTGTCCAGAGCGACCGTCGTATCGATCTCCGTTCCGACCTCCTTGTGGATGGCGGCCACCACGGTCAGGCATGCTTCCTCTGGAATAGTCAGGTGATCTCGATCTACGCACAACCGTCGTGGCAGTGGATGATGTGTTACGAGTGCTCTTCTGTGGCTTCGAAATTTCCAGATCTGAACGACAGTTAGTAGATGTTTGAAACTGAATACTAAACTCTGCGACATACGCATTCTCTTCCCCCTAACTTCTGCCCCTTGTTCTCGATCAAGAGCTGCAAAGCAAGCCGAGCTGTCATGGAATTGGACAAAGCCGTAAGCTTGCTTAATCGAAATCTGAGCAATCTTTCCGTACGGGTGGAAAACGTGGAATATATCTCGCTTTGTGACCTTCTCACTTGGAAGATTTCCTGTTCAGAGACTGTCAGACGTGTCTCGAGGATCCAGAGCGCTGTTTACATACCTATGAAGAGTCGAGAGTTCAAAGGAAATCTATCCCACAGTCCTTCTGTGACATACATGCGCTCATTGTCAAGGAATTCATCGTAAACTTTCTGGACCTCCGGACCCCATTTCGCATCTATTTCATCAGCCTCTTCCTGAGATTCAACGCTTTGAGTCTGCTGACCTTGAGCAGCAGACAAACGATTGATCTGGGAACTGGAAGCTTGGTTGATGGGACTAAGTACGGAGGGTGGCGGAGGCCGGAATGATGCAGTGGGTGGAGGGGGAAGCCCGCTTCTAGGATCAGTAGACGTACCTGGAGCACCAGCAGCAATAAGAGCTGAAGCAACCCCAGGAGGTCTATATGAGCTAGCGGCGGTTGGGAGACCTGGAGCATTTGCATGATATTTTGGATGATCATCATAAGGTCGCTTGTGGGGAAGATTAGGGCGTGGAGGCAAACTCGAATGAGTGGGGAGCCCGGAGCTGGCTTTTGGGATAGACGCAGATGGCTGGGTAATTGGATTAGTGGCAGCAGTAGTTGATTCATTCTTTTCGGCATTGGCTGTAATGTTGTCCAACAGCTGCTGAATGTCTATGTCGCCACTCGCAATGGCTTCATACGTGTGAGGTGTGGTTTCTGTCGTATCCATCGGGATTGGGGCTGTACTGGCATCAGAGCCTTCGGAGGCATGGGCGGTACTTGGGAGGGTAGAAGGGCTGGGAGGGATGGGGATGGCAGCTGGGCCCGGTTGGAAAGCATTTTGGGCGATAGAAGTGTCGATTGAGGGAACAGGAGGAGAAGATAGAGTAGTCTGAGCAGGTAGAGATGTTGGCTCTGGCTCAATGTTTGCCTGTGCTATATCCCCACTATCTGCGCGTTCTTCTCCCTCAGAATCGAATGTCATAGCATAGTCGTCGCTGACATCTGAACTTTCGTTGACAATTGTATCCTTCTTCTCTTCCATTTCCTTCTCTGATTCTTCCTTGTACGCGTCGGAAAAGCTTGACTCGGCTGATGGGGAATCGGGCTTCACTGGTATGGAATCGGAAGAATGTTCTGCCGTCGCAGCTACAGCTGGGGAGGGAGGGGCAGGATCAAGGTGCGTCGAAGTCATATTGAAGATTGGGTCGGTTTGGTTTCGAAGAACAGATATGTTGGATGGCTCGACTGGATGGATTGGAAGGGGAGAAACCGGCGACAAAGTCTTTGTATGGAACTCGGGAGTCTCTTGTGGCATGAATGCTTTGCGCGGCGACACTGGAGGGCTGGTCTGAGCAATCTCAAGGCGAATGGAGCTGCAGGTAGTCGAGGCAAAGCTCCCGAACTACGATGAGAGTTTCTATGGGTAGGGGTGGGCTCAAAGCAGTGAAATGAAAGGAAAGAGAGGTAGCGAAGTAAGGGTGGGTGAGGCTGGATCCGGCGTGGAGTCGAGATTCAAGGTGACCGAGAGAATCCTTTTGGCTGAAGCGTCAGGGAAGAACAAGAGGGTTTGTTGACGTCGAGCGTCTCTTATAAAGCTGGTATTTGTGCATCAGCTAGGCATTCATTGTTGGCAAGAAGGCTTTGCTGGTTGTTCTGGTGGTTTGATTGAGGAGGGGAAAGAAGCTTTCGAAGATGACAAGCAGAATTTAATCCTTGCGCACGTTTGTCAGTTACGTTAGCTCGAGTGGTGCTTTGCCGGAACTAGACAAGCGCGTCTTCCTGCGATCTTTACCTCTGGTCGCTTCTACAAACCAGATCCATCATCAAACTCAAACTCCTCTCGCATTTCTGGCGCAGGTCCTGTGGCGATTTTTTTTTTGACATTGTCTACTGAGTGAAATGAACGCTGCATAGTTTGGGCTGGTTCTTGAGCGTGGGGTGGCAGTGGAAGGGTCACCCGCTATCTTTCACCTCCATTTTTCTTACCATCTTCTTGTCATATTTGACTTTCACCTCGTTGCAAACTTCTTTGCAATCGTTTCAGGGCTCGCTCAAATTCTCTGCTGCGATGCTTCAATGCCGCGCTATACAGTCCCTAATTCCTCAGCTTCGAGGGCAGCTTTCGCTCGCCCAAAACTGTAGAGCCCATTCATCGCATTCTGGGCACAGCGATGCTTCAGACCTCGATACTGCACGAGACTGGTTTCAGCGTTTCAATCAATCTACCATTCCGGTTAAGATAGGGCAGACTACTTATTCTCGCTCGTCGGGGCCTGGCGGTCAGAAAGTCAATAAGTATGTATTGCAGACACAGGTATTCAAATGTGTTCTGACTGCCAGCTAGAACGAGCTCGAAAGCAACTACTGTGTGGCCTCTTTACGCTCTTCAGGGTCATGTTCCGAAAATCCTCCATCAAGGTCTCCGAGATAGCAACTATTACGTTGCTTCATCTGATTCCATTAGTATTCAGTGTGATACCACCCGCAGTCAGATCGGCAACAAAGAGGAGACATATGCTCGGCTCCACGACGAAATCACTCGGATCTACAAAAGGAGAGTTCCTGGTGTCACATCTCCGGAGCAGAAACAGAAGATTGAGCATTTGTAGGTACCATTTCAACTCGCCACTGTGTAGTTTATTATCAGCAATGTCCAGCGAGTGTATTTACTCTTCTGTGGCTTATAAAATCATTGAGGTAATACCTGGACATGAGGCATTCGCTTGCATGGTAGGGATTGCTAAGGTATGAAGAACCACATATGTCAAGTGCAGATTCAACAAGATATTGAGGCCAGACTGTTTAATGTAGGAGAGAGTCAAAGCAATCAAATCGTGCCAAATGCCTCCAGAGAGAGGCCGAGACTTTTGATAATGTTCAATGCTCCTTTTCAAGAACAGGCATCTTCCACAATTACCCAAACTCATCTAAAATAATATTATCTACTTGTCTCACTTAAAAGAGGTTGGCTTCTAATTATATTGTCTCTTTAGGAAGAAAGTCGAAAATACGGTCAGACTCAGGATTAAGAAGATGCACAGCGACAAAAAGCGGTCACGGAGCAGCGGAGGCAACCATGGGGACTGAATTCACAAGTACCCGACTTGGTGGAATTCTTTGATGTAGATGAACTGGAGGTGCAGATCCCGGGGGACGATTTCAGTCTTGTACGAACTGTCTGACCATTATATCTGAAGCTAATGTTGGATTTCAGATGTTCCACTGCATAATTACTCCACTCCAATGATACAGAACTCGATGCGAGTCACCAAGAAGCAATCCACTGTTATTAGTAAGAGACTTTCCCTCAAAATCTTTTCGGTGTACCAATTTCCAACGCCAATCGAATTGAGTTCTCGGAGAGGTGAAAACGTGAGCTCCTCTGTCCAGAAGTAAGAACACCAGCTTCGTATCCTGGAGATAATTCTACCATCGGGTCAGAATGCTCAGGAGGCCATACCTGTGATGCTACCTGCCTCTGTTGGAGCAAATTGTCAATCGTGCCAGGATTCATGTTTTAACAGGGAGACCGATAGAACGGTGATGAAGCGTTTGATTCCTCCTACAATGATGTAATCATTCATCGATATGGGGAAAATATGTAAGTTTCTGATCCCGATGACTTTGTTGCAGCCTGAACTGTTGACTGCTTTGAGGTCAGCGAAGTTCGTCTGCACTTCAATTGCGATATCTACAGGTAAATCTCTAGGCTCAGGTTCCCGAATACTTCCAGGAAAGCTTTGAGGAGCCTCCTCCAGTAGAGAAGGAACTGGTGGATGTCATATATATACCGCCTTGGGCAGCAGAAGTTCTATTTCAATGCATTCATGCCGCACAGGCATCACAGGCATTCAACGCACTAGGTCACGTCAATATCGTCCCCATCTTCATATGACCATGGCATTGGAGCCCCGTCCCATCAATTACCTCAACTGAGACGAAAGTACGCTCATCTAAGCCCAACATAAATGAGTGACAAAATCAGCATACCCATTGCGGCATCATCTATTCACTGAGGTCCCAGTGCCCTCAATAATTCGGTGGATTCACCTAAAACGCTTCTTCAATGTGAGTCTAGGAGCATTACTGTATCTACTCTGATTCTCTCATTCCTGACGAAGTTCCCATGTCAGCATCCGCATCTCTCATGTTATACTCATGATATATAGATGTTCTCCGGGACAAAAACCATTACCCTAAAGTTAGTCCTGCTTATTTGTCGTGTTTGCATCCGTCCTTCCCATGAAGTCTTAGCAAACAGTCAATACTCAGAGCTCTCTTCTTCACTTCAGCCAATCCACCTACAGCACACATTCACAACGCTGTTGAAGCGACCCGGACATATACAAGTTTACCCTGGGGAGCTTGCTTTCCTGGCAAGAAAAGAAAAAACTACAATTTCCAGCGAATGTTCTCTCCCGCAGTAACAGCCTCTCACTTTCAGGCCATGAGGTCCCAAACAATTTCAACCCTCAATATCGACTCACGGACCCATTCAGCTTCAAACTACATTCTTACCAGTCGCCACTATTATGATGGATCGGACCTGGGATTATAAGCTGTGGAAACCTAGCAGTACCCCGCTGACCAACGGAGGAGGACGGCTGCAAAAGAAGGTGAAATCTTTAAATCAAGTTCATGACATACTTCCCATTGACTTCTATACTAGGCAATTTTAGAGTTGCAAACCATTATCATAACCATCACAAAAAATATCAACGACATGCCATACCTACATGCCTTTTGGATGCAGCGAGGTGGCTATTTGCTGCAATTGGGATATCCAGAGCTTTCAGCTGCTGATGCTTACAAGTCGATTCTACTTTGTAATGCCGGGTTAGACTACACATCATCACTAGGCGAAGCAGCACGTTTCGACACTGCAATGCATACCTTGCTCGTTGATGACATGATCTGGGGACTTGATGAGGACGGTATCAGAAATTTTGTCGATGGCATCATCGCAATAACTCGAAAGAACAGGTATGAACGGACCCTCATGACAGTTGACAACGTAAGTAACTAAAGTTTCCAGCTATATCACACTGGTACAGGCCATGATGGAATTGTCAGCATTCCCTGAAGCCATCAAAACCTGTATTGAAGCAAGCCATCTTCATGCTTCGGACTCGGCCGAATTCGATGACATTCGAAGAGCGGCTCAGTTTCAATTTGACAACCACGCCAGGATCTACAGCCAGCAAGAATCCCCGTTTTATGAGAAGAAAAGGCTCCTCAGCTTCGGCAGCTATTACGTCCGTATTTATCCTTGGCTTCCAGCTGAGTACCGCTCCAGAAGCGCAGCCTCCATACAAGATGCCAATCAACATCTCAAAAAGGTCTCGACCTGTTTGGAGATTCGCTCCTCATCCGTTGGCGGAAGAGCCATCAATCAAGATGAATTCTTGTGTTGTGGTGTCTTTGCAACCAAACGGATCGCCAAAGGCCAGACTATCATCAGTGAGAAACATCCATTTGCAGTGTCTTTTGAACAGCCCGAGGTTCATTGTGGGAGCTGCTTCACAGATCTGACATCGTGTGCAACCATCCATAGCCGCGAATGCTGCTCCGTTTACCGATACTGCAGCTCTCATTGTGAGAAAATCGCCCGCTGTTACCACTCTGCTATCTGTGGCAAGTCTTTCTCGGAAATTCTGGAAATCGCACACACTTCATATGGAGGGAAGTGGGAGGGCAAAGGATATCCAGAAGGGAAAACTGCCCTGAGCCACTACACTGGCTGGACGGACAAGACGGAACGTGAACGTGAAGATGATGACTATCGCTTCGCGTTTCCAGACCACACGCCGGTATTCTTGACCCGTTTCCTCGCCATGATCATTCAAGCAGGCTGCGAACCCCTTGAACATCCAGTGATCTCCCCTCTGATGCCACACGAGTCATCGAAGATGATGTGGTCTCTCAATGGAATGGTCTCAGGACCTATCAAGGCATTGCAGATTATTGGCGTCGATATATTTGCTGATCGGAGATTTGACACTTGGATCCTTCTCACCATGTGGTAAGTATCTACAATACAAGTCCGGGTTTAAATCACCCAACTGATTCACGAGCAGGAACCGCATTAAAAATAATTGCATGGGCTCCGATATTGGTGTTCCAAACAAGACCTTCTCCCCAAGTTACAGCTGGTTCAATCATAGCTGTTCCTACAATGCCGAAATGGTCGTCCCAAAGTCGGAGTTGGCGTGCGATGTGGAAATCAAAGCCGTGAAGACAATTCAGAAAGGAGAAGAGGTCTTCGTGACATATGTTCCGACGGAGACCTTGGCGTTGAAGAAGAGCGAAAGGCACAAAGTCTTGAGATCGTGGTTCGGTGCTGCATGTTTGTGCCAGAGATGCCTGAAGGAGCAGTGAGAGCCTGAGAGTCTGAGAGGCACATGCAGGCTAATCACACCCTTTCACAGGTGCCGCTTCTGAGATTATGGGAGGTCCATCTATGATTAACCTTTTCGTTATAATTACGTACATCCTTAAATCATTTAGATAGCAACAGTACCGCATTTCATTCCCACACAAAATTAAGCGAATGGTTAGGTAAGCGTCAACAACACCTATCCGGCTGCAAAGAAGTACAAACGGTGTCTTGCTGATTTACCTTGTGAAGCAAGTAACCTCTATCTCAATGTGCTGCGAGAACAAATTAAAGAGGAAAATGGATACAGCGTCACTCGACGCAGAAACCTTCGTCTAGTAATTGGACTTCTTTCGCTCAACTCAAGGAACTTAAGCGTCTGTAAAATCAAAATCCTTGTAGTCTTCGTAGCACTCAAGTAAGTAACTCCTGCTGAGCTAAATGCTGCATGCTTAGCTCGCATTCGTGTGTAAGCTTCACAATTCTCATGTCAGCCGACCATCTTCTTCGATCCTGTATTATTTTCTTCCAAAGTCCCACAAGGGTCGCTGTTGGGAGCTTTATGGATCAACATTGGGAATGTGAGCTATGGCAACCTATCGCCGGATGTCCAACCCACAAGTAAATTGACAAACAAGGAGGGGGGGGTCACCTTGTCGTTTACCAAAACGCAGCTAATATGCATAACAGGCGATCGTAAGACTCCAAGATATTATGATATAATTACACCACCACCATGTGTAGATGGTCTATGTCGGACACAAGCTCGCACACTCCTGGATAGCGACTTCCCAGATTTTGAACCTCCGATGCATACAGTGCGTAGGTGCAAAGACGTAAATGCGAGAGATACACGTGTGGGTAGCAACGTCCTATCCACTGGACGACATGTAAAATATTAACAGCCAACAAGCTGCAATGTTTCTTCATATGAAATGGCGTGTTCTGGGGCGTACAGTAAGCGAGCAAGCCTGAACTTCAGGCACCAAACGAGTATTATCGAAGCACTCCGGTCCAAGCATGACAAGGCTGACCAATAAGTGGCTAGATCATATTCTAATGTCTACATTAATCCTCACTTGAGAAGGCCAACTTGTAAGTTCAAATATATGACTTTGCCCACGCCACCAAAATTTGGCTGGGCTGATGTTGTATGCGATCCTGTCTGAAATTATACATTCGCACAGCAGGCTCCTCTTAGAGAGACGCCAGATGGAAGGCACTTATCTGTGTAGCAGTCCGAATTCGAGATACACGAGTGTGGGGTGGAGGCAAGGCAACAAAGCAGGTAATGCTTGCTGCAAATGCATACATTTGGAAGGGAGAGGTTCCCCAGTATCATCTTGAACGCCAACCATGCACCTTAACGCCAGCAAAATGCGGTCTTTTACTTATGCCGCTATTTGAGGTTGACCACCTTGTGGTGAACTCTCCGATTGTATCTGTATAATCTAACAATTGTTAGTCTTAGTTTGTTTCAAGGAGAAATTACAGCTTACCTGTGTCCGCACAGCATCACTCTTGTTCTCAACATCACTGATCAGCTTCTCCACCCGCTTTCTGGTACAGTATCAGCATCGGTGCTTCAAGCCAGGTTGCCGAACCTTACATCTCGTTCTCGATGAATTCCAACCGGCCATTGACAGCCATAACAGCCTCAGTCTTTTCTTGCTTCAGCAGCACAGGTCCAACCATTTTGTATATATTCGCATCATCGTCCAAGCCCTCAAATTCCTGCACTTCTTAGCTCCTCGTCCACTGTCTCGAATCCATGCGCCGAACCTTCTGAACTGCTTTGTTTTCTTGCTGTTGCGATTCAAGTCTTTGTCTCGAATTGACGTGATTCTGTAGATCTGTGAAATATCTGTTAGAAGGAACTAGTCCCCAAATGTGAGCACTCGCCTTGCTGCAACTTCTGGTATTCGTCCGACAAACTCTGGAGTTTTTGCTGTGATTCTGCCATGTTGTCGCTTGCACCCTCTTTTGTGGCTTTATCTCAAGATGAACTTCTTCGAAAGCGCTTGGAAGCTCTAGAAACCTTTGTTGATCGGTGGACAGTCAAACTTGGCTACTCGTGAGTGTTCCAAGTCAAGTGGCAGCTCCAAATAGCTCCGGACCTCGAATGTGCACTCCAAAATCTGGACCCGCACTAGCGCCCGCATACAATGGCGGGGCAGAAGAGGCAGCACAGCCAAGCGCCATTCTGCTTGATCACCAAACAACCAACTTCTTGAGACAACAGGGACATACACTCTTGCTGTGAGCGCAATAGAACGATTTCCGTCAATCTCTACCTTCCTCGCAGTAGGCCGCGGTCAATAGTCCTTGCTCAGCGCCGGGTTCTGTTGTTCTCTCTTCCTCATTTCACTCGAAGTCCTTATTTACCACTAGACCATCTGAAGCGCTGTCCGGAGCGGTAGAGCAGAGGATACCAAATTACACACGATCAAATTTGCGACCTGATTACATCGAGCGTACCTTTGTTCGTCTAACATTCGGTCCTCCCTCAAACGCAAGAAAACGCCACCTCCAACATGTCGAATACCGACTTTCTCGGCCGCGCAATAGATGTGGTCAAGAAGGCTATCGAGGCAGACACGGCCGCAGAATACGAGAAGGCGTATCAATTATACTACCAGTCACTGGAACTGTTCATGCTTGCGCTGAAATGGGAGAAGAACGCCAAATCCAAGGAGATGATAAGAGCGAAGGCCGGGGAATACATGGAGCGTGCGGAAAAGCTCAAATCACATCTAGCAGACGCTGATGGGAAGCACAAAAAGCCTGGGATGGTTGGCGCAAATGGTAGTACTTCTGGAGGAGGCGGAAAGGGGAAGGATGGAGAGGAGGAAGTCGATGCCGATAGCAAGAAGCTGAGAAATGCACTTGCAGGGGCCATTCTGCAGGATAAGCCAAACATCAAGTGGGAAGATGTTGCTGGTCTTGAAGGTGCTAAAGAGGCGCTGAAGGAAGCTGTCATTTTGCCCATAAAGTTCCCACATCTGTTCACAGGCAAGAGGCAACCGTGGAAGGGTATTCTGCTCTATGGACCACCAGGAACGGGAAAGAGTTACTTGGCAAAAGCTGTGGCTACGGAGGCAAACAGCACGTTCTTCAGTGTTAGCAGTTCCGATTTGGTTAGCAAGTGGATGGGAGAGAGTGAAAGGTTTGTTCAAAACATTGTCCTGTTTGGGATACGCTAACACGTGCTATAGATTAGTGAAGCAACTGTTTGCAATGGCGCGAGAAAATAAGCCTTCTATCATCTTCATAGATGAAGTCGACGCTCTGTGCGGTCCTCGTGGCGAGGGAGAGTCTGAGGCCTCGCGACGTATCAAAACAGAGATGTTGGTACAGATGGACGGTGTTGGTCGTGATAGCAAGGGAGTTCTTGTCCTCGGTGCAACAAATATCCCGTGGCAATTGGATGCTGCTATTCGCCGTCGTTTCCAGAGACGTGTGCATATCTCGCTTCCAGATTTGCCAGCACGAACGAAGATGTTCGAGATCAGCGTTGGAACAACACCTTGCGAACTTACCGGTGCCGATTTCAGGACACTAGGAGAGCTGAGTGAAGGATACTCTGGAAGTGATATCAGTATTGCGGTCCAGGATGCGCTCATGCAGCCTGTACGAAAAATTCAGATGGCGACGCATTACAAGAAGGTTAGTCATGTGAGAGCAGGTTTACTGGATGGCAGCTAACATCTGGAAAGGCAATGGACAACGGCGTCGAGAAATTGACACCCTGCTCACCTGGGGATGCCGGAGCAATGGAGATGTCCTGGACAGAAGTTGACTCCGATAAATTGCTTGAACCTCCGCTCCTCCTCAAAGACTTTATCAAAGCAGTCAAGGGCTCGAGACCAACAGTATCAGGAGAGGACATCAAGCGCAGCGAGGAGTGGACGGCTGAGTTCGGCAGTGAGGGAGCGTAAAGATCGCATAGCCTGTGCTTTGGTTTGGAGAACTAGGGATAAGGGCCATTGAAGACGTGGATTAGCATGGCGAAAGGCATGGCGTTCTTACAGGAGTTCTTTTGGCATTGATCTGGATTTCTGAGAAAGAAGTGGATGGTAGGTGCATACATACACTGTCAAATAAACTTGAATTAAGTATAAACCTTTCGCAAGAGCATCATGTACAACTTTGCACATAACAACCTCTTGATAAGCATTATAGCACACTTGCCTATTCCAGAAAACTCTGTCAAGTCAATAGGACTTCAAACATTGAACAAAGACGAGCTGGATTTTTCCTATCTACCTAGCAAACGGGCCACATATGTCTAAACACCAAGCGCCGAATTAGCAGGAGCGAGACATCGTGCATAGCAGACACCCGAGTAACGAGTCAAGTCGATGTACGATGAGTGCATGTAAAGTATTCCATTTCCCCAAACAGCATGAGTATCCACAGAACGCCAATATTCAACACAGACAAGCGAGAAAAGACGAATGCCAACACCAGGGCGCCAGAAAGCCAGCCCAAATGTACACAAAAGAGAATCCCATGTCCAACCGCCATCAGTCAGTCATTACGCCAAGGATTCTCTCTTGCTCTTCTTCTTTTTCTTCTTCTCGCTAAGCTCCTCCTCGTCACCTGCTGCAGCTTCACTGTGTCTTCGCTTCTTGTCCTTCTTGGAATCCTTATCTTTTGACTTCTCCTTCTTTTCCTTGGACTTCTTCTCTTGCTTTTGGATGGCTCGGGGTGTGATGTCAGCCATGTCGGCGTCTGCGGTTGGGTCGGCGACCTTGATGTCACCTAGGACTGCGTCCATAGCGGATTTCTGATTGTCGAGTTAGTGAATGCTTTCAAGTAATTATTGATGATCAACCCTACCATTGCGTCCTCATTCTTTTGTGGTGTAGCTCCGGTAGCATAGAAGTCCAGTCTATCCTCAACTTGCTTCCTCAATGCCAAACCGAACTTGGTCGTTGGCTCCTCAGAGAAGTTATCGATTCTGCTGGCAATACTGCATTTGTTGGCCAAAAATCTGGAGATACGACCCTTGTTCTTCGCTCCGGCGCGGCCGATGAAGCTCGAGTGGTAGATCAGTCCGTACTTTGGTGTGTTACCCTTTGTCTTCAACGCTCTGAAAAGAGCTTTTTCGGCACCAAGAATTTGAACAGTAGAGGCGGGGTATTTGGAGAGGTTGGTGAGAGATCCGGCGTGGGAGATGAGTCGGGCAGCAACAACTTCACCAATCAAGGAAGCCAAGTTGGGTGCGACTACGGCCATCTTGTCGGTTAAGTATTGGAAGAGGGACTTTCTGTACTCGGCGAGCTTGACCACACGGTTCGCGAAAGCCGAAACGTTCTCCATATCGGTCTCTGAGATATCCTGTCCCATGCTGACACGGGCCGCATCAATAATTGCCTGCGCAATATCCGCATCATCGTTTACGAGGGCCGCGAGATCATGTAATGAGCCGTCGGTGAGGGTCTTCTTGTCGCCAATTGCAAGTGCAAGCTTGGCATATGTGTGGTTGTCTGAAACAATTCTGACGAGCTCTGGGAAGTGCCATCCGTACCATTCACGGACACGCATGGAGAAGGTGTTCACGGCCTTGTCGAGGTGGTCGAGGGTCGCAATTGCTTGGATGATGTGGTTGTCATTCTTCTGAACGGAGAACTTGACTCTTGCGCGAGAGTAAGCGTGACCCAGACCGAGCTGTGCTCTCTCAACATCACCCTCTTGGAGACCCTTGAGTAGCTTTCCTGCATGGAATCGCAGTCCACGGAGCAAATCTGCAACCACTTCGGAGGTTTCGCCAGTCTCACACTCAACACCTGGGAATGAAGACTTAATGCTACCAGCCAAATTCTTATCTGAAACACCAAGAACAACCTTCTTCTTCTTCGATGGCTTTGGGAGGTTCAATTCGAGATTCGATTTGAGGTATTCAGACAGGACACCTTCGGACACCAGGTTGATATTTTCGAGAGCTTCGGCTGCCCCTCTGGATGTCTGTTAATTGTGACCCAAAAACAGAACCAGTCTGCGCTCACCTGTATGGCGCAAAGTTCACAAGCTTGACCATCTTTCCAAACTTCGCAAGATCCTGGCTGGCATCTTGGACTTCCTTCAATCGGTTGCCAACAGTATCGGCTTGGTGGACAACCTCGAAGATTGCATATCCCACCGAGCTCTCATGGAGCAGGTAATCGATACTCGTCATATTGGAAATTCAATTGCGACTTTCCTCCACAGTTCTGGAAGAATTATCGCAATGTGATTCGTAAAATCGGATCGTGTATCTGCGGTGGTATTGAAAGCTCCAACCAAAATTTATTCTCGCCTTTTTTTGCAAGCTGCTTGGTGCGATTGGAGCTAAGAGGCCCACCTGCGAGGCTAGACCAAATTCGATCTAGCATCAAAACCACATGACTAGGTATCAACATCATTGTACCTAGGTATCTGGGATGGGATTCCTGTAATTTTCAACTTTCTATATAGTCCTGTCTTTGAAAAGATGCTAAACCTGGTCAATAATAAATCTGCGTCCAAAATTCCGCCACCATGAATGGACAATTGCTCTTCCACATCTTTGAATCCTTACGAGTCCTGAAACAGGACTTCTTCTATGCTCCTTGCCGTCAAATGTGGCCTTGTTATTTCATGACCAGCTCTGCTTGAGTTTATCAGCTGGTCTTTGCTGGAAGAACTCAACTCTGCAGCCATCTCACAAATGTTTGCTTTCTTTCGTTTTACTTGCCTGCGACACCCTATCATTTGTTTTTCTTCGTTTAATCTAGCCTTAACCCTCGTTTTGGCAAGTAGCTGCCGTCGCTGAGCAATAGTCGTCACATTAATGGCTGTTGATGAAAAAGTATGGAGAATGTCTCTACTCGCCGACATGCCCGCAGAGAGATACTTTCAAACAGTACCATTTGGGACACATATTCCAGCCAGCCAATCTCCCTCATCCTACTCAGATTATGACGAGTACTTAGAGTGGTTTGAGTAGCTTCACAATCTGGCTATGGATGATTCATGAGTGCTTGGAGAATAGGTAACGAAGTCTTCATGTGCGACAAGTCTGGACATCAAGGGTGCGTGTCCTTTACAATGCCCGGAATGGTCTGCTTGTTATCATTATCCTCAACTGTATAGCCATCCAAGCACCACTCTCCGCTTTCATTTTCCTTGCAATGTTGTCCCTGGCACCATTCCGGGCTGCGTTTTGTTTTCAAAATAGTCTTAAACAAGTTCCTTCTCCTAACACGGAAAATTTGGCAACAACAATGACAGAACATCATCATCAAAACTTTCCTCAAATGGTCCACATAAGTACAAAATATGGATTAACATTGGAAAATCAACTCCAGAATATTAACACAAAGATCCTACTTAAAAACTTCAGGACGAAGTGAAAAATATAGAATGGAGTGCAAATTGGCCCTGGCCAGTTATGACTTTTGCTAGATAGGTAATATCGCAAATTTGTAAAGATGCAAGGTGTGGGTTAATGGGTTATGCCTATTGATACAGTAATTTATGCTGCTATGTCGCTACGCAACTCTCCACACTCTTACTATCTTCATAATCGCCACACTCGACGCTTGCTCACTAATCCTTCTACTTTCCCAACAGTCTTTTCCTTATCCAGACAGGTGCTAAATTCTTCCAGGCTCACGTTCGCTCGCGAAGTCCATATTCATCAGGCTCATGGAGTCTGGCTTCCAGGGGTTTGCTGCTGACGGTGTCACGCCCTGGGACGTAAACAGTGATATGCTAGATGCTTCACATTGGGAATCGTACCGGGATGCTCAGTTTGAAGTATTTCCTCCGCCAGCAACACATACTTGAAGTTTTTCTCCCCATAAAACCTTCTGACTCTGGCAGCCAATGCGATTTGGTTCCTCGTTCCAGAACTGATGACAACCAACATAATAAGTAGTGGAGTTAAATCAAATACGATCATCAGTGCCACATACAATCCTCAGAATTCCATTTCCTGAACCTCCCTTTCCTGCGAATATACACCTTACCAAGCAGACCCATAATCGAGCATGGTAAGGAAGAGTTCCATCCTTTCAACAATGCTGCACCTCCTCTTCTGAGATCTGAGGAAGACTGGTCTTGCGAGGATCTTATTATCACACTTAGAGATCAGCCTCGAACGAGAGCCTTCTCTGTTATGACTCAGATGCAGTGCTTAAAGGACAGTCCACGCTGCAAGAGGAGTTTTAACGTCGTATTACACAGCGAGTTAAGCCACATATTTCTTGCACATATATTCAAGGAGCAATGTGATTGCTGGAGTGTGACAGACTTTACCCTTCGTGCTGCCCACAACCTGTCAGTAACGTGGTTGGGAGGCCTTGGTCGGCAGGAGCCAATAGTACAGTCACTGTGGCCAAGAAGGATTCCATAGAAAACATTAAATATCCACAGATTGTGGACTCGCCTCACCGTAAGAAAAGTTGGTACAATAGTCATAGAAGATACTTTTTGCATGCCATAGACAGAAGTTCATTGAATAGGTATGGACAAAAGAAACCTTTCCGTTGCATCGATTGATTCCACGGATCATTAGTGCCACGCATAAACCCAGGCTTTAGTGGTGGAGCGACTTAATGCAGTCGCTGCGGTAGGTAGGAGAAAAATCCCAGAGACTAAAGTACAGTGCAAGGAAAACCACTTCACGCCTCTCCTTATCCAATTTGAACCATCATCATCAATTCAGCATTTACTGCTTGGCAGCGGCGAGGCCAACGGTTCCCTTGCCAAGATCGTAGATGGAGTACCACTTTCGGAGGAATGCGTCACCGAGAATAGCCAATGGTCCTACGGGCTCTGGGAAGTCCTATTTCGGAGTTAGTCAAGATATGATACGGTGCAAAGGAGGAGAAGCCTACCATTCCCATAAAGCTGGAGATGCAAGAACCTTGAACCTCGAGAATGTAATCGTATGGGGTAATAGTGAAGTTGTGGCCACTGAGAGTGAAGGACATATCTGGGAGGCTGTCACGCTTCTCACACTCGACAGTGTACTGGCCGTTGTAACCCTTCTTGGCGCCCATCTCCTTGTTGAGAAGCTCGGCGAGGGTAGATGGGAGAGCAATGAGAGAAGTTCCGGTGTCAAGTATAACACCGGTGTTGTCGAGCTCAGCGGTGGAATCGCCGAATGTAATCGCATCAAGATCAACTTCCCAGTAGGCCTTGCGTCTCAATGGGATCTCGGTGATCTTGCCAGTGAAGTGATCCTTGTTGATTCCACCGAAGATGGCCTCAGACTCATCACCCTCACCGTTGTTAGTGTCTCCAAGGTAGAAAGCGAAGACTGGCTCATCCAAAAGCTTCTGGTCGATCATGTTGTAGAATGGAGGTGGGATCTTATTGACAGAGATGGTATCGAAACCAAGACCCAAGATACCATCGAATCGGCCGAAAGCAAAGGCGAGACCTGGCTCTTCAGTAGCTTCGGCAAAGATCTGGTTCTTGATCTTGAGGTCACCGATGGACATGGTATCCTCGGAAACGAACCCGCTGAGACTACCTGAGCCATAGCGGATCTCGAAAGACGTTCCATTCTTCTTATATGTCGATGAGGAGGATGAGTCGTACTTAGTGTGGAGGTAGCACGCGATGGAGCCGCACTCCGACGACGGCACCCACAAGTTGGAGCTTCCAGTGTCGAGAACGACCTTGAAGGACTGGGGAGGAGTTCCGATGGTGATCTCAGAGAAGTCTGCACGTATTGTCAGAGTCATTCACGTTTCAACTTTCGAACGAACTTACATTGAGCGTTCAAGAAGTTGCTCACAGGCACCGAGTGGCCTGAGCCGTCCTCGTGGACTGAAGTCTCCTTGAACATCTCATCGGCATGAGATTGAGGACGGACGCCCATGTACTTCTGGCCGAGATGCTTGACATGAGCGTCGATGTTGGCAGTGGCCAACTGGTCAGAGAGCGAGACCTTCTTCAATGGAAGCTTGTGGATACCGGCGCTCGCAGAGCCCAGCAGCGACGCTGCGGCGATGATTGCGCCTTTCATGATTGCGCTTCAGAGGAACTACTACTGTCAAAGTAATAGATATACGGGATGGATCAGTTGTAGTGTGGTGTGGTGTGGTGTGGTGTTGTGTGATATGATGCGCAACCCAGGATGCGGATGGATATGGGTGGGTTGGGTTGTTGATGAAGGAAGTGGAGAGGCGGGAGATGGGGGAGGCGAGAGGTGATGTGATGACGACGAAGGTCGGCGGTTGCCTTCGTCTGCTTAGCGCCAAAGGGTGAGCTGGAGCTGGAGCTCAGGGCAAGCTCAAGCTCAAGCTCGGGCTCTCAGGGCAGTGTGGGCACTGGGCTGGGCCATGCCAGGCTGTCCTGGCCCCCTGGGAGAGGACAATGCGGTGGCTGGGCACTGCCGTCGGGGACCTGCATGCACCAGCAGCACTGTTTTGAGACCGTGGTGTTATTGCTCGCAGTGCAGTAACTTACGGAAGGTCTACTGTCGACCTTATTGCGACTGACTACCAGCTGCATCCCCAAATCCTCTATCCTTCACGCCCCGACTGGCGTTGCAAAGCATTCAATCGAGTGTTAATAGACAATCACGTGGAACCTGACTCGTGTTCAGCTTCAACAGCCAAGGCCTGGCCACCAGCTGACCGCTGGACCACCCAAACCAAGGAACGTAGCTCGGGGATGATGCTCCGGCATAAATAGTCAGGTACCACCAAGCAGTGATGAAGTGAACATCGTCTCCTAGTTACGCTCCGAGTGAACACGGAAAATACGCCGAAGTACACAAGAGTGGAGAGGAAGGAGAGGATGCTTCGTTCCAAAATGTATCGTGCCACCATGGTGCCCAAGACAATATGATTACAACTCCCTGGGTATCACTCGCTAATCTGTACAAATGCGTAAAGCTAATATACAAGCATCGTACAAAGACAGCTTCTCCTTTGGACGTGTCTCATTACTCCCTTCCTGGATCGATGTCCTCTCCCGGATCTGAACTATCCTCTGGATCGCTATCCAGACTCCGAGTATACTGCTGCAAGTCGCCATCGTCAGGCCATTTCCAGGTATCCACCTGCTTCACTAATTCCATCGCCCTCGCCTCGTACTCTGTTTCGTAGCAGGAAATTCTCGCTGCGACAAGAGTCCGCGACAACATTATCTGCCCATTTCGCTCTTGGCTGTTGCATTCTTCCAATACATCTCTGTGTTCGACCATCCACTCGAGGACTGTGATAATCTCGTCACAGTCACCGATGATTCCCATGCAGCGTACATAACTGTGCAAAGTGACCCATTTCACGGAGTGGAGGAGTATGGATTTACAGAATGGTAAAGCTGTACTTCGAGATATCTTGGCGAATTCGTCCTTGAGAAGTTGAGCACCTCGACTTAGTTCTGCCTCGTGTTCCAGGGGAGCGACGTCATGCGTGGCTTCGGCATATTTGAAAAAGACATTGCAGATGAGCAATAACCCATAAGGATCAAGTTCAAGCCCGCATGCGTGAAAGTTGCGTAGGACAGCCACAGTGAATCTCCACGCAAGCGCGTCGTGCCCAGGCTCCCCAATAAGTGACACCCGCAAAAGAACGTTGGGGCGCGCCAAAGCTCTGAACAGACAATACCAAGCGGGCCGGAACTTCACTTTCTCGTTTTTCAGCAAGCGAGCTGCTTGCCTTAAGGGATCTCGAAGTCGAGGATATGGGGTTCTCTCCAGTGCCTGGATGGCCCAGCCATTAGACACTGGCGTTTTGGGATTGAGAGGCTTTAGTTTGTATTTCTCAAATTCAGTCGAAGTGGCGAGGACTGCACGAGGAGCAAACCGGCATATCAAATGCAAGAAAGCACAGAGGAGTCCCTCACTGACAGTGTCTATGACATCAGTAGGAGGTCTTTGACTGGGGGATGTGCTCGTGTCTTTACTTCCTGTCCAGTATCGCAATACTAGTGGATTGATACCGCTGTCGCGAAGATAATTGATACCGGCAGTAGATGTTCTGGCGTGTCGAACAAGGAAGACTAAACATTGACCGGAAGGTTTGATACCAGATAATAGCATCTGATTGTAAAGAGCGTCGAGCCGTGGGGGTTTGCTGTGTGACTTATAGAATTCACTCATGTTATCATCTGGTACGGCAAGAACTTCTTTTCCATCTCCGGGAGCCGCTTCAAAAACTCTTTTTCGTCCCTGTCGAGCTCTTTCAAGATTGAGTTTCTGGAACATTGCCAGGTACAAAGCTTGATTCGGCTTCCCTTCCTTTGCTGCGAAGGCAACGAAAGCTCGCCAGGCTTCTCTCACATCTCGGGTTGCCTCGACCCTCGCAGCCCATACGTTTGGATGATCAAGCTTCGGACGAACAGGCGCTGTGTCTACATCAAATGATCCGGCCAACGTCTCACTGCGTTCATGAGGAGCCTGAGCTCTCCATTTGACTAGTTTTCGTGTGTGAATAGTTGGCGTGCCATCAAGTTCTTGACCGCCAAGAATTTGCATACGCTGGTCGTGAGATGTTTCTCGGAATCCAGCTTCCCTCGCTCGAATAGCCGCAAGCAATGCGCGGCTCAAGTCATCGTCCGGGTTCCTTTGCGCGTCCATGCCATCTTGCTCTGCTCTCCATGGAGGCCAACTTCGCAGCCGAAGGATGGCAGCTTTCGATTCCCGATCGATTTTTTGAGATGCTGTAAGAACTTGGATGACGGCTCTGTAGCTACTGTGGTCCAAGTTCAGTGGGGGATCGCATTGCCCAGCAAGATTCAGTAGAACCTTTTGTGCTGACCAGTTGTGGACCATAGACTTGAGAGGCTCTATGGACGAAGGTAAAGCCAAGCGACGTATCACGTTGTTGACGATATCGCAACTCCTAGCGAAAATGCGTTGGTCGAGTCCAGACCGATCCAAGGAACGATGATTACTTAGGGACTGTATAAAGCGAGGAACCATATGGGCCACGCTGAGCGTGGCAGCAGGCCAGATCCGCCGCGTCTGGTACAACAAGCGGCTTATTAGGACTCCAAACTCATTATCGTGCATTTGGCTGAAATTTGAGGTCAACGTGTCCGACTTGGGAGAGTCACCTGGCCAGGAAAATTTATCGCAATAGTACCACGTGTACGATATGAGTTTACTCAAAGTGTTGACGTATTGGACATCTTTCCGGAGAGTTTCCAGCAGGAGAAATGTCGGATGATCCGCTGAGAGTGAAAGCAGGCGTTCCACGATCTGGTCTGATCTTTGGCTATAGGAACTCTCGGGGCAGTCTCCGGTGAGAACCCATGCCCAGCGCTCCACATCTGCAATACCCAAACTGCGACTTTGCAGAGAAGCAACGTTTCTGCTGCGCAGGATATGATCATGGTACTCCCATTCATCCTGGTCAAAATCAGCATTGTACGGAACAACTGATATGTCGAAACACTCGTACCTTTGATATTGAAGAGATATAAAGATGGTGTAAGGTCATGGTTGGTAACGCATTGGCCGGGAGAACATGCCTGACTTTACGCCAATAAACTTGCTTCTCTGCAGCTATTTCAAAATCCAAATACTGTCCAAGAGCAATAGAAGGGGTCACGGAACCAGGGCGGACTTGGTCCTTCCACAAACTTAGCCGCGATATTCCAATATTACTTGGTGCAGCAGGAGTGTGGAGGTCCTGTAGCGTACAACTGTGCCGATAGGGATACTTGGTGGAGGATGAACGTTGTCCGAACCGTAACAGATCTTGCTGCGAGCTTGCAGAGCTGGTTGGATCATCTTCCGGAATATTTCCATCGGTCCATTGTAACCCATGGCCTTGATGATGCTCTGAGGATGTGCCGCCATCTCCTTCGATGCCCGAGTGCCTCGTCTCTCGTTCATTGTTGAGGTACCTAGAGAATCTTGTGGTTACGGATTGTGTAGGGAGCTTGAGACATTGTTAGAAATAGTTAAGATCACGGCTCCTATTGATTTCTGCTTACTTGATCGCCGACAGATATTGAGGAAAGACTGGTATGTTGCAGTGTGGCCCTGCCCAATCTCGAGAAATACAGGCGCGATTGCATTCGTTCATATTGCCCAGGAAAATGTGTAAAATCGAAGTACTAATGTTTCATCAAGTTCCTGTTTACCAAAAAAGAAACGCGACGAAGCCAAAGTAGAATACAGCTCTGAAAGTGGCCGGTGACAACGAGCTATGTGTCGAAAACATGTAATTGTCTGCCGATGGACATACAGACAGACAGACAGGATTTATGAGAGTATTGGTAAAGTCCAAAACCGGTGAATATCGAAGTTATTAGTCAGCACAGTCACGTTAATTTTTAGCGTGGAATTCAATTTGAACAGGCTCGTCCGAGCCAGCCTCACGTCTGCGAACAACTTTGGCTGGCACGTCTGCAAACAAATTATCCGCCAACACGACCGGAGCGGATTTCAAGAAAGCTCTCTAGCCTGCTTACCCAAACCTTGGTCCTGGGCATCGCATCGGTAAAAATCACCGCCACGCCGCCTGCAACACTCCCTGAGGTCACACATTCCGCTCGCTACCCTCTCTGCGATCGCGAGTCGCGACGAACCGCGAAGCCGACACCATAGCGTCTCTACGAGAATTCAACAGCCTCATCATGTCTTCCATGAACGGGGGGATAAGCCCCGCGCCACCTCCGGATTCTTCTACCTCTACGCCAAACCCATCTCTATCTGCAAAACGAAAGCGTGACGATATGACTGAGGGTCCGAACAACACAAATGGCACCCCTGATTCGAAGAGCCCAGAAGTAGTAGAACAATCCGTCGAAGTTGCGCAAGCACTCATCCAAGATCTTATTGATGTATTAAAGGCGTAAGTTATCCATCAGCAAATGTTCCAGATGAACAACTGCCATCCGTTTGGATTTCATCCATATTCCACATATTCTGATAATGCAACAGCGACGACACAACCCCGTCTATATTATCGCGCTCTCTACCAGAGCGCCCCTCCTCGTCAGGTCCACAAGCAAAGCGCCAAAAGTCCGACGACACCAGCGAAACGTCCTCCTCGATCCTCTCACGACAAGCAGCAAAAGCCTACACTAATGTCAAGGAGGTGCTCGAGGATATTGACACGGCAGTCGCTGACATCCAGGATAAGCTTCAGCTTCCGAATGGCACGGCTCGGAATCAATTCATACCTTTTTCTGCGAGCCAGTCGGAGTTATCTGTCAAAGCTACTGCATTCAAGCAGCGAGCACATGAGCTGATCCGGAGGGAACTGGCAGCCATGGGAGGAAGCCAATCGAAGACCAATGCCTCGAGCAGCAATTCTTCTTTTGGAGCCAACATTAGCTTGGGATCGACTGCTTTCACACAAATAAATGCCAGTCCAGGGGATAGTAGGACGGTCCTTACATTCTATGGGAATGCCCAGGGAAACAAGCAACTCTTCTCAAGTCTCCAGATTCCAACCAAGGTGAACGGCGAGGAGAAGAAAGTCCTCCAATCCATTCGAGAAGCAGGGCTTCCGAACGGTATTACAACCACCCAAATCATTCCCATCCAAGCGACTGGACTTGTGGATGACAAGAAGCGCACCCCAACCTTGGGTGAAGTCTTCCCGACTCCCTCTACTGTGCCGGCTCTACAGCCCCCAAAGCCATCCAAGGTTGCTACCACCCGGTCGTCGACAGTAGGTTGGTACCAGCCAACAGCCAATGAGCCAGTTTCGAGAAGTGCAAGCTACTCGAAGCAATCCATTTCCACCGGACATTGGCTTGACTACAGCAACGCATCGCCTCCACAGCAAGGCGTAAAGAGAAAGCAGCGCGAAAGGGCTTTGAGTCTAGTAGCTGCTAAGGGACCTTCTCTTGAGCCTGAGTCTGCAGAATCCGAAGCGTCTAAACTAGAAACTTTGTTCCGTGGTGCTTATTCTAGTTTTGCTCCAGTCAAGGATGATTCGGCAGCAGTTGTACCAGCGGGCGTTATGAACCGGATATGGTGGCAACAAGTCGGTCAGAAGAATTTTGAGAAGCTCGTGGAAAATTGGAACGATATGGAGGATATCAGATCCCCAACACCAACCCCGAAGACCGAAGAGGATGATGAGATCGCCATGTTTGAGAAGGTTATCGCGGAGTACGAAAACGATCCTATCGATCCAAGCTTGGTCAACGTCGAAGCCGCGCCGGAGAAGTCAGCTGAGGAGAAGGACGTTGAAGAGATTCTTGAGGGGATATCCGACCTTCTGGAAACCCTAAATTCGTACCAGCGTATTCGTCACCTGTCACTGAACGCGTCAAGTCGTCCGGCTGGTCTTCTATCTACCCCTGATAGTACCCTTGGCACACCATCCAAGCCAAGCGAGCATGAGCAAGCTACTTATGAGATTCTCAAGTCCCAGTTAACTTTGATGATTTCCACTTTGCCACCCTATGCTGTTGCGAAATTGGACCCTGATCGCCTTGCAGAGCTGAGCATTAGCACCAAGATCGAGATCCAAACGAACAACTACAAGGGTGTCATGGAGGAGGATGAAGCTGCATCAAGGGCGAAGACGACAGCCATGAATGCTACATCCGCTGCACCACGACCTGCTGCCCCTGCACAACCTCATCGGAGCAGCTCTGCTACGCTTTATGGCAACCAATATGCTGCCCCTCGGCCATCACCTGCCCCGACACAACAATACTATGGCGCAAGTCAGTCACCTATCAGACCCCCTGCGACCAATATCAACATGCAACGACCACCTGTGGCATCCCCAGCGCCGTACCAGCGAGTTCAACAACCAGCCGGAAGCGCGCCCTATCATCCTGGTCAAGCTTATGGAACGCCAACGTATCCACATCAAGCTCCAAGACCTGTATCGCAGTCTTATTCACAACCCAGCCAGCAGTATCAACAGACTCCAACTACGGCGAACTATCTGCGCGCACCGAGTCAGGGTTACTCACATAATTTGCCGCAACAGGGCCAACAGCCCTCCAACATCAATGGCCGATACGCTGGTCAACCTCAACAACCAGGCTATGCGCACCAAGCACAGGCCACGCCAAATGGGATGGGCTATCAATACTCCAATGGTGCAAATTTCAATCGCCAGGTTTCGCCTCAAAAGATGTACAGCCCTCAACCTCAAAACGCCCAACCTCGACCGAATTATGCTACACCAAATCCATCCATGTCACAGGATCGCCGGCCGTACATACAAAATGCTATGAACCAGGCTCCAATGATAAATGGGTCAACTCCACGCCCCCCATCGCAACAGCAATATATCCCACAAACACCAACTGGTTATGTCTCGCATCATTCTAATGCAGCGCAACTGGAAATTATGGCACAACAACGGGCTAATTTGGATGCTCAACAGGAGACTCAGCAACGGGCTCGGGCACTTGCAGCACAGTCTGCTATGGGCTCTCCCCCTAAGAGCCAGGTCAATGGTGGAAACCCGGTCGTCGCAGGCTCATAAGAGAATACTATTGGAATCGGACAGTAGTATCTGAAACCGGGGAAGCAAGGAGAGATGGCAGAATGTGTTACTAGCACCTGGAGTTCACGGAAGACTGGATATCTTTTATGATGTTGCACAGACTCAAGTGTTGAGGTTCCTGCACAGCATGTTATACAGGCGTTGATTTTTACGCAGGTGTCACTAGGTTCTGGGTCATCGAGCATAGAAGGAGCTCTGCTGCGAAGTATTGCTTTTGCGTGTGAGCAAGAATGAGCTCCAGGTGGCGAAAAATATGTGTGTTTGTAAAATTATAGAGCTCTTTCCAAACTGCCCCAAAACAAATATTCAATCTAAGTCTTCCTCCGCAATTCTAGTAACTTCACCAGCAGAAGAACCTAATACCATATTGCTCCCAGCCTCACTGTTCTCGTGGTGAAGCTCCATTTCCAAAGACAAAGCGAACATCCTACCTCTGTATGACATGTCGTCCGCCATGCCACTCACAATTTGAAGCAGCTGTCAGCTTCACCCCACCATAATCTTCTCTACCTAGCCGCCGCTGCCAGGCACAAAACAATTTAGTCGTGACGGCGTGGCCCTTGGGCTCCGGGGTGCAGTTGATGTGCAGCAGAATGTGGGGTTGTGACATCATTTCCTTGGCTTGGTTCAGGAGAAGGATCGAGGGGTTGTTCCACGCCTTGTCTTTCTCCAAGAAACCAACGACATACAAACAGAAGCCCACTGTCCTCCGCTACTCCACATACTCTAGATCAATATCAAGGATACATAAGCATATCATCCTAACCTCCATACTACAAATAGACAATTATTTCTCGAATCTCCCGACCCAGACTCACGCGGACGAACCCACCACATCAGACATATCCATAACCTCTCCAAAATACCGAAACAACCTGCAGAAATGGCCACTCCAACCTTGATAGGCATGCCAGAGCCTCCTTCAAATCCGGATACACCAACGGAGATGCCGTGAGTCTTTCCAAAAAGCCTCAAGCCAAGACTTTACCATACTAACAGACAACAGTGGCACCCCCAACTCAGCTACGACCTCCCTGTCTGCTCTCTCAACAACAGCCATAAAAGATGGCCATCGCGGCTCTGCATTCCCTCATACAGGCCACGGGCACCGCCACACAGGCTCCAGCAACGAAGCCGAGCGCGAGCGCGCAGACCGCATCTCGTTCCTAGCTGGGCTGGAACGCGTGTCGACTGTCCGCCCAAATCAGAACCAACAAGGCGGAGCGGCAGCTGGTCCTTCTGCAGGTCAGATCCCGGGTTACTTCGACCAGAATGGTAATCCCGTCTATACGACCAAGATGTCGACTGTGGGATCTGCATCTGCGACTGGTTCCGCTGGTGGCCGTACGACAACCTGGGCTAGCGGAAGTACCAAGGGACAGACGGAGGCTGGCGACGAGGATCAAATGAGTACGGATGCCAATTATAGGGATATCGATGATCGAGATCGATTCTCTGCGAGCGCGATGGACGAGGACATGGATGGAATGAGCGATGATGCTAGTCTAGTAGGCTTTGGAGAAGGTGCTGGCAGCACAGTCAGTGGTCCTATTTACAGTCGACGAGATCTGGTCACCAATCCTGCTGTTGGAAGAAGTGGCCTGGCCAGTCAGCTTCAGAGCAGCGGTTCAGGAACTCCTGGCGAATCGCAAAGTTTCGGCGACTCGAACAGAGTTGCTAGTCCAAGTGCTGGCGTTCAAGCTGCGGAGCGGATCATGAGAGATAGAGTTGATGGTACTGGGGAGTCGAGGAGACCGCTGGGCAGTCCTGATGAGGCTGGGTTGGGAAAATTTTACTTCGAGGATAAGAAGTAGATGGCGTCCTCATGGGAGACTGTGGTGTTCTGGATAGTGGATTTTGCATTCATCTTTCATTTGGGTGGCGTACGAACCTGGAGGGCTGGCTAGCGTAGGTTAGGTGTGGAATTCATTCTTGATACCACATGGGACGTTTCCCTTTACGACAATGGAGAATATGAAATGGAGCCAATCTTTCACACTTACGCAACTTGAGAAGATGGAAAGCAGGTTCTATAGTGCTTCATTCATTGTGTGACCTATCCAAAGGATTTTCCATGCATCTAGTAAATGGTCATTATATCTGCGATCTCAAAGGCGAAGATATGTGAAGAAGAATGCGTGCGAATTTGCTAAGCGGGAGGGTCTCATCTCAGTAGGATAGTTGAGAATAATCATCTGCAAGTTACATAGAATGACGAAAAATGTTAAATTTCAAGCGACCATGAGAGTTTTATGGGCATCCATTTCTTCCAATTCCAGTTTGCACGTTTCTATAGAAGAATTTTTCAACCGCAACTGAAGAGCAAATATAGCTGAGAATGATGTGATGAAGAAAGCTCCACATACATTGTGGGAGATGTTACTAAGACTCTGGTAACATATATATTATATAGTGTGACAATAGCCTACAGCAGCCGCGGTGGATGGGTACCCATATATAGAAAGCTGAGCGAGCCCCTGTTGACTATCTCGCTTACGAGTTCAGCGAGTCTGTTTAACAACAAACCTCTAGACTCTCAACACGAGAAGGGCATTTAAATGAGATGCATTAATGATCGCTGGGTCTTGTATTTCACAATTTTTTCTCATTTGGCTAGTCATGCATGGTCCCTTGTCCTGCTATATCATCTCCAAATATCATACACATCAAGGGTATCAATTCGTATCTACTGACTCAACTCTACAGTCTTGGAAGGTTTATTTCCAAGGCTGAGGAATAGGTGGGGGTGGCCCGTAGTTGGGTTGAGGAGGAGGCATTCCCCACTGCCATCCTTGACTTGGTTGCTGCGGAGGCGGGATCTGTTGTGGACGCGGCTGGTTCACCCCAGGTTGATAGCCCGTAACCTTCGACCCAAAATCATCATTCTGCACCGGCGGCGCAGGACTTCCCGGCGGAGGAGGGAAATATGGCTGTTGTTGCTGCATTGACTGCGGTGTCATTGGTGAGCCCATCGTGCTGACCGATGCGCTACGGCCGTGATATACACTCCCTGTTGATTGAGGCGATAACATGCCTGTAGGTTGCGGGGAGAGGACTTGGGGACTGCCACCATAGTTGGACGGCGTGAATGAGGTCGTGGAGAAGGAGGAGGAATGCCGTGAGGGTGGGATGGAGTAATAGCCGCTGTCTTGGCGTTGGATGGGGGAGACAGTGGGTTTTGTGGGTTGGGGCTGAGCGTAAATTTGTTGATGGGTTTGATATTGGGGTTGCGATTGGGTGTTCATTTGAGCCGTGTTCGGGGCAGATGTGAATTGTAAGGGTTGGTAGATGCTTTGCGGTCGTGGAGTCGGTGCTTGTTGTACTGGGGGAACTGTGTTCTGAGCAGCAGCAATGTGTTGTGGCTGGTACACACTTTGCGGGCGGGGAGGAGGAGGAGGAGGAGGCTGTTGGTAGGATATTGGGGTGTTGTTCTGAACAGGTGGCGCGGATTGAGACTGATATATACTTTGCGGTCTTGGTGGAGGTGCTGGGCGTTGTTGCGGATTGGGAGATGATGGTGGAGGAGGATAGTTCTGATGCTGTTGCGGAGGTGGAGCATTGCTTTGAGACGATTGGAGTGAGAGGGGTTGATAAGTACTCTGTGGTCGTGACGGCGGCACTTGTTGTGGCTGTTGAGCCTGGGAAGAAGGTGGAGGGGAATATGTTTGTGGATTGTAGGTTGCAGAGGCGCCGTTCGATTGCGAGGTGTATTGCGCTTGGTACGAGACCTGTGGTTGAGGCTGTACTGCTTGAATTTGGGGTATGGGGGTTGCTGGATACGCCTGTTCCTTTGTGATTGGGATAGTCTCGTTCCGGGATTGTGGCCGAGATGGCAGTGGAGGCTGTTCAGCCGCTGAATATTGTCTCTGGTAGCTTGGAGTAAGAGAGGCATGTCGCGGTGCTTGTTGATACTGCTGAAAAGCTGGATTGGGAAGAGGAGATGTTTGCTGACGGACAGGTGTAACTTTTAGAGGTGCAGGATAGGGACTGCTGTTATTGTCCAGAGGAGTCGACGCTGTATCATTGGAAGACACCCCATTTTGCGCGTGTGGGTTCTCAGATGTCTCAAGTGACAGTTGAGATGAAAGACATGTGAGATCTTGGACTGTTGTTTGGAGGAGTGGTACCTTGGGTAGCGAACTAGGAGGTGGTGCTGACGAAGCAGGAGGAGGAGGGTAGAATGACAGAGGCTTAAATTCGTGAACGATCTCCGTGGCAGCTTTGTCCTCAGTCTGTGGTGTTTGGTATTCAGCAGGCTCTTCTACGATAATGGAAGTAACCGGTGAAGACTGTGGGCTCTGTACTCGATCACTCGAAGCGTTAGCTTCCGGGTTGGACTCATCGCTTGTCACTTGTTGTGGTGCTGGCTCCTCAGTAATCGAAGTAGATCGTGGAGATCCAGTGTCTTGCGGAAAGCTTCCTAAATCCACCTGTTGCTCGGTCTGGGCCTGGTGAGCGGGGACTATATCGATCACTCCTCCACGCTTCTCAATTTCCATTTGTAGAATTCGGGCCTTCAGAATCAGAATCTCGTCCTCCATACTAGGTGTAGCAGGAACTAAGTTGTCAACTGGGACTGCTGCAGTCACCAATTCAGCAGGAAGTTCAAACACATCCCTGTAGCCCATCAGTTGCTGCTTCGAACAGAAATAGGCAAGTGAGCTTGCTTACATGGGAAAATCAACTATCGAGGATTTACACTCTGGGTTAGAAGATGAAGTTGGAGGCTGTACAGTGGCAGACTTGCGATCCATGACAGGAAATACTGACGGCGACTGATAGGTAGCGGTTTGTTGACCCCGAGAACCAGCTGCCTGGGAATAGACCGGTAGAGGCGTAGGACAAGGCGACGGATATGCTTGACTGCAACCAGGCTGGTAAAGGGACTGCCTTCGTTGTGCCGAGGGATCCTGACTGACTGGATTTGGAGTTGTTCCAGGTGGTCCCACGTCCTGAATGGGAGAGTACGGAGGCAGTTGTTGGTATATAACTTGACCAAATTGGCCTCCCTCGGGGATGAAAGCTTGCTGATGAGAAGCTGGTTGATACGAGACTGCACCACTCCGTGGGGGTTGTATGGGCACATATTCATACTTCTGGTCTTTCGAGGGTGGTAGTGGTTGATATGTCTGGATTCCCGGCTGCGGAAGTTGAAATGGCTGACCTGGAGCATTCTCTTTGCCTGGCTGATAGTCTGGAGGCTGTGGTTGAAGATATACACCTTGAGCTGCTTGTTCCTGGATAAATTGCTTTTGAAAATTCTGGTACTGCAAGTTCATTCTTTGGTTCGCCTTGTGCTTGGAATGTTCATCATGTTTATGCTCGACTACTGCACCAGTTGCGTCCAAGGCAACACTAGAGGCAAAAGTCTCAGTATGGGTCTTTCAACCATGTTCGAGGAATAGCAAGAACCCGGATTTGATCGAATGGGGGATGAGGAAACCGGTAATACTCACTGTGCAGCTGCATACTCAGCGCCTTTGCCTACAGCTTCGCCAGCTATCATATCAGCACCTGGACCAGCCAATCCCAACGTCAATCCACCAATCGTCCCAGAAATTGCCATAGGAGCAATAACGTCTCGTTTTCTCGTATTATGGGTTTGCCCATGTGCCTGCAATTTTGCTTCAATGATTGCTCGTTTTTTACGAGCATTGTGTATTCGAGGGGCCGACAGGCCAAGTCCAACGAGAGAAATTCCAGCCGTCAAAGGAGAAAACAACACTGCAGTAGCTGTCGAGGTAGCCCCACCCGATATCTGGCGAGTGTAATTCTCCCATTCTCGATGAAGCTGTTCTGGAGTGAGATTTTCGCACTTTGATTGATATGTGTCGAAATCGAAGGGCATTTTGAGAGTAAGAGAAGCCTACTAAGACTTCTTAGACGTAGAAATCGCTGGCAGTAAGTCTCCAACTGTGGAGAGAGACAGTGAAGGGAGAGGGATCGCCTTTTAAAGAGGCGCCGCACAAGGACAATAACGGCGGCACCTCAAATCACGAATCAGCCTTGCACGCCTAGATGGGGTTTGTGGTCCCAATGGCCTGATTCTGTTGGCCCATTCCCGACACCTGGGCCATTAATAGGATGTGGAGGCTGGGGCTGAAAAAAGGTTCACAGGTTGCTGCAGCTGAATTGTTGCAACCAAATTACATTACAATGAACATCCACGTGTGAGAAGAACCTCAAACCCGAGAGTGACGCGATTTCCAGAATTCTTCATCTGCAGTACTGCAAATCCCTAGGATCTTGACAAGAAAGGCAGACGATGAGTGCAACCAGTCGTTCTCCCAATTCTCGTTCAGACGACGGTGCACTTTTGCCTCAGACCATCTCGGTCTGGTCACCGCCAAGTTCGCTGTCAGAAGGTACAAGCTCCACGCGCGACTCCCTCTGCCAATAATATATGATGGTGGCGTCTCGCGAGCCATTTCAAGCGCCCCAAAAGAAGGCAAGCACGACAAGTTAGAGTAAAATAAGCATTCTTCAGCCTTGAAAGATCAGACCAGAATCCTGCGGGTTGAAACAATGAAAACCCCGAGGTTATCTGCCGTCGCCGTGTGCAGGAGAGTGGTAATGAATAGTAGTGGGAGTCGAGCCTCGCCTCGTTTGCGCACTGAACAGATAGTAGTTCGTACTGAGCATTGGGAACGCTACCTAGATGGTTGGTTGAAGGAAAGATGAGACATCTCAAGAACGGACGTGGAGATATTATATTGTAAGCAAAATGGGGTCCTCGCTAAAGCTTACCACCTGTTGCCACTGGAGGTTCTGATCTCCGTTTGATCTGCTTGTTCTCTCGACGGACGAACAAAACAACAACGATCGTATGCGATTCCACTTTCCGGTTTCCTCGGAATGTGTTCGTACAGCTTTCGTTTGGCCATGGTAAGATCGCGTGTAGTCTTTCTTATGTTGTTCTGGTGCGTGGCATTCGAGCTTCTTGCAATATTTACTTGGCCACAGCAGCTCCAACTCGCTGAATCGAGTGCCGCGACCGACGGCTTATCCACATGAAAAGTTGTATGCCGGGATTTAAATTCAATGGCTTTAGAAGTGTCAATACAAAGATAGTTTTAAGTATGCATAGGTGGGGGAGCCTTGTGAACGCCCGGGTGGCATCTTGCACAGCCTCATTACAATACCTCTCCCTCTTCTTGCTTAGACAAACATTCATGTCGGTCCCTCAATCATCTCGACTTTGCATCGCAATGGCCAGAATTTGAGCTGTTATCCACAGTTCGTTCGAGAAGTTCAAACAGTCCGTTTCTGCGGACGACGCAAAGCGAAGTGAATCGACCGAGCAGCGAGATGTCTGGGCAGCAGTGAAGCAAGTCAACAACGACCAGCGGTCAAAGTCTTCCCAAATTTTGGCCCGAATGGAACCTCTTTTGAAAAAAAAATAGAGAAATACTCTAGCATTTCCGATACATTCAATGACGGAACACCGTACATGGCCTATGTTTGGGTCGGTTACTCCTTCGCAAATGCTTGATGCGAGATGTGAAGCTTACAGACTGACTAGGCTCCGATTATGTTCAATCTCCAAGTACTTAATACTTCATGAAATCCAAGACTCTCAAGCTAATAGCCGGAGCAGCTAGTAGTTTAATATGAAGATGTCCTCGAGGCGCTCGTGTCAACATACTAAGATATTGGCACTGCTCTTCCCAGCTTTGATTCGAACTTCGCTGGCAACGGCACTTCTTTTGATGTGATTAAAGAGCACAAATATGCGCTTGGTGTCATTTACTCCGGAATCCTAGAAATTCATCGGATCACATGGAAGATATTTCTGCGAGTACATTGGCGTGCATTGTTTTACACCTTATGGAAGGATTCTATGCCCAAAATCCAATCGACCGTCACTACAACAGCAGGGCGACCTCATCGACAGGAGGAGAATGGCAACAAGCTCCAGCTTCCAGCTTAGAAGCAAGAATGACCGGGATCTTGAGGAACGTTGAAGTCATCAGCATAGTGTGCAGCAAATCACCGTGACGAGCTCTTCGCAGGCTCGCCCATTGCCCGCCTTGTGTTGGGAGACAGAGTGTTGGGTGTATCAAGCTTGATTGTTAAAGGTACGTTGAAGCTGTGACTATATACAGAGAAAGGCCCTCGAGTGGCTCCTTCCCTAACACCTTGGAAGTCCTAGAGCCAGACTTGGGTATTCAAGCTCGAACTTGGCGTAAAAAATGTATGGCTTGCTATGTCACATTCTTGCTCTGGACAGCCGTTGCTGTTGGCAGCTTGGTGATTGGTCTTTGGCGCTCCTTTGCCACTGGGGATGAAGGGAAGGGCTTTCACGGATGCCGCCTATATATGTAGTAGCTGTTGGAGGGGTTGTTGTCTTTCCTATTCAAAGTCGACATGGTCAACGATGCAGGACGTCACGCTCAGTCGGGGATTAGACACGCATGACTTATCTCGAAATAGATATCGCCGGGTCCTCAACATGGGTGCAAAGAAACGGCATCCTCGTATCTAATAATTGGGGCTGAAGCTTTTCTTACATTTGACAACTGGATTGCCCTTCCACACTCTTATTCCTGGTCACCATGTATACTATACCGGAAAGTATTTGAATCTGTAAGAGTTGTCTTCCAATATCACCTCAGGAAGCCCGGTACGCTTTCAGCCCTTGAAGTGCAGCACGGGTCAGTCGTTCCATGCGAGTGGTTCCGCCCCTGCGAGGGCTCCACAATCCGGCATCGCAAATCCGGGGAAACATTCCAACAATCATGGCCATGTCAACTTCGAGGCCAAAACTCGAAAGAACTTAGAATGTCCAACACTTCAACGGCCAAAGAATATCCAATGTAAGCTGTTCGCAGAGGTCAACTACGAGCTGGAACGCTCAGCCCTCTGGTGTCTACCCTTGAAAGCCACCTATTACTTTGCAGAAGAGCACTAAAAATGTCCCTGACCAAAAGTAGGCACCAGCTTTGGCAAAAGATGTGCCGATGCTAAAAGATTTCTTCCAGAACAATAATACGATGTGCTTTTTGCGTTCCTTCAATTGCTCTAAGAGCTGGAAGCTTCCCAATTATGGGCTCCGCTTTCCAAAAATCCATTCAACATGGTCTCAAGTATCACTAGGTATACTTACTTCACTAATCTCAAGACTAAGTCAATGCGAATCTGTACAACTCCATATACCGACTCCACGTCCAGTTGGGATTTATGTGCCGCTCACTTCCACACCTCCGTCCTACCACAGCAGTTTGTCATCCACCGTAACCTGCCAGGAAAACATGTTGCATGTCGCATATTTGCATCATAGCCAATGGCATTCGCAGCCAGCAATACAGGTGTGCAGCCTATATGTTTCAGTCCGAGCAACAAATGCAAGCATTGCATTTAGCTTGCTTGTCGTCCCACGCCAAGCAGGGGCATATTGAAACTTTGGCAAAGTATATATCTTGTCATCTTATCTTCATCCTTATCAGACATCGTACCATCACAGTATAAAGGATTCACAGTATCTTTTTCCTTGGAACTTGACAACGTACTATCTTCAATTCAATGCATCGATCTACCAGTTCAAGGAGTAAGTGGATGGACGTCCTGGGCTTCGACCAGCCCGCCGAAGAGCAAGGAAATCGAAATTATCGTGGAAATTCACTTACATACTTGTCTGATGGGCAAGAGTCTGCTTATGAACCTGTGCACCCTCCGCTACGTTCACCAACGTATACGACATATCCTCGATTTCCGAGGGATGTCATGTTCTGTCGCTTTGGAGGCGACATCCTGCTCAGTCCCTCTTCACCTGCCCCATCACCAAACGACATCAAACCCCTGCCAGCACCACCACACCTGTTCTACATAACCATCCAAAATGATCTCTCTTCGCAGATCAGCACAGGCAGGCCAGATCTCGTTCTCCACAAAGGCCCCTCCAAAGCATCAACCGTGATGTCCTTTGCCAGGTTTCACTCCGTCACTCAAATGACAGACATCACACTCTGTCCTACACCACCCCGATCCGCAACCGCCAACTTCTCGAGAACAAACTTCTCATTTCCACGCTTACCTGAACCCGAAGAGAAGCAAGGGCTCCGCCCTAAATTCAAATTCGAGCAGCTCGGTCCCGCAAGCGGTATTTTCAGCGCCGAGAAATACGAGTTCTGTCACACCTTTCCGTGGAACAATGTACGTGAGCGCTTCGAATGGCGATACACGTCTGGGCCATTTGTTCGGACTATATATAGGGATAGTGGAGGTTTGAAGCTGATTCGAGTAAGTACAGGAGATGCCATTGCTGTTTATGCTGGGCTGGGACATTCGTCCAAAGCGAGTAATCCGAGTCGGGTGCTAGGCATGTTCAGATTCCTGAAGGGCGACAGTATCGAGGGGTTAGGGGAAGAGTTTGAGGTTTTGGCGATTATGTCGATTCTTTCGCTGGTGGAGAGGGGAAGGAGGGTGGCAAAGGCTCATAATAAGGCTTTCGGGATAAAGTGATCTTCCTTCGATGAGATGGTGACTAGTACGCGAGGATTCTTTGGAACTGAATGCATGGAGTCTGGTGTTACCACTGAACGATGGAGTTGAAAAGCTTGGCTTTGTCGAAAGCAGCAACCGAAGGAGGGCAATTTGATATGTTTTTGGGAGAGCTAGATCTGTTGAAATAAACGAGTCGTCATGTTTCGAATCTGATAGCGATTCTGTCTGAAACATACTTGCGTCCAATGTCGTGAGTATCGATAGCTCCAATGCAGTCCAGCTGCAAGGGAAACTTGAAGCTCGACACCAGTAAAGTGCAAGCGAAATTAAATTTCCCCACCAGTTCTACCAGAAGACACAACATCCGATGATAATATAACTTCATGCGGCGAGGCGTATCCGTCGTATTTGTTTCTCATGGACCCAATCCACGAGGCTGCGAGCCCCTTTGAAGTTCACCAGCCTTCTTGGTGGGCCCGGAACTCTGTTCGCCAGCGCGGACCCCACCACCATGGGACATTAAGATCGTAGCTATGAGCGAATCTTCGATCAGCACAAGACGATTCGTGGCGATACTGAAAGAAGAATCCCAAGTTCGGATGGAAGAACGAGCTGCTGTCTTATTTGTAGCTTTTACCCCTATCTCCCTATTTACCATGCCTCTTTATCCCTTGGACGCCTTCCTTGCTTGGTCTTAGCGGACCGGTTGCCAAGAACCCCAAAGTGACCACTCCGAGCACTCCTCTCGCGGCTGGAACCTGGCGTCGCTCAGCCATCGAAGCCTCACTCACCAAATATTTCTTGGAGTGTTGGAATGCTCCCTATCACTTCTCCTCGACTAACGGCATTCCTTTTGTTGCGACGAGGACCCCAAACCACCTAATCATCCATCAATTCTCATCCCCAGGGTGTTTAAAGTTCTGACTGCCATCTTTCTGCTTCGCTGTTCTCTGGCAACAATGGTCCAGAAACCTGTCTCCGAAATGATCAACGGAGTCGTGCGCATCAAATGGTGGAAATACAGATACGTCGTGCTGGCGGCACTGGTGGTCAACGTCGTCCTCGTCAACCATTTCTTCTTCGGCTCGTCATTAACAGAGTTCATTCGACCACCTCCACCGCCAGGGAGTGAAGCTGCGTTGGGACAAATTCCTGCTCCTCCACCGAACGGCGCCATACCCCCTAAGCCCTCGCTGGCATCAGAAACAGCAGTCCCCGAGCCTACATACTCATATACCCCTCCTGCGCCTCTACAGGAGGTAATGGCATTGGACAAGGTCCCGCCAACTGCACCACGGAAGCTCAGCCTTTCCGACTACGACTTCAATGGTCCATATATCGGTTGGCCACTTGCGCGGGCTTGCAACGAGACGAAATGGCAGCCGGGGCTGGTCTTTGTTTGCGACAACAACTCGGGAGGAATAGGCAACATTCGAAACTTCATCCTCACATGTATAAGATATGGCATTGAAGCTGGGGCTTCGGGTATCATCATGCCTAGAATTCAGCGACGGTCAGAGGAGAATCTAGCCAACATCTTCACAACGGGCTTTCAACCCTTCGGTTATTTCTTCGATGAGAAGCACTTCACGGCTTCCATGGGCGAGTTCTGTCCGCAGATGAAGATTTACAATGACACGGAACACTTCCCGAATGCCGATAAGAAGAAGGAGGCCAAGGAGTTCTACCCCAAAGATCTAAATGTTGATCTGGATGGGTGTGATGGTCGTGGTGTGAACAGACATCTAGATCAATTCCGAACCAAATTCGACGCCTGGGCCGTCAAGTACGAGAATCTACCTTCCGTTGAACGTCCCCTAACCCTTCGATTCAAATGGGCCACATTTTTCGAATGGCCAATCATGCGCGATGGCCCAGAATTCGCAGCCACGTTTGGAGATTTGTTGAGGATAAGAAAGGATGTCCAAGAGCTGGCAGCATACACAATCATGGAGATGGCGAAATTTTCTGGGCAAGAAGCAGATATTACGAAGTCACCACCAAAATATCTTGGTGTCCACCTGCGTACCGAGAGTGACGCTCTAGGCTTCTGGCCCAATTTCCAGACACAAAGTGAGGGCTACATGAAGCAAGCAGAAATTCATAAGCTCAAGCACGCCTACATTGCCTCCGGAAACGCCACAGAAGGCCACCGTTTTGGCGAGATGGCGATGAAGAACGTCGGTCTGAACGTCACTTCCAAAGTCGATCTCCTCAAAGGCGAGAAGCTCAAGCAACTCACGGACCTTAGCTGGGATCAACAAGCCCTCGTCGATTTCCTGGTTCTGTCAAAGAGCACTCAGTTTACCGGCTGCTCCTTCTCGAGTTTTGCCATGAATATCGCGATCAAGCGACACTTGATGACTGATGGAATCTTCTCCCGCAAATGGATCAGCCCTAGTGATCCGTTCAGTACGCTGGTTGGCCGGTTCGAGAGTTGGTATGGTGATTGGATGTTCATGTATGAATGCATGTGGCCTTGATTGCCTCTCGTTCCTACACATCATGAGTCTGAATCACAACCAGAGCTTCTCTCAACAAATAAACCCGTTCATGGACAACATTCTCGCTTCAACCTCAGGCTCGACCCCATAGCCAATCACCGGCTTCTTATTCTGATACACATGCTTCACATGTACTTTTACCCCAGGCCATGCACTACTGAAAATGCGGCCTTCTCCTTACATTATATTTCTTCCTCCCGACTTCATTTGAGCGACTGAGCGAGCGAGCGAGCGCGTGGCGGAATCATAGGGCGGCCGGCACAATGCAATGTTCATTCATGGCGTGAAGGAACCAGCTGCAATTTTTGGCACCCACTGGCGTTTGGGACTTTTGAAAGCACAGAGTCCAAGCAAGGCAGGGACACGGGCACGGGACAGAGTGGTGAAGAGCGACAAGCTCTACCTAGTTTTTGGATGGAGCAGAGATATATATGGGACAAAGGTGGCAGGGTGAGATGGAGGACAGTATCTGAGTCGTCCTGGGAGGAAGGGACTGCTGTTACCTGTACCTTATTTATGAGCTATACCCAGCGACGCTAGGTTCGGAGACAAGAAGAATAGAGGGATATGTAATATTACTCTTTGATCCATCTACCTATCGGTTCCCCACACTGTCATGTCTTCACGTTGGTCATGAACCTCGGTGATCTGCCCACAATCGGCTCGAAGACTAAAAGCATGCTCTATGCAAAGGCGAACTACAGTTTGAATCAAGTCGAGTCAAGTCACCTACCTTCTTGCCTGCCCTACCTGCCCTGCCTGACTACCTGTCTGTCAGTCCGTACTTTCCCTTGTGAGTACAAGCCACGAACTAGCCTGTCAACTCGCTTCGTCAGGACGTCAGATTTCTCCTGCCTATTTTCATGTTATGAGTAAGAGAGGGGTGGTGGGCAGGTCCCACTCTCGACGGCTAGCTATTGCTATAGCTGCTTCCTACCGGGTAGAGTCCCTACATTGTGGTTATGGTGGAAGGATTGGGTGCGTTGGATCGGTATCTCCGCATATGTTCTGACGGCCGCTCCGAGATCGCTTCCCTTTTAGGATGGTTGATGTGCGTGATAAATTTGGTGGATGGAAAATGAATGTGAAGGCGTCTTGAGGAGAAAATGAAGGGAGCGAAGTGTCGGTGTTCTGTCCAACGTGTTTGGCATCGAGTGATGTCCTTCTACGGCAGTGACAGACGGAGGATGGTGCTTGGAGTGTTGAGATACTTTGTGTTTGGTGCATACCACCATGTGGCTATGATGTCCCTGGATCGGCTTCCTTGACTTCCAAGAGTTGCGAGTGTTGAGCTGAAGGGTATCTGTTTAGAGGACCAGGCCGGTTTTTCGATCGTGAACTTCGTCCCTGCAGTCACTTGATCTTCCTCATTGCCGTGGAGAGGTGCTGGCTGGTGATTAGTCCTAACATTCTTAGTGAGGAGAAAACTCGGTATTGCAAAACGTGAGTCCCGTTGCAGGCGGAAAGTGGAGAGGAAGAACGAAAGTCCCGTATGATCCTGCCACAGATTCTAGAGGGTCTTCCACCGAAGACATCCTTACTAGACGGAAACAGAAGTAATCGTGGAGATACGACCAGTCCACGCTTCTCTTTCCCCGCATTGTTGTAACATCTCAGCTCATCCAAGCTAAGTCAGGATCAACAGTAACGACCCAGAAAGACTCCATTGAAACAACAGTGGAACCATAGCCAAAACCTTGCATTACACCGCTCCATCATTAAGGTCGTCGTGCAAGACGCAGACACAGCCGCAGTGGCAGTGTTGATCCTGTAGCAAGATCGGTCATGAGATGTCGCCGACAGGTTGGTAACCCCAAACCCCGCTTGCTGTCATCGGGCACTGGTCCGGGCAAGACGAAAAGAGAGCCGCAAGCTGAAAATATATTCGTGTAATGCTTCTTGGCTGTTTGGTTTCAATGATTCCATCTGGTATGGAGATCTGCTTTTTGAAACAGCCTTCCACTATGCCGAGTTGATGGCTGAAGTTGGGGCTGATCCAGGGTTCGAAGGATCGGATGAAAGAGGAGAAGAAGAAACACTGATAATATGAGATGAAAATAGAGGCGTCAAAAGAACATAGAACGCTGAAGGGGAAAGAAAAGTGCTGTACATGCTCATGATAACAATTAAGAAAGAAATCTTGAAAATGATGAAATGCTGCAGACATCCATCCCACTTTAATATGCACGACAGAATTACTGCACATTCCGAATGGAGAAGCAGGTCACACTTGCACTTGGCTGCATGCAAGCTGCGAAAATTCAATAATCCACTCCATCCTGGAATCGTGGGACCATGACGGCGTAAAAATACAAAGATAGAAGAGAAATTCCGTTATTCGTTCGTATCCAGGAATGTCCCGAGGAAAAAGGGGTGGTACAAGCCGAAGCGAGGTGAACAGAATTCTCGCTTGTGAAATTGCGTACGAGGCTGTGCTGGTGCTTCAAATACGAGACGACAAGATGCCATGCGTTGCTCCAAATGATGTCGTTTGTAAATTGTAATGCTAATTGATTGGTTGTACTTGGAGAAGGGCAGGACAGAGTATGAGATGGCGGTACAGATAGTTAGTTGGGTTTGCTTGAACCTGGCGGAGATCATCGATTTGGTGAAGGGCAGTTCGGATTGAACTGGTGAACTGGACGTCGGGGTTGTGCCAGTCCAGTCGTCGTCATCACTGAAGGCTTGAACGGGATACAATGTTAGTGAGCTGGTGACAAGTACTGTAGGTGCTGACCACGGCTGTCAACAATACCTACCTAGGTAGGCAGTTGTAGTGGTGAGCTGGCTCGTATTGCGGAAGCCATGTGCAGTCATGAGTACGGGGTACAGCAGCATGTGTTCTCCTCTCCTCCCACTTACTCAAGCAACCACTCTCGCATTATTCCCGAAGTCACAAAAGTCACCACTAAGAGTCAGCACATCCAAGCACATTCTCCGCAGACCTTGACCTTCATTTTGACTTCAATAATAAATGCGGACCTTCAAGATCTTGGGGAGAGGTGAGATTACTGAGCAGTCTGTAATGTGTGGTGCGTTTGACCAATAATCTGAGGGAAGGACCATGCCCGACCCAGTGTTGCAAGATTCGTGATCCTCGTTGGGCCGGCCCAAAAGGGTAACTGGGAGGGTGCATGCCCTTGCTTTGGCCTTGGACTCCTTGGACTCCTTGGACTCCTTGGACTTTGCTTGCCACAAGATCAAGATAGCTGGATAGGTAGGGATTAGTCTAGGGAATGGAGGCCTCTTAACTTGACTGAACTGTACTGAGTTAAGCTTCTAAACGGTTATCGAAAAATAGGTGACACTAATGAATTTACTTGGTATCGTAAATATTAATTCTTCCGTCTCATCCGGTGAGAATGGAATGGTTGGTGGGGGCCTTTGAAGGTTTGAGTGCCCTTGTTAAACATCGAAGTATGCAAGTGCACACACACATAGACGCCTAAGGTAAATTATGTACATACGGTAAATCTACATACACAAATACCCCTCACTGTAGTTGTTCTTGCAGCAGCATCTTCACTACCTTACTCCCAACAATAGACCAGCTCCAGTTCGCGCCAATCGATAGTTGGCGTCAAAGGCTCATACAGCCAGCCTATCGCTCGGCTGGCTGGTCATAGCCTGGAGCCTGGAGCCTGGCCCTCGCCTTCGATTCGATGGGTAAGGAAGGTATTTTGCCGCGAGTACTGGCTGATTTAGTCCCGTCCTAGTATCCTACTGTACAGTACAGTACTGTAAATGCCTCCTCCCTGCCGCGCCGCTACCCCTGCGCTGCCCCTGTCAATCTCCAAGCCCTGCAGCCCCTGCCATGCTGCGAAGTGGAGTGGATTCAGCCGGCCAATCAACAGGCTGTTCCTGACACTAGCGGTTTTGATTCTTCTCATCGCAATTTCCTGTGCTCCACTCGGACGCACGACGAGCGAATCCTCTGCCCGGGCGGGCTTCGCTCTTTCCTCTGCAAAAGTCTGAGAGATCCAGCGCAGCGCAGCGCAGCGCAGCGCCTTCCCACCGTTCCACGCCAGGTCCATCCTCTGCTCCCGCCCGCCTGTTCCAGTCCTGTCCTGTCCTGTCCTGTCCTCACCTCACCTCACTCACGACCTCCTCACCTCCACCTCCACCACCACCACCACCACTCCTTCACCATCGTTCCACCTACGGTCTTTGTCATCCATCAGCTCCATCGTATTCGATGTCTCTCGCTCTCTTTCAGTAGAGCTTCACTTCAACCAAAGGCACACTCGTTACGGCCTTTTCCTATTTACACTGCATTCCGATTCGCGTTCTATCGAAGAAAAGGAGACACACAGGTCAACACGTCCGCCTAAGTCAGGGATATTGTTTCAAGAAACGCAGCGAGTCCCCTCTTCGAAACAAACAAGACAGTCGATCCATCCCATCAACGCCATCATCATCGATTAATCATCCTCGTCCCATCCAGTCCTCTCGTCCCTCGATAGCGCAGTCGACTTCGAAGGGAAAACAAGTGAAGGTTGTGCGTGGACGGGCTGCAAGAGCAACATCAGCACCACCACACCGCGTTCTGCCCCAGGTCTTCCGACGGAAACGCTCGAGTCGAAACGGGATTTTCGACATACGAGCGACCTAATATCCAACCACCCGGCCGCGGCCATCCCACATTTCAAAATGAAGACATTCTCCTCTGTCACTGCCGTCACGGCCTTGCTCGCTGCCACAAATGTCATGGCTCTGGAACGGACCTACCAGGGTTGCTACTCGTCATCCACAGGCATGACGCTCAATTCCACCCAAGAGTACAACTCGAGGGGATCATGTGGAGATCCGTGTTATGGTATGAACTCGGCAACATTCGCCATGACAAACAAGAACTTCTGCTACTGTGGTGACACCCTTCCCCCGGCATCAACCAAGGTGGATGATACCAAGTGCAACATCAACTGTCCAGGATACGGCACAGAGAGCTGTGAGTATACGCCATTGAAACGTTCCGAAATGTGCTGACATGTAAATAGGTGGTTCTAAAGGATTTTGGAGTGTCTATGTGACTGGAATTGCAGCTGAGGTTGAGAATGCACCTGCAGCCGCTTCGGATACCGTGAAGTCTTCGACAGCATCAGCTACTTCAACTGGAAAGCCATCTGTTGTTACTGTAGGAGGACAAACTGTTGTCGTTACCGCTGGTAGTGAAGCCACAAACTCTGCTACGTCATCCGCGGCATCAAAAAGTAGTGGACCAAGCAAAGCTGGCATCGCTGCAGGCGTCGTTGTCGGTGTTATTGCCATCGCAGCTATTGCTGGAGGTGCCTTCTTACTGATCCGTAACCGCAAGAGAAAGGCTATTGAGGAGGAATACAAGAGAAACGCTGCTGTGAGCAGTTTCATCGCTGGTGGTAAACCACCTACCAGCAGTGGAGGTGCTTCTTCATTCAACGATATGCGCCTTGACCCAGCGGTCATGGCTCAACGAAGGATGAGCGATGGTAGCATTGCCGACAACCAAGATTACTCCAGAAGAATCCTCAAGGTATGACGACTGGATATGACGAAACTATGTCACAACTAACACTGCTCCAGGTTACAAACGCTTGAGCACCATGTGACGACAACGAGTTTCCATGTCATTTAGCATCCCTCTGTCACAACGGCGTTATACGGTTTCTGGTCTCCCGACCCCTGGTCTGATTTCGGCTTTGCTTCGCCACTGTATAGGCCGCTGGTGTTTTTGTTTATAGGTGTGGCGTAGAATGAGGAATATGTCCTATATCCCCTCTTCAAGGGTCTCCGTTTTTCGATTTCGTCTCCTTGTCCTCGGCATAGGATCGAAATCTACGATTACAGTAACGCGCAAACAAACGTTCATACAAGCACGTTTTGTCACACCAAGTCCTGTCCTTATCGTCAAAATATTGTTCGCTTTCTTTTTTGGATTTTCCAGCCTCCTCCACGCACCCTTTCCTCTCGAATGAAGATGGAGAAAACATCTCCCATCATCATCGCTCTCGTCACCAAATCAACAAACTTTATATCCGGAAACGATCCTTGGAATCTCACTGTGGATGGCTGGTCATGGATTGGGATTTATACCATCCTTTTCCGCTCTGGCTGTGATATACGGGGATTTCGTGTACTGGTACTCTTACTTGTCTCACTTCTGTTGGATACAGATCTCGGGATGAAAGAAATGGGTATCTATCTACCTGTCGAGGATCGTGTGTTGAAGTAGTATAGACCTGATATAATGAACGACATCAAAGCTACTTTCATGTTTTGTCATCTCGTTATGTCCCTTTAGTCCGTGACCCCAATACTATCTAGGTTCTTCCGGCTATGTTTATATCTTTCACCGCTCGTTCTCTTATCCTTCTCGCATGAGCAAGTTCGGTAGTCGTCTACTACTGCTCAGATGTCACTCAGCTACACAATCTGAGAATATCCAGCACCGCTGATTTGACACTACCTTCCTTTATCGTCCACTGCACACCAGCTCCCCGACTGTGATAAACGCATCTCCACAGCACCAATAGCACAACATCCGAGTTGCAGCGTCTTGGCTTCTCTCCTCTGCTTGCTTTCTCGCTATCCGACGTCAGCCTTTGTTCATATGTCAGATCTACACCACTTACACAGTATGAGGATAGAGACGAAGCATGGAAGAAGTGACAGGAAGAGGATAGATTGGGCTCCAACTTGGAGATTGGAGATGGAAAGGAGAAGTGGGACGAGTGATTTTGTGCTAGGAATTAGGCAGCGGTTCTTGTAGATTTTAAAATTGATGATGGATTCTGGTATATTAGGTATTCATAGACATTCTTGTCCTTTGTACATGTGAGCAGCATCTCGATCTTCTGGAGCGAGGTATCCTCCCAGGAGCAGGACTGAGTCCATTACTGCCTCTGGAGGGCTCAGCTAGCTGATATTCTCGTATCTTTGCCGGTTACCCTCTCTTTTGCAGCGCTGGGATTTCATATTCCCGGCATTGGGATAGTCAAAGCTATATGGCTTCCACGTCGGTATTGGAGAGAAGGTCTAGAGGTATGCTTAAGCATTCCCTCAAGCACTTTCACCCATCTGCCCTTGCTTCTCTTCTCCAATACGGCACGAATCTTCCCCTGTCCCTCCCAGAACCATTCCCTCTCCTAGCCCTTGACAATCCTCTATACTCCCCTCTCCCCCTCCTCGTCCCTCCTCCTGAGCGCTCGCCCGTTCTCTCACCCTCCCCGTCTTTCCTTCCTCTAGCTTCAGCATACTGCACATGCCTATCCCAATCCGCCAACTCAGTGTACGGACTTCTCAACCAAGCCCTCAACTCGTGTAAAAACAGCCTCGTATTCTGCCTCCCCAGGAACTCACTCAGCATCTCCTCGGCTTGTCCACCACTCCCCTGGATATCTACTGTCTTCAGAATAGCAATGATGTATTCGAGTAAAAACTCTGCGTTGTTCGCCCGACGATCATTACTTCTGCTCGGACCAGACGTTGACGTGGCATCTGGATTCAGGAACGTAAAGACACGGAGTTCCCGCCTGATCCATTTGCGTGCTCGTGAGAGTAGTTCTGTGTCGCTGGTGAAGAGGGCAGGTGTGAGATCGCGGAAGCGCGAAACTCGATTGGTTCCGACATGGAGGGAGAATAGCTGGTCCTCGTAAACTTGTCTACGTCGGAGGAGGGCCTCATCTGGTGTTTGTGCTGGCGCGCGAGTATCTCTCCTCTCCCGGTATGGTCTTCTCCCCCTATAATCAAATCGACCCCTTGAGTTGTAGTTCGAATTCGAATTCGTGGTTGATGTTAAAGGAGGCGCATTGTTGTCTGTCGAGGCAACCTCATAGACCATGAAGGTCTCCGCATTCTTGAAGTCGTACCGCACAGTCTTGACATCTGCTTTACAGAGCGGACATGAAGACTGCTCCTGTAACCAACTGATCAGACAGAGAAAGTCGAAAGAAGCGTGTTGGCACGGCTGCGCAACTGCCTGGTCAGACACTCGCTCGAGGCAGATCACACAGCAGGTTTCGTCTTCGTCTTCGCCATCGCCTTCAGTGGGGTCGTCTTTCCGTGCTGCAGATATCTCTGCTAGAGTTGTTTGCAGAATCTGAGACCGAGTGTCGATGTCAATTTCGACATCTTCTTGGTCCATGAGAGGAGTGTTGAGCTTGGGTAGAGAGGTGAAGGTGAACTGTTGATAGAAGACGAGGCTGATGCGGGCGGGGCAGGGATGATGATGTTTTTGAGTGGCGGGAGCTAGCCGAGCGATAAGACTAAAGTGGCGTCACGATAGTGGAGTGGACGCGCCGGGACGCGACTTTTTGACGTCCCGGAGCTGCAAGTTCGCGTGAGTTTTGTGAGATCATAGCGAGATATGTTACGGCCTTGGAAAGCTCACAAAAAACACAACTGCCCAGGTTTTGCATATCTTGACAAAACACCTTACATTTTCTCCAGTTTCCCAGTTATTCCTACCTTGAATGCGACACTACGAAGTACTTGACTGCATCCCTTGAACCACCTGGAGCTCCTCAGCCCAGATAGGTCATGGAGGACTCCAAGAGAGCAGAATTGACGGAAACGTCAAACGCGCTTCGGGGGGAGTTGAAAGTATGGGAGAAGGCATTTTCTGCGGCGAATGAAGGCAAAAAAGCTTCTCGAGAGGACATCAAGAAGAACGCCGAGATTGGTATGTCCTTTAACCCCTACAAGATCGGCCAGTCTAGCTAACTCTTATCACCAGCTGCAAAATACAAAGAGTACAACAAGATCCGCGACATTCTCTCAGGCAAAATTCCATTACCTCCACCACCAGCACCACGCCAGACCCCTCGAAAGCGAAAATATGAGGAGCCAGCTGGCAACGAAGTCTCGAAACGACAGCAGATCTCAAGGACCCCGTCGAAAGGCATATTACAACCCTGGCAGGTCGATCCATATGATTCTCCATCAGTAATTCGGAACCTCTTCACACCATCAAAGAAAGCACTTGGACCAACTCCGCAGAAAGATGGCATGGTCTTGGGATTGTTCGACCTACTTGAGCAGGATATCACAGCGGCTACACCATCGAGAAGGAATGCTGAGGCCAAAGGGCTACCCAAAGCCATCCATGCAACCCCCCGAAAAGCAGGGGCGGAAATCGGACTCAAAGGCAGCAAAACACCTGGCTCTGGACGTCGATTGCTGGATGCTTTTGCTACTCCAGCAAAGAACCGCCATATTGGAGAAGCAGGCACGCCATCCTCAGTCTCAGAATTACATTTCAATACTCCGTCATTTCTGAGACGAGATAATCACAGAATCCAATTACCAGCCGTAAACGAAGAAGGCCCGGAATTGTCCCCTCAAATGGTCAGAGTACCTCGGAAACCACTAGTCAGAGGCTTGAGCAGTATGTTAGCCGGACTCCGTAAAATGGAAGACCAGGCGGCGGACGACGACCTGGACGCTCTTCGAGAGATGGAAATGGAAATGGAAGGCAGCAGCATGACTGTACCCAGACCAAAGCCAAACCCAACATCAACTGCCCAATCAAAACCAAACCCCATCCAGCCTGCTACGAAGGAAAATATCCTGGTAGCTGACAGCCAAACAAACCTCGTAGGTGCATTCGACGATGAGGCTCAATTCGACAGCGAAGCCGAATCACCAGAAATTGGACGTGACGGCCAACCCTTGAAAGTATACAAGAAGAAAGGGCAGAAACGCACAACCCGCCGGGTGAAAATGAAGCCCACACGCTCCAAACCTTCGCAACCATCCAAAACCCCAGCCGAGGATGAAGACAGCGACGACGAGGTCGCCGGTCCCAGTGACATCGTTCCAGAAACCCAAATTGATGGTGGTCTAGACGATCACTCAGAAACAGATCTTGCTCAAGACACATTCGAAGAAGCCGCCAGAAATTTTGACTCGGATTCTCAGAGCGAGTATACAGCTTCTGAAGGCGGCACGCGATACAAAAGACCGGATCAGAGTAAGAAACGGAAGGGGATGACGAAGGATGGGAAGATCAGATCGGTGGCGAAGAAGGTGAATGCCATGGCACATCAGAACTTCAAGAGGCTGAAGTTGAGAAATTCAGGGGCCAAGGGAGGACCAGCGCATAATAGTCGCTTTAGGAGGAAGAAGTAGCTTAGAACAGGACTGGAATGAATGAGTATCACTGTATTGAGTCTGAGCTGGACAGTGGATAGCTGGGCTAGCACTTGGCTGTGAGAGGAGCACTTTAGGTTTTATGAGAATCACGGCAGAAGAAATCACGTTGATGATTATGAGGGATACGCGGGCATATGTTTTGATTATTTGATTGGGATTTCCTGGATGATGCTCATAATGTTCATTCTGGCCTCCATTCCACTTCCCAGCTGTCCTTTCTCTCAATCATGAGCCCATACATACAGGTCGATTCCATCTTCGACCACAAGTTTCGTAATTAACATCCCATTCGTCCATCCATCCTCATCCATGATCATCATCCAACCCACTCAAATAAAGAATCCAGGCTCCCAAAAAGATAACAAAACCATCCATATCCGTGTCTGGTCAACTCCGTCCCAAATGCGTGCACGATCTTTCTGTCTGACGTCTTTATACACAAATCGAAGGTAAAGCACCCAAACGATGTTGGTTCACTCCGGTTGTACTTTTGTTCAAATTGATAAAAATCCCCAAATCACACCTTGGGAGACGGAAAGGTGTGTGTATGGTGTTTACCATCCAAATCATCATGCGCGCTGAAAGGTATCATCAAATATGCTTGCTGCAGCCAAAACTCTCTCACTTCTCCTTCCGATTGTCGTCTCGGCTCCACGAAAGATAAGCGGTCTATCAGCTGAATGCTTCACTCAGAACACGGATACTCAGAATCATGACCAGCAAGCCTATCGTAACGATGATAAGCAGAGCAAAGCCAAACCATCCGAGTACCATGGCTGTAGTTCCGACGCCGCTCTTGACGCTCCCGTTGCCGAAATCCTGCGCTATGATGGACGCTGCTACGGATGCAGTGTGTTGCCATAGAACGGAAACGAGTACGAAAATCGAGGCGATGAAGATGATTGCAAGGGCGATTTGGGAGACGGGCCGGGAGGGAAAGGGCTTGACTTCTCGTTCGCTACCGGAGGCGTCTTCTTCTTCGTGCCATCCAGGGAAAGTGGCGAGGAGCAAGAGGCAGATGAAGGCGAAGATGATGGCGATGATACTGCAATATGTCAGTGGCTGGGATTAGGATAGAAAAATCGAGGAGACAACATACATCAGGTATGGGAATACGATCATGTCCTTGAACTGACTGGCAAGCCAAATCAGATTCAAGGGATCTTGCGTCAGAGATATTTGGTCTGCGAGCGCGGTAGCATTGTTACTGCAGAGCCAGGATCCTCCATCTGGATTGATGCAGATACCGAAGTATCCAACTCGGGCTGCTAGAACGGCATCACCAGCTACTACTGCGATGGCATTGTGTACGTTGAAATCGACTTGGGCCGTTGATGGCTTCGGTGCATAGTCTTCGTAGTAGAGGGAGATGAGGAAGATATCGGGTATGAGAGGCGATGACGATGAACATCCTGCTAATAACAGTGCTGGAATGTGTCAGCTTGATTCAGGTCCGAACCATGGGATTATGGAGACTTACATAGTAATATGATGGCAATCGCAATCAGTATCATGAGTACATGATGGTATCCGAGGAACGGTATCAGCCCTATCAAACGGTTAGCAGCTGTTGTGGAATGAGAGATGATTTGCATTCTTCGGAGACATACTCATCCACCCCACTTGAAACCTCTGTGCCATTGCAACGCTCTCCTACTTCTTGTCTCGGTATATTCTAAGATCTGCCACTCCCGTCCTCCCTGCTTCGGGGCGACGTAGGAGTCGCAGCTGAGGAATGCTCAGCAACGCTGAAGATTGTATGCGAGGTTTGAGTTTGGGGAGCGAGGAATGTTCGACGGGTATCGCTATCGAGGAATGTAGATCTCGTTTCAAGTCGGTATAATTGTAGATGTATCGTTGTAGAGGTTATAGGAGTTTGCACTGCTTCTTTCGTTGGGAGCACGATGGTCAGAATCTATGTCAACAAAGCAAGCAGTATAAGGGAGGAAGAGGTAGAGGATGCGTAGCAGAATTGGTTTCTTCACAAAAGGGTTTTGGCCTTCAGCTAGTTGGGAGGAGGTATGGTATGCGAGCGGAGAGGAGGATGAATTTCGGGTGGTTGGGAATTCGTTACGTTGTTCACCAACCCCTTCGATTTGCGCTTCATTTGGAGCTCTCGGCTCGCCATCTGTTTTCTTTCGCGCCGTTCCTGGCCCGGCAACCCAGTGTAGTGGCGTAGGCGGGCGCTAGTGCAGCCACCCCTTGTCTTGGAGCGGGCTGGCGGGATCGCTTCAACCTTATTTATTCTGGCACTTCCATCGCGACACCTTTCGTCATCTGGACCCTTGGGATATTCTACGACGGATGCACGGAACAATACCAAGAGGTGTTGTATCATTACTTTATTTTCAAGCAAAGATGACTGATATGGAGACAACTGTTGTTCCGCTCTCCCTCTCTGTTGCTCTGGTGTTGAAAGAGGTGTCTGTTTATCTTGGCTGAGATCTCCATGACAACAGACGAATTACCTTGTTTTCGCGAGTTTTGGTCAATGCTTTTTTGCATGGGAGAAACGATCTTATTTTCTGGATAGCAAGGGGGCTCTGATGTTGTCATCGTGCTAGACCTGTTATCCTCCTGCCAACTGACTCATTGCCACGTTGCTGCAGAAAATCTCCTCTCTCTTTCAAGATGCACCACTTCAGCGAGGATGAAACTTCAAACTGTGCTGTGCTCCTAAGTGGCTTCCTAAAAACATCGAAACTCCCTTTGCCGCTTATTTTTCTGCGACATAATCAGATAATTGTTTTCTTTCACCTGGTTACCTCCCACCGGTGTGATTCTCTCAACTTGCTTACATTCTACGCCTCTTGGCAATAGCTGTGGATAGTGTGTACAACTCTCCGCAGATTCCAATGTGAAAATCGTGTTCTTGATAGTTTTTCTGGTACCCGGGCATGGATTTATCGAGTCAACAATAGCGCGCACCGAGGTAGTGCTCCAACAAACTAAGCCGGTGCGAGGCTCCTTCAAACATTTCAGTTCTACTGTAAACCAGTAGAGCCCATGCCATCTGCTGATAGTTATACTTTCAAGAATAACAAAAAAAAACGATGCATAGTCTCTAGTCTGAAGGGGTGCGAAACGGTATCTTGATCTGATATTTTGATACGGTCCTCTACCATGGCTCTTACAATGAATTCGACCGCCAGGTCACAGTCTTCCCCAACCATCCATGCAGATTACCTCCTGTACACGACCTCGTGTCGCCCGTAATCGGAGAGTCGTCATCGTCATTCAAATTGTCTATCCATTCATGTTCACGAATGTCCCTCTCAGCGACGGGAAAGCCATCCTCGTCACGCAGCCAGGTAAAGATATTTCTCGTTACCATTTCCGAACAGTCGTCATCTTCGTCATCAAGTCTCTCGTAGGTGATGGGAATAGATATATCCTTGGGTACCGGATATCCGTTCTTGGGCCGCAGTGGTGGTGTAGGAGAGGGTATAGAGGTGGCTGTGTTGTTTTCAATACATCGCCAGCTTAGACTCTTGAACTCAAGACTATGGCGAGCTTCGCATCTGACATGCTGACGAACCTCGATATTGGTGTCTTTTGTTGCTATACATCCGAATGGTGCAAATGGAAAGAGCGGAGGAACAGTATAGCTTTGCTCGTGGGACATATACAGCAATCGGCATTCATCCGCTCTCGAGATCTCCTCTTCCTCTTCCTCTCCCTCAACGCGACCTCCCGCAACCGGTTCCTGAATGAATGACATCAGTGTCCCGGTCCACGCCGCGACATTCAGATCAAGCTTCCACCATCCCCGTCTGGCTTCTTGTAAAGCACGAGTTTGGGCTCCGGTGATGAAAGCTCCCAGCCATAGCAAAGACAGACCAGGATCTCGCTTCATCATGGCCCGAAGGAGGACGTTCTGGTCTTGCATAGTCTCTGACCCAAGAACCTCAAATGTGCCTTGCAGGAACGCACCACAGATATTGCTTTCTACGCCGCGTTCAAAGAATACGCTGTTGAGGAGTGACTTGACACCCACGGCGTTGCAGCTTAGTGTTGTGAGACTGTCCAGGTACTTGAGATTCGTCCATATTGAGCTGAAAATACCGGGAGATTGTTTCGTGGTTGAGCGTAGGTTGTGTCCAGCTCGTGGGGGAGGTAAATTTACTATTCTGTTTTCGTATTGAGCGACCGGAAGAAGTAGTGCGGCGGCCAAAGCAGCATGGCTCTGCTCAACCACATTATGATATTCGCAGTAGCCCCAAAGAAATCTCAAAGCTGTTCCGAATGATGCTGCAGGTCGGTACCCTGGAGAAGGTGGAGATGACGCCTCGCGTGAGAGTACCAGAGGTTGCTCTGATGCAACTTTCGTATGCCACGGGGAGTGGAGAACTTGTCCCCTATCACTCAGAATAGTGGTTTTCCAACCCCCTTCTGGAGCAAGAACAGCTGCCCACCATCGAGCAGCGTCATCGTCAACATACCCTAGCTCAATAACCACTTTGCTGGAGTCGTCCGAATAATCCTCAGATGATATATCTCTGCCTGTCCACTCAGCCAGAGAATTCATATACTCTGGACCAGCAACTCCAGGAATGATCTCTGCCCATCTCGCAGAAAGGATATAAGTCCAAGCCAGGATAAGCACGGCAATATGATCTTCATCATCGCCACAAATCTTTGACAAATCAAATTCCTGTCTCTTAGTTTGAGAAATATTGATATTGACAGGACGGTCTGAAGCGACGTGAATGTAAAATTTCTGATCGAAGCCTGGTGAATCGCACGGGGATTTGGCTGTTCTCCAGGTAGAGATACCCTCTGCAAGAACAGTGTTTGAAAATGACTTGTCAAGAACAAGGTCCTTCGGAAACGACGGATGGGAGAGCAGTGCAGTGTCGGCTTGTAAGATCGAGCTCAATGAAGGATGTTTGCCCCGAGCATCATGAAGTGCCTTCTTCTGCAAATTATGCCAAGTTCGAAATCCTCTCTCGTACATAGCTTTGAACGCTTGCTTACTTGGACGAACTGCATCTTGCATTGTGGCCAGAAGTATCGAAGGAATCGCTATCCACGGGATAGCTGGTGTTGATGTTTACTCTAGGCAACCGAGTGGCAGCATTGGTCAGTTTCGACATCCAGAATGGAAGCAAAACAGCGCACTTTGTTCTCGCGTTAGGCTAGCGAAGGTGCCTTTGTTGTCATGAATGGACGAGCCAGGCGAACAGATCTCACTCGCGTCATGACATTGCTTCCCATACGATAACGCACTTGTGGTCACATATTCGAATAGAAGACAGGTAATTGCACAAGATCATGCATGCATTTCATTCAATGCTGGTCACGGCGTATGCAAGTATGCAACTTCTATCTCCACGCTCGAAAACATACAAATCGGACCACCATCTATATACGGCAGCCGATCCTTTTCGCGTCTCTCGTTCTTTCAGTTCCCGCAAAGAAGATCCCAGCCCAAGAACGCCAGCCATGCAGAGTGAGACCAGACAAGCAGTCCTTTCCTTCCATCCTTCATCCATCATCCCCAACATTCGCAATCCCCTTACTCGTGCATCGAATTGGTATTGAGGCTTGGACGAGACTACCTCACTTCGCAACCGCAGCGCTCAGAACCTGTGTTCTGAAAAAACCGCCCTTTGTTCGCTCAATGACCTGTTGATACACGCTGCTAGGTGGGTGGTTCATGACAACTGTACCCTCCTTGTAGTCGATCTTAGCATCGACTCTGGTATCTCTGATCAAGTTGACGATCCACTTCTCGCCCTCATCCTGGTTCAAGCCCAATCTCGCACTCAAGTCCTTGATATCGATTCTCTGGTGAATCTTGCAGTAACTCTCGGAGATCAAATGTCTGGCAGCCTCAACGAAGTTGTCTGCGGCAGAAACGAGGAAGAAGTCGGAGCGGAGCACTTCCTCAGCCTCAGAGAGCTTCTTTTGGGCCTCCTCGAAATCGAAGTCGATGTAGAGCGCCTTGATGAAGTCGGTGACAGGATCCTGGTACTCGTAGTTTTCTTGCTTGACGATGCGGATGATATCCTTGAGCTGCTTCTGGTATTGTCCGGTGTTTCTTGTGCGGTTTCTGTTGGTGATGACGGCAGCTGTGAGATATCTGAGGATCCATGGGCAGGCGGTTTGGATGGTGTTGATGAATGGTGCGGAGAAGAAGAGTTCGCAGATAGTATCGCGGCCGGCCTCGTAGTTGAAGAAGGGGAAGAGAGCCCAGTGGATGAGCCATGTTCGGTGAGTGAGTTGTGCGAGTGGGTTGCTGAAGAGCTTGGTATCGATCGATTCCTTGACCTTCTGCACTTCCTCCATAGCAACCTCCCAGTTTGTGGTCAAGATCTCTGATGCGAGCTTTCCCCATGTAGCGGCAGCAACTTTGTCGTTATCAGTGGAAAGAATTCGGAATTGGTAGAGGAGTTCAGCGGCTGCCTGATAATTTCCGCAGCTGTATTGGAAGTTACCAAAGTCGTACAGGACATTGATCATGTCGAGGGTAACCTAATAATCGTGAGCAAATGGTCCTCAATACACAGCGTATTCCACATACATCGTGATCCTTCTTCAAGAACTCCAAGTTTGCGACCTTGTCACTTCTCAGTCCAGTAACAACGTCCTCTCGGCTAAGAAGATCCGTGATCTTCTCACTCTCTTCTGAGTATTTGTCCAGCCGATCCAGAACCTCCTGTCTCTTGGTCGCGAACTCCGCCGGGGCATCGTCCAAACCCTCCAGCTCGCAGTACAACGAAGCGACGTAGTCCGTCATATTCGTCTTCTTCAGCAGCTCATATTTTGTCCTGGTGACATCCTCGCTGGGCTCCTCCTCATCCTGACCTTCGAGAAATTGTAGCAAGGGAAAGATCAAGTGGCGGTCCAAGTGGGTGACAAGTTTTGGCAGCAGGTCGTACTCCTTGGCGATCTCCTCCGGAGTCCTGGCGGGCGCGTTCTCTGCCATGATTGCGACTGGTTTGAGGTTGAAAGGAAGTCGTCGTCGTCGTGGTGGGGTTCAGTCATGAATATCAGTTTGTGGGAACGCCAAAAATTTAGGAACTAGCGACGTTTTGGCCTAGTCGGCTTTGCGGGGTTCAAGAGGCTGTGAACACAACAAATCGGCAAACCTGACATCTATTGAGTGTCTGCATTCAAATTCTTGAGATTAGATTGAAGGAGAAGCTGTTATATCTAGATCTGGTTCACGAAACTCAGCTTTGATTAGAGGTAAACCGAACATGAGAAGATGTACCTCTGTCAAAAACGCCTGGAAAATCGACCTTCACCGTGAAACGCCTTTGAAAGTGACCATAGTGCAATATGTTAAGAAGGCATTGGTTAGTGGATGCAGTTGACTCTTCAATATAAAATATATTATACATGACTTCCAATTACTATGTTCTGGATGCTTGTAGACAGTAAGTACTTCGCAATAAATGAGAGGGCCGGCACACTGTTTCTAGCCAAACATATTCTGCATTTGCATGCAAGCGCTCTCTGTGAAGATTTCCGGGTCAAAATGCAAGCTTACATTCATTATCTTCAGTAAAGCAGAAATTTAAATAAGCCTCTGCAAACAAGTCTTGATGAGAATATGTCCCTCTGAGTATGTTACTCCACCCCCTGTCAGCCTCGCTAGTTCCCTAGCGCAACTTTCCATTCTGGATTCGCGACAACATCAAGCTCAACTTTCTGAGCTGTTCGGCAGATTCAAGTAGCACTTCAGTCAACCACAACTCCCCACCTCTACAATGGCGTCTACACTCCCCCTTTCCTTCCTCCGACCAATGTCCCTCCCACGACCCTCAACTCTCCACAAATACCTCAACCTATCTCGCCCAGCACTCTCGCAGTCAACAACCCTCCGATACACATCAACATCAAGCACAACCACATCCACACCCACGTCGTCTTCCTCCTCTCCCTTAGCATCAGCTCAGACACCACAATCCTCTTCGCCTTCAACATACACCAAGACCGCACCACTCAAGCCCTATCGCTTGGTCCGCACACCCAGCAACAAACTCCCCATCTACCTCCTCTGGAAAGCCGGCGGCAACAAGAAGCTCACGCGCGTGCGCAAGATAGAAGGAGATGTGAATATGCTGAAGACGGACCTGCAGGTTGCGCTGGGTATGAAAGAGGGGGATGTGACGGTCAATCAATTGGCGAGGCAGGTTATTGTTAAGGTATGTTCTTTTTCTTCCAGTTCGGTTGCTTGGGGGGAAAAGGGGAGGGCAAAGGGCAAATGATAAGGAATCAGAGGGATAACAGGTCTTGATGGGGTTTCGGATGATTGGCTATAAGGTTGTGGAGTTCTGCTAGATGGTTTGGATCTTGACTTTTGGCAAACTTGTCGAGGGGAGCATGCATTGAGATGAAGGAGAATGTAACTTGCTAACATTTTGCCTAATAGGGACATATGAAGCCCCAAATCGAGAAATTCTTCACGGATCTGCAACAATAGAAAAGGACCGGTCACCAGGAAGGTATTAGGATGGCGAGAGAGTGGAGGCAATATGGGATATCATCAGCGGAGTGCGAAGGGCGACGCTTGTATCATAGATGCTTGCATTGTAGACTTACTGTATTGGGGGATTGGAAGGGCTTTGAGTCTAGTAAAGCCTTCAATCAGGAGATAACTGAAGTCAAATTTCCAGTAGGATTGTAGGGCCATTAGATGTATGAAATGTACCATAGATAGAATATCGACCTCGTCCGACTTGAAATCTCGTTTCAACCAGGAAATTTTGCAAGTGGAGAGCCGATCCAAGCAAGCAATTTATTCATTGCATTGTCTGTCTGTCTGTCTGTCTCTGCGTTCTTCTCTCTGTAGACAAAATAATGCTATATGTACACTACTAGTATCGTTCCCATCCTTTCCAATACAGCCACTCCATCATCCCACACATATTGCCTTCACTCTCACTCCCTCACCTTTCGTTCCACTCTCGACGTAGAAAGACCCAAACCAAGCCGATACAACTTTACAATAGCAACCCGAGAGAGCGAGACACACCAAGACAGAGAATGTAACAATCCAAGAACCAAGGAAAAGTAGTAACTTCGTTAACCAATGAAGCCATGCTGGTAAACAAAAGGCAATTCATTCACACCCATCAAGTAAAACGCCGGCCGACCGACTCCACACGCTGATAATAGGTCATTGGATGCGTCTATGGAAATGTGATACAAATGTGAGGTATAAGATTGGGATCATGTTTTGCGTCCTCTGGCTATTTATGTGCCTAGCCCCGCATATGCACACAATTGTTTTAGAACCCCTTGAAGTCGAGGTTGCACGATCCGCAGTGTTCCTAACAAGCTATCCTTCGATGGCAGACCGTGGAGGGGTATAGTAGATGTTAAGTCTTCCGGGTCTTTGGATTTCTCTGCCAATCGGCGAAGGACTGCAATGCTGCCCATTGTAACATGAAGCAATGCTTCATCCTCGACACCTTTAGGAAAAGCAGGTGCTCGTTGATGTTGTAGGTGAGGTGTTGCCTCGAGGCACAACATCATTATCAGGCGACAGAGCCTGTGGGCGAAGCCGTCATCAGATGTCAGCCAGGATTTTGCCACACCAGTTTCATACCCAGGTGCAAGATTGGACAGAATCTCGGCAGCAAGCATTCCTTGCATTAGTGAAGGTTTCCGCGCCTCAACGACCGCAAGTAGGCCGCCTCGTTTGGAATCGGGCTTTTCGTCTGGTATCGTCGAGATAGCAAGACCGAATGTTCGAGTCAAGAGGTCGAATGGTGGGAAGGAGGCAACATCTGAAGCGAATATAGTCTTGTAATGTGTCCGATTGGGTTCGTCTCTGGCCAACAGCTTGGCAAGCGTGTCCACAGCACAAGGAAGGTATATGTGAACAGCGGGATCAAATGAAGAGAACGAAACCGTGTCAGAGTTCGTCGTGTTGGGCGGAGGGCATGGCGCAAAGGCAAGCAAGAAGTGAATCATGCATAACGCTTGCTCCCGTCCAGGCAATTCAACGGACTGGGCCAGATTGGATAGAAATGTAATGACATCCTTCATGAAGTCCAAGGTATTCTGGTTCGTTCGAAGTAACATGTTTCGAGTGCCAAGGTATCGAATGACAACACATAGAAACTTGATGACGAGTTCGTCGGCTAGAAGGGCATGATTGAATTCCTCAAACGAGAGATTTCGGAGAATAGTTGTAAGGCATAATAACCTTTCAACAGCTCGATCCAGCTCGTACTCAGGTGAGCCAAAGAGTGGAATTTCTCGCAGGCCCTGATTGTCAGACCGACATCCACGGGCCACGTCCTCATATGAGCTGATGAGCATCACGTCTGAGACCTCTGCCGCATTCTCTGCCAGTAATTCGACTTGCACTTCAGCGCAGTCAACTATGGTCTCCACAAGATCCTCGCATTGGCGCACATCTAGTCGGACTGATGAAAGTGTCAACATGGCCAGAGTATCCAGGGCCATCCGTACTTCAGCATTGATGCCCGACTGTAGACTCATGGTCAAAGCATGAATATCGATCATTCCCATGTCTCCGACAGGTGGCATGTCAGGTCGGTATGCCAAAATCTTCTTTCCGATTCTCTCCAGTGACTCTAACTCATATCCACCCCAGTTATCTAGAACCCGCACCTTTGGCTGTAACTCTTTGGGGAGATTGTGTGGTTTGGTCGCGGCTGGATCGGTTGCACTGACAAGGTGTGGCGACGATAAAGTTCCAAGCTTACTTGCAGATATGGGAGACGGCATTGTAAAAGTCGATCCATTCTGCGTCGGTGTCGCATCGACATTTCTAGAGAGGCTGTTTCTCGAATGGCTTTGCTGAGCCATGGCCATTGGATGTGGCCCTTGAGCTTGTTGTGGGGTCGAGAAGCCGTTCACTGAGGCTGGCGGAGCGTGATGTATTGGAGTCATTTGTTTGACAGGAGTTGTGTGGGGATGTTGTTGCTGAATGTGATGCTGTTGGCCCATGATTTGCTGTTGCTGAAGAAAGCCCTGTGATTGCTGCATGGCTTGAGGGTTCATCGGTTTTGTTGGAGACATCTGAGGCCCTCCAGGGATATTGGGATTTTGCTGCATCATGGCGGCCCTTTGGCGTTGTTGATTCAGTTGCCATGCCTCTTCAAACAGCAGAAGATTACGCTCATAATGGCTTTTCAATTGTGGAGGCGCCGCTTGGTTCTGCAATGGATGGAACTGCATGGCTTGAGCAACCTGACTCCAACCATTCTGCTGCGTAACCTTTTTGTATCCCCCAAACTTTATTACGGCCATGTATAATGTCAACAGTGATACTTGACGATCACCCACAATGGGATTCATATCGAGGGGAAGATTCTTCTGCTGCATGAATGCAACCAAGCTCTTCATAAAGCTTTCTGGATTTGGACCACTGCGAGAAGGCGCAGGGGGTTGCTGGGGGCGCATGCCCGCGAATTGGCCGTTTGGTGCTTGCATAGGCCCTTTACCCATAGGACTGGCTCCTGGCGGGAGGTTTTGCTGACGAGCTGCCATCATATTCCTCTGCTGGATCTGCTGTTGTAATTGAATCTGCTGGTACATCATCTTTTGTTGGTCTAGATGATTCTGAGGTCGTTGCTGTCCAGGCTGTGGTTGTTGGCCTTGCTGATACATTTGAGGTTGTTGCATGTGTGGTTGCTGCATCTGAGGTGTTGGCATGCCGCTCGGAGGTGGTGCTGATGATCGTTGAGGTGGAGGTGTGAAGTTTTGAGCGAATCCTTGAGCAAACCCAGGGTTCTGAGCGTAAGGGTTACCCGGCTGAGGCGTCTCGGTCCTTCCTCCTTGTTCTGATTGTGATGGTGATGCTTGAGGAAATTGTTGCGCAGCTGGGGAGAACGGATGTGGAGACGCGGTAGAGACTCGTTGCGGGACGCCTCCGGGACGGAGCTGGTTAGCCATTATTGGAGACGGACTGGCATTCGCTGAACCATTCTGCAGATGTGCATATGGAGGTTGCTGAGGCGGATGTTGTGGAGTACCGTTCTGGGGAAACCCTGGATACGGAGCTTGTTGCGGCGTTTGGGATCGCGAGTTTGGCAGCATACCAGGTGCTTGACGCGGCGATGTCCCTAAGCTGTCCTCCCTCGGTCGTGGTCTCTTTGCAGGAACCACGGGGTTAGTCTGATAGACGGGATTGTTAAAGGCAGGAGAGCCATTGCGCATCGCGCCGCCATTTTGCATCCTCTGTTGTAGTTGCTGATTTTGGAATTGGGAAGGATCGAAGGAGGGAGGGTTGTTCATGAAGGTCGAGTTCTCGAGCATGGCTCCGTTGGGGTTGGGATCGAGATTGAAGCCGGCGCCATTGTGGTTCTGGACGGCGGCGTCGTTCATCCAGGAGCTCATTTCTATGAGATAGTGAGGCAGCCCATCTGCAGGCGACAGTCAGCTACAATGAATTGGACCAGGGCCTCCATAGATGGCCGCAAGGGCCGAAAAGAGATGACCAAGCGCGAATTGAGGCTCACGCGATGGAAGTCGCGATGGGGGTGCAAAGCAGTGGATGGCACCAAGGCCTCAGCATCCGCAGCCTCAACAACGATGAGCAGCAGGCGCGGTAGTACCTACGCCATCACGGGACATCGAGATACGCGCAATAGAGGCAGGTTGGGATGGAATGGAAGTCTTACCTAAGTTAATATCGCGCCTGGCTGTTGATGTATGCTCAGAGGGTTCTCTGCTCGCCGTAAGTCAAACCGCGCGAGGCCGAAGGCGGGTAAGTGCTGCTAGGGCGGACTAGGTTCTATTTTTACCGACGAAATGTCGCAAGCTGTGTCGAGATCACTATGAAAAATACATCGTCAGCTTGTGCTTGTTGGTGCGCCGTGTATGTCATTGGATCTGCGCATCGAATTGATGGCTCGCCCGACGGTGATGGCTCTGCTGGGTGAGAATCACGTGTTGGTGGTGTGATCAGAAGTCGCCGGTGAGGTGGCAAGTCAACCAGCGTTATGTCCGAATAGGCAGCAGCATGGAGGGCAAGGGAGGACAGCCGCGACAACATACCTATAAAGATACAACTCGGGCCTGGAACGTGAGCCTCGAGATGGGATCTGGAACTGGATCCTGCTGGTTACTACTACTGGCGGAGTGTTGCCGAGTGTTGTGGATGGGGCAAGCCTGGGAAAGGCGGCTGGTGGAGTGTCTTTTCCCCTCAAACGCAACGCAACGCAACGCGGTGCGGTGCGGTGCGGTGCGGTGACACTCACGGCGCAGACCGGCGACTAGGCCGAGGACTGAAAGTCGATGTTTTCTGGGCCCAGCAGGGAGGCGAACAGGCACAGAAGTGAAAAGGGAGGTGAGGAGCAGGGAGCTTCGGCGTAGGTAGGCGTCCAGAGTGTGGTGCGTTATCGTTAATTGGGGGGAGTTTCTGCTTCTGCCACGGTGCTGCGCGCTGCTGTGTGAAAAACCTAACCTGAGGGAGTTTGGCTAGCAAGCGATCGAATCAACGCCCGCGCTCGGGTGTGAAGGCAGATCATCTCGTCCCAGCCACCAAACCAACCCATTTGCAATCTGGAGCCCGCGAAGCCTGCTGTTCTGCGGACCACCGTGAAGCGCGAGCATCGTGTGATTGCTGTCCTATGATCTCGCTGTTAGTTCGCGCTGGCGACGTGGTCAGTCATGTATAGCAATAATTGCAGCGAATTGCCTGCTCTCCCGGGAGCCCATGTCTCGATGCGGTGAAGCTGCAGGCTGCTTTAAGCCCTGTCTCATAGTGCTGGAGTCGGCTGTGATGGCTGGCGAATCCACTGATGGGTGACACATGGAGAACATGGTCGTAGAACAATTCGAGGGCGTCGTGATGATCTGGGAGAAGGATCATGAGCTTCAGGAATGTCAGATTAGGCGTGTTGGCGGCGGTGGAAGGTTCCATGCCATCCTTTATTCGAAAGGGCTCCAACTCTCGGCTGCTACAGTGGCATGAAAGTTGGCTGACCATTGAAGTCCGACTAATGAATGAGAACGTCAAGGGCAAGCATCCAGGACTGAACAAACAGGACTGAATAATAGGAGAAACAGAGGAGTGAGGTCCGGCAGGTGGCGGGGGGAGGGGAGGGGCTTTATGTAGAATTGCTGAGCTTTCAATAGTAATAGTCCTTAGAAGAGGACGACAGGGCCAATCTTTTTTAAGCATACCTAGCACCTGAAGGTACCTTACACCTTACTCACTTCCACACGTCGTGACAACCAGCACCAGCACCAGCACCAGCACGGAAATTTAGGTAGGGCAGGCAAGGAAGAAACAAAGGCAGACCAGCCTGACCGGGGCCCGGACGGATAAGCTTCTGCATGGTTTGGCGTCATAAAACACTCCACGCTGAATCTTACCTCTAGGAACTGGGAGCTATCTCCTCTGGCAACCCATCCAATCCAGAGTTGTGCTCTTTGGTCCCCGTCACACTTCACACAGACCAATGGTCTTGTTACAGACCGGCGTCTTTCGTAGCATGATCCCTTTCCTTTTCCCACGGGCAACGTCCCCCGCTGGCATAGCGTTAGATTTATTCTGATTTGATCGACGGCAGGCTGTTTTCCTCGCGTGAGATGGAGATGGAGATGGAGGGGCGAATTAATGAGGCACCGGCACACTTGGGACTATCCCGGCTCGCTCGTTTGACCTCACTCCAAACGCCAGTTAGTACAGATTCTTACAACTCACCTGCGACCCCGACCATCCTCGATGCTAGACTTCAATTTCGACGGTATTCAGTAGAGAATCCCAATTGTTCGTCCACTACCCACTTTCTCTTCTCCTCGGCTGGTGCCACCGGCTACTCACCGAAGCATCACTTCTGAGACCGCCGCTCACAAATAAGGCTATCTGCGGCAAAGTGTGCCTTCTTTCCCAGGACCTGGCTTCCGAACATGTCAACTGTTAGGTTTTGGGCCAATTTTATTAAGCAGTAGTGGAGACTTTGTCTCTCCCACACCACTTCTCAAACACTTGTATGGAACGAAAATCGACGGATGAGGAATGGAGCCTTGGACATGGACGGGAGGGCGTTCTCTTTTCGACCTCCTCTTCTTATGAGCAAGGATGAGAGTCGACGCATGCCAGCTTCCCTGCATGAGACAACGTCCAATCCATTGCCGCGCATCACAAGCCCAAACTGCATGGATTAGCACGGATATGACCAAATGAGTAAGTGCTGCAGGATAAAAGCAGATGGCCGTAGCGGGTTGGGTTGATCTTGGATCGCCGGGGGTAAGCAAAGGATGTGTAGCAAGAGGTCAGGACAGGCCCTAATGTTGGGAGGAAAAAGCAAGCCCAGAAAGTGTCTCCCATTCCGAGAATAGGTAGGTACCGGGTGCCAAGCATGTTAGCGATACTCACGTGAAAGTAGCTTCAGACCCCTGTCAATAGTGGAGAACGTTTGGTGGAATCTGGAGATGCGCTAAGTTGGTACGACTTTACCACATATAACAACATCGGGAAAAGAGGTGGTAACACACAGCCACAAATATTGTACGCGTTCAGGTATCAATCTCACTTGTGGTCTCAGGCTAAATACCTACAATATGGCCAAACGGAAAGCGAAAGTTCTGGAGGAATTGGAAGAACCTCGAAGGTCTGGCCGTCGAATTTCCACCAGGTCTGAGGAGGTTCCTACTGAACCAGCAGCGAATGCCCCAGCCAAGAAGGCCCAGAAGGAGCCGAAGAGAAAGGCATCGACGAAGGAATTGACGAAAGAGATTGAGCCAATCGTCAATGGCAAGATTGACGAGGAGTCAGACTCGGTAGGGCTTTCCAGAAGCTTTGTACTCTCCTTTTACTTCACGCCTCGAATGGAGCATCTCCATATCAACTCCAGCCAATCACGTGTGTCATCTTGTCTTTAGAAATGTCATCTCTCCAAATTTCATCTGTCTATTGTTTTATAGTACTGATATGTTATAGAAACCCACAAAGCAAAATAGAAAGACAAAGTCCTCGGCCACTGCAAAAGCTAAACCCACCGAGGATGATGTTTCAACCGGTCGACAGTACTGGCTCCTGAAGGCGGAACCCGAATCACGAATCGAGAAGGGCAAAGATATCAAATTCTCAATCGATGATCTAGCTGCCAAGACAGAGCCAGAGCCCTGGGATGGTAAGTCTCTCCTCTCCTGAGTTATGCGTGGTTCAGTCCTAACATCGTGACATAGGCATTCGGAACTTCGCAGGTACATTCTTCCCGCACCACACTGTTGCATTTTGAACGTCACGTTAACAGTCTCCAGCACGTAACAACCTCCGTGCAATGAAGAAAGGAGATCTAGCATTCTTCTACCACTCAAGTTGCAAAGTCCCCGCCATAGTCGGCACAATGGAGATTGTACAAGAACACACACCTGATCGTCAGTCATCCCTTCATTTCCTGTATTCCCTCAATCCCAATTCTCACTCACAAACCTATAGTAACCGCCCATGACCCGTCCGCACCATACTACGACGAATCATCCAAGCCCTCGGACCCCAAGTGGTCCGTCGTCCACGTGACGTTCAAGCAGAAACTCATCACGCCAATCACGCTCAAAGAGATGAAAGAATGGCAGGCCGAGAAAGGACACCCCTTGGAGTCCATGCAGATGTTGAAGATGACGAGAATGAGTGTCAGTAAGGTCAGCGAAGGAGAGTGGCGATTTCTGCTCGGTGAAATGGAGAAGAGGGGAGATGTAGTTGAGGAGTAAGATCTAGAGAGGGTTGGAAGCGGGCAGAGGGTTGTAAGAATAAGTATGTGAGTGAATGGCGGTGTACAATATTGTCCACGGACTTGAACTTTGCCATATCAGCAGGTAGACTTTTCGAACTGTTCAGTATGTGCAAGGCATGATAGTATGCGGATCAAGCCAAAACAACCTATCGTGAAGCCAGTTGTTTGGCACAGATTCCTAAATTTCTTATTCAGCACCTTCCCTCCAATCATAGCCATATATCTCCATTTTTCACACATATTCAACCTCTTTCTGTCTACTTCATGAGGGCTGTATATTACTCGCATTGAATGGCTATTCTGCTTCTTGTATCAACGAACGCAGCATGAGCAACCTTGCGTTGCGGCGTGCAATGTTGGAGAGTAAGGAAAGAATAATGGAGAAATTGAGTATACTATGGGGTGCAGGTATTCTTGACAAAGATAGCGTATAATTTTTGAGGTTCAACGGTCTTTCGATGCTCGGCGACAATCGTCTGCAAAGTGGCTACTATTAAAGCGCCGAAAATCATGTGCAGATGTGTTTACATCCATTACGGGAAATAGGTGCCGATTTGCCGGACACTGAGGACCCAAGAGAGACTCCGCGAAGAAAATCGAAGTCCATGAGTGATCTAACATGATTATATTTTTGCTTTAACACAAGTATAACAAATAAACATTTTCCAAAGACTCCATGAAGTTCGATGTGTACCTTAGATTTCAATCGTCTGACTTCGGCACTCGCTAAACCTCACCACTACCTTATTCCGAGCCCAAAGCTGCTCACTGTAAGCGACTCCGACTTCGCCGCGCCTTCCCGTGACAGGAATTTCCAGAACACCTCGAGACTTTTGCCTCCCGCGCCCTCCCCAACACCATATAAAACCATCCAATTACCAAGCCAAACGAGCTCGCATAAGTATCAACAAAGCTAAGCTCAGGAGTCAAGGCTCAAACATGGAAGGGGTAAGACACAGCACTCATCGCGAACCCATATCCACACTTTCACAAACTCCGAGGGCCGTGCTGATCAGACTCGCTTTGATTTCCAGACCGCCGGCACTGCACCGCACCAGCATCAACAACAGCATCTAGATCTCGATTTCAGCCAGCTTGAAATCCCTGGTTTTGGCTTCGATGATCAGGACTTGCCGTTATGGGATCCATCTTTGGAGATCCAGTCACTTGAAAGCTGGAATACTTTAAATGAGCTGGAATTCTCTGCAAATGCAGATTTCTCGCTACCCCTTGCTACCGACAATGAGCACAACGATGTGTCTTACATAGCCGAGAATGACTTACTGCGTGACTGGCCCACGAACGTTGAGAAAGTCGTTCCTAGTGAACAGGATTTCTTGCGTTGGGTAAACGGTGCTTATAGACCTCCGGAACCTTGCACCTATTGTCGGTATCATCGTCTGGAATGTCTCATCATTCGGACGACGTTCTCGAATCCGAACCCGGTGGCTGCATGCTCCAGTTGTGTTGCATTGTTTAGAGAATGCAGTCTAGCGATTGGGGAGAAGAGGAAACCGTCGGAGTTTGAGAACAATCAGCCTATCATGGGGCATTTGCACGGTGTGAATGAGGAGTTTGAAGATGGACTTCAGTTTGTGGACTGGGGAGATGAAGCTGATATCTCGGCGCCTAACACTCTCCCTGAAGCATCTTCCATGCCAGAAGATTCATCGGTTGTGTCTCCGACTAAAGGGAAAAGGGCAATCTCGAAGCAAGACATTCGAGTTCTGAAAGCATGGCTCTCTGACCATCGGCATGCCCCTTATCCGTCAGAGGAAGAGAAATTGGAACTGAAAGCTACCACCGGCCTTACTCTAATGCAAATTTCAAATTGGTTCGCGAACGCGAGAAGAAGACAACGACATATCCAAGGCATTCCTATTCCGGGCCGAGGACGAAGCTCAAAGCATAAACCAGCTTCACCAGAATCTGGAGACCTGTCTCCAATATCTCGATGGCAGAACTCTCCACCTGAAGATGACGCTGTTGATCCTTCAGCTGTAGCCAGAGCACTTGCCGCAGCTACTGGCACATACGGCCAACATGACAGCAAGGTGACGCTCAGTAGACACTCATCCTTCGACAACGTCTCTGTTTCCAGCATCGACACAAACCGCTCCGACCTCTCAACATCATCCTCCAACTCCGGGTGGAGTCACAGCTCCTTTGCCTCGCGGCAATCCTTTACTCGCCCCAAACGCCGCCGGCGTCAGAAAAGAGAACACTCCGAAAAGTCAACAAACACTTTTGCAGCACATTTCCACTGCACATTCTGTCCCGACTCCTTCAAAAAGCGCCACGACTGGCAACGACACGAAAAGTCCATCCATCTCCCACTCGAGCACTGGATCTGCTGTTCCGGCGACGGGACACTCACCACGCTGCTCAATGGGACACAATGTCTCTTCTGCGGGCTGCAAAACCCAACGCAGGAACACCTCAACAGTCACGAACACAACAGCTGCTCCGAACGACCCGCTTCAGAACGAGCGTTCAGACGCAAAGACCATTTGCGACAACACCTCGTTAAATTTCACAGATGCTCTCAACCACTTCCAGCTGTCTACGATTTATGGAAGGTGGAGTGGGGAGAGCTGCGAAGTAGATGCGGGTTCTGTGGAGAGGGTTTATTGAGTTGGGAGGCGAGGACGGAACATTTAGCAACGCATTTTAAGGAGGGGCAACTGATGAGTGAGTGGACAGGGAACTGGGGGTTTGATGATGAAGTTTTGGCTTTGCTGCAGAATGCGGAGGTGCCGGGGATGGAGGGGTTGGATGGGGGTGTAGCGGTAGGGATCATATGAGGCTACTAGATTTTGTGTAGAGCAGATAAATTGACTGAGAAGCCTACCGAGAAGCCTTGCCAAAGACCGATAATGGGTGTTTTGCATGTGCCAGGCATACGGATTTAAACTCCAATTAAAAGAAACCTGGGAAGCCACATACCTACCCAGCTTTCGGGATCTGCAGAATGCGTAGGGCATACTCTCACAGATCGGAAGAACAGTCCGAGTTTCAACCTCAGACAAAGCCTGATCGAATTGTTGGTTCTTCCGTAAAGGGCTCGGGAACCCGCAGGAAGCAAGGGAGTGTTAGGCACCAATTGCTGGCGATCCATGAATGCTAAGCGAGGAGGATTCAATAGGCTGGCTGATTTGTTTGCTTCCAATGTCGTGTAACACTGAAGAGCAAGGCTTTTCAGTGGGATGGGCAGTTGATATCCTTAAATAATTGATCTCACCTTTCCAGATGGTAGGAATGTCTCCACGCAACTGCCTTCGTATTGTCTCATTTTCAAGTCAGTGACTTTTACTTGTGGTGTTTGTTTACCAGCCTTCGTCTCGACCCCAAGATGACGCCGAACAATGATGACTTGCATATCGAGTTGGCAAATCTCGACGAGAACTCGCAGGAACCAAGTCCCGATCATGAAATTCACCAAAACGAGGACGAAGCACTTGTGCCCTTGATCGATGGGCAGATCCTGGGAGATGAGAGTGTCAAGGAGAGTCCATCGGAACGGTCAAAGCCTTTGCAGACTGATGAAAAATTCATGGAGGTTTTTACTCAATTGGCCAAGGAGAGGCTGGAAGGGATGATGGGTGGACTACTAGAAGCGATGGTTGAGAAATTGAGGACTGGACAGAGGAGGACCCAGTTGGATATTGAGGCAAGCGCTCAAGGATTATCCAAACCGAACACAGATACCCAATGCGATAACACTCAAAGCGAGAACGTCAACTCCTCAGTCGGACCTGCTTTCGAGACGGAAGTTCTTGACGAAGAATTCTGGCCATTTACAGCCACGAAGACTGATGATGAGATCATGAAAGATGAAGACGAAAGGCGACGGGTACTTATGAAGTATATAAGCTCTCCCTGTTCTTTTTAGGTTAGATATAGAAACCTGCTAACGCGAAATAAGCCCCAAGTTTGACTCAATACCCGATATGTGGAAGCACATTTGGCCAGCTGAGTGGGCCGAAGAGAGTCTTCGACACTCCCTCATCAAAGAGCTAGTCATTGTTCTGCACGGGTATACTACGACCGATCCCTACTGTGTAGAAGGAGTAGGAGACTTGACTAAGAAGGGACATCTGTATTCTATTCTGAGCATAATTGGAGGGGTGGTCGTGATGTTTTGTGGTGAAGATAGTTTGGACACAGACTTTCATATTGTTAGCCCCCAGCCCGATCATTCCTTTGCAATCATCGTAACGACAGCGATCATTGAAGCAATTCATATTAGTCACAGACTTCGAGTGGATGATCTACTTATTGCTTGCTTCAGAAGGAGCTGTCTGTTCAGGCCATATATGCGTTCCTCGAATCCTTGGCTACAAGATATCAACATTGCTGCCTTGGCTATGTTTGCAGTAGCAATGACGGATACATGCTACTATGGGCCATCGTTGGTGTTACGAGATTTACTCCAAGACAATGATCTGCAGAAACTGGCAAATGACCAAGTAATGAAATACTACAGGCATCTGAATTTTAGTGCGTTTCGAGACCGAGATCGATTGTGCGGCAACCCAGAATTATTCAGTACACTACTTCCGACAGAGAGCGCAACAGGAAGCTTCCGAACCTACGATCTCCACTTGCATAGTCTCGTAGCTCTAGGCAAATTGGAAATAGAATGGACGCACGACGCAAGATCACATTTGAGACTTAGGCCGTATGGAGATGGAAGGGGCTGCTTGCATCTTTTTTGGTTCGGTTGTGGAACTGAAGACACATCTTATTATATAGCGAAGCATGTTAGACTTCCTTTACTTTCTAAGAAACTGGCTGACGATGGCTACAATAGATTGTTGGTCCCAACCGCGCCGGGTGCTTGGGAGTCTGATAGGGTCGGTGAATGGACAGAGCTTGAAAACACAATGCGTATACTGCTAGGGCATTCCAGCAGATCTGAGGAGCGCTTGACCCGAAAAGCTTACGCACGGCTCCCAATACCATGGTGGCTATTCTCTCTGTGTAAGACAGCATCTTCAAAAATGCGGAAAGGCCTGCCAGAAATTATTCCAGCCTACTTTCGAACCGAGAAGTATGTAATGGGAGACGTCATGCAGTTGTTCCCGGACGGAATCGGAGGAATGGCCGCCCATCTATCTTACAAATTAGACCCCAATCGATCCTGGAGTTATTCAGAGTTCCCAATTTATGGTGAGCGGCTATATCAGCTTCGACTTCAGTATGTTGAATTCTACCTGGCCTTACAGATGGCAGACTGACCAATTGACAGTATGGATGGAGTGAGACCGAGAGGCTTTCGGGGTCTCTTCAAAGACAAGCGGGACTTCGCAGGCAAGTAATTCGATATTCTCTTTGGATTTGTCGCTTACAAGCGCGTAGCCTACCACACTTTCTGGTTCGCAGTCATCTTCGGCACAACGAGTATCATCCTCGCACTTGCAAGTTTGCTCGTTTCATCACTGCAAACTTGGGCTGCATTTCATCCCCAGAATGTGAATACCAACAAATTAGCTTGAGAGGATATATTCAAAGTTAGAGAAAGTCCCAAAGCAACACAAGACGGTAAGTTAGAAGCGTGAAAGATATTCGTGACAGTGTTCACACAATCAAGATGACCATGGGAAGTGGGGCGACATTAAGATGGTATATGTACAGCTCTGGGCGCATTTCCAGAAAATAATGTGAATTAAATCGAATAAGACAGTTCCCAGGTGTAGCCAGAAATCAAAATGTGACATTAAACATTTCCGTAAACAATCCCTTGTCAGAGCTTCCTCCTCTCCTAGAAGCCCTGGGTTCAGCGAATAACATGGCCCTCCTCCGCTTCTGGCTGGCTCTGCTCCTTACTCAACTTCGGGTTTCTCAAACAGAACGCAAAAGCGATCAGCGGCACACAAAGACAAATACCAGTGATCGTCAACAGTCTCTGTACATGTTGATAACTATCGATAACCGCAGTCCTGACATCCGTTCCGACAGGATATTCCGGAACAAGCAAAAATGGACTTCCGTAGAAACTAGCAGCCAATGTTTCATTTCCAGTAAAGGCCAATCGGTTGTTGAGTTCTGGGTACAGAGTCTGCGTCCAGATTGCGCCTGAGACGCAGTTTCCGAGTGCAGAGCCAACATTGTAACTTGCGAGATAGATACCCGTAATCACAGCGACGTGTTCGTGCTTTGTTGCTGCTTGGATAGAAGCTTGTGCTGGGTAAGGGAAAAGACCACCTGCGATACCCAGGAGAATTTGAGCACCAATGACACCGGATTGAGCTGCGCTGCTATGACCTCCTCGGTAATGGATCAACAGGCCGAACGCAACCAGGAAGAGCATCGTTCCGGCTAGAATGAAGTACTTGAGTCGTCTGACCTTGAAGATCACGAGTGAAATGAGAACGCCGGTAATGACAGAGCAGAAGCTATAGAGTGAGGAGACTCTGGTAGCTGACTTGATGCTGAAGTCGAAGGCGACGATCAAGACGGTATAGAGGAAATCGCCCTGTAAATACCAGGCAAAGTTGAGGAACATTGCTATTCCGAGAGCGGCCCAGACCGCGCGATCTTTGAGCAGGTGGAAAGGAAGTAAAGGATGCTTGGCTTTCAATTCCCAGAAGATAAAGACTGGGATACAGAGAATTCCGATAATCAATGGGGCAAGAATATGAGCTTGATGCCATTTCGATGCAACAGCACCGACGGCAGTGGATCCACCAGCCAATGTGAGAGGTACGAGAATGAGCGCAAATACTGCAATCAGAAGAATAATGCCAACGACATCGAGTTGCCAGAATAGTTCTGCTGCGAGGCGTTTAGGGCCTAGCATCTGAAATGGTGACTTGTAGCTGTCGAGGATGCCATTTTTTCGTGCCCGCCGTCCGGCGATGAACAGCGCCAACATCAAAGGCAGAGCACAAATCGGGTAGATGATACACCACATGCCAATTCCCCATCTCCACGAAGTTACTCCTAAAACGGCTTGAGTAATGTCGCCAGAGACCCAGGTATTGATGATGAATGGTGTTGCCGGAATGTACGAGAAGAAGACACGGCTTCGCATGGACGTGATATCTGCGATGATGACTTCGACGAGAAGGATGACACAAGTGTATCCAACTTGATACAGGACAGCACCAGCGCAGAAAGTCTTCACTCCATCGGCACAAGATTCGATAATAGTCCCCAGCGTGTAGAAGAAGACTGAGACAGCGACCAGTTCAAGACGTCCGAAGACATCGGCGACTTTGGCAGCAGTTGGCTGAGCTGCAGCAGCAATGACACTCCTGAGGACATTGATAGTCGAGAGAAGCGAATGAAGGGCATAGTCGCTAGTTGCTGTTGCCTGGTATGTATATCGAGTTGTACCGTCAAGTCCGTATGCATACGCAATGAGGAAGACGCCAAAGAAGAGGAATATCCGATTGGTGAAAGTGAGCTGGCTAGATACGGCTTCGATGCGGGCCACACCAGGTGATTTTGCTCCTATGATGTGGTGATCGGAGTGAGCATCGACATTCTGAGGATAATTGACGCTGGAGTCTTTCTTCTCGTCATTGCTTCCCTCCCTAGGGATATCTGGACTGAGATTCATATTTGCTGCTTCGCTTGGACTCGAACCAGCCGCTGACTTTTCGCGTTGCCTCGGCTGCTCAATTTTACGACCGGTAGAATAATTGAGGATCAGTAACGGAGACCAACTACTGACATCCCACGAGGAGAAGGTGGTGCTTTATATCGTGTCGTTGGCACTTGGGCCGGACCTCCCACGCAAATCCAAGCTATCCCAAATCCTGGTAGACTGTCATGACATACAGGCTGCCCCATCCCAGCTCTTGGGAAGATAATGTGGAACTTTGGCTGTCAAGCAGCCATTTAACTGGCCGATGGCCGATGATGATCGCTGCAATCTTATCAGATCAGAGTTTTCATCTAATCAGATGATTCGCCGTGCGACTGGTGGTCTTGTCGTAGTGGGGCTTCAACGTATGGGGTAACCGGATCCGTTAGAGCTGAGGAAACCTGGAAAAAATTGATAATAACCTTTCGGGCTTGGCAGTTCCTTATTTCAGCAGGTTTGATGGGAGGAAGGTTCATCCGCAATCGGAGGGTTGGCATAGCGAGATTGTTAACCTCATGTGATAATACCAATCTTCGAGTTTGAAATGATTTATGTCGATGCAAGCCTAACTACCGACTGACAGAGACGCGATATCTAAACAAAGAGACATAACGTCAAGATTCTGATCAACACATTAATTGTTCCAAATCACCGACAGGCTCCAGTCTTGTCTCTCTACTTCTGGGGCTCTATGGCAATAATCTGTGCGACCTTTAAAACCTCCCGCGGTAGTGATAGCAAAATTGACCGCACCAAATGAACCAGAAAGCCTTCAACCGGAGCTCTCCCGAGCAACTTTCCAAAGCCGGTCCGCCTGCCAAAAGACTCTCAATTGTCTCCCAAGCTTAAACTTGTGCTCCAACAGTAATACTCATTGCCACAGCATAGCATCTATCACTTCTTTGAATTGATCTATCGATACTACTCGTGCCACCGAGATTTGGTTGTACCCTGCTCCAAATCGTGTGTTGCATGCTGTAGAGATCAGGGTTGTTCAGAAAGATACCGACATGCGCTCCGGCCCCATTCAGCTTCAGACCTGAAGAACATTCGTCTAGCCTGCCACACAAGTTGACACTGGAACTCATAGCGAGATGGACATCGCTTTGACCTGCGACTTCCAAGCCCGAGCATAGGCGTCAGAAGGGCATCCAGCTTACGCCAAGTGACCAAAAGGCAGCAGGCAGCAGGCAGCAAGGGCTCACAAAGCGCTCAATTAATGTAAGGGGCAGCTAAATATGTAGTATAGGGATATTTTTTGGAGACTTATAAGTATCTCATTGCGAGCATAACGCAAATAGGCAGAATAGAAGAGTATCACAGTCATACTCTACCTCTAGGCATTTCAATCCGATGCGAGCCACGGAAGGAACTCAGAGCCGACGTCCTGCCTGCACTCTACCGGTCAGCTATCCTTGTCGTTCTGAATAAAGCTCTGAATTTGTCTTAATGCTTTTGTGAGGTGGATTTGGATGTAGAAATTTACATGCCTAAGCTACCACTACGACACCGGGCATTGTTCTCACAAGAATAAGCGAAGGGCTTCAAAACAGAGGCATTGATGCAAACAAAGAACATCCCCATAGCCAAACATGACGGTCTCTTCTCTTCAAACGAGGACAAACTCTTATTCTCTTGTTCAGCCACCAACCGTTGTTCCCCTCAGGACTAGACTGAAAGTAATTGAGTATATATTTTCTTCGTCTTCCCTCTTTCATCAAGCATCCATCTTCCTTAGACCCACTTAGTTCACTGGATCGAGATCAGCGCCACTGAACCCTAGTGAGGAAGCATCATGGCAAGAGAAAACGACGAGTACAGACTTGCAGGTGAGAGTCAGAGTGAAAGCGCTACTCGACATGAGTTCGAGAGAAGCCGCAGAATCGCAGCCGAGAAAATTCGGCAAGACATACTGGATAAGCATGAGCGACAGCGTCAAGCGACCCTGAAAGCCAAGGGCTCTGTACTGCAGAACGAAAATGGAGATTCCGTCTCTACTGAAACGCAGAACTCGCAAGTGCCCGTTCAGCAGTTGCCCCTCCTGCGAGACCTCGTTCAGCCAGACCTCGTTCAGCCAGACTTCGTTCAGCGAGACCCCGTTCAGCGAGACGCCGTTCGGCAAGTGTCCGTTCAGCAAGTCGGGCCTACCCAAGCCTTGTATCCCAATGCACTGGGGTGCCCAAAAATGCCAGCTCAGCAGCGCGATCATACCTCAGCTCCCAATCCAACAAGTGGACGTTCGCATCGACGACAGTGGGCTCAAGGACGTGGTCATGCCTCAGTATTCATAGCTGCAGGTGGATTTAAGTCAAGAGCGACGGCTGGACAGATGCGTTTTAACTATGACACAGGTGGACGGGATCCAGGAATGAATGGTGGACCTTCGCGCGCCCCAGAATTCTATCCAATGTATGGACCCGATCCGCACACGCCGACTCAGCAAGGTGGTACCGCTCAAGATCTGACAACTGGCTATCTTAACCCTCAAGCAGGTTCTTGGTATCCAGCTCCACCTCCACCTACAAAAGAAGAAGACACGACATTGAAGACTGACTCGGCTTGGGCCAATGATCCAGCATACATTGCACTAAGGAATAGTATTGGCTGGGACCAAGGTCCACCACACATCGATTCAGAATGGTATGATGAGAAGAATCATCATCGCTTTGACGGCGATCTTTTCATCCCCAAAAGCCTGTTCGACGATACACCGGTCGACATCACCTCAGCCGCCGTATCAGAGGCCACTCCTCGGGCCATGGGACCACCACGCAAAGGCAGCTATACAGGTAAGTATGGAGCGATTCATCGATGGTCCAGAGTCCATACATCAGCACCTTGTGAACCGCCAAGCTAGACGATGTCAGATTACACGACTGCTTAACGTGGTATCCTTGAACTCTGTGTTGTCAGACCACGGAGCGATCCTATTCTGGTCCGACAGTAGCCTCATCTTCAAATTTCCCCAGGAGACGATCCTTGACATTGACTCGAAGAGCTGTTGCATTTTTGGCTACTTCTGCGGTGGAGATTTCGTTATCACTTGTGAAAGTATTGGACAGAATCATCTCGGAAACCGGATCGATTCCAAGGCCGCATTCGATAGCCATGACTTTCAGCATGGATTGGCGCAAGTATGGGCCCGGTGTGCACCAGAGCTTGTTTTTGGTCTGCGTTGCTATATCTTTCAACCATTCAAGGCTCAAGCCTTCCTCTTTGCAATGGAATAGGGTTGTGACAAATCGGAAGAAGAGAAATCTTTGTGCGGGGCGATGTTCGTTCAGAAAATTTAACTCTTTCCCGTCAATCTCCTGAATTTCGTTAGAAAGAAAAAATCGGAAGGATGAAATTTACTTACGCTCCATTTAACTCCTATTTTTCCAAAAGGCTGAGGCCCAAGCACCTCCTTGTTTGACAGAGACTTATCCGTAAGAACAAGTTTGTAGCGCATAATCGTCCCCTCAGAAGCCATGTCTATGGGAACGAAAACTATCTTTCCATTGTCTAAGGCGTTCTCGAGCTTATTATGCATAGGAATTCCTACGAAGTCAGAAGAAATCGGTCAAACCGATTCAAGAAGTAACATACCGTTGCGGCAATCTCCTAGTATCTTATCGTCTTGAACGTCAAACAAGTAGAGCAGTTCTTGCGAGTTCAGCGATTTCGGTACTAGGTGAGCGGCGGAAACGTTTTCGGCAGCTTGCCAGCCAGAGACAACACAATAAGACTGCCTCCCAGCCTCATCATCATTCTTCGTCGCACCATACCAGTCCATCACTCGGGTCTTAAACGTTTTCTTGTCGAATTTCTTCTTGACAAGCTTTCCCTTCTCCTCATCAAGCACCATCTCCACTTTCATATTGGCAGTTGCTGCCATGACCTTCGAGGACATTGCTGAACTGTACGCTTCACTTAGGATCCCGTAAGTCGGCATTTCTTGCTCTATGTCCTGTGCCAAAGCCCTCTTCTGCCTCTTCACAACTCGCAGTTCATCGTCAATGAGCGAGCGGTGCCGTTTCAGTTCTTCTGCAGCGGACTGGTAGTCGTCTATTGTTATGACTCTTGATTTAAATGCTTCTTGGAGGAGAGCCATAGTCTGTACGCCTTCTTCGATGCCAGTATTGAGCTCTTCGTTCTTTGCATCAATGAACTCTATTGTTGTAGTTGCAGTGCTCAGCTTTGATGACGATGAAGCTTTTCTCTCCGTGTACTTGTCGAGTGCTTTACGTTTTTGCGCTGGAATAAGAGAAGAAATTCGAGGCGGTATTTGTGGGGGGCCTCGTGGGTTCATGTTTGCTATTCTGAGATGATTTGAAAAAGATTCCTGATTGTGGGGAAAATTAGTTTGAACTTTGTAAAGTCAGGTGAAAATGGGATAGAAGTGAGGTGAAAGTGAGGTGCAGGTGAAGGTGAGTTTGTGGTGGAGAATAAAAAGTGGCCTCGATTAGCATCTGGACTAGATACTACAACAGAGAGGTGCTAGATAAGGCCACTAGGCCACTAACGGATAGGCTAAGTCACTAGCTTACTTACCTGCGATAGCAGATGAACCTTCCTCACCTGTCTGTCTTGGTTCCTGACTCACAGGCCACTTATCCATTGCGTCGACTGTGTTACCTATAAGGAGCAAAAGATCTTCCGAGAAGAATCCTACCCAAGCCTGCAGCTGGGCATCTTCAGCAAGCAGTCTCGAGGAAGAGGTATGTGCGACAAATCCGGATCGGGGTTCGCGGAATATATGGTTCGAAATAGCATGTCTGACGAGCCGGCGCAGGTTCGTGACATCGACGTTAATTTTCTCGGAGAGGGCTTCATAACTTATATCGCCTTTTGTAGGGACAAACTCAGCGATCTTAAAGTGATACACAGCTCGAAGTGACAGGCTATTGACAGACTGCAAATCCACTGTCAGCATCCGTAACCTTACATGTCTTGAGAGTGGAAAGGCTGCTGACATCCCATGCCAAGTGGCGAAGACTCTCCTTTGGTCCTACAGCTAAGTCATGAAGCTCTTTTGTGGCTGCAACAAGCTTGGAGCGAGCCGAATATGCTTCCTTGTCTGCCGGAGAGATCTGCAGCTCTGTGAGGCCATCTACATCAAAAGACGGACCTAGGGCTTCTTGGAATCAAGGTACTCGGTGATGATTTTGGTACTTTCAGCAATCACGTTTGCAAGCTCTGTCAAACGAGCAGTAGCCATGATTCATAAGAAAGCCCGCACCTTACTTACAGATAAGTATCTGTCAGGTGCAGAAACATCGTCGTTCTCGTCTACCCAGCGCCAAGTGGCATGGCCCACCAGCCGGATCCATGCCGATCTTGGGGAGTACATCCCCCGCTGCTACGGGCGATCCTTAGCCGTGAAGCCACAATGCTTGTGGGCAGCCTTCTGTTACTGAGGGGCGTTGCATTTTCTCATATATGGTATATGTCGGTAATGATCCTGGGTGCTTTAAATTCGTTGCATAACAGCGAGAGGCTTCTGCCCAAAAACCACATGAAAAGGAAGGTACGAATGTACCGAAGAATTCATCAGCGCCTTCCTTACGTGAACCAAAAACACCTGAACCTCGGCCGGAGTCCATCCCAGACTTCTTATGAACGGGCCCAAACTATTCCCTTTCAATCCATCATAAATCATAGTCCTTCCATATAACCCAACTACTCTCATAGTCTTGTTCTTTGGCCACGTTCCAATTGGTATCTTGAATGTCTTCTTTTCTATTGACAAAACCTGCATCACGAAGGTACTTTACATTTTTAACTGCTCCAAGAAGGTCAGGACCAAGGACTGCAAGGCCTTCTGCGACGTATATCAGCCATTGCTGGACCAGGTAATCTTCGGGCATTGTGGAGTCATCGCAGTGTGCTTTGTGAAACATCTCTTGTATCTCGATCCATCCGCCTGGCTTCATAGACCTGGAAAATATCAACAAAACGTCCACAGAAACGAGGTTAATTGGAAGGAGCCCTACTCATATGCTTGCTGGATTGATTTTGGCATATTTTTGACAGCCACCGATGTGTGTCGAGCAGCAGCATGGACGAAATCAAAACGATCTCTTCCATGAAGCCAACGACTCTCGAGGTCATCGACCATGAATCTGACGTTTGGAGGAACCCATACAGGCTGTATCGGGCTCAAGTCAACTCCAAGAACACTGGCACTGGGATATTCATCTCCGACTAACTTGAGTCAATACACAGCTTTTCAAGAAGAATTTAAGAACAAGGAAACTCACTATCAATTGCTCAGATGCCGGTTCCAGTTCCAAGATCAAGAATCTCTTGAGGATTCTCAAGAGGCGCATAGTGTAATTTGCCGCCGCAAAGATTGACAACCATAGCATGCTTCATATCTTCGCGGGCTTGCTCTGGCTCATCGTTCGGAAATTGATACTGTCCTTCACGGAACTTATGGTATCTCCTCCCATTCTCAAAAGCGTAGTCTCTCACACTTGACGACAGCGATGTGGACGCCGCGCTGGCATTGTCACTCTCATATCCATCATCCGGTACTCCATCTTCGCTGGCCTCGATCGTAGTCTCAGCTTGCTGGGCGACGCTCTCAGCCTCCTCCAAAATCTGAGCAACACCTAAACCGGTTCCTTTGTCTGGTGAGCGCTGCGCGCTCGGCAACTCGGTCATCTCGTGTACTGCATTGAAGAGCGCTGTGTGCAATACTTCCAGCAATGTTGGCAAGATCCTTGGGATCAAAAATAAAGTTGAAGTTCGCCATCATGAACTCTGTGTTGTTAGACCACTGAGCGATCCTGATCTGGTCCGTCAGATCAATAGACTAATATCTGATCCGGCATTCCCGATGTTCATCATTGTTAGAAACGGATCGTTTCAGTGGTCGATTTGGCTCGGCACCTCCCTAACCGCTCCCCCTACGGTATGCAGCACCGGATGATCGACGTGCTGCAGAAACGTGATCTCCAACTCGTTTTTGGACTTGGATCTCAGCAGGAGTGAGCTTTTTGGGACACTGGATTTCAGCTCTCTCGGATGTTATAATGATTCTTTTATAATTATCTCTATACGAATCATATCAAAGCTTTCTGTAAGGTGGTCTGGTTAACTAACACCACCCAAGAACATCCCCCTCGAGCCCTTTAAGACATCCTCTCGCTTACTGTACGTCATGACGTCCCGAGCTGAGGGAGCGTTCCCTGGACCCAAACAGAGTCGTTACATTGAAGCACTCATAAATTCTATTTTTTAAATGTTAATGTCACGCCCATCCACCTGGTTTTCATTGTTGATAACAACAGAGAGATCTCCACAATTACTGGTCAAACAATTCAGCTCCAGCACCGTTGAAATGAAACGCAAAGCCGGCTCGTCGCCCGAGCCATCAGCAAGAAAAGTGGCAAAGCTCGCAGACTATTGCTGTACTCCGACTTGTCGAGATTCGCAAGGTGTCGAAATATGGCCAGCTCCGGAGTCTCAAATGATAGCCGCGCGAAAGTTTTTGCAAAACTGGTCAGTCACTGAACAGATAACAGGCATCATTGGGATAGTAGCTGAAATCAGTAATATAGTGTCACGGCTCAGAAGAAAACCCTCATCGTACCAGATAAAGATGCAGATGGGCTCAGTTCAGGAGTCATTGTTCACAGAACTTTGGTGAAATTAGGTCTTGTAAGTTCCATTCTCGGTGAAAGATACTCGTCTTCTCTGAGGTTTGCTTGGTCATCCACGAAAATCTTGAGAGCTCCCCATTTGTTCATGCTGCTGGTCACCATGAGATCCACCATACACGCAGAAAACCACGTTATGCTCGTAGATGTTGATGAAAACACCAACTGACGCTTGCGATCTAGGATCCGAAATTGCTCGACGTTCATCTAGTCCAGAAAGGATCGAATATACATGAGCCTTTCGAGCGACAGGCCATGTTGGAAAAAGAAGCAGAATTCATTATTGTCCTAGATCAAGGGAGCAGAGGAGCTCCTCCAGTAGTCGACGATCCAAACACCAAACCAATCATAATCGACCACCACTTGAGTGGCGACTTTCCTGAGGGCGCCGAAGTAAGTAAACAAACCCATGCAAGTCGCGTGTTGTCATTAATGAGTCTAGGTTGTGTCGGCGTGTCACTGTCCACCAGTCGCCACTTCAGCTCTCTTGACATACGAGATCTGCAAAGAGCTCCATCCAGATATCGCTTCAGAGTGTGGATACCTCTGCGCGATCGGCACGCATGGAGATCTGGGCAATACACTGAAATGGCTACCGCCTTTTCCAGATATGACAGAAACTTTCAAGAAGCATACCAAGAAGATTCTCAATGACTGTGTTTCCTATCTCAATGCTCGTAAGCCTTCAAGTGTCGAATGCTCCTAATTTGGTGTTGACATTTGATAGCTCGACGTACTGGCACCTATGATGTGATCACTGCTTGGAATGACCTTCTCCAAGCCAAAGATCCTAGAGAGATACTCAAAAACCGCCGTTTGGCACAAGCACGTGAAGAGATCAACATCGAAGTCGAGAAACAAACGCACACCCCACCGAAATTCAGCAAGGATGGGAAGATCGCCGTGCTAAAGATAAACAGCAAGGCTCAGGTTCATCCTGTGATTGCCACACGATGGGTAAGCACTCTTAATTTCTCTGTGAGTCTTGTCTAACAACATTCCAGGCAGGAACTCTAAAATCCAAAGCCCTCGAAATTATCATGGTAGCCAATTACGGCTATTTACCAGGCAAAGTCAACTTCTCTTGCCGCATCGCCCGATGTGCTCGGGATCGCGATCCTCCAGTCAACATCATCGAGTCATTAAAAGCTGTAGCGGACCTAGATACAGGTGATCTGATTCAGCGAATGGGTGAGAGTTTCGCGAGAGGACACAAGGAGGCCTCGGGTGGAATCATTCCGACAGCCGAGTTCGAGGAACTGTGTGTTCTGATGAAAGTTGGCGAGAAACCAGACAAGGTGGACGGAGAGTCACCAAAGAAGAAAGCGGATGCCCAGAAGAATACTCTAAATAATTATTTCAAGAAGTCTTGAGAAGTAGATCTTGGGGTCGGCCAAAAGGAGGATTTGCCGAGACTTTTCCTCGCTCATGTTTACACTGCATCTGAGTCTCAGACAGGCAACAAGACGGGTACGCCTAGAATTATATCCTGACCATACTTCGTGCCGTTGACTTCTTTGACTCCTTCAAGTCGTTCTTCTGGAGCTATCTGTAGACGTGTTTTGATTTCTGTCACACAAGTGAGCTTCAGCGAAAGTCACGAAATTGAGTGAATACTTACGAGCTTCTCGCCATTCTTTATTTGTTGGCACCTGGAAGTTTGTCAGTTTGGTTCGAGACTGGATTAGCTTTACCTCCTCACCGGCCGACCGGAGTCCATGAGATTTTTAAACTGCATGAATATTCCTTGCTTTAGTACAAACCCCTCGCGCTGTATCAAGGGTGATTCTATATTACGCAATGTCAGTATCCTCACCTAAATGTTGGGTTATCCTTACCTGTCAAAGGTTTTAAGCGCATATCCCCTTTAGATCCATTGAAGAGCACCAGCGAAAGACGCTTTTCGTGTCGTTGATCTTCTGGAGGCTCAGCAACCTTGTGTAATGTAGCTTTAAAATGACCTCCAGAAATGACTAGCCAGGCTTCAGTTCCTACAAAAGCTTTCCTACGGAAGGCGTTTGACAAACCTTCAAGTGTGTCTCCCAGATTTACAACCAACGCACCCGGATTGTACTTCACATATCTCCACTGATCATCCTTCCAGATCTGGAGCGCTGTAACGGGAACCGAGAACAAAAACGTTGTTGTTCCGTAATCAGTGTGTCTGGAAAACCTCAGTAAGTTCTCGACTTTAGTTGTACAGTAAACAGTGGTCATTACTGGCTTACTTACCCGTACATCCGCACGCCTTTCCTCGCAACCCTACTCTCCTCGTCTAGAGGATAGAATAATGCATGCCTGAAATACCCATCACCGACCAATCCGTCATGCGACTGCACGGTGTCTAAATACACGTGTTAACTTCTCCTCGCATCGTTGCATTGCTTGAGGAATGCTACTCACCCCACAGATAGTCGTCAGGAAGCTCAAGAACCATCGATAGTAAACGCAGCAGTCGACGATTCACAGAATTGACTAGATACTTTAAGACTATAAGCTCGGCTTGAGTGTCATATGGGAGGTGGACTCACATCACAGAATGAGGTTATCTCATCCATGAATGGAAGGATACACTTAGGAACGCGACTGCTGTCTTCAAACTCGGGCGAGTAAAAATTGAACTGTTCAATCCCGTCATAATTTCCCTTCTCGCGCTTGGGACATGTGTTAGTGTATATTGTCTACTACAGATAGTGGCACCTGCCTTCCAACCAAACCTCGGCTTGAAACCCGCAAACACACCAGTCGACGGATCCCAGAGTAAACGCTCTTTATCCTCCTGAGAGATATTTTCATGCAAATATTGAGCAAGTGAGAATTGCCGATGAAGCTGCCACACCTGTCAGTAAGTCAAAGTCACTTACACAAATGAGGACATTTCCGGTGTGTTGTACCTGCTCTAGTGAAATCCCATAATTCGTCAAGAAGAGAAACCCATCTTCTTTAATAGCAGTTTTAGTCTTAGCGACCAGATCCGCGACCACAGCCGGATCATCAGAGTCAAGCAGAGATAACTCGATAGTCCTGAGGTCTGCCCATTCAAGATCCATCTTCGTTTGCTGCGGAGGAATCCATGCTGGAACTTCCGGCTTGTTGATATCTGAAGTCGGTGCTGTAAATGGAGCTGCCATGTCTCTCTTCTGTCTACAATTTTCCGATGTTGTCGTGATATTGGTTGAGGTTACGTGCTGGTTTTCAAGTAATGTTGTGAACCCCTCCTTTCAGGAAGGTGGGATTGCCAAGGGTCAGGCTGTTTCTTGGTTTCTCCGTTGCCATGCATCTCTCGCTATCTGCGAATGGCGTCGATCGAACTGTTAATGTCTCCGCCTGGTACTGGGTTCTCGATTGAAGCATGACTTTCTAAACTTGAGCCCCCTCCTGGCAATTTATAGCAAAAGAGATTAACCTTATCGAGTGTTTCTCAACTGCGAGTAATTGTGACAGGTCCTTCTGATGCCACTTAGATGAAGAGTTTCAACGATAATGTCAATCGAATGCAGATTTCTGAGATATTCATAATATTGTGGGGATGAAGTATTCAAAGCGCACCTTCTGCCTTGCTAAAGTAGTAACTGGACATTGTGACATTGCTGAAGACAACAGAACCTCATTACTTAGCGAGACCACCGGATTTAGCGAACAGGCCTAGAATCAAAACAACACCAGCCCAGGTGTGAGCTTCCGATACCTATATGCAGCAAAATCTTGTGTCCACTGCCATAGAAGCATTGAATTCTTTTTGATTCCTAGTTCAATTGCTTACAAGTCACCCAGATGTTTCGCCACTTCGTAGCACTCGTCTCTAAGTCCACAAATCCTCCTCTATAAAATTCGCGGCCCTCCTAGCAACAGCATATGCCGAGCTTGCAACGTTCCTCTACTGCCATGGATGAGAGAAGCAGTGACACTGTCGTTGCTATGGTATTCCAGCATGACGCCCAGCTGAACTTCTTCCGTGCGTGATTACTTCCGGAAGTTGTGTTGTGTACTGGTAACTGCCCTGGTCTTTGTATCGTTTTGACCAAAGTCACATAAATTGACAAAACGAATTTGATCACTTGACTAACCAAAATTCTAGCTACATTTTGTCAAGCTGGTATTTCTGTGCTCGTTCAAATTGTATCCAATTATTAAGATTAGTTACCTGCTAATCGTAACGACAGTCGATAGTGATTCATCCAATAAATCGCTCAAACGCGCCGAAACGCCACCAACCGATTGCCGGCCCAGATATGTATACCAAAACGCCTCGACATAGTCGTATATTCCCAACGATCCCACGATATCATTTGTCAAATGTCCCCAATAAGATCAGCATCGCTCACATCATGCTCACAATCCTACCGCCTTTTACTTCCCCACAAGGAAGTTCAAACTTCCAGAAATGCCCTTCATCTCCACCATGGATCCCTGCCCCTTATCCTCAACACCCTTTCTCGCCACAAGCTCGCTGAAGCCAGGGCCATTTCTGAACTTGATGATCCTGACACCCTCGCCTCTTGCCACAATATTCCCTGACACAGACTTGCCGTGTACCGTCCCCTCCCATGCACTAGGATACTTCAACTTGATAGTCGCGGAGTTGGACGAGTGGATGGAAGATAGAGTATGTAGTTTAGTGTCGTCGGCCGAGGTGCGAGAATCGATTTCGAAAAGCGCTTGGGTCCCAATGTTATTGGGAGGGATGATCAGAAAAGGCTCATCATCGCCGACGGGTTTCTGATTCTCAAGTTGGTTGGAGAGAAGGGAGATGAAAATTGGGTCGAGGAGTTCAACATCTGTCGTTCCACTGATGGTGTGCGTTTCGAAACTGTTGTTTGGAGCTGTGTGTGAGTCGCCAGCGCGAAGAACTGGAAGTCCCGTAATTTTAATGGTACCTGATGTGGTCTTGAAACTGTTGGAAGAGCCTATGTAGTAGGAGCCACTAATAGACGACGAGGTGGAGTGGACTGTGGTGATGTAATTCCGTGGGGGCGGAGTGTACGACGGATCTGAATCTCCGCCAACAGGGCAATTGACCTTGATAGTACCAGATGATGACTGGACTTCTAAATCGGCTGGGGCGGGTGCCGAAGGAAGAACAGGTTGGGGGAACACGTCCGCATGAATGCTCCCTGACTGCGAAGACAGGCCTAGGACATCCATCAGAGGATAGTTACCTCTGATACTGCCCGACATTGTTTCGACAAAAATTTTGCGAGAAGAGAAGGGAAACCCGTCCGAAGAACGCCAGCCAGGACTGTCGGCTTGACTTTTGGCATCTGTTGCATCGATGGCGGGGAACCTTACTCCACCTGAGATAGTTGTAAACTTAGATCGCCCACTGACATTGACTTTGATATCATCTACAACCCTCAAGGTAAGTGAGATAGCCTCGATCAAAAGGCTGCTGAATTGAGCATCTTCGGGAATCCAGGCCGTGATCTCAAGCGAGATACAGTGATTCAACCCAGGCCTGAGAGGAGCGGTGCTTGGAGTGACAATTTTCAAAACGCGCGAGTCCTCATCCCATGTTTTGTCCACTTGCAGACTTTCGTCACTGACTTGAACATCCACAGTGAAATAAGCTCGGTTTCCATGTATTGAATTCTTTGGTAGTCGACGGAGTCGGATCTCGCCGACAGTGCTTACACTTCTCTCATACAACGAGCCACCAGACTCAGTGGTTTGCAACACCGTGAGATCTGATCCAACAGGAAATTCGTATGTCACAACATCTTCCTTATATTTGGCTGCAGTGCAGTATGGAGTAGATGAGTCGATGGGTCTTTCGTGTCCATCGTCGTTATCAGGCTGTCCCTTACTAGGTTCACTACCTCCATTGCCTGGAGGCGGTAATTTGTCGGCCTGAAAATACACTTAGTCTCTACTTCAATGCTGCTGCAAGGTATAAATTTAACTTACGTCTTTGTCGTGCCGGAAGGTAGCTGTGGTGAACATGGTAAATAGGACCAGAGCCAGCACCGCAAATCCAAAATGTTTGAGCCAACGCTTCTTTGTAGGTGTTAATTTCTTTATAGATGCCAGGGGCGTATTTTCCGTCGGCTCATATGCAGGCGCTCCCATACTTTCCGGTTCGCGCAGAGGAGGAATGCCAGATTCCAAGTGGTGCTCTGGAAATGTACTGTATGATCTCTCGACTGGTTCGCTAGCCGTGGTAGGAGATACTGGACTGGGTGTATATGCAGGAGGAGGGCCGTTAAGCAAAGCACTGTTCTCTGAGAACATCTCTTCGTTTCGATGGGGTGAGACAGGCGAAGCGGGAGTATATGAAGTAGGAGTAGGAGGAGACTGTGAGCTAGCTTGCTGGGACGCGTAACTCTGTGATGGGGGTGTTCGTGATAGTAAAGGGTGCATCGATGACCTCGAACTTTGTCCTGCGCGTTGCTGTATGTTTGGGGTGGGTATCAAAGTCTTGTCCTCGACCCTTTCCTTCCTATCCAGTGATGGATCCGCGACCATTGTATTGGACGGCATCCCGCCTCCACGGTTGAAGTATCCATCGCTTGGGCTGAGCTCGTCACTGATTGACTGTCTGTCAAATATGTTGTCGTCCTCCTCGTCGTTTGCGGAGTACAGATTATCAGACGGGTGCGACATTTATGCTGCTGCCTTGGCAATTAGGAGGTCGGCAATGTTACGAAGCAGTACAAAAGTAGATGCCTTGAGCAATCCACGATGTTTGAGGTTGCAGCAGACAGCACAAGCAAGTCAGAGTCGTGAGAAAAAGATAGACAAGTGGAGTAGTAAGCACGGAGGAACTGAGGATTGAATTGAGAACTACGTAGGCTGTTTGGAGCGTAGGCAACAACGGAAATACCATTGGGAATTGGCCAGGAAGAGGCAACCCCACTATCGAACTACGAATCACCACCGCTGCGGATGGAGAGAAGGGCCTTGGGATTGGCTGCAACGGTCAGCCCGCATTGAGGCTTGCATGGTTTGGGAAGGCGGGTGAGAAGTTGCAGGGTCGGATATGAGGTTGAATCTGATAAGAGGTGCGAGAGGCACGTGCTTCGGAGTTCGATATTCCCTGTTTCGGCGTTCGCAACTGAGTGAACAAAGATTAATTGAGATTTTCTGGATGACTACTCGTGATATGTGGGGAGTAGAGTGTAGAATGTTATAAGTGTCACAACATAATTGATGGGTGGGGTTCGTCTCTGGACACCCCGAAACTCACACGAAGTTAAGGCGTGTGTGTAACTTTAAGTCCACCTCACTTCCCTATCAGGCAACACACCAATTCCAAAAACATTCAAACCATAAAAGCACGACCAATGATGAGACACTTCCCCGGATTTCGCTACACAGTGTTCATTCAAGAGCCCCTATTCCCACCATGCCCTCCACGCCAAGGATCCATAGTTAGTATTCTTACTTCGGTTTGGCTCTCCCATTCTCTCCTCAGCTTTGTCCCGAGTACATCATGATATGCGTGTTCCCTATTCAAAACCAGATACTGACTCCGTTTTACCACAGTCCTAGGCTTAGGCAACCTAGGTCGTCTTTTTGCCCACGCACTCGCTACTCTACCAAACCCACCACGAATCACGCTCCTCTTCCACCGCCCCGTAAGTTATTTGGAACCATGGAGTCTGACATTGGAGCCCATCTTTTATCTTGCCCAAGACGTTATATAGATATCTCTTATCTGTTTCTCTGCTGACTTCCATATCAAGAGTCTACTGGACGATTGGGAAGCAGCTGGTCGCCAAATACAAATTGCGTCCAAAGATCTCAGCTCAACATCCTCATCATCAAACTATACAATCGAAGTCATAGACTCCAACTCCAGTACATTAGGCTCCTCAACACTGTCTCCCTCACAGGGGCCTATCCAAAATCTCCTCATAACAACTAAAGCTCAACACACCCTCCGAGCACTAATACCTCTCCTCCCCCGTCTCACCAAATCATCCACCCTCCTCTTCGCCCAAAACGGCCTCGGGACAATAGACGAAGTGACAGCCGCCTTGTTCTTCAACCCGTCAACACGACCAAAGTATCTCGCTGCGATTACTTCTCATGGTGTGTATTCGACGGGACCATTCAAATCGGTTCACGCTGGGTTAGCGGATGTGAAGGTTGGACCTGTTTATCCTCGCACTGAGCCTCAGTCTCAAAATGCATCTGCAGCGAATTCCTCTCCAAAGCCCCTGGAGGGAACTCAAAATGAACATGGAGCAGAAGCAGAGCAAACAGCACCTCTCCTCAACGCCCTAACATCCTGCCCCATCCTCACATGTACAACCGTCCCAGCACACACGCTCAAAAACCTACAACTCGAAAAGTTGACCATAAACGCCATTGTCAACCCCCTGACCGCCATCCTAGGCGTCAAGAACGGAGAAATATTACAACACGACTCCATACGCAGAGTCACTCATCTACTCATCGAAGAATGTAGTCGTATCCTCGTCTCCCTCCCCGAACTCCAACCTACCAACTCCAAAACCACTACCTCCTCCCCATCACCAGGCAAGAAGTCTCCAGACGATGAGATGACTCTGTTGGAAAGGTTCTCGCCTACCAGGCTGGATACCCTTGTAACGACCGTGGCGCAGAAAACAGCTGCGAATACGAGTTCTATGTTGCAAGATGTCCAGGCTGGACGGGAGACGGAGATCGAGTATATCAATGGGTACTTTGTGAGGAGGGCGAGGGAGACGGGGATAAAGTGTGTATTTAACGAGAAGATTGTAGGCGCGGTGAAGGGGCGTGTGAGCGTGGGTGTTGGGGAGTTGGAGGGTTTGTTTGACGGGTTGGGGGAGTGAGTGTAGGATTTAAAGCGGGTTAGAAGACCTGGGGAGTAAGATTGGATTGTGTCAGTAAATGTACGTCTGCATAGATGTTCGACGTGATAAGTGTGACACATCAAACTCGTCGGTTGCCCGGACTGATGCTGTAGTATAGTGTCCCGTCGATTCTTTTTTTGTTGAATTCTTTGCTTCATACAATATGTACAACGCCACTACAATCCCTTTCCTTCAGTCTTTCTAGTACGAATTCCAGATATCAATCAACCCCAGTTCCTCAAGCCCTGCAGACCGAATTATCCCCCAAGCGCATCCATCTTTACTTCGACCTCTCACTAGGTGTAACAGCGAATGTAGGTCTCACGAATCTGTAAATCAGCCAAAGTTAGCCAGTTGCTCCTCAAGTATCTAAAACCCTTTCTTTCCACCATTGCGGCTTGGTGCAAGACAAAATAACATACCTATCCGAGTTATACGGACTCGTCTGACTCCCCAGCAGCGCCTTCTCCCTCGCCTGATCCGCATAATGCCTCCGCACCAAATCACGATCTTCTTCCGCCGTCAGGAGAGGAATGAGGTGGATTCTCGACCACATCTTTTCGCGTGCGAGTTCACTGTCCAAACACAATCTACGTCAGCATTGCATCCCCTTTAAGATCATCTCATCTTCTGCCCAATGCTTTCCTCTCGTATAAGGACTCTCTGTGTGGTTTCATGCTCCAGCATGAGCCAGGCGAATCCAGATTTGTAGAATTGGGAGACAGGGGAATTCGGATAGTAATGGTGTAGGACATGAACGTACTTCTGCTCTCTAATTCCCTTGCCGACCTTCCAGAAGCCGAATGTCATGACGCCGGCCATAGCGACGAGCATGACTGATGGACGGAAGCCTCGCGCCGGCAAGTTTCGCTGTTGATCGGAGAGCGTGTTAGCAATTGTTCTCCTCCCTCATATCATGTCCCATCCAGTACTGCCATGGCTGGTGTTGTGCTGCATGTTGTGTGGTTTCGAAGATGCCTGCTATCGTGTCCATTGCCTCAATTGAACCAACTCCAGACCCAGTTCCAACCCATGGTCTTCTCCCTCCAGTCGGCCATTTCCCTCCTTCCCTCTATACCCTCTCGATCTTCAATCTTCCCATCCTCCTGCTGCCCATCCTCCTCCACCTCCTCCCCCCTCTCTTCGCGTGCTCTCCTATAAAGTAAAAATACCCACGTACCTTATACTGAACCGGCTCATAGCCCCCGACGGGCGGTAGATCTTGAGGCATGATGAATGTGCGTGTCTGTCGTCTTGCAATGGAATTGCAGTCTCAATCGCAATCGCAGTGGCTGACAGCTCAGTTAAGGTCGTCGTTGAATCGCGAGCTTCACGATGCACTAGGCCGGTTGTGGCTGGGGAGTTGGAATTCTGCCGGGCGGTGGATCAAGCAAGAACAACCAATGGGAGAGAAGGTTATCAATCAGTTGATCAGGGCATGGAGCCATGGTCCGAGGATGGTTGGGGAATATATTTCACTGAACAGACCATTCTTGATATGTTTTGAGAATGTCGAGACATATAGAAGTCAAGGATACGAAGAAGAATCTTCCATTGGATGCTGCATCGGCTCGCAAGCTTGTACGCTGAAATGCACCTCCTCACTACCTTACAATCAGAAAGAGAAAGCACACCAAAACAAGCACAAACGCCATGGCTATGCCCCATCCATCCACCCTAATTCCATCCCGCCCCAATCCAGCCCATCCAAAGCCATCCCAAACCAATAATATCCCAAACTTGCTACTATGACGATGGAAGGGAAAAAGATACGCCCACATGCAACTTCTTCCATAGTCAGCAGCAAAGTGAGTTTAGTCAAATATTCAACAACCGGAACACCAGTCCCCAATCTAGCCAGTCTAGAAATGGGATATGCAAAGATTATCTCCTCCCTTGTCACTGCTCATCCCACTCATCACTTCACTGTAACAATTGTGTTCGTGTAAGAATGAACAAGAATGCAATCCCAGACAGCTTCGTTCTTGTGAAGGACGCTCAGACAGATCCATCAGCACCTTGGGCCTCCAATTCCTCACTCGCAAATGCCGCCTCAAGATCGGCCTCTAGATCATCTCCAAAACCGTCGTCGCTGCTATCCTGTTCTTCGCCAGGAGTAGGAAGATTGGTGATGTCTTGTGATAATGCGCTTGTGCTATTCGAAGTCTTCACGGCATTCAGACCGGTTGTTCTCGACTTTGCAATGCGTTGCTTCTTCGCCAGAGTGCTCTCCTCATCACTCTCTTCATCCTCAGTAGCCGTGTCGTGGTTTCTCTTCCGCCCTCTCCCGGCCTTGCTTTGTCGACTTGACGTACTTTGTCTGCTTGCATCACTCTCGCTACCTGACTCGTTGGCTTCTGAATCTGACGCCATGAATTCATCAAGTTCATCGTCGACTTCTCCCCAGTCGAATCCCTTCAAATTGTCGATTGGTGATGTGCCCCCTGTCATCTCGTCAGGCATCACACCTTCATCATCATTAGCTGTGTCGTCTTGGCTACTGGCGGGGACGCTCTCGCGATCCTCCTCCTCACTCGCTGAATCGTCGGAAGTCTCGTCAGAGTCAATTACCGACGATGGCGCATCGGAGTTGAAGCCGTCATCTCGCACTCTGTCGGCTTCGTGAATTGCAACCTGATGTGTATTAGTAGCCAGACTATGCTTTCTCGCTTCCCGGCTTACAAGATATGGTGTCTCATCCTCCTTCTGCCACTTGCTCATCGAATTTAACAACCATTGTTGATTGACGATCTTGATGTTCGGGTATTTGGCGGCTTGTCGAACTTTGTGAGTGCGGGTTCTACTTGTCGAGGCAACCAGATGTGTGACTTTTCTGTTAACCCTGTAAAACTTTAGCCTAGAAATTTCTTCGATATAGTGAGAGGTACGTACTTCGATTGAATCTCTGCACCGAAGCTGGCAGCTTGGAGTCCGATCTCAGTTCTACGATGGATCTGTAAGCTTATGTCCCATTGGTCATGCAAGTCCCATATAGCTTCATCATGCTCAAATTGTGATATATCAGATTCTAAATACCTCATTATATCTGCTTGCAGTGGCACCAGCCCGGACATTACAATCGTACAACCGGCCAATGTCTTAGTCCTAACTGTTGTGAGTAAAGAGTTTCGGGGAGATAATATGGGGGAAACACACTTTAATCGTGGCATGACATCTCCGATATCAGGCACGACCTTGCGGTCAGCGCCATTCAGGGGGATCTTTTTGTTAAGTCCTGGTTTCAGTTGTGCAACCCGGCCTCCAGAAGCATTGATCACGCGCCCCTCGTATTCATCGTAGAATGCCTTGTGTACTTGACTGAGATGTTGTTCCAGGTATTTGAGCTCCATATCATTATCGACTAGCAGGTTGTGTCTGTGTTGAGGTTCTTGAGTAGCACCGCCGTTGGCTGCTTCATCAGCAGGAGCTTGGCTGTCCTCCTTGTCGAGTTTTTCTTGCATATGTAACAATGGCCGATCTGTCAATTGCTTTTCCAAGAACTTTTCTTGCTCTGCAGCTTGCTCGAGGCGAAGTGCCTGGTCGTCCCCACTACCCATGCGAACCAGCTCTTCCAGGGCGCTGATCTTCGATCCATCATCAGGCTTAGCTGCTTCTCGCTCTGCCGATTCCACAGGCTTAACCTCATTAGACTCTGGCTTCTTGTCGTCAGATCCCTCAGCAGTTTCCTTAGTTTCGCCATCCTTCAGTTCCGATTTGGATGATTTCTTCTTGAGTGGTGGTGGCAGTGGCGGCAATTCCTCTCTCTTGGGTAAGAAGCTTGAGTTAATGTCTCCAATACCGAGGAAGAAGTCGTATGGAACAACCTTGATTAGGTTTGGTCGGTTGTTGGGCCATACATCTGCTCGATCATCTATGATGACAACCATCTTGGTGTCCACGGGAAAGAGCCGAGCAAGACTCTTTGCTGTGACATTGCCATTCTCATCTCTGCTGATGATGCGGTCTCCGAAGAGCTTCTTGTCAGGGTCGACAATCTTGGCGATGTTTATAGCGTATGCTCGAGTACCCATTGTGTAGACATGCAATTCGTACATCTCGGAGATCTTGGCCAAGAATTCCTTTAGTCCGGGGCGCATCTTGATATAGTACCAGCATCCGGAAGCCAGACCTCGAGGCCCATCATCATTTAATTGGAACGATCGGACATCCTTGACGGCGTCGTAGTTGGGTGATGTCTTGTCTCTCTGCCACTCTCCGACCGTGGGCTCGATACAGGCGTGGATGATAGTTTGGTCCAAATCAACCACCAAGGAAAGCTTCTTATGGGCCAGCAGCCTCTTCTGTAACTCGCTCTCAGCCTTCGATGCCTCATCTTGGCTAACCGTCAACGATGTCTGGTCATGAATCATGTTGATCTTGGCTCGCTCCGTATCGTCCGAGGTGCTAGTCCAGTTCATCTCTGTCATATCCTTGCCGCATATGCCACACAGCCCCTGGAATTGGATGGAATGCGGACACGTCTCTTCGACATCAACAAAACGCATATCCTTCTCGATAACCATACCATCCGTGACCTTCCATGACTTCAAAGTTCCTTCTACAGGACTCTCCCAATCTGCGATGGCGGTCTGTTCCTCCGGCCATTGTCCTTTTGGATCACTAGGATCGCCAACCATCAAGGTCCAGTTCCACTTGTATTGGAGGATCGGTTCGAGTTTCTTTATGCTATCGCCAGGCTTCTTAAGTACTTTGATGATAGTGACTGGGTACTTCAGCTTCGCCCCTAAACTCAGTAGCTTGCCCATCTTGTTTCCTCCTTCAGGTTATCGCAATTCTTGTGATCATGCGGTTCTCGCCTTTCTCGATCTGTTACAAAACCCGAATTAGTGAAAGACCAAAATAGGAGTTGAAGATCGGGCATGGAAGGGCGAGCGCGCAAGCTGAACTCGAGATCGAGGACAAGCGGGGCTTGCAAACAGAAGTAGGAGGCTCAAAAAGCCTCGTAGAAGCTTGCGCAAGCTCCAAGCACATACGATACGGCAACTACAAGCTGTCGGAAGACCTACGATCTCGACTTGAGCTTTGGAAAAGCTCTCATAGATGTCGCGTGGGGTACAGCTGGAGGGTAGTGCAATAGCTGGTGCATCTGCGCCAATGCTCCTTCCAATCCTAGCACCCAAGTAATCACCTTTTCTATCTCCCCAATTCTCTTCTTCTGACCAACGTAGAGGCTGCTGCAGTTGCGGGCTGGTGCAAGCAAAGTGCGCGTGGTATTTTTGGGGTAGGGGTTGTCGGGGTTGACGCGGTCTTGTTGACTCTGGAGCTTCGATAGGTAAGGTACGGACTTGCAAGTATGTTCGGTTCGCAGTGGAGTGCAGTGGACGTCGTGATAGGCTGCGCTGGCGAATTTTGGCAAACAAAGTACTTTGCCGTGGGGTTACGGCAAAGGTGAATCGGGGAATTGGTGAATTGTAGCTCGTGGTTTTGTGCTGTATTGTGTTGCGATGCGATGCGATGCGAAGTGAGGTGGTGCCGTTTGCAGCTGGATCTTGAAGTTGAAGTTGAACTTTTGGGCTTGTCGACTCGGTCGCGTCCGCATGGGGATGGTGGCTCGGTCAGACAGTGTCGGTGTGTCGGTGAGTCGGTGGGTGTGGGTGTGGGTGTGGATGTGTGTGGCAGGTGGGCAGGCTGAGTGGCCGTGGCCGTGGCCGTTCCTTTGCTGGGGAATCCAGAGCTTTTTAACCCCGTCAGATCGTGGAAAGTGGAGATGCCGATCCATAGACCAGACCATGGCTGATTGGAGCCTGCGTGCGGGCATGAGGCCCAGCGCGATTGGCTGCTGGCGGAATGGACAGGGGTCGCCATATCCATATCCATATCCATATCCATACCGTTTTGGTCAGTCTTCAGCCTCGCCAGTAATGCAATACATAGATGCATGCAGCCAAATTGTATCTTGTGCCTTTGCCATCCAGCCTTTTGGATACAGACTTGGTATGTCGGTTCATAGACTGGGCAGGGAATATAAAGCTGCTATGCGGGCTTGGGTTATGGCTTATTGTGGATCCAGCTATGTTGGATATCGATGCTCCTGAGGAATGTCTCCACCTCAGCCTGAAGCATGTTCAACATCAGGATACAGGATACACTTGCTCACTGCTCTGGACGTATAATAGTTCAAAGTAAGCGGAACTCATTTCCAATCAGCTTCCTATTGCTTTTCGTCGGCTATGAAGATACGGCGCCTTGAAATTGTCCGTATTCGTCACAAAGAAAAAAATAGTCTTGGAAGCCTTTATTCTAGAAGCTGTTCAAAAACATATCACGGCCTTGTTGCATTCTCCTGTCAGATATATCCCCTTTCCTCGAGAGTTAGCTTTCAAATCTTTGTTTATCTGTGTTCGCCATGAGCAGTTTATCCACTCTCTAGCAGCAGTTCCCTCCAAAGCACAATGCAAATCTCTGTAGTACGCAGAAATGGAAGTAATGCAGCGATATGGAATTTTGTTGCTGGAATTTGTTGTGTCGTTCTGCGATGACCAGCTCCACGAGATATCCAAAGCCGTGCCTGCATGAGGAGAGACACCAAGCAGGGAGGTGCTGCAGTGCCGGCCGGGATCTGAGATCAAGAGGCCCTGCAAAAATATCCATAATCTTACTATCTGATTCTTCAGGAGCACTTTGAAGAAGCCCTAGATATTGGAACGAAAGCAACCATGCCACTCACTAGTGAAAGGCTCTCAGAGACGGAGTTGGAGAATTCTCAGGAGACTGCGAAACCTGGAGAATATTTCATCCGATAACAGACCCTACTGCAAACATAGCATCTTCCAATTGCAAAGATCTCGTGCGCCTCGAGGTTATGCTCGGTGAAAAGCTATGAAGTGACGAGTCTGCTCCAAATATGTTTATCGAGAATTAAGCGAGAAATTCGTCCTCGGCAAAACAAATGGAGAAGAGGCGGCCCAAAAAAAGAAATTACAATAACGAGTAAGACAGAAAAGCTACTCAAAGTGAACGTTCAATCACCAGCACACTATGGCAGGACCAACTCTCCCGGATTACGATACGTATGAATCATCGCAGCTTACGAGACTCTGTATGGACCATGGCTGGCCAGTGAGTGAGGACACCCCGCGTCATGAGATGATCAAATTCATCGTGCGCAGATACGAGCAGAACGAAGGCAAGAAGGCAGGGGCGCTTCCGAAATTTAATGCGGACAATGATCGAGATGGCCTCAACCGTAGAGAATGGATTGAAGGGTTCAACAAGGTCTAGGAGCGTTGTACTCATCTTGAATTCGAAGCGGTCATCGAATACAGTCAAGAGAAGATAGAATGGCACATGAAACAAAAGATCGTCACTCAAGGGAAACTCAAGCACAGATTGAAGTCTTTGTCCTCGGGCCTGGAGAAACGATTGGCCGACCTTGATTCATCATTGACCTCTGAGAAAGCGGGAGGGAGCAAGGCAAATCCTGAGTGAGTTCTTTACCTCACCCGTAACCTGATGATGTTCCCGAGTATACACTAACACCGCCTTACTCATTCAGAACTGATTCTGTGGAGTCCAGCCTCGAAATTCTTCTCACCGAACCTAATAGCGAGAACACCGATCAAATCGACACAGAAGACGTCGAGGAAGTTACGGATGCAGTCGAACAAGATGAGACAGAAGAGGCTACCAAAACCAATCAGAAGAGCGTAGAGCAGGGAAATGGCAACCATACAGTCATTAATGAATCAGCTGCCAAGCGCCGTCGTCTCTTGGATCCGGAAGACTTGCTTCAGGACATGATCGATACTCACACGAAAAATCCAGAGACCAACGAGGAACTCCAGCCATTCAATATTCTCGGCGGAACGCTGCACTCCAAGTTGTTTGCAAAAAATCTGTCAATCCCTTGAAGTCGAGTTTGGGGATTCAGATACTTGCTTCTCTCTGTTGTCGCTTCGGGAACATAAAAGACACTTCGAGCAGTTCTGCGCTCAACATGTTCTCGCAGACAACTCGGCACTATTTCTCATCTTCAACTGCTCAGCTGAGGGCGACGATAATCTCAAGAAGTGCAAGGCCCATGCCGAAGAAGCCCTCAATACTTTCTGCTTCGCCAGACCTTGCTGCCGTTATTTCTCCAAGATCGACTATCGCTATGGCACCCACACAGATACAGAGATTGATGATTTCGCAGAGGCTTGGGAATATCAAATGATACACCATTTTGGAGCCGCTGAAGGTGACATCGAGGAAGCCATATACCATTCGGAACTGCTGAAAATGACATCGAGACTGAGGCGGCGGGACAGATCGATGAAGTTACGAACTCATCAGAGATTGAGGTGGTCAAGGAGACGATGATTCACCAGGATTTAAGTATCGCTGCAGGAGAGGAAAGCCTTGATTTGGACGAGGACCACTGGTATGCGGATGATGAGGATGAGAGCGACCACAAGAGCGAGAGTAAGGAATTTCCAGTGGAGGTTCTAAAGGCTCAAGACACTGTGGAGACATGTGTATCGGAGAGACATCAGGAATTGGAGTCGATGAAGTCGGAGGATTTGGCGGAGTCGTATGGAGCACAAGGAGAAGCTGAAGCTGAAGCAGGTCCAGCAGTTGTTGAGAGCAGTGAGGAGAGTGAAGAGGAGTAGGCATGACGGTGTCCTCTGCCTATTCTGCGACTTTCAGCTGTCACTTGTTGACCATCGATTTCAGTACATGCATGTCTGGACGGGCGTTTACGGTGTACTTTGTCTGCTCCCACAATACCCCTCGCGCATATGCACAGACTGGCGTTTTTGATTTCGTGTACAGTGCTCTCATTTTCTGGGAGAACATACGGAGACTTTGGAGCGAAAGATTGACGAAGAATCAGGATTGTACATTTGTCATTTGGCAGTCAGCACACAGCCTTGAATACAGATAGATCACAATTTATACCAACTTACATGATATGTCATCACTGCCTGAAAATAAGACCCAGTGAACACACCACCGCAAACCTCAAGATATGTAGGTATATTTATCTATAATTGTCCCCTGCATCAAATCTACAGCTCCTTCTCTCCTCTTCCCTTCTATCCCCTTCATCCCATTTCACTCATCAAACGACCCATTACAAGAATCCGAAGATTCCCATCCCGCATTCCCAGCTGCTCTATTCCTCTCGGCACAAATTATCCATCACGACTATACGCTTCGCCGGTATATTATATCGTCTCATACCACTCCAACCAGTGCGTCCATACATTCTCCAACGCCTATTATCTGCCTATGAAAAATCTCCCCTAAGGCGAAGAAGGCAGAAGCGTAAGAAAGCAATCGAAGAACCAAAGAAGAAGTGCAGAATTCCGTCCAGCGTAAGGAATGTCACTCCCAAACCCCGCGCAATCCCAAGGCAAGTATTAACAAACAAAGCAAGATAAGAAGGAATTAAAACAAAAAGAACAGTCCCATATCTCTCGCTATGCCATTACCATACCCAATCCAGCCCGATCCGTTCTGTTCCAACCCGTCAACAAGCCGAAGCCAGCGCGCTCTAAACGTGAAACACAAGTAAAAAAGTCCCATCGTATCTCATCTCATCTCGTCATGCAGCTATATCCTTAGCAAAACTCTCGCTACCCCCAAATGCCTTTCCATCCGAGCTCTCGGATCCCTGCCCCCCTGCATTCTGCGCCAGAATACCGCTTTGAGCCAAAGAATCCCCTAAATGATCGGTATATTAGCATTTGTCGTGTATTGTGAGCAATTTTAAGGAGCGAAGTACTCCTGGGATACCCAACGCGGGGAAACTAGGGTGTGCTCAAACAACGTACAATCGTGAATCCGCTTCACAAGAACGGGGTCGTTCTCATCGCCGATGAATGTCCAGCTCTCCTCTGGATCTTCAGTGGTGTCATCTGTAGATTTGCCGTCGCGGCGCTTGATTAACGATTTAGCGTACTCGAGATCGCGGTAGATAGATTGAATCGCCGTGTCTACGCCATTCTCCTGCTGAAATATTAGCCTTCTTGTCTTTGTCGCGGTATTTGGAGAACTTGCCTGTCTGATGGTCTCACCTAGGACATTGGCTTTGACAATCATTCTCTGGCTGTTGCACGCTTCCCACATTGCACGCGAGAAGGAGCTCACGTTGAGCTTCTTCAGACAGATACCAACACCAAGATCCTGTACACGGGAGCCGAAGAAGTACTGATCTCCGAAGAACGGCTTGATGATTGTTGGAATCCCGGCCCTTAGACTGGCACCTGTTGTTCCGGAACCACCATGATGTGCAGTTGCATCGATTTGCTTGAACAGCCAGTCGTGAGGAGCGGACTTGATCAGGAGGATCTCCGCAGGTAGCGGCTCTTCCACAATTGCGGCATCTTTCCTGTCAAGTCGATCTGACCACCCCTTTGACAATATGCATCTGACATCGGCTTTGAGAACTGATTGGACAATGGTAGCCGTCATGGCCGCTGAGTCCTGAACGACAATTGACCCAAAGCCAACGTAGACGATCTTCTTGCCGTCGTCTCTGGCCTTCTGGATGAAGTCAGTCAGTTCTTTGGGTGGCATCCAATCACTTCCGCCCTCGTCGAGAAACCAGTATCCAGTCACGCGAATCCAATCACTATAGTCCAGTGGCGGAACAACTACAGATGGGCTGAAATTGTACAAGAATGGAACCTTGTTTGGTTGCATTCTCTCGAGACTGGTGGCTTGCAGCCCCAGCTCTTTCCGTCTCCATCTGTTGACCTGAGAAGAAATGGCTTTCCAGAAGACGTTGTCGAACATGACATATGTGATGTAATTGTACGCGCCACCCATCTTGTGATCTGGAACTGCAAATGCATGAGGATATGCGCGAGTTCGTGTCCATGGCATAGAGAAAGCCCGGAAATATGGGATGCCAAGTGCCTCGGCGATATGGATGCCGCCCATGGCACTGGGACTCTCAATAAGCAGATCCGAGTCCTGACACGCAGCCCAACCTGAAGAAAGCAACTCATCAATCCAGCCACGAAACTTCGTCGAGGCCTCCTTCAGGAATGAATAAGTGAACATGCCATTCTCGACACAGATTCGCATCAGCTCTGCGGGATCTCCTTCCACTGGCCGAAACTCAATCCCGTGGCTCTCAATCCAGGCCTGGAACTCCCGATGGGTGGCAATTCGTGTTCGGTGGCCTTCAGCCATCAACCCCTTGCACAACGCAATATAGGGTTGAACATCACCTCGCGAACCGATCGTCAAGCAAGTAACTCGAAGAGACTCAGTCGGTTTGAAGTTGAGGATCGACGCTCGCGGATCATCAAACAGTATGGGCGGGCCTTCAGCTTTAGCTTCTTCAGCTGTCTTTGGCATTTTGATTTCGTGCTCTGCATAGCCATCCATACGTGCCTGTTGGAGAGATCTGTGCTCGTCGCTCGCATTTTGAGCACTTTCTTTCTCTTCCGCGCTTAAAAGACCCGATTCCTTGAGAAAACGCATAGTTTCCAGATTTTGGAGTAGCGTGATTGCACAGTCATCTCGCAATTCAGCCTGAGGGAATTCGAAAAAGAGCTCTTCATGCCCTCGAATGACTACAACCAATCCAGAATACCCAAATCGGAACCCTTTCTCCTTGTCAACATTCTCAATATCCTTCAGGGGTAGAATAAGCTTGGTGCGTGTGCCAGGGAGAAGGCTGCGGAAGCAGAAGGACCTGTCACTAATGTAGATCTTCCCATATAGAGGTAAGACGCGATGGAGAAAGCCAAAGTACGAAGCTTGAAGCTTTTCCGTAGCAGGAAGTGCAAAGTGTTCTCGAAAACGGTCTCCGTACGCGGCGGACTGATCTTCATCGTCGTCGTACGTCTCATCGTCGGGAGCCAGTCCTTGGGGCTCATCAAAATGCTTCTTACCACCCTTCCACATCCCTGACACCTTCTCGACGTAACCCATTGATTCTGTTGCCAGCAAAGTACTCATACGCTTTGAGTGTCGGTTGAGATATCCTGCGAAGCCAGCGGCACGTTGTAACGGGTATGCTCCTGCTTTGACAAGGCTCTGTAGCGTTGGAGCCGATACAGATGGCTCAACTTGACCTGCGTTTGAGTCATCAACTGGAGTGGTTGTGGCAGTATGACGTGGTCTCGGTGGTCCCATTGTTCCTGTATTGGGAGTGACTCGCGAGGGTGAGTCGGATCGGGAATCGTTGTTGTTGGAATCAGGTTCTCGTCGCCGTGAAGCTGACGCCGAGCGCTGAATTGTCGGCGACAGAAATACATCAGAGCCTCTCAATATTTGACTGGCCAAAGCTTGTGTATCGTCGCTTGCTGATGGAAGCGCGCCAGATGATCCAGGTTCCTCTAAAGAGTGAACGAAAGAGTCCGAGGAGCCGTACTTTTCTGAAGCTCGTCTTTCAGGGAGGCGGTGTCTGCTCAAGCTTCGCCTATTAGCGCTAACGCTTCGACACCCAGGGGCACCATCCATAGTTAATCGGTTAAGATCAACACTACGTCTCCCAAAGTTCTTGAGATCCATGCTTCTTCGGTAGGCATCAGAACTGGCACGACTGAGCTCAGTACTGGCCCGAGGGCTTACAGCAGCACCTATGGGTGATAGCGTGGCCTTGACACTGTGTTCCAGGAGCGGGGTAGTGGTTCTAATTGGCGGAGGCGGTTGCGGGTGTGGACGTCTGTCTCTGGGTGTCTGAGAGGAATTTCGTTTCGAAGGGCCAATGCTCCGTGACCTAGGACTTTGATTTCCATCAAGATGAGGAGGCGAGAGTAAAACCTCTTCGGGAACTTGCTGAGCTGTAGTGCCCTCAACCAGTATTCGTAGAACATTCAGCGCCTCCTTACCGAAGCTGAAGAATGAGAAAAAGTACTATCGCCGGGTTAGAACTGGACTTGAAAAGTATAAAGTAAGCTTGCCTCATCGATAGCGTAAGTTTCGTCATTATCAATGACTCGAATCTTGCAGGTGTCTGCAAAGTCAATGATTTGACTATCTTCTATGTCGATAATGTTCTCGATCGGCAATGATATCTTGACGCTATCACCCTCGTTGTGGGAACGGAAGATGATCTTCTGAAGCGATTTGACCCATTCTTTGGCACTCGGAGCACTATCGGCCTTGAAGTTGTACTTCCTCTGATGTGTTACGACGGTGAAGTGCGTAGCATCCTTTCCCTTCTCCTTTTCTGCGACGCTCGCGGATATCCCGTACCGTAGGTCAATATTTCCGCTCGGGAAGTACAAATCCGACGGGTCTGAATAGTACGAAAGAACGTCGTCTTTCAGCCGAAACCAGTATCTATTATATTTCGGATTTCGTCGGCCAGACTTGGAGAGATATCCAGATTTCACGACTTCATTCTAAGAGGCATCAGATATAATATTGTCGTAGCTCGAATGTAAAACTTACAGATTTCTTGGGCAAATAAGCATAGAAGCATATGTGCTTTGTTGTTATATACATGTAACCTTGGAGCAAGACGCTCTTTAGTAACCAGCAAGGATATTCTGTAGATTTTAGCTGTGGCACGGTAAAAATGCTAGAGAATTGATCCGGACGTTCAACGTCTTTTGCCCGCGTGCAACTAAAGAATGTTTGATGGGGGAGAGAACATGCCTACCTTCTATTACATCCTCCGCGGTCTCAAACTCGAATATGTCCATAAGCTGCTTTGCCAGAGTGCTCGATGTCTGTTCTTCTGCCACAGCGCCTTCTCGGGTATGTTTAGGTCGCGGTAAATCGAAGCTCGGCCGTAAAGATAGCTCTGCCTTAGCTTCTAGCATCCTGCTCATGACTGGAGCATCTCTGGAGTGTGTGCGGGTAACTTGAGCGTCGGGGCTAACAGCTCCAGGAGATGGGCTGGGTGAAGGGGATTTGGAGCCGCTTGGAGAGAGTTTCGATTTGGACCGTCCCATAGCTGACAGAGACCGCAGAAGCTTACTCTCTGAGAACTTCCGTCGGTGATTCTTCTCTGGTCTGGCAGGTAGCTTCCCCTTCCGCGTCTTGTCGACCTTCAACTCAGTCGTAAGTGATGCTGGAGGCTCCCCATCATCCTCCTCGTCGCTCGACGGACCATCGAATCTGGCATTGAAGTCGACCTGGGATCCAGCTGCTGCTATCATGCCAAAGACGGACTGATTCATGTAGGCGTTCCGGCCATGGAGAGCAGTACAGTCCTCGTCCGCGTCGTCGCCGTCTCGAAAGCGCTCTGGGATCTCCATTGTGACCTGACGTCCCTCTTTCCTCTTCTTCGTCAACTTACGCGCCACGCGCTTCTTTAAGTCCTCCTCCAGCGGTGCCATCTTGAATATCGAGGCCCAAGGTCAACAACGATGAACCTCGTTGGGAGTTGCAGGAAGTAAAGTCAGCCAGGTTCCCTCGCCTTGGCGCGAGGCGGAAACTGGAGTCGTTATCGATAAGCAGCCAGTTTTGGGACCATGAGCTAAAGCGGTACAATACTTGCAGCCGAAAATTACAATCACATGCTGGTGTCTTTGTTGGTACCTGTGGAGCAGGGCTGAGCGGATAAAAGAGCACCAAGAGTTGATGAGGTGGTCACGGTTTAGACCGATCAGAAGATGAGGTGACCAAGTTAGTGAGGTACAGCCAACGTTGAGAGAGTCAGTCACATTGCACAAGAGAGCGTTGAGTTTGGGACTAGTTCAAAGCCAAAATAACATGCACGATTCGAGTACCGTAAATGCTACCTCACCGATTACCTTCGCTAAATATAGGATCGATGGAAGTACTAAACTACCCAGTCGTCCTAAGGTTTAGAGTCTCCGGTTTCCGCAAAGTTCTGAAGAGGTAGGCGCATGCAGCTGTCAGCCTGTCAGAGGAGGCATCTTTGCTACCAAGTGAGTCAAATTAGGATGGCAGTCCGTCACGTAGGCGCCCTTCTGACCCAAGATAGCAAGGCAGCCAAGGGGCAAGAAGCATTCTTGAACGAGTGGTTCATCGACCTGACCTTCGTTTAGTCTCAACAGCTGATGGCACTGGGATGTTATCAACAGCACCACTCCCGCTAGCCCGACACGGAGTTGAGGTGTAATAATCAGATGCGATGATAACATTTCTACCAGCTAATACCCGTATTCAAGCAAATACCCCGGAGACTCCGTGTTCCCTTTCCAGCCAGCGCTCCCAATCAAACGCTTACTTATTCAAACAAAACGATGTACAAGACCGAACACAACCGGATTATTCACATCCAGAGACAGAGCTTTCCGCTGGCCGTTCCACCTGCGACCCAGTCTTTGGTTGGGTGGAAGTGCGCCACTGCCGGAACAGCAGTGATTCCTTCCCCACTCAACTGCGCCAATTGCTCCCCATCCGAGCTGTACACATCGACGAAACGATTCATATTTCCGATAGCAAACTTTTGAATTCCATCTTCCGGCCTCTCCTGCCACTGAGGTTTTAGTATTGTGACCCAACGTCCCGTCTGGTTGTTGTGCTTGATAATAGCAGTAGGCTTCATGGCTTCATCATCAAGATCTTGACCAGGCTTGAAGGTACCTGCTGTAGGGAAGGAATGAATTTTGATGGTATCATCGTATGAACTCGTCGCAATATGGCCCCCAGCAGACCAGGAAGCATGTGATACTGATAGCCTGGACGTGTGCTCGCCCATAAGAGCTGGCACTCGGGATTCTCCTTTTCCTTTAATGCTCCGTAAGTCCCAGATCTTAAGCATGCGATCTAACGAAGCTGTTGCGATCAAATGAGGATGTAGCGGGTGATTTGCAAAACCCCCAATCTTCTTGTCTGTGAGTTGCCATATCTCTGCATCGGCAGGTTTGGTCCGCATATCATGTCTGCCAAAGGATCCTTCCAGAGTCGAAAAATAAATTAGATTCTGATCAGAAGATGGAATGGATATGCAGGAAATCGGTAAATCTTCGTTTACTGATGCAGGAGCAAACACCTCAACAGCAACTCCTTTTTGAAGATCAAATTTTCGAATTGATGAGTCGTATGAAGCAGAGAATAGATGATTGCCATCAGCAGGGAAGACAAATGAAGTGATCGTCCTGGAGTGAAGTTTCAGAGCAGTGATTGCTGGCTCAGGGAAATCGGCCTCTTCATCGTCATCTTCTTCGGCCTTGACATCTGCCCCGGTCTGAGAGGCATCGAAAATGCCCATGTTGCCCATTTTGTCTCCAGCAAAAACGAGAGCTTTGTCTGGAGAAGGATGGAATCCAAGAGAGTAGACTCGCTCGGGGGTAATTTTGATTTCTGGGGCAGTCAGCAAATGTTACTCCATCATCTCACGCACAGGGACCACTTACGGTTGGGTTCGTATCCGTCATATATTTCTAGTCCGCTCATTTTCTCCCTCAATGCTTTCAAGCCTTCGTCCGTAGTCTCCTTGACATCATCCTCGGTAAATGTCCTGACATTTGGCTGTGCTCCCCTCATGATTCCTGACAAGAACCCGTCATCCTTATTCCATTTCTTTCCATCAACAACAATATCACTGAAATTGAGATCCCCAGAAACTCTTAGCTTCTTGGCCTTCGCCTGCTCCATCGCGAACTCATATTCGACCTCGGCTTTCCGTTTCTGAGTCTCGCTATCTGCCTCAATGCCAGCTAATCGGGAACTTGTTCGCGTAGGTCGCGGTTCTTCCCTCTTTACGGGCGCAGCTTTCTTTCGTGAAGCTGGTGTCTTCGGCCTACCCACAGGTTTTGGCGCAATCTTCGCTGCTGCTGACGAGAGGTCCTTAACAATTGCTTGGTTTGTTGCAATGTTCGCGAGTCGACTCCGCTCAAAAGCGCTCATCTCCTCTTTCTCTTTCTTAACTGGAGCCATATTACTTTTTGGTCACAATCCCGCTTAGATATGGTGTTGATGTTGGACTGAAATGTGGTGGCCACCTGGATATCGTTGAGGTCATTTCAATCTACACGAAAAGGCGCGTTGGACGAACGCGAAGGCACGCGACTGACTATTCCCGCAACAGTCTAGCTGACTTTCATACCCCTGCCATTATTTTGTTGTCTCTAAAGCTTGGAGGCTCATCGCTAAATTCAAGAGCAGAACTTTGACAGCCAGGCCAGGACCTCAACTTGTCCAAGAGAAATACCCTTCGACACGGAACGCCTATACCAATGATGCAGTAGCACTCAGCACCACTCTTTCCCATAAATCATGCTCGGAGCATGAGCTACTGCAGAAGCTGGCCCTGCAGCACTCACGATCATGTCAACACCTACGCCATTCCTTTACCAGACCAGGACGCTCGCCAGATGGAGTCTTGCTGGACCAAATATTATTAATGCACCTCGATACTATGATACCATGCTTCGCAGACACTATAGTGATGTCCGTAGTAACAATGCGCCACCCTCTTCCCCACGATTTACAATAAAACGAACATCGAACATGTCAGGAGCTGAACCTCCAGCAGCTGGGAGCTGGACCTATAAGCCCAGATCTCAAGACAATACAGTCTTTTTTTCGAACGAAGCGGATGCTCAGCCATCACCATCCAGCAGGCCATTCACGCCAAGAACACCAGAAGCGGCATACCTAGGAACATCAGGGCTCGATACCGCCAACAAATTGCCAAATCTCGAGTCCAATGACTTCAGATTGGAAGATGGACTAGGATTCGACGAGATGTCGGAGTTGGATGAAGTTGATATGGAAGATCCTTTCTCAACTGCTATGCAGCCCGAAGAGATTCAGGACTTGACGAGAAAGCACGGCTCTCGCGACTCGACAATAACGGATCAAGAAAGATCAGCATTCCAGAAAATCTTCTCGGACATTTTCAAGAGGTCCAACAGTTTAGGTCCGAGCTTATCTACTTCCGCTTTTGAAGCGATGGACAAGGACCCGTTCGAGAGGGAAAGCGAGCCAACAGATCTTGGACGAGCCAAAAAGAACCTTGGTAATATTCTCACCACAGCGATGCAGAGAAATCCTCAAAGTCGTCGACAAATGGACGCGGCCCTGGAAAAATACCCACCAGCCCTGCGTGCAGCTGCGGCGAAAGCTATGGGATACATAGAAGACGAATCAGATGTGGAACAGACTCAGTCAAGTCGAAATGCCATGTTGGATACGGAAGCACTCGAAGCATTAAGAGAACCAGAACGAAAACGTGTAGAGGGTCTCATGAACGCAGCCAATACCGATTTCGAGCTGATGGAGATCATGGAGAAAGAAGTATTTACCTTGATCTCAAAGTTAGGGTTGGAGGATGCTTCAAACGTCGCAGCTGCTCACGTTCCGCTCAAGACCAAGAAAAAGAAGGCCTCGAAAAAGGCGAAAGTGACACGCAAAACCGAGATTGTAACGGAGGTCGAGTCACAGGAAAGGTCAGAAGCTACGACCAGCGAGCCCGCGATCGATGGAGTGTCCCCTCTCGCGCTCTATGGCCCTCTCTATCCATCATATCTCTTGCTTGGGCTCCGGCTTCTCGATCGCTCTTTCGCGAAACCATCTCCACTCGCCCTTTCGATACTTCCAAGAATCAAGTCTTTGGGATACATCTCACAGATCCTGGGAGGTACGACCCCACTTTACAACGAGCTTCTGAATATATACCGATATCGATATGATGACTTCCGTGGAATGCTTGATCTGCTGAATGAAATGGAACAAGCTGCCTTAGAGTTCGACGAAGATACTCTTGCGATTGTACGGAATACCTCCAAATTCCAATTTAGCATTCATCGAGGCGAGAAGGGCACTACGATGAAAGCCTTATGGGCAATGCCTGAGTTTGCGCCCAATGGTTTCAGGACTTGGAGAGAGAAGATCATCAAAGCCATCATGGAGAGGGAGGACAAGGCCAGAGAGCATCTCCAATTTAACATAGCACGATAGGCCACAAGTCTTGTATCATAACGATTTTGTACTATAGTAGATTTACACACGGCTCGTGGTATATCCCAAATCACGCATGCATCCTACTCAAATTCCCGCTCAATCGAAAAGCGCGTTGTAACCGTTGCGACAATCATCACGAGCGGACGGGCTATTGCTTACCTCCTCCTTCCCATGTTGACTTGCTTAGACTCGACCCTGTCCTCGTCATCCTGTTCTGAGATGCCGTCCTCTGCATGCACGCTGTTTCGTTTGAACAGACTCATAAACGACGAGCGTCTACCCTCAGGACTCGTCCCGGGTGATACAGACATAGTTGACCAAACACTCGACCGTCTTGTCCCATCAGCATTGACCCTGGGTGGGTAGATGGTATCCGAAGGCCTCCCTATTAAGCAGTGTCAGAACCAAGAAGAATTCTGTGGGACAAGGATCGGCCACCGACGTATATTTCCTGCACCACCAATCCCAAAGCTCTTCTTCCTCTCAATATTCAAAGCACCTGTCTCATTACTCGCCATCCTGATTCTCAATCTCAAATTCCTCGCTCTTTGTCGCTGTTGAAAGTCAAGCTGTTTTCTATGCCTCGGAACAAGTTGTTCAAGGCTGTTGTCCCGACTAGGTTTATAGCCGTATGGAGGAGGTTGAGAATGTGAGCGTGAATGTGAGCTGTACACACTGGCTTGGTAATTCAGACTTGGCGAAGCAGAAGCGTGGTCCGACCCTCTGCTCAAAGATATAGTCAGAGATAGGGCGACCATTGCGAGGAAGAGATATGAGTGGCGTATCTTCGCAGTCGCAAGCCGGCAGTCAGAGTGTGTGGGGAGATAGGGATATGATCCACGATTCGAGGACTGCGGACAGGAGAGGGAACAGAGATTCGTCTTGGCGCACATATACTACCTCATCTCGGACTTCCCAGGGGCGAAGTTCTCCCTCTTAAGTCGAGCTCAGATAACCTTCCACAACGCGATTCGTTCTCCCCCGCCAGTTTCTAAACTGATCTCCATGCCAGGCTCGCAAAAGTCACTCATCCCTCCTGGTCCCGTGTGTGCTGCTGATCGCGCCACACAAAGCTCAAGTTTGTCACTCTGGCAAACCAGAGGGTCCAATGCCTTGAGCGGGGCTTATCAGTGGCTTCAAACTTGCAGGATTACTCGCGCGGAATAATATGCCATCATACAAGTAGTGGACTGCCGACGACCCCTGCCAAGATTGGAGGAGATACAAGCTTTGTGGGGGGCGGCAGCCAGGTACGTATGCAGATCGCTGGATCGCGTGAGGTCAGGCAAGGATCATGATACAGTAATGAAATGATGACAGGGAAAGTAAGCCCGACTCTGACTACAGTTCAATTCGCTTGATAAGCCCGGAAACGTGGTGCTTTCCGTGCTGTTGGAATGGCTTTATCTCTGCGAATGACAGGAATTAGAGACTATCCTATCAAGCGGCGTAAGACGCCCCTCGTCATCCTATCTTACAGAGAGCGACGCCTGTATTGACAGACATCTTCGAGGCATCTGTAGTCAGCTTCAATCCACAGAATAATATGCCTTCCTGTCCAGCTTTTTTATGCATACCCGTATGAGGTCGTTGAATAGTCTGACATACTAAGCCAGCTCCTGGGATGCAAGTGACAGTGGAGAGAGACGAGACATTGCAATGACTCCAATTGTCTGTGTCAGGTATGGGACATGGACAAGGATACCATAAAGCCGTACTGTACAATTAATAGCGATCATGTTATTCTTGTAATGATAAAAATAAAAAGACACGCCGCAATATTTGTGATGCTATCAAGCGAAGCAGCAATGCTTTTTCACCGAGAATCAATGTTAAGCGAGAGAGGAAAGCTTGTGAGGAACCAGCCAAAAACTCCAGCCTGCCTATTTCACATTATGTTTCCGACGTAGCAATACCGATAGACACCAGACAGATAATTTCTGGTGGCAGAATATAATTGTGCTTCCACAGGGACGATGAATAATCACAACCAAGACTTCTCACTCAGTTACTCACTCACTCAATTACATTTTCGGTAAGTCAACCAAGTAACCACCCAATCCTCTCCCTTCTGTAACGCAAAAACATCCTCAAAGAAAACACAACAAAAATGGACAACCGTCCAAAAGTCCTATCCTCGCAAACTCGCATCAACCCACCTCCAAACATCATATGATCAATGCCCTCTCAACTCTACTTACTGTACTGTATCATCGAGATCACCCACCCGTCCACCTACCCCAAGAGAAAAAAAGATCTCCTGTCAATCACGTCTCATGCTCCTGCCGATCCGAGGTCCGTCCCCATCCCATCACAATCCATACCTTACCTCCCCCATCCATCCCGCATCTCCCGCTCTTCAGCCGCCCCCAGATTTTTTTCTTTTCTTTTCTTTCCTTTTTCGTGTCTTACTACTTTTGGATGGTAAATTTCTGTTGGAGGGACGGTTGACTGATTTGATTGACTGGACGGCTGGGGTGCCGATCTGTGGGGTTTTGGGGTGTGAGGGTAGGTGCGTGGTGGGTGTGACGTTGGAGGGTCAGCGGCTGAGGGAGGGGACGAAGGAGAGGGGGGGCGGGGCGAGGGGGGTTCGTTTGCTTGGGTACCTATGCTGCGAATATTTAGGAACTGGAGAAGGAGATAGGGTAGAAGATGGGATGGGATGGGATGGGATGGGATGGGATGGGATTGGTAGGTTGATATTCGGTGAGAAGGGGAAGGAGAGTTTCTCCGACAGTACGGATGGGATGGATGGGGATGGGAGAAGGGAGGAAGGATGGGCATTAACGGGACCCGAGAGGATTGACGGTAGAGAGTTCCATTGTCACCGTCGTATCGAAAACCAATGGCATGGCTCATTTTGTCACCAGCACGGGAATTAGAGAAATGATCACCATATTCTGAGATGGTTTTCTCTAAGTTACGAAAAACTTCACACACAAGGTATTGTCTGGGTATCCCCCTCGTCGAAAACACGTCATATCTCCCTCCCTCTTAGCTCATCAAGAAAAGTGTATCAAGTCCGGTCTCGTCCGGCTATATCCCAAATCCCAAAACATATCCACAGATCACTTGATCTCGTCTGCGAACATGCCAGGTCATGCCAGCATTTCCAAACAGAAAGGAACATCCTACCTCGCAAAACCCCCATAAATAGAATAACCAACTCGACTTTTCTTATCGCTCCTCCCGCTCCCCACCTTCCCTGCGATGCGATGCGATGCATTGCGTTGCGTTAGGAGATCCGTGCTATCGATGTGTATCCACATCGGCTGTTGCATCCTTGAAGGCTTGCGGGCTTGGGCCTTGGGGGCTTGGGATGAAAGAAGAGAAGTGAAGTGAAGTGAAGTGAACCGGGCAGGGAAGGCTAAGCTCTGATACCTGAATCTTAGAAGGAGTGCTGTAGGTATTTATCGCGCGGCTATCTCGCATATGCGATGTGATGCGGTGCGGTCGAGGCGCTATTTACAGTAGAAGATGCGCCATTTTGGAGGCGGGCGCGATAACGATAGTACTTAGATAGTGATCTAAACTTGGGTTAACTACCTAAGGTATCTAATTACTGCAGGAAGAAGGCGCTGTGGTCAATGTTTGTTTGTTGGGTTTGGTGTTGGTTAGTGTTAGGGGAGCGGGAGTTCGCGAGACTTTGATCCTGATCTAGTCTGGCCTTTCTGGACGGATAGGAGAGTTGGTTGGGTGGGAAGTAGTGTCATCTGCACCTGTTTTAAGGTAAACTTACTACAGAATTGATTTGACTTTAAGTTGCGGAGTATCGTTTGTTACAGTAGTGCGGTGGAGGCTAGTTGAACTTATTTGGCTTCCATTGTTGTGGCTGATGGGGGTCCCACTCCCGTCTTGCCTTGCTTCCATTATTGCTGTGCGCCGTTGCGTGTGAACTGAAGTGTTGTGCTGTGCTGTGCAGGATGCGAGGGATGACAGGATTGCTGTACTGTATGTGCCTTGCAGATGTGGGGGTTCTGGGTCATGTATGTATGTACGGGGACGGTTGAATGCAGGAACTGGAGGGCTCTGACTCGTTGATGTTCAGGCTGAACTCAGTACATTTGTTGGTACTAGGTTGTTTACATAGAGGTGCTGTGGTCAACCTGCAATCTGTGAGATGTGCATGATTGTAGCACGGTAGATGCGATAGAGAGCTTGAGGAAGTGGGGGTGAAATATGGAACCTTTTGCAAGTCTGGCACTTGCACTGCTTGGACTGTTCCCATTGTTGGACTACTGCGCTTGCAATCTTGTCTTCGAGGCTTGTCTCATGATCTAGCTGTGCAGCTGATCAACAAAGAGATTTGATATTTGAGTTTCGTCGGCCGTGCGTAAGCTGGCAACGCGGCTCTGTGGAGATGATGAATTGTTCCGTGCCTTCGATGACATCTTGTCATCGTCGCATTGCTCGCTTTTATCTTTTGAGGAGGATCATCTTCAAGTAGTAGTGATGACCAGGCCAAGCGGAGCCCCTCTCCCCTTTCCATCGACTCGCTTCTCCTTCTCCTCCTGAACCCATGTTGCACTGAGCTGAGGCCAACGGATAAGCTAAGCGACAAGCAGATCTGCCCTCAGGCGCTAATGCACAGTGAAGCCATCGTAAATTCCTCACCCCCATGCATTCCTTACCCGTTGCTATTCTGCTGTCCATTCATTAGTTTGCAACTTTTCCATCCATGGCGAGGTGCATCGCTATCGGACGGGGCAGTGTTCTGAAAGAGATATCCCACATGGCTTTAGTCGCTCTGTGGCGCTGAGACATCAGATGCTGAAGTTTTCTTTCCGGAGAGTTCACCGAGGCGAAGTTGTGGTGTCTGCTTTGGGATGGGAGGGGTCGGATGACTCTCCTTTTTCAGGTACGGTAAATTCGGGTAATACTCGACTTTCCAGGTACAGTCAGGTACAGACCCACGTCTTGTAAAGAAAAGCCAGGTACAGGCACCATCGGCATCGACTTTTTTTTACTTCAGGAACCATCAACGGGCTGTCGAATGCGGCTTCGCTTGACGGAAGGTTGCAGGTTAGAGACTCGACTTGACCGGATATGGATGGTGAAGAGAGGACAAACCATGGTTGAAGCACAGAAGGCTTTGAGGCGGAGGGTTAGATGTTGATGGTATTGCCGTTCTTTCGCCTGAAGGGGTCGCCGCTGTGGATGATTTCTTGATATTTCAAGCCGGCGTGGTAACCGGCAGCTTTTGGCTCAGGTACAAGCTTGCAAAGCGGATTCGATTATGGAGACGTTTTGTTGGGTCTTCCCCTGATAACGATCGATAAGTGAGAAAAGAAACTACGTTAAGGAACCGATGGACCGAACGAAGGCTGAAGCCGATGAGACAGAGAACGATCTCTTCCTTTAGCAGCTTGCTCTGGCTTGTTCCAGCTGGATCTCATTCGCTCCGCGCTCTGTTTGGCTTGCTTGCCATGAAGGAAGCGCTGGGTTCCAGTGGACTGCGCCATCTGGATGCGTGATGGCGGAGACAAGAAAATTGAGGAGTCAATTTCCTCCACGTGCACTGCAGAGCAAGGCCGTGCGGAAGTGGTTCGTGTCGTATCTTTAGCTTTTGATGCCATCGTCATATCGATTAGATGAATTGGACGTGAGGTTGCACGAATGCGGAGTAGCGGGTACATGCCTTGGGTTGGCTCGATGCCTTTTCGAGCAATACAAGACGAGGAAATATAAGTTCGGCAGTATTGCACGCACCCTACCTAATGCTATGCTGTGGGACCACAGAAGGCTGTTATCAATCTGCAGATTGATGTGCGCCTACTGTAATCGATCACTGGATTATTATTGCTGTGTGGCAAGAAACACAGGTGTGGCACTTGTTGGGGATGAGATAGGGGCAGAGATACTTCTGCCGCCTCCGCCTCTGGGATGGTGACAGAAGAATGCAGGTCGAAACAAAGATGAGATGAAGGACCTCGATCGCCACCGTCACATCCCGTACGGTACGGTAGTATTGAAGTACCGAAAGTAAAGTACGGAAGTACCATACCAGAATAGAAATGCGAACAGAACATCCGCCAAAACATGAATCATCCGGTGCTGACAAGTTCGAAGCACCAGCCTCACTCACCCAGCCCTCGGCCCTCGATCTCTCAAGTCCGTTATTATTATTATTATTATTATTATTATTATTATTATTATTATTATTATTATTATTATTATTATTATTATTATTATTATTATTATTATTCCGATCAATGGTGCAGGAAGTGGTTAAGGTAGGTAGCGAGGGTAATTAGTAATGTAGACGGCGGCGGCAGCCAATCTGCAGGCAGGCCCAGGGCCCAGGGCCCAAGGCCCCTCCACACTTTGTGCCCCTGTTGCCCCTGTTGCCGTCCTCCGTCCTTTTTGGCCCTCCCCTCCTCCCCTGCCATGTCTGTCCATGTCTGTCCATGTCTGTCCGGCCCTTGTCCTGCCCTGACTGCACACTTCATGTTTCGAAATCTGGAAGTCAAGGCAAGGCAAGGCACGGCAAGGCAAGGCCCAGCAAGTGAAGTCAAAGACTCAAAAGTCGGATCTGATCTGAAGGCTCAAGGCTCAAGGCACGTCCTTTCCCGCCAAGCCGCTTCTCTTTCAGACTTGCAGCGCTGCACTGCACTGCACTCCACTGCACTGCACTGCTCTGCTCTGCACCTCCATCTCTTCCTCTCCGCCGCCATCCTCTGTTCTCTCCCGTCTTGTTCTGCTTGTCATCCACTCCCGTCCCCTCCTTTTCTCCTCTTCCAGAAAGAGGCCACTCCAGTACAGACAACTAATAATCCATCAATCAATCAATCATTCAATCAATCAATCAATCAATCAATCAATCAATCAATCAATCAATCGCTCGATTAAGCCTGCCCTCGGCCATTTCAGCCCAGCCCAGCCCAGCACCAAGATCAGGCCAACTTTGTCACCCCCCCCCCCCCCCCCCCCCCCCCGACCACATCCCACATCCATATCCACACCCATATCCACATCCACATCCCAACCCAGACCCCCAGCCTAATCAAGAGCCGAAGCTCCCCTGGGTGTGCTGCCTCAACTCACCCACCCACTCACTCCTCTTGAAGTCTTCACTCCTTCACTCTCTCAACACTACCCAGGACCCAGGACCCAGGACCCAGGACCCAGGACCCAACTGTTGTGTTGCGCAAAGCTCGTCGTTCATTTTCCTACTCAGGCCGCTCAACCGTCGTTGATTGATTGCAGTTCATGCCAGAGGCCCCGACCTGCATAATCAATCATTCTCCGATCAGAAACATTCACATTCGGACCTCTTTGCGACGATCGCGCCAGTCTTTGAACAGCGTTCAACGCCACAAACACCTCTACAACGTGTCCCGAGTCTCGAATCGAAGGGGTAATAACCTATTCTGTGTTCCTATCCGACTCCAATCGAAATCGCTGGTCGACGTCCAGACGCAAGCCGTCTGCATTAAAAGCATCGCATCCCCTCTCTCAGTTCACCGCCGCACGATAATACCCCTCTGCCACCTTTTGCATCCGTTGAAGCTTTCGAATAATTCTCGAGCGTCCCAATTACCGTAATACCAATTCCCTAGCGCTCCCGGTCACCGTTGACAGATTTCTCATTCTTTGTTCCCTGGGCGAGACAAATACTTCGGACATCTGCGAAACTTGACCTGACGCCTGAACATCCTGAAACTTTGGGGACAATTGCATAACTCGACCACCTTCGCACTCGGTGAGTGCAAATAATGAGCGTCATGCTTCAGACCCCATCGCGGGCGTCAACAGCGTCCTCCTCTTCCTTCCAACCAGTATCACGCCAGAACACAATGTCTTCTCACGATGGAGGGCGGTCTGTCCGACAGTCGAAACGGTATTCTATGACCACGCTGTATATGTCGATGTCTGCGAATGAGAAGGATTTGGAGATTGAAGATGACTTAGCCAAAGGTAGGCTGCAGTTGTGGCAGAGAGTGGGATGAAAAAGTGCTAATTATTTCCAGCCCAGAAGATTCTCCGCGACCTCAAATCCAAGATCTCGTCCCAGTCAAAGAAGAATTTCGTGTTAGAAAAGGATGTCAGATACCTAGATTCAAGGATTGCGCTCTTGATCCAAAATCGAATGGCTCTGGAAGAGGTAAGAAAATAAGGCTCCAACCGGGGGATCAAGACTGACAATTCGCAGCAAAACGAGGTTGCAAGCCATCTTGAAGATGCAGCTGATCTGCAGGAAGGTTTCTTTCCAAACGACGAGAAGACGCAGAAATATGGCAATCTGCTGTTCCTTTTACAATCTGAGCCTCGACACATCGCACATCTCTGCCGCCTGGTCACAATGGCTGAGATTGACTCACTCCTACAAACAGTTATGTTTACGATTTACGGAAATCAATACGAGAGCCGCGAAGAGCACCTTCTTTTGACTATGTTTCAGGTACATACTGCCCATGCTGAGTATGTTTTCTCTGCTAATCTGTATCAAGTCTGTGTTGACCTATCAATTCGATAATACCCCCGAATACTCCTCCCTTCTGCGAGCAAATACTCCTGTATCGCGAATGATGACCACCTATACCCGACGTGGACCTGGACAGAGCTACCTCAAGACCGTGCTGGCTGACCGAATCAATGGACTTATCGAATTGAAGGACCTGGACCTCGAGATCAACCCGCTGAAGGTATATGAGCGAATGATTGAGCAGATTGAAGAGGACACCGGCAGCTTACCAGCATCCCTGCCGAGAGGAGTGACCGCCGAACAAGCGGCTGAAAATGCACAAGTGCAGGCGATCATTGAACCGAGATTGACGATGCTGATGGAAATCGCGAATGGCTTTCTCACGACAATCATCGATGGACTAGAAGAAACACCTTATGGAATCAGATGGATCTGCAAGCAGATCAGGAGTTTGACCAAGCGAAAGTATCCAGATGCCAACGACCAGGTTATCTGTACTCTTATCGGTGGATTCTTCTTCCTTCGGTTCATCAATCCTGCCATCGTCACACCCAAATCATACATGCTCATCGATGGAACTCCAGCAGAGAAGCCAAGACGAACGCTGACTTTGATTGCCAAGATGCTCCAAAATCTTGCTAACAAACCTTCCTACGCAAAAGAGCCATATATGGCTAAGCTTCAACCATTCATCCAACAGAACAAGGAGCGAGTGAACAAGTTTATGCTTGATCTTTGCGAAGTCCAGGACTTCTACGAGAGTTTGGAAATGGACAATTATGTTGCACTGTCAAAGAAGGACTTGGAGCTTTCCATCACTCTCAACGAAGTCTATGCAACTCACGCCTTACTGGAGAAACACAGTGCTGAGCTGAACAAGGATGAGAATTCTCACTTGGCCGTAATTCTTAACGACCTCGGACAAGCGCCCGCACAATTGCCCCGCAAAGAAAACAGAGCCATCAACTTACCACTTTTCAGCAAGTGGGAAACAGCAATCGACGATCTGACAGCTGCTCTGGACATTACCCAAGAAGAAGTATATTTTATGGAGGCCAAGTCAACATTTGTCCAGATCATGCGTTCAATACCAACCAACAGTGCGGTAGCACGGAGACCATTGCGCCTCGAAAGAGTTGCAGATGCCGCAGCTACATCCAGAAATGACGCAGTGATGGTACGGAAGGGTATCCGTGCAATGGAGCTCCTGAGTCAACTGCAAGAACTGCAGGTGATTGACAAATCCGATCAATTCAGTCTCCTCCGGGACGAGGTAGAGCAAGAGCTCCAGCATCTCGGCTCGCTTAAAGATGGTGTTGTTGTGGAGACACAGAAGCTCGAGGAGGTATTCAAGACCATCCGTGATCACAACACCTATCTTGTTGGTCAACTTGAGACGTACAAGAGCTACCTTCACAACGTCCGAAGCCAGAGTGAAGGTACAAGGAGAAAACAACAAAAGCATCAAGTACTTGGCCCATACAAATTCACCCACCAGGCTTTAGAAAAGGAGGGCGTCATCCAGAAGAGTAATGTGCCAGATAACCGAAGAGCGAACATCTACTTCAACTTTACGAGTCCTTTGCCGGGGACGTTTGTCATCTCGCTTCACTACAAAGGTATGTTTTGTCGACATCATTGAATGTCAGAGCAACCAACTAATAATCAACAGGCCGCCAACGTGGACTTCTAGAGCTTGATCTCAAGCTCGACGATCTACTGGAAATGCAGAAGGACAACCAGGAAGATCTCGATCTCGAATACGTCCAGTTCAATGTGCCGAAGGTTTTGGCACTCCTCAACAAGCGTTTCGCGAGAAAGAAGGGATGGTAGTTGATCTCCGTCTCGTGTCTGATTCGAGCCAAAGAGGTTCCTATACTTCTGGAGGCTGTACGATTGTTAGGTATAGGGTTAAGCGATGATGTTAATTTGATGATGGATGCAAAGGAGTGCACGGTGGTGTATGATGGATGGGCCGGCCGGACGGAATGGCTGGACCCGGCGGAATGGATTGGACGATATGGCTTGACTAGGCTGGAATTTTTGGGACCGGAGGAGGAGTTACGTTGAACTTTGGCTTTGGCTTTTGTCTGTTTACCTATGATATCCGGCGGACTTTGGCTGGTTCGGTTGTTCTATTCTACTACTATGTTTTATTATAGCTGGGTGATGGGGAGGCGATGCAATGCTACGTGGACCAATGGACGCCTGAAAGTCAGGCAGGGAGGCAGGCACGCAGGCAGCTGGACGAGGGCGTACTTGACTGATCTGATCTGATTTGATTTGATTTGATTGATAAACGATCGAATGAAATTGCGCATGAAAGGAGCACACTTATCTACTACTTTTCTGCGTCCATCTTGACTCTGGGATTCCTTGGTCTCTTGCTCAGTATTATCTGTCACAACGACTCAACACTTCCTTCCCTACCCGTGATTTCCGAGTCCTGGCGTCTGGTCTACCTATCTGCTGATTTTTGAATTGTACACTTGAAACATGAAACTTCAATAAATTCGAGTTTGAATGTGATAGATAGATATATTTCTATCCCGTTGCGTCGTGTCTAGCCGTACTCGTGGTTTACGGGGGTTTCGGTGTTTACCTTAGAGCTTTGAAGGAGGAGAAAATGTTTGCTTTTGCGGTAAAAATTGATGAGAGAGATGGATGGATGGATGAAGAATGCCCTTTGAAGGAGAATAACTTACAATGGCGGCTCGGCAATTTTGTGGTTTGAGGATATTTTAAAAGTGGTGAAGCCAAGGGCCGGGATGAGAGGAGAAGGAATGGATGGGATGGGAGGATGGACCGCATGGATGGAATTGTGGGGAGCTGGATTGAGTTGAGGGGAGTTGAAGTGAGGATCATTGTTTTGTTAGCCAGGCTAGGGAGGGAGGCTAGCTAAGCGAAATCCTGACTGCCTACCTCCTACCTACCTACTTCGATTAATTTTTTCTCAGATGATGATGATGCTTGAGGCTCGTTTGCATTAGTTTGTCAGCCTATAGAAGCGCATTCCACATCTTCAGTAAGGCGGTACATCAAAATTCTTTATCCCAGGGAGAAAGAAGAAAAATATTCTAACAGATGAAGCATTAGTTTGCTAAATCGAGCAATTTATGGTCTAGTACAGCACACCCAGTTGGCATACATACATGCTATAGAGAAATGTCCAAATCGCTAGCCTGTAATGCAAGGACAACATGAGTCATCCCCTTTGGGAACTGGGGAGTTCCCAGACGTCTTTTCAATGTCCACTGCGCCGCCTCGGTAGTGCTAGGCTGGGCTGAGCTGTGTCTTTCCACTCCAGCTGAGGACATTCGTATTCGTTCACTCGGCCATGGGTGTAGGTCGCAGGATTCCTATCCTATAGATTCTGGGCGCATTGTCTTTCCTCTCTTCATAATTGCGACTTGGCATGTGCTCACTCGCTTCTTGCATCTGCTCAATTGTAGAGGCCTCAGCACACTCGGTCAATTGTGAAAGCGGACAATGCGAAAGAATCCGTCTACCCACCCAGGACATGCAATCTCCAACAATCTTCTCACTTCCACACCTTTCAGGTAAGTTTCTCGATACCAAGAATTTCGATCCAAACCATATCAAGTGAGTTCAAACTCTCTCTCCTCAAACATCCCCACCCCCTCCCCATTCATAAACCCATGCACATACGCCTCACACATGACCTTGAACTTGCCCTTGTCCAGGGGATCATGTCTCAGTACCGCAAGTCTCGAGCATCCATAGAACGCCGCAAGGACATCGCCTTCTCTACAAAAGGGATAGCATTGTCCGAAGACTGGTCCGCTCGGAAGGTTCTCCAATTTCGCGCTGGGGGAGAGCGAGGTGGATTTTAAGGAGAAGACAGCGGCGAATGGTGCGATCATGAGGATTTTGGCGGCACTTTCGTCATTAAGAGGCGAGGTTTCGGAGAGGGCGGCTGTGCAGTTCTCGATGAATGTTGAGGGGTCAACTTTACTGCAGTTAAGCTTGTCGACCGCTGTAAGGGTTTCGTAAAGACTTTGTAGACGTTCTGCTGTTGATTTTTGTGAGGTGGCTGGAAGTGCTGGATTTGGAGGCGTGAAGGCGTCTGGCGCTGAATTTGCGAAAACTGCCATGTTTCGCACTTGGATGTTACTGGCTGGAGTGTAGTCTGTATCGTTGTGTTGAAGATTGATGTTGATTTTAGCGATGCTTCCGAGGAGGAGCCCTCTGCAGCTGATTACTTTTCGGTTCGAGGTGGCAGATATGCTGGGAGATTTGGTACCGGTTGGGTGCCAAGAGAAGTTTAGCATGCCAATTGTGGGTGCAGAGTTTAGGCATCGTAAGTCAGGTACCCAGGATGGTAACGATGATTGTGAGTGCTGACTCTTGGTACATTCGCAGGAATATCTGTGAGGATTGAAAATGAGTTCGAGGTCTTGGTCCTTCAATATGATCTGCCGAATTGCTTGTTGATATACTGTATCTGCATCCAGTGTGTAATCGACCTCGATTCCATAATCCGTCTTTTCGCTGATACCCAAGATGCCGTATATCTTATCTCGTGGATCACTGCATTTCTGTTTCGTGAACCTAATCAAGACCTCTCCCAACCGAGGCCGGCTGAAGCTCGCGTGCTTGAAATGGATAATTCGACAGTGCGATGTCTCCCTATCGATGGGCGTCCACTCGCTCATACTGATCGCTGCTAGAGATTCGGCTTTAGCATGAGCAAAGAAGGTAAATTGAGAAACGTCTATCACTCTTAAGCCGACGTGGATGAGAGCTTGGCGAGCAAGAAGGTATTCTTGTGCGATCCATACGCGCTCCCAGTATGGTCTCTTGCACAAGAGTGGCAACGGTGCCCAGCTAGTCTGTAAGTAGTTTTCCCGAAGCATTCTGTGAACTTCTGCGGGAGCAGCATCACTGGTGCCGAAGTTATCGGAGAAGTCCCGTACCATCTTGGCGAGGAGTCCAATTTCTGGGATTTCTAGCCCTGTCCATGCGTGAACAGATTGGGCATTTCTGTATAGAAGACCCATCATTTGCACCTGTTCGTTTCTCTCTAATACATCCAGTTGGTTTATGCACAAAGCATCTATCCCTACAGATTTTACTAGATCAGTACTGCTGGATGGAATGTGAAGTTCTTGCGTGAAGCTTTAGAGCTCCTTCTGTAGTATGCAGAAAGTCACCACACTTACAAATCGGGGTCTCATAAGTAAAGTGCGTCTGATTCTCCCTATCCATCCTTTCTCCAAACTCTCCCACTTCCGCATCTGGATGCTGCTTGAACCAATTCGCACTCCTCCTCAAATGCCACAGCGCAACCCACAGATTCGGCGTGACTTCCACAGCCTGGCCATCCAGAAAGATGAACCCACTAATCAACACCTTTTTCTTCCTCTTCACATCATCCGGATCCTCAAAGCTTTGCCCAAGACTCTCATCATCCCACGTATAGCTTAGCGCATGATACGTAGGTTTGTCGTCAAGCGAGACATGGCTTAGGACGCAGCTGATGGGGTCAGGACCGAGGAGGAGAGATCCTGGCTGTTCGGGCAGGATACGAAGAAGGCGAATTTCTCGAGTCGAAGGAGACAGAGGGCGGTATATGTCTATTTTGGCGAGTTGAGTTTTGGATTTCTGGGACGAGACGGATGAGGCTTTGCTGGTTGTTGGGACGGACCGCGTTGGTGAGAGTCGTCGTCCGAAGCGAAGTTTGCGGAGCCGGGAAGTGATATTTGAGTCCGTCATGACTGAGTCTGGCGCGTTGGGTGTGAAAGTGAGGTTTGGACTGTAAAATAAAGATTGAGAAGAGGGGCAAGGAGGGGGAGGTTGGCGGTCCTGCAGACCCTGGTCATGTGGCGACACGTGATGATGCTGTGTGACCGTCCATTGGGCAATGCGGATTTGCTTTGGTTGGCTGATGGTAGAACGATATAGCTTGATATGCAATAGTTGTAAGCCCATTGTCTGGGCGAGCGAATGTGCGGCATATTGGATCAACTACAGCATTGGATAGTGACTCCTGACCTGCGCCAGAAGCTGGCCAATCTTGCATAGCAGAACTCCTGGCAAGCTCAGCATGTGAATTTGTCTACAAGGTGAATAGAGCTAAAAAGTATTTAGCTAGAACATGTATAAAATTCAAGGTTCGTGGCATGTCAGTGATAAGGAAATGCAAAAAGTCCAACTCTCCTACATTTCCTCCATCATTTTTCTTCTTCATCCACCTGCTCCAACTCCTACTCAAGGTCCTCTTCTTCATCGAACTGACTATGGATCTCTCCACCCATGATCAGCTCTCTGACGTTTTTCCTAGCGCTCCAGACGATATTCTCTGTGGTTCCTACTTCTCTGAGCTCTCCTTTCTCACCACCGCCAACAAGCTGGATGTCCGCGTCCCCACTAACATGACCTTTCGACTTGTGATGAACGAATACCGGCGGGGTAACGCTATAACACCTCATACCTAATCTTTCTTCCTCTCTTCCCCATCTGCAAAGACCTGCCAAAGCGTTGTCGAAAGGTCCTACCAAATGATCGACACTTAGATCAAGAAGCACCTTCCTCGCCCCTGTAAGGCTCAACGCATAAGCAAATGTGCAGATGGGACCTCCTGTGACGTGAATCCAGCGTGTATGTGGACTTTCCGTAAAATTTTGGAATCCGTGTGTGTGAGAAGGCGGTGGAACTGTTGGGTCCTCGTGGATAACGTACTTCGTTGTGAGGGAGATGTACTCGGGGGAATCTGGTGCTTTAGAAGTATTTCCCTCAAGTTGTTCTGGGAAGACTTCGCCACAGTGTCCGAGCCATATCAGGTCCCAATCATTACCATATGGGGAATTGGACGAGCTAGTGGAGCCTTGCAGAGTTCGCGTTCCATCTGCAATGAGCTGCAATTGTGATTTGAGGCGCACGTCCCAGTCCATGTCATCCTCCAAAATAAGGGCGGTAGAAATACCTTGCTCAACCACGCTCCGAACTAGTTAGCAGGAAATCATGGTTTAGACGAGTGTCCTTACGTTCTGACCGCATTCATATGTCCCCGCCAAGATCCCAGATTGTTTTCCCACAACTTCACGCGGTCAACACCAAACGGGAGGGCTTTATCCGCCACACTTTCTCCGCGCACTCCCTCAATCCACTGAATCTTGAAACCAGTCAAACTACTGATGAGCGTCAGAGCATCTCTCTTGTCGCTCCGCTCCGAGAGTCCTACAGCAAAGACCCTCTCGAAGCCCAAAGTCTCGTTGATGGCAGGGTCAGTCTCCGCAGCTGGAGACATGGTCTTGGTATACGAGCTGACAATTTGTGCTGGATATCCTCGTAGAGACTGTGGCTTGGGAGTGTAGATGAGGAATAAGACGAGTAGGCTGGTTAAAAGACCCACGCCGATTGGCAAAGTGCGCGGCTGAAGTATTGTATTTGAATTTGGCGCTGAAAAAGAGAATGGAGAAGACGGTGGACTTGTGAAAATTGTTTGACCGTGCAGGAATGGCTTTGCAAAACAAAATCGTCATGTGGAAGGAGAGAGAACATTGGGGCCCCGAGAAGGTGTTGATGACTATCACACTAGCGTGACTGCCCTTACCATCACGCTTTTCTGGTCGCGATTTCTTCCCAAAAGGTAACGAAAATAGCGAAACCAAAATGGAAGTGACGCATTGAAATATGTAACGGTCCTTATAGGTACCATCCCGAACACTGAACTGCTGATTCAGTTTGGACAAAGTCCACTACACTATTCTCGCTGTGATAAATTCAATAGAAAGAACAATGGTAATGCTCGTGACCTCCCAACGCCATACAAATGCCCCCACCATATCTCATCTTGGTGTTGACGCCGAAAGCGCCGTCCAAATGACTACATTCCATCGCTATGCATATCAAGACATGAGATCGTCCTTGTCCATCCAAAATAACGCCATAGATCCATGCCACTACGAAAAAAAATGCACAGTCTGCACTATTGACCCACGCCGGGTGAGTACTTGTACTTCTGAGTATAAACCGCAAACATTTCCTCCGCGTAGTCGTCCAAGTTGATGACTTTGAATTTGGATTCCCAGCGTTTCAAAAACTCTTTCCGTCGATATTCGTAGCTCAGGCCTTGCGACCAAGCAACGACCTCCACCTGCCAACCCTTCCTCAGAGCCCGCTCGACATTTGTCAGGAAACCACCGGAGTATTCTGCTTCAGCAGCATCGCCACTGGCAAGAACAATAGTAGAGGGGCTTTCGGTATCCACCAAAGTCTCCAAGATCTTCATTTGCAGGATTTCGTCCACCGCTTGTTCTTGCATGGCGAGCCGGATGGAGGCCGACTCTGATGCACTTGAATATCCAGATGTAACGTAGCCAGAGCCAGTTCCGTGCTTTTTCTTCATCGGCGTGAGTTGCTGAGGCTTGGAAACTCGTTCAAGAATATTCATCTCATAGTTGCATTTTTCAGCATCATCAATGTGAATTGGTTTTTTGAAGGTTTGGTTGTATAAGCTGCTAATTGTTGAGCCGACGACCACACGTCTAGCCACTTTTCGACCTCTTTCGAGTATGATGGCTAAAGAGTGAAAAGCAAAAGGCGGCTGCTTGATGCGCGCTACTAATGGGATGTTCCGGTTAAATTTCAGCCTGTTGAAGAAACCAATGATGATATTCGACAAGTCAACAAAGACATGAATTCCCTTCGGGTAAGTGGTCCCCAATCGAGACAGTGCCTTGGAGATCCTGGTCTCTGCCGAGAATTGTTCAGCAAGCTTTCTGATGAGTCTAAGTTTTTGTTCCTTTGCTGTAAGCGTCAAGGCTGGCTGAACAATTGATGGATCTAGAAATACATTGGGTATTGGAGGCGGAATTGGATCGAAAAGTCTCACAGATGCTGGAATGAGAATTGGCCTGTGGGGCGAAAAGATAGCCTGACGTTGCGAAGTGGATGGCTTGGATGGATTGAAGTCAGACCCTGCTTCATCATTCTCGGTATCGGTCTCTTGGTCGCTGATATCAGAATCTACCAGTAGGAATGAAACCCCAAAAGCAGTGTCGGACTCGTCCGTTTTTGCTTTGATATAAGCGCGTTCCTCTTTCAAGGCAGCTCGTACAGGGATCTGGTCGTGCCAACGAACTCCTTTCACTTTGAGATCGGATACCGTCTCATCTTGTAGCCCATTGTCGTCAATTCCAGAAGTGGGTGGCGTTGACTGGCTGAAAGGATGAGACGTCGTCGAGGAGGAGGAACCGGTCGAAAGTCTGCGCACTTCAGGCGGGGGTAAGCCAATTGGCTTTCCACAGAATAAAAACAGGCGATCGAAGTCTCCTAGATTCTTTGGAACGTTTACTTTCGGATTGTAGAGAGAGGGGTCGGGAACACCGAGGGGCGGGGCGGCGGTTGATGATTCTGAGCTCGAACCAAAAGCACGATTGAATTTGCGAGCGAGCCGGAAGTTCCACAAGCCATCGTCTTGACTATCCGAGTCTGAGTCCATGCTATGAGTTCGAGTCTGAAATTGAATAGGGAGTGCAGGTGGTTTGGAGAATAATAAGTTCGATTCTGTCACAACGGCAGCTTAGCTCTCTAGTCTCTGCATGCTGGTCTGGAGAAGCTACATACAATGTGGTGGTAGCGATCTGCCGAGAATGGATAATTGCTGTGTTCATGTTTGATTTAGATCGAAGGCTGTATAGTTCTTGAGAGTGATATCTAGTTTGGTGTTTTGAGAGAGTCAGACCTCAAACAATGACGAGGACGAGTCCAGTCTATGGTGGCGGCCGAGGCTAGCCTAACCTATACCTGGGCTAGCGCATTCTTTGAGTCATTACCTGCCACGCTCTCTTCCCATAACTTATCATTTCATTTCATTCACTCAACATACTCCTCCTCATGGACTAGAAATATCCATCTTGCCTTATCACCCAGACTTCCTCAGAAATACTATGATTGAGGCGGATGAAACACAAGAAGAAAACCATCTTCTTAGCCATGAAGTACCTCAAACTGGTCGTAGGCACACCACCTCTGCGCTCGATTTTATCTTCAAAGAAGTCAAACGTGATTCTAGAGGTTGTGGAATTATTAAAAGCATACTCTTGGATGGAAAAGATCGTCATTTCAACGCTAGCAAGTACACAAGCCCGATCCGTTCGTTCTGAGGGCTCTGCCATTGACGTGAACGCCAGGGACGGTTCGTCGTTTCGGATGATGAAATTGACTTAATCTATTGTCCTCATTAGAGCAATGTGATAGTCCTCCATATTGCTGTAAGTACTTACAATGCGTTGTATGGATTCCACAGAATCGTATTTCCCACAACCTTCGCCAGTATTTTAAGGTGTCGGTCACTTCAATCTCTGAAGTATCGCGTCGCTCAAGAATCATAGTAGCTCGTACAGCTTCGGAAGAGGCCATGCCTTATTCTGTAGGGGGACCTATTCACGGTGTCTTTTTAACATCATTGGGATGGAAAGAAAGCGAGAAAGAATGACCAGCACGGAACGAGAAACTCGTTGTATTATGCGCGTGGCCGAAAAAGCAAATTCCCCTTTCGCTGACTTCCTTACCGAGAGAGGATTGGCCATCCGCTTGCTCCACTGAAATAGAATATACTTAGTAGTGGCTTCTGTCAACGATATTATTTTCTTGCAGGCATGCATGTGTCCGGATTATGAGCGGCATTCTCTTTGTTGGCATTGTAAGCTTTTCCAGAAGCGGACAGCTAATTCCTGCACACACATAGACACATGCTCCCAATAGCTACTCAGCACACTGGACAGTCTTGCATTCTTTGTCTCAATATTTCCAACTTCATTTCTAAGTATAGGGCGCTGCAGCATTATACTTATTGCGGGATGTGTATCTACAAATTCCCGTTCCTGTGTTCATACCAGATTAGTATATGGCTACATTTATCGATCATCTCATAGGGCTTTGAATTGCAGCCATCGTCGTCTCTGGGCGAACTCCAAAGCCTCACAAAAATCGACATGCCGCCAGCGATCCTAAGTAACTGTTCTGAGGGTTCTGAAGGGATTATCGCTAACATCGACTAGCACACGATCAGCATGGCATGCAGCTCAAAGAGACCATCAGTGGCTTGCAATACTGTGGACTTCAACTCGCTCCTCGGTATACTTGCGGGGTCGAGGATCGCGATATAATATTGGGCGAGGATGATTCTGGCTCAGGTGGATACTCACGAAGGACGCTGCATTCTCGGTCGACACAAGCTCCACTCGTGGCTCTTGAAGGTGGGCCAGCGGAAGCTCCGCACCATAGCGAATCATTGCCTGTTTCAAATATGACTGCATTGAAATACCGTTGCAATTCTATGCCGGAACGACGAGGTGCAGCCCCGGCCGGTCCTGTGAATGATAAACAAGATACGAGCGACTCATCTGAGCTGTCTGATATCTCCGGACTGTCAGAATATGAAGAAGAGGAGGACATACTCACGATGCCAAATGCGCGGAAGGAAGAAGTCGCTCGAGATTGTGAACACAGAATAAACGCTGACCGGGCCCCATGCTTTCAATCACCCAAATCTGAACATTCACCATCGATCAAGCCAAAGTGTAAACAGGACGGTTTCATTCCTCCGGTATCGCCCTCTACAGAGCAATTTGCTGTCAAGCATCTGCTTCAATACCACACTCGCATTCGAACGAAGATTCGGAGCCGGCAATCTCCTGCCTCCTTTATTTCACCTAATGACGATGACTTCACCGAGTTTGAGCTTTCCGAATTTTCGATATATCTTCCCGATAATAAGTTTCAGCCGTTCTCAATGAAAGGTTTGCAGCACTTAGGGACAAGATCCAGCAATATCATATATATGTTTGATGGAATACTTAGTTTGGGCGCAGCACGCTATTACGTTCAAGACATTCCATTCACTGTACGATCTATTGGGAATTATGGAGAGGACCTCCACGAAGTTGGATCCCAAATCTGGATTGAGTCCGAAATGAATACCGGCACCAACATTTTTTATCGTTTGGGACATCCTTCAGCTGAATATGCCCGGTTTCACGACGAGTTTCTCTGGCTAGCAGACTTTGCGAAACACTTCGTGGACTACCTTGAGGCCTCGGAGCGCCCAGTATCATTGCACAGATTTCGAGCAGATTTCTATCAATGGTTGAGGGAAACGCATTCAATGTCGTCAGCATTCCAAGCTTGGTACAGGAAGTACAACAAAGAAGACTTCCGATGTCAAGTTTCTGTTAACATCGCCTTCCTTTTCTCCGAGAGTATTGGGATCAACCAAGAACTCAAAGCCCACCCTGTTTGGAGCGAGTGCATGTCACGAGAAGCTGTTCCATTACAAGAACTCGAAGAAGAGCAAACCATTGTTACTGAATATGTTTACGAGTGCTTTAAGGATATACGATTTGGGCAATACTTGAAACTTCTGCCTTCAAGATCAGGTCAATCAACGCATGGCTACTCACCTATGCAAGTTATTAATTCGTCCTCAGCAGGGTCCGAACAGACGGCCTTGAAGAACGTGTGTCTAACGGGAGTGCCAATCCGGAACCGGTCTGTGGCAGAGGGATTTTCTGTGGAGAGATCTAACAGTCTTCCAGTGGCGAGGAAGCAATTAATCCAGGATATTAAGGTAGGGGACGTTATTTCTGTTGTCAAAGATGGTAGTCAGTCTGTCTGGAAAGATGAGGTCAGCCGATGGAAAGTCGCGGATGATTGTTGGTATGTCTATATCCAGAAGGTGTATCACACGAGAGATAGCGAAACGACTTACGATGCTATTTGGCTTTATAGACCATCTGATACTTCTTGCGCCAAAATGAAGTATCCATATCCTAAAGAGCTATTCATGTCTGACAATTGCACCTGTTTCAGAACAAGGATTTCTGAAGCTGAAGTACTAAGGATTGCTACCGTAAAGTGGCATGGGGAGCCATCAGATTCGGATTCAAGCCATTTTATCCGCCAAACATATCTTCAAAATGAGAGGTTCGTTACGTTTAAAGAGGAGCACAGAACGTGTGAACATCTCCGAGTTCAGTCGAACACGTCTACCAACGATACACAGTCCAGGTATCCGATAGGAAGTACTGTTCTTGTTCCACCACGTTACAGATCCAAACACGAACTGGAACCTTTTGAAATCGACAACTACATCACCGAGGGTTTGAAGCAAGTTGCGATCCTCCGACGGCTGCTGAGGAGACAGGAAGTTGACAAAGCTGGTGAGAAGAATGAGCTGGTCTACACAGACGAGTTCGAGAAAGTACCAGCACATAAAATACAACGGACATGCCTTGTTCGCTTCTATAGTCAGTCTGATCTTATCAATCAGACGATACCGGTACCCTACAACAGAAAGGGGACTGGAAATGCCTTCTACATTATTACCCGCCTGGTCGAGATCAATGGCAAGAAGTCACTGAAGCCGATAGAGCTCATTCCAAAAGGCTTGATCCAAGGTTTCGATCCACTAGATCCTCCAGCGAGAAAGGTACTCAACGGACTAGATCTCTTTTGTGGGGGTGGCAACTTTGGACGCGGCCTAGAAGAGGGTGGTGCTGTACGCAATAGATGGGCCGTGGACATCGACAAGAACGCGATACATACATACAACGCCAATGTTGATGAGTCCAATCCCACTAAACTATTCTATGGTTCTGTAAATGACCTGCTTGCACAAGCAATGAGAGGCAATCCAAAGACCTCCGAACTTGTACCCCTTCCAGGCGATGTTGACTTCATCGCAGCAGGTAGTCCATGTCAAGGATTCAGCAGCTTGAATAGTGAACCGAACAATGAGAAAGGGTTGAAAAACCAATCCTTGATTGCCTCAGTGGCTGCGTATATTGATTTTTATCGTCCTAAATACGGCATTCTGGAGAACGTTCTCAGCATGGCCAAGGTAGGCCGCGGCCGTGACGAAGACGTCATGTCTCAACTGATTTGTGCTATTGTGGGAATGGGATACCAGGTCAAATTGAGCGTTCTTGATGCATGGAGCTTTGGCAGTCCTCAGTCTCGTGGCCGTTGTTTTTGACCTTCGCAGCCCCGGGCCTAACACCAATGGATTATCCAGAACTGTCGCATTCGCACCCTCCAAACGCCTTGTCCCGCGGCCTTGGCAAACTTGCGAATGGGCAGGCATTTGGTGTCAGGAGAAGCTGCCCGACTCCTTTTGAATGGGTTACCTTGGAGGAAAGCATGTCAGATCTTCCGGCTCTAGGTGATGGTGCTACGTATCAATGCATTCCATTTCCTGACCATGTTATGGCTGGAACTCTCACTGAGCAGTTGAGAGGCCGGATTGAAGCGATCCCCATGCGTCCTCGAGGAATGAACTTATACAAAACTTGGCACAGTAGTCAAACGCCGATGACTCCTGAGGAGAGAGAACGGTTTCCACCAATGTACAAGAAGGATGGAGCTATGCGAGGTGAGTCAACAAGCAACGGATCGCTCATTTCATGCCGTTCTGTCTCGAAGCGTGTCTAGGAACCAAAGCTAACATTCTCACTACTTAGCCATGTATAGGCCCCAATCTAGAGCGTATACACGCGTTGATCCGAAAGGTATATTCCCATGTATGACAGTGGCTGTAAGTCCAGGAGACATGATCATGGGTTCGGGAATTCATTGGGATGACCAGCGGATGTTCACCGCTGTGGAAGGACGCCGAATTCAAGGCGCCCCTGAACATGAGGTGTTTCTGGGGACTCCGATTGAGGTTTGGAAAATATTGGGAAATAGTGTCAACCGAAATGTGTCCCTAGCGTTAGGTCTTTCGCTTCGTGATGCATGGCTTACGAACGATCCTGCCCATTACCAAGAATCAGTCGCATCTAGAGCTGCTGCTCCAGCGTCCAACAAGAGAACTAGCTCCAAGACGGCAAATAAATCTCGGAAGGCTGTGTCATCAGAAACGATTCGCAGATCGACAGGCCGCGGTGTATGTACAAATGATCGCATACCGTCTCCCATTCGAGCGGTGGACCCCTCAGGTGACGAGAGGGGTCTCACAGACTGGACATGTAACTTCATGATTTCGCAAGACATCGTACCATATGTAAGCCAGGATACAACTCCAGAGTCATTTGCAAGTGCCAGCAAGGGTTCAGGCAGGGTAGAGAAAGCGCAAAGACCACTAAAGCGTCCGCACTCGTTTTTTCAGGAAACATCGATAATGCGGGATGGGAAAAGCAAGAAATCACCACGAGCATCAAAGACATCAATTTCACGTCAAAGAATCCACCAGGATGACTCCGTGGCTTCTTCTAGAACATTCGAGAATTGCACATCGAAAGATACGACTGTGACAATAAATCTACAGCGACTGGCAAGGAAAGGCTTGCGGCAGGTTGACACTGAAAACATTCCCGACGCTTCAAGCGACGGTGGTGCAGATAGTGACTTAGAAGTGCTGTTCACATCTGTGGTGACGAGATTCCGAACTCGAAATCCTGGGAAGCCAAAGAGACATCGAAGGATATTGTCTTCTACACAAAACCCCAAATGGCCTCCTGTTTTTATCAGTCTTGTCTCCGATGACGACGATCAATATGTTGCCTCTGAAATCCAATGTCGAGGTCAAGCTCCAGGTGGCACGAGGCAGCAACGAAACAATCTATATGTACCGGAGACTAAATCTCCTCCATATCCTCATTTTCATGATGATCGTGTCCAGGAGAACAGTGATCAGCGCTATCACTTTCCAAGTGCTAGACTAAATCATCTTCCTGTCTTAAGCAATACACCATCTTCCAATAGACCGATACCTACCCAACAGTCGCAGGTGTATCGTGGAAGCAACACCTGCTCGCGCAACTTGACTCATGCGTCCCAACTTTCATCCTCAAAAACACTTCCTGGACCCTTTCCAAATCTTTCAGCAGACTATGGACAGAACGAAGGACGTAATGAACAAGACGATCAGGCAGATTCGCGTCAAGAAAAACTCAGGAGTGAAGCCAATGTAGTGTCAATGGATGGCAGGGGAAAAGAAAGTGAAGAAGTCGAACGGGACGAGGGGGAGGGGAGGACAAGAGACGCCGTGAGTGAGGTTCCGACTCAGAAATATTTACCTGTGGATAATGGTGATTTTATGGCGTATTTCCAGACTAGTCGGTACATGGGTCAGAAGACTGGAGGGGGGAGGATGAGATAGAGCTGGCTTGGTAGGGAGTGATGGCTGATTAGTTGGCATTTGCAATCTTTGGTGCATGTTCAATCGTAGGTTAGGGAAATCTGCACGCGGTGGCAGGCATGCACCCACTTTAGCACAGATTTAGGTTCAAATCTTCATAATTTCAAGACGAAAACAGCCCCACATCACTTTCGCTTGAATCACTTTCAAGTAAACACCACGTGATACAAACTCGACGTCCAAGTAGTCCGCTCCATTCTCAGAAAGAACTGCAGCAATATCTGTACGACAAGGATGTGTCTGAGACTGGTCGATCTGTGGAACATTCAGCTATCAAATAGAGACTTGATCCACCATAATTTAAACCAGTGCAACAAGCAAAGCTTGCATCCGATTTTCCAGGTTGGTGCACGTGAATTGTTCTTGAGCAACGCGAAGCTTAAAAAGGTTGCAATGTCTTCTCTTCGACTTGGAAGTCAACTTGAACCTATCTTACATCTCAAGTAGCACTTTTTGCCAGTCTAACTGTCACTTCACGCATTCGCATTCCTCTTCCATCGTCTTCAAAACCACCTTTCAAAATGCTTTTCTCTCTCGCGCCGTTCCTTGCAATCAATACTCTCGTCTCACTGGCTTCTGCGACACCTTATCACCTCGGCTCTAGCACCATTCTCTCGAACCTGCATATCACAGACAGCATCGATGTGGAGGTGGCCCATTCAGACTGGAAGCTGCTGCCCAGTGCCCGCGGACTTGACCAAAATTGCCTGATCTCTGCTGACATACTCCGAAGATTTCAGAACCAACTTTATGAATCCGTGAAAGCTTGATAATCAATGTGAGTTTGTGTGGGTCGAGAGACACAATGAGTTCGGACTGCTGACACAATACAGCTTGCAGCAACGATGCAATGTGCTGCAGTCAGGATTGCTATTTTCGCATGTACACGTCTTAGAGCACATGTTTTTGGAAATCTAGTTGCCCGACTATGGTTGACGGAGAAATGCAGAATAAGATAAAACATTTCACTGCGATAGGAGAGAGTATATCTGGCAGATTTTAAGCTGAAAAAAGAAGCTGGTGATTAGTAGTCAGCTATATAGGGTCGCAAAATTGCATTATTACATACCCCGTTGGACCGAAGTCTCCCTGGCAAGCACGGAAGATGGACTTTGGCACCAAAATGTTCAGTTGCGACTAGAAATCTGAAATTGTAAAGAGAATGTATATGAAACTTACTGGGGCCTACCTATCATGACCCAATGCTCGCTGCACCCTACGGGGGTTTTTTTTACCGACACTATCTGTACTTCTTATAGATACTGTCTATAAATAGGTATTTTAGACGGATTTTCTGTCTGTATTTTAGTTAATTGTCTATATTTTTCTCAGCTGGATTCTCTGACTCTGATTAATTTTTAAGGATTTAGAGTAAAAATATAGATATTACTTGTAATTTAAGGAAAATACAGCTATTATCTGTATTTTAAGAGTTTTCTAACTAATAAAGTTAATTTTCCCCCTCCTATTTCCCTCACCCTCTTTCTTTCCCTTCCCTTTTCCTATTCTCTCTCCCCCTCCCTCCTCTAAGGTCTCCCTCTAAGGTCTCCCTCCAAGGTAGGTCTCCCTCCTAAGGTAAGTCTCCCCTCTCCCCTTTCCCTTCTCCGAGTGTTCCGAAAGTAAGTAGAAGGTCTACGTTTAACTTTATATTAAAACATAAAAGGTCTAAGTTACTTAAACTCTCATACTTTTGATGAACTCTAAATTGTCTGCACTTTTTTGATGCGTTTATAGCAGATATTGTCTGAATTTTGTCTGTATTTTACTACTACTAGGAATACAGATAAAATGCAGATAATTTACAAACGTTGTCTCTATGAAAAACCCCGTAGGGGCAAGGCTCAATAGAGCGAGAGACAGGTCAATGTTGGAACCGCAACGCGACAATGTTCTCCGAGAAAGAACATTACTCTGGCTACTTACCTCGCCGTCTGCCTGCCCACAGCTTTATCTGGCGCATTATTTGAATTTCTTCATACTCCGCTTTCGGCATCACGTTCAAAGTCGACGTCCAAGGTAATAATTGATCGGAAGCGGAAAGCGGCAGCTGGGACATATAAAGTGTAGCCGTTAGGGGTTGTGAGGTCCCGGATAAGCAATATGTTTGTGTCTTAGTGCCAATCGAGGCTTTATCGAAAGAGTGGTACGTCGCCCTTATCTGAATACAAAACTTGGGTATTGAGAGGTAGAAGGGGATCAGAGTTGTTACTACCAATACGAGAGACTTTCTTGGAATCCTGGAATCCGCGGCGGTTTACATTGTCTTCAGAAGAAGGTAGAAGCAGAGTTTATTTATCATCAATGGGGGGAGAGGTGCGAGCCTGAACCATCAGACGGGGAAACGTGCAGATCACAGTAACAGCCGTCAAGGTACCAATACGATACTGTGCAGGTGCCGATGTATCCGAGACATCCCTGCTCACCGTCGTGGATTTCTGTTACTCCGACTTCAATCAGATATTCAACTTTATTAGGCATGGATTACATTGGGTTTGCTGAAACTTTCTTCCTTGTAAGGTTGAATGAGAAATAACCCACAAGACTGCAAGCCAAGATACATTCGCATTTGTGGAAGACGTCCTTTCTGTCAAGGTGTAGACGACTTTGATGCAAATTCAAACCTTTCGTTCCTTTCCAACTCTGCGTTGAGGACCCTTACTCGGAGGCTCTCGCAGGAAATTGTAGGACTCCAGATTGAGTAATAAAGCAATAAAGCAGTAAGAAGTCGACGCTCTGTGACGTGCCATGATAAAAGCACATTCTCTAGGCGAATAGAAAAGCCTGGAATGAAGGGAGGTTACACTTGACCCCGCTCCTGCTCACCTCCACTTACTATGCCCCCCTGGCTTGAATGTTAAATGTGTAGAAAACTGGAGTCAGTGTGGGCAGCTTTCTAGGGTGTCTATCCAACAGAAATCGCTACTTCAAGCCCCTTGTACTGTAGTCCTCTCAAACCTTGTACAGCCACCCTTACCTTTACAACAGACCTAATTCTGGCTCGTGCTTCTGGCTCTGTCCAGGGCCTCCGACCACTCAGCACTTAAAAGTCAGGCCTCTGACCCCCAAAAGTTCACATTTAACATTCAAGCCGGGGGGCGGCGGGGGGGGGGGGATAGTAAATTACGTACAACGATCGCCTTAACTTAAAGCTATAATAGCAAACGCAGTTCATGTGAATTACGCATGTGTTAACTTCCCCTATTGTTGCCGATATTAACATGGACGCGAGTAGTGTGAGAGTTTGCTTAAGATTTGCTGGAAGTTTTGTCGTAAAACAAAAGATTTATTTCTTCGTATTCATATAAAAAGGTTCATATCAAAACTTAACTACAGTTAAAAACGAAAAAAAGAAAGAAAAAAGGAGAGAGAGTTCGAGTTTTGCTGTTCTCTCCCTGCATCGCTTGAATGCGTGTATGATAGAGATAGAAGAATACTATATAGTACGAGCAGTTTCACTGACACTAAACAGTCGTCGCACCAGACCAACGACTGTCCAAGTACCGACAATATAACAAGACAATATAACAAGACAATATAACAAGACAATATGCAGCTGAACACTCTGCTATACGCCGCTTTGCTCCCATCGGTTGTATTTGGGGTAAGAAACCCTAAATACCTACTTATTCCATAATCTCACACGAGCACAGTGCAAACCGTGGAGGTACATCCAGAGCGAAGGGTGTTGCTTCAAAAATGTTGCCGTTTGTACCCGTTGGATGGTAAGTCGAGCATCTCGGTTTTGAGCTCGGGATAGTAAGCTAATAGGATAAGGGTACATATGCAGGCTGCAATAGCAATACCCCTCCTCCACTTTGCAGTGACAAAGTGTTGGCCAAGTGTGTAAGTAGCATGCTGGCTATGCAGGATCAACACCCATGACTAACTCAACTCAGGCAGCAGACTGTTGTCGCACGGACGGCAAGCCGAACCAAAATGGTGGAATCTACGGCGACAAATGCGGTTAGGTGGGCAAATTACCAACCAAGCGCGTATAGAGTGGGCAAATTTGCGCGTGAAGAAGTAGGATGGAGTGTCATAGCTCGGACATGCAGCCTCCACAGCGAAGATCGAACATTTTCAGATCTGTTTCTTGTCATTCCTTTTACTCGCAACTTAGCACTGAGTTGTGACTATTTTTCCTCTTCGTGGAGGAGTTATCAAGCTGTGATTGATGCACGGGGAGGCCTTACAAAATACTAGGAAATCAATGATACTTACATTATCCTACATTTGGAAGCGGTGAGCCAAAAATAGGAGCGGTGAGCTGATTTTCTAGAGGTTTCCACACCCTGTTTAATGTTTGTTTAGGGGGGGGATGGCAGTACCACCAGTCAGAGCGGCGACTATTACATTCTGGGTAAGAAAACTAAGGCAAACCCCACTTTCGAAGCGAAAGCCAAGCAGTTGCAAAATACAACTATCCTGTTTCCTCCTTTCCCCTCTTTCCCACGTCACACAAACACTCATGCACAAACCATCCAAAGTCCCAAATTCAGCATTCAATATCGAACAATTGCTTCCAAAACTTAAAACATATATGCAGCCCAAAATATCAGCCCAGCCACCACCACACCCTATCATCCCCTCGCTCCGCTCCTCCTCCCGCCTCCTCGTCCGCGAATTAGGGTTCATGTCTAGCAGCTTAGCCGGGACATCCTACTCAGCCAGCGCTGTTCACGCCATCGTCGAGATCGGCCTTCACGAACAAACACAAACTCAAGGACAATCCACTGCTCACAAGACCAAGACACCAAGTGCGGGCATCACAGCAGCGACACTCTGTACAGAGCTCAATCTCGAGAAGAGCAGCGTGAGTCGCTTGTTGAAGAAATTAGTTGAGGCGGGGGAGGTGAGTGAGGGGTATGGGGATGATGCGAGGGAGAAGGTGTTGAGGTTGACGGAGAAGGGGAGGGAGACGTTGAAGGGTATTGATGTAGGTCTTGTTGTCTTCTTACTCTTTTAAACCTTGGAAAATGAAGTGCTAATACATCAATCTAATAGAGTTATGGAGAGTCTCTGATTTTGGCTGCTTTTGAACGGTTGCCGCGAACTGCTACACCTGATGATAGTGAGTTCTCCTCTTTACTCGCTTTTGTTTGATGCTGGTGTGCTCCAGCCTTGAAATTTCTTGTTGCAGTTATCTTGCCTTTCAACATTTCGTGTCCTATCTCAAGACTTCAAAAAGGGTCTATATATTGATTCCTCGATCCTTACAGTTCTCAAAGGGATCAGCGTCTACGCCGACGCCCTCCGCTCCAACAGACTTTCTACCGCACTACCTTCCACACCCCAAGCCCTCGTTCAAAACGCCCACTCCACGCCAATTATCACCCCAACCATCACAATCCACACAGGCTACCGTCCTGGCCTCCTAGCCCGTTGTCTCACCATGCACATGAACACCTATCAATCTCACGGCTTCGGCGTCGACTTCGAAAGCATGATATCCACCGGCTTCGGCGAACTCCTCACCCGTCTCGACCCTCACACCACACAAGCATTTTACGCCCTCTCCACTCCCACCCCATCACCCCCCCAAGGTATAAACCAAAGCGAACCCCAAATCATCGGGACAATTTTCATGGATGGCGTGGATCTCAGCCTCCCATCTACGCCCTCTGCAAAGGGACACGAGTACATGTCCTCCATCAACGGCCACTCGGCTAGAAAAGTACACTTGCGAGGTTTCATCGTCGATGAAGGAGTGCGTGGTGGTGGGGTAGGTAAGAAGTTATTGGATGATGCTCTGGCGTGGGCGGATGAGAGGGGGTTTGAGGAGACGCATCTCTGGACTTTTGAGGGATTGAGGGCCGCGAGGAAGTTGTATGAGGGGAGAGGGTTTGGGTTGAGGGATGAAGAAAGGAGGATGATGTGGGAGGGGAAGGAATTGCTTGTGCAGCATTTTGTAAGGGTCAGACCGGTGGTAGAGTGATGTGGACATGGAGCTGCTTAGGAAAGAGGCGTCCTGCCGAAACAAATACATGCATGTATATAATCTCGCGAAGGAAGTATAAAATATTACAACAACAGTAATGGTTTAGAAAACGTATATCCGACCTGACTTACGTATTTTGTCACTTCGTTTAACTGAAGCGCATGAATACATCTTGTACCCCTCATATGTATTGTGTACAGCTTACCCAAACGTGTGCCGCCTATGAACATTTTTCCGATCGTACACATCCTCTATCTCCAAGAATTATCCCACCCACTCTGCTCCACGGTAAACGCAAGAGCCAGCTCAGTGAATCTTGCCATATGCTACATGATAGCCATCAGTAACCACCTTTTCAACGATCTCATGCAACGGCAAACAAGTCTTCGAGCAGACAGATAACAAGACATGATACTTGATTAGGGAAGACTTACATCAAGCGAGAAGTATCCAGTCTTATCATCAACATCCATGGTATCATTCACACCATGCACGTAAGGGTCATATTCTCCAGGAAATCCGTCACCAGACAACGGGTTACCTTCGGATGCGAAGCCAGCGGGGTATTTAAGTTGAGTGTAGGACATGTAGTCGGATCCAGCGCCACTAAAGGTTATGATATCAGTAATTTCCCGCGTGCAATGAGGATTCTTGGAAGGACGTTGAATAACGCGTTCGAGGAAGGAAAGCTGTGCTTACGGGAACAGCTCATAGATGCCAGCAGGGATTGATATGTATTCCTTTGCAAGTTTGAGCAACCATTCCGTGAGCGCTTCATCTGCGGATGTTGAGATGAAACCGATCGATTCTGTAGCATTACGAGCAATGAACGCAGTCATATCCTGAACCACGCGTCAGATACTTGCAATCAAGGGAACGAATCACAACAGATCAACTCACGAATTCCATCATAGCCCCGATAGTCGCACCCGACTCTTTCTTATACCTCGCAATCGCCTGACTGCCAAGCAATCCTCCCTCCTCAGCTGCATACCAATGGAACTCAACGGGTCCATTTTTGGGGATGTATCCGCTCTCAGCTAAAATTCGGAATGCCTCCAGGATACTGACGGTGCCTGAGCAATCATCGTCTGCGCCTGGTGCAGGGAGCAGCGGGAACAAGTAGTTTGCTGAGTCTTGATGCGCACCGAGAATAGTCAAGGGGTGTGAGAAGTTCCGAACTTTAGGCTCGAAGCGAGCGATTATCGAGGATTGGGGAAATGGATGTGTGAAGTATTCGAGGGAGATGTGTGTTCCGAATGGGGCGGCGCCGATGATCTAGTCATGTTAGTTCAGTAACCGTCCCCAGATTTGTATAAATTCGAGAATATACCTGAGCAATATGATCGTGAAGCCATTCTGCACTCAAAGCACCTGAGACTCCTCCATAGTACCGATTATAGTAACTGGTCATGTGCTTGAGAACATCATGCATTTTCCCCGTCGAGACACGAGTAAACAAAGGTCTAACAAGGCGCTGATGCACTAGATCAGGAAGATCTATAATTTACACCATCAACACGACTCCTCAAACAAATGTTTTCCATCAGTGATTCAACAAAACATCACTTACTTGCTTTCCCGGACTCAATATCAATCTGGCTCGCATAAAAATCTTCATGCTCAGTAATATCCACAAACTTCTTCCCCTTCCTTCTCAGCCGTAATTTATCTCCCTCAGTCATCCATTCCGCCTTCTTCTCGCCAGAAACGTGGAGAAGTCTTGGCTCAGAAAGCGTGGATGAGAGTTCTGGGTAGAGGGAGAGGAGTGCAGTGACAGGATCGGAGTGCGCATTGATGGCGGCGATGATGGCTGGGTCGGCCACGTGTGGGACGGGTGCTTTGGTGTCAGAAGATGGCGAAGTTCCGAGGATGGCTTGGCTGTCGTGGATTGAGGTACCGGAGATGAGATGTGCGGTGCTTAAGAGGAGGACTAGTGCGGAACGCAACATGTTGAGGTTGAGTGAGCACGACGCCCTTGTCTATCCCAAAAGGATGGGCTTTGCGATCCTGCACACAAGAAAGTAGTCCTTCGATAAAATTATAAAAACTGCGCAAAACAGATGTTTGATGATGATTTAGATATCTGCCTTCGGGTCATCTAAGGCTCCGTCATGGACATGGACGTCAAAATGAGGCTAGATTGAATGAGGAAGGAGGTAAATTCTGGTGGCGCCGGGGCCGAAAGCTAGAGTTCTGTCACGTGAACCCCATTCTCGTGATCTCAAGATAATCCTTTGATGGAATGTGCAAAAGTTGCGATAGAAGGTCCAGGAGAAGCTCAAACACTCAAAAGTAAGCTTCATCATGATCTTTTCCTTTCCAGGTTTAGGGTTGGACGAGTGGCTGGAAGCAGATTAAGATCGGGAACATAAATACAATAAGCGAATCCAATTTTTCATCTTTGGCGAAGTACGATATTCTCATTGTCTCTCTGCTATTCGAAGAAATGGTAGCATTATCTATTTTATAGATATAGCTGCAATTCGGTGATATCAAAAGGATAGTTCAATACAACATATCCATAGTAACTGGACATTGTGGGAATTGACAAATGAGGAAACGACCTGCGCAACCAAAAGTAAACAGCAGCCGATTACTCCAAAATTTGTACACACCATTACACAAAAGCCAGTTGAGGTTCTGGGAGTGGATTGATGATATCTGAGGACAACTAAGCACTCAAACATGTGGACCCAGACAAGCGATGAAAAGCTGGTCTTCTACGCTGTTCGTCAATGGCGAAGGTGTATAGTAAATCATCTTATTACTACAATTCATATAGGAGAACTAGAGGCAACACATTAAAAACTCAATGACTCGTTACATTCAAATCTCGAAACTCCCCATGCAAACTCTCCATGCCATTCCTTCTCACATCCTCAACCAGTTCCAATACTTTAGGTGCTATCACACGTTCGTCAAATCCGAAGTACTTGTACGCCTCTGCTCCAGGTAGGGATTGTCCAAATGTGGACATTGAATACCCCGCATCAGCATATCTCTCCCACCCATTAACAGCATACGCTTCAATAACCACTCGGGGTGCCTTACTTCTGTACTGTAGAACCTGGCGCTTGTATTCCAATGGCTGTTTATCAAATAGTCTTTGGCATGGGAAACTGGCGACGCGAACTTTCAAGCCAAACTTCTCCTCGAGAAGTTTCGCGGTCTTGACTGTGAACACCATTTCTGCACCAACGCCAATCAGAGTCACATCTGCATCTTCCTGCTCGATGAAAACGTAGGCGCCTTTCTGAACACCTCCACGCGATGAGTATTGAGGATATTGTTCAAGCGCTTGACGAGAAAGAGATATAATGCTAGGTGTATTGGTCGCATTCAGTGCAGCAATGTATGCACCGGCTGTTTCTTCGCTATCGGCAGGCCGAATGTACAGGATATTGGGCATGGCACGATAGAAATTTGCTAACGCAATGGGCTGATGGGTTGGACCATCTTCTCCTGTGCCGATTGAATCGTGCGTTGCGATGTGAATTTGTTGTAGTCCTTGAAGAGCACCCATTCTGATTCCTGGTGCGGCGTAGATGTAGAACATGAAGAATGACGAGGTGACAGGAACGATCGTTCCTTTGTTGAATGCTGCGAGACCGTTGGATATCGACGCCATTGCATGTTCGCGAATGCCCCAATGGATATACCTCCCGGTGTAAGCTCCATTGATGCCGCAAGAAGTTTTCAGGTCTGGATGCTGGAAATCCACCTTTCCTTTCCAGATCATGTTCACGGATGGGGAGAGATCAGCAGTTCCGACCATGAAGTTCTTGATGTTCTGTGCCAGGGGATTGCAGACCAGACCCGAGGATTTCCTTGAGGGCGTCGGGCTAGTTGGAAAGTCTGTTTTCGCGGGAATGAATTTCGTCCAGTCGTCGGTCAACTTTCCAGCCATGCGAAGAGCGAATTCTCGAAATAACTCGGGGTGAGCAGTCTCATATGATTTTAGCAGAGTGTTCCACTCGGATTCCACTTTTCTCCCCCTGGTCTTAGAATCCCGGAAGAAGTCATAGACTTCGTCTGATACTTGGAAATGCTTCGATTCATCCATGCCAAAACTTCGCTTAATACTCGCAATATCTTCTGTTCCAAGGGCTGCTCCATGTGTTGTCGCATTGCCTGCGGCCTTGCTCCCAAAACCAATAACGGTCCGAATGTTGATGAATGTTGGCTTGTCCTTGTTATTCCGTGCTGCGATGAGTGCTCGCACAATACCTTCAATATCCCAATTGCCGTCTTGCACATCGATAACACTCCATCCAGAGGCTACCATCTTGGCATTGACATCTTCGTTATTGCAAAGATCCACAGAACCATCGCAGGTGATCTGATTGTTATCGTAAATAACTACCAAATTGTTGAGCTTCCAGTGGCCGGCCAACGATATAGCTTCCAGAGCAATTCCTTCCTGCAAGCACGCATCTCCAATCATGCACCAAGTCATGTTGTTCACGACTGGGTAATTTGGCCTGTTGTATGTAGCTGCAAGGTGTTTGGTCGCCATTGCTAATCCCACTGCATTGGCAATTCCTTGGCCCAAAGGTCCCGTCGTAACCTCGATTCCCTCGTGCTCGATTTCGGGATGCCCAGGGCAGATGGAGTCTGTTCTCGTAGAATGGTAAGACTTGAGTTGTTCGAAAGTCATGTTCTTGTACCCGACAAGATGTAAGAAGGTGTATTGAAAAAGACATGTGTGGCCTTTGTATAAAGTCAGTAATTATTGAAAATACATTGCGAGTTGGATGAAAGCTTTCTATACCATTAGAAAGAACGAATCTATCTCGATTAAAAAAATCTGGATTCTCTGGTGTATACTCCATCACATACTTCCACAAAGCTACACCGATTGCTGCCATGCCCATAGCGCTTCCTGGATGGCCACCTCTGAACTGCTCGCACAGGTCTGCTATCAAACATCTGAAAGTCTTCAAGACCCAGTCATGGAGCTTAGGATTCGCAAACTTGACGTGGATAAGCTTGTCGGAGATTCCATTCTCGGAAGAAAGCTGCATCTTCGATGTCGAAGGCAGAGGAGACGAGACTTCGTTTGCAGAAGGGGCCATGATGGAGAAATTGGACAAATTGTAAAAGCGCAATGAAAAAGCTCTGGAAATTGGGTTTTCAACAGTCGAGGTAGATGAAAGCATCTTTTGACCAGTCTATGGTACATTAACATTATTCCCGATTCACTTGTTCGAGCGCCAGAGATTTCCTGAACGGGCGAGCACCTACACTTAGCACATCGCAAGTGATGCCCCGAACTCTCTTAGCGACATGCGGAGACAACGAGTTTCGATGCTGCCCATGCATGATTCGTGCAGATGCTCGCACTATGGTGGTGGCTGCAACTTCCTCTTTCGGAAAACCCCCCTCTATTTTCTCCGCTTAAGCGAGCCCCTGTCCTCTCCAAAACAGACTTCAGGCTCACAAGTTGAGCGTAAGAGGAAGTGATAGCCTCCTTCGAAAAATATCCTTGATATGTTGGGAAGACCCTTGAAGTATCTGAAATACTTCTATTTGAGTCGAAATTGATTTGCTCTTGTGCATTGCCCAATGAGTTTGCTTTGTCTCTCAGCTGCTTCTTCGTCATTTTCTCGGTCGAGTAAGCTGGAATCCTTCTGTGCTGTTCTTGTTTGGTTAATCCTCTCCAAATTTCTCAAATCATCAACACTATTCCGACAAAATCAAGATGGGCAGCATAGCTGAGCCAAGCGCTGTTACCTCACACGTTCCATACCCCACGAACCCTCTATTCTCGCTCGCAGGTCGCACAATAGCAATAACCGGAGCAGGAAGAGGACTGGGCATAACCCTCGCTGCAGCCGTCCTCGAAGCTGGTGGCCATGTAGCATGCATCGATATCCTTCCTGTGCCCTCAGAAATTGAATGGACATCACTACAAGCGATCGCAAAGGCATTAAAGCTTACTGTTACATACCACAGGTGCGATATCATTTTGGAAGACAAAGTTTCTGCGACTTTGGATCTGATCGCCGATACTGGTTCCAAACTTGGTGTCCCCCTGATGGGAACTATTGCTTGTGCTGGAATTCAGCAGAAAATCCCAGCGGTTGATTATCCTGTCGATGGTTTCAGGCGGATAATGGATGTCAATGTGACAGGAACGTTTTTGACCATCAAGCATTCTGCGAGGATATTCATGAAAGAGGGAACCAAAGGCAGTGTCGTTATGATTGCTTCAATGTCAGGGCAAGTTGCCAATAGAGTAAGGCTATGTCAACTGGTATCATCTGGATGGTAATAGCGTTACTAACTGGAATCCCTCAGGGTTTGACTTGCACTGCATACAACACTTCAAAGGCAGCTGTTCAGCAGATGTGTAGATCAGTTGCTCAGGAATGGGGAGCTCATGGTATAAGAGTGAACACACTCTCTCCAGGCTACATACGGACAGCGATGACCAATGGGCTTCTTGCTGCAGAACCGGGAGTTGAGAAAACATGGATGGCAGGTGCTTTACTTGGTAGACTTGGTGCGCCTGAAGATTTCAAGGCTCCAGCTGTCTTTCTGCTCGCTGATGGCAGCTCGTGGATGACTGGAGCAGACCTCAGGGTAGATGGGGGACACTGTGCCTCGGCGTAATTCATCTTTGTCGTTATCTAGAACTTTAATCTACTTACTGTAGAGGATACTTGGTCACTTAGAATCGTGTTTGAGCCGAGTAGATTAGTGAGTTTCTCCAAAGTCAATAACTCTGGATTTGAGTTCAATCAAGGCGTTAAACTGCAGAACATATAAAAGCACTTTAATTTGATCAATCTTTGTTAGGGAAGGAACACCGAAAGAATCGGAATATTAAACCCGAACTTCCTTGTTCTGAGCATTTTTGAATGCTGCCGTCAATTGTCCTTCTTACCACTGCATCCAAGCTATGCGAAGCGCGAGCTCTTTCTTGGCTTACTTAGCCACGAGATAGGAAGTTCACGACTACTAAAGTCAAAGTAAGGGAGCCAGGAGTATTTTTTACAGGAGTATTTATTATTCTATGTCTGGTTGTAGTCTTGTATCGAAAGAAATTTTCAAGTGCTTGCAAGAGTACTGTCCCAGGACTCGCTAATAGTGAGGGGGTTCTTGGAACAGGGTATCGGCTCATGGCGGGTCTCAAGACTGCTCAAAGGTGGGATGGTACTAAGTCTTGGTCGTTTAAGTGCCTAAAAATTCCTCTCTAGGTATCTTGCAGCATCTTCATGACTAGCAAGACAAGGACAAACTCTGTCCCCACATACATGTCGTCAGTTTGCGGGCTCGCTAACATTTCAAGATGGGGCCCCAGAAAAAGTCTCCACAGAGTTCGGATTGGGAGATGCAATCCAGTTATCAAGGATAAAAAACTGTATATATAAGATCTTCGTCTTTCCACAAGTTCGTAGTTGTTCTCGTAAGCAAAGTAAATCTGAATGCATATTGTACTTCCTGTCAAATTCAGCTGCTTTGTGATACACAGTCGGCAGAGATGACGATTCTCACTGGTGCTCCGCTCAATTGGGCTATCACAGCCACCGCTGGAAGCGGCTTCCTCCTGTGAGTGCTACAAAAACCATTTTGGCACAAACAAATTTGCTGACAGTTTCTTAGTTTTGGGTATGACCAAGGTGTGATGAGTGGCCTCCTTACCGGTACTGCTTTCACCCGTCAGTTCCCAGAGATCGACACAACATCTACCGGAACTGGTAGCTCGTCACTTCAAGGAACCGTGTAAGTGATGTTATCAGGCTTTTTGATATGCTGTGCTTACATAGGTAGTGTTGCAATATACGAAATTGTAAGATACCCGTAGGGACTACCTGCTACTTGGAATTAATTGTAACAGGGTTGCTTCTTTGGGTCTATATTTTGCTTCCTCTTTGGTGAGAAATTGGGTCGAAGAAAGTGTATTATGCTTGGATGCATTGTACTATCAATCGGTGCTGCACTGCAAGCGTCTGCGAACACCATCCCTCAAATGATTGTTGGCAGAATTGTGGCTGGACTTGGAAACGGAATGAACACGAGCACAATTCCTGTCTGGCATGCCGAGATGATGAAAGCACACAAGAGAGGGAAAGGACTTGCTGTAGAACTTGCCATCAACATTTTGTAAGTGGATATCAGTCCTGAAAGTCTTTGGAAACCTTCTTACATCTGTAGTGGGGTAATGATGGCATACTGGGTAGACTACGGATTCAGTTTTGTCAAAAGTGCTGCTCAATTCAGAGTACCTCTTGCTCTGCAAATCTTGTTTGCTGTTGTCACTTTTGCAGGAATTATCGTGCTTCCGGAGAGTCCTCGATGGCTTCTTGCACATGATAAACATGAAGAGGCGAGACACATTCTCTGGGCTCTTGAACTTGACGCACAGTCTATTGAACCCGCCAACCCCAGAGTACAGAAACAGATGGCAGAAATTCAGCACGCGATATATGAAGAACGAGCAGCAGCGGAGGGTGCTGGTGGGAAGAGAGCCATCTTGAAAAACGGTCCTCAACGATTCCTTCACCGGACGCTGCTCGGTATTGGCAGCCAGTTTATGCAACAGCTCAGTGGTATAAACTTGATAACATATGTTAGTCCTTTGAAACTTCTCACTTTTGAAATGAAAGCTTTTACTGACAACGTGAAGTACGCTCCGGTGATCTTCGAAACATCAGTCGGATTATCCCACAGCCTCTCTTTGCTGATTTCTGGTTTCAATGGAGTCGCATATTTCCTGTCGTCTCTGATACCAATTTGGTTGATTGACCGGTAGCGCCCCTACGTTCCAATGACTTTTAAAATGCTGACTTCTCTAGTCTAGGTCGGAGAAAGCTCATGCTGTTCGCCGTAGCAGGACAAGCAGCGTGTATGGCCATTCTGGCTGGTACGGTTTCCAATGGATCTACCAGCGCAGGCTACGTAGCAACTGTGATGCTCTTCCTCTTCAACTTCTTCTTCGCAGTGGGATTGCTGGCTATTCCTTGGCTTTGTAAGTTTGTAGTGCCTGAACTACTGAGGCTATACTAAGACTTACAGTACCTGCCGAGTACGCACCTCTGGCGATCCGAACTCCCGCCGCGTCTCTCGCAAGTGCATCCAACTGGATCTTCACATTCCTTGTGGTCGAGATCACACCTGTTAGCATTAACAGTATAAAGTGGAAGACCTACATATACTTTGCAAGTATGTTCTCATATGTCCGGAGCGTTCAGTCTCGCCACTAACAAATCACGCAGTCTTCAACGCTTGCTTCATCCCTCTCATCTACTTCTTCTATCCCGAAACCAAAAACTTGTCTTTGGAGCAAATTGATGAGCTATTCACGGGCGAGAAAGTTCTATTGCACTGGAAAGGATCCATGAGCGCCACAGATCTGCCAAATGAAGATTTGAGAGCAAACTTTAGTGAGAAGACCGACGTTCAGCATGTCGATGGTCAGGATGTTTCCAAGGAATCCTTATAGATGCAAGCATCATGATGTCTCATGTACTGGATCTTATGAGTGACTGTATGAAGAAGAATTTGAGAGTACAAATGGACTTTCGAAGTAGCAATGAAATGACTGAGATGTTTGGGAAGATGGTGGACATTGGCCCATTATGATACTCCTCATTTGCAATCCTGGTTCAGTTGTCATACGAATTTGGAGCACATTGATACAGTCTTGATCTGTACTATTAAATCAACAAGAAGGGCACCTCCCGCATGTCTAGATGTGCAAAATACGTAACTTGCGATCCCATCAATAGTTTCTCTTGTGTTCTTCATTTAGTGTTAACCGAGCCCCTTATCCCCTGCCACACACAGCTAACCAGGAACAACGTCCCCCACTCTTCCAGCGATTTCGCACTAGCTGAGCTTCATACTTCCACGCTGGGAAGTGCAAAGCTTATAACAAAATAACGAACATAGAACCTTCAGGTTACACCCCACTCCCCGCTCCCCACCAACTGTGATACCGCAAACACCTGGTGGCTTCCAACATCCGAATCTCCCTACAACATGAACGGCAGTGATGAGCTATCTTCAGTTCAAAGAGACTCTGTATTTACTCAACAGGCCAAGAAGACGCGGACAAGATCGGGGTGTCTCGTCTGCCGTCGTCGACGAAGAAAATGTATGCAAACAGTTTCATTTCCATGCAAAAAACATAGGGTGCTAACCGGTGGGCTTGGCCCAAGGCGATGAACTTCGGCCAGAATGTGCAAATTGTCGCGAGAGGGGAATGAAGTGTGAATGGGGAATGAAGATAAAATTCCGAAGCGATAATGCGACGCAGATTGACTCTGAACATCCTTCCATGCGTGAAGGATCAAGAAAAAGAGCTCGGCATTTCAGGGTAATTCGGAGCCCAGTTACTAGCGTTCTAGCTGATTGATATGCAGATTGTAGACGTGACATCGAGGTTCGAGAAGGACTTTCAACCAGAAACTCCTTCACACCACAGCCCCAGAGATCTCGAAACCGCCGTCACTCTCACAAGCCCTCACAGCACTACATTCCAGGGAGAGGTTACAGAGTCTCCGGCGCCATTGAGAGAAGAAAATCATCAGCAATTTTCTCAATGGCATTCAGAATCTCCTTCGTTTAATACGCCTGGCTCTTTGACTGCATCCTTCACAGACGACTCTTCTTTCAGGACAGAAGATGGGCAGTATAGTCATGCAAGTCCAAGGAGCTTGTCTCAAGTATACGCTCACAGGGACTCTCACAACCAGGTCTACCCAAACATCAACCAGCATAATGCATCAAGTGATGGGCTGACTCCCAATTTGACGTTGGCAAACAGCCGAGTTCGATTTGAAGATGCAGCTGCTGATCTTCTCGCTCTTCGTTACTTGCAGCAGTCCAAAGCTGCACCTCAAGTACAAATGCCTCCCCCCGGTAATCCGAACGCGCTGAGGAGTATCGGTGAAGTAGAGATGCTCGATCATGGGATATTTGATGACCAGCAAGATGGGATCTTCATACCCGGATCAGTGTTCCAAGAATTTCATTCAACCCTAAGAGACCACTTGATATATACAGCTCGATCAAGCTGCCCAACTCGCGTGGGTACACCAGAGGTACATCCAGATCAAACCTTTACCGAGAGACTCGTACCAAGAGACGAACGGATAGAAGTCGAGCCCCAATCAACCGCAAGTTCCAGACCGCATGAAATCACCCCACAACGAGAATATATTCTGTGGAAAACTTGGATAGATGAAATCGCACCGTGGGTACTGTGTATCCCCGCCAGTACACCGCAATTCTTACTCTACTGACTCAGTCCAGCTTGACAAATTTGACAACAATCGACATTTCGAGCACAAGATTCCCATGATCGCGAGAAAAACACCTCATCTTCGCAACTCAATACTGGCATTATCAGCCCGCCAGATTGAGATGAAGGAAAACTCCAAGTCTTCATCAGAAAGTCTCGCTTTATACCAAGAAGCCATTCATGTTCTGCTTCCTGAGCTGCAGAGCAAAGGCACTGCAGTGATAGCATCTTGTGTTATACTGTGTGTGCTGGAAATGATGAGCTGTGCGTACCGCATGGAATGCCTAGTTACGCCAATTCTGACAATCAGTAGGTTCTCCGAAAGAGTGGAGAAGGCATCTTGAAGGATGTGCGAACTTACTTGAGGCGGTTGGAATTAATGGATTCGTCGGTGGAGTCGAAGAAGCTCTGTTCTGGTGTTTTGCTCGCATGGGTAATGCACATCAGCTTCATTTCTGGAAGTCGTCTGACTTATTTAGATCTTTGCGGCGCGTTGATCTCGCAAGACATTACACTCATCCCAGTAGCTCGTTGGGCATCGAATGTTGACTTCTCATCAGACGTCAAGCTTTTCCGAAATCCCGGGAACGGGTTCGACACATATGCCAATTATGCAGTATTTCTGTGTGCCAACTGTGTGGCATATCTCAAAGATTGTAAAGCTTTGTCGGCAGAGATTCGAAAGAGTCGATGGATGGAGCTCATCAATCTTCTCGAAGATTGGCACTTGGAACGACCAGAAGAAATGAAACCTATTATGACCATTTCGCTTCAGGAAGGTGAGGCACATCGCCCATTCCCAACCGTATTGTATGGAAACGGGCCCGCAGGTGAGACTCATATCCATTGCTTCCTAAAGTTTTGTCTGACAAGCTTCAGTATCGGGCAATCAGCTGTATCATACCGCGATGTTGCTGATGTTACAAGAAAAGCCTGGTAGCATTCAGCTTTCACGGAAACTAGTAAGTAAGCTCTTTGTTTTGATACACTTCTCTAATGCGTTCATTCTTTAGAAATCAATTTTCTGGCACGCCCGTCAAATTTTTGCCATCTCCGAATCTAATACGCATCAGTAAGTTCACACTTACAGCTCTACCTAGATAACATACCACTAACCATACAGTGGCGCCTGGACCAATTCAATCCAACCGATATGGATTGCGGGGAAAGTAATGAGCCACCCGAGTGAACACGAAGCCATCTTAGATATACTCGAGAGAATAGAGCGAGAGACGGGTTGGGTGACGAGTTGGAGGAGAGAGGACTTGAAGGCTTGGTGGGGTGATTGTGATGAGTAAACCCCCATTCATGAGGTGGTGAATATGTGAGACTGGTAATACCATGAAACTTTCGCATACGAACGAAAGACTCGGACATCTAGATTGTAATGAGGCAAAAAAAAAAAATTGTATTGAGAGACAGGAGTGGTAGCGAGGGACACTGCCTTAATGCATAGCCCGAGACCGACCAACGTGTTCTAAACACAATTGCACGTCGAACCAACAGATAGTATATGTGGAGAGTAGTGGTGTGAAGCACTACCGCTAAGCTACACTTCTATTGAATTTCTAACGGGTTGTCATTTATTTGGATGGATAGCTGGTAGGTCTCTGGCAGTGTGCGGTGTACGAAAGTCCTGTGTGTCATTTGATATTTATATGACGTCCTTGGGGAATGGGAATAGTCTAATGGATTCAGCCAAACACAAAAATAATTGTACACATCTTCCTCTAGTATTACAAGTCTCATCTCATCCCCGCTCCTCTCCGCTCATCTCCCAGCATCAAACTTCGCCCTCTCCTCCTCGCTTGTCGCTACATTATCCACCGTCCACCTCCAAAGATCATCCTGAGACTCCACCTTATAACTATCAACACTACTCTGTATCTCCCTCGTGCCTTCAAAGTACTTTCCCGACACCCCTTCAAACTCCTCACCCGTGGCCAGCTTCGCCAGTGCAGTACCAGACTCCTTCGGTGAATGGATATTAGGATCCACTAATTTCCTCGCAAGCGGGATGAATAGAGGGATGATGCTGAACCAAAGAAAGTTGGGGATGTAGTTGAAAATCTTCCAATCTCTTACAAGAGATGTGCCGGGCATGAGGCCTGGATCCATTGCCACCACCGTAATATTCTTGGTGGAAGTCGTTTTCTGTGCCTCCAAATGCCGATGGAGAGCGTACATCCAAAGTATGTTCGTCAACTTGCTTGTTGCATATCGCTGTAGTCCCTCTTTCATAGTAGCCCACTCGCCTGTGGGATGTGCCAGCATCTCCGCAGAGATGTACACTGCGTCTGGCAGCCCAGTTTTCTGCGCTGGGTCATGAGTCCCGCTCGCGGTAATAATAACGCGTGCGTTTTCTGCAAAATATGGCGTGAGGAGATGGTAGAGGAGTACATGTCCAACATGCGTGATCCCGAAAGTCTTCTCAATGCCGTCGTCAGTAAAGTATAGCCCCTCAGGGAACTGTAGTGCGGCGTTCAGGAGCAGGGCTTTGATTGGTGGATAGTTGTTCTTTGATAGTTCTGCAGCAAATGCTCTGATATTAGAAAGGTTGGCGAGGTCAAGGGGGATAAATATGGCGTTTTTCTGGCCCAAAGTCTTGTTGATGGATGATGCCGAGGTGGATGAATCTTTGCGGGAGGCGACGATGATGAGGGAGTCGGGTTGTTGACGTGCGAGAATTAGCGCAGCATTGTATCCTAGACCAGATGTACCGCCTGTGACTATTATAGTGGATGCAAAAGCCATGATGGGTGACTTGTTGATCTGTTTGGTGACTGAACTGTTGATGTTGAAGCTTGATGAGACAACGGCAGGATTAAGGAGGAGGACCACATACTTAAGCAAAACAGCCAAATTAGACGATTGGAATGAAGGAGGAAAATGACGAAATTGACAAAGTCAGGAAAGACGGACTTTGGAGTTGGAGATAAGTTGATAGAGATGCCAAGTACATGGAAACGATGCAAGACTCTGAATCCAACCAACCAAAAGCCAGTATCATCACCAACCTCGCTGGATATGGAGTTGAGATAGATATTCTGGATCCACCACACGGAACGGCACCCATCGTTCACCCAGGCGCCGCCAAGACCTACACTGATCGTAGAACGGAATCCGAACTGCTTTCCTATGACGGATAATCCCAGTTCGGTCGCTCTGCGCACATGCATGGCACCTGTGTTCCCAACGGTGTGATGTGACTGGTTAAGGATACGTGCGGATGAATGAAAGTTGCTGACAGACGGGAGCGAGGAGGAGCAGGAATGGCGCTGTTAGAAATATGGGGATTGTAGGCGTAGACTTAGTACTGTAGGCCGTACTACTGAGTACGCTACCCCTTTATATAGGAGATTCTCTCTCTCTGTAGTAGCTCCTTATATAACTGCAATTATGATATAGTAGTAATTCTAATCGATTGAAAAAGACCTTAAAATTTTATTTTTATTAAGATCTTTACTTTATTAACTCTTAGTATATCTGCTATTATACTATAATATTATCTTAATTAAAAGTACTAATTCCTTATATCACTAGAGCCTTAAAAGGTAAAACTCTATTAGAGTTTAATAACTTCTTTAAATAAGAGCTTAAGACTAAATAAAAGCTAGCTAGGGCTAGTGTTCTTTATTATATTCTTACTAAAGTTAGTATACTAAATAGTATTAATTAGTAGAATACTTACGCTAAGGAAAAGAAAGAAGCTTTTAAAATAGTTATTAACTTAATCTCTAAGCTTCTTTTTCCTAAGTATAGAGATATTATTAAACTAAATAACACTAAGTCTCTCTAGGAAGCTATTTATATAAATGAAGGTAAAGTAGTTTAAAGGAGTTTTACTTTTACTAATATAAGAGATAATTTCTTTAAGATAAAGTTTATCCTAAGAGAGGAAATACTTTAGAACTACGTTATAAGGCTCTTACTCTTTAAAGTAAAGCTTAGCGGCGATAGTAAACCTCTTACTAATAAGGATATACGTCTTAAGCTATTATAGTTATTACTAGCGTCTAAAGCTTAGATTACTATAGCACTTACCTTAGAATCGTAAGACTTAGATCTTAGAGATACTATACGAAAGCTTAACGAATATTAAATTTAATAGAAGGAATAGCTTCGACTTATAGCTACTAGTAACGCTACGAACTACGTGAATAGAGGCTATAATAGAGGGAGAGGTAGTAGAGATAGTAGAAGCTAGAGAAGTAAAGGCTACTTACGTAGGAGAGATAATATACGTGAGAATAGGAGAGGATAAGAAAGACGGAATAATAATAGTAGGAGTAGTAGCTAATAGAGATATAGAGAGCGTGTAGAAAAGAGAGGAAATCGCCCTAAATTAGGCTGAAATCAGTGTGCTTAGTATAAAAGCTATAGCTATTAGTACGTAGATTACACAGAAGCTAAGAATACTTACGCGAGAGATAGCGCTAATAAAGTAGAGGAAATTAAAGATAATAATACTTATCTTATGTTCCTTTCAGAAGAGATTTACTACGCTAAAGATATAGAATATACTTTATTAATAATCTCTATTATAGAATCTATCTAGAAAATCGACTTTAGCGCTACTCGCTACTTTAGTAGAGTTCTAGCTAAGTTTAAGTAACTTAAGCGCTAGTATAATACTAAATACGTTAAAATAGCGACTAATTCGTACTCGATAGCTAAAGGTTATAGAGATATTACTATTAATAAGTTAACTCTTAAAGATATATAGTATATACCTAACTTCGGAGCTATAAAGCTAGTATTAATATATTAACTCTTAGACAAAGGAATTAATACGGAACTAACTAAGATATTAGTAAATAAATACTGGAATAGTGAACTAGCTTTTATAAGTATAAGAAACAGAGGTTTATATATTTTAGATATAAATCCTTAATATTAAGTTACGTATAATATAATTCTATTAGACTTAAAGCTACTAAAGGAATAAATAGAGAGTTAGCTTAGTATAAAGGAAATAAAAGCAGATCTGCTCTATAGGCGTTTAAGCTATATAAATTACGCTTATTTAAAGAAACTAGTTACTTATAGCAGTTATAGAATAAGACCGATTTCTATTCCAGAGCTAAAGGGAGAGAGGTATTATAAGGCTTACCTTATAAGTTATATAAAAGAGCACTTTAATAAGAAGTTAGATAGTAGAACTAATATACTTATTCGTTAATTATACGCTAATATCTCTAGTATCTTACTACGCTTAATTTATAGCTATAAATACTTCCTTTTAGTAGTAGATAATATTATAAGGACGTGTTAGGTAGATCTCTTAGTTAATAAGTCTACGTTAACTATTTAACTAGTTATTTAGAAATTAAAGCTATAGCTTGAAACTTAAAGGTAAAGTAAATTCCGTATAATTATCTACTAGAGGACTAATAATAGTAAGAGAGAGTTTAGTCCTAAGTTTATTAATTAGCTGTAAGAGAGTAGAATTGTTCCTAAACTCTCTCCTCTATATAAATACTCTCTAAATAGAGTTATAGAGCGATAGATATATGAACTAGCTAAGATTATACGCTTAATCCTCTATGATATAAAAATACCTGAGAATATATAGTACTACGCTATTAAGTGGGTAGTAAAGCTAAAGAATAGATACCTAATGTGGTGGGGTAGTGTGGTTCTAGGTCGGAAGATAGTTAGCCTATTCCGTAAGGTTATATAGATAGGCGCGATAGCGTGTAACGAATATATTATCTTCTCTCTCTTACTCTTACTACCTGTTTAGTTAGTAGTTCTCTATATCCCTGCTTACTATACACTTTAATAGTACTACCTTACCTCTTTATATTAGTAAGCTACGTAAGGGACTAGAAGTAAAGTAGAGGAATAGTTAGGATATAGCTAAGCTAATAGTAAAAGTAGGAGTTAGAATTTTATCGCTTAGTAACTTAGTTATAATAATAGATAAACACGTAGGAAACAGCTAGAAAAAAAGGGCTTAGGGAGCCCTTATTTAGCAGATAGGATATCAGGAAATAGCAGAATATAAGTAGAGAGAGCTAAGGAGGTATAGAAGGGAAAGTTATTATAATAGGCTTAGAAGATAAGATTATTATAGTAATAGAGAAAGTTTATATAAGGAAAATAAGTAAGGAATAGATAAATATAAAAAGAAAGTAGGTCTAATATAAAAAAGAAGCCTAAAGTAGAGTAAAAAAGAGATATAAGGAAAAAAGGTTAAGGAGGTTAAAGTAGTTAAGGGAGCTAAGTCTGGAGGTTATAAGGAGTATAATTGTCACGCTTTTACTAGTAACTTTAGTACTTTTAACTCTAGTAATATTAGGTATACTATACCTTATAAGTAAGTACTAAAGGTTTAAATCGTTTACTAAATTCCCTGATATAACTATATTTCTAGGAGATCTTAAGAACTAGAGAACACTAGGTATAGAGGAAAATAATATAGTAGAATATATTTAAGTCCGGGAGGAAAGCTATTAAGAATTAAGAACTGCGAATTCTAAAATAGTAGAAGTTAGGTATATTTCAGTTATACCGGCCCTGGGTATACTAAGCGCGCTATACTTTAAGGGAGCTAATATTATAGAGTTCTTAGAATAGTATACTGATTAGTGTAATAACGCCTAATTAAAGGATACGGACCGAATTAAATAGCTTCCCTGATATTATAATCTCACTATTAGTTAGTATATTAAGACGCTACTAGAGTAGATAAGTAAGAATTAGAAAGAGCTAGTAATCTCTCTTTTAGAGAAGTATAAGGATTAGGATACTTTTTAATAGATAAACTCCCGATTATTCCTCGAGGCTTTAAAGTTAAAACTACGAACTATAGAAAGCGATATAAAGTAGTTCATTTGATAATTCACTATAATATTAGCTACCTTAGTAAAAAGGGGCTAGTTAGAAAATTATACTTAAGGAGTATAGTTCTTAAATAGGCTACTAGGGGACGTTCGTAAGAAAGTGATACGTAAGAATAAGGTTAATATTAATAAGCCGGGTATAATTAAGTTTAATAACTTAGTTAAGATAGCTACTAAGATTTATATATTTAATAAGATAGTCCGGGAGTTTTCTAATAGTCGCGCGAAATAGAAGGGTTTTAGTAAATTAGTAGATTCGCTTAGCTAAGTACTTATCGCTTCTAAAGTAGAGAGTCAGCTAGTTCCTCTTATTATTAGCTTAAAAACTATATCTGTAGAAGTAGTAGAGGAGATAACCTAGGTATTTAACGCGCTAGTGCTAGCTACGAGAGTATCGCGGGCTCTATAAGTACCTAGAGGAAGATTAGGATTTAACTCGCTTAGTAAGGGAAATCAGTTAAGAGCTTACTTAGTAGGACCCGATAGTCGAGTTAATCTATCTAGACTACTATAGGGGGCTTACTCGGGCTAATGTAATAGCACGGTTTAGCGTTAGCTAGCACGTGAGCGAAATAACCACGGATCAGGTGATAACCTCTCTATTAGCGCGAATATCAAGCTGAGGAGCCCTCGATTCCGTGGAGGGCGCTCGAGCCTATATAGACAAATTCCCCGGGCTATTCCCGATTAGGCCTAATTACACTTGACGTAAAACTTGATATAAACTCCCATAGTAGCGTAGAGCTATTTCCCTTTGCGTATAACTAAGTGGGTAACTGTTGGTAAACCCCTTCAGAGTTAACCGAGCTCTACCGAGTCTTACCGAGCTTTGCCGAGCTCTAGACTCTTCCTAATCGGGTATAGTAAAGAAGTAGTTACCACTACCTTTATATCACCCCCCCCTTTGAAAAAATCGAGTTATAAGCCTAAAAGCGTAATAAAACGATTAAAAAAACAAAGTAGAAGTAATTATTATATATTAGAGATTAAAAGCAAGTAAAAAGAGGTATAAAACTAAACTAATAAGCAGATAAAACAAAGCACTTTTTTAACGCTAGCAGTATTATAACTGCAAATAGTACATATTCACCAGATATTCCTAGACCGCTTGTTCCTTATTAGGGTTAGCCTTTCGCCAAGCCTTTTCTATTCGTATTATAATACAGGCGATTTCAACGAGTTTTCAGTTCCAGGCTCGTACGTAAGTTATAATACGCTCTCTATCAGGTTTTAAGCCTTATAGCTTATAATTCGACTTATAAGCGTCTAGTATTAAGAGCTTTTCGTTAAATACCTGATAA